ATTGTGTAGTAATATTCAGTGAGTCAACAATAACCTATTATGCCAGCTCCTAATAGCTCTTTAGTATTAGTTTGTAATGAGTTTAGAATAGTCTGAAAATGTCACCTGGTATCACTTTGTAAGATGCTTACAATAGTTGATAAGGGCCTTACAATACCCTACAAAGTGTTATATTGACTCCTAGTGTGTCTAGTAATGTTTAGTAAGCCTTCTACACTGCCTTATTATGCCATTTATTGAATTCTAGTACACCCTCTAATTTTGATGAACCAAGTAGACATTCTGACTGTATTTTCAGCCAAATCTGATGGTGTCACTCTCAGAACATCATAATCACTTTCTGCAGTGCTACAACCTATTTTCTCTGTTTTCTCTTACTCCTGCTTGTTTCTTCAATGTGTACTGCATGTAATAAAGAAGCCACCCTATCTAACATGTACATGTACATTATAAGGTTATTCCACAATTTAACTGGCATTTTTACAATTTTGTTACATTTAGGCTAAGCATTCTGATTCAAAACTGAGGTATCTCAGCCAGTTTTACTCAGATTTACTTGGTTTAAGAGAGTATTCTGAACTATGTTATGCATAGATTTTAATACTACTGATGTCTACATCTTAGAATTACTGTGTGCTTCCCTCATTTCACTAACTATAATGCACCAACCTCTGGTGACTGCTGGAAAAAGCACATGATAGTCAAGTTGGTGAAAGGCTCATCCTACAAAGAATAACTCCTTTGTACCCCAGGAATTGTAACTACTAATGACTATACATCAGACAAATATAATGTGTTCCTTAAAGTTAGAAGAGCAAAGGTAGATCTCAACATCACTGTCAAATTGATATATAGAAGCAGCTAAAGAAGATAAAGTAAGTGAGAATATATATTATTTTATTCTCATAAAAATGCATACTAAATTTGCTGCCCAGAGATGCCATTGAATGGATAACCAGATGAATATAAAGTAAAGAAAAGTGCAAGAAGAGTGAGTTGTGAGGGCGAACAGATAAAATAATGATCTTATCAGCTATGTTGGGCAATGTTTGGCCAAGTCATGCCAATTTTCAATACAAAATTTCACAGTCCGACTGAATGCAAATTGTAGACAAGTAAGCAGAGTAGTAAGTAACTTTGTTACCAGAGTGGACCCTAACCCTAGGTGTCCCATACAAATTTTGTATTGAAATTTCATTCTCACGGCTTCTTGGGGTGGTTTCTCGTCACACCCAGGGTCTAACTAGAATGATTCCTTCATACCTCAGTCATCGTAACCACCTGCTTTCCCCCATATCAGCTCTCGCATATACTTCTGTTATCACAGTAGATCCACATACAATACTGTATCATTACGACCACTCCAGCGTCAGGTGTGACATGTCATGAGAATTTTCAGTCTGACATCGCGGCGGGCAGCTCGGAGATGTGTGACATTTTGACCTAATGGTGTCGCAGGCAGCGAAAAATGTGTGTAGGAGGCCCAGAAAGCTACCGGCGAGGATGGGGACCGTGTTATGCGTGACAGCTGGAGTGGTCGTAATGATACAGTACATTACTTCCTTTCTCATCATATTTTAGAGGAATACAGTCACATCTAATTTCTGTCTCAGTTTGATTCCTACGTTGCCATACTGCATGCCCTGGACAGGGTTCCACTGATGCACTACCAGCAACACTCGAGGACAGAACAAAAATGAGGTATATTCTTTGTTGATGCATACAGAATGGTCTGGTAAGTAATGAGCAGTACTAAATATGTATCAGAGCGCATATCTTTTATTGATGTGTACAGAACGGTCTGGAGCAATAACAAAGGAAGGAATATCAACCATTCTCAGGAAAGTCCAAGCTGTAACCCAAGTATAATACTCATGTTCACTTGGATGATACAAAGAGACTCTCACTTTACTTGCAAGGAGCAAGTTTGAGGCTTGCAGGAAATTTGAGATCCTTCAGTGATATTTGAGATAAGGCCAATGAATTTTTCATTGCTGCAATCACTCTGGTGTGAAATCATGAAAATGAGTTTTGATGGAGATGTGGTCACATGCATTGGACATTTACAGCCATTTGCTATGGGGAGGCGCAACGCTGAAGGGACGCATAGCGCGCTGAGGTGGGAATCACATCCGCGAAGCAGTCTCACATTTTGGAGATATCACAGGGTGCTACACAATGGACCCTAGTCGGACAGCAATTGGAAGCTGGTTATCGGAGGAGGGAATGCTACGAGCCCGAATGCTACTTCTAACTCCTCGACTACGATCTGCAACCGTCTCAAAGTACCATCCGCCAACTCACATCTACCGGTGATTCCGCGCATGACATCGTACAGTTCGCGGGCCACATTGCGCAATGTCTCAACCCGAAGGCGCAAGGTTCCTGATGGTAATAAAAAGCTGAGGAACACAATTCTGGGAAAATAGGGACAGGAAGACCGCACACCAATGTCAGGGAGACCATCTGGTGGGTGCCCTAAACCAAAGTCCTCGCGGACAGCAGGGTCGTCATACAGAACGCGGGCAGTCAAACCATGAGGAATGACGGCAGGAAGGTGGTCCACAATCCAAGGTATCATCCAATGACCACCTTCTATAGTGCGAGCTGTCGCAAGGTGTATCTCCACTTGGACCAGGACAGGGATATCACGCGGAAGGGGTAGGATAATCCCCACGCTGACTGCCTCAGACTGGGCTTGGACCATGAAGACCTGAGGGATGTGTGAGGGTCGGACAGCGAAGGAATGCATAATCGTGGGAGCCTCACTAGCAGGACGTGCATCCGGACTGCCCATGCTTTCCACAGGATCAGATCGATGGGCTCGGTAAAGATCTCAATGCGAAGAAGAGCTTCCACGAGAGTGTATTTGCGAAGGATGATGCTGGCGTCCATGGATGGGAGATTGAGTTCAGGATGGGAGATATGCCTCCGAGGCAGGCAGGTGCTTATTAGGCGCTCGGGCAGGACTGGTGATGGACGACCCCTCGGATTGAGTAGAAGCGTGTGGGGACGAGATTGCAAGATATGGTGTAATGGGCAGTGGTTCAGCAGAGCGATTGTTAAGCAGATGCGGGCAGTATCGGGAGGGCAGGAAAGGTCAGGACCAGTTTAAGTATAAGGGCAGGAGAAGAGGTCGGGGAGAACCCACCACCCCGGAAGGTACGCGCGAAAGCCTCATTCACATTCCCATCCCATCCAGTTAGTGCGTCTTTGGGCAGTCTTCCATTTGTGCATTTTCTGGGCAGTCTTGTGTTTCCCCATTTCAGTGTTCTTCTTAAAGCAGTGCGATTTTACTCCGAAGCGTTTCCAGCAATTATTGCGACTACAGAGATTTTCCTAGCTACGCTTTCGGGCTACCCACCACATATCTCTGAAATAGACTCTGCTCCTTCACCGCATCTCAGACCCCAAGCGGACTTGATTCTGCTTGTACTCCACCTTTCCGGCTTGCGACGGAACAACAATCTCGTCAACGCCTCTAAGGCCCACGGACACTTAGTCAGCAGCACGCCACAGAAAAAGTGACCCACCGCATTCTACCGTGCTTGCGACTACCTGTGCTTGAAACTAAGCTGAAATATGTACTCCTATGAGATTATATGGCCTTGGATATAATCTATGACTATATACTGTATACTACCCCTCATCAGTCTTGCATCTCTGTTCAGCATCAAGCTGACTCGAGGCTGGCAAGCCCAACATTTTCTATTTTCCTGTGTACATCCCAGAGCATCTAATTGTGATGTTGTTTTTCACTTTTTCTAAGTGATTTGATGTTTGAGGTCATCCATTCATGTGGTATGCATACAGGAAATGTAATAAATTCAGGTGTGAGAATCATAAGGGCCCGGCAGGACATTAGAGAGCCATAAATTCATGTTAAATCTGCAATTCATACTCAGCAGCAGGTTATGATCTGACACACAGGGAGGCTCATATACTTGGGGGAGCACGAGCACGAGCATTGCTGCGAGTGCACGCATGCTTTCCCACACGTCCGGTGCATTTGTGGTGCGGACTCCCTACTTCCAGTGCTTCACCTCGCATGTGGTTTGGAGCTTCAGTGCTTGCTCAGTACGATTAATTTTAGTGAGAACAAATGTTCTGTATTGTATTTACTAGGGAATGGACAACACAGAATTTCAATTATTCTGATATTTGCCCCACTACATGGAGGAAAAGCACTTCTCCTCTTCATTTTTTTGTAATTTGTGTTGTCCATTCCCTAGTAAATGCTATAAAGCTTCAATCCCATGCAAAAAACCCATTTTATTGGACGTGTGGAAAGTGAAAAACCACATGTGAGCAGTAGGTCACCTTTTCTGCCATCCGCCACTGAACGTAAACATGTACAAATGAAAATTCGCTCGCAGGCGTTGCGCCTCCCCATTTGCTAATTGGTAGGTGGCTGCTAAAAATGATCACATGGTTGGCTAAGGGCAAAACCTGGAATCAGCATCAGCCCCATCCAGGCACTTGAGCAGCAAGCAGTGCACTTCACCCGGCACTATGGTGAGGCATCGTAAGAGAAAGTACCCAGCCACCAGAGCCAAAGAAAGCCAAATATCATCAGTTCTTCTGAATATTAATTTCGGTGTCCGACCAGGCATGATATTTTTCGGCACCTGCCTAACAATTAGCAAATTGCTGTAAAATGAATTGACCTCATTCGTTCTCATTATATGACACAGGCTGTAATTGCTCGCATTGGATGCAAATTGCTCGCATTTGGCTCAATTTTCACCGGTCTGACGCATCAAGTCAGTCAAGCACTTTGACTCAAACTGACGCATCAACTTATTCTTGCCAACGCTGGTTGACATTAGTCTCACGCAGTGTACGGAGGTCAAGAAATAGTCAAGTCTGCAAAAATCTTACATCGGGTATGAGCGTCAGTACAAGTTCTCTGCCAGGTTATAACGCATTGCTATTCTCGGCTGAACGCGTGTCTACGACAAACATCCTTGCCCAGGAATTCACGCCTGCGCTCGCAAGCACTAATGAGTCTTATCTGCCGGTGGATGATAGACTAGAACAAGCGTGAGACCGTGAAATGGTTGATGATTCGATACTCACCGATCTTCCTAGTTTTGACGGGAATCCACTTGAATCGCTTGACATACAGGCTCACGGCGGTCAACGCTGAGAAAAGGATAACGGCCTTGAGGCCAATCTTCTTCCGCTCATCGTGTTCAGGCTCGGCAGCCCAGTTCAAGAACGTGACAACGTCCTTCGCCATTTGTGAGGTCGTTGCAGGGGTACCTGTATCACGGAACCCATGTCACTGAATGAATGAATGAATGAATTAGGGACATGTCGCACCATCGTCATACTCAAGTATACCATCGAACAACAGACGGGCCATGGCAATAGCATTACCGGGAAAATAAGGATTGTAGTTCATGCCCTCACGGATGTCGAACCCGGCCGGAGGATCTCTATAACCAGTAAGAAGAGAAAAGATGTAATCCTGAGGTGGCGTCATCAATATACGAACGACGAGAGAACAATGTAAACCGTCCTACCGCACCACCATGACGAGCCTTCACAATCAAACTTAGATCAGGAGGCAGCGCCCCACCGTTACTAGCACGAGCAGCTTCCTCATTGGGATACGGGGGAGGCATATAGTCGGACAGCTTTCCAGGTCTCTGAAACATTTCACCCTCGTCGTTTGGGCCATCTTCGTACTCAACAGCCTCGGCCATAGCTTTCGTTTCATCCACATTATGGGAAACGCCTACCAGATTGCGCCAAGCAATTCGGTCCAGTGAGTGACAAGCAGCGCAGACTTCACGATACACCTGGTATCCTCTGCGAATGCTATAGTCGAAAACATGAGACAACCGCCTTGTCACGGGACCGCGGACCGTGGACATTTACCTCGCATGGTCGAACGTATCGAGTAAGCCTGCGTGGGGCCACGGGTAATGCGGAGGGTGGAGACCGTCTTCTGCGGGAGAGTTGGCGTACACTTCGCCTATGAAAGGTAAAGTGCCGTAGAGGCTACTGTACCAGGCCACCGATCCAATGGTCAACAAAGTCGCAGAGGCTAACGTGACAGGGGAACCGATAAAAGACTGAGAAAAAAAGAAAATCAATGTTCTGCAACAATGAACGCGTTAACGGCGCGTACCTCGAACGCAGACGTAGACGCAGAATTCGTAGAGGCAAAACGGACATGCTGGAGACAAGATGAGTTTTTGAGCGGATCTGGCAGGTGAATGGACACACCGGTGAGACACGCAGGCGCGCGGCAGACCTCGCAGAAGTTCCTGCAATGGGCCCGACGTTCTTGAGGGCACCCACAGACAGCCTGGATAGCATTTTGGCGGGGGACAGTCTCCGGAAATTGTGGGTTGGTTCAGAGTGCACAGGCGTTGTATCTCCGTGACGGTCACAAGTCACCGCTCACGCTCTCTCCGGTTCATCCCGCTCTCAACTCAACGGCCGACAGAGCATCGCGGGCCTAATTGCGGTCTAGCACAACTCGAAGGCTAACACAGCCCGGAAGTTCAATCGCTTGAGCCGCAGACACAACCGGATCAAAATCATATCATGTTACTAGCCATTCGATAACGTGAGATCCATGAACGTAAATAAGAGACCAAAAATGGCCGTAATACACAATGCACTCAAGAGTCGCGACGGCAGCCTTGGGACACTGGGAGTTTGAATGTCAATCTGTGGAAACCAGAGGAGAGTACATTTGCCCCGCTCAGAATAGACAGTCGCAGCAAAGTTCTGCGAGGACAGTTTCATGAGTTGACGCCACATCGTCAAAGAAAACGTAAACATACCTTCGGCGCAGCAACACAGACACATGCCCGCTAAACACGCCATACACGAATCACCGCCCCCCTTATCCTGCTGTTGTCTAGGAAAAGAGCAGAAGTCAAAACGTCGAACCCCATATATGAGACGGCCGCCTACACATAGACTGTCTGAGGAGGTGGCTGAGGCTGATATGGCTGCCCACCGTACGGCTGTCCACCGTACGGTTGCCCATAGCCTTGAGGAGGAGCACCCTGGTATGCCTGCTGGGGTTGCTGAGGATAATATCCACCGCCTTGAGGAGGCCCTGGCATTCGGTCAGTATTCGCGACGCGGCGGTAAACCAGAGCACGGACCTTGAGGAGGATAATACTGCTGCTGCCCGCCTGCGTAGTAGTCCTTGTTAGACATATGAGGAGCAAATGACGATAGCTGGTAGCCTCAGGTTATATTGGAAAAGGGAAGGCAGCGCCTTTGGTTCTCACGCTGCGGTTGACACGTGCGGTCCGCATACATATTACATATTGGGGCCATGTCACATTATGTAAGCAGATTTGGGGGAACCTACTAGGGAGCTCAGACCAACCGCAGCATCCGCTGCAGCTTTGTAGTCTCGTGACCAGACGTTCACGTGCGACTTACCGAAAACGGACAGAAAGAGAGGGTCGCACAGCAGAACGTCTGGTGAAAGTCGTATAGAGGGGGGGGGGTATGTAACGCCCTCCTGGCTGTAGCTCCCGCGCAGCGCGTGTCACGCTGGTCATCCCGTGTGTACCTGCACATCTCCTGCCTCCTGCTGATAAATATTGTTCATGTATGCAACCATATATGCACCCTAAACCCTATTCTAGCCATCAATGGCCCGTGAATGTGCCGCGTTCGAGTTCGCATGTCTCGAGTTTTGGCTGAGGTCATGCCCGTGTGACATACCCCCCCCCCTTTTATACGAAAGTCACCAGACGTTATGATGACCCTCCACACAGATCCTAAAAAGGGTCGAATCTCAGAACGGCTGGTTACGAGACTAGCAGCTTTGTTTCTACGGGACACGCGCGGCGTGCCCATATCGGGAAGGTCGCTTATGTAATGCATGTCCCGGGACATGCACTTGGCGCGCCCACCGAAGGCGGGCAGGCAGAGCATCGAGCGCGTCCCACACGGCGAGCGGCAGGGGCGAGGCGTCAAAATTGATGGCCGTGATGTACGCGCCATCTAACCGACGGGCGCCAGGTGCCACGCCGGCGCTGATTGGGCGCTCACGCACTCGGTGAAGTGAATATGTTCGCGGAGGATTGCCATATCGGGCTGCGTGTCCCATGAACGCCCCGAATCGAAAATCGACTTGGGACATGCAGCCCGCTGGCCCGCCAGCCAAAAAATGCATGTCCCATGTAGAGCTCAGGTGCGATATTCTACATGGGACATGCCGATTTCGCCCGAGAACCGCTATGGGCTCGGCTAGTAGAATATTTTTAGGTAATTTGGCTGGGAGGGACACCTCTACTCAAATCCCTGGCCTCCCGGGCCCTCAGAAAATCGAAAAAAATATCAATTGTACGCTACAATACCCCTGTACATGGGCACAACAAATTCCCGTGGGGCTATCGTGGAGTAGTGGCACCACGGCCTCGTAGGGCTCGTTTGGCTTGGAAGCTTGGCTTTTGCCTTTCATCTAGCCACAGGTTCGACTCCCTTTGGTCCCACCCCAGAGAAAACAATTTAGACACTCTGGAACCCTTCAGCCGCTCTGATTGCAAATCGTGCTGCCCTCCGCGCTGGCGGCCAGGTCTCTGGAATCCAGAGTACTGCCGAGTATCCACCCGTCAATCCGTTTCATTATAATCGGCCGGCAACACGAATTTAACGCCCCGGCATCCATCAGCGCTTTGTGACTCTCTCCTGAGCACGTGTGGGAAGCATGGCGTGGGAGAAAAATCTCCAGTTGGGACCCGGGGAAGGGGTACATCGCGCAAGGGCTCTGCGACATGGGGGGATTCAGTCCGGCCAGTTCGGATCTGGGAGGAAAGTCGGAGGAAATGGATTTGAACATTAACTTGGAGATTGCCGGTTATTCAGCATCACACACAGGCTGCCGTTCTGCATGATTACTTACTCATCACTTACAAACCCTCGCCGTAAGGCATATGTCTGAGATCGACCGACCTGACAGATTAGGAATATGATAGATTAGAACCCGTTTGTATATAGTCTACCATAAGGCTACACCTTCGAGGACTATAAACAAGGAATAAAAAAAATAAAAATAAAAATAAAAAAAAATAAATTCTCGCTCAGAAAAGGGATGGGGACGCCTCTGCAGCATGAACACTGCTGAGCGCACTCGAAAATGCGCGCAGGCGCCTATCTTGGCGAGCCGGATGTCACGCGTCACATTAAGGTTCGCATGTCCCGGGTCGATCTAAATGTTGCTTTGTTTTTATGGGACACGTGCAGCGTGCCCATATTGGGAAGGTCGCTTATGTGATGCATGTCCCGGGACATGCACTTGGCACGCCCACCGAAGGCGGGCAGGCGGAGCATCGAGCGCGTCCCACACGGTGAGCGGCAGGGGCGGGGCGTCGAAATTGATGGCCGTGATGGATGCGCCATCTAACCGACGGGCGCCAGGTGCCACGCCGGCGCTGATTGGGCGCTCACGCGCTCGGCGAAGTGAATATGTTCACGGAGGATTGCCATATCGGGCTGCATGTCCCATGAACGCCCCAAATCGAAAATCGACTTGGGACACGCAGCCTGCAGGCCCGCCAGCCAAAAAATGTGTGTCCCATGTAGAGCTCAGGCGTGATAGTTTATGTGGGACACGCCGATTTCGCCCGAGAACCGCTACGGGCTCAGCTAGTAGAATATCTTTAGGTAATTTGGCTGGGAGGGACACTTCTACTCAAATCCCCGGCCTCCCGTGCCCTCAAAAAATCGAAAAAAATTATCAATTGTACGCTACAATACCCCTGTACATGGACACAGCAAATTCCGGCTCGGAAATGGGACGGGGACACCTCTGCAGTGCGAACACCGCTGAGCGCGCTCGAAAATGCGCGCGCGGGCACCTATCTCGGCGAAGGTGGAGCGTCACGCATCACGTTTAAGGTTCGCGTGTCCCGGGTCGATCTAAATGTTGCTTTCGCTATGCTACAGTTTTCGCTGCAGGTGTGATATTATGTAATACAGTTCAGTTGTCACACTCGCATTGTGCACATGTGTCCATGATACCACCATGATGCGATGCTCATATCACGGCGAAGTCATAAATGCATATATGTGCACCATAATTATTCAGATGTCTGTTCTACCTTCTCGGATGGCTTCAGATCTAATGGCTCAGCTTGAACGAGACTGTGCTACTCTGCATGCACTTCTAACTAAGCGATATCTCAATCCACGGCCTCCGAGTCCTGTCATGAAGAGTGGGAATCTCCATCTTGCTTGGGAATATGCCAGAAATCCTGCTGATTATCACCGCTTCATCAACATGCTCTGTGTCTCTCCTCAAGTCTTCGACATCATCCTCGGCCTGATCGACAACCATCTCATATTCAGCAACAATTCCTCCTGTCCACAGGAGTTAGTTTGTACACAACTTGCTGTTGTACTTTTCTGCATGGGCCATTACAGGAATGGTGCTTCTCTGGAGGATATTGCATGTACCACTGGCTGTTCTGAAGGCACTGTGGAGTTGTACACAGATTGATGTCAGGAGGCACTTATGTCTCTACACAACATATTTGTGCAGCCTTTGACAGGAATTGAGAAGGAGAGGGAAAAGAATTGGATTGAAGAGAGATTAGACTTTACTGGATCAATATGGCATGATGGTTGGATCATGTATGATGGGACAATTGTTGTTCTCTCATGTCCCGGACTGGACGGAGATGCATATTACACTCGAAAGTGTAATTATGGTTTGAATACACAGGTGTGCTTCTTCTATTCCAAATTCACAGAATTCTGAGGCTCATATTAGATAGGAAATGTGCCATCAAATCTGCAAATTGTCAACTATGCTTGCAACTGCACCGGCTCTGTCCATGATTCAGCCACCTTTGAGCATACAGCAGCTGCAAAGTATGTTGAAGGTGGGCAAGCTGGTGCCCATCTCAGAGGTTGCCGGCAGAGTTTTCCATAGTAGATTTTTTATGCTCGCACTGGTCATCGTACGTTGGGAGAGAATTTTATCGTTGCCGCTGTGCCATCTGTTGCTGCTTGTGCAATAGGTTATGAGCCCCGAGCTCTGACACCCTAGTGTTTGCTTCTTCCTACTGCTTACACACCCTGCTTATTCTCTTGCTGTGCATCCTCAAATCAACCACTAGCAATGACCAGTAGTCACACTTGCAACTGCATTTCAGCCTACACTCTCAATTTTTGGCAGTCACCTTTGGCTTGTGCTTTCATCTACCAAGCCATCCAATTATTTTTCCATTCACTCATATTCCTATTCTATTCTACATTAATTTCATCAGTGGTCACCATGCCAGAACATGACTCACGCATTCCCAAGCTCGTTAAGGGCAACTGCATCGAGTGGAGTGCCCTGATGAAGGTGCATCTGGTCACTGCAGATTTGTGGGAGGTTGTTGGGCCTGAGGAGGAGAAGCTGGTAGCGAGAGGACTGAAGGGAGTGGCAGCGAAGAAGAAGAAGCGTGAGCAGGTGTACTCGAAGATCTTGATGAACCTCAGTCCCCCACAGATGGCTTTCGTGTTGGGTTCGGAAAACCCCCAAGAGGCATGGGCTGCACTTGAGGAAACTCATAGGTCAGCGTCTGTCAACTCTATTCTGTCATTGCATCGCCATTTCTTCCGGATGATGAAAGTCGAGTCTGAGTCAATTATGACTTGGATTTCTCGTGTCCACACTGCTGCACTCGAGCTTAGTCGCACTCCCTATCCCACCACTGAACTCGACATCATTATGGTCATCAGCGATGGCCTTTCTGATGAATATCAGCCTGTCATCAATGCTCTCGACAGTCTTCCATTCGAGGAGCTCAAGCTCTTCGCTGTCACCATGTGGATCACCGGTCTCGAAGCACAACTTGCCCATTCCAAGGAGAAGGCTTCAGAGGTCACTGTTGCCTACTATGTTGCACAGTCCAGGAGAGATGGACATGGATTGTGAGGTGGAGGGAAGCAGGGACCTGGTCAACAGGAGGTCTCATGCTACAATTGTGGAGGTCGTGGACATTATTTAGATGAGTGTCCTTCCCCATCTCAAGGTTCTGGTTATTCCTCCAGTCATGGTTCAAGTCGCACTCATGCTCACGTTGCTACGGTGGACTCGGAGGATGGGAAGGATGAGGCTGCGATGTCAGCGAGGGTTCAGGATGACTCAGAGGAGGTTTTGCATTTGTTTTGATTTCACTTCCTTACCCTCGATGGGTGCTCACCTTGTGGGAGAGTGTTGAAGGTGGGCAAGCTGGCGCCCATCTCGGAGGTTGCCAGCAGAGTTTTCCATAGTAGATTTTGTATGCTCACGCTGGTCATTGTACATTGGGAGAGAATTTTATTGTTGCCGCTGCGCCGTCTGTTGCTGCTTGTGCAATAAAGTATCCTGACTGGTTTTTCAGAGGTGCCGAGTTTGCCTGGGGTGATTCTGCATATACTGTTAATTGTTGAACAGTCGCAGTTCATAAAAGGCCCACTTCCTTTGATCCTGCCAATGCCTTGTTTGACAAACATGTCTCTCATTTACGTGTATGGTCAGAGCACTGCATGGGAGCTTTGAAGGGCTGCTGGCAGTCTCTTCATGGTCTGCGTCTTAATTTGCACAATAACAAAGATCATGTACATGTATGTCGGTGGATCTTATGTTGTACTATCCTGCACAATGCAGTTCTGGACATTGATAGCTGGATCAAAGGTGCCGAATTCTCTCTTTTACACACTCGTGTTGAAGAGGAAGAGGATAGAGGATTACCAGATGAACCTTTGCACAATTATGATGATGAGGAAGATACCGAGACAAGATGACATGAATTGGTTGCAGAAATATAGGCAGCATACAAGATGGGATTAGTACAATAAATTGTATGTACAGTCAAATATATCACCAGCTCAATCAATATCAGGTCAGTCAGGAGATGGCTCACGCTGCTGAGTCGGACTGACAGACACGTCATGCTCTTGGGCAGGGTTCTGGATATCTTTGATCTGTGAATTGATGTCCTCAATCTGGCCATCAATGTGGGTATCAATAGTAGCAGACTTCTGGTGGTACTGATCCATATCCCAGATACTCATCTGGAACTCCCGAAGAAGCCTGTCCTGCCTTGTTGCACAATCTTCACGAGGACTTCTCAGATCTTCACAAAGGTCCTTCAAAGTCTTACGACAGTTCTCCGCAGCAGCCTGGTCAAGTCCACATCTGCACAGATGTTGAGCATGAAGACTAAAATTGGAATAAAAAATATGCACTAAGATATCTCCCAAAGAACATCATGAATACCAGATGAATGGCTTGAAGTTGGTTTGAATGAGGACTTGAGGACAGTGAGCTTCTCATTTGAAAGGTGTGAAGGAGTCTTTGATGCCTGCGAAGATGGGGGGCAATTCTCCTTTCCTGCCGAGGATGGGATAGCAACACAACGAGGTAGCTGCACAGCAGGGGGTACATCATTGAAATGACTAGCAGTGCAACAGGATGGCTACATGGCTGGAGGAATGTCATCAGCGGCAGGACTTGGGTCGTGATTGGCAGTGGCAGCATTGGCAGTGCAATTCTCCTCTACTTGAAGAAGGACAGGGTCAATTAATTTATCAGGAATACCATCACCTTCAGGACGTTGATAGTAGACAGTTTTGAAACCATTCGGCCTGATACCTGTAGTGATGGCAGCAGGATTAACATTCAGCTGTGTTGCAAGGAGAGCATGGAGATAGGGAAAGACTTTGAACTCCTTCTCAATCTTGTCTACATATAAATGATGAGTGAATTTGTAAATATACATAAGATCTAGCCACTTACCCCAAATATGCTTGTAGTGCTCCGGCGTCAAGTCATCTGAACCATCTGCAGTAATATAACACTCAAGAAACTCCGCGGAATCTTCATTGTTGTCATCTGCATCCTCTTTCTCTGCATCACCATCATTACCACCAATCCCACCGCCAGTGACCTTGATACATGCTGCCTTCTTCGCATATGTCTTCTTTAAGCTGTCGCAAGGTCAGTAGGTGAAAGAAAGCTAAAAGATGTAAACACACTTATCAACCTTATTCTTGACCTTGAGACCCATCACTGGTACCTGGGCATTGGTGAGACTGGGCCACAGCTGGCATGCAATCCTCTGGGCTACATCAATCTTTGTCTTGCCGGAAATTTTCTGTTCGCATTGTCAGTACAGTTAGATGGGTAGAACTTTGGCACCTACCTCTCCCTTGCGCACACCAATAAGGACCTTGCAATTTTTGGGCTTCTCAATTTCCATGACAAGCTGGAGGAGAAGATTATTAGGTTCACAGTTTGTGCCCCAGGAGATCTTGCCATCTTTTTCCTTTGATTTCTTGTTAGCACCCTCCTCTGGAGGATGGGATTCTTCACGAAGCTGTTTCTTTGCCATTGTGTTCAGTAGATGATAATAATGAGATTCAAGTTGTAGAGAGCCCGTGGCCCACATGACACGTGAGATCACAACAATGTCACACATGGTCACTATATGGTTACTGCTTATCTAACCCACACTCGGCCAAAAACTGTAGTGTAGCGAAAGCTGCAGCAGACGCTGTGGTTGGTCTGAGCTCCCCTACTATAACATGTCAATGCAATCATAGGTAGGACTCTCTGTACATACTATCATTACCCCAGTGTTGCAATCAGGTCTAATTGTGCAATTTCACACAAATTTCACGATCTCATGCTGTTTCACTGGTCTAAAAATTGGGAAAAAATATGTAGTAGATTTGCATGATCTCAGATACATTGACTGCACAACTTCAAGGTAAAACATGCAGGGGAAGGGTGCCAAGTTGGTGAATTGCAAGTCTGGAGTAATTCGGGTGTGACAGTGAAGCATGGCAATTCAAACTCCGACAAGAGGGAGAACAAGGTGATGATGATGATGATGATGATGAACTCAGAATTTATATACCGCAACAAGCAAACTACGTGCTAAGACGCGGTGGTCACCGGCCAGTACAAACTGTACGACAAGGAACCAATGTGACGGAAGTGGGGTGCATCGGGTGGGGGAGGGAGAACAAGGGAAAGGCACGTCAGCAGGTGTGACAATCTGTGACCAATTTGGCGCTCTTGCATGCAAATGAGTCTCTTGAGTGCATTCGGTTTTGCGTTCACACAATGCTAGGAAAAAAATTGGGAGTTATACAGAAGGTACATTATATGTCCTGTTCAAGCTAAGGAAGTTTAAGGCAAGATAGGCTCAATTTGAAGGAGCGGTGACAGAGTTGCAATTGTGATTGCATTACTGGGGTAATGATAGTAGGATGTAAGATAGGGCTAGTTCATACACAACTGGTTTGAGCGCCCATGACATTAAGTGACATATCACGTGAAATTCCTAAAAAGGATCTAAGTGGCACATTTGAAGCTTCAGAATAAGCCTAATCCTGACATGGTTTTGGTATCTCCTCGGTCCTCAGGTTAAACAAAATAAATATGCTTCCCCACATTGACTGCAGTGGGTTTCTCTACATTCTGGAGAAGCAGATATGGCTTAAATGCAGTGTAGCGTGAGTAGTTGCATTCAGTGCAGAGCAGGGGTATGGATAACCCTCAAAGGGTAAGGGTATTGGAGGGTAAGGGTAGGGGTATGAACTTTCAGACCCTTGGACCCCTGAAGGTTATTACTGCATATAGTATATATAATGTAAGCAGTAATTGTATGGTGACTAAAGCCTAAGTACAGCCTAGATACAGCCTTAAACTATGTCTACAGAAGCTTCAAAGGGAAAAAAAGGCTATTACAAGCCTTAAACTTAATGTTTATAATGTTATTTCCTCAAGTAAGGCAGATATTAAGGAGTATACCCTCAGGGTTTGGTACCCTTATGCATACCCTTACCCCTGGTGAAGGGTAGGTACCCTTGGCAGGTAAGGGTAGGGGTACAGCTCAAGGTACCCAGGGGTATACTCCTGCTCTACACTAGTTGCATTTTTGAAGGAAATTTCCCCCAAGTGTGACATCTTGGATCATGTGAGGCTAGTCGTGTATGAATGAGCCCTATCTTAGTAGCATACCAAATAAAGAAGCTAGGAAAGACCGTGCATCATTGAGAAATCACTGTATTCAGACGTGTATATCTTAACCTTAAGAGGGCACTTAAATGACTTAAATGGACTTATGATCCTTATTTAAGGACATAAGGACAAAAGGGGCCATATTTTCTGAGTGTCTGAAATTTGACTTATTGAGACTTATTTAAACACTTATGACCTGAAATAAGGGTTGCCAGACCCAAAAGTCTAAATAAGTCCCTAAAAGTTGGGTTTTCCTGATGTACGGACTGCCAACGTGGTCACTTGTACTGTATCTTATGCCCACATTCTCATAGCAAACTGTACTCTATATGATACTTGACACTCCTCGTCCATTTTGCCTACATACCCTTCACCAGGGGTAAGGGTATGGGTAAGGGTACCAAACTCTGAGGGTATACCCCTCAATATCTGCCTTACTTGAGGAAATAACATCATAAACATTAAGTTTAAGGCTTGTAACAGCCTTTTTTCCCTTTGAAGCTTCTGCAGACATAGTTTAAGGCTGTATCTAGGCTGTACTTAGGCTTTAGTCACCATACAATTACTGCTTACATTATATATACTATATGCAATGATACCCTCCAGGGGTCCAAGGGTCTGAAAGTTCATACCCCTCCAATACTCTTACCCCTTACCCTTGAGGGTTATCCATACCCCCACTCTGCACTAATTTTGCCATTCTGCCTTAGGTTGTAACTTGTATGTGCACCTTTGTACTATAACCTCTGCACAGCAATAATTGAAATGTGTATACTTCTGTTATATATGAGTGTGTCAGCTTTTGAGAATATGGCAATGATAGGCCACGAACATTGTTCCACCTGTCAGAAATCACCACTGGGTAAGTTTTGCATTAGAATATATACCTTGTCACTATATAAGGCTCTGCTATGCTCACGCATCCCTACGGACTTATAAAGTACTGGTAGTCTTGGTCAACTAGTGCATTTTTGGTGGTCTCCCACCTTATAGAAGTTTTCACATTATGTGCATGATTCTGTGTATACATGTCATGACACATTTCTCCTCTTCCTGCAGGGAAGAACAGGTAGTTAGGCTAATGATGTTGTGTTTTTAGGACCTGACTTACTACAAAACATATTTCTAGTACAGTTCATAGCAAGGAAGGCTGGGAACAGGCCATGCTGCACAGTCTTGTAGTGAAATGGTCATCTGCACCTCTTCTCTTTATCAGTGCCTCCAGTGACAATTTTGCATTACCCTGCACACTTGCACTCTCATCACCAGAAGGTCTCCGAGAACATAAGTTCTGGGAATTTTAGCATGCTACTTAGATAACCTTGTAGAGGAGACATTATTGCACATAGACTGCAAGTTTCAAGGGATATCATGAAGTTGTCAGGGAGCTACAGCAGTACACTGAAAGAGTTTGCAGAACTATGCCTAGGATAGTAGTCAGACTAGAAGTACCGGTGACGAGTTACGGTGACGCAGTTGATGGTCACGTGGGTTGGAGCAAACGCGTGACAAGCGTGTCCATCTTTGTCACGTCGCGTGGCGTTCACCGCCTTTACAACCACACACACTGCTTTCGAGTCACTCACCCATCCAGCGCTGCCGACTACAGCCTCCCTCGGGTCTTCCGTCTTAGGCCTTTCTGTCTAACCTATGCCGGAAGACTGTCACTTTGTGACGACGAGCGCAGATGCCCTCGGAATCCAGATGCACAGCCTTACAGCTTGTCTACTGGGGGTTGTGGCAGGAGATTTCCACAGAACCCTTCAACAGAATTCTATTCACTGCCTCCGTGTCCGTCGGACCTCGCTTCTCACATAGCCACGATATGTAAGTAGCAAAGCCGAATACTTTCACGCTTCTCTCCTTGACTGCACTTGCAGTGTTAGTCTCAGGAGCACAAGGATAACTCATCTGAAATTTTTGGAACACGCCAATACACGTTTGATATGAGATCCAGCTTACGGGCTTCGTTTACATGCGTGTCTACATCGTGTGGCATAGTTCAACGTCCTTGCCTATGTTGTAATCGCTCGTGTTCACCGGATGTCCTTTGGCGGTGCCTTCGCGCGCGCTTGCTCTGTTACAGCCTCTCAGATATAACAACTCTTGTCCGCTTCCATCCCTGCCTGTTCCTTCCCCTTTTCCTCCCACACTTCCATCGGTAAGAGTCAGTCACACTGGAGAGGTTCTCAAACTTCGAGGGCGGATCCCCGCGACTGTCTACTATGCATTCCTCAAAATTGCGTTTGAGTGACCCGTGGAGCATGGAGAAAGAGAGCTTGAATCCATCTCACCTACCAGAATTAGGACCTGTACGTGTCCTGGCCAGTCCTGTCAATGTATCTGCATCAATCTTTTGCATGTCTCACCTCCTTTCGAGCAGCAATTGGGACTCTATCTGACCCCCGCTGAGGATTCTGGACTGTTCGTTGGAAGCAACAGTATTCATCATCAACCGGAAGAACTGTACAATTCACCTTCTCGTGATTCATGGCAATACTCTCCTCAACCAGTTCCTTTGGATTCTCTTTTATTCGACCCCGAGCCAACGAATCAGTCTTACGGAGACGGATTCAACCTACAACCTTCCTCCATCGCGACATACACCGCTACCGATGGCTCCCTGGAAATGGGACCACCTACAAACCCGTCGACACGCCAAGTCCCCCAGATATTCGTCGATATCTCAGCACTCGACCCCACACCGCCCTTGGCGTTTCCTCAGGGCCATATTTACTCTCCTGTGGAATACACACCCACATCCAGTGGGTACGCAGGTTACTCTACCTTGGGACAGTCTAGTCCATCAAGCGGCGGTTCGTTACCTCCAACTACACCTGCAATGTCTCCGCTAGCCGGGGGACATACGTTCGTCAATCATTCTCCCAGTTCACCGACTTCGCCTTTTGTAAATTCGTCTGATCTTCAGGTGTGTCATACGAACAATGCTCGTAATGTAGTGAATGTTGAATTATTTCTGAAGATGCTTCCGAATTTCTGCTACGGTGTAGACGATGCTCCGCAGACTGTGCCAGACATTGCGGCCCGTTATGCATCCTCTCATGACGGCCCATTGGTTCCCCAGAGGACATATCGTCCTCACACTCAGAGCGACAGGCGGCGTTACGTCGAGGAAGTCAAGCTTGAGGAACCCATCATGTTCTTCACGACCGATCCGGCTGTTTGCGGCATCCCTCTTTGTGATGCGCTCACAAGCAAGTTCATGCGCTTGGTTGGCCGGGACGATCTGATGTTCGTTAACCGTGGCCCATCCGTTTCCATCAGGCTCATGGTAAGTCCACTCTTCCCGCGCCACGAGGTAATCAGCCTGACCGGTGGATTTATTTCCGATACCTGTGTTCTGTTAGTGGCCAGGATATGTGCCGTGGAGTAGACAGATACCGACCAGGGATTTCAGAACACCTCCTGGTCCCATCACTCGCTCTAAACTGGCTAAGAATGTTGCAAAGACCATACAGCGGTTTTTAGATGTTAGTTTAGCTGCTGTTGTTTTTGCATGAGGCGACTCATCAGATATCATAGGAGATGCAGCAACAGCGGATGGAAGAGGATGCTGATCGCCGATGGCGTGTTGGCAACAACCATATTCGGCTGGAGCACCTGGTCCTCGTAGGACTTCAACACGTTTCGATGGGCAGCTGGCAGGCCTATATCCGCCTCCGTAGACCAATGTTGGTACCGTCATGATGTTGACCCTCATTTGTGGACCTGGACTTTCCTTGGCTCAGCATCGCATCAATCAGTCCGTCGTGTTGTGGTCATAGTCATGACTTATACATTCCCTCCAAGTGCTCACTCTGCTAGGAGTTCAGTCACCTCTACTGCACAGTATGGGCTTACCGTCGAACTTCCCAGACGTTCTGACGTCGACTGTTACCTTGACTATGAATCGTATATGACAATATTGTACACATCGATGGACCAGCTCCGGCTCTCGCCACTTGCACTCGAGACCGCATACTAGTTTGATCCTCGCAGGTACCTTCAAGTGCTGTACGGTCATGCCTTGCGACTTCCACCTTCTCGTATTCCTTCGCTTCTTTCTGGGACATCTCTCAGACACTTTCTTGTGCACTTGCCTTTGCGAAGCGGTACCAGTTTTGAACCTTTCGGATTGCTATGGAATATCAGTACAGTCTTCTTTACCCGCATTCCTTCTGAGTGCTGATTGAATGCCATCCGTCTTTTCGATTGGCGACGCCTTGTAGCGCTGTAACGTTCTGACGTAGTTCGACTACCGGCCCTAATCATTCTACGCCTTTCACGGCCGTATCTGACGCTGCCAATGATGACCGGGTAAACCGATGGGTGATATCCAACGCCTAGACCTCCAGCTTGCTCAAGAATGATATCATGAGGACTATTACATGAATTAATCCCCGGGAGAACATGGGCGATTCGTGCAACCATGCCATTGGATCAGGAATACGGTAGGTAGACGCGGGCCGAGGGTACAGAGCTCGGCTACCTGGAGCCTACAGTTGCGGACAATCAAACACGGTTAATTTGATAGCGCCTGAACTAGATTTTTCTGAGACAAATGGACTTCAGATTCAGACTCAGGGAGGTTTAAAACCCCCAAAAATGCACTCAGATAGTTTTTCCCACGAAGTTTTTGGATGGCCAAATTTTTGGGCGATTTTTTCGACACTTATAGGCCACTTTGCGGTCGTAGTGAGTACTATTGGCCACCTGCTAGTCACCCGCAACCTCTGATTCATTCAAATGTTGCGAATCCACCCAAAATTCACCCAACCAGCTTCCGTAAGGGATCCTACTGCTACTTACGCATTTGTTCTTACGCCACACGTTTGAGGTGTTCTCACATGTTCGCGCAGATTTCAGCTGAAACTGCCTCTGGCACGAACCCGCTCATCATAGCTAGATTGGCAATGGTCAGAATGCTATCTAAGACAGTAACTTTAAATGACAAATTCCATATTCTAGGTATACTTTGTGCATTTTCTATAGCCATATTTTTGGATGTATATTTTTCATCTGTTTGTGGCATTATGCCCTACTCATTGAAAGGAGTCGATTGCATATTTTTTCGTATTTTTATCTAATTAATTATGGGGTTGGCCAAAATTTTGGGTCCAAAACAGGAAATAATAAGAATTAGTGAAATCGGCTCGTGCAAATCGAGTCTCTGAGTCATAAGCATCACATTTGTGCAGTTTCCGAAAGCTTCCGGCACTGTCCGGACTCTACATAATTGGACTAAAATAGTTACCGCGTTTGATTGTCCGCAACTGTACTCCCCATCTGCATCACCACCTCTCCGATTCACTGATCAGTGGGTTCATTTTGCTCAAAAGGAGATGGGTTGTATGCTGTACTTCGTAGAAGTGTTCAACATAAGGTGCGACAGGAAAACAAGCACTAGGGCTTCGAGGATGATTTCCCGCTGAGTTCTACACGGGGTTACAACCGTGACCTTGCGAAAAGTATGCTGGAGAATTATTCCCGGAACTCTACACTTGCCAAATATGGGCAGGGCAAGTCAGGAACGCCGAGGCTGGTAACTTACCGGTAAGGCCTTGTTCCCTGTTCGTTCTCTTTTGTTGTTGAGACTCGCTTCTAGCCTCCCTCTATCTTGTACATGTATGTGCTCCATTGTCCTTGTGGTCCACTCATATAGGAGCGCGTGATATGCTCAGTAATGAACCAGCTACATAAGCCCACCTGGTCAATCTGCGTGCACCGGTGCTGTGGCAGTCAACACTGCTCTTTGTCGAGGGCTTCACCTCGTTTTCATTCTCACTCTTGGTTTTCTTGCATTTTTTGGCGTGTACATTCCGTCAACAGTATTATCTTTTTCCGACGGACATGATACCTCACGGCTCCCTTGCCGTTGCAATCGTACAGCGTCAGATCATGGTCGTGCAAGGCGAGTGCTTCATTCAAGCCATGTTCTCTTATACTAACGGCCTCTGCAGCTGCACATTCGCATAGTTCCAGAGATCGATGGGTAGATGTCAATACTTTCATCCCCTTCGGCGAGCGTGTCTTCCTTGCTTCCAGCGTACCCCAAGCACGCATTCCATCGTCTGATATCCTCACCATCTTCCCTCGCGATGACTGTATTCCACGTGTGTCCACCAAGGGCATCTTAGAGTTGTCGCACGAAGCCTTCCTCCAGTTCATAGACTTTAGTGCTCGCAGACAACAGCGATATGACGAATTATTTGATGCATGGTCTAATTCTGCAGCGTAGGACCGGCGGGTGATGGGAAGTCAGAAGGATCTTCAGAAGGGGATGTATCATACGCGTGATCTTCTCTTGTAGCACTTACTCTTGACGAGCTCGTCGCTCCTCTGGTCTGCCCTGTATTTTTAACATCCCGTACTGGTCGTCGTCACTCTTAACATTATATGGGGGGAAAGGAATATACAGCCCTTCCTTGCAGAGAGCCTCAATACGGCGGATCAGGCCGAGCCTGTGCACACACCTTGCACACGCCGACCGCAGAACCCAAAGTGGGTATGCTTGGCTACCTTACCTTCGTTGAAGATGGAAGCAAATGACAGTACTGAGTACTGACTAGGTGACTCCAGTACAATACAATCTCTTGTATAACCAGGACTGAAAAAAAGTGCTCGAACCAAAACACAATAAACAACGGATACGGATACAGTGAACTCATCCGACGGAATAGATCATACTGTCGCTAGATATGCGCTTGGGTCCCTGTACACCTGCATTTATACAATTATTAAGTTATATATGATCCGTAGCTGTAGCACACTTACCTTCAGATCCCATATATTTCCTACTGGACGATCATCATCGCGATCATCGGCACCTCCAGCACCAGTCTCAAGCTTTAGACCACGCTCGTTCGCGAGATGCAGAAGACAGATAAAGCAAAAGCTTGTGCTGATTTCCTCCATCTTCTCTTTGGGGTATGCTTTTTGCAAACCTGAGATGACGGAAGTGAAGACTCGAGGCTCAGCGGGATCTGTAGCAGCCCGACCATCACCATCAATGTCCTACGAACATAGGGAATCAGACGGAGCACCAGCATATGGGATGACATTACTGCTAACCATGGCATCTTCATCTTCATCTGCACCCTTTCCTTCAGGAACGACAATATCGAGGCCCTTCCAAATATTCTCCTTCAGTTTCCTGACGTCGACCCTCTTCGCCCGCTTCGCGTAATTCACAAATTCTGGCCGTACGCGCCTAGTCTGACCCTGAGTGGCTGCCAGTAAATCCTGCTCACCCGGCTCAAGATGGTCGACCGTATCTTGGTCGGCGCCGTCATATATATCTTCGAAACCGGGAGCATCGTCGTAATCGTCGTGGAAGAATTGAGTGTTGAACGGAATGGTGCCACCATTCACCGCTAAAGAATAGCCGCTAGAGTCAGCCACTACTAGACTGTCAGTGGGGAACACATACTCTCGTCGTCATCGTCCACCCGGCCGGCTGCTTGATTTGCAGCTGCCTGCGCCCAGAAATTCTCGTCAACTTCTCCATCACCGCGGTCATGGCCACGGACTCGGCGACCGCGCATTTTCAACTGCAAAGATGATGGGCCTATATAAGTATATATCGAACGCAGGTGAATAGACGAAACGTGCCGAGAATTTTGGCTTCAGGAATAGGGTAACCAACTGTCGACTTGAAAAGTGCATATCGTCAGGTAGCGTCTGGTCGTTCCGCTTCTCCTTCTCCTTGCCCTTTTTGCTCTTGCTCCTGCGACCGCTAGCTTTGCCGGATGCAGGTGCCGGAAGACTGATTCCGGCACCTTTCGCAACGGGTGCAAACAATTCTTTGGCGAGCGTCTTGACATCCTTCTCCGAAGAAGTGAGGAAATCAATCTTGAACGCTTCCTTCTTTTCTCGCTTGGCCTTGGGACCAGCGACTTCGGAAGGCTCAGCTAATGGTCACCGTTTATACCAGCTACTAGAAGAGATAGCGAAAAACGACACTCACACTTTCGAACAACCTTCCTCAGTTTCCAATGCTCGGGACCGGCCCAATTCTTGAGGAATGTCTGGTCAAAGTAGTCCATCATCAAGCCGCCGTCTGTCATAGCCATGACGAGATCGCGCTCATCTGGCACTCGTCTAGGATCAAAGGGGACAAATGCACCTGGCTGACCAGGCTGGCCAGGCATTGCCTCAGGTCCGTCTGGCACATGATTACCGCCATAATTATCGCCATTGTCAAAATTTCCGGCGTTGAAGTCACCGCCCACGGCCTGCTCACCGACAAAAAAATCCTCGGCGGGAGCAGCAGCTTCTGAATCAACATCCATCGGCGGCTGCTGAAGCGCTCCATGATCTTCCCCATGTAACACGCCAGGATCATTGTCGTTGTCGTCATCGTCATCATCAATCATAGCAGAATCTTCTCTGAAGAAAGTTGTCTCATCAAAGGAGAATGCATCCTTGGAGAAGGAAAAGCCCTCCAGCGAGTGGGAGATAGCCTTGTCATCGAGAACGTCAAGGGAAGGGAGGAATTGCTCTGCGAGGTATGTTCAGTGGACTGTGTGATAACCATCAAAGTCGAGACCGCACTTTTGAGTTCACTGAGATCGACCTCATCTTGCGGTTCCTCCAGAGGTTCTTCCTCATCGCCACCCTTCCCCATGGAATCACTAGCGTCAAAGACTACTCGAAGACTACCGTCAGAGCCTACGCCCAGACTAAGGTGATTCATGAGGAGGCCGTGTGCTCCGCCCTCGTCGAAATCAGCACATGTTTTCCTGAACAGCGGATCGACGCTGAACTCGAGGTCAAGCTTCTTACTGCGGAGCTGAACAACAGATTTTGCCAAAGTCGACTCTGCTCTGTGTGCTTTACGTTTTCGTTGACCTTGGGTCGGGTCTTGACCGTCAGGGTTGTCGGAATTCCCGCCTTCTTCGTCTTCTGCGCCGTCGCCCCTGCCTTCATTGGCAAGATTGCTCAGCAGTTTACCGGTCTCAGTACCGACACTGTCGACTCGACTTGTCCAGATCTTAACGCAGCCATCGAGAGTGCAGGACGCGCGCTGGAAATTGATGGAATTGTCGGTGTTATTGCGCAGAAGAGACATGTCGTGGAAATAGTCAATAAGAGCAAAATTCCAGGAGTTCGCTGCATTGATTTTCTGCGAAAAAGTCAGTTGAAACGCGTCGCATCAGTACAGAGGAAGGAGTCTAACATTGTCTGTGGCCATCTTCATCCACTCCTCGAAGTTGGAGCTCATCACATCCAGTGGAACATTAATGACGGGGGCTTGAGCTACAGACAATAGCTGCTGTTTCTGCCTGGCCTGCGCAGAGGAATCCCGTTCCCCCTGTTCGTCGGCATTTCCCTCTGAAGACGGTCCAGCATGAGCATTTTCGGGAGGAGCTGCGACTTTGGCACTCTTCCTGCGTCTACGCTTCTCTGCTTCGTCGTCGTTGATGTTGACGGACTTGAGAGGTATGCGGCCTGTGTCTGAAGAAAAGCTGTCTTGGTCAAGGGAGAAGCGCTCGCTGAGGCGTTTCTTGGAAAGGGTGCGCTGGGCGGCTGGTGGGGTGTCGAGTTCGGGTTCTGTGTCATGTTCTGTGTCGGAGACGAGGTGAAGAGGAGAGTTTTCGCGTGGGCGCGGACGGGAGGGACGCGTTTGGACCATCGTGGTTCTCGTTGAACAACCGTCACGCCCCCTCACGCGTCTACACGTACCACGTGACCGTCCATGCGCCGCTCCACCACGTCCACCATGCACGACGACGACGACGACGACGATATTGTCGCTTTCGCTGCCTTGTCGGAACGTCTAAGACAACGCATAGACCATGCATTTAACTCAGCCATCGCGGTTGACTCCCAGCCAGGTCCTCCCCGCAAAAGGCGCAAGATAAACCGCACGAGCGGTGAACGCTCAACCGCCGAGCCTGGAGGGTTCATCATCGACGATCAGCAACCTGGAGGATTTCTCTTTGAAGATTCTCAGCCTGGAGGTTTCATTGTAGATGGTCCGGAGCGGGAAGGTTTCCTCATCGACGAGGGCCTCGACACCAGCAACTCCGAAGGTGAAAATACATTATCACGCACGGACACCACCCAGATCCCCTTGTCATACATTCCTACCGCGCTACAGATACTGGACATCCCACCGGACGACGAGGACATCCTCTCTGTGTTCCGCACCGCTGCATCCGGATGGCAGGGCAGCCATCAGCTAAACCTCACACACGAAAGCGTCAATGAGCAGTACGTCAGCCGCAAGGACTGGCGTACCGTTTGCGCTGTGCTGCTCGACACTGCCGTAGACAGTACAGACAGGAGTGCGGAGGCAAGTGCTGCTGAAGGACCCGATGCAGACGCGGACGAGATGGACGAAGAAGCAGACTCTAGCGATGAATACATGGCTTCGGACGCAGAGAGTGAATCTGCTGAAGATGCAGAAGATTCGGATGAGGATTATCAGGAAGGCGGTTTCGTTACTTTCAAGGCCAAGTCAAAATCCAAGGCTGTAGCTGGACATGCAACGAGGAGAACCTCTAGGGCTGCCTCGTCCGCAATTGACGAGCACGGCGAGGACCATATCCATGTCCAACAACCCCGTCAGCTCACCGCACGGCAGAAGGAAGAGTGCCGTCGTACGTTCGCGCTCTTCTTCCCTGGTGTCTTGGACGGAGATATTGACACACAGAAGATCATGATCAAGGACATCAGCCGAGTATTTAAGCTGCTGAAGGAGAAAATCACGGCAGAAGAGGTCAGTACCTCCGATACATGTTTTCACAAGCACACCATTGATCCTATCGTTGGCTAGATCGTGGAGATGCTCGAAGTTTTCTCAACCTCCTCCGACAAGTCCATGTGCCTTCGGGACTTTGAACGAATGATGGTCGCGGCGAAGTTGGTCTGACTGTCATTCATGCCCACCGCAGTACACCTGTGAGTACCGAGGCTGTTATTACCGCAAACCAGAGAAGAACTAATGGCGGCAGAACTGCACTGTAGCTAGCTATGTCCGCGTACATGTGCCTAGGGGAAGGGTTAATACATCTATGGCGCTCCGTGCAGTCGTGCCCATCAAGCACAGCCTGCCATGTCTCAACTGCTATTCGTCCGGGTGAAATTATAATGTTCACCGTCAACTCAGTTCTACGCACAGCACGAAGGCGCTAGCACCGACCACAGACCTTTCATTGAATATTGTGGTACTCACACTGCCGACCTGTCGAATACCGCTGCCTCACAGATACGGCACACCACCCTGTCACTCTGTGTAGTCCATATCCTCCAAATAACTGCCGCGCAGCCGCGCCAAACCCGTCCAGTGTAATTCCGGATACCGCTAGCTAATAGCATGTCCGAGGGGTCCTGCCGTAGCGCTGACAGCTTCCGTCCACCATGCACGTCCCTGATCCATTCTGTACCCGCTTGCGGTCCTCCAATGTCGATTTCGACGCCTCGCTCTCTCAGCACCCCTCTTCTCATCATCTCTCTCGTGCGACGCGCCGTACGACGGCCTCCCTCTGGTAGCTTCCCATGTCCAGGCAGGCTCTCACAGCATGACTGGCGGCGGAGTGGAGCGACAGTGTAATTCATGCCTGGATCCCGTGTACATATTCCGAGCGTCCAGTCCGGTCAAAAATGGGGCGCGGCCATCGCACACATTGATCCAATATTATTCCACTCCGAGTGCAAACTTCTGTTAGTTCGTGAGAAGTTGACCATGCTGTCGGAGCGCTGCGGTAAATTGTCGGTCCTACGGGCAGGTAGCAAGACCGCCAGCACTCTGGACGACATGGGATTTGCATCGTTGAGGACATGCAGCAGCAGAATACGTCAATCTTGGACAGCTCAAGTCAAGCTCGAGTTACATAACGGAGAAAGAAATGCGTTAGACCGATTGCGTCGTAAAACTACTCGTTACACATTAATGGCAATTGCAATTCGAGACAATGGTTCATGTTTGGCATGTATGGTATAAACCCCACCCCGTAACGGCGAAGAAAAGTTAGAGACGGTCGCTCAGACCTTCTCTTCCGACGCCTTGTCGTCAATGTGGACCCTGGAGTCGGCGACGTGGACATTGTTCGCGATGAGCTCGCGGCGGTACTTGACGGAGGTGAGAGGGGTGGAGTTCTGGTACAAGATATCGATCTGCTCGAGCGAGAGGCCCTTGGTCTGATGTGCGAAGCCCTGTGAATAACCGGACAGCAACGGCACCAAAAGAAGGTACAGACCTCTGGTACGCAGAAGTAGGTGAAGATGAGGGCACCCAAACACGTAGAGCCCCATATGAAGAACACCTTGGCACCAAGCGCTGCGTTTCCTGGGCCGGTATTGACGAGGTATGGCGTGGCATACCCGATACCGAAGTTCCACAGCCTAACCGTCACAGACGTCAGCGTCTGTGTGCATCAAACGAAGCGCTGCGGGGCTCACCAGTTAGAGGCAACGGACATGGACATGGCCTTGGCACGGACGTTCAGCGGGAAAATCTCGCCGGTGATGATCCAAGCGATGGGACCCCAAGTCGATGCGAAGGCGGCAATGTAAATGCAGACAAGGGCAATCAGCCCCTGCTGGCCGGGCTTGTTGTGCACCGAGATGGTGACACCGATGATCGCGATAAGGAACTCGCAGATGCACATCAGCGCGGCACCCCAGAGCAGCAAGCTACGACGACCAAAGCGCTCGACACCCCACATGCCGGGGAGAGTCATGAAGACGTTAACAATGTTGGTGGCTACGGAGATGAGGAAGGGGTTGCTGATACCCGAGTTTGTGAAGAAGGTCGTGCCGTCTGCAGACGGTGATGAACAGGCAGGAAACACAAATAGAAGTACACGAAACACGTACAGTAAAAGATGAAGTTGATACCGGTGAGCTGCTGCCATGCCTGGATGAAGATACCGGTGAGGGTACGGAGGGCGATCTTGTTGTGGGTGAACCTGAAGCAGTCGAGGTAGGAGCTCTCGCCGAGCTCCTTCTCTTCATCGAGGTTGACACGGATCTCGTTGAGTTCTGTCTGAACCTCTGGGTCTTCAGGACGAAGACCAACGAGACGCGAGAGGGATTTGGCGGCAGCCTCATCACGGCCCTGCTTGATGAGCCAACGGGGTGACTGCAGGCGAGAAAGTGAGCGAGTGAATTGAGATAAGGCTAAAAATAGACTAGCCTCAGGAAGAAAGATCATGCCCGTGCAGAGGATAAACGCCCAAATGAACTGGATGGAAGTGGGGATTCTCCATGCAGCGTGGCTGTTGCGGTTCTTGGTCGCGTTGTTGAAGACGGAGGCGAGGAGCAGACCGATGGTGACAGCCCATTGGTAGCCGCCGACGACGGCACCACGAATCCATTTGGGCGCACACTCTGATTGGTACATGGGGATGAGGGTAGAGACAAGGCCGACACCGAGACCGGCGAAGACACGGCCAACGACGAAGGTGGGGAGGGTGTGAGAACCGACCTGAAGGGCGACGCCAAGGGAGAAGACGAGGGTGGAGACCATGATGCCGATGCGACGACCTAGGATGTCGGCAGCAGGAGCACCGAGAAGAGAACCTGGAAAAAGAAGGAGTGAGTGGGGGGATGGGGAGTACGGGGAAACAGAGGAAGAGAAGAAGAAGCTGACCGAAGAAGGTACCGGCGGAGAGAATGGAGACGACGAGAGACTGTCTGTTAGAGGGGAGGTAGTAACCGCTGGGGTAGTCTTTGAGGTCGGTTGTGGCGACACCAAAAGTCCTGAGCCAGTCGTTCATCTCGATGATGCCAGAGATGATACCGGTGTCATAACCGAAGAGGATGCCACCGAAGGCGGCGAAGGCGACGATACCGATGCCAGCGAGCTTGGACTTTGGTGCGTTGGCTCCGATACCTGCACCGGACGCGAGGGGACCACCTGGCATTGTGATAGCAGGGGAACGGGGGTAGGTAGTGCAGGGAAAGTGGGAAAAGAACCACGAGGCATGACAGTGGATCAGAGTGGTTTATATAGCAGAGCAGACATGCAGAAACGGAGATGGGAGCATGTGCGACATGTCTGTATGGGCGTTTCATCAGCCGCATCTGATGAATGAAGCTTTCCCCCAGGCACGGCACGACACCCCGCACCCCTCCCCGTGGGCAACGACATCCATGGCTAGTAGCATGTCACCATCCGCTGCGCACCATCCGAGGGCAGTCTCGAGCATGAGCGGGGAGACCGCTTAGGCGCGAGGCACGAGGAGAGAGCTGTAGCCTGACTGCCAAGCGAGCGACCTCCTCGCTTGCCTCTCCGCGCGTTTAACATATCCCGCTCCGAAATCCCGTTCTCTGCTTGCGCATTGGACGGCGACAACGAGCGACATCGGTTAAACACGTCAAACGGTTGCTTGCATGCACCTGCGAGAAGGCCATGGCGTCATGCTCTGCGACGACGCAGAGCACTTCCAATGTTCGCGACTTCGCGCGGGTCATCCATCGATATGACAATAGCCACCGAGGACCGTCCCGCCTCGAGATGGCACCGACGGAGACCTACAATATGTCGTAAGAAACCCGGTTTGAGAGCAAACATTAAGCTGGCGGACCGTTGCTGGCGAGGGTCCGCCATACTATGCCCGACGTCGGACCAAGCGCGGCCCGTCTGGAAGCTCCGTGAGCTTGAGTTTGACGTTTCCTTGCGTGCATTTGACACGAACGCGTTCTTATTTGACTCGGTAAACGGTGGACAGCCTGCGAGAAAGGACGGAGCACGCAGAGCAAAGTTCTCCCATTGCCAATGCCAAGGTGATCCTTTCCTGTCACGTGCCCCATGTACGCGATCAAACGCGATCGACGCCAAGCAGTTGGGCCTCGTCGCTGTACGGAAAGAGAGATCTTCGCAGTGCAACGTCCATGGCCGTAAGTGGGCCGTAAGCCGTTGGTGGTCCCTCAGCCAAGCACGCCGCCTGTTAACCACTACAACGCCATCCATCTTGACAACGAAATGCCATGCACACCGGTGACTCTAGATCCGATCCTGCCAGTGCGCAATCTGACTCACAGAGGCAACGCAGAGGTGCCAACTGCTTTCCACTCAAAACTTCCTAGCTCTGTGCCTGAGCCTGATACCCCCTGGGGCAAGGGGTCCCCGTGCATCCGGAGCATTCGGGCTCGCGGAGGTCAGCAGGTCGCGGTTCCCGAGTCCATTATGAACGCTGGCTGATCGCGGCGGGTGCTCGGTGCCTACGGTCGCGGTCACGCAGCCCGCCAGCCAGCATATCCTATCGCGGCTCATGTGCTCGCGCGGAACGCATCGAGGGCGATTCGCGAGTGTGCAATGTACCGCACGTCCTGTCTGACCGCGCTTGCGACAGTCCAGCGCTCAGGTCGCTGACCGCAATGACAATAATTAGATCTCGATGATCTAAAGCATATGGGTCTACGCGCCCATGTGACCGCTCACCTTCATTTCCTAGTGCGAACGCGTCCTGGATGCACCCGCATGCTCCGGTCTCTAGGTCGCTGCGGAGAAACTTCACCCTTCGATGCTCACCAAACCACTTACGTCCGACCCGGTCTCGGGTATGCAGGGATGATGATGAGGTCCATCATCTGTCAATCACCCATCCGAACCCACTGGGGGATCCGTCGGCTTCCTTTGCTCTTTCCCAACGAAGACCAGCATGAGTACAGGAACCCAGCACACGACACGCCGTGATAATGAACAGCGGTGATCTAATCCCCGTCCCCCCTTCTCCTAGGCTTTCCTTCCGTCCCATCTAGATGGTCAAGGTTGGGAGTAGCATTCACGTCAACGACCAAAAATGTAAACCGTCAGTCCGGAAAGGTCGACCGACTTCCTGTAGGTCTGGTCAGATCAACGACAAAGCTGCGGTCCGACGAGTCAAGCTAATCGCCCAATCTTGGAGCTCGACGTCAAGACATAGACTCCATTGCTCAGAATAGCTACCCCGTCCACCGAGTGGAGCAATCTGACGTTCGTGAACTCAATCGTATGAAACCGACTGTAACGAGGCAGGTCAGCAGCTCGCGCAATCAGCGCTCAGCGCTCAGCGCTAGGCCTCAAGTTACCGAAGGACAAGGTCTTCATTTTGTTATCCACGCCGGAGACCGACATCGTCGGTTCGTATCGTACATGCTCGCGCTAGACAGAAAGTCGCCCAATTTGATGTCGGAGACGTCGCCTTGCACATCTGCCCCAAAAGGAAAACAAATCTGAACTCTAGATTCTACAGGGATGCAAGTATTTCGCCCACACAGCGGGAGAAGACTCCACCGACATGGGCACATATGCTTGACAGACAGATAATGTACACTGTGGATACACTGCGCGTCCATTTATTTTCAAGCAAGGAGATTTTCCACGATGACCTTGACACCCCATGCGCCCGGGTCTGGGACCCTCTCTTGTCTGAGCCTGTCGCCTTCTACGTAGGCACTGCGGCCGGCCTTCGCCTCCAGATCACGCGTCTTGAGCGCAGCGTCGCTCGCTGCCTTCACCGCGCCGCTGAAGTCGGTCGTGTTCGCCGGCAATGCTGTAACGAAAGCTTCAAGGGGATCAACCAGCGTGCGCGATGGCGGACGGGCGCGGGTGTAGGTGTAGAGCTTCTCGAGCGCAGACGTCAGAGCAGCAGACCACTGGACAGACGTCAGGGTACTTTTGCCGGAGAATTGCGCTTGGAGACCTTGAGCGAGGCCAGAGAAGAATATTCTGAACAAGATCGCAGATCACGATTCGCACATCATAAGTAAAGGGAAATGGCTCACGAGTAAAGGGCTCCGCTGGTTCCGCCCATCTGCTCCTCCGCCACCTTTGACACGGATATAACGGAGCGGACGACGTCCTCGCCTGTGATATTTCCGTTCTGCACTTCTCGGAGCACCGCTGGGAATTTCCATCCCAATCAGCGTCATATGCGTGATCTTCAGATGTGCGGACTCACCCTGCGCGCCGGTCTTGAGTGTCAGCCCACAGTCGCCGTCTCCGGCGATGATGTCCATCCGGGTAATCTCCGGCTCCGCCTCAACGAGCCCCTGGCATGCTCGCTCTACGGCAGCTACGAACGTCTTCGGGTCTTCAGCAGTCAACGCCGTGACATCGCGGGCCGCTGCGACAGGTGCCGTGCCGGACGTCTGCTTCACTTGCACTGAGGATGGTAGAGGCGGTGAACCAGATGCCCACTTCCATCCGGACGCGTTGGCCTTCTCGTCCAGTAGGGAGAGTATAAGGGAGGCCGGAGGGCCCGTTTCATCGGCGTGAGGGAGGAGGAGCAGGGTGATTGAGAAGCCAGGCATGTTCAGACTGGTCTATAGGGGCCATAAGTTTAAGACTGCCAACGGGACGATGCGTAGGGTAAAGTACCAACCATGAATGTGCCCGCCAGGACGCGTTCAACTTGCAGACCGGCCTTGACTGCCACCCTCCTGGCCTCGCCTACTATGCCGCTGAGCTCGAGCTCACTAGTCCCACCCAGATTGTTAACGAGTAGGACGACTTTGTCCTTACCACGGAAGGGGAGGAAAGATCGGTCGGGATCCGTGGTAGACGTGAGGAATTCGATGAGCTGCGGCATCAGCTCGTTCAGCGGCGGTACGGGTGAGAGACGGCGGTTACCCGGCTCGTTGTGGATCCCCATACCGATCTCGATTTCTGAAGGTGAGAGGTGCGATTCGGAGGCGGCAGTACCGGGTACCTTGCGAAACGGGGGTTAATCAAACCGGTATTGCGACACATAGGGTCGAAATAATCTTACATGGCAGTGCTCCAAGCTAACGCCGATGGTACCCGTTCTTGAAGCAACCCATTGAGCAACAGAATATACCTCGTCGAGGCTTGCGCCTCTCTTTGCAAGGGCCCCGGCGATCTTATATACGAGCACAGTACCCGCAAGACCTCTGCAAAAAGATTGGTGGGTTAGGTACATTGCAAACGAAAATATATATATTCTAAATGAGCACCTTCGGCCAACAATGCGACCCTGGGTCTTGCCCACAGCAACGTCATCGCCGACGATGACAAACTTGACACGGTCAGCTTTCGTGGGATGCAACGCGGCGTACTGTTCCTTTGCCAGGCCGAAATTCAGAACATCGCCGGTGTAATTCCTCAAAACAGCTGTCAGCGTGGAAAATACAGGCATGAAACTGGCCTGAAATTCACTTCACGATGATAACGGTTCTGGTGAAATCAAACGTTAAGTATCGACCACTACGGAGGATGAATTCACACAGACCCCTTTTCATTCTCTGTCAAATCGATGCCCCGACGGACTTGACTTGCGTTAGGAGACGCGAACACGCTTCCGCATACGGCAGCTGAATGTCGGAATATTTAGGGTTGTTTGGGAACACACACAGAGTATACTTACCGGTAAGCATGCCATCGCCTGAATTGCACGGTGATCCTCAGCATGAAGCTATGACGTCATTGTTGAAAAGTACTCGCCCACGAAACCTGAATGAGCTGGTTCGTGTCCCGATCCGCCACCGCAGATGAGAGCGACCTTGGTATGATCCGGAGATGTCACATAGACCACTGAAGGCAGACATCATGAGCAGAGGGAATACAGCATATAGCAACACTTACCCTTGTCTGCGCGATCAAGTGAGAGTTGCGGATTTAAGGTACAAAGGCCTTCGAGGGACTCGACGACAAGATCCTCATGAGTGTTCAAAAAATGTTTGGCTGTAGGTTTTGTGATCAGCCCAAGGAGGCTCAAGCTGAGGGTCAGACACGCACATTGGATGGACATGGCGGTTCTTGGGTGATTGAGGAGAGGGAGGGCAGCATGCATATGCTATATAGTGCGCCATTGGAACGATCTAGGTCAGGAGACTACAGGTGTAGCGAAAGCAGCGTCGAGCAGATTCCAGCCTTGTGACCTGACGAGAGGCCTACGAGAGGCCCGGATCTCCTATCTTTAGGTCCACCAACGTATGCAGATCGATGCACGGTGTCAATCAATCATAGCTCACAGCAGAAAACATGATTTTTCCATCGGTCTATGCAATTGTTTAATTAGACTGTAGATGAAACCAAGTAGCTTTAAATTTGCTTGTCGGGATCAGACAATTAGTATTGTGGTAACATTAATTGAGGAGTCGGACTAGCTCATCAATATACATACCAGACATTATTTAACAACAGAATAACGACGCGTGACATGTGGCGCAGGCAACGCGTAGGCCAACGAGCGCGTGCAACTCACACATTCCATCCTCCATCTCACTCTGTGCAGCTGCAAATGCTATGCTGACTCCACCATCCCCATATCGTTCACCCAATAACATACCCCAGGACACCAACAATAGTCGCAAAAGGCAGCGCTCACAATCCATGCAATCAGACCCCTCTTCTTCCTCTCCCAAACGTTCCATCTCCGAGGATCCTGCACAAGATTCTATCCGAACCTCGCAGTTTCAAGAAATGTCTGCTCTGTCCCTCTCTGAGTCTGGGCTCGATCACGAAATAGATTCCTATATGGCTGAGCAAGGAGAAACCCCCGACCCATCCAATCATGTCGCCTTCCTGACTCCCGCGCAAAAGCTCCAGGCCGTCGAGCCACTCTATAAATCTCCCATGAAGATCGGCGAAACGTGGTATGTCGTGTCTCGACGATGGTACAAACGTTGGCATAAAGCGTGTTCCGGTGAAGTCGATAAGGAGGGCCCAGTGGCAGAGAAGGATCTGGGGCCCGTCGACAACTCACCTTTGGTGGATGTCGCTGGAAATCTCACATCCCCTTCCATGGTTGAACATGTAGATGTCGAGTTCGTTCCAGAGCAGGTATGGATGTTGTTCGTTGAATGGTATGTGTTCCGAAAGATGTGGATCTTCTCGATATTGAAAATGTGTGCTTAGGTATGGCGAACCGCCCTTTCCGCTGCCTCGGAAAGTCATCGCTCGAGGAATTATAGAGGAACCTTCCCTAGAGCTCCATCCCCCCCAAGTAAAATTATACGTCCTCACCCGCGCCACCCACACTGGCGTACCCGGTGTCACAAATCCACCTTATGGTGTCAGTATTTCAATCAAGGACACTCTGAAATCCGTATGCGAGAGCTTCTTCCAACGATGCACAGAATGCGCCTCAGGCACTAAGTCCTATCGTGTATGGAAGCTCGCTGACGGCGGCTCTTCTTGGGGCCAGTTGCATGTCACCCCAGACATGTTGAAACAGCGTGGCGCAACTCTGTTGGAGCCAACGCAGAGAACAGTTGAAGAAGAGATGATAGAATCAGGCGACGCTTTCGTTGTTGAGTTCCGGGAGGATGGCGAATGGCTGGTCGACGCCGGGGAACTCTCGTCAGGGCAGACGAGCACCGCATCCTCGTCCACCTCTCAATCCACCTCTACAACGGGTATTGGCACACTTTTTAACTCCGAGACCAACTTCTTCAACCAGATACAGACGAAGACGCCAGCCTCGACGATCGTATCGAGTGGCATCTCGTCATCTTCTACTCTCAAGCCTGCTGTCTCTATCAAGCCGGGGTTTTCTGCTGGTCGTCCCAAAGATATCAATTTGGAACCTGGCATCTTGGGGTTGGGAAACATGTGAGTTTGCTTTAGCTTGACCAGAATCACTATCTCACGTTATGTCAAGGGGCAACACTTGCTTCATGAACTCTGCGCTGCAGTGTTTGGCACACTCGAAGGAGTTGACGGATTATTTTCTTAGTGCGTTCGCTCTCTTTCCCTTACCGTCTGGGTTCATTAATGCTTGTATCAGCTGGAGTATTTGAGGAGGAGCTAAACGTCGATAATCCTCTTGGCATGCAGGGTGCGATCGCTCAGGCTTATGGCGCCCTTCTCCGTCGTATATGGACTCCAACATCGAGCAATACTTCCTACTCCCCACGCGAGTTTAAGCAAGCACTGCAGCGATTCGCACCCCAGTTCAGCGGGTATCAGCAGCAAGACTCTCAAGAGCTAGTTGCATTCCTGCTGGATGGGCTGCATGAGGATTTGAACCGTGTACTCAAGAAGCCGTATGTTGAGAAGCCCGACTGGGAAGGCGGTGGGAACCTAGAGCTCGTCCGGTTGGCGAACGAGTCTTGGGACGGATATATGAAGCGAAATGACAGTGTCATCGTTGATCTCTTCCAAGGCCAATATCAAAGCACATTGGTATGCCCGGAGTGTGACAAGGTATCGTCCCCTTGCATACCAGAGGCCGCGAATTTGCTTTACTAAATGCGACATATCGGACATAGGTTTCCATCACGTTCGACCCATTCATGTATCTCACGTTACCTCTTCCAGTCCAGAAAAAGTGGATGCATACCGTGTTCTATATTCCATGGGGTTTGGATAAGCCGCACGTGAAGGTAACATTATGCGCTGCCAAGAAACCATTCCCTCTGCTTAGTTTCACTCTTACAGGTTCCAGTTGAAATCAACAGGGACGCCTCATTCAAAGACTTGCGACAATTACTGGGCCGGTGGATGTCTGCCAACCCTGATCATGTGGGAGCCTTATCCTGTAGTGGATTGATCATTGCCTAATTGTAACACAGCTTCTTACCTTGGAGGTGTTCAGCCACCGCTTCTACAAGAACTTGGACGACACGGTCTTGTGCGGTGATATGGCGGAAAATGACATCATCGTCTGTTTCGAGCTGCCTTGCCATTCACAGCAGAGTCGGACATACAAGCATCGATCTGACGACCCATTCATTGTTCCTGTATTCCTCAACGATTTTATACCACGACAAAGTTTTGGCCGCAGCACCAGCTTGTTCGGTTATCCTTTCATTATCGTTATCGACCGCAAGCAAGCCACCATGGTGGATGATATGTACGATGCAGTGGTGGATCGTCTGCAACGCTGGACAACCAATATCCGTGACCTGTTCACATGGGAAGCCGTATCAGTTTCCGAGCAAGTGGATATCCCCATCGCCGACTCCTTAGACGCTATCGTGCACATTCCTATAACAGGTCCCCCAGACTCCATCACAGAAATCAAGGAGAATGGGGAGGTAGTCACCGTAGAAGAAGTGGCACCGGAGGAGGGCGACATTGCCGATGAGAAGGAGGCGGTTGTGCGAGGGCAAGACCTTGATGCTATGGACACCGATTCTGTCAATGACATCAACGAGGAACCTCGCAAAGTCGGTTTCAAGAAGGGTCTATTCCGTCTACGGTTGCAGTCTGGAAATTCTCCGTATGGTGTCGGCTTTGGATCTTTCGGATTGACCGGTCAACGTTTCGACAGCTGGGAGCACCGCGAGTCAGTGGCAAGAATGGAACCGGACGCCTCGTCACCTCCAGTACTCTTGCGCGAGGGCGATATGTTCTTTTGCGAGTTCGATGAGAACATGAAGGCCTATTATTTCGGAGATGAGAAGAACCATCCATGGGATACCTGGAAGGAGTTCATCCATCCCGAGTTCAGGGAGGCCGCGCAAGCCGCGGCATTGAAAAAGAACAAGGGTATTTCTCTCCAGGACTGTTTGGACGAGTTCACTCGGCAGGAGAAGCTGGGAGAGGACGATTTGTGGTACTGCCCTCGTTGCAAGAAGCACCAACAGGCTACGAAGCGATTCGATTTGTGGAAGGTCCCCGATATGCTCGTCGTCCATCTGAAGAGGTTCAGTAACAGTCGAACTCTGAGGGACAAAATCGACACGTTCGTCGACTTCCCCATTCAAGGGCTCGATCTCTCGCAGATGGTCGGTGAACGACAAGTCGCGAAAAAGCTAATGGAGGAAGGCATCGATATCTTATCTCTTGGACTCCACGACTTGGAAGAGCCGTTGATCTACGACTTGTATGCAGTGGACGAACACCTCGGTGGCCTTGGAGGCGGTCACTATCGTGCTTATGCTTTGAACCATCGCAACGGGCAGTGGTACCATTTCGACGATTCGTATGTGACACCATCTCGGGCAGAAGCTGCAGTGGTACGTGCTCTCTCTGATGCATTTGTATTCATTCTCTGATACCTAATTGGTCGGCAGAACGCCAATGCTTACCTCCTCTTCTATAAGAGACGTACGTCTCGACCTCTTGGTGGTAAAAGCTACGCCAGGGTCGAGGCTGCGAAGAGCAAGCCGAAGTCCTTGGAATCTGTCCAGCAAGAACAATCTCAGTTGCCGACTCCTCCCGATGAACCCATTGTTAAGTCAGCTTTTGAGTCACAACCGCAGTTCGCATCTCTCAAGAGAGCGGCGACCGAGCGATTTACCTCATTGCCGATCAGGCGTCAGTATGAGGATGGATGGCCCACGCCACAGTCTGATTCACGATCGTCGCCAGACTCTTCTCCACCACCACTCGATGACGGCGATCCCCCACCATCCTTCGAGGAGTCGCAATCACCAACCTCCCTTGATGCCCTTGCACTCTCTGCACACCAGCTTGACTATCCGGATCCATCATCAAGAGGTTCGCCTACCTCGTCCAACGAAGCAGAACCGGACCTGGAGCTAGAGCTGGGCCAGGAGAACGAGAACATGTCTTGGACTTCGGTGCTTTCGTCAGGGGGTGCCTTGCACGATGTCCTGCAACTGACTAACGTTGCTTTACCTGGAGAGCCCTCTGACGTGATTATGAACAATTACCTCCGGTCGGTTGACGACGAGCGCGAAGACACGCTGGATTCTCCACGAGCATCTTGGTCGTCGACGCGCAAGACAGCTGATGGTGACCTTTCGGACATTGACATGTAGTGTAGATGAAGTTGTACTAATGATTGCAATCCCCTAATTGTCGATAGAGCACTCTAATAAACCGCAGATGTTCTCTTATGAGCCATCGCGAGGGCTACACCATCTGCTCTGTTAGATGCGCATGCGTGCACTTGTACTGTAAGGATCGTGATCTTACTGAATTTGCCTCCGCGGCGTCCGTACTACTCTGTTTCTCCGCTCATGCACCTCCACTGCAAAGGACCGTTTGAGGTCTCGATATGAGTAGAATTCCACCGGGGCTGCTCTATCTAACCATCTACAATCCAGCGCTTCGTCCCGCCATTCCGACGCAAGAAGATGACGAGGATGCAGAGGAGCAAGCACAGATTCTATTCTACACTGCTCGGGAGCGCGCCGTATCTCGGGATCGGATACTCAGACAAGTCGGCCTCTGTAAGGCCTTGATCAGCTTCTCGGAGTGAGTATATTGCTGTCAGCGCAGTTCTCGTATTGTAATACGTTCATACGGGCAGGTTGTTCAATCCCGAAAATGTGTGCTCCAACGTCCACTCGCAGGCGAGGCGAATGGTCATGCTCTCTCCTGAACCTGACTTCTGGATACATGCAGTGAGTGGTCTTCCCATTGTTCGCAACGGTAATTATCGATATTCAGTCGCTAATCCAGCAGAACTCGCACAGTGCTTCGAGGTAGCCAAGACACCTCGACCTGCCGCGGCAAGGAGCAAACATCAGGAAAAGGGGAAGGGGAAGGATCATCCCACTCGGGAAGACGTGGTCTATGACTACCATGACGGGTCTGTCCATGACCTCTCCTTACGGGCACACATCCTGTTTGGATACGAGCTTTTTAAGGTATGTTAACAAGGGGTTGTCGTTTGGCTGCGACTTAACACCTGTATTAGCTGACTCATGGAACTCTGACTTCCATCCTGTCTTCGCTTGGACAAAACGCCTTAGAGTTGCAGCTGGAACGCTTTTTCACCGTATGGGCGTGGAAGTGGGATATAGTCCAGGACACCAATTTCAGCGCTTACTTGGGTGCGTCGCGTGAGCTTTGTTAGATCTCTCTCTAACCGCTGTGCGCTTGTATTCAGGCGTACCACGGCACCCGCTATGTCCATCGTTAACGCCTGTACTCAATGGATTCGGACTGCAATGCCCCGAGGATACTGTTCCTTTCGTGCTCGTTCCTCCATACCTTGTCCCATCCACTCGGTTTTCGACTGCAAGATACCCGATGTGTCTCATACAGCATATAATGTCTCGTATACCGCCACCGCTGCCCCTCAATGGAAGTAATCCCACCTTGTCAACGACCCCCGAGCAGCGCCAGTCCACAAGTATGAGTGGCACGGGTCCCGATGAAAGGCTCGCCACCAGTGACAAGAAGCCTCATGACGGCTCGGCGCAAGGAAGCACGTTCCTCGCCATGCCAAACATGAACGTGAAGTGGAATTGGCCAGGATACTTGACTTTCGGCAGAGGATCCTCAGCGAAGACATCTCAGGTCTCGCCCTCATCGCAAGACGTATGTACTACAAGTCCGGAGAATAGCAAGGTTGATGAGGAGACAGCGGATGAAGACCAGAGGAACGTTGTTGATGTGGATGCGCAGTCTTTACAGGAGGCAATCTCGACTGACAACATCCATATACCGGCTTCACCTCTTGATACATCCCCAGCTTCTTCAGCGAAGCCCCTGGAGGCTCGATCAACGCAAATAGGTGCTGATTCCGACACTATTCCTCCGGTCTCGGAAGAAGGTACACGTAGTGATACCTATATTGATGTTCCATCTACTGTTATCGCAGAGGCCATCACCAAAAGTAAAGATCCTGAAACCCCTGTGACAGGCAGAGATACATCTTCTCCCACCGTCTCTGAAGAGGAGTTGTTTCAGGAAGAGAGGAAGCCCATGCCAAGCTATCTGTCTACGACAGTGCATCTCTCAGAAACTGGTGAGATCTCCGACACCCGAAGAAGGCGAATATGGCATCTCACTGTAAGTATCACAAGTCGTGACATGTTGAATGACTCTCTCTCTCATACCTGTACAGAGCAATGAGTTGACATTCGCACTTGTCACCGAGTACGATTCAGATGCTGAACAGCTACCTCCTGCCGAAACAGTAATCGCGATGCTGGATAGAATACGCAGTGTCATTGTTGTGGAGAAGCAGAAGGCGTACGCACTTCACTATCGATGGTTGGCAAACACTGATAGTTATTCGATTGTCTCCTACGAAGCAGTGCCGCAGAAGCGACCATCCCCAGCGCAGCAAAGATTTTGCAGCCTGAAGACAGACATGTTATTTCTGCAGGCGGATTTACAAGGTCTCCGAGCGCCGGATTATCTTCTGAGACAGAGCAGCTATTCAACGGTCAGCAAATGCTACACAGGTGAGTCGACCGTCCATGGAACTCATATCATCGTTGAGAGCCATCTACAGTGATTTGGATGTTCTGGAGGTGTTCTCGCGAGGGCAGAATCCACAGCACTGGCATATCTCGAAGCGCGGATTAGGCGTGGGCGTAGATGGGCTTCCGGTTGAAGGGGAGGTCTATATGCAAATTGCGCGGAAGGAGAGCACCCTGACAGACGTCGACAATGAGTTGGCGGGAGTTATGCGGAGATTTCTAGAGCAATAAGACATCATTCCACATTTCTCTCTCACAGATCATACCTCTGAGTCAGTATGACTCCTAGGAAAGTCAGTAACGAGCTTACCTGGAGCTGGCTATGTAACATGCTTTCGACTTGGCAAGGGTGCTGCGAGGCGGTGGCTGTGTATTTGGCACTGTTTACGCAGCTGACAATGAAAGCAACAAACCCAAGCCTGATCTGCTACCACAACCACCACCACCGCGCACCGCCTTCGCCATCATGGACACCCCGTCTTCTTCAGCAGCAGCTCTTAAACGCGAAATCGCACGCCTTTCAGGTGACATAGCTACTCTTCTCGCTTCAAGGTCCTGCCTGAACAATCCGTCTCTTATCTCAGGTGCCATCAACCGTCACAAAACCGGTGAACAAGTTTCACGCCCGCCAACATACCCCCCAGCTCGTCCCAGAAACAACGTCTACATCAACCCGAATTACAAGCCCCCCAGCAAGACCTCAAAGCCAGCATCATCAACTGTTCGGCCGGTGTATCAACAGCGCTCAGTCGCTCCCAGCACCGCGCAAAAGCGTGATGTTGTGATCAGTGGGGTCGCTTTCGAATCTTCAGGTCGCTCGTTGGTGCGGAAGGACTGTGCGTTATATTGTCTGTAGTAGTTGAGCCTTTCTTGCTAACGTTCCATTTTGCGCACGATAGTACCGAAACCAGCTCCAGCCAGTATTAGCAAAACCCTCATATCTCAACCCACAATATCTCATACTACCTTCACAAGAAACAAAGCAGGAACACTGGTGAACACCAACCGATCTTACAAGTCGAAGGCTTCGCGGCGAGGACGCCCTACTGGCCGCAACATGACATTGGACAATACCCGAAGGCCGTATCAGTCCGTCGGGTTCTGCAACTTCGAGCGCGAGTCTCTTCTTACCCACTCTTTTAGACCTCGTCGCTTGTCGAGCAAGCGTTCGAAGTATTCCGACAAGCCATGTCCCCGCTTCACAACAACAGGTGCGTATCTATTTCTGGACCCACAGAATGCGTCGCGAACACGCGTTCGGCGGTGTCTACTCACCAAACTGTGACAAACAGGTGTCTGCAACCGCGGTCTCACCTGCATGTATCAGCATGATCCAGCCAAAATTGCTATCTGCTGGAATTTCCTTCAAGGTTCATGCCCTAACACTGCTGAGACTTGCCCCCTTTCACACGAGCCTACTCCGGAACGTACTCCGCTCTGTGTCCACTTTGCGAACAACGGTCGCTGTACCCGATCGAACTGCCCTTTCCCTCATGTCCGTGTTGGTCAGCGGCATGGTGTTTGTCGCGACTTCGCAGTGTTAGGCTACTGTGAAAAGGGCTTGGATTGCGACAAACAGCACGTTCGCGAGTGCCCCGACTTCGCGGAGAAGGGCACGTGCACGACGAAGGGATGCAAGCTTCCTCATGTGATTCGCGCCAACCGCGCCCGCAAGATTGCAGCTCAAACGTCGACTGGCTCTCCGGCGTCAACCCCAAGGGGTGCTTTATCAGTGGCTGGCGCAGCTGAAGAGAGTGCTCTTCCCGTTTTCGCCGCTACTTCTGTCGAATCTGGTGCAGGTGCTGACCTTTCCATTTCTCCGCCGGTCACGGCAGAAGATGCACAGCTTGGGGATGAGTATATTTCGCTGACATTCCATGAAAGCGAGAGCGATGATGATCACGAGGACAGTGACGACGAGGATGAGGACGAGGAAGAAGAGGAAGAGGGTGATATACCCCACGATCAAGCCGAGAGGATAGATTCTAATAGCGATGATGTGTAATTGGTGCATAATATTCGATATTGGTTGTAATATGACGGTTTGTATTGTCTTATATAGGATGCCTTCATATTGGATGCCTTCCCAGGATTTGGAGACAGTCCGGACCATAAGTTGGAGTGTGAAAGGAACTGCTGCGTCGGAATAGGAAGTTTTTCGGAACCACAGCAGCGCGACACCGGTATTTTTAATCCGAGTTCTAGAGGAGTCGGGGGTGGCATGATGGGAAGGGCGGGAGCCAGCGAGGCCGATGGCACGGTAGTCGAAATTCGCGTTTAGAGAGATGTTTTGAATCTCCAGAGGGGAGGGGATAACGCCTTTGCAGATTCGACGTGCGGAAATCAACCCGCAAACGTGCCGAAGTGATTTAGAGAATATATTTAGTTTACAACCGTCTCTAAACGCCCGCGGGAACGCATCCATTGTCGGCAGAGTGTGGAACATTATAAGATTGGATATTGCGATGTCGAGGTCATGTCAAGAGTCTCCCTCACGTTTTAGACATTCTGTAATGGTGCATCAGAGAGCATACGATTGCCTGAGTTTCATAAACATTGGAAGATATGCTGCGTAGGGGGAAGAAGACAAAGCCATGAAAATGCAACGAGAGCTGAAGGTGGGTCTATGCCTCCGTCAGCTCGCGCAACCGACGAACGGTACTGAAAACACAATGAGGTCAAAAAAATCAAGCGAGATGGCAACCTGGCTTACCTGCGGACAGTGGCAGCCGCTGTTGTTGATACGGTCCATGCACCACCCGCAATCACCTTCTTGCACGACCCACACCGCCAGATGCCCACCGCTTGACGCTTCACGGAGTCCTACAGGATGAAAGTCCTCTGATGAATTTCTGCAACTTCTGAGCAACACAGTGCTCACCTTGCCGCAGAAGGTGCAGGTGTACCGCGCGTGCTGGGTAATTTCCATCTGTAGCATCATGCGATCAGCCACCCTTGCAGACGGTAGAATGGCAGACCACATACCTTTTTGATCTGCTTACGCAGAGAGGCACCGTAACGCTATCCATGTCCACCAGACCATCAGTCCGGAACTTGCAGTAATAGCAGGTGCCCGACTCACAGTACCGTACTTTCCAGTCACGCCGACCTTGCGGGTTCGTTTCGTCTGAAATTCATGCGTCCATCAGCAGCAGGGGCGACGTGATCAGCATTGTCTACACTCACCATCTTAAGGGTCTTATGGGGAAAGTTAGCGGCGTGCTTGACAAGTTCGGTACAGAGGAGGAATGTGTGGACAAATTTGGTATGAACTGTATAGCGGTTCAGCCACACAATTTTACGTAATATTTATTTATCGAAACCTGGCCACGTGCGAACACGCATGTCACGGTCACGGGTTTCGCGGCATCTCCACCATGAGACAGCTCAAGCTGAATATCCATAGCCCGAGCAGGAGATGCTGCCCTCGCTCCTCTCCTCATCGCGTGCGGAACATCCACCCCGCTCGCTTTTTCAGTTCCACTCCTTCAGCATCTACCTCGCTCGCTCCACAGCTTTCACCCGAGTCCTCGGTGAACCCGGATGAGATCGCCCACTTTTCGCGGCTCTCATCTCTCTGGTGGGACGAGCGTGGAGAGTTCTATTTTCTGCACAAAATGAACCCTGTCAGGATGCAGTTCATCCGCGAGAAACTGGTAAACATCCCTCTGCTAGTTGCATCATTCAGCGTATATTGAGCCCCACGTTCGTCTATGCAAGGTTGAAATGAGCCATGAAGATGACATCGAGCTGTCTGATGCGACCAATATTCTGAACGGACTAGATGTGTTGGACGTGGGATGTGGAGGAGGGCTACTTTCCGAGGTCCCGGCTCCCACTAACCATCTCTGCTTTCATACTAATTGCCACGACGCAGAGCCTCGCTCGTCTGGGTGCCAGCACGCTCGGGATCGATGCCTCTCCCTCGAACATAGCGATCGCTTCTCTCCACGCATCCGCCGACCCGCAATTTGTTGCGAGTCCCGTGTCTCATCCACATCACCGTAGGCTTGCATACGAACACATCTCCATCGAGGAGCTGCTTGCCCGCAGAGGGCCCAAGCAGTTCGACGTCGTGTGTTCTATGGAGGTGCTCGAGCACGTAGACAATCCCAGTGCGTTCTTACGCGACTGCGCCCAGCTGGTCAAGGTGAGCGCTCCCTCCACATCCATCCAAGCTTGCCTAAGGCAACCCGATCATCCCTTCGTGAATGTATCAAATCCTAGCCCGGCGGCCACCTCTTCCTTTCCACAATCTCTCGCTCCCCTCTCGCCTACCTCCTAACAATCTTCGCCGCGGAGCACGTCCTCGGGCTCATTGCTAAAGGGACACATACCTACTCCAAGTTCGTCCGCCCAGAAGAGCTCCTCGCCTTCTTCCAGAAGCACCGCTCGCCGCTTACCCCCACTGCCCCGATCGTGGAGGCGGCAGGCACGCTGGGGTGCCCGTGGATCTCGCGCCTGTACGGAGGAGTTCCCGCACGCACGGAGGCCGAGACGCGTGGGGTGGTGTACACGCCCTGGCAGGGCCAGTGGAAGCTCGTGCCCCGTGGTGCGCCAGGGGCGGCGCTCTGGGGAGAGGCGTGCAACTACCTCTTCTGGGTGAGAAGGCCTGTCGAGTAATCGCACCTCCGCCAGTCGAAGTCAAATTGTGAAACTGTGCGAGCCTTCTTGTTCTCGGAATTTTGTTTCTCGCCTTGTTATTGGCCTCAGCCTCGGTCGCTACGGTCTCTCGTCCACGTAGACATAGCAGCCGCACGTGAGGCTGCGCAGGTCGATCTATGGCATATATACAGTATAATTACATGGTGTCGAGGGATGGGCCAGAGCGTACGCGAGATCGACACAGTATCAGGAGCAGAATGGAATGGAAGTAGCGCAACGTGGACGTGACGTTTGTAAAGCAAGACACTAGCATACACATCATGATGCAAGATTGAGCAGGCAAAAATGGGATCAAATCATCAAGAAAATGCAACGGACAAGAGGCAAGAGGCAAGAAGACGAGGCAGGCAGTCGTGCCACGGAATGACACGGATACTAAGGAGGTGTACAATTTGCGGTGGGAACCGGTGGATCTATGCAAGTATGGAAGGCTAAACAGTCTGCAAGGAGTGCAAGGAGAAAGTAAATGCAACTATCGTACATGGTTAGAAGGGCTTAAAGGTGCGGCACGAGGGCGAACGGGTCCTGTTGCCGGAGCCGCTCGGAGAAATGCTGGATAAACGTCCGTGCGATGCGACTAACTCATGAGACGTTCGCCCCACACCAGGCGCTGTCGATGAGCCCGCACCGCCCCACGCAGGGTGATCCATGCAATCCAGATGCACACGAGGAAGACGATGGCGAAAGCGGTACGCTGCGGGAGTCCAGTCAGTAACTGTTTTCTTGACCCCAGTCATGCGAAGTGCGGGAAAAGAAAGGAACGCCGAAGTGGCAAATATATGATGTGGAACTTCCGCGTGGAAGCACCCTTCGGGCGACGGGACCGGCGGGGACGGGGGCGAGGGCGAAACGCTGATACACAACAAACAGTGACACCACTCACCACGAGAGCCTTCCACCGGGTACTGACTGGGGCATTTGGGGTGAAGATAATGGTGCGGAGGCGGAGAGAGATCGGCGTGTTCATCCACTCGAGAGCATTGATCAGATCGTGTGCCTATGCGAGTCAAATGGTGCATTCCCGAATCACAACACTGCTCAGTGCAAGAACGTTGCAGGCCTCGGCGATACGCACCTTGGCCCTACCGTGGTCATAGACACGTTTGATGTGTCGGACTTGCTGGAGGATCACGGGGAGCTGGCTGTCGAGCTCATGCAGGGCCATTAGGTCCTCGTCGAGGGAGTGGGAGATGTGGGGAACGGTGGAAGAAAGAGCAATGTCAGCGCGACGTTGGGTTTGCTGCAGACGAGTAGATGCGGCATGAGTGTAAAAAAGGACGTAAGACGAGTATCATTAATTACCTGTAGGCCGGCAAAAACTTCTTGAAGAAGATTTTCAATGGCACGGAAGTTCGAGAGGTCCAGCGTGAGCTTTGCCTGGAATAGGATAAATGCGTCAATAAATATGCTTGGAACAAGAGGATAGGGCGAGACTGCAAACCTCGAGGTCTTGAATTTGGTGCTCATACTGCAGGGCGCGGCGGGACACAGTTGCAAGTGCGGCATCGAGACTTCTGTAGTGGTGGAGGTTCGTCAGCCTCTCGCGCTCAACCGAGAACAAAGAGAGGGCAGGAATAATAACCCACCCAGGCTCCCAGATGGGCAGTTCTGAGGAACCGTCGCCCTCTGTCCGTCCCATGGTCTCGGAGGTGGTGCCGTCAGCGTAACCGGGGTCGGAGAGCATGGTGAAGAGCGAGGTGAGAGCGCGGGAAATGAGAAGGATGGGAGTTAAAAGGGAATATGGGTATAAAGTGGGAAGAATAAGGGCAAAAAATCAACGGAAAAGAAGAGAAGATCGGGAGAGGAAGGAAAGGTGCATCGAGGCGGGCACAGCGCCAAGCGGCGACCGTACGTAAACAATCCACTGTACATGCCCGCACGTGATCCCTCTCCACCGGGCTGGCAGTACTTGGCAGCCTCGCACTGCGGCTGAAAAAATGTAAAATAGAGCGGAACGGAGTAAGACAACAAGCTACCGTGCCCGACATATGATCTCTCCTCCCAGGTTCAGCTCCAACGCCTCTCGTGCCTCCAACCACTCGTGCTCGTGGCTTTTCGTCCTCACGATCACAATCTCTCCCAACCGCAACGGCTTGATCATCTGCGCTCTTCTCCCAGAGCATATCCGCCTGATCTCCCCGATGTCCATGTACACGGACTTGCTCGGCTTGCTGATCAGCTCCACCTTGCTCAGCACCGGTCGCTCATCCCGGTACTTCAGGTCGGCCCATATGCGCCGTTCTGGCTCGCCAACCGCATTGAACAGCGAAGGTGATGGTTCTTCCACCGTTCCACGCGTCAAGGACATCAGGAACCCTGCGCGGAGGAGGATGGAGAGGATCCCGAGGTTCTGTGTCGTGTGTGGGACCGCGATGCGGTGGTGACGCGCTCGAAACGCATTTTGCAGATGCGAGCACACGTTATGTGGGAGGACCATTCCCTGCACGCGATATACACGCTGTCAATAATCTGCTGTGGACCAGACGCGAGAATGTACTTACCTTAGTATGACCGCTGAGGGGAGCGAGTGGGTGTCACGCGTGTGACCGTGAGACCCACATGTATGTCACTAAGCAACCGGCACTCAGACTCATAATCATGTCACCGACAAGAGCACACCTGCAAGCTTCTGCAGAGGCTCTCTGTTCTGCCTTTGCGGCGAAAGCAGACTTGGAAACCCTTCTTTCTCACTTCTCGACCACTCATCAGGTATCTGCGGTCGAGTATGGTCTGCCGCTGCTCGCCCCCTTCCTGGGGCGACGCTTCACAGGTCTCGGCGGTCCTGAGTCCATCTCTACTTATTTCTCGCTTCTCACACAATATCTTACCTATGAAGACATGAGCTTCGGGGAGTGGGTCGTTGACACAGAGGCGCGGAAGGTGTGTGTCAAGGGCCGCGCCAAATTCACATGGACCGAGGGTGCTGGTAAGGGCCAGTCCTGGGATGAGCGGTTCGTCTACGTGTTGGACTTTGACCAAGAAGGCAAAGTCACCGACTACCAAGTCTGGGCGGACTCAGGCGCAGCCTATCTGGCCAGACGCGGTGAATTGGCAGACAAAGCCCAGGTAAGCAGCGTTGCACCTTACACCGGACGTTGATGTTCATGGCATGATGTAGGAGTTTCAGATGTCCTATTAAACAGGAGCCACGCAGCGCCAGACTGTACTCGTCATTTACAAGCGGCGTGTTATACACTAGACTGTATGTCCGTAGTCATTCAGTTGCCTCCGTACTTATGTCCATCGCACTCTGATGCGCTATGAACCTATGAACCCCAAAATGCTTGGCCGTGACTCTAGACTTTTGTTTTGCTTATTGCGTGCTGGGGGTGCAGACTGCCCTCAAAAGTCACCCCGAAATTGAAATAACAACCGGAACTCAACAACAGCTGCCGGCCAGCAATTGCCTCGCATTCAACACAATCAATCAGCCTCCTCTCCAATAACATGCATCCAGTTTGTCGAGTTACAGGCCTCTCGAGTGAGTGTCAAGTTCAGACCACCTTTGGATGGATTTCCTGCATCAAATCGCCTTCCTCGCCAGTCTACTATCTAATCATTCAGGAAGGTAGGTAGATTACCGGCATGGGTCCCAGTCAGGAACGGATTGTTACTGACTTTACCCTCCATAAATTTCGCCGCAAGCTCTCAAACAACCCCTAAACTTGCGTATGTCGACTACGTTCGCGCCAGCATATGAAGTCATTGGCTTTTATCGTCGCCCCTATGGATTTTTTTTCTGTGCTATTTCGAGAGACAAGCCATGCCGCGATGAAGCCGGACGGCTCTTTTTTCCTGCAAGGCCTCAATACACCGTTGCCCAGTCTTCACGTGACCGATCGCTCTTGCAGCGCCAGAATACCGCACGTCCGAACACGCCTCGCCGCACCGCAACTGTAAGCAAGAATGGTATAGCCCACACCCACCTGCAGCGCGGCGTCATGCTGACCTCCAAACCCTCGGTTCTCGACGAGCCGAATGATCTTTTCTGTGTCGCCTTATAGTTTGGTGCCTCGTGCATCGGGTGCTGGAGCCTCCCCAGCCGGATTCTGCTCAGAGAACTGACTTGCTACTGCTCCTGCGATGTTCTTCTTTCTTTACGTGCTGACTTTCCTTTCCGCCCTCGCGGCTACCTCTGCAATTCCTCGGGCAGCCGGTTTGGAGGCTGTCGACTGGGCGACCAACGCACAGAGACTGGCCGCGGGCCTTCCCCTGTTGCCGCCCAAGTTCAAGCGTGCATTCCCTGGTCAGAATCAAGCGAGGGACGATCCTACTCCCGCGTTCGGTGCGAAGAGATCCGTGGCGTCGAGCACGCCGGTGGCGTAAGTACAGTCTCGTTGGTGATGCCCAAATCAATACACTGAGCTTGGACCACGGATTATTTTTACGGCTTTTGTCTATACAGATACTCTGGGCACATTGAAATCAAGAATATCACCGGTTCTTCTTTCGGCTTTTTGGCGCAGAACCAGACTGGCATGTAAGGAACGCATTACATCCACATTCATACTGATTCTGATCGGACGGTCGTAGTAATGGTGTCTCGTCTAACGAAACTGAATACATCGCAGTCAGTTTCACCACGACCACCCCCGCAGCTGAGCCGTTCAATATTCTAATCTCTGTGAGTCTTCTCATTTTCCAGATTCCGAGCCTGAGAACTCACAATTTCCCTAGAATCCGGCCTTCCCTTCTCCGTTCTACCTTGGCGGAAACGGCACAAATTTACTCGCTTCTGACTCTGCCAGGTCCGTTGTCGTGACTAAATTGCTTGAGTTGGGGCTAACCTTGATTACAGCATCGTTACGCTTGGAGATGTCGTCCAGAGTGCGTGATGATGATCAGACAAGTTGAACGCCGTTGACCGTTCTTTGCGTCGCTAGCTGCACCCTCCGCGCCCCCTTCCTCCAACACGAACGAAGAATCTGCTATTTGGTCCATCAACTCGCGTACGCAGGAGCTGACTGGTATGTCCTTCACTTAATTCCAAAGGTTTTTGTCCTCGATATTTATTCGTCGTTCCCAGTCCAATGGATCAACTCAGATTCATCCAAAGTCAAGACCTACATTGCGTACGACGAGGCTGACAATATCCTCTTCTTCGCCGGCAACATATCTGTCTACAACGCCCAGAGCTCCAAGAGCGCGGTGCAAGTGGTGAGCTGCAGAAATGTCAAGATGTGACCTTTACTCTTCATGCCTTCCCTGTAGAAATTCTACTTGAGCGGGTAGATGAATGCCATAACCTCACTGCTCGTGATCCCTGGCTTTACAAGCGGCCGTGGATCGTCTGAACTTCGACGGACTTGTGCAATGGACAATCGCTTCCTGATATTCCGGACCTTAGACCCTCGACCCTGTAGCTAGCCTTACCACGCTGGACTGCCTTCCTACTATTGCCCATCATGCAAACGTGTAGCCAATCGTAGTTCATATGTTGTTGTTCAATGAAGCCATGTCGCTGTTTGTATCTATTAATACATCCGAAATGACATGGAAGGACTTCGACTGGAGAAATGTGCACTGATATGGGGAGAATGCGGAGAGACACAGAAAAGTAGCTGTGAGCTATCTCATAGAGCAGTCGATACTCCGCTTCAGCACATGCCCGAGCACGAAGGCAAGAGCACACACCACGCGGGAACAGAGAGTGTTAGTCCACAGGCCAAGAATCGGCACGAACGGTCTCAATCCAAGAAGAAGGGGCATCCGGGTACTAGAGGACGAATGAATTCGCTGACGAAGGTACGCGCAGGTGCATGAACGGCGCACCTCCCAAACCATCACCCCAGCACCTGAAATGACGAGCGGGATAGAACATCAGCGCGTTGCCGACGTATGCGCGGTATCACGCACCCCAACCGCCAGCCTGTGCCTCTTGCACGCACGTCGCTAACGTGGCAGGCGCCATGTAGCCACTGTTAGCATCTCCCGTCGTGGCAGGCTTGCCGACAACAAGCTTGTCCGCCGTCACGCCATTGCCAATGATCTGGAATAAAGCAGATTCCGGCCAGGTGGTGCTTGACGTATTAAGAAGACCAGAACAATTCGTGTACTCGGTCGTTCCCTCTATAGGAAAGGGTAAACATGTGAGACCAACCCAGTGAACGTTGCAATACATGGACACACGATTGTAGAACTTTCAACCGAGCGGAGATCAGCTAAGTCAGTAACAACGCGTATCGTGATCCAACTGCTCAAACCTGAACGTTGTACTATATGGCAAGGTATGAGTTTATAGATAATCGCATGTCGGCTGAGACCCACCCAGTCAATCATGCTGCCCACTTACGAGTCGATCTGGAGATAACCTCCGTTGGTCCAAATGTTCGGTCCGAACCTGGGCAGCCAAAAACTATTAAGATGATGGTTTGCGGCATGATAACCGGACAAACCATGGAGCAACCGCTTTCGAATATCCAGGTCAGGAAGAAGTCATATGTGAAGTGGAAGACAACCTACGAGCATGCGTGAGGATGTATTGGCCTTCCGGAAGTTGAGTCCGCAGTTGTTGCGTGAATGTTACCAGCCACGCTTCGGCAGTTCCCGCATCAAATGCGTCGAAGTCCTGCAGGATTGAGCAGACAGACAGACAGACAGAGGGGTGTTCATCATACCTCGTAGTCCACATCAATACCATCAAGATCATACTCGATAACCCATGCCGCGAATGTATTAGCAGTGTCCGTGGGATCAGCGCCGCTGGTGGTCGGAACGTCTGAAGAACCAAAACAACTGACGATCATTGAGATGCCTGCCGCCGAGTACTCCGATAAGATGGTAGAACGCTCGTCGACAGCCAACTCGGTCCACTCTTCAGCATTGTCCCACGCGCCCTCGAGTAGGAGGAACGCCAAGATACTAGTACGGTAGATAAAGATCAGCCCCGATACTCATGGCTGAACATAACGTAAGACTCGCAAGGTGTTGTAACCCTAATAAATTGAAATCAAATCATTTAAAAACATAACGTAGGCGCAACACTCACAGTTAGGTCAGAGGCGTTTGGAGCACCCGATACTCCAGAAGTAGACTTATCCCAATACGCAACCCAGTGAGGAGCATCAGGAGTTGAGCGAGTTGAGATATCTCGAGTTTGCCTGTCGGGTTCGTCGTGTGCCGGCGTAGAGTTAACACCGTTGACTTGCGTAAGTACGAGGACGGCGGCTGACAGTAGACCATAGATAGAGAACAGAACCATGCTTACTGACTTGAGGTCAGAAGTGAGGGCAGTGGTCGAGGGGGAAAAGCTGCCGCTTTATAGAGGTATATCGGGAGCGGGGATTCCGTCGACACATGGATCTCTGGGGACGAAAGATAAATAGCATCCCATTCCCCGGGAAAATCTCGTTCCATATCTGGCGCGGTTGGGTACACTGACAATCCTCGTGTCGGAATGAAGAGACAAACCTTGGGCGTCACAGAACTACCCTCGGATCTTCTCCAGTGAGAGTGGGAATGTTAAACGCGGGTTGTATGTTGACATCCTATTCTCGGAATAGTCATCAATTTATCCGAGGTGCTGCTCTGGACAAGAGGTGCCTAGTAGTTACTCTTGCAATTGACGACCGGGAATGATTGGACAGAGGGACAGGACAACCCATGCGGAAGCATTGTAGCACAAAGAGTCAATTCTGGGCATCTACGCTGGGGAGGAGAAGGGATCAACGTGGAATGCGACTATCGGGGCACTGTCATGAGAATACAGCTGGGAAAACGCTTTCGGATCGGGAGAAGGGTACACCAAAGGTGCACTCAGAAGGAGTCTCCTGCTGTAGCTTATGATCCGCTCTATCAGACGTTGTCAGACGACAAGTCGTCGTCGATGCGGCGTTGAGATGTGACGTATGCGCCGCTCTGCATGCACGAGTCGCAGGTAGGAAAGTTGTGACTCACTTTAGTGCATTGTCGTTGCTGCCAGTAGAGGCTAAGATGCACTTGAGACAATAATACTTCGCCCTTCTCAAGGACTCCATGTCCAAGGATGCTTCGAATTGTTATCTTGAAGAGAAGCCCGCAATACCCTGTGAACCATGAGGAAAGGCGAATGAAGAGACTATCAGGTAGGTGAACACTGAGCTTCACCCGATATGGGCGAGCTTCGTTGCGAGGCCAATAATAGGTCTGTTTCGCGCTGAAGCCTTTATTAGAATACTTGAGTTGAACGCACCCGGCGTGATTAGGTGATCGAATCAAACATGGGACATGTGCTGCGTGCAACGGGGTGGCACTACTGCAGTGGGTAGCCACAAGGTCAAGCAAGGCGTAGTCTACTGTCTCGACTCTCAAAGGCAGACTACAAAAATCATATAGCCGCTACGCTGCGGTGTCAGACACGGATATCCGAGGTACGAGGTTGAAGCAGAGTGTCTACCATCTGCCACGCTGCGGTCTGCCTGAGCTGAGAGCTCAAGCGCTGACTGCGCGCCGACCCGAACGTCGTCCGACCTGTCGTCCTCATATCGATGACGACGAGGATGACCACTCTCGCGACTTTCTCCACTTTTCTACATATTTATGTATTGATCATACTAAAAATTTTTGGCACATCTTGAATACGACCATCTAATCACTGCATACATGTTATGGAAGTTGTTGAGCAAGAGTGAGCTTAAGGGGATGTCATGGCTGAAATGCCCCAGACATAAGAGCGAGGGTGGTGGTGGGGTGCGTTTCTCACTCACGTCGGGGTACGACAGGACCCCCGCGAATCAACTAAGAGCTCCGATCCCGGCGACGACATTTCTCGGGGGTGGCCGACCACCTAGTTTCGGGGGTTTGCACACAACCTGGCGGCGGGTCGGCCGTTTTCGGGGGTATGTGGGATCGAACATTCGGCCACCTAGAATTACGTTCGACAGCCTGCGGAACAAAAATTTCGCTTCCTGCGCAAACCCAAGCTTTTGTGAGCCAAATTACTAGAACTTTCCTCCCAAACCACCACATATGGCTAAACTTTAAGCCCATCCTCCGAAACCTGAGCCAACCTCAGTTTTCGGGGGTTCTGGACCTAACCTCAGGTTGGAGGGTCACATTTCGGGGGTGTTTTGCACGCAACTTTCGACGTCTTTTTCGCCATTTTCGGGGGTCGGAGATCTAACATTTTGCCTCCGGCGGCCCATTTTTCGGGGATGGGTGCATCGGAGCTCTCAGTGGATTCGCGGGGGTCCTGGTACGACTCACCAGAAGAAAGGCTGACGGCCATGACGGCCGCCAAATTGACCGTCTACCGGCGTCTAACCTGCAGGCGTCACTGGTGGCAGCTGTCACGGTTGGGGTACGACAGATGTGACACACCGCGATATTTGCGCGTCAACTGAAGTGTTGATGTTTAACCCGGAAGCAACCCTCCAGATGTAAGCATTGCGATGAGATATGCTGGTTCATCCAGAGTGGTAATGTGCTTCAACTGATATCAGTAGATAATCCACACGGCGCAGGAAGCTGGAAACATGACTCGGCCATGTCATATGCCGTGGAGATGATAGGCAAAGTCTCCCCCAACATGGCACATTGTGGACAGTCAGGTCTGCAATACTATTCTCGAAGAAAACGCGTGCAGTAGAAAGGTTGGACCTGACTGAGATCCCTGCCCTTGGAGGTTATACATTCAACTCGACATCTACGGACTTTCTACCTTCTCAAAGTTGCGCAATATAAAACAGTACCCCAGAGAACCAAAAAAACCAAACACCAGTACAACAGATCTCCAGACAATACTGTGTTTCACGTAAACAAAAGCATGAATATACTTACGCGTGGGAATACCCACTGATGCGATTTCACCCTACTGAATCAAACAGGCCAAGAGTCGGCACGAACGGTGTCAATCCACGATGAGGGCGCGTCAGGATACTGCCACATGAGGAATGAATTCGTATATGGACGCCACGCATGAGCCATTGCCAGACGACGCACCTCCCAAACCATCACCCCAGCACCTGGTAGATTAGAAAATCAACACGCATATTCCAACGCTTCAATCGCACGCACCCCAGCCGTTGGACTGTGCCGTTTCCACACACGTAGCTAACGTGGCAGGGGCCATGTAGCCACTGCTTGCATCCCCCGTTGTTGCGGGTTTACCGATGACCAGTTTGTCCGCCGTCACGCCGTTGGCGATGATCTGGAATAGGGCAGATTCGGGCCAGGTGGAACTGGATGCGTCAAGGAGGCCCGAACAGGTCGTATATTCGGTTGCTCCCTCTGGATAATAGCATGAATATGAAATTGTGAGATAGAGTCGAATAAGATAGGACTAACGGTTATAGAACTTGAGACGAGGTTAGATGTGCGAAGTCAGCGACAACATCAATGCATGTCAATTATTCCGTCTTTCTGACCTGAACGTTGTACTATGCCCAATCGTCAGATCGAAATTACAGGTAGACCGACACAAATCGCACCCAGTCAATGAGGCTACCGACTTCCGAGTTGACCTGAAGATAGCCTCCGTTGGTCCAGATACTGGGTGAGAACCTGGGCTTGCGAGTGAGCTAAAATCACCATTGCACGTAATAACCGGGCGAACCATGGAGCAACAGCTTTCAATTGTGCAGGTTAGGATAGCCAGTCATGTGAGTAATAAGTAGTACGACATACGGGCATGGGTGAGGATATATTCGCCTTCCGGAAGTTGAGTCCGCAGCTGCTGTGTGAATGTTACGAGCCATGCTTCGGCCGTTCCAGCGTCAAACGCGTCAAAATCCTGTGAGAATGAGCAGATAGACCGGCAGATGCCTTTCAATCGTACCTCGTAATCCACGTCGATACCATCGAGACCATACTCGATCACCCATGCCGCGAACGTATTGGCAGTTGACGTGGGATCAGCACCGGTGGTGGTCGGAGTATCGGTGGAACCAAAGCAACTGACGATCAACGAGATACCCGCCGCCGAGTACTCGGATAAGATGGTAGAACGCTGTGAGGCAGTCAACTCGGTCCACGCTTCAGCATTATCCCATGCGCCCTCAAGGAGGAGGAAGGCGAGGATGCTGAAGCACAAGCCTCAGTCGTACATCCAGTAACGTAGTGATACCGTAACTTACAAAACATTGTAGCCCTACATGATCACCGGAAGGCATTAGCAGCCTGCAACCACATTGCCAATGAGAGTCTCACATCAAGGGCAGAGACGGAAGGTGCACCCGTTACACCAGAAGTGTACGCATCCCAGTATGCAACCCAGTAGGGAGCAGCAGGGACCGAGCGAGCCGATATGTCTCGAGCATTGTCATTGCGTCCTTCGTGCGCTGCGGGCGCACAGCATACGCTGCTAAACTGTGCAAGCACTAACAGGGCAGAGGAGACTAGACCGAAGAGTGAACGTGCGACCATGGTACTTGACTTTTGAGCGAGTCGATGGTGAAGACACTGATTAAGAAGCAGGGCTCTCTGAATCATAAACGAAGCAAAGTGGTTATTTTATAGAAGAACATCAGGTACGACATGTTCGCTGATTCATGGGCGCGAGAAGGGCACCATATGGTTTTCCAAGATAAATGTGCACCATATCTAGTGATCTGGGTCATGCTGACCGTCCTGTTGTTCGAGAAAAACACAGACGAACCTTGAATGTCGCAGAGCATATCTTGAATTTGCGCCAGGTTGAACCGGTATCAAGGAAAATTTTGCATGTCATCAAAGTATACACGAGATTTCCCTCGCAAGCCATGCGAGACTCAGCACGATCGTATGGTCAGCGGAGCCGAGCTTCAGGTTTTTGCGATTGACGACAAGAGACAATTGGTTAGCAGTCAGAAATGTGGTTATCGATATTCCAACGAAAGAGTAGAGGAGGGACGGGCCATGTGGGAGCCTTGAATGAATCGTCTTGACACACCTAAACCAAGGCATAAAACAGCTCGGCATGCCGGAACGAGACCTAGGTTGGAAGATGCCACCAGAACATCTTCGCGCAAGCGCCTTTCATGGGAAGGGGAGATAGGTAGGGCAATAGTACGTCCGCACGACGAAAGTTTGACAGAAGTATCCTAGGGGGAATTCTGGGAAAAGGCGACGCACCCAATTTTGCAAGATTGTGCATACTAAACAACTCACAAGATGAAAGATCATTTCTGGAGTGCGTATGGTGCACACGAGGCGACTCGATGTGCGGTCACTGCAGCCGATCAGCACGCAGCCGAGCCAAAACAACACAAGCATGTCTAGAGAGTAGACTCGGACACTGTTCCTAGAAAACGTTATCTTCAAAGAAGCCTGCAAATGTCTATGAGCCACGAGGACGCGAATGAGAGGACAAAAGTAATCACGAGCACCCGACGTGATATCGCCCGTCCGATGCATGCAGTCGAGGTCTACGAGCGAACTCTGATGCGGCACCGATGATGTGCAGGTTTGCTTCGCACTGAGACGCTGTAGTTTTGCGCTAGAAGGCCTGGCAGAAGAGTTGTGGCACCCGTGATAGAGCGAGCAGATGGTCATTATCGTATCATTGAACGTGTGCTCATGGTTCGTAGGTCTCGCGCTACAGTAGCAGCAGCATATCGACAGAGAAAGACGCGAGCAACCCGTATCCAGAACACGCAGCAAAACAGCGTCCGTACACAATCAGGCCGGAACTCTATCTCTGACCTCAGTGCTGTCTGTGAAATCGTCGTTGTGGCATGTCCAGAAAGATGCAAGGTTGAGCAGAGTGCACACCATCAACTTTACCGCCGTGGCCATCACCGTGACGGTGCGGCCAGGTCGACGGGCGATCGGCGAGGGCACGTGTGTACGGAACTGCTGCGAACGGCCGAGTCGCGGAAATGGATGTGGGCAAAATCGAGCTTATCGAAGAGTCGAGGCACCCTCACGACGAGCACACCTCGCAGAGTTACACACATAAACAGACGTTATATTCGGTTCGCTACATCAAGTAGGGATAAGTATCATGGTCAACATGCCAGGACCGCGTATGTCAAATGCCACAACTAGTGCGCATCATGGTCAACATGCATCGCAAGCCTGGTGGCAACGTAGCGTGAGTCAAAGCGGAGGGATCGTGGATACAGTGAGTGCGTAGCAAGGAGATCGTGCTGAGGCGAGCGTGGGATACAAGTGAGTGATAAACAAACGTGATAAATAGGATAAAGATGTCAACGGAAAAGGGCCAGCAGATACCGAAGCTGCTCGGCCCCGTGAAAAAAAAAAGGAATGAACGCGTCGAGAGCGTATACTGATCGTGCGAGGTTCATTAGAGGGGGAACGCGTTCCCACGAACAGCTTGGATCCAGGAAGCCTCAGCATTGGGGAACTGAAGAACGTAAAAGTAAACATCAGTGAGGAAACATGGCATGCAGTAGTAAACAACTAACCTCCCAAGCCATGACTCCACCGTCTGTAAGGGTACGTGTCAACAGATTGCGCGAAGAGGGAATGTGGTCAAGTACTCACTCCACCCTTGTGCCATGGCCTGTGCAACACAGCCAGCAAGGGTTGCGGAATCCATGAACCCGGTGCTAGCGTCGCTGGCAACACCAGGCTTGCCTATTACTAATTTGTCGAGAGGAACACCCGCAGCAGCTATCTGGAAAAGAGCGGTGTTCGGCCAATCGCTTGCAGAGGTCGTGAGCAGGCCCTCGCAAGTAGTGTACACTGAGTTTCCCTCTGAAAGAAATGGTAAGCCAAGGAAGAAGAACGAAATGAGAGACACGCACGGTTGTAGAACTGAACGTTGTACTGTGTACACGTCGCAAAATTAGAAATTGATCGAAACACGATTGCAAGGTCAAGACGCACCCAGTCAATGGCATCACCCGCTTGTTGATCCACTTGCAGGTAAGCACCACCAGGGAACTGCGAGTTGTCGGAGAACCATGGTGCAACGGCTGGAGAAAAATTCAAACATGAGTAGTGCGACGCACCAACTGCAGATTAACACTCACGAGCATGAGTGATGACGTATTGACCGGCAGGGAGTTGAGCCCGGAGAGCTTGCGTGAAAGTTACCAACCACTTAACCGCGGTGCCGTCGTCCATCGCTTGGAAATCCTGAAACGCAACACGCGTCGATGAGGCGATTCTCGGAGATCGCAGCAGCACCACAATACACTAACCTCGTAGTCGACATCAACGCCATCCAAGTCGTACTGCTTCACCCAAGAGGCAATAGTGTTGGCAGTCGCAGTGGGATCAGCGTTAGCACTTGTTGGACTGTCGGTGGAACCGAAAGCTGAAACAATCAACTTGATGCCTGCGTTGGCGTACTGCGACTTGATAGAAGAACGCTGATCCGCAGTCAGTTCCGCCCACGCCTGAGCCTGATCCGCGGCACCCGATGTGAGTAAGAAAGAGAGAGCACTAAAGCGAATTCCAGTCAGCCAACGACCAGTTCACGCGTCGGGACAACCTACACCACGTTGAAACCCTAGTCGGTGGTAAGACGCGTCAATATTCAAAGTCAATCACGAATTGAAGATATGCCTTACATCGATAGCAGAGGCATCCGGAGGTCCAGTTTGACCACTAACCCACGCGTCACTGTAGACAACGAAGTGAGGGCCACCTGAGCTCGCGGTGATCGTGGGACTGGAGGCCGGACTGGAAGTGACGCTTGCACTGCCCGACGAGCTTGAGTCGCCGAAGGAACTGGAGACGCCAAAAGAACTGGAGACACCGAAGGAACTTGAGACACCGGTTGAACTGGACACGCCGTATGAACTGGAGACTGCAGATGAACTTGGAACGACAGTCGAGGAAGGAATGTTGATTGCGCTCGGGTAGACGCTGGGACAGGGCTCTTCAGAGTCGGTCGGGGTGGCCGTCGGGGCAGCAGATGACTCCCAACAATCAGAGCCGTAGTAGCCTGCAGGAGCAGCGAGAACGTTGGCTGCACAGGCCAACACGGAGAAAGCAAAGGCAAGACGTGAGAAAGAAGGTGAAAACATGGTCAACGCAGAAGTCAAAGAAAGACCGGTAAGGAAAGAATGTAAACCGCGCGGGGAAAAGCAACGGGCTTGGGAGAAGGAGGGGAAAGTCAACCAAGGCTTATATACTGTACCTGCGCGCGCTCAGGCGATCCATTTTTGATTCGGACAAACAGAGTTTAGGCACCGCATGAGGTTACCGCTCCGTTGTCATGACCAGGATCCTGGTCCACACATGGCCAATTTCCGTCCGCGGGGGTCATTGTTAGGCTCGGAGCCCTCAAGCGTCGATTTCTGCCTGCACAAAATTTGAGTGACAAAAGAAAAGTTTTGAGGTTCTCTCGCAGCGGAAGCAAAGCAAACAAGGAACCTGGAAAAGAGGGCGCAGTTGTAGAGACGATCAGCTGCACGTGCCGGTGGGAATGAGTCTCCCGGCGTTTGGCGGCCTACCGTACCCTTCAGCTGGGCGTCGCATGCAGATAATCATCGCCCATGGTCTCGCCGTGGCTGGTTGAGAACCACGCTCACCATGCTACAGTGCTACACTGATGCTCGTCGCATCAGGTTTAGTTCGGAGTCACCACAAAGCACTATCAGAGTCCGAGTCCTACCACTGATCTGATGATCCCCGACCGCCGTCTTCAGCGAAACATGTCTACAAGAGATGATGTGAAAACGATCGAGGAAAACAAGAGGGTTTTCACAAGCCCCCAAAATGCGGGGGCCCTCGCTGACAGAATAAACGTTAAACAATTGCGCCGGTGCCTCATTGTTCCTGTATAATGGGTTCGCAAACGATCCCGAGGCGCGCTTCACCTCACTGGAACAGGCGGGGCGCCCAGTTTGCACCGACGTTCTCCATATCAATTACCGCGGCCAGAGTTGGGCCAGAGCACAGATAATCGCCTCTTCCTTCTCGGCTAAGCCCCGTCCTCAGGCTCCAACTCCCAACATATTCTTCGGGACACAATTTTCGAGGGTGAAAACTTGGTGAAAACTGTTTTCACTTACTCAGACTCCCTGGTTCGCCATTTCGGCGTACCACTCCGCCATTGCGCATGATGTTTGCAAGATGAGACCCTGCACTGTGAGCAGAAATTGGGATCCAGTGCAGTGCCCGCGGGCGATGCAAAGCTGCCTGGAAGCCAACTGGAAGCAAGCATAGCGTCCTAGCGAAGGCTATGTGATGTTTTCTCATATCAGTGGGGCTTGCCCGGCGCGCCTGATATTGAAGGAAGCGGAGTTCGTCAGAATGCACTTATTGAATTCAGATGGATGCAACGCAAGCGTGCATCCAGCCTACCAAGTGCATGCCGCGCAGGCCAGGAAGGAGATTCTTGCCCTTGCATCAACGTGCGTGTTTAAAGAGGGAGGTCGAAGGTGACGGACGTGCAACTGTAGCACGTATTCGTGCAGTAGAGAACCCAGTAATATTGTGCACTATGGACAGGTGTTATGGTATAAAAATCAGGAGTTGACGACACGACAGATTCAGATGCAATCATACTAGACTACGAGCGCCTCTACGGCGCGATATGCAATAAAGAAACGCAGAGCGAGAGCAAGTCCGACGAGACAATGAGCGTGGAGTGTGTGATACAAAGTACAAATGTACAACTGTTGCGGGGAAGACCAATGCAAGATATATCGAAAACGAGGATCTGAAATGAGGAAGACACAAGGTCCTTTTGAGTACGGACACCACGGCACGGGCGCGGACTATTGTACAACGCAGCCATTCTTCTTGCCTTTCCGCACGTCCTCAGAGACGGCGAGCGACCTCCGGTCTTCGCGTTCCGTACCCGTCGCGGACACGACGGAGTACGAGGTCATCCTGGATAACCGCGACTCTGCCTTGTCGGCCGCACTCCGAGTTTCCGCTTCCACAATCGAAAGCGTCGACCTGGGCGGAGTATCCCGTCGACTCGAGGTCTCCATTGCTGTCCCAGTGCTCCGCAGACTCGAAGAATTTGGGGACGTGCTAGAGCTTGAGATGGATATAGGGCGTTCTTTCCCTTCCGTCTTTCGCTTCAAAACAGAAAGTTTGTGGGTGACAGTTCTATTGCTTGTCGACGCACGCGGCACAGGAGAAGGTGCAGGGGAAGTTCTCGTCTGATCCACAGTTAAAGACGATCGTGAACGTTTGAATGCATTCAGGACTTTGAAGGCACTCGGAGGATGGATGGGCGATCCTTGAGGGGGCGATGTCGACAGAGGGGTGTCGATACTAGTCCTCGGTGTAGCGCTGTTTTCCGACCCTGGACTTGCAGGATAACTCGTCTGTATGGCCTCCAAAAGGTCTGCAGGATCATATGGGTTGCCGGCGTTGCCAATCTCGGCATACTGCGCGTATAACAGCAACTGGGTGCGGAGGTCGCATGTAGGAGGCGCGCTTCCTGCGCACTTGACATGAGCAATAAGGCTGCATTGCTCGCAGAGGACCGCACTCTTCTTCACGCTCTGCTGGCAGACTCTACAGATGACGGCTAAAGCAGGCAATACCATCGTCAGGTTCAGTGTCATACTCTAGCAACGAAATACTTACGCTTTCCGAAGGTTGTGGGCACAAAGGAATGTTCTCGGGGGGATACAGGCTCGATATCGTTAGACAAGCGGCGCCTGGTGGGGGAGCGACTCAACCGTTCATTCAATCGTGAGAGTTGGTCAGTCGGCGACCTGTCCGGGTCCGGCATCTCGATGTTCGCTAAATAGCGAATCGCCTCTGATTTCTGGAACTCAGTGCTAACACGCCGCAAAAAGGGAATGCTATCTTGCGGCCGCAAGTCCTGCAGCACGCTGGATCAGCGTGGTATTCATTAGTGAGTAGTGGTAGGCTACACACCTTAGGAACGGCCCAGTTATGCTTCAGCCACTCATGTTCACAGAGCAATTCGGCGCTCGGTCGCTTCGTGGGTTCCTTGTTGAAACATTGTTTGAGGAAGTCCTGTAAACTCTCGGAAGACCCTTCTGGAAGTGGCGGCATAGCATCTTCAACGATGCGAAACATCACTACAAAGGCCTCAGCTCAAGACATTGTTTAGATGAGCGACGGAAGCACGTACCCGACATGCCATTGGCAATTTCCGCATAAGGAGGTCGCCCGGTCAATAGTTCGATGACAGTGCACCCTAACGACCAAATGTCAGATTTCGTCGATGCACCTTTGAGCTCGATGACTTCAGGTGCCATCCAATTCGGCGTGCCCGCGATGTCTTTCATCTCACGCTCCATGGCTCGTAAGTTGAGGGAGACGCCAAAGTCCGAGAGTTTGACGTTCCCGTTCTTCGTCGTGAGGATGTTGGCTGCCTTCAAATCGCAGTGCACGACGTCGCTCTGATGGAGATAGTGAAGTCCTTCCAGGATTTTTACCACATAGCTAGCAACTAGACGCTCGTTCAGCTTCCCAAACGCCTTCAGAGTCTGTCCAAGTGAACCATTCTCCGCCAGCCTACGATATCATGAGAATGGGACGAGAGTGTACGATGAATCCAACTTACTCTAGGACGATACTGAGGACGTCATCATCCCTCGCCATACCCTCGTATTTGACAATGCTCGGATGGGAAAGACTCTTGACCAGGTCAACCTCCCGCATCAATTGCGCAATCTCTTCCTCCTTCAGCCCTTCAAGTCGAATACGCTTGACAGCAACCATCTGACCGGTATTGAGGTTCAGTGCTCGATAAACAGCCCCAAACTGCCCACGCCCTATGCAATTACCAAGTTGCTGCGCATTGAAAACATCAGTGAGGATTTTAATACGAGGACAAGTACACTCACGAATTGTGTAGACGGTTTGCCATCTTCACGCACAATCAACGTCTGTCGCACTGCACTACCATCATAGGAATCCCTGATCATCAGGTCGCTTGCACTAGCATTGCCAGTTGCCACACCCAAGTTGACCATACTTTCGAACCTTGACCTCCGGGGCTTCGCACCAAGCTCATCGTAGGAGTTCGGACGAGGTTTCCTGCGCGAGCTAGCACCATCAATTTCACTCTGGAATCGTCCTCGGAGTTGGCGCGGCTTATTCTGATGGATGACCGAATCTGGAGTTGAAGCACCAGAGGCTGCCGCGGGGAAATGGACATCCAGGGGGTCTCCCAATGGAGGAGTTGACTGCTCAGCAGAGATAGACCTTGGGAATGGGACACGGTTCTCGCTATCGCGTGAACCAGAATCGTTACGAGGGATGTAGACGCCATTGCGGTGCATACCAGTCTTAGTGCTGCTCCGTCTCAATACCAGCCTCGGAGACGGAGAGGAGCTAGTATCGGGACTGGAATCACGGGGGAGCAACGCATCTCTCGGAGGAAGTCCAGCAGTATCTACGCTGTGCCGAGCACGGTGCGTAGGCCTCCTGGGGAATTGAGGTAGAGGATCAACAGTGGACTCGGGTCTTGGAGCTCCAACAACAGCAAGCTTCCGAGGAGAAGGAGCAGCAACAGGCGGATGCGAAGGCGTGCCGAACAAGTCTTCTTCATCCAGCAGAGCCGAGTTGTTCGGAGGTGACTGGAATGCATCTAAAAAGTCGTCTGGCCACTTTCCTTTGCCTAGCTTGATAGCAGAAACCTTCTGCTGTCTCTCCTTCGCCTGGGCGGATTTGCAATCGTTGGTCTTGTCCAACTTGGATTCTCCCTTAGCACTAGTAGAGCTCTCCTCAGTTTCTTCTATGACCCTGGACAAGTCGATCATAGTCGTTTCGCTGGGACGGCGTTCGCGCAAAGGTCTTGGGGGAACCTCTGCTATCCGTTTGAAGGTCAGTGACTCAGTAGGCGACACTGCAACCACACTATCTTCCGCGTCCCCGGGATCGAGGGAGGTTGCCTCTGTCGTCATGGTGCGAATAGTTCCAAACTTGTTCCCTCCGCTACTTGTTCTGCGAACATCCAGCAAGCTCGAGAACATCGTCGAGTCCGTCATCGTACTCGATGCCTGTGACTGCCGCATGGCCGATGATGTGTACGACTCAGTCAGGGCACTGTGTAGAGACTCGCCAAGGGAAGCACGAGTAGAATCAGCTATGGAACTGCGCTCCATGCTGGTTCGGATGCGCAGCGGAGAACGCGGCGGAGGGCTCATGGGAGGAACGTCGTCGCGATCTCTCTGTCCATGTAGGGCATCACCATTATTAACGGTTCTGCCATCACTGGAGCCAGCGGACTTGTCCTCGTTCGGGCTGTCTGAGCGAACAGTAGGTAAGGGTTGGGGGGGACTCCACCTCTTGCGCCCTCCTGGCGACTGGGGCGAGGTGAGAGATGTAGGAGATGTCGAGCGTTGCATACGCGACAGATAGAGGTCGGGCGTCGAGGCAGCACCTCGCGACCCTGACGCTAAGCCGTACGGACCCTTGGCGCGTTGTGCTTGCTCACCGCTTCCACCCTGGATGTACTTCAACTTGTCAGCCGGGGGACAGTAGGTTAACTTGTGCAAGGAGAGAATAGTTCTGGCCACGCGAGTAAGTGATTCGGCTGTTGCCTCTATTAGGTCGTCTCGGTTGAACAGCTCCTCAGAATGAAGGCCGACTGAAGAACAAGCTGCGAGAAATTTGGTCACGTTTGACGTGCGTACGAACCCGTCTTCGCGTGTATCGATGCGAGAAATGGTGCCGGGGAACAGCTTGTTTACGAATCTGAGGAAGAGGAAAATCAGTTACACCTCAATCTCGGGAATCGAGCGTACTACGCACTGGCAAAGGACATAACCATCTCTCACAGCCTCACAGAATAATTTCCGCTCTCTTTCCTCTCCCCCTGCGCTGATTCCGCCGGAACTCAAACCACCGGAACTCAACTGTGTCGAGCTTCCCATACCGGAAGCGCTCCGCCCCCAAACACGCTCTAAACGCGCTAAAGCGCGCATCCGAAACTCCACCTCCTCAGACTCTCTTGCGCTAAGGGAGGACTTATCCAATTGCGAGGGTGGCTTCAGCATCTCTTTGCATAATAAAGAAGACGCCGAACGAACGAGCTCCCGGTACTCGGAATTGGTGATGGTGGCAAGAGACGCAGTGGAAACATTAAAGAAGCGATTTTGGTAGTAGTTCGGAGAATAATTACGTTGAGTAGGAGACACTGCACGCAGACGAACTGGAGAGGCGGGAGAAGCTGCCCTAGATGGAGGGGAAGGAGTTAGCGTTCCCTGTCGTGGCTGATCCAAGGATGAGCGCTTCTGATCAAACGACGGCCGACGTAATTCAGCGGAGGGTCGTTGTTGATCTAATGAAGAGCGTTGCCGGGCTATGGAAGGCCGTCGACTGGATGATGATGATGATCCGAGAGGCACGTGTGACGATGATGCCGAAGGGCCCGCGCGATGAGTCGGGGTTCGAGACGAAGAACGCGCGCGGAGGGGGCTTGTAGGGCGTGGAGTGGTAGGTGAACTCGGAGGACTGCTCAGGGGAAGATGACTGTTGCTCGCTGCAGCTCGCTTGGACGTTGTAGACAGCCCTCGTGGAGATGGAGATGGTGGCGATGGGTCTGGGGACCTTGTTCCGTCTCGCGGTCTCCTTGTAGGTGTCTCCGGAAGTCCAGGAGATTGCGAACCGCGTCCAGCAGGAGATTTGGAGAGGACCAATGGTGGGGGTTTTGTCTTAATGTGAGATGATGGTGAAGCTAGGACACCGTTGGATCGGATATCATGTTTAGGTGTAAGGGGTATGGGACCGCTAATGTCCTTCGGACTGACGGTGAATTGCACATCCGGCTTTCTGGGTCGCTCCCTGGGTGGTGAGACGAGTGCAGAGACGTTCGAAGATGAAGAAGCTGGCAGAGCAAAAGGCTGCACATAGGGTGAAGGAAAAGGCTGCGATGCTAGGTGAAGGGTTGGGGAAGACATGGATGCTTGCCGTAAAGAAGGTGGAGAAAAGCCCGTATTCTCCACAACACGCGTATTGGTCTTTTCTCTGTCTCTCTCTACTCTTTCCCCGTCCTTCCGTTGGCCTGCAACAGGAGGCAGTGGGGAGTTAATGTCCTTACCGCCTGGCCGACGAAATGAAACCTTAGATAGCATTCTCGACCTGGGTTTACCCTTGGGAATAGTTTCCTCCAATGCCCTCTCTTTGCCCTTCCCGTCGTTCTGCGCAACCTCACCCACCTCATCCACAGACGCAGCGAACTTGCCTTTGGACTTCGTAGCAGTACGCAGACTCTGCTCAAGAGTAGACCGTAGTCGTTTGAACGTCCTCGGCTGAGCTTCCGCGACCTCGGGAGTTGACGCGAGCCGAGACGACGACGCAGATGCAGCAGGATGGACAATGATATCAGAATGCTTGTGCGACACCATCTGGAAGGGATTAGAGAAGGACACGCTGAGCTTGGAGGACGACGGGAGGATTGCTGTAGCCATGTGGAAGAATCATGCGTAGGGCAGCGTTCCGCCCGTGGGTACAATCTAGTATTGCAAGCAGCCAGGTTAGGGCAATACGGAATTCACCAATTGGAAAATGCTCACACGATTAACAGTTCGAAGAAAACACGGGATCAGCTGCGGCAACCCTACACACACACACTGCAATGAGTATGAGATGCAGGAGGTCGGGCGTGGTATTGACGGACGGGGAATAATATGAATCGGATCAACATACCCCGAATGCCACAGAGAGTAAATCTAGTAGACTAAATTACAGATGCTGCAGAAGTTGAACTTAGAATGGCAGGCGAGGATCGACGCGCAGAAGGACGCACCGCATTCAAGTCAGCGAACTGGTGGACTTGCACAACGCCCACAGCTGCGCAGGAGAAGATATATGTTATGGGAAGATAGCGTGGACTCCAAAACTCGAGAACACTGGATGTTCGGTAATAAGTTGTTTGGACGACGAGCGAGGAGCTGCAGCCAGAACGTCGGCAAATGGATACACTGTGGCTCCCTGATTAAGTACAGAACGACGGTATCGAGGACGCCGAGTTTAGCGAGACGTGCAAAGGACGGAACGAAAGGAGCGGAAAACCTGGTGGCCGTTCAGAGGAGAGGTGCCGCCTCACGAACTGAGTGGTCTCCGGCACTTGGGCCGTGAGCGCTCATTTCGCCGAGGTTGCTCGGCTCTGTCAACTTCTCCACTCAAACTTCGTAGGTAGGAACTTAAAATTCTCGATTATCTCTAGTGATATGTACATGCTCCATATCCATATCAAACGCTGCAATATGACTCGCTCACGCTCATCCATAGATGCATATCTGCAAGCGAAATGTTGGACAATCGACGGTCCTCGCACTTGCGCCGATCGCCAGGCATGGTGACAATTCATTCCTGCAACAAAGGGGCCTCGTTGTCCAACCTGACACCGAAGCCGACAGGCTTCATCGCAAATGCAGCTTGGAAACAGAAGGAGCGACGAACCTATGACGACGCGGTCGGTATGCCGCCAGATCGTTGGCAACCACCCGACGACCACGGCCAAAAGTGGTCCATACGTTGGCCATCAACGACCGGTTAACCGACAAAGATGGCTCGAGTTCCAGCCACAGCGATTTGTGTTCTGTTGATGCGGTTGTTGGATGACTGCTAGCGGAGAGCAAGTTCACGTTGACAACTGGAATTGGCGAAAGTGCGCCTGGTAAAAGGAACGCGTCGAGTGGATCGCGATAAGGACACTTCTAACCATATGGAACGGTCACGTGATTCTCACATGAGCTTGTCGAGGCTGATTGCAGACTCCTGCAGAGCGCGTGTGGATTGGATAGCGGTTGGTCGGACACGAACCCGCACCCAAACATTCCCAGGGAAAAGGAGGAGAAGGCTGAATCGGCCGCATTACAAATGAAATGCAGTCGATTGTGGCCTCGAGGCGGTAAGGTGCTAAGCACGATTAGCTTGTCAGGATCATGCAGGAACGCACTCAGCTGGCCTCAGGGGTACTAAGCGCACGCTGGCACAGCAGCTCACAGCCATTGAGATGTATCGCGACCAGAGATATGCGTGCAGCCTGTGCAGAAGAATACCAACAGAACTTGAGTCATGCACACCATGGCTTGGAACAGCGCAGGCGCAGAAACTACGCAGTGTTAACATGTACTTACAGGAACACCTCATGCCTTCGGCGAAGGTGAGTGCCCCAAAATGCGGTGAGCCCGTTTCTCAGCTGAAGACTGAAGTGCTTCCAATCCTTCATATCTGCCTGGACGGCTGAGGAATTCCGCGTGCTTGAACATTCCTGCCCTGAGAATGCGAGAGGCCAGATAGGTGCAGACAGCAGGGACGAAGATGCCGCTGGAGATAGCCGGGCTCCTGCTCAAAATTTGGGGCGGAGTTTTGCCATCAGCCACTCGGCCACTGTAGCCTTTCGGCTTTGTCTCGAATCTCCGCAGCGCACGATGACAACTCGTCCAGCAACACGCTCTCGACAAGCGCGAACGAACCCGCCCGATAATTTGTCCCCGACAGATAACAAAGAGAATACTACGGCGAACGAAGCAAGGATGAAACCGAAGTCAAAGGCACGGGCATCGAGTAAGGGGTCGAAGGTGTATTGTTTGTGCAGAAAGCCGGATGACGGATCGCCAATGATCCATTGCTCGGAGTGTAAGGAATGGTATGTGGGGTGCTTGCTCATCTCCTTCATCTTTCTTGAGCTGGCACTGATTGTACGCTAAAGGTATCATTTTCGGTGTGTTCAGTTAAGCGAGAGAGACGCAGAGGATATCGGCAAGTCTCACCGTCGCAGCTATTAGAGTCGTCACTAACAATCATCGTTTGGCAGAGTTGTACACCTGCCCTCCTTGCCACGACAAGACTGGTTTGCGGACGATCAGTGAGTGTTTCGACGATTACATTTTTCCTGCAACAATCATTCCGTGCTATGCCCTTGCCTCCTTATGATGTACACCTACAATATGATCTGTAATATGCTTCGGTGTGCTACTCCTGCTGTGCATACATGAGTGGTCTGCGCCCTTGTATCCGCTCTGCGGTTGTTGAGTTCGTCTCAACACTTCAGCAATGCCGCCGCTCGGTTGGCGACCCACTCGCACTGTAGTCAAGGACAACTGTATGTCTAGCATTGTCAATTTGAGTCACGCATGTAGCCGTACCACTGCTTGAGTCATTCCTGGTCTTTAGAGTAGTTTGTTACCCTGGGATGCGTTCATGTACTCTACTGGCTGTCCATCATTGCCTTCATTCGTGTTTGTTTTCTTCACCTTGCCTATTTTCCTGCTCTCCAAGGCATAGTACTGACCATTTTGTGTCTTATGCTGTAGTGGAATGGGAAGGACCAGAAGCATTCGAGCTCGTCCCTGAACAAGAACAAACGCCAAAGCAGCCTGCGAAAGTGGCTTCCTGGGAGAGTGCTGAGGAGGTGGTGCACGAAAAGGAGGAGGAACACATATCAGAGTCTGACGACAGCGGGGACGAGTATGTTGTGGAAGCGAGGGCAAAACCTGTAGGAAAGGTGCGTTTGCTATTGAACTGGCTATCCGCTATACCGAGTGATGATTTTCCTTTCCAGCGCCGTGTCCGACGAGTGTCATCGTCGTCCGAGTCCGACGCCGAGTCAGTCGCTTCAGTAGCGAGAGCACCCAAGAGGCTACGTCGCGCGAGTGAGGTGTCGAAGAGTGTCGGCGCTCGTACTCATAGTCCATCTCCGGCGCCCAGTAGCCTTACGAAGCGGAAGAAGTCCATCTCTTCTCAGCCCGATGCGAAGCGGAGACGGTCTGAATCTACTTTAGGCGAGGATCCTGCGAGAAAGTATTGCCTGACAAAGTTGCAGGAGCTGTTTTGTCAAATCTTCCTGCGCTATCCTTTTCTGCAGGAGGAGACCCATTCGGACGACCCGAGTGAGAATGCACAGCCGGATAAGAAACAGGAGGATCTTACGGATGAGGACAAGCAGGCGTTGGAGGGTAAGGCGAAGCAGTTCGCGACTGACCTCGAGCAATGCATGTACGACCTGTATTCTGAACCCGATAAAAACGGGAAACATGGTGTTGCGGGGAAGTATAAGTACGTTCCGGTTTTCATCGTTGGGAGATGATCATCAACTGAATCCGTCTATCCAGGGAGCGTTTCCGGATGCTATCATTTAATCTGAGCAAACCTGATCGTGTTTCTCTTCACATGCGCATTGCTTCGTCTCATATTACCCCGAAAGAATTATCAACGATGTCTTCGACTGATCTAGCCAATGAAGAAACACAGCAGTCCATCAGACAGGCCGAACAAGAGGCGTTGGCGCATTCTATCCTGAAGAAGCAGACACTCCCGCGCGCCAAGATCACCCACAAGGGTATTCAGGACATCGAGGATATGAATGGCGGATCGCGTGAAGTTGAGCATGAGCGCGAGGAAGAGGAGGAGGAGGAGAGGATTGAGAGAGAGCGGCTTGCACGTCTGAAGGTCCAAGCCCAGCGAGCGGCGTCCTCTTCCGTTCCGCCTGAGTCTCCCATCGTGCCACAGACTCCGAGCTGGGGCGGACCCCCGCAGGCCCCTTCGCATGCGGGAGAACCTGCTGCCTCGTCGGCGTTGAGTCTGGGACGGCCGTCGCTGAATCCGTTGTTCGTACCGCCCGCGTCAGAATTTACGGGGCCTGTGGAGGGCGAGTTGAATCTTGCAGACCTCATCAATATTGACGAGGAACCCTCTCATGATGACAACGCGATGTCCGTTGACTCCATACCGACACCATTCGGAGAGACCCCTTCACTATCAACGAGGCAGGACTCGACGCCTACTGTGCAGACACCACCCCTTGTTTCTCCTCGGGAGCCTGCTGGTATCTCTCCATTCGCTGAGAAGAGCTCAAAGCCCGACCTTTCATCTCGTCCTTCCTTCGATCTCAAGGCCCTATGGAGTCCCAAATCTGCAGATCCAGGACCCGAGCAACAGGCCGGGGGTGCAGCGGAAGGCGCAACCCACGACGAGGCGCACCATCATCATATGGATATGGACATTCTTGGTGAGGAAGCGGACGACCAGGACTTTGATATGTTCTTGGGCAGAGACGAAGAAGATAAGGCTGCTCCCGAAGTTGTTGACAATAGCCCCGAGGCATTTCGTGCGGCGTTTGAGGCTCTACCCAGAATCTGGTCAGGGACGGTACGTGATACAAACCAGTGTAAGTTCCAAAGACATGAAGCTAACATAGTCCATTTTGCAGCTGAGTATGCCCTTGGATTCAACCATGGCACAGGAGGTATCTGTCGATGCACGTCAGATGGGTGGTCGGACATTGGACAACCCGCTATTATGGCAGACCTTATTCCCTACGAGAGAATTAAGAATTGACGGTCGCGTACCGGTCGAGAAATCAGCCCAATATTTGACCCAGATGCGTTTGAATCCTACAAAAGAGTTGATCGCCGCCGCCTTTTCGCCAGTAGTAGTACCTGGCTTCGAGAGTCAAGGTTTCAAAAATCTCGTTGAACACCTTACCACGAAGGGGTCAGTGTTTCGCTTTCTTGTGATTTAACCTATTTACTCATCCCGCGTTGCAGACGACATGGCCTTGTCTTCCCGTGGGGCAACAGGCCCAAAGAACACAGTCCTGGCCGGGAACTGTATATTATACCCTTACTATCTACAGATCCCATTCCAGATTACATGGAACTTCTGGATGACCTGCGACTACCCAAGCTGCGGAACGCCAACTACCTGATCGGTATCTGGGTTCTCAACAAAGGAAAACTCGCTCCCCCGCCAACACCGCAAGGATTATTACCTCCTCAAGTTGCACATCTTGCCATCGATCTCTCTCAGCTCCAGCAATCTTCCACCACAGTGCCGATTCCGAATATCTTCTCTCAAGCTGTACCTCCATCGGTGACCACACCTATGGCTCAGCCACAGCCACAACCCACGGCGGCGACGTCAGCGCTAGCCGCGGAAGTCGCGTCGCTGACGCCGGAGGAGATCCAGCTGATGCTGCGTACTCTATCCTCAGCGATCCCCGCACAGCCCGCTGCGCCACCGGTGCCGGCAGTTGCACCACCGCCCGCACCTCCCGCCCAAACCGGGATGTCCGCGATCCCCATCCAGCCCTGGGGAGCGCCCGCCCCAAGCTTCCCTCCGGCGTACTCACCTCCCAACACCGCTTTCTCCGCGCAGCCGTCGCCGCCGCATCCTTCGCGGCCGTACCCTGACATGCCATATGATAATTACCCCCACGATCAGCAAGAGCAGGGCTACGGCTGTCCGTCGGGCTCGCAATATGGCGGCAGAGGTGGCGAGCGCGGCTATCGTGGGCGCGGCGGCCCGCCACCACGTGGGCGGGGCCGCGACAGGCAGCGGGATGCTGGCTGGCCGAAGAGCAGGGGGCGCGGGCGGGGTGGGCCCGGGCCTTCGAGTCCTACGCGCGAGAGGGGAGGGAGATGGGGGGAGTCGCGGTGGAGCTGAGAGGCATGGTTCCGGATGTTCGTATCTGACTTATTCCAATACTTAGCGTATCGATGCCTATTATGTGATGTTGCTGTTCTTGAAGAAGCCCGTGCTTTAGTGCTTTGTACATGTAGTATATGCCCCATGCCCCTTGGTAGTCCAAATTTTCGCCACTCAGTGTCTGCAGCCAGAACGAGGGTCTCATAAAGACGTCGTAACTTTTCGTAAAATATATATACAATGCTGGTATCAAATTATGTTCAGCAGGTGGCGTTCAATGCACACAAGATCGGACCATCCAACCCACCCCAATCCAAAGATGCGTTCACTCGAAAGGCATGCCCGCCACGTCCTCCACCATCGACGCCCAATTCGCCACTACGCCCTCCGTAAAGTCGGTCTCCTCACGCGCAAAGGCCTGCACGGCCTGTGTGACGAGCGCATTCTCGCGGTTGTGCAGCACCACGCGCAGCTCGTGCCACATGCTGTCAAACGCCAAATATCAGACACCAGAGACCAATCGCGGACGCAGGGACGTACCACGCGCGTATGAAGACGCGGCGGTTCAGCAGCGCACCGATAGACGCCTGGTCCTTCTCGACAAGGCCGGCGATCCTGTCCGCCTCGTGCTCCCAGCCCTCCTTCTGCGCTTGCCGCACGCCCTCGAGCTTGAGCGAGTTCTTCTCGACGTTCTTCTTTAGGCGCTCGACTTGGTCGACCGACAGCCGGTCGTGGCGAATGAACAGGTCGCGCATCGCCAGGTACAAGTCGCGCTGGCCCTGTCGCAGACGGGACGAACGGCGTCGGCGTTCCTATTTTGTACACGCATGGAAAATGCTCACCTTCAGAGCTTCGAGGGTGGAATAGAGCATCGACCGCGACTGTAGGCGAGTCAGCTGGCGAAGGGAAGCGAAGGGAAGGTAATTGCTTACTCGATGTTCGAGCGTGTCCGCCTGCTTTTGCGTGTGGACTGCGACCTGGACGAACCCCTGCCGGACGCCCTCACAAAGCTCGCACTCGTCGCCGCGCCAACACCGCGCGTTGACCTCCACGAGCGACTTGACCGTGTTCGTGAGGCGCGAAAGGTCGGCCTGACCGTCGTGCACCGAGCGCGCAGCAACACCGAAGGGTGAGCCAAGGGTGGGGAATATGGACGACGAAAGCGAGTCAGCGTCAGATGAAGTAGAGGAAACGGGGGAGAACGGGGGAAGCGGGAAGTGAGTCGGGAGATAGGTGCGCCGGAGGAGAGGAGGGACCCGTACCGCTTCGCCTTCGCGCCGCCTGACCACGCGTTCTGCAAGCATGCAGATCTTCTGCCAGTGTTCGATCAGGAATCCGATCTTGCCACGGACGATACTATGCATCTCGAGTGTAAGTGGTACGCGGGGAGCCGCGAGAGGAGACGTACGCGAGTTTATCCTCGAGGTCGCTCGGGATGCTCATCTCCTCGACGCGGTCAACGCGCTTGCTGGCGGATTCTTCTTCGTAGGAGATGGACGAGTGTTTGCGCCATGCCTCGAGGGACGGTTCGGTGAGGAACACGGTGAGAAGCCCGTCTTCTTTGATGACGGGGTGGTTGCTGCGAGGTACGTCAGCGATGATAACGAAAAGCCCAGAAGAGGGACACACATGACAAAGTTGAGAAATCGCGCCAGTCCTTTCCTACAAGATAGTCAGATCCATGTGCGAATAGACGAACAAGCTACGAACCTGCGCTGCTCCAAGAAACTTTCGTCCGCTTTCCAAACTGACACGTCAAGAAGCTAAGACATCATCAAGCGAAACGTGAACTCACGTCCGATCCGTTTCGGAGGTAGCGCTGGGAGGAGTCGGAATGGATAGCGCTTCACCAAGCAGTCCCATAGGAAGACGAACTCGGAGTAGCGCCTCGGTACCGGTGCTCCACGCTGAAGGTTAGCAAGATTTAGAAAGGCGATAAACATGCATAAGAAGACGTGGTGAAGGACGCACGTCAGTAGAGATTTCATACACAAGATATCTGTTTAACAGGAAGCCTTGCTGCCCAAGCACGTTCACGTACACAGTCTCTTGCTTTTTCCACCACTCTCTAGGCAGACCCGTCCCGGATATGCTGGACGGCGCGCCGTTGTTGAGGCTGTTATTGCCGTTTGGTGTAGTTGAGACACCGACACCACTTGACATCCTTGCAGCGCTCCAGGGATCCTCTGTGGTGTATGCTCGGGTAGGAACATGGCGCACGGCGTCAGTATATTGCCCGAAACCTGAAGTAGACGGATTGAGAGACGTGAGATCGAGCGTGGGTTCAGGGAGCGCGTTCTCTTGCGCCAGTGCGGCGACGCGCTCGACACTCACGTCTGTCCACAAGTCATTCGCATGTGAGTTTGGGAGTCCAGAAGGCTAGATGTGGATCGCGCACCTTTCCCAGTCTGAGCGAGTGCAATAAGGGCGAGTGCGACAATGAATTCGAGCTTGGATACTCTTGGGCGGGAGCTAACCAAGCTGACGATCTGGGACGGAAATCCAGTGAACGGAATCGCAAAACGAGACCAAACGCACCTTATCAATAGTTGAAGCAGATAGAGAGGACGTGCCGAGGACTCGGGATAGGGCATTGACGGATATCTCGCCCGAGTTGGAGGGATCGACAGCAGTGAATGCTTGGTTGTATATTGGAGGAACGGTCGCGTCGCCTGAAAGCACGGTCGAGTTGACTGCGCGATGAAGGGTTGAATGCACTCACCTATCACGGAGCTGAAGCCTAAGGAGGCCGAGGGAAAAGCAGGAGGAGCAGGACTTGGAGCAGCACTCCAGGGGTCGAGACCGTCGTCGTAGACGGAGTGAATGAGAGGGCTCTCTGTGACGAGGCTGGCACCAAAGGCGTTGGTGGACGAGCCACCGTACGGCTGGACCGGTCGCGGTGCGTTGAACATCGCTGAGGACAATCTTGCAGGTGGCAGTCTGATCAGTGTAGCGGTCGCGTGACGCGTCGGAGATAGCCTCGCAGCGACAACGCCGAGTTGCTTGCACTGTCTCTTTGCAGACGGTGTGCGCTTGCAGCCACGGCGCGGCGAGAGCGACGACGACTGGCCGCCGCCGCCGAGGCCGGGCTATTCCCAAATGTAGAGACCGCACCTCCCCATTAGGCAGGCCCTCCGGAGCCCCAGCTCCCGGCGGTGGTGCCCGGCGCCGGTGACCGGTGACGCGCGGTAGGGGAGGCACGTGGTGGAAGAGTTAAATCTCCGCCAACACGCCTGAGCGCGTCGGGGCGCGACGTGAGAGCGCCTCTTCGCCTTCCCGCCCTTCCTCCTTGTCCTCCCTCGCCATGCAGCCCGCACAGCGTCCACCCCCGCCCCAGCAGCAGGTTCAGCCACAGCCACCCCCTCAGCAGCAGCCACCAGTCAAGATATACAATGCCGTCTATTCCTCAGTTCAGGTAAGCGTCCGCTTTTCTTCCCTCGCGTCATTACTCATGTGCGTCCCGTGTCAGGTCTACGAGTGCATGGTCCGCGGCATCGCCGTCATGCGTCGTAGAACTGACTCCTACGTCAACGCGACTCAAATCCTCAAAGTCGCAGGCGTCGACAAGGGCCGACGCACCAAGATCCTAGAGAAGGAAATTCTCCCCGGTAAGCACGAGATCGTTCAAGGTGGCTACGGCAAATATCAAGGCACCTGGTGCGTGTCACTCCCTCTGTCCTTTCACCCTTATTAAAACACGCTCAGGATCCCGCTCGAGCGCGGTCGCGACATCGCCATACAGTACGGCGTCGCCCCTCTTCTAGGTCCTCTCTTCGATTTCGTCCCCAATGCCAATCCACTCGGCGCCCTTCCCCCAGGAATGCCAAGTGTCACTGGTACGTGCCTCTATGGCGTTTCCCGTGTTCTCTCTTCCATGTTCTCTCTGTTCACCAGGCGCTCCAGGTGGCTTCGTGCCCTCTGGCCTCGCCCCACCTCCCATCATGCCGGGCTCTGCCCTCCGCCTCCTCAACCAAGGCCGCGCACAAGGTCTCTTCACGCCCTCGACATCAGGTATGGACTTAGCGCGGTCCAGCACTTATCCCTCACCGGGCGCATATTATTCAGGCGCATACCCACAATCTCCATTTTCCCCCATACCCGGCGTGTCTCCTACACCCCCACCCCTCATGCCGTCCTCTCTCAAGAGGACGCGCACTGATTCAGATTTTGACTATGCTATGGCGTCACCGGCTAACAGCTCACAGATTTCTCCGCCTGTTCTCGCTGCGTCGCCTGACATCCAGATGGCGGAACGCTCGCGTCCAGCATCCGCTGCTCCGCAGCTTGAAGGGGTTACCGGACCATCACCGGCGAAGCGCGCACGCACAGAACCGTCACCTCTACAATCGCAAGTCACCGATGACGCTTTGCAGCCTGCTCCGCATATACAACTCCAGCCCACACCCCCTGTTCAAGATGTTGCGCAACAACAACGCGCCTCGACACCCGCTATCAATGGTATCTCTCGTCCTCCGAGCTCAGAAGCCGCGCTTCCGAATGGAAAGCCGCCAAGCGAAGCTCCTCCGCTCGAGGCAGAACTCCTGGACGTGAGATTCGCGACCAAACCGACCATGCCGCACACGACAGACACCAGTGCCCCTCTGAGAGACCCGAGGAGGGTCAATGTCGTGTCCGCCATCTGTCAGCGGGACGACCCCACTCCCGTGCTCGACGCGCTGCGCGAAATACCGCCCGACAACCCCGACCTGACGATGGACGTCGACCTGGTACTGGACGACCAAGGGCACACTGCCCTGCACCTCGCGGCGAGCCTGGCGCGGCACGGCATCGTCGACGCGCTGCTCAGCAGCGGCGCGGACATGCATCGTGGAAATTACAACGGCGAGACGCCGCTCATCCGCGCGTGCCTCGCGACGCACAACTTCGACCAGCAGACGTTCCACGTGCTCGTCGGTGCGCTGCACGCGTCGATCCGCACGATCGACACGTCGCGCAAGTCCGTACTGCACCACGTCGTCGCGTCCGCTGGCGTCAAGGGACGCGCGATTGCGGCGCGGTACTACCTCGACCACATCTTCCTCTGGATCGCGCAGCACCAGGGCGGGGACTTCCGCTCCCTCGTCGACCTCCAGGACGAGCACGGCGACACGGCGCTGAACATCGCCGCACGCGTCGGCAACCGGAGCTTGGTGCGCACACTGCTCGATGTGGGCGCGAATCGGATATTGCCGAATAAGCTGGGCCTACGCCCCGGCGACTTCGGAGTTGAGACAGAGGTCGGTCGCGGGGGTTCCGACGCGTGTTTCTGCAGTGCGACTGACCGTTTCGGTTACAGGAGCTTGGTGGCGGGCTCCGAGCGGATGATATCCTGTCTTCCCTGCGCAGCGCTCCCTCCGCGCCGGTCCAGAAGAGTCAAGATGTATTGGCTGGTAAGGACCGTCAACTACAATCTTCTCGCTTCTAAACTGACGCACCGCAACAGACATGACCACAATGGTGCAGTCTCTAGGGAACGAGTTCGCGGTGGAGATCAAGGCGAAACAGGACACCCTAGACGTGACGCAGGCGCACCTGCGCGCGGCGACGCGCTCGCTCTCGGATCAGCGCAAGCAGATACAATTGTGCCAGGCGCAGTGCGGCGAGCTCGACCAGGTGACGCAGCGCGTGCGCAACCTTCAGAAGGCGCTCGTGGACGAGGACGCGTTTGACTGGACGGGCCGCACAGAACCCAGCGGGAGCGACGCCGCCGCGTCTGCGGGCCCCGCGTTCCGTGCGCACGGCCAGGCGGCGCCGATGGCGACGCTCACTGGATCGGTCGACATCTCTTTCAACCTTGACGTCGACCCCACCGTCCCCGTGTCAGACTCGGTGGCGAGCCTCATCCGCCTGCGGCGGCTGAAGCTGTGGCACCAGCGGATCGAAATGCTCATGGAGGAGCGCCTGAAGTCCCTGCAGGGCGCTAGCGCGGAGAAGGAGTTTCAGTGCAAGAAGATCGTTGCGCTGTGCACCGGGGTGTCCATCGACAAGATCGAGGAGGTAAGCGAGGGTTGTGAAGCGCGTTGCAAAAATCTGCTGACGCGGATTCTCTGCTCAGATGCTCGATGGCCTCGTCGTGGCTGTCGAAAGTGAAGCGCAAGTCATCGACATTGGTCGTGTATCTGGGTTTATGCAAAAGGTGCGACCGGCTACCCACGCCACTCGGGGATTGCCCTGACAGTGTCTCTTCCATCCGCCACTGCAGGTTCGTAATGGTGTGATATAGTGAATCGGTGCCTATGTATGCTGGTAGCGCTCGCGCAGAACACTCTGGAGCCGGTCGTAGATTATTCTCATTCTCAGTCCTCTCAGCAATGTACCATCTACTGCATTGAATCCTATCACACGCGGGCATCGAGCGACGTTACGTACCGCAACCTAGATGATGCTCTCATCCGGCGCGAACATCTGGAAGTTACGGTTGTACGTCCCGGACGCGAGGAACTTCGCGTCGCTGGACAGATCGACGGACATGACCTTCCCGCCGTCCGTCGGGAGCGTGCGCAGCAGCTGCCAGTCGTCTGCGCTCCAGAGCTTCACGAACCCGTCATAACCTGCACTAGCGAGATATAGCCCGGAACGGTACCGCCACTCCTCTGCTGCATGCTCTTCGGCCTGATGGGGCTGCTCATCGATGCCGTTCATGAGGACGTCCGGCGACGCGCTCGCGAGTGTATCGGGCAGTTCATCTCCGCGAAAGAAGCGGACATCGGAGACGTTCGAGAGGTGAGCGGGGATAGTGTACAGCGCCTTCAAGGACCGCATGTCCCATATCCGGATCGTGTCGTCGCCCGACCCTGTTGCGATCTGGTAACTACGGGAATGTCATGAGACACAGCCACCCAGACAGGACCAAAAGATCGTACCCGTTTGGCGAGAAAGCGATAGCGAAGATTGCCTGAACATGTCCATCGAGCACCATAGCTGTCCGACCTGTTCGAAGATCCCAGACTCGACCAATCGCATCAAGACCTCTACAAAAGTGTGAACTCGGCGTATTGACAACTTCGGAGGACATACCCTGATGCTGCAAGAGCCCCATCATTCTGGAACTCAACCGAGTATACCTCCTTGGAGTGTCCTTCTTGCAGGAGTAGCTCCTTGGAGGTATTGACATCCCACAACCTCCACGTAGTGTCGAAACTAGCACTAGCCACATAGTCGCCCGATGGGTGAAAAGCTACGCGACATACACGATCTGCGTGTCCCTTAAGCACTGATAACGGTGTCTCACTGAGGACGGGAGACATATCAATATTGATGCACTCCTGACAGAGGTCAACTCACCTATTCAAGGACCAAAGGTGCAAGTTCGTGTCGCCGGCGCCGCTGACCAGGTTGACACTACTCTCACTCTGCGATAGCGTGGCTTGTGGATGCCATGCAACCCCTCCCACTCGATCGCTGTGACCTTATATAAGGATATAAGCTGAATGCTAATGGCGACTTGGCAGCACTTACCGCGCAGTGTTCGTATAGGAGTACAACTAGGCACGTTCCATAGTTTCACGTTCCCAGACCAGCTGCCTGTAGCTAAGATTTTGCTGTTTGGTGAGAACCGTACCTGCGAGATTGGCCGGTCGTCGCCAATCTGAGATCCGAGGTTTGCGAATTGCTGGGAAAAGGAAGCAGTTACAACACATATACAAAATGCGGAGGATATACTCACTTTTACTTCAGCAAAGATCTTCTTGCGGATGTCAATGATTCGTCCGAGGGAAATTTTGCTGTCTATCCGCTGTTGGGCGACTCGTTTTTGAGCTCTACATGGGAACAGCAAAAGCAAAGGAGACATAGTAAGCACCTATCTCTGTGCTCTACCTATCGGTAGCGAAAATCCAACCTGGGGAGAGAGTACTCCGCTAATCGTCTGCGTGCCTCCAGGAGTTCCAATGGACCTGGAGAGTAGAACTCCTCCATCTGCGATATGGTTATTCCTCCCCTTCCAAATAATAGAATGTGAGCGCTCACGTACCTCTTCCTCGCTTTCTTCGCTGGACTCCTCCTCCACTTGCATAGCCTCCTCTCCTCGAGCGGCATTGATTTGAGAGAGGACATAGATGAGACGGTCTCTACGATCTGCAGCCTACACATACTATCAACAAGGCCTCATCTCGAACAAGTGCCAAACATCGCTTACTCGTTCTCCAAACAGGGTGATAGGTTCTCCAATTTCTCGCAACCTCGCTTTCACTCGGTTATCATCTGTAGGTACGGCCAGACTTCGTGCCTTCTTCTTGCGCTCCAATTCGTCCAGGAGCATCTTGTTCTCCTGCCTAACACGTTCCGACCCAAGGTAATTTCCATCGTCAATAAGTGTGTCAAGGGTAAGTTCGGACATGGTTAGAGCGTTCAGCTAGCATGCGCCAGCACCCGTGAGTGAATTTAGCTTCACGAGAATGCGGTAGGCGTTGTTTGCCGGTATTTGGCAAAAGGCTTAGATCTAAGCAGTTGCCAAATGCGGATGCCAACATCTGCGGGCACGTTACGCAGACTTGAACGCCAACGTCTGCCCCCCCCCCCTTTCCCGATAACATGTCGGCGTCCACATCGTCGACATCACCGCCTGGTCCCCTTCGAAACCGAAGACATGTTACCGCCCTGGACTCTCCTCGCGCTGTTGAGGTGGACGACGACCGCGACGAACATCTCGCCGACTACCACGTAGTACGTGACACGCGTCTTGCGAGTGGGACAAGATTATTCATTACATCTTGCAGAAGAACCGCAGCTACATCGAGATCCTGCTGGAGTCTGAGGAAGCCAGTATGGTGGTAGTTGCCGTCCTGACTGCGCTTTCCTTCGCCCTCCGTTTCTACAAAATCAATTGGCCAGACCAAGTGGTGTGAGTGCTCAGCCAGTGTGACGCGTGTGTATGATATACATATATCCCTACAGGTTCGACGAAGTCCACTTCGGCAAATTCGCGTCATACTACATCTTGCGGGAGTACTACTTTGATGTCCATCCTCCCCTCGCGAAGATGCTCTTTGGTCTAGCGGGCTGGTTTGTTGGATATGACGGGCATTTCATGTTCGAAAACATTGGTGACAGCTATCTTGAAAATCACGTCCCTTATGTAGGATTGAGGGCCCTCCCTGCGATATTGGGGAGCCTCACCGTCCCTATTGTCTATGCAATCATGAAAGAATGCGGGTACTCCACCGTTGTCGCCATTTTCTCCGCCTCCATCATATTGCTTGGTGAGCCTAAGTTATACGTGCCGGACTTTATTGATTAACTCTGTCTCAGATAATGCTCATATCGCGCAGTCGCGCTTGATTTTACTGGATGCGACACTGATCTTTTTCATGTCTCTGACACTGTATTCGTATATTCGTTTCCGCAAACTGCGCTTCCTGTGAGTGCGACACATCCCCTGCGGCATGTCAACAATATTTACAAATAACGTAGTGAGTTCTCCCCTGAATGGTGGGGTTGGCTACTGGCCACTGGCACCTTCATGGCTTGCACCTGGGCCTCAAAAGTTAACGGTGTCCTGACGGTGGTCGCCATTGGAATCGCTGTCTTGGTCGACCTTTGGGACCTTCTTGACCAGAGGAATAGTATGGTGTGTTGCATTCCGTCAGTCTATGTGTTGTACTGACTGTGACTTGATAGGATTACTTTTGGAAGCATTTCATGGCTAGAGCGGTCGGGCTCATCGTGCTGCCCATCTTCTTATACCTTCTCTTCTTCTATATCCACCTGTCAATCCTTGTGAAGACTGGTCCGGGCGACACTTTCATGAGCCCGGCGTTCCAAGAGACGCTGATAGGGAACGAATTACTTCTGAACAGCCAGGGTAAGTCATCGTACGATGTCTTGGCTGTCATGAGATTGAATGGTTCGTGGGCAGAGATTCGATACTACGACACTGTTACTATCAAACACAAGGATACCAGAGTGTTTCTGCACTCGCATCCAGAGGTTTATCCTCTGAAGTACGAAGATGGCCGCATAAGTAGTCAAGGTAGTGTTCCCATCAATTTCCGGTTATGCCTTCTGATGATAGTCCAGGCCAGCAGGTGACTGGTTATGGCCACGACGACTCTAACAACAACTGGCAGATCATTCCCACGAAGGCTCTCCCAGAAACTGGCCGTGGGCGGATCGTGCGTCACGACGACGTTATCCAGCTTTTGCACGTCAACACGCAATCCTACCTGTTGACACATGACGTCGCATCCCCCCTCATGCCTACGAATGAGGAGTTCACGACATGGCCGAAGGACGATCTTTCCCGTTATAATGATACGCAGTTCGAACTGCGCATCGTTGATGGCCATGAGGGCGACTCGTGGAAGAGCAAGTCTGGACATTTCCGCCTCATTCACGTACCAACAAAAGTCGCTATGTGGACACATTCGAAGCAACTTCCTGAGTGGGCATTCTCACAGCAGGAAATCAATGGCAACAAAAATGTCAATGACAAGACTGCGGTCTGGTTCATAGACAATATTGTTGCGGATGAGAGTGAGTGCTTCGCTGTGGACATAACTGGCTGATACTGACAATTCTTCGGTAGCTGGCGAGGATCTGAGACAACGCACAGGCGATATCCCTCCGAAGCCGCCAAAGAAGATGAACTTCTTCAAGAAGTTTGCGGAATTGCAGCTTTTGATGCTACAACACAACGCGGGTCTGACTGCGTCCCATCCATATGCAAGCACACCAATCAACTGGCCGTTCCTACTCAGCGGTATCAGTTTCTGGACCGAGTCCAACGACCAGAAACAGATTTATCTCATCGGTAATCTCATCGGATGGTGGATGTGTGTTGTGTCTCTATCAATCTATGTCGGCATTGTCGGTGGGGATTTGGTGATGAGGCGACGGGGTGAAAACCCGCTTTCTGATCGTACGTTCCTCTCATGAGTGCTTCGTAATCCCACGGCTAACCAGGCGGTGCAGCTGTCCGCAACAGGATGTGGAACTCGACAGGGTTCTTCTTCGTAGTTTGGGCAGTGCATTATTTCCCCTTCTTCTTGATGAGCCGACAGCTGTTCATTCATCATTACTTGCCATCGCATCTTGCCTCTGCTCTGGTCGCTGGATCGGTACTGAGCTTCGTGCTTTCCGAGGAAGTGAACTACCCAGTGTCGACACGTGGCCCATTGTTGTTGCACCCGAAACAAGCGAGAAAAGCAGATCTGGGCGTGAAGGGCCCTGTCGTCGTCGGGCTTTCCATACTACTGCTGTTGATTCTGTTCGTCTACATTTCTCCCTTGACATATGGAACGCCAGGGTAAGTCATCTGGAGTCGGTCTCTTCCTCGTGCTTACGATTTCGTCGCAGGTTGGATGGAGATGCCGTGAACCGCAGACGGCTGCTGTCCGGATGGACACTGCATTTTGCAGGAAAACCAACAGATTAGGAGGTGTTGAGCATTTCCTTTGACCTTGTGTTTGATACCGTGCATCCGCATGAACCCTTCGTAAATATAATATCATTGTCATATGTATGGTTTTCAGAGATGGGGAAAATGTAACATGTTGCTGTCCGCAAGCACTAATGTAATGGTAGGCACCTTGCTACACCTCTAGATAGTTGACCTCTGTTTTACAACTTGTGGAGTAATGACAAAGTACAGGAACCAAGCCAGTAAGCATACTTGAAAGCAATCAGAAGGGAAAACTGTAGTACGAGGAAAGCCAATGCAGCACATTTGGTAAAGTATGATGGTAACACAGCAGAGCAAAAAAGAAATTGTAGAATGATGCCTTTGAATCATTTAAGCCAAACGTACAGTTTGATTAATTCCATGAAAGACACCTAGATAGCTCCATGGCACTTGGGACAAATCAGGGGGGGACAATTCATCCAAGTCTCTATGGTCAAATCCTGCTCTCTTTTCTCCCAGTAAGGTGCATAGGGTGATGCAAGTAGTGAGACTTCAGCAAGCTCATTACACACCTTCTCCAATGCCTTGATATGTCTGTCATCATCAGTGTTGTGAACAACCCTTTCTCCTGCCAAATCATCCGGGTTATCAACCCACTCCAAGTCTCCAACCTGATCTCCACGCTCCATCGCCTCCACCTGCTGAGTGAGTGAATTGATCTGAGAAAGCCAGCTTCCTCCTGGTTGGGCACATACAGCTTCAAATGTCGCATAAATGAAGCGACGTGCCAGAACAACCTCCACAACATTACCAAAAGGTAATACACCATCTGTAGAGCCCATGTGAGGTTGTCGAATGATTGGACCCTGAGCAATGGATAGCAAACTTGGAGGAAGGTGGGTGAAAATATCTGAAGGCATGTCCATTAAGGGCAGTGCCTCAGATAATGAGTAAGGGCCTTCATCTGAAGATTCCTCACAAAAATAGTTTAACAAAGGACATGGAAAATCCACATCTGGGGCAACAGCCAGTAATCGGATGCTCCGATCACCTCTGTACCTGACAGATGGTGAATCAAAGGAGCCAGAATCTACAAGGCACATGGTGTGATACCACTGTGCACAATCTGGCCGTGGGCAAAAATGCATAACATCACTAATGATTATAAGATCCAATGAGTTGTAAGAAAAAAACGGAAGAAATTTATAAGCATACGGTGGGTCATCATGTAATGCTGATGTTCCTTGAGATTGCCCAGCATGTGATATTGATATAGGAAAGGGATTGTAAGGCTTTGTGCACAATAAAAGGCATGAATCTTCTGTGATCTTCGGCTGAAAAAAGTCTGATCACATGAATAAGAAGTGAAATTGGAAGCCTCACCTTAATTGATCTTCTCTTGTGATCTAAGGAAGATCGCCAGAAGAAATCCATAGGTCCAATTTCAGAAACTTCCAAAAGGCCCTCATCATACATGTATACATTTACTGGCCCTATCAGATTATATTGAGTATCACATACTATCAGAAACAGTAGACATACTCAATATGGATTGGCAGGATACGATGTCTATCATATCAGAGTATATTCTCTCATAGGGTGCACAGGCCTGTGCATCACTATAATGCACGTATTAGTGATAATTACAAGGCTTTAAGGCTATAATGATGAACTCACAAGCTACCGATCCACTTCGCTACGTCATGCCGAGACCAATACCATCTTACTTTTGCAAATTGATTCTTGCTTGAATCTTCACAAATGGTGAGGACACGGCCTACCCATTCATCTTCTGTGTCATCAAAAGGGGAGTGTAAGATAACACTGGAGAGTTGTGTGTAAAAGTCCAAACATCAAGTCAATTTACCAGGAACATACTCATCACCTTTCCTAATCAGTTTTGAGATAACTTGTAGCTGGTGATCTACAACTGATGCATCATCACTTTCAGAGCCATCAGAATCTGTGATAGCCATTTCAACAGGTACTATGGTGAGAGTCAGTCTGCACCAACATGAGGTAAAACATATACTACAACCTACCTACAATAGCCTCAGCAGGCTGCATTCTTGCAAATTCTTGCATTGAAGGGCCATCAGTTGGCATCTTAATGGCATGTGTCTTTTTGTGTGAAAGATAGGTCTTTCCTCTTCTTCTCTTGGAAGAAATAGAGTTGCCCAGCCGAGTACTTGCCATCATACACTGAGTATGATGATTATGACAGAATGGAATGACGCTCGAACGTCACAAATACGATTCAGAGTTGACACATCAAAGAAAACCTTAACTTTATACTTATGGGGACTTAACCGTCTTATTCAAGTAATTAAGATGTTCAAGGATCTCGATACTTGATCGGCTTGGCCGGTGGCTTTGAAATGGTTTGACAAACTTGATTCATTGTACATTGCTCAATTATAAGCTTGAAGGTATGCCATACCACATCAATGAGAATAACAACTATATTGAGTACAGTAAGTACATGCAAAATGCTGCAATAATATCCATTGCACCATCATGCGCACACAGATCGTGACGCTGCGCAGTCCACCCTGCAAAGTTCGTGCAGTTGCACACATGATGCATGATGCCGGTGGAAGATGGTCAAAGCTGTGGGACGTTAGATGGGGCGGGCACACCGCTGGGTCAGCAGGACGTCTCACCTCGCGCTTCGATTCATTCCGCGCGGCCGGGCACAGGTGCAAAATCATCTAAACGCACCGTCCACCGAAACCGAAGACGAAGTCCCGCGCATCTCGCTCTGGCACTATGCCCAAGAATCTCCCTGGTTTGAACGTGGATGGGTCTTCGTACGTGTGAGGGTCATGGAGTAGTCTCCTACAGTGGAAGAGCGAGATGTTTCAATGCCATATCCATGACGCAATTGGCTCGAGAAGAAACAGACCAAATGTTGGCAAACACAACTGGGCCTTTCGGAATAAAGTAACCTGCATGCACGTCGTCTTCGCTCAGGCAATACGGAAGACCTGGGGAATATACCATATTAGTAAGAGTCAACGAATCAATTCCCAGTGCTTTTGGATGTATACATACCAGTGGGTGCAACAGGATGGGCAAGACCTCAAGGTACAACACTGAAACATACGGGAGTTGATCTCTGTCGGCGAGCTGAGGGAAACGATCATGCCCGATGACTGAATCGATCTCCGCCTGTCCTTGCTTCTGCACCTCAGGGTTGATCATCGTCCTCAGGACAAACAAGATTTTCATGGATACACTCTGTGAAGCAAATGAAATGATTGAAATTGAAGACTCATCAATCCACGCACTGCATCTGATCCACCTAAGCAAAGAGAACACGTGAGTTGGGACCTCCTCAAATTTCTTCCTCGTCGCGTTAACGCAACTTACAAAGACCTTGCGCTGACATCCTGATGAGCTCCTCGCGCTCAAAATCCACGTCGTCTTGAAGGAGTATAGACGTGAAGCTGGGCACTGCCGATCCCGCTGCCAGCAAAGAAAAAATGTTACTCAATTCTGCGACTAAATTCACGGGAACACTCACCATCCGCCCTTTGACAAATTCGAACGGCACATTACACAGTGCTTTGAAGTTTTTGGGCCACAAAGCTGTCGTCTTCTTCCAATTCCCACCTGGAAACCACTCTGGTACATACTGGATAAGAAGATCGTCATTCAGTGTCAAACAAGAATAGCGCTGCCATGGAGAGGATCTCACGTATAGGAAAGACGTCCACCGCAAATGCACCAGGCACTGACGCGATCGACCAATTGTGCAATGCCACATCTGCTATCTTCACCACGGGATTGTCGCCTTCCCTGACCTGATACCTAAATGCTATGGAGAGGATAACCGCGCCAGCAGTCCTGTCGTCATCCTTCATCGAAAGTACAGTGAATGAACAAAGGCACCGACCTGTGTATAGATTGTGCTACGTCAACGTCACCATGCTCTGCCTCGCGTAGGAGCCTCGACATGCAACGGCGTGATCAGTTTGCCGCTAACAAAGAGCTGGCGGCAATCGGAGTATATGGCACTCTTTTTCTCGAGCATCTCTGTGATGAGTGTGTAGGAATTGATGATCACGATTGTTTGCCCGAATGGAGTGACGGATACAAGATCCCTATAGGTATCGGCCCATCGTCCAAATGTGAGCCAGTGGTGCGAGATGGGCATGTCCAAGGCATTTCCTATCACTGGCCACTCTTTGGGACCCGGAGGGGAAGGGAGTGCCAAGAGGCCGATATCTGCAGCAGACCCCAACAGGTACTTTATAGGCTTCATGTACCGTCAATTCTGCAATTAGACGCCGCAGTCCCGCCCCACCTCTGGCAAACAAATTACTTTGATGCAGACTAGCTTCTCTCGCTGGTACAGCGCTCGCGACAGAAGCTCTAGAATGCGCCATGCTAGTGAAGTTCAAGTGGAGTGAGAACAGTATGCCCAGTAATTGATCCGGGAAAGCTTAAGGAACATAGAAGCACTTCATGCTGAAGTTTCTTATCAACGAGTGCATGACCATGATACCATCGCCACCGTCCCATGGCTGGTATCTGCAAGTTACGTGAGTCTGCACAATACACGGGCGTGAAGGCATAACCTTACATCTCCGAACTGTATTATGGTCCGCAAGTGCTGAATCGTATACTCTCTCACCGTGTGCTCCCAGCCAGGAGGGACAATTAAGCAACTCCAAATATTCGCATTCAATATCGAGGTCCCGAAGAGTAGACAACTCAGATTGGTCACTGAGGATCCAAGGTCAAAGGCGATAGCCCTCTTGATCAAAACACCAGCCAGGGGAAACGGCGTTTCGAGCTTGAAGATGCACAAAGTTAAAGGCAACCAAACAACGTGGCAACTCACCGAAGTCTGAGTAGTAGCTCAAAGGGGGTCATCAGGAACGTATCTCACCGGGCACTAAAACCCTAGTGACAACGTTATCTCTCGTAGGCAGACTACAATGTGACCCTTAATGAGTGTGGCGGGAGGGATCATAGAGTGTATTCACCTGTCAGAAGTACTCGAGATTCTTAGACACTGTCCGCGGTCTCAACATACCGTAGAGTGATCCATAAACAGGCCTGTCTTCGGTTTCTTCATACTGAGACGAGATACGACACGGTTGCTTGAGATGAGGACGTCACCGATTCAAGTACTGTTCAAGTAATATCCCAAGCGCTCAGCGTGAATTAGCGCCCAGCGGAGTCCGCGAGACGCCCGACTGCTGGGGCCAGTACTTACTTGCTTAGGCTACCGCGAAAGCATCTCTATTTTGTATTACTTGTTGAAAGTCAAGACCGGCGTGTGCGCGCACTTCTACATTTTTCTGGACTTTCTGTATCTAACACTGGACTAATCAGATGGACGACGGCGGCTTCGACGACCTCCTTGCATCCTCTCGACAAGTCGCGATGGAGAACCCTTTCGAGAACCCTTTCGCGAACCACAGAGCAGGGTCGCCGGACCCGTGGGCGACCTTTGGCACAGCTCAATCCCCGTCTGCCCCGCATGAGCCCGAAACGACTCAGCCAGACGTATTCGGTGCCCGCAGCACCACTCCTACTCCCGACACACCCAGTTTCGGGAGCTCCAGATTCCAGACTGAGTTAGAGCCACTCGATGTCGCTGCGCACGTCGAACCTGAATCGCCGTCACCGTCGTCGCCATTTACTCTCTCTCCCGGCTTCCGCGAAAGCATATCTACCATAGACGAAGCAATCACGCCCACACCCGCAAAGCCACACCCTGTCAGAGAGTCCACGCCTCCGTCGTTGATACCAGAGACTCCGCCCACTTCTCCACCAGCATCGTCATCCGCAAGTCAATTCGCACCGGCCGACGCGTCTGTGCGCGTCCTGGGCCATGCTACCCACTCTTCCACGACCTCTTCCAGCTCCCATGCCTCTAAGCCAGAACCTGCATTCCACACTCCGCTGGACCAGGCCCCGCGCTCCACGTTTGAACGCTCCTTCGCTGGGCTGTCCATCGGTGGTGAGACGGTAGGTGGTTGGCAGGGCTCACAGAGCGCGTTCATCAGCGGCTCGCGTTCCGCGACTCTGCCCCGTGCGCGGGGGAGCGTATCGGATGATGACGATGACGATGACCGTCCAATTCTGCAGTCTGCGCGGCTCATGGGGGAGCGCAGCCATCCTGCTTCTGCTGTAAGTGCACACTGCGCTTTTCGCGGTGCTCCCTAATCGTCAGTCACAGGCGACAAGTCCTCTGCCTGTCACGTCTCGTGCGGAAAATGGCTTACAACCCGTTTTCATGATCACGGTGGACGACCCACAACGCGTTGGGGACCCCATACGGGCATTTACGATGTACACAGTGCATACCAAGGTGTGTAATGCACTACGCTCCATGCTACAGAATGCTAACGTTCCACGCTCGCAGACGACTTACCCCCTCTTTAGCAAGTCCTCCTTCTCGGTGCTCCGCCGGTACTCTGACTTCCTTTGGCTCTACGAGACGCTCTCAATGAACAACCCTGGCGTTGTCGTCCCGCCCGTGCCCGAGAAGAACCCATTCGGCCGCTTCCACCAGGGCTTCGTTCAGCAGCGCCGTCTTGCGCTCGAGAAATGTGTGCAGAAGATTGCGAACCACCCGGTACTTCAGAAGGACCCTGACCTCCGCTTGTTCCTGGAAAGCGACACATTCTCGCTTGATGTGAGCGCTTACTCCATTGGCGCTGTGCTTACTAGCGTATTGACGCAGTCATGTCCTACAGATCAAGCACCGTAAGGCTGAGATGGCGCATGAGAAGGGAGGTTTGATGGCGTCCATCGGACAGTCAATTGCTGGCCCAAGGTTCCACGAGACAGACGAGGTTGGAACACTTTGACTATGTTGTGGCGGTCTACTCACACTTCTTGCCAGTGGTTTGACAGACAGAAGGCGTACCTCGATAGCCTGGAGACGCAGCTTCGCGGCCTGGTCAAGGCTATCGATGCGGTGACGAAGCAACGAACAGGTATGTCGCCTGCTTCACTTCGGGCTTTTTCCTGCTCACACATCGTCGCGTTCAGAGCTCGCTGCAGCGACTGCGGAGTTCGCCCAGACCATTGCGGATTTGTCGACCTCCGACGTAGGGAAACAGCTTTCTAACTCATTTACCGGCCTCGCAGAGGTGGAGCGAAAGGCGCAGGACCTGCAGACCATACAGTCGCAGGAAGATATGGTCACCATCATGAGCACAGGTGGAGATCAACACAATTAGCTGGCACTTGCGCGTTCACTGACTTTCCTATCGTGCAGTCGATGAGTATGCACGCCTGATAAATTCCGTGCGGGTGAGCCTTCTTCTGTGTCTGCCCAAGTTGCTGTTGAATAGACAATGTTGTGCAGATGGCGTTCAGCTCCCGAGTGCGGACGTACCACGCGTGGCAGAACGCAGACAGCAACCTCAAGCGCGTCAAGCAAGCACACGAGAGCAACCGAGCGCAGGGCAAGCTGCCAACAGACCAGCTCAGCCGCTCCCTTGCTCTCGTAGCGGACGTGAGCACAGCCCTCCTCACGATCGATTGTTGACAAGGCTCATTGTCGCTGCAGGCGGAGAGGCGTGCGCTGGACGCGAAGCAGGAGTTTGACTCGGTATCGCGGCTCGTGAAGTCGGAGGTGGCGCGCTTCGAGCACGAGCGGATCGAGGACTTCAAGGAATCATTAGAGGGCTTCCTTGAAGGCATGATCTCGAGACAGAAACAGGTACGTTTTTCGATCGGACCATTTGTACGTCGTTATTTATCAGCTCTCGCCAGCTGATTGCCGCATGGGAGAGCTATCAGCAAACGCTGCTGAAGAAGGTAGCGCCTCAACGATTGCCGACTGATTCGCCTGTAGCTGTATCGTAGTTGGCCTACATGATTACCTCTCCCCAAGCCTCATGTTTGTACTTAAAACTATGGATGTACTTAGGTGAAACTGTTCTGAGGTGAACCATGATTTTTTATTGCAGCCAATGCGATGCAAGAATTACATGTGAATAATTAGGGATAGAACTGAGTGCATGAGATGTGCTGCTGATATGATAGTGTTCAGTGATGACGCTCCAAAGTTACTAGTTACTCCCAGTATCTCCCCATTTTCTGCTCGCTCTCGCCACCAACCTCTAAGAAATCTGACGGGCGATCACGCTTCAAATTCCGCCGTCTGTTGTTGAGCGGCAGCCGTTGGTATGCCGAGTCCTGGCCCGCAGGCTGCTGGTTCGGGAAGGGATTCGTCCACTGGCGGAAGTCCTGCTGGTAGCCTGGCATCGCCTGCATGTTGTTGAACGACATGCCCGCGGCCTGTCCGGATTGGAAGGTCGCCGCCATCGCTGAAGCCAGCTGCGCCTGCTGGAGCTCCATCTGCAGCTGCTGGTGCTTCATCTGCGTCTGCTGACGCACCTGGGGCGGAAGAGACGGGTTGTTCAACATGATCTGGATCTGGTTGATCTGCGCTTGAAGTTGGGGAATGCTGTCGGCGATGATCTGCGACACGTCTATGTCGCCCATCGACTGCTGTTCTGCATATGCCTCTTGGTCGAATGCAGCGAGCTCTGCAGGAGTACCGTTCTACATAGGTGTCAGCCAGCGCACCATCAGAAATCACAAAAAACGAGGTCGTACTTTGTCTGTGCTGCTTGCTTCCGGAGTACTTGTCTGTGCCTCCTCTTCGGCCTCGTGCCGGCTCTTTTCGACCTCCTTGTCGATGTAGTCGCCAACTTTCGTGCGCATAGGCTTGTCGATGATGAGCTTGTCGAGTGAAGAGATCTTGCTTCCACAGTTCGGGCAGATGAAGTCTCGTTCAAGCAAATGGGTTTGGACACACTCCTCGCAGTACAGGGTGCCGCAGCATGGCGTCTTCACCGCATCGCGGAACAGCTTGTTGTCTATGGGACACACGATGCTTGTATCTATCGGTGTCCGTTCGCGGATGTCGGCTTCTGTCAGACCTTTGTGCCGAGTAACTTGCTTTTGCCATGACGCGCTTAAGATGATTGTCAGCCTATTGTTGCTCTACGATACTCACATCACGTACGAATCAGGTTGCGCAACGACATAGCCACCTTCTGGAGTGACCATCACACCCTGACCGAGCTGGCCGCTGGGTGATTCGACTGCCTTGAGGAAACTACGAGGGATACCTGTTGTGCGCTTGATACGTGGTCTATTGTCATATTCGCGGTCGTTGTTCGTTGGACAATCTTGGATCCAATGACCTTTGAACACAATCAGAAAACTCAGGAGGTAGCTCACGTAAAAATCTGCAAACCTTTCTGACCGCAACGATAGCAGACGTAACTCGGCGGCAGAGGACGTTCAGGTTGATGGTGGTGTGAACCATGGAACGGCTTGCCTCCACGACCAGCAGTCCCACGAGGATTGGTATAAATGCGCACCGCACTGTAACAGTAGTTGTCGCAACGACAAACATACAAAAAGGAAAATAACGTTCATTAGAATAGGATCTACTACGTCAACAGGAAACCCGCATGGGCGCGACACCAACTGAGACATCTTTTCTTGGGTTTCCTCCCAATTCGTTGTCTGCGCTTGGAACATGGCCGCCATTGCAGCGGCTTCATCCTCCTTGGTGACAGCAGACTTGACAGTAATCTGTGAAGCGTGAGACAGAGCTGATGCGGTGAAAAGAAAGAAACGAACTGCAGCAGGTTTGGGCGGGGTCGGAGAGACAGTGGCGTATTCTTCTTTTTCTTTGAAATCAAAGCGCTTTGAGATGTTACCTGGGGCCCTATGCCAAGAGTTGGATCCACTTGGCGTGGACTTCGCGGCAGAATTCGGTGCAGCCGAAGTGGAAGAACTACCTGTACCAGCAATGTACATTGCAGCTTTACCCTTCCCAGGTCGCGCGAAACCGCGTTTCACAATCACCGAAGATGAGCGAGGTATGATATACGAGTCGTCCTTATACTCTGGGCTCACAACCCGCCGTCAGAATTCGACCAGTCTACTTATATTACGAGAAGCTTACCTTCGCCAGAAGAGCTGTCAAGAACAGCGAGGTCAAGGTCATTAGCTTTACCAAGGTTATTGGCCAAGATGATCTCTTTCTTCAAGTCAAACACGGAGATTCCGGTACCATCGAATGTTACCCTCGACTCGTCCTTCTGAGACTTGAATTTGTAGAAAACCGAGGATGCCATTCTCCACGTATAGATTAATAAGTCCGAAGCTATAATAATACAGTGTGTCGCGCAAAGGCAGTGACGAGGGCAGATTGGAGAAAGGACGTTTGAAGGAACAACGTCGTTTGCGGAGGGGACGAATGCAACCACAGCCTGACATAAGCAGAAATAAACGCGGAGAAGAGCGGAGATAGAAAACGTGGCACCGGTCATGTGATCATTCGCTTAAATGGAATCGTACCAGTCTCAACTTTGCGCACAACGCGTCCAAGTCGCTGCTGCCAGTCGACGTCGGTCGGGTCCACGTACAAGCCTCATTGGCAGGGTGTTGCACACCCTTTTGCCCCATCATGACTTCCAAGTCAGGTATGCGTCAAAGAATCGTCTCCAGCAACGGTACGACGGTGGTGACACCGTCTGACGAAGGCAGGAAAACTGACCATCTATTGGACAAGCATGACCAGTAAGTTCGGAGACAGTGTACCTAATAGGTAGTAGCTGAGATAGTTTAGATACGAATTTGGTGGTCCCGGAGGAGTTGTCGCCATCATGACTGGCTTCCCCACCCTTATGTACTACCTTTGGATTTGTCTGGTGTTCTACGATGGCCAGTTGGTGCGTCCTGACTCCGTCGATGACATCCAACCCTTCCTACAACGGATGTGGGCTCACATCAGCAAAGTGAGTACCCGTGAATTTCTGGTCATATTGTGCGCTCATCTCGACGCGTACTAGGACGCGAGCCCGAACGCGTATGCTTGGAAAGTTTACTCCGGATTGATTGCCTACGAGCTCCTCCTCGCTTGGATCATGCCTGGTTACATGCAAGAAGGCCTTCCTGTTCCATCTTTGGGGTACAAAACGCTCATGTACAGGTGCAACGCCACCTTCTGCGTCTACGCGACCATGATTACTGCTGCCGTCCTCCACATCTCTGGAATCTTCCGAATGACAGAAATCATTGATAACTTCGGTCATCTCATGACTGTAGCCATGATTGTTGGCTTTGGTGTCTCCTTTGGAATGTATTTCCTGACCATTGCAACAGGCAATCAAATTCGGATGTCAGGCAACTTCGTCTACGACGTGTTTATGGGCGCCTGCCTCAACCCTCGCGTTGGTCCTATTGATCTCAAGATGTGGCTTGAAGTCCGCATTCCTTGGGTCATCGTTTTTTTCATGTCTGTCTCGGGCGCTTGCAAACAGTACGAACAATTCGGTTATGTTACGCCCAATATGGCTTTCATGTGCCTGGCGACATGGCTTTACCTCAATGCTTGGTGAGAATATTGCACAACACATATCCACTGCCCTGACATAAGCGACCTAGTGCGAAAGGTGAAGAATGTATTCCTCAGACATGGGACATGTTCCATGAGAAGTAAGTTGTGTTGCGGGATTATGCAGTCCCTAAAATCTTATCGTGCCGAAGGTGGGGTTTCCTTGTCATCTTCTGGAACTTTGCAGGAGTACCATTCGTAAGTGGTTGCTCAAATATTTTCTACCTTTACTGAGTTCCGTTTTCAGTCCTACATCTATTCTGTGGTGTACATGGCTTCCCATGATCCAAAAAAGTATCATTTCTCTACCCCTACATACGTTGCCCTATTCACGACGTTGCTGTTGGCGTATTTCGTGTAAGCTATCCTTCATGCCGCGACTCGCACCCCCGCTGAGCCTTCTCTCCTGTTTATCAGATGGGACACGTCCATGTCGCAAAAGAGCCGTTTCAAAATGCAAACGCAGGGCACCTTGACGTACCGCAAGACCTTCCCGCAGCTACCCTGGGGAACTCTGAAGAACCCGAGCTTCATCCAGACTGCTCATGGGTACGAATCAAACCTGGACTTTGGTTTTGCTGATAATTGACGCGCTCCATTCTGCAGCAACCGTCTTCTGACTGATGGTTGGTGGAGATACTCCCGCAAGCCTGTGAGTATCATGTTCACTTTGTAATTTCCGTTGTTGACCCTCTTCTAGAACTATGTTGCCGATTGGATCATGAGTTTAACCTGGGGTCTGGTCATCGGTACATGTACCCCCATCCCGTACTTCTATTCGGTGTTCTTCATCGTTGTTTTGATCCACCGTTGTGGTCGCGACTTCGAGCGGTGCGTATGGCCTTGCATGCTTGCCTTTGACTTTGAATATTAAACTTCCTTCTACAGATGCGCCGTCAAGTACGGTAAAGACTGGGAGCGCTACTGCTCCATTGTCAAGTACAAATTTATACCAGGGATCTACTAATTGTCGATGTTCGTTATCGCGTGGGTGGTATACCCGATGTTATTACTTCAATGTGCCCCTGCCAATAGACCATTATTTGTGGAAGTTCAGAAGTCATGACGTATCGTAAATTAATCACAGGAAGACCGCAAGAGAGCATGACGACGAAAGCGCGGCCTAATGTACGACCCTCTCAGACAACTGTACAAGCAAGTCCTCTATCCTCTTCTGCCTTTCCTCAATTGTGTCCAAGCGCCTCTGGATACCAGCCTGAGGCTGGCTCTCCTCAATCTGCTCGGCGGTCTCCGGCTGTTCAAGACTAGTATGAGAACGCATGTCAGAGCGCTGGCCAGGGCTCTCAGACAATGGTTGAGATGACAGGCCTCCAGAGCGAGAACCTGGGCTGGTAGTTGGGAAGCGTTTGAACGCCGTAGCATGGTGTCCTGGCCCCCCAGACAAATCCATAGTAGATCGTTGATGCAGGGACGACAAACGCCGCCGCCCGTAGCTGACGCTGGGGCTCACGCCATCCTGGCCATCCGCGAAGTTCTCCTCCGTGGATTGCGGTTGGTAAATCTGCGCGAGCGGACTAGAGACGCTCTGCGGGATCTCCCAGTGGGTGACTATGGAGTTCAGGCGGTGCCGGGACGACGAGGGCCCACTTGGGTGCCCTACCTGTTGCTGTTCGCTCTTACGCGATGAGCGAGGGGGGGTGGAGCGTCCCACGGTGGGGCGACGGGAGCCGTGGGACATCCGACGCGGACGAAGACCAGCGAAAGAGGTAGGTTCTTCAACGGTATCTAGTGCACTCTCTTCAAATTCGTCCTCCAATTCAAAGATCTGGCCACACTGATGAGTGCATGGAGATCAGAGACATGTAAGAGCTTACCGCATCTATGTCTGCATCAGGCCCACTAAGGCCTTCAAAGAACGCTGTAGTGAAATGCCAATCAATATGCAGACGACTGGGAGGGACGTTCAGCTTACTGAGACGCTTCAGATGTCGAGGCAGGGTATCGAATACTTTTTCTGCAGCTGCAGAGACCGTCTCGTAGAACGTAAATGAGCCACTCCGTTTTGCTTGCCTCTCATACCATGCAATGAGCAGCAAGACGGGGAAACTTGTAAGCCTGCATGGAGTCATGTAAACCAGACGATTTCATCATTGTAGAATGTATCGATGGTACCTGATCATGAACACGTTCAGCTTTAGTTCTAGAAGTCAGCTTTCGGTATGGAGACGCAGAGAAGATAGCGGACCTTGTGGAACCACCTCGGGGAGAGGATATAACCAGCTGGGAGTAGAATACATAGCGCTACCAGATTGATCGGTGGTTGGTATGAGAAGAGGAAGTCCGCTTTGACTCTGCGCAAATTAGGTGTGCTGCACCTCACTTACCATGTGTAACTTACCCTTCGATAGTCGAGACAGCCCGGCGAAACATTGCCTAATAGAGACCGTCAGTATAGGTCGTTGTACTCGATACAGAGGGTAACCGTACTTCGGCACTGGCATCGTCATTGATGGTCGAGAACGTGTGGGATAGTATCTATGACATTCTCATCAGCTGAGGCCTCACTTAGGTTCGTTTGGACACCTACAGAAACCAAGACTACAGGGACATTGTTAGCACTGTTGCGGAAAACCGGTATACAGTGAATACCTACTTGTAAGCAGCAAAGTGTTGCTAAGACTTGCGTAAGTGACAATCGTCACCGGGCCCAACCAAGGATGGATCGCAGCTGGGTTTGACATAGAATATGAAGCTCGTGAGGGTAAAGAAGTGGGTACCTGCAGCATCGAATAGACTTGCATCAAGCCCAAACCACAGATCGAGCATCCACCAGGCGACTTGACTTGATATGGGTAAAATTAGTCAGGGATAACAATCGGGAAGAGCGGTAAGACATGGGTGGCATACCTAGCTGAATATCTGTATTCAAATTATTAAGAAGCTGTGATGTCGAGAATGTGTTCCACTCACCCAGCTTTGTTTCTGCTGAAACTGGGATCACAAAAGCAACACAAATTAGAGTCGTTGCACACATTATCCCTGTAGCACTTACGTCCAAATCGCGTACATAAACCCCCCAAAGCAGAATGCCGCTACGCACATCAAGGCGACGAACTGCACAATCATAGCTCGGAGGGACAGGACCATGACGTTGTTTTTGAGAGTGACGAATGCCAGCCTGAAGAGTCGGGTGGGTCACGTCAGCTCGCCTGCTACTGGCTTCAACGATGCACACACCGAGGAAACATGAGTACAGCGATCAACGCAAGGAAGTCAATCCCCAGCTCGCGAGCCCAATGTCCTGCAAAATCCATCAGTATTGATCGACCGCAATTGCTGGTAAATTACCGTACTATGATTGTATACCCCAACGAGCCTGAGTATCGCATACGCACAATAAAGAGTGACTAGAATTTGAAGCTCAAGGAGGGGTAAGGGGACCTCTGCTGAAAGCCCTACATACCGAAAGCTAGGTCAAAGCCGTTCTAAGACTCAACTTCAGCCCTGTGTATAGCCAGGTACAACACAAAGCTTCACTGTTCGACTCACCCACGTTCCCTTGAAGTATACTGATAGTGACACATCAGCCAAGAGTTCCGATAGTAACAGACGTAAGAACGAACGTGTTATACCGTGCTCCTGCATAGCCGCGACTTTCTCCAGAGTGAATCCGAGGGCATAGATCATGAATATGCCCTCAGCCACGTTGATGTGGCCCATAGTATTGAACTCGAGGGCCACGATGAACAAGACGAACATGACCAAGAAACTGCGACGTGCTCTGTCAGCGGCCACACTGAATAGATAAGCAAAGTCGAACTTGGTGTATTCCAGCACAGAACGGATCGCTGGCACCTTCAGTCTGAATGCCGAGTGCGGGGTCAGAATGTCTACACAGATAGTATAGCAACGGGCCACACCGATAGTGATCAAGCAGAGGGGCCTTGTATGGGTCGTAGAAGTGGATGGGTGTTCGCTTGTAGGTCTGCAAATGCAGGATGAGTGACAGTGCACCTGGTGTGACTGCAAACGTACATCCGAGAGGATTGAACGACTGCTGTCCGCTTGGTACACAATCTTTCCACTACATTCATATGTCAGCGCTCACTCAGAACTCATATGTCATGACACCTTTCCTCCAAATTCCCTCAATGACTTTTTGACAAGCGGAGCTATTAGTGAATCGTTTTGCTTGACCTAGGATTGCCATCTCGATGGCATTCCCGACTCTCTCCTCGGGGTCTTCTTCACGCTCTTCCCTAGCACGTTGCAGAAGCTCTGGAGGTGCACCAGAATACACGGGCCAGCTCATGGTGACAGCCAAAGCAAGTTCGAGCATATTGTGTGCATGTTCACGCAGCGTCCGTATGGCTAGGATCTCACACAGAGCGGCTCTCGTGCGCGAAAGAGGTGCAGTACTCAGGTGGGTGTCGCGAATGAAGTAGACGCGGTTAAGTAGCAAGCAGAAAACGATGGACAAGTTGCCTTGACGCTGAATTTTGTTGTACTTCTCCTCGAGTGGTAGGATGAGATTAATGGTAACTTCCGGAGCAATCAACTGCAAATAAATCAATAAAACATGTAGAACGACTGGTGAATTTACTGACGGCCTCATAGGAGAGTGCAATATCTGTCAGGGTTATTGAGAAGGAACATTTACGGGAAACTGAAGATTGCATACCAATATTGTGCTGATTTGAACCCAGTCGAGACATATCAGCAGATGTGTGCAGTCTAGGAAATTGGAGAAGGATACCATAACATCCTGTATGATAAATGAGTCCGAACGTAATCGGGGAGGGAAAGGAGAGCACAGACTTCTCGAATCAATTGAATGATAGGGTAGACTTCGGTTGTGTCTACATCTGCTGCTCGCAGTAAGGGCTGGCGTTCTGGAGCTGCCTCCGACATTGTGCACACTGGCAGCGTCGGATACGAAGTCAAGCTCGAGTTTCGAAGACGTGACCGTGACATCGCGGCCTCCTGGCACGTGGTGCGTGTCATTCACCGGCGCTTGCGAACGCGTCGCAAGCGGCCACAGCCTTCGCGTGCCGACGCGCATCTCAGTTGTTTAAGTCAGATGTAGATACTTCATGCCGTGCTTGCAAATTCATACGCATACTCTCCCAGCTCGGTCATGGCGGTCCCGACTCACCACTAGTAGTAAACTACCTCGCGTTCAAATTGGTTAGCTTTATTTCCACCCCGCATTGGCCACGAGCAAGATGGTGTGCCTGAGTGAGATACGTGGGCCAATGGCACACGCCTCAGTTGCCAGGCTCAAGAACCACACGAAGGATCCATATCGCCCTGATGGCCCTCGCGCGCGTTTTGCACACTGACGACGCTCCAGTAGTCGAGTCGTTACACCACGTAGACGTGAATTATCGCCCCGTATTAATAACGGTGTATAGCCTGTCTCACAGAAGCTACGAGTACAAAAATGGCAATTAAATCTCTGGCTGCGTGGTCGGTTTACCTTCAACTTGAAGGAAACAAAAACATAGCAGTTACCGATCATTAGCCTTCTGTCTCATTCCAGGGACAGGGCATCCGAAGAACATCGATCAAGCACAAGAGAGAATTGTCGGCCCACGATCTTCGACAACGGGGATGCTCATGCTGACGCGAAATATTTGCTCGGCATATCTCTGCCAATGGCAGTCCGGCTGCGCAATATTTGTAAATACTTTCCCCCCTGTGAAAATAACCAATGGGCAATTGAATCCGTGTAGCTCGAGTTGACGGCGTAACCCAGCACGCAAGACTACTTCTACTTGCCGACGAGGGTGGGTATCTCTCTTGTTCAACAAATCCAAAAACGATCACAAGCATGGAAACGGCAAACGAATATTACACGATCCAAAGATCCCCTTGTCTCAATATCGCCGCCTCGCGGACTTCACATCTCGAGGAGGAAGACTGTTGGAGAATTCAGCACTGGCTGTGGAGGAGATGCCTATGACTCACGAGATAGTTCTAGTCTTCGGGAATAGCAGCAGCGGGCATCCACATTATGTCCGTTATCCCGCCTCGGTACCACAGAGGGTCTGACTGTGCGACTTCAACGCCGCAGTCATTGAGCTCCTTGATGATGGCGTTGATCTGCTCCTCTGTCGGTTTGGATTCCTTCAGATAGTTCATTTGTGGATACGCTGCGATGGCGAGACAGTAACCGTCGTCCTCGGGCAACTTCCCCGGGCCCTCAATATCGCTTTCTCCCGAAGTCACCGGCTGAGGGAGGATAAGGCACCCTACAACCTTCTCGAACTCCTTCCAGCCCATCCAGAAGGGATCGAGCTTGCGACCATCTGGCCAGGTAAGGCAGACTGACTTCCGTTTACAGTAGTCGAAGAAGAATTCATTTCCAATTGGGACAAGGAACCCGTAGTATTGTCGTCTGTTATCACCGGGTTTGGGCTCCGAGCGACCTGGAATGGATTTTAGATGTTGCACAATAAACCATTAACGGAAAATATACCAAGCATGATGATTTTCACTAAACCCCAAGTCATCAACTTTCTCTTAGGGATCTATTTAGACTTTTCGGTCTGACAACCCTTATTTAAGGTTCAAATAAGTCTGGAATATGACTTATGTCCTTTTTGGCCTTATGCCCTTAAATAAGAACCATAAGTCCATTTAAATTACGTAAGTGCCCCTGTTTTCTCGTTTACTGGGGTCCTTTTTGTCCCTGAGCCACGTAGTTGGCGTAGTCAGCTAATCTCGTCCGTTTCAAACACCGTTTTACTGGCAACAACGCAGTGGCATAGGTCAGGATGATTTGTCCCGGAGAAGCATAATCATCATGAGGGTCAGAACAGTCCCAGCGTGAAGCACGATGAGCAGGTGTTCTCACGCAAGGAGCAATTTTATAGAACGACCCTTCAACAACGGGCCTGACCAGATCTCGACGAGAACTTCGCTATGAGCACCAACACCAGTATCAGCGGAAACAGCTGTAGGAGTAGTCGAGTGTCCAGGACCCAGGCATCAAGCTTCAAAGCCTCAGGGGATGATATCTAAAATATACACGCACATGCTGAGAGAAGGAGCGACAAGATGTCAAAGCTTCTGGGAGCATGCATGACTACTTTTACTCGCCGATATGCAGCCGAACGCAGCGGATACTACCATGGTGGGTCTCTTGTTCAATGAATCCAATAATGATACAAGTACGGAAATGGCAAACGAATATTACACGGTCCAAAGAACACCTTGTCTCATGATCAATATCATCACCTCACGAACTTCACATCTCGAGGAGGAAGACTGTTGGAGAATTCAGCAATGACTGTCGGGGAGATGCCTACAACTCACGAGATAGCTCTATTCTTCGGAATCAGCACCAGCGGGCATCCACATTATGTCCAATATCCCGCCTCGGTACCACAGAGGATCTGACCGTGAGACTTCAAGGCCGCAGTCGTTGAGCTCCTTGATGATGGCGTTGATTTGCTCCTCTGTTGGGTTGGATTTCTTCAGATAGTTAACTTGTGGGTGCGCCGCAATGGCGAGACAGAAACCGTCGTCCTTGGGCAACTTTCCCGGGCCCGCAATATCGCTTTCTCCCGAAGTCACCGGCTGAGGGAAGACAAGACACCCTACAGCCTTCTCGAACTCCTTCCAGCCCAACCAGAAGGGATCGAGCTTGCGACCATCTGGCCAGGTAAGGCAGACTGACTTCCGTTTACAGTAGTCGGAGAAGAATTCGTTTAAGGTTGCAATTCGGAGAAGGAACCTGTAGTATTGTCGTCTGTTATCGCCGGGTTTGGGCTCCGAGCGACCTGAGGTCGATTTTAGATGTTGCGCAATAAACCTTACATATATACAGAAAGCATACCAAGCACTCCCTTGTCTTGAGGCTGATCCATGAGCCCATGACGCGTCTTCGGGTCGCTCTCGGGCGGAATCCAAGTCTGCACGGACATCTTTCTTACGCATGAGATATAGTATGGTGTATGATGTCTGACAGTTTACCACGCCGCTGAAACCAAAAGTAGTGATCGATTCCAACTACTTATGGCAAGTCAAGTAGTTCGCGTAAACACTCAGTCAGCCTGAGTACTCAGTACTCAGCCTTGGAAATGTTATGAACGAATTAGATCCTGTGATAGTGTACTTGATACAGCGTCTATAGGTTTGACTTCTTCTGCTATAATACAACGTACATTTCTCATGATTTAGCGTGTTCCTTCGTTGCCTCCCTCTTCCCAGCCGCCTCAGCAGCGGCCTTGGCCACTGCTTCACCCTCGTATCCTTCCACTTTCATGTCATTTAAACCTAGGTCCTCATTTTGGTCCCATGAACGGTCGTACATAACGATCTCCATGTTGGGGTCCGGATCGGGGGCGTACAGGTTCTGAAGGAACGAGTTCGCGAGTGGGTCGTCGAGGATCACAGTGAAGGGCCGTCCTGCATTCTTCACCTTCTTCAGCTTCTCGAGGAAGTTCTCGAATGCGTTGTCCTCTCCCACGGTATCCCTCGCCGCAAATACCTTCTCTGAGAGCTCTTCGTAGATCTGATCGAGGATACCTTCCAATGTGGTGAATCGCCCACCGAGGGTACCCGGCTGTAGCACCAGATCAATTTCTGGGATAGAAAGACCACACGTCTCGCTCTGCATCAAACCTATTAACATATGTTAATACAATGGATGGGAGACATGCCTTCAAGATGTCGCGGCTGAGATCTTCACGATCCTCGACTTTGAGAGTTATCCGTTTGCCCTGGTCGGAGATGGCTGAGCCGGACTTCACCTCATTGTCTCGGTATCCACATCTGTCACAATTCGTTGACATGATGAGGATGTCCTGGTTCATAGAGTCAATCACAAGCAGGGAACCCAGCACAGATAAGACGTGCCTTGAAGTATGGGATGTTGACTTTCTTCATCAGTGTATGTATGTGGTGCCCACAGCTAGAGCATGTCCCGGGGAACACGTAAACTTCCTCGTTCTCGCCTTCAAGTCCTTTGGTGATTGGCCTGTCCTCGTCTACCTCTCCTTCTTCTCCATCCGCAAGGTTCGCGAGCTCTGGCGGAGGCGTGGGTCCCACGTCCTCCTCCGAGACGAGCCCGAGGTCGACGTTCTGCTGGCGCGTCCGATGGTACATGCGCATGTTCCACTTCGCATCCGCCATGCTCCCCACAAATTCGATGAACGAGTTGCCCGAAGGGTCGTCCAGGCGCACTGTGAATGTGGGCATGGGCGCGTCCTTCTGGGATGCCTTGGGGAACTTTGGCCCGCGTGGTGTACTCTCTGATTCCTCCTCTTCGTCCTCAGAATCTGCGAGGATCTCCTTGAAGCCGTGCAGGATGCCCTCGATCTTCGTGTAGGCGGCTTCGTTCTGCACGCGCCGTAGAGGCTGGTCGGCGCTGAGATCCGCGACGATATCTCGGATGAGCCCCTCGACTGTCGTGAGCTGCCCTCGTAAGGGAGGAAGAGTGAGTTGGAACTCTGGAATCTCGACAGTGCAGGTCGCTGACTTGACGATCTGTCGGTCTAGGTCATCTCGCGACAGGACACGGACCGTGTAAACAACGCCCTCCGCTAGAAACATGTGAGACTTCTCCCGGCAAGCACAGAAAAAAAACGTACGACGGATACTTCCCGCCGATTGTATCTCGTTATTGTGGAAGCCGCAGTGCTCACACCGGAAGGACATGACAATTACTTCGCGGAAGAAGGGAATTGATGTGAGCAGCATCCTGGTTACGCCCTGCGGGAATGAACTACATGGCACGACAAGAAATCTACAAAAGGTTCATACCTGCTCTCGGCACTTCATGCAAAGTGACTCTATCTCCTGCACAGGTCTATCCTCATCTCCTTCAGGTTCGGCGAAGACATTTGAATCCCCTTCCTTCTTTTGCTCTGGAAGCCGTTGAGTCTCATCCGCGATCTTACCAATAGACGGAAAAAGGGTGGTTTGGTCTGACATGCTCGCTGGGTTGCGCTTGACAGAGAAGCTGGCGCGCAATTCGATATGGATATAGTAAAAGGTCAAGCACTTCGAGCGATCCGATTAGGACAATGATAGATGGGTATAATAGATTCGAAAAAACCAGGAGAAAAGCAAGCGGCCGGCCAGTCTGTCTTGACTCTAGGGTCGAAGTAGTTAGAGACGTGGTGAGCACAAGCGCAATGGAGAATCATACAAACTGCTAATTGGCCCAGGGCTGAGAGGTAAACTCGAGAGCGCTTGTGGTGCCCGATGCGATCTACCAGAGATCACGTGCCGGAGACAACACGCCAAAGTTGTTGCTTCTCGAATCTCCTTATCCTTTCCTCTCCTGTCGTCGAGACTTCGTGTAAAAGTCAACCGCTAAGATGTATTCTAGCACCTCTTACCCATCTTCCTCTACTTCAGGGCCTTCACAAGAATCGCGAACGTTCTCATATGCGCACCCGCATCCTGCAAACCCGACCTTCACTGTAGCTGGTATGCCGCCACAAGCTGCGGGCAGTCCAAGGGTACGCGGAAATACGCTTGGCGGTAGTACTTATGGGATGGGATTTGGTGGGTCTCTGGGTATGGGCCCGCCATACGTCGATGGATTATCGCACCCTAAACACCAATACCAGACCGGATACTTGATCGTGCGTGCTATCCTTGCATGTCATTCCTAGACGGTATTTTATGTGCCCTCGGTTTTCCTCCGCAGTCCGTCCAACCAAGCGGCGTAAGCATTCTTGTGAAGGAGTCTCATGTCGTGGTATTAATTGTATTTCTCTCCGTAGCAACAAGGCAACCAGCGCTCCGACGAAGTGCCTCTCATACAGACGAAGGCGAAAATGAACCAGATGTTTGCAGGCAGTTCTGCCTCAGACTTTGGGATGGACTCCATGTTTGAAACTTCGAGGTGTGCCACTCTCATCCATGAATCTGTGGCTTCCCTAAGAGGGCTTCTATTCTTCGCAGACAACGACAGAGACATGTATTGGCGGGGGAAGACGCGCCACCCACAGCCTCGCTCAATGATATGATGAACGAAGTATACACAGATTCGGGCCCGTCGCGTGTGCGCGTACGTCGACCGCTCGCTCGACTTCATCCCGCTCCAACTCACATCATCCCAGTCCTCTACGTTTAATGCCTCGACCAGTCGCACTTCCGCCTTCCGTTCGTCTCAGTCCACGACTCCCAAACCCGGACCTATACCCACGTCGCAGTCCCCACCGCTCTACATAATCGTCTTTGGCTACCCGCCAGATAAGTACAGCGTCACCGCGGAGTACTTCCGCTCGCTCGGCGAGACGACACCCCCCGAGCCTAGCACGGAGCTTTCGAACTGCTTCCGCATCGGGTTCGTGCATCCCGTCGAGGCGATGCGCGCGGTGCGCAAGAATGGGGAGGTCCTGGGTGGGTCGTGGATGGTCGGCGCGAAATGGGCGGTATGTCGCATTCTCTTCGGGTCGTTTCCTGCCCTTGAGGTGATCGTTGATGGTGTCTCTCTATGCAGGATCTCAATCAAGCGGAAGCGGTTTTGGGTCCCGCCGTTGTCCGTGGCTTGTACTCGCAGTCCGAGGAGGAAAGCCAGGAGGGAGCCTTGCCATCCACGTCCCCGCCCGGCGATGCGATCTTCCCACCAGGCTCTGGCGCAGACGTTCCAGAGACGGTCGGCACGCCACTCAGGCTCGCGCCGTCCATGGCGGCGTTCCGCAAGCCTGCCACGGGCGCGCATGCGACGCCGCAGAAGACGGGCGCGGGCCTGCCCGGTGTGGTTAACCTAAACGCGATGCAGGGGTCTGCGACAGTTCAGCAGTCCCCGAGCAAAGGCATGTTGGAGCAGGTGTCGGATCTCATTTTTGGATGGTAGCGCCCTATGAATCTCCAGGAGGGCTGCGGTGGACAATGCACTGGGGTCAGGGACAGGCTCGTTGATAATGTGTGCCAATGTACAAATTGGAGAATGTCAATGGCGAACTGTGTAGCAATGGGTATACTTGCGGACCAACAGTATCTTCTTGGTGGTGATCCGTGCACGAGACGCTCGCAGAATATACGGCTTTCATGGAAGTGGGAGGCGGTGGTGCAGTCAATTTGTCCAAGGTGCCGTGAGGAGCTCGAGAAGTAAGTAGGCGGCGATGTTCGCAGATGCCGCTCAAGCATATGAAGGACAAGAGTCATCCGCCGGGGCACGGAGATCCGCCGGAGCACGGAGACTGTTTATTGCTCACAAACGCCAATGTTGTAGGCAGAAGCTGAGAAGCAGCAGGAAGTACGGAGAAGATGCGCACCTACCCTCGGCCTTACCGTATGCATCGTGCGGCGTGACGTAGATTCCGTGGGTTCATTCCCCATTACCAACGCGCGGAATAGCCAATACAGATCAGTACGCAGCTCCGAGGGTGTTCCAACGAATGTGCACAAACAAAGTCTTTCCTGGGATAGCACTGCAGAACGTGCTTCCTGACATTGTCAGTCTCCTCGGTGATCGGTCGGCCTGTCGGACATGTCTTTAGAAAGCTGTGTTCGGGTACAGAGATTCTGCGCTTATGGGTTCGTCGTGCGCATCTCGTGGCTTATTCCATGTTTCGCAGTGCACGAGGGCCCCGTCCTGTGATTCCTGGGTAAAAAAGTAATAAGAACACTCCTATGAAATATCAGACAGAAGAAGTCACTGAAGCGCACATCATCAAGACAGCGGGGAAGGCAAGTGGAAGGTAAGACTGAGGGTGTAGCAGCCCCATAATCTCACGAATTGCCATCGCGGGAGGAATGCAATAGAATCAGAATGCGAATATACTGCAATTGCAAACCGTCCGACCGTCTGAGATCGTGCAACGGTGAAGGTCTGTCAATGTGGATAACGGGAGCTGTACGTGCGCATGTACTTTGCCCTCCTGTTGGAAAATCTGGAAAGATCTTGGGTCGGATGAGCTGGAACGGTCATAATCATGGGTAGTGGGAGGGCAGTCAGAAATCGTGCCAAGAAAAAGCATGAGCATGAACAGAGAAATGGGAGACATCTGAATGAGATCCAAGGGATGGGGATACGTCAAGGTGAGTTTCACATCATGATCAGCCAAAGTCCCTGTACAGGAAGCAAATGCAGTATCTCCCTCAGCCAATGGATAATAGCTACCTCCAAATTAGTCCCGACAGTCTTTGGGTCAGTTTGGCCTGGACATGGCTCGATACTTCCGGTTTGGTACAGACAAAGACAGTTATAGTAGTAGCGCAGTTAGGTCCTAGCAGAGGACTTCCAAATTCCGGCGATGCTACCACTATGAGTACACTGCCACAAGGACCATGCCTTCTAGGTCCTCCACCATTCGGAATGCTCTTGGGCTTTCGCGAGGCCGAATTTGTCTGTGCCTCGCGGGCCTTTGGACGTGTTTTGGGCTACCAGCAACATATTTTCAGCTTCGCTTCGTGCACGCCTCCAACGCTGGGGCCTGTCGGTTGTCCGGACGGTAGCAGGCTACTGTCCCCTTTGATCCAGGATTGCGCGAAGGAATGAATTTTGGTCCGGACAGCAAGGTCCCAAGCTTTATGGAGATCTAATATAGGTCAAGTTAGGGGTCAAGACACTGGTATCCGAAGCACCTTTTATTTGGGAAAACATATAGTACGGGTCTGCCTCTGCTACACCGATAATAATTGAGATACTACCGGCGCGGCCCATCAATGTCATTTGTTATGAGTTGCCTGTAAATTGGCGCTTCATGGCTTTCGGACTTCGTGGAGGAAGTAACTGCAGAGTAGTAGCTTTGGGGTGTAAAATGTAGAGGTAGGTCAAACAGTCAAAGTCCTTCCTCCGAAGCAAGAAGAAATTATGCGCACCCATCATGATCATGGCAGTACGAATTTGGGATCACATGCATGCAACGACAGATGGCGGTCGAGTTCCAAGTTTCGGAGTTGTTTGAGCAAGAAGTTTGAAACCACCTACACACATTACTACTAGTCTGCCGGTGAACTCGAGTCGGCGTCGCACAACGCCAGCCTGAAATGCCCTCAACAAAATCCGTTGTGCTTCATGCATTTTTAAACTTGTTCTTTGAGGGGCAATACTAGACAAAAATACAAGGTAGACGTCAACTCATGGAATCTTAGGGATCATGTGATTTACCGCGGAATCCTGCACTCTCCTGCACAAGACTGGAGTATCTTGCGGGATATCTGGCTGGGCATACATTGTCCAGGAATTCAGAGGTATGTATTCGAAAATTCCTGACGGATACTGCACGAATGATCGTCGTGAATTCTGAGGATCCCGAATTTTAGGCAATGCATCCTATGCATCGCCTCATATTTTCCTGCGGAATCCTGCAGAGATAGGTGAGTGCATTGACATTCAAAGATCCAACCTCTGCATATGCTATCAGTATTACAGAGATATATTTTTGTTACCTATCGGGACTGCAGGCCTTTTGGCCGGGCATTTTCAACTCTTTGCTCGGTCCTCCCGTCAGCTAGCACCACCTCATCGCATTAGAATCTTTACTCTATGTCTCAACAATTGGATAACCTTCGGGCTGCCTATCACGTCTTGAAGGAGCGAGTCAACCGGGCCCTTCGCACTCAATTAGGCGATGTTGGGCATCTTGGAGAGCAGCGGGACCAGGTGCTTTCCTTCGTAGCTGCTGCGGAAGCGGTGAGTTCAAACATTTTAGTTCAATCAACACTTCAGTTCTCTGATGACACATCTCTTGGTAGCATCAACTAGCTTTCCCTCTGGTAGAGTTTGCGACGCTTCGCCGGAGCGCAGGGGCGATGTTAGAGGCGCTGGACCTTGCCTGTCATCGGAGCTCAGACCCCCTGCAAGAAGACCCCCTTGTTGTCGCTCATCGTTATCATACAGGCAAACGCGGACGTCCTCGTGTCGAGATTGACAGACTGTTCCTTGAGCAGGCTCTTGCATTGCGGGGGAACTCCGCAATCGCACTAGTCACTGGTTGTTCTGCACGCACGGTTCGCAGGAGAGCGCTGGAGCACAATCTTGTCCTACCAGGTGCCCCTGTCTACACCGATAGGATAGCTGCGAATGGCACCATCTCTCGTACCTACCGCTCATCCACTGCACCTACCTCTCAGCTCACGGACGACGAGCTTGACACCTTCATTGCCGCAGTACTGGACGTGTTCCCGGACTTTGGCAGGCGTATGCTCGATGGTCGCCTCAAGGCTTCCGGTCATAACGTCCCTCGCCTACGCATTGCTGGATCCTATATTAGAGTTCACGGAGCTCCCGGAATGTTCGGTAATCGCACCATTCATCGCAAAGTCTACAAGGTTGCCGGAGCAAACTCATTGTGGCATCATGATGGCCAACATGGTGCGTAGTTTTGCTGCCAGCTCTCTTGTAGTGTATGCTAATTCTTAATGATAGGTCTCATCCGCTTCAAAATTGTCATCCATTGCTTTATCGATGGTAAATCTCGTCTCATTACCGGCATCAGGGCGAGCAACAACAACCGTTCGAACACAGTACTGGACTTATTCCTTGACAGTCTACATGTTCATGGCACACCCAGCAGAGTCAGAGGAGACCATGGGACGGAAAACGTCCTGGTTGCAGAGTGGATGGAGGTCAATAAGGGGTCTGGCCGTGGATCATACATTTGGGGAAGGTGATGTCCACCCTTCTTGTTTCCCACTCGATCGGTCTACTAATTCTTTTGGTATACCTACAAGTGTCCATAACACACGGATCGAACGTCTTTGGTATGATGTCACGCATGGATTTGGGCAGAAATGGAAGAACTTTTTCCTGGACCTGGAGGTCAACCACGGCTTTAACCGTCGACTTGCTGCGCATATCTGGCTTCTGCACTATCTCTTTCTGGACGCTATCAATGACGATGCACAGGAGTGGGCTCATGCATGGAATTCTCACCGCCTTCAGATCAGAGGAGAACGCTCGCGCAGTCCGCGTGACATCTTTCTGTTCAGTATGGTGCAGGACGGGCCGCGTGGACTGTCTCGGGTGCGCAATGCAGTCAATGAGGTAGTAGATGACCCATCCTTGTATGGCATTGACTGGGATGCTGCGGATGATGCTGTTCTCATGAACCATCTGCTTGAACAGAACCCACAAGATTGGGAGGATGATAATCCCTTCCGCGTCGGTCCCGCGACTTTATCTCATGTCCCTTGCGATCCCCCAGATTGTCCATTCACTCAGGTGCAAATCTTTGCTCTTGATGCTCGCCTTGCCACTCTTGTTGACGTACACTCTCGCAACATGGCTGTGCGCCGTCTTGTCTGGCAGAATGCCCTCATCGTTTGTACGGAGCTGTGGTCATCTTGAACATAGACTACTTACTACATTTCATATTTTTACCGGTTTCTGAATTGTGAACTACCAATCAAACCAAGCCCTAAGAATACTGAGAGTCATGGTTTGGGGCTGCCTGCAGAGCATCGATATAGACGCCACGCAGTAGAAGTCGTGGCAACTGTGTCATAGTCACCTTCGCAGGAGCTCCACCGGATGGATTGTGAAGTATGCCCAAGACATCTCATACCTCCTCAACTCTATTTAATGGTTTGAGGATATGTATATAAGGTCTATTAAATCTATTTCCATGTATTTACGAAACACAGTGCCATTATATGGTGCTCACCGTGTTCAAAGTCACAGGTGTGACATGTTACCAGTCACCAATGCACGCTCACATGCTCGCGACCAGGCTCCTTCCCACCGTAGTTTCGAGTTAAGGGGGGCGATATACGAACATTTCACGCAAGCTTCATCCCAGAACATATCAGCCACCGATCACATGACAATCACGTGAACATCCAAACTCCCTAACTTTATTCCCCCCAAACTCTCCACTACGGCTGGCATCAAACATTGGAACAAACAAACGCCACCCGGGCGCGTCTCACAAATCAGGCAGTCGCGCACCGCATTTTCCTGGAATTTATATATTCTGGAGGTTGCACCTCGAGAGCAGCACGCCCTTGTTATTCACTTTGCACATAAGTTTTGGTGCGGAAGAGGACTTGTATAGCTAGTTATATATGAAATCCATTATATTATCTCAGACTTAGCACGACAAAAGGCTGCGAGACAGCAGATGAGGCTCAAGCAGGTGGAGGAATACCGGTAAGCTTTGCGGAAAATGCGGTGCGTGACTGCCTGATTTGTGAGACGTGCCCGGGTGGCGTTTGTTTGTTCCAATGTTTGATGCCAGCCGTAGTGGAGAGTTTGGGGGGAATAAAGTTAGGGAGTTTGAATGTTCACGTGATTGTCATGTGATCGGTGGCTGATATGTTCTGGGATGAAGCTTGCGTGAAATGTTCGTATATCGCCCCCCTTAACTCAAAACTACGGTGGGAAGGAGCCTGGCTCGCGACGCGACACGTTAAGTGCAGTCACATCCACATCTGGTCATGTTGGGGTCACACGTGCAGCCTGATTGTTCAACGAGTTAACCTGTGCATGATATCACTGTCTCGTGTCCAACATGCCCGAAGTCGATGTTCTTCATGCTCTGGCACATCTTGTCCAGAAGGAGCAGCGGCATTATGCCCGTACACATTTGCAGAAGGCTCTCACAGGTCAGTACTGTACTCTTACTCTTGTGGCACAGATGAACATGACTTCTCTCAGGCCATCTGCAGCTGTTTCCTCGCACATTTGCTACTGGAACAAAGTCAAAGAACTGGATCACTTGTACAACAAATCGCCTAGGATACAAAACTGATCTTGAACCTGTCCCGGAGGCATACGAACCCAACCACTACGACGCATCTCGGTCCAAGAATCAGCCATGGGAATACCTTGTCAAACCCCTGGAAAAGGGGGAGGTCATTGTGAAGCCTAGGGGAAAGGAACTCTTTTTTGCATGTGGCTATGTGAGTATTCTGATCTTTCACTCGTGGCTGATGAGTTTGAGCCATTTCCACTGTCAGCATGGTGTTCGTATGAATCTTGGTCTGGAAGCGTCCATGCTCCGTGTCCGCACAAAGTCTTTGAGTGAGATTCTTGGTATCAATGTCCCTGGCCCGAATGTTAACAAGACCAAAGCGGATAAACTCAGGTCATTTCTCATTGCGAACCACTTCATTGTTCAGGGGTCTCAAAAGACTGCAAGTAAGCGTACCATCAACATCTTTGCAGCGATCATTTGCGAGGATGTATCCTTTATCCTGGTTGATTTTGCGAGGCTCGTTCAAGTCCATATCATCAGTCTGGATTGACACTGGCGAGAGGATGACGTACACCTGAATTCATCGGTAACGTTGCATCCAATTTTCGGTGCAATTTCATTTCTGAACATCCTTTTAACTTAGCTCTGGGATCTCATATGGGGACCTGGCCACGGTCCAGACTGGATAGATGAAACATCTGCTGCGATGCAGCAGGTGAATGAATGGCAAGCTCGTGTTTTGCAGGATCCAACGGGGAGACTGGCTCGCATGCCGCTTATCAAAGCCATGTGCGATTTCCAGGAATATTAGAATGGTGTTGGGCATCACATTGGACATGACATGACCAGCTCCTTTGGTATATGGCCTGCTACACCCTCTGGTGAAGTTTGCAGGGAGCCGCTTTTTACAGCGTTCAAGAACCATGTAGTTGACTACATGAAGCAGTGGTCATCATAGGAGTACTTGGACCATGTCACCGGAACCCCCAATCTCGACAACTTCCTCGATTTCAACTACAAATCTCACCGTAATTACATGGCCACCTATGTCTATGTCTACCGAAAGCAGGACTGGTATGTCTCTACTGACCTGTATAACAAGTTATACCGCACGGGAATGCTTGACCACAAGCACATTATCGGTGAGCATTTTCAGATGATTCTGTCTTTGACTATGCTCATGCATGTCTCAGGAGAACCCTACCAATACGATCCAGCCAAGTTGGCTACTCAGGGAGAGAGAAAACTTCTGCCTGTATTCATGTACAAGCAAGGCAAGTTCAAAGTGTATTCCATCATTCGTGCGCAGCCTCCGGAGGATTGGGCATTTCAAGGTGGTCCTGGGGTATATCTGCAGCACTATCCTATATCCTAGTGTATGGTCATATTGATAGCATTTGTTGCAGGTGTTGGCCGATGATGCCCGTCATGCTGGATACAGAACAACCCTTGGACCTGCGCAGTTTCGAAACCAGGTGCAGAACATGCGCGATCCTAAACAGCATGATAGGCCTGGCCGACGCAGTAAGGTATGCTGACATTTGCTTACCTTGTTGATCATGCATTGATCACTATTCACCCAGCATAATACCGGAAAGCCTGGACGACCGGGAAAGAACCCACGGATCACAGACGTGTGCAAGCAAGCCACTGTTGGCCTGGATTTCGAGAGAGGACTCTCAAGCAGCTTGAGAAGGAGCGTGAAGAAGATGAATCTGAGGGAAGGTATCTAGTGACCGAGTGCAACCCGTTGGAGGCTACCTCAGAGCGCCACGAAGATCATGAGGAACTTTGTTATTCTGACGATTCCGATGAGTTTGTAGATCCGGTGGACGAAAGGGTTGGAAAGGGAAGTGTTAGCGCACCTATTACTCTTCCGGAGCCCTGCATGATAGAAACCGGAAGGGTTACTCGCTCTCGGACTCGTGCATTGGGTAAGTGGTACCTGGTTGACGCTTCAACACCTGCTTACTGAGGTTCAATGTAGTGGAACAGAACACCGCTTCAAAAAAGTGTCGTCTTCTATAGGATCACCTTGCGTCTTTGGTATTGTTATTGGTGGTCAATGTGGCACCTCGTACCTGTCGCACTGTTATTTGTGGAGAATAGAGTGTTGCGTGAACTTTTCAGTTGCATTGACCTTGAGTTCCTGCACAAAAAAGTCAGCAGGCTCGTGTGTGTCAATATACGGTGTTGAGTATCAATGGCACAGCAGACGGTCTGTCATGGTGACAGCCATATCTCATCGTGAGTGAAGTTTGTTGTCACCTGGTTGAGTCTATCTGAACGCGATTGAATGCAAATCTCGTAAAGGAGTTGAAGGCAGAAGATCTGGCTGCTCACTTCAAGCCAGGGTCTGGTGTGTATCTGCTACCTCTGATGCCTTTCGATTCCCTAGCCAAGGACTCTCAAGGAGCGCAAGTTGCGATATACTATTTTTTCAGACTGCAGCTGACCTGCGTCTTTGTTGTACACCTCACTGCGATTTATCTACACATGTGGTCTGCTCACCCGCCTCTCGCTTGGACACATCCTCGTGTCCACATGGCTCCTGCACACTACCGCCGACTTAACGGTCGTGCAGTGGTCCTTATCATCTTCACCACCGCAATGTCTTGCATCTTGGGGCAGGAGCTAACTGCCGCGGACCCATCACGTGCTCCCTCCTCTTCGACACCTTCGCAAACCCGCCAACGATGACACTGCAGTGCATTAAGGGCTTGACGACGGGCTCGCTCCTGACCTTTTGCGATGCAGCCATCCTGGAGGAGTCGCTCATCGGACAGCTGCACGCTGCTGCCAACAAAATACGTCCTCCGACCCCACTGCTCCTATGCTGTCTCACACCCTGACGCGCCGCAAGTCCATTCATGAGCAAGTCAGACGTCTTCCCCAGCATGTTCACGCCCAGCATACGCTTCCCGTACAACTCGTCCAATGTTGAATACCTGCACACTGGCGATATGGACATCGACCCGCACATGCTCCTGCTCCTTGCGGACCGCTCCGCACCATGGGACATCCTCATTGCGTAGTTCCTTCACGTCGACTATGTCGGGCATCGCGCGTGGGGCCAGACCACTCCACAATGAGTGCGAAGCTTGCACAGATGGACGTGGTGCAGCAGCGACGAGCACACACAGCTCGTCATGCTCCATGACCATGACATGGGCAGGCGGGAGGACCAACACGGCGACAGCGTGCTCGAGACCTCCTCCGCACTCTGGGTGTACAGCAAAGGCCGCCGATTAACCGCCGTCCGCATTGATTTCCCCCGAGTCCCTGCATCTGGGACCGTCGCGATGCCATGCTTGAACGCCAAGCCCCAAAATCTCCAAGTTGGGCAGCGGGGAGTGAGAATACGGGCACAGGTTCTGCTGCACCAATATAGAGGTGCACGAATTTGTTTTGAAGGACATAACTAGACTGGAACAGGAGATCAGTACTATCACCAATGGATTACAAACATAAAACTTACACAGCATCATGGAATGAGCGCGATCAATGTAAGGGTTGAGGATTGGTGGGGCTAAAATGAACAGTAGGAAGTGACAAGCGAGGAAATCTGAACTCCAGAGCGAAAGCTCGATGATCTTCACAATAAACTGGCACGCTGGGGTTGTGATATAGCATGCGAACCCAGGACGCGACCGTACCATTTTCCTAACCACAACGCGCAGTTCGTCTCGTCATGCTTGAATTCATGAGACAGAAAGACCGCAATGAGCACCTTTTTGATCGTTCACTAAATGTAGATGACGGCGATGAGACCCAGCACCATGCGCAGAATACCCCTAACTCAAGGAACCACTAAAGAGGGGCAATGCCATCAGCAGCGGAACACCGGAATGATGTCACTACATACCAGGCACTCAAAGAAACCAATCACGCCGATGACACCCAATGAGTGAGCAAGGAGGGCCATGAATGAACCGAACTTCGGGTAGGGCGTGTCCAGCAGTGTCAAGGATACCAGGAATAGTAAGAAGAGGATAGCCGCATTCCACAAAATTGGTCCGATGGACACAATCGCGATATGAAGAAGAGCGTTTGGTGGCTCTTTTCTCGCGTCAACTGGGTAAGACTTGACAAAGAGGTAGGCAACCACCATCGGGACGGCCATAATGGTGGGGAAGATGATCTCCAAAAACATCACAGCGCACCAACCCGCCCAGGGAACGTCGCCTGAGAGCTTCTCCGAAGGCTGTCCAAGTTTCTTCTTCTTGTACCCAGTGATCATGGTACGCAAAAGACGGCAGTAGCCGATCCACGAGTTCTGGTGCACTCGCGAGTTACCGCTGTTCATCAACACAGGAACTCCCTGTTTCATGTCAGCTACTGCACGTCACATATATGTCAGAAACTTACCTATAGTCCACAATGAAATCGGCGAATGAGAATTGATGCAGGCTGAACAAGAATGGCGAGATACAAAGAGACAGGGTGGAGAACCAGAAGTAGATAATCCAACCGGTCCACAATGTCAGTGTGACATAGAGTAGCATCACGAGCGTCCTCATGCCAACATATACACTAGGGCCAGCAAAACGTGAGTAGAGAATGCTGAACGAGATCCTCGTAGTAGCAAAACCGCGGCCTGTCACGATGTCCCGAGCGCTACCAAATGTTAAATTGGTGGTGATGGAATGGGAAGAGATACGCGTTGAAAATACCTCGAAGGCAGGCAATGCTGAGCCGAAGTGCTTCGTCGGACGGAGGACAGCATTTATAGTCCCACGCTCGACCAGCGCTGCGATGGGTATGAGGATAAGAACATGTACACACTATTGAAAACTCACCTTGCAAGAAAAGTGGCAGGTTTGCGATCAGGAACACTAAAAAGAGACTGATGATACAGCGGTTGATCCACTGGAACACAGGTGGGAGGTTATAGCATCCTGTAGGACTGAGAGAAACACCGTTTGAAGTGTACTGGCACAATGTGAGTTGGCCATTGAGTGTTCCCAAGTACACTACTGTGAACTCGTCAGTAAACAGTGACTTCTTAAATTTAGCAGGTACACTCACTTGTCGCGATGAAGATCCATCAGGAAAAACCTCCCATGCTAATGTGGGTGCATTCGTCAGAATTTTGCGAATTAGTTGAGATTATGGCTGTTATCTCCATTATCTCCATTCCGTTGAATACTGAAGAATCGGCCGGTCCCTAAGGAACTGCTTTTGCTTATTCGCACTTATTCGACAATATTGCAATGGTTTCAGGACCCCTGAATATGGGAGGCAATGCCGTATCACGAATTCCCAAATCTCGGACCAAATGTCCGGCAAAAAATTCCCAAATTTTCTTCCTTATGTCCGGATTATATCTGGCCTTAGGCCCCTTTGCCAGATTTTGTCCGGATTTTCGAGACAGCATCAGAAATTCGAAGTTGTGTCCGGATTGTGAGATTTGGCCTCGCAGATGCTCATTTTTTGTCCGAATTGCATGATCTGGCCTTCTAGATGGTTGATTTTTGTCCAGATTGCTCCGCAGAGGCTCAGAAAACCATTGCTATTCAGGGGAATATCTTTCCACACCGAAGCCATTTTGACGCATCCCATTTCTCCTGTGTCTCGTCATCGGAAATAATTATGGTGTCTGCCATGCAGTAACAGAAGATGCGTGCAGAGAGACACGTGCAGCGATATGATTTGAGTTGAAAGAGGAGAGTGCCACCCATTTGATAGAAACGAACAATGCACGAATTCAATGTTCACGCCACCATATCACGCACACTCACTTCCGCTGAGACGGTGCAGCCACAGCTGTGGCACCCAGCGTTGCATTACATTAAGCGCTCAACGGTCGGTGGCATGTCCAGATTGGGATATGGCATTTCAGCCTCCACCTCCGGACGTCCGGATAAGGGCTCCGGCATTTGGGCTTCGGACCCCCTCAATTGTCTGGATTAGATACAGCATAAGGCTCAATTTTGGTCAAGTTTTGTCCGGATTGTGCTACGGCATTCCCACCTATATTCGGGGGTCCTATGGTTTCATGTAGAATCTTGCTTCATAATCCTCATGATCTCAAGCAGAGTTCACACTCACACCCAATGCCATAGACGAGATGAATAATAAAGAAATATATTTGAGTAAATTTATTACATGACTACGATGTTGGCCGCTGATCTTCTCAACGGCAAGACTACTTGGCTAAATTGAGGCTCCATTCACAAGCACCGGCATGTCAGGTGGTGTCCGCTCGGCGATACAGCTGCAAACTAATAAGAATTAGACTCAAGCGAATGGCAAAGGCTCAGGAATGAACATACCAGACACAGGGACTTCCAGCATGCGTTCCTACTATCCATAATGTCAGCAGCATACTGGGCCTCAATACTAAGCTCCTCCTGGCTGAGTTCCTACCATGTATGCAACCATTGCACCCTAGCAAATGATGGTGCAGAGTGAAATCCGCATCAGACACACGCGAGCAACACGTCGAATCCGGTATGTGCTCTCACATGCCCCTGAGTAGCATCACCTGCAGTAAAAATTGGAGTATGAGAGTCAGTATGTGCATGTCATGCAAGTGCACAATGACCGACTGATAGACGAGACATTTCACCTTGCAGAGCTGCAGGCACGATGAGAAGTCAGCGAGATAGATTACAGGGATGCCGCGCGCGCCATACCCTCTACTCGATGAGGCACGGATTCCACATAAAACAGTGGAGAAGAACAGTCCCAGGGGAAGTCAATGAGTCTGAGAGTGTAAGATGACGGTTGCTGGTGACAAGCAGCTAAGCGGGTGTTTGTTTCGGTGTTTGTTCAAATCAACAACATCACGTGCTCTTGGAACTTCGAGAGTTTTGCGGCGAGTGTCCTCATCAACTCCGAGTCTGCCTATGTCTCTCTCCATCTACACACCCTTTTTCAACGTCTCTATTGATTTTCCAGATTGACGGCTGCACACTATTGGCACTGGGTACAATAACAATATCTGAATGTACTTCTCTGCGTTCCTACTGGCGATGGCAATCATTTCGATCTTGAGCAATACTATAGGAAACTCAGGGAGTGGGCTGTGTCTTGTGGGCTGTGTTATGAGCCTAGCAGTGATCTCGCAAGATAGTATGGCGCCATTGCTGGAGACGTCATTTGTGAGTGTACCAGTTCACTCCTATCTGCCAACGAAAATGACTGCTTTTGATATGTATGGCTACGGTACTATATGCTGAATAGCTATGTTTGTGTACCATAGAGTATATAGACTGTAGCAATAAATGGCACTCTGTTCTGTTCTTTGCGAGCCTGACGAGTCAAATACAAGGATGGACACAGTGCCAAAAATTTCCCCTTATTTGAGCACATAATGTATGAAAAGCATGATGCCAATGACCGCCTATCCGAATATCTCCAAATCACCAGAATGAGGCAGAATAAGCACGATTATTTACCGTTAGGCAGAAATTGGCTGATGTTGCCGGCATTATGCAGAATCTGAGATTATTACCTCGGGAGGTTTTTCCTGATGTCTGCACCGAGAGGATGATGAGCATGTTATGGATGTGGAAACCGGGGTGGCCGTAGTAGAACGTGAGGAAGCGGTCGATAGAGAGCTGAGTCCCGAGGTAGTAGTACTCGCGACTGAGCATCTGTTCGCCCATACCGGTACCGATCTTCGTCTGAAAGTTCAGAATGGTGCTGAAGCCAAGGTCGCGACCTTTTCCGCACTGATAGTACTCCATATGTTTAATTCGTCCACCGCGGCCAAACGCGGTCATACCAGCATAGATATCCTCGTTCAAGTGCAGACCCTTCTGCGCCTTGGAGACACCACCGCGCGTGTTCATGTCTATCGCGTTGAGGAAATCGGGGTGGCCATAGTGAAGCTTGGCTCCAATCCATGCCAGTGAGCGTGCCGTGAGCGTACCAAATGTCTGTTCCTTGCCAGCCGCCAAATCATCCAGGATACCGATGTTCTTGGAGAAGATGTACTCATGCGCACCAACAAAAGTGACGGGGTTCTTCTTGAATTCCTTGTGACCCCACTGAGCGTAAAGGCTCTGGCAGGAGACGGCGTACTCTTCGAACTCGCCAAGCACATTGCGGATCTTCAGACACTCCTCCAAGTAGTTGTCCGGGTTGGCATCGATGAGCTGCAGGTATTCACCACAATAGAAGATGATCGCGTGGTTCTGGTTGTCAGACTTGCCATCGTCGAGAACTGGGTTACCAGGGAGCTCAATGCGGAACTTGGAGCGACGATGTGCCATCTCAGGCCCAGTGAAAACCCCATATTACGATGTCACGCCAGGATGAACCAGAGCGTAGAAGTTCACCTTATATAACAAATTGTCGAGGCAGGTCGAAGCAGGCCGTAGACTTTCAAGACAGCTCGCTCGATTACCCTTCAAGCACAAATTCTGGGCTCGATCATTTTACATTCTTATAGAATCTTTACATACCCGACATGCATTTTCCCTTCACTGTCGAACATGCCAGTTGGATTACTTTACGATATTTGCGAAGACAATAATGGGTAGCGGTCATGTGATCTACAGAAATGCGTCATCTCACAATTGTCGCAAACTCGTCCTCACACTTGTCTTTCCCCCATCTTCCTCAGTGCAACCACGGAGAGTGTGGAAGCCCCCTTCTTCTGTTCAGTTACAATTCTTGTACTACTTCCTTCTGCACTGAAATGTCACATCTGACAACAGGCTCCTTAACAACCTAATGAGGTTGAACAGGTGCGCACCCTCACCGTAGAGTACCTGCCTTGCTCACCCCCGCCCCGCAGTCCGTCACTGAGCCCGCCACCCAGCCCGATGCACAGAACACCGTCGACATCGAATCCTTCCACCAGATCCTCGACCGAGGATGACACCCACAATTCTTCCCGTGGCATAGCCTGGGCCTACTTCTCCCAGGCCAGCACCACATTCACCGAGATGGACGAGGACTGTTGCAGCTCCGTCAAGGACCTCTAAAAGCTCTCCTTCAGGAGAGAGATGGATCACATACACGGGATATAGGTTTACTTTGCAAGGATTATGGGAAGGCACTTGCACGTAGAACGGCTCCAGTAAGTGCAGAACAACTTTTTTTGTTCGATTTGGCTAACTATGTCTTAGACAGTACAGAGCAATATGGGAGCAGTACGGTGCGGCGAATGGTACAGGAGCAGCGGGCAGGATGCGAGCACCAGAGATTCGAGGGCATGAGCGCAGCAGCCACTGCAGCAGCAAAGGCAGAAAAGGCAGCAGCTAAGGCAGCAGCTAAGGCAGCAGCAAAGGTGGTAAAGAAGGCATCAAAATCTACGGACGGGGATTCCAAAAAGCCCGTGCATGCGGCGCGTGGAAGGGCGAAGGTAAGTTTATTGTAGATTTCAATTGGGCATGGGTCGCATGGCTAACTATGTAATATAGGTGTCTACTGGTGTCACTTAGTAGCGACCACAATAAGATTGCGATTGGTTCAGGAGCAGCAGGCCGGGGCGGTGGTCGGCTGATGGGATGTGAGCAGCGGATGGCGGGTGATCAGCGGGTGGGGTATGAGCAGCGGGTGGGTACGAGCAGCAGGTGGGTACGAGCAGCGGATGGGTACGAGCAGCGGGTGGGTGTGAGCAGGGGGTTGGGTGCGAGCAGTGGGTGGGGGGTGAGCAGTGGGCAGGGGGCGAGCAGCGGGCGAGCTGGTATGCGACGGTATGTGCAGGACGGACCACATCGAAGCAGAGCGAGCGGTATCAAAGTAGAATGAACTGTATCACATTCAATTGAATTTTCACTAGCTAGTACAAAAATTGGATGCATATTCAACAGATGTACGACCTAATGCGATTTCCATCATGGCTGTTGCGAGCACCTCGATCTGATGTGAACTGCTTCATCTCGCTTCATCCAGGATATCATATAGTTCACTTTTCGTACGAGATCGAAGCAAAATGCGGCATTGACCTGGTTCGTTCTGCTTCGCCCTTGCAATACAGCATTTTGACTGAGTCTCAGGGATAAACTCGAAATGACCATCAATGAGCGCAGAGAATAGTCGGACTTCGCCACCTTCCTTACGTGCGGGCCCCTCCTCAAGGTAGGTGTGGTAGATAGAGACAAAGGAGGCGAGTGGAGAAGGAGGGAAAGGCAGGACGTGAGTGAGTGTTAACTTTGATTGAGGTATGGTGAGACGGTTGGTTGGTTGACTCGGCTCAGTCACATAGTACGTATTTTCTGGAGGCTCCAGAAAACTCGCCACCTTATGGAGATGCCAGGCCCACATTGTAATATGAGCCAACGTGCTCAGCGGGCGAGCGCACGAGCATGAGGCCCCACATCGATCATCACGAGCCCCAGTTCTGACAGTAAGTGTCCAATCATTAGATGTCGAATTTTGATCACACCGCACATTCTCAGAGCTCGAGCATGCCCGCGCCAAGATCAATCAAAGAGAGCCACAATTCATGTGGTTCCTTAATCTGCTATCCTCACACGATTCCTGGCTCGCACGGGGGACACTTTCTACAGCCAGTTGTGCCCAACGCTTGGGAGCTGATTTACCGTGGCTTCTTCTCTTCTTTCTTCGGAGTCTCCGCCACAGGGCGGTGTGCCCCAACAACTCCGAGGCCCTTCAAGATCACATTGTTCGAGCTCGGGAGCCGATTGGCCGTGGTGGCATCCTCCTCCGTCCGTGCATTCTCCCTGATGCCGAGCACGGTCACGCCCACACTCCACTCACAGGGCACTCAAAACTCGAAAGTGGCAAGTGTCTCTGCCCATCGCGGAGTGTCGCGGTGCACACAGCGGTGTACCCTCTGACTGCAAAGCTCCTCAACAATGCAAGGCAGCACAAACCATTATGCGGGAACCCTGAATGTCAAGTCTTCAAATCAGTGCTCAATGACATCATGGAGACAACGCACATCGTGGCCACAACATGAAGACGTGAATGATCGCAGTATGCAGGCTGACGCACCGATGGACCTCAAGACAGTCCGTGCACTGCGACACCAGGTCCAGAATCTGATGTGTCTCTAACCCTCAAAGACACGTTCACGGTGCATTTAAATATGAAGTCTCGAAAGGTCAGCCTTTGTCATGTATGCATATTTATTAATTGTACCTTCAGCTTGGTGAGGGAGTAGGAAAGGGGCAACACACCTCAGATGACTGAGTATATACGAAGAAGAGAATCAACTTCCTCACAGTTTACACACATGCCGATAAGAGTTTTACATGCGCCCACCCATACAGGTTTACACACGCGAGACCTCTTACATTGCATGCGCCCACTGGTGAGGCGATTGGTATGAAGTGACGAGATGTGGTTTCTTTGCTGCCATGCACAATTGCGATCTTACATAAGCCAACACCGTATCCGGCCTCGGCTGCAAAGATTGTCCAGTCAAACTCTCCGCCCCTTCGTTTGCGACACTCATAGGTTCGAAGTGGCATGGTATCACATTTACTCATATGGACGGTGTCACGAAGGTCAAAATTATTCTATTAATAATATAGAAACTGGACGGATCGTGAGGAATTTCGAGCGAGCAGGGATTTGGGAGCGACCAAGATAGCGAAGGGGTTTATTGGAGCCCAAGTGCACTCATTGAGTCTGATGTTTCGGAGTCAGATGTATAATGTATCATCCTGCCTCGAAGAAGATGCACCAGATGTGATCACGTTCCTTTCGCAAATTGCTTGGCCGCAGTCTGAAATGTGGTAAGTCGCATGGAAGTGGCACTGTGCCGAATATCTCCCAAAGGTAAATCTCGAGGTGGAGGGAGCACCAGAGCCTCATCGGCATAGTACTGCTCAAAGATCTTCAACCAATAAGTTTGCAAAGTGGTCAGTTCTGCTCCACTGGCCACTTCACGAAGAAGATGCGCATATCCCACTCGGCCCTGCTCGTATATTGTGCACCAGTTGGAAAAGGTGTTATACTTCACAAGGAGCCACTCTACAACCTCTCATAGATATACAGTGAGGTTGGTGGGTGTATGGATGGGTGTGTTTGGCTTTTGGACTTGTAGGCCTAGCATTTTGGCGACCAGAATAATGGTGCGGCACTGAAGATAGTTCTCGTAAGCTGACCCATAATCCTGGGCTAACTAATGGTCGATTTGGGCCTTCATCATAGGGAACTCATGCTTGAGATATGCCTGCGTCAGGCTGAGGGTGGAGACTGAAGCGACAGAAGGAGGTGCAGTGAGTCCCACAGTGTTTATGAGTGATGTCAACTGGAGAGGAGGTGCAGCGACCAATGCACCGCCCATAGGGTGGACACCAGCTTGTGCTGCTCCAGAGACTATAACAAGTTTCTAGGTGCTGCTTTCAGGAGGCCCAGGTTGAAGAGCAGCACTATTGTCTCACCTGTGCATACACGAAGAGTTGAAGGATGGCTACACCATCGGACAGATCATATTGTCTGATAAAGTCGTAGTATTCCGCTCCACGAGCGAGGGTGGCTACCTGGCCGGCAGGGGCAGTGGTGTCCCTGTAGATCATGGAAAAGTGTCCCAAATCATGATATGTGGGCTGGTACTGGAATGATACGTCTCCAAGTACTGTAGAAACTGTGAAGAAGTCAGTCAACGTCCCGATACAATGTATCTGATCGCCTGGCGGAAGCAGGAGAGGGCACAGAGGCATCATTGTGTGAGAGTTGGCTGAGAGCAGATAATGAACAAGGTCTCTAGCATAGACGAAAGGGGTTGACATCTGGAATGTTTCAGACACCAATGTCTCACAAGTGCCCTCAATCTGAAGACCAAGGTGTAGAACTGCAGTGACTGCGAAGGGTGAGCGTGCATCACTCATGTCAATAAAGTTTGTACTTATTGGGCCTCAGTGCACCATTAAATGTGTCGCCTTCTGGGCCTTGGACCATCATGACACGTTGTGGCACAGCGTGTGAATGCAAAGGTGGGGCTGATTTGTTCTGCTTCTGGTTATCAGTTATCCAGGCATATAGAATCTCGACATCCACGTACATGATCATCAATCGCACCTTGAGTGGCGACGACTTGCTGACCAGATGATTTAAGGTCCCGATTAACCATTGCCTCATCATGGGTGAGGGAATTGTGATGGTCACTGCCCTGGGGCTCTGGATCAGGTGGTGTGCTGTTGGAAAGTATTACGTTCCTGACATCTTCGGGGACATTTCTAGAATGTCCTTCTATCACAGCTAGCTCTTGCAGTAATTCTGACGCAGTAGCTAGACTCAAATCCACTGCAGAATGACCTGTAGGAAACGCACTCAGATCGATAATATCAGCACTAGCTCTTCAATTTTGCACTCACGCTGAGTCGCCACAGGAAGTACATCATCCCTGCACTGATCAACTGATTTAGATCGACCATTAGAGCAGTAAAAATATTATGTTGGAGCATAATGCAGCACACCTTGTGCTGTGGAGGTTAACGACACATTGTCAGAGGCATCTGATGGAACTGGAACTGATCCAGGAGTATGTTGTTGTAACCACAGTATGCATCAATGGTCAGAACATAGCTTACCTTGGTCAACCTCTAATATTATTTCCGACCGTTGTACAGCATCGCCACCCTCAGCGACCTCAGTAGGATGAGGTTCTTCAGCAGGCAGAGGCTCAGCTCTGTACTGCCTGCGTGAGCGCCCTGCGTGAACAGTATGAGAGACAATGAGTCTTGGCACGGGCAGTGGAATCACCTCTGCCATTTCTTCGTCTGGTGGTACCCTCTGAAAACAGGTATTATGCAGTCATTAGCGATTAAGATGCCAGCACTAGTACTGCAATGCTAACCAGTCTCATCATGCACCTCAAATGGATTATTGCGTGCAACACGATCACGAACCATCATCTCAAGTTCATCATCCCTCCGAGGAGCACGTTGACTGTGCTGTGGATGCTCACTGGCCATGGTGGAGGTACAGGGTCAAGCGGCAGCCAAGGTGGTGCCCTCGGATGGGTCATCTCATCGGTCCTCCAACAAGTCCTATATGCATGGGGGTGAAAAAAAAGCCCGAGCATCTCAGAGCTATAGTGATTAACCGGAGCATCTGAAGCGCAGGACATGCATATGTCCGCGGGATGAATTTAGTGTCACAAAAGGGTACCTGGTATTTATTTTGCATTCTGGAGCACCATATTAAATCCTTAAAGGCAATGCTCAGTCGAGTAAAGCTCCACAGTTAGCACAGCGAGATGCATAAGCTCAGTCAGGACTCCTCGATCACATAGCGATCGAGAACCTGTAAGTGTCACATTTTCAGTTTGTAGCGGTCAAAATATTATATCCAAAGGACCTGTATAACAAGACATTTGGACACAGTGAGATATCGGCATGGTGAAGAGGGCTATGAACTTGCTATGTTTGGGGCGCTCATTTCTTTAATATACAGTGGTTATCTCACCGCATGAGTTTGTGTCTGTACACCATATGATCAGCACAACCAAGTGGTCAGAAATACCTGCTGCCAATGATCGGTGGTTCTTACCTATCCTGGGACTCAATAGAAGAGTTCACCAAGATTGTGAAGTAAGAGTGAATTACTGGGTGCACGACAACAGCAGTGGCAGAACGTCCGATAACAGGCAATGTTTGTCACAGTCACATTAATTACTGCGGAGGATCGTGATGCACGTTTCAAGGATGTGACATCTCCGTAAATGTATCTGGGAGTCTTCTTATGCTTCCAGAACAGTGATAAAATCCATTTTAAGTCAGTTTCTTGCATACAGTATCATTATCTGGGATAGGCAATGTGATGACGTGAGACGTGACAAGTCACTCATTACTCCTGCCGCCGAACATGAAGTCGGTAACCACAACCATTGATTTTATCCACTTACAGCCCTGTCGCAGTGACAACTGCATCATGCAACTTCGATCCTTTCAGCTTCGACAAGATTCTGTCGAAGCACTGCCCTGCGAAACCCGCCCTCTCCCTCTCCGACATGTGCTCCGCCTTTGATATGATAGGCGACACCTCGGTGGACTTACCGGTCAAGTAACCTAGTGTTACTGGTTCTGCACGATGTTCCTCTTGGACCTTGAGAGGAAGGTGAGAGCAGGCAAAGACACAGAACTCTTGCCTTAGAAGCAAGCTCCCGCGGTAACTCCACTCAGGTGCAAGGAGATGCTTCGGTCACCGAGAAAAGCGATTGACAATGAACATGATCACCGTCCAACATCTATGAGATTCATAAGTAGTGAATAACGAGGTTGAAATAGAACAGACTTACAGTGACCATAGTATCTATTATCTTCCTTGCACGGGCTGTGTGTGTTCACCTCACTCATCACTGACAATGGACGGAACTGACTGAGTGGCAACTCTCTTGCATATGCATAACGACTGTCGTAGCCAAATACTGAATCAGAGAACATGGACGTCCTGTCCTCCACTTTCTCGAAGAGCAAGTCATCCATGGAAGATCACTTACCGCCATCCAATACCAAATCCCAAGATGCACATCTGCTAAGCCTATGCTCGGCGACACTTTCTGGCGGCAAAGCAGAGATTGCTGACAGAGGCATACCATAGTCATTGTCAAACATCTTGTCACCCTGCGTAGGTCGACACACTGCACCAGGAGGAGGATAGAATGTTGGTCGATTGTGACCTAATTCAAAGCTCAGTTCTAGCGAGAGTTCGGAACACATTTTCCAGCTGCTCCACGAAACTGCGCCTGTCCGATCCACCTGACTGGTTCAGGTTCTGCAACTCATCAGTGAAATCGAAAGACTTGTTTGTGTCATCCTCTGATGAACCATTGTCACCATCATCGATGTCTGCTTGGTTCACGTCCTCGTCGAGCAGTTGTGCACAGAAGACAGGTGCATCGGCGACCACCTTGACCGCCTCGACAGTCTTGACCGATTCTGATAGCTGGAGAACCTCGGGCAAAGGAAGTGGCACCTCGCACGGGGAAGTTGGGCAAGAGACATGTTAGAAAGACAATGTGTCGTCCAGACAGTGCCCGTCCTCTTCATCAGATTGTCCGGACAAGATGACCTGTGAGAATATCGGAGTCACTATCGTCACCAGCAATCACGTGTGGGGTCTGTCCAAGAGGGGAAATGTTGCTGGTGCTACTCGGCATTGCTTCTAGGTCCAACCGGTTGATGAGCAATGCAAGGTCATTGGTCACGACACGGCAAATTACTTATGTAGTTGCGAGTGTGCAAACAAAGACCCCACCATTGCCTTCTTGGCTTTTGGAAACAGCCTGAGGCCTCACCTTGCCCAATAATTGTTCAGACATGGGCCGGGATGAGCGCATTTCACAGGAGTCAGAGATGCTTCCTAATGGCCATCTGCAGTGGCTTCCTCCACCGTGACCATAGGTAGCTGGCACATAGACCAAGGGGGAAACATCGGCATGAGTCGCTCTATCTGCATCTCTGGGAAATTTTCTAAGATGGGGGTGCACTTCCTTGCACCGGAAGTCTTGCGAAATTCGCACCTGGTATTCCCCCCCTCCTGTTCTCACCGGCTCCTTCTCTCCTTATGCTGCAACTCTTTAGAAGAGTGAATGCACTCCTTGTCCCAGACTGATGAGACCGAGCTTGATGAGGAGTGACCCAAACGACCTAATATCACTGATCCTCCTGAAATCGTGGATGGAGGGCACAGAGATGACCCACTTGATAGGACCAAAGATGGCCAGCCAATCGCATTGAGAATGAGTTGTGCCGAGTCCACTGACAGATGGTTCATGCCGGTGGCTGAGTCGCACAGGAAGATGATGCTGTAAAGATCCTAAGAAGGCAAACCGAGATGAAGCAGAGTCTGCTTCGTATGTCTGAGAGTTCTGATGAAACTGCTACCCAATGACCAGATCGTCTTCTTCTTCACTTCTATCTCCTCTTCTTCTTTCTTCTTTTTCTTACCCTCTCCTTTCTCCTTCGCTTCCTTCACTTTCTCCTTCACCTTCATCTTGCTTGGTGCGGTCGCGCGAGCTGCTTCGTTAATGTCATTATTTGTATTGATTAGTTGTGCCCAACTTGCCATGCGTGCCAAAAACCGCATTGAACAGATGGCGTGGAGCGCTATGGGACTGCTTGCGGGGGGCTGTGGTGCAAGGAGACCATTTGTGGTGTGAGAGGGGTCTGATGGGACAGTGGAGAGCATGGCTCCCACCGTCAGCGGTGATGGAGCATGTGATGGGATCGGCATCAGTGAAGGCTGTCGCAGCTGTTCCTGACTCGCAGAACCTGACAGCATGGGCTCTGGTGCTGTAACAAGATCAGTAAGTAATTCAAGACATGCAGAAAACGTGAATCCTACTCTTTCAATGGACTTGCAATTTCTGGTGTTCGCTCTCCTTTGCTTTTACATTATCCTTTGAGGTGCATTGGGCAAGGTGATGAACATCCCACAACTTCAGCATTTGAAATTGCAGGCTAAGGTGGAGAAATAAGGGTTCAGGGGTCCAGGTGCGATGTCAGGTCATGATGTGGAGCCTCAACGCAGACATTCTTGCACGGTATGTTGCCATCTACCTCTGCGGCATGTAGTAGATGGGCTGCATTGTCGAGTACGATTTTCTGACTTCTAAGGAGTGAGGTGATCAGCTGACGCTCATTTGATGAGTGCAGAGATCGACTTTGGCTATGGACGAGGGAGGGACATTGAAAGGAGTGAGCAGTAGTACCTCTTCCAGTATAGTCAAGCAAGGGGACTTGCCACCTTAACGGGTGTCCTCATCGCTGCTGCACTCCAAGTCCTGAGGATCGTAAGCAATCTTGCTGCCCCCCTGGAAAGCCGATCCTCCATGGGAGAGATTGGTTGTGTCCTCAATGTTTACACACGCACCGACAAGCGGTTTACATGTGCCCACCTGTGAATATACAGGCTTACACACGCGACACCTCTTGCATAGCGTGTGCCCACTCTTGAGGACATTGGTAGAAAGCAAGAAAGGTGGATATATAGAGGTCAGCAAGACAGTAAGTAACACAAGCCTTCGCGAAGGGGCATTACAAAATGTCACATACTGTGACCATAGTGACCATAGTACAGGGGCAAGGATATGGCATAGCCACTGGTGCATGTAGCTCAATTAATATTACTGAGGGCTCAATCTACCCTACTTAGACCACAAGACATAGTTATATAGGCACCATGACACTTGTGCCCACTTCACAATCCACTGCGAGCCTCTGTGACTGGTCACAAGGTGTGACTACAGTTACGGTACATTCGGTGCATTGCAAGAACAGGTGTGCTACTGAATTTATACACAATTAAAAAACCCAGACAGTGTGAGCAACTGTGAATGGATCCAGAGGTCGAAGGCCATTGAATGAACACTGTTCCCCGGCTCATACACCAACATATCCTCAAGCTGAGATGTTAGAAAGATATTGATCGAAGAAAAGCACATATGCACAAATATTGGAGGCAACTCCTGGTTCGCATACGTCCCAGTCGCAGTCTGAACATTTAGCTGCTCATTATTTATTAGTAAGGAAACTAGATGATGTTATAGGATACTAACACACCTGTATAGTCTAAGAGCCATCCACTGGTAGGAGCTCAGAATCCAAGATGGAGCGTAGCAACAACTTCGACCTTAACAATGAATCTTCTTCATGATCTCTATGAGCCTGCTCCGAGATTAAACCCGCAGCAGTCAGGTTTTGAGGAGCCAGATGTTCTCTGCCATGCAGATAACGCTCGAAGTGGAGGAAAAAAAGGCGTTGAAAACAGTGTAAATATCTGTTTTCAGTATCATACTTGACTGAGACCACCTTGATCACTTGGTCGACATCAGACACCTGCGTGTTGTACATGGCACCGATAGCGGCTGGAATTTGGTCCACCTGGAAGCAGTTATAGAACGACTGTGAAACAATGTAAGCTTTGCCTTTGTCCCTTGGCTGCACATTACTTACCACAATCATAGTGGACTCACCACTGAAGGACAGGTCAAAACCCTGCCTTAATGCCTGAAACTCACCATTGGCCCAGAGAGATCCCTTCGACAGCAGCAGGATCCTGGTCATAAATATGGTTGTCCACAACCGGTGAGAGGCCTCATCAGTATGAACTCTTCGCACCACCTGGGGCTATCAATATGAAATGCAAGTGAGCATGTTGTCAAATGAAATGGCAGAGGTTAGTAGTTACGCACATCGGTATCAACCTCTTCTACCAGAAATGTAGAAATATCTGCATCCAACTCTGCTTCCAGACCCAGTCTGAGCCATGGTAACAATTTCAAGGCGCCTTCCTTGTCAAAAAAATGGACTATCGTCTCATCCACCACGAGCGTCTCATCGATGCTCAGCAATGCCATAATGAGGAAGGGAGAGACATCTGAAGGACCCCAGCCATTATGCAGCATCTGAAGTGTGAAGACAGTACCATATGCTTTCCAAGTGGCCAAGTGCTTCGCAAAACCATGGTCCATGAAAATTGGAACCCGATAATGACCTCTGTCCATAAAGTATGCTCCATTTGCAGTAATGATAGAGCATGCACAAAGGAGTACGGCACGAGCAATGCCACTGCCAACCGCATCACCACTGTGAACTTGAAAATTAACCATTACAAGGATAACAAGACACTGCAGACACGCACACTTTGAGTACTTGCATTCTGTTTAGAAGTCCCCGAGGATTTGAAACCAGGCATTGGGTGATGCCTGAAGGCGTAACAAATATGGGTTGATCGTCCACTGGTGTGTGCTCATAGTGATATAAATGGACCAAAATTGCTATAAGACATTTGGCCACTGCGTCTTCGGTGTCTCCAACAATGTGGGAGTACGGACCAGGCACTACAACTGACCCTGCAGTGTCACTCGCATCATCCTGCCATAGCTCCAGTTCCACGGGATCTACAAATGTCAGTGGAGCAATCACTGGTTGTGGTTGCAATGGAGGAGAGGGAGAATATGCTATATCGCCAAACATGGCAGCATTCTGGCTGAACTTCGATGGAGATACAGGTGCATCTGAAGGTGCAGTATTCTTAGCTGCAGTCAGCGAAGGTCCTGCTTGCCGGTTAGGGGAGGTGGAGCGACTTGTAATAAAGAGAGAAATGTGCAGCTGACGAAGTGGTAGTAAAGATATCATGCAGGTCAGCAGTGGTACTGAGAGTGGGTCTATCCAGAAAGGCCGATGCATGTGAGAAGGTCTGCAGCTGCAGTGGACTAAGCGGGAATGGTGGTAGACACGAATGTTCCTGAGGGATCTAAACTTATGCATGAGGACCTTAAATGTAGACGTAGAGCCTCAACTTACAGCTGATGTATGCGATGTAATTCTTGGCCTCAGTCGCGGCTGCGGATTGGCATCTCGCTATGATGGAGTCAATCAATGTCTGCAACTGTATTGATAAATGCACCGAGCTCTGAGGAGACCGTGGATGTATCCTAGTGTTGGAGTTGCCTGCAACCTCGGTGTTTTCTGGAACATACTCATTGTCATCTCCTCCGATGGACCCTCTTCTGCGAGTAGCCGGAGGAACTGCCAATGTAGAACTAGAACACTGATGGGGACCACGACCACATTGTTGGCAAGGGGGGCAAAGCTCCTCTTCGCACTCTACAGACCGGTCAATATTGAAGGTTCCACTACTAAAGCCTGCAGCAAATCGAAATGGAAAGCAGCCATGAGGATCTGATATACAGAAGCAGCTCGGAAGCTCAACAGCAGGAGTTAAAAGTGTTAGTGGTGCCTTTATGTGTCCATATCGTAAGGCTGAATATAAATTCAATCAGAAATCCGAAATATATCTGTTGCACACAGCAGCCTACCGATCCAAATAAGTGGTTTTTTGGCCTCCTTGGGATGTGGAATATTAGCACCGATGGTTTTCAGCCAAGGGCCTGTAACATCAAAACCAGTGATCGAGTTACACTGCTTGATGTTGAACGATGCATCCGCATTGAGGCACTTGCCTCTCTCGAGAAAAACAATGGGAAGCTTATGAAAATAGAACATAGAAGGAGTGAGAGAGGGAAGCGGTATATGCAGGCCATGTGAAGTCAAAGCTAACTGCACTTTATCGTACAGTTCATGCCATACAGGCACTCCCATATCGCTGACCGCAAAATTGAGATATAAGTGGTGAGCATTCATAACGTCGAGAATGGAGGGAACCCAATCATTGTAAATCCTCAACTGAGGGGGTGGAAGAAAACTATCAGAGGCCATATGAGCCCGTAGCTAACATATATGTTTCATGAGCTGGCATCAAGAGGACAAGAAAGAGCAGACACACCACAAATGGATACACAACTACTGACATCTCCAACTCTAGTGCCGTAACTTGTGACAAACCAGATGGAGGCAGAGACATGCCTTGAGGGAATGGATGATGTCCTGAAGATGATGCACTCTAGGTTCCTATTGCAGGTCTTCCTCCATGTAGAACCTGATGCTGTGGAAGACTACGAGCAATGCTTTCTCGGTGCTGAGCAGCAACGTTTCCGCAGCTGGATTGAGGCGCAGTGAAGGCATCAATCGGAGGAGCAGCATGGATGGTCAGGAAAGCCGGAGGAACGACACGAGAAGGCTGCATGCCATGTTGAGACACTTCTACCGTAGAAGGTACTGAAGCAGTAACACTCGATGTAGCAACTACGGATGACAATGCAAGAGGGGGTGCATTAACTTCGTGGGATGCTGAAACACTGAAAAGGATTGCAGATATTGAATTAGAATAAGAACCCATACTTCCTGAAAAGTAACTTACACCAGTCTACTGTGATCTCCCCAAGGTGCACCGCATACACATAAACTTCGAGCGGAATGCATTCCATGAGGTTGAGCCTTTGGAATGCCTTGTGAGCATTGAAAGGAATAAAATCTTATTCTGCAAGGTGAAGATACTCACTGAATGATAGCCTCCACAAAGTGTCATCAGATTGCCTCCCTTTCCCATGCATAGCATGCGAGCAATTTCATCCATAATAACGACAGAGATAACAGAGTGAGAAAACCAGGGATGGGAACAGTAGCTGCAGATGTCTTCGGGAGAGGTTGGTATCTAAACAGGATGAGCATACCGAAGGATGCGTGAAAAGGAAGACTTCAATGACACACATGAATCAATCCACCAACTGGAGCATTTTTGCAGAACTCGGCACACAGACAAGCCACGTGAACGCAGCGATCTCGAAGGTACAGTGTTGACATCTTGAGGGACGTCAGAGACTCAATGGAGAGATAAAAAGGCGAAGCAGTTAAGGGAAAACTGGACTGAGAATTGCACAAGAAAGCAGCAACTTGCACTCTGTCGGACAAGTAAAAGGCTGGGAAGAGACCGGAGCACCATGTATTTTTAAATATCTACCGCAGGTTCCTTCAGATTCCTGGAGATACTGTGCAAGACTACATATAAGAAGGTGGCGAGCGCATGGTCAAGTTACTCAAGGATCCTAACCGATCTGCCATAATACCTGGAGATGCAAGAAATATCAGTTTCCCTGACCTTTATGTCGATGTTATGGAATAACAGTGACCCTCGTTATTCCTTCAGATTCCTGACTGGAGAGCTTCGACATAAGATCGCGGTACAGCAATTTCACGTGATGTCCCGGAGTCTTGGTAAGTTTACTGGAGGATTGCACGGGATTGTTCAGGATCGTGAGTTCTTGCTCAGTATACTGCTCTGAGATCACCGACAAATCATTTTTGTCCAATACTGCCCTTCATATTGTTCCCTTGTTCGGTGAGGATTTGGTGTGCATGCAAAAGTAGGCAAAAGTCTCCGGGAATATCTAACTTAATCCAAGTGGTTCAAGTAGGTTCAAGTTTGCTGTGGAAGATCCCGGAAGATCGCGCGGTCTGTGACTAGATCTCTTCACATTAGCACTCCTCTGCCATCTACTTATAATCATCTTCGACTGGAGCATACACGCATACCGTCGCTGTGCGCTCTTTATACAACTGTGTAATTACCTCCAACAACACAATTTGACTTTGAAGCTGATGTAACCGTGACTTATGTTGGTTTCTCAACGAAACGCCACCAACTTGAAGCCGCAGATTCAGATCGCTGGGTGAGACCGTGTCAGTTTCCTGCCCTCTAGTTGCCCCTTTCACAGAGGCATGTCTAAGGTGGAGGCTGATGGACCGCCGATGGTCGCTGTGACGTCGTTTCTAATTTTATGCACGAGCTACTTCACCGTTTGTCTTTCTTCAGGGTCTTCCACACCATGCTGATGCATGACGCTGCCGCTCCTTTTTGCTGACTTTCGCAACTAGGGTAGCTGATGGTCCAGCGTTGATATTCTCTGGGATCTTAGAACCTTGGAAGTTGCTATCAGGATCTCTGGTTACGAAAAATCAGACCTCAGTCACCCTAATCAGAAACATTGAACGCCGCACGGTACTATTAGTTCGAGCGCCCATTTTGGAACTCTGGTCGGCGAACATCAGATGCCCCAAGAAGATGGTGGTCAGGATGGCATCCTCTGTGGGTCCATTCGGCTCGGCCGCTTACTGATATTTCACTTCACATCATGCGTTTACAGAACTACTTATAACTACCTTTCGCAGGGCAGGGACATCCCAAACTTCATCCACCATGTCTATCACACGTCTCTTTTTACCCCCGCTCGACGGCAGCCTCTCTGTTTTGCCTGGCTTCCTTGACTTTCACGCCGAACACAACACAGACTATCCATTTTACACTTTCCCCGACCCTGAATACTTGCCCGTCTCTTTCAAAGAGTTTGCCTATGCCACACACCGTGTTGCACACGCGATGCGTCCGAATCGCGCTGGTCCCAACCGCGCAGTCGTCGCACTCATCATCCACTGTGACACACTTCTGTACGAAGCTGTGATGGTGGGGCTTATCCGCGCAGGACTCATCCCATTTCCCATGTCGCCGCGGAACTCGGCTGCGGCGATTGTCAAGATGTTGCAAGGGACCGACTGCCATCGCATCGTGCATCACGCGCCCTTCGTCTCTCTCACTGACGCAGTGCGCGCTGCTCTGCCGGAGTCATATCATCTGCAGCTCGATGTTCTTCCAAGCCTATCGGATGTCTTCCCCGCATTCGCGTCGCCGTCCGCTGAACATATCTCTCCTCCCAAGCCTTACCTTGCCTTCATGGATACCCCCCAAACCAAGCCACACGACCCTGTACTCTATCTTCATTCCTCTGGATCTACTGGCTTTCCAAAACCCATTCCTCAGTCGCAGCTCTCCGTTCTCCATTGGGCTGCAGCGCCTTGCATGGTGGAGACGTGCGTGCGTGGGTTCCACTGGGCGTCTCCTGCCCTCCCGGCCTTCCATACTATGGGCATCTGCATGCAACTTTACTGCCCACTTTCGTCGGGCCAGCCTGTCGCGTTGTACAGTCCGCGTGGTCATCTCAATCTTCCCCCTCCTGTCCCTACCGCGCAAAACGTGCTGGATGTCGTCCGGCGCACGTCCACGACTGCGATTGCCCCCGTACCGTCTTTCGTCGAAGTCAGTTCAGTTCCTTGCTTCACAGAATTTTCTTCCGCTGACGTATTATATTGCTGTAGGAATGGGCGCAGAATCCGGAAGATGTGAAAGTGCTCGCGTCCCTCGAGGCAGTGGTATGTCCTTCTCTGCACTCCTTTACGAGTTGGTTCATCTGCCTATTCGAAGTGCTTCGCTGGAGGCCCCCTTTCCTACCACAACGGCAGTAAGCTCACTGCCATTGGCGTGAAGCTCTATGCTGCGTACGGTGGCACGGAGTTCGGTCCCACCACTCGCATCATGGACACCATCGAGGATTCACCTAATAATCCTGACACCGCCAGAACTGGGAAGATGCGTGAGGACTGGCCGTGGATGGCATTCCCGAGTGAATACAACCTGCGTTGGGAGCCGCAGGGTGATGGCAGCTACGAGTTGATCTTCCTGGTATGTGTGACTGGTGGTCCCGGAGAATGGTTCGCGTGCTCGTTGAAGTCGCTAATCATCTTTACTGTGTCTGTGTGTGCAGACATGTCCCACACACCAGCCCAGCGTGGAGAACCTGCCCAACGGAGAGAAAGGTTATGCAACAGCCGACCTGTGGGAGCCGCACCCGACGAAGCCTGGTTTGTGGCGCATGTATGTTCCACATTGGTGTGGTATTGGAAGTCGTCAAACTCACGGCTGGTCTCCAGTACTGGCCGTGCTGATGACTTGATGGTGCTGGGGAATGGTCAGTGCTAGTATTTTCGTGTACTCTGTTCGTGCTCTGACCGATTTTCGTCTCCAGGCGAGAAATTCGTTCCGGTCCGTCAAGAAGGGCATATTGCTGCGCATCCTATGGTCATGGGCGCTGTGATGTTCGGCCGAGGACGCACACAGCCTGGTGTAATCGTAGAGCCCCGGCCTGAGCATGCCATCCAGCCGGGTGACGAGGCTGCCTTGTCCAAGTTTAGGAACGCTATCTGGTGGGTATGAAATACTAAGTGTCTCCTGCATATCTGAGATAATGAGCTGCAGGTCACAAGTTGAAGAAGCTAACCAGCCGGCGCCTGCGTTCGCCAAAGTTTTCAAGGAGACTATTCTCGTCACAGATCCTGCGCGACCCTTCCCACGTGCTGCAAAGGGCACTGTCCAGCGCAAGCAGGCGTTGGCGCTTTATGAATCGGACATAGAAGAATTGTGCGTTTGCTGCTACGATTGGTGTGGTTAACTTATTGATGCTGTTAGTCCTTGTGTCACGCAGATACAAGACCATCGAAGACAGCTCGGATTCTCATGGCATTACTCCACCGTCTAGCTGGACGATTCCTGTTGTGCAAGCGTGGATAGCAGAGCACGCTGGTCAGCTCAATGACGGGATTGTGCCTGCGGCTACGGCCGACCTGTTTGCGCACGGCTTCGACAGGTATGTTCACGACAGTTTCTACGACTCATGAATTGCGTGCTGATTGTGTTGGTACACCAGTCTTAGCTCTACGTTCCTGAGAAATCGTATTGTCGGAGCCCTACGCGCGTCCTTCGATCCTGCAGCGAACGCGGCGGCTGTGCATGTGCATTCCAACTTTATCTTCAGGCACCCAACGCTCGTTGAGCTCGCCGCCGCAGTTGTTACTCTCGTGCACCCCTCTCATGATGCCGCATCGACATCTATCTCTGACGAACCCGCTGCAGACATCGGGGCGATGATAGCGCAGTATACCGCCCTCCTGCCGAAGTCTGCCCCTGCTGCCTCGAAGCGAGATGGGGGCTCAGTCGTGCTCATCACTGGGACGACGGGTGCTCTTGGCGCACACATCATTGCATCGATTCTTTCAGACTCGCGTCTGAAACGCGTATATGCGCTTAACCGTGGCACTCGCGTCGCGGAACGGCAGCATACAGCGTTTGAGGCTGCACGTCTCCCGGTGAAATTGCTCTCAGATAGCAGACTCAAATTTCTGGAAGGCGACATGATGCGAGAAGATCTCGGGCTGCTGTCCGCAGTGCTTGGCGAGGTGCGTGACGGTCGGAAAGCTCGTTGACATTCATCTCAGGTAGTCAGTAGATTCGTTCGTCTGTCACGGACATCGTGCACAACGCTTGGCGAGTTGATTTCAACCTGTCGCTGTCATCATTCGAGGCACACATCGCTAGTGCCGTTCGTCTGATAACTGTCGTGCCCGGTGCACGCTTCTTCTTCACGTCATCCATATCCGTTGCGCAAGCTTGGCATGTACTGAAGAGTGGCCCTGTTCCAGAGGAGCCCCTCGAAGATCCGGCTGTGGGGGTAGGCATGGGTTATGGTAGTTCGAAATTCGTTGTCGAAGAGGTTAGCATAGCTCCGGGAACACTTGTTTCGGTCTACTGATACTGTATGCATAGGTCCTTGCGAATGCTCGCAAGGTTGGCTTCATGACAACCACCCTCAGAATTGGCCAAATATGTGGGTCCGCGGAGAGTGGATCATGGAACACCTCAGAGTGGGTGCCGAGTCTCGTCAAGTCCAGCATGTCCCTTGGTTGTCTACCCAGATTGGATGGAGTATGTAATCACTTTTTTTATTATCTCAGAACCCTAACAATAGCCGTAGGTGGTGGCGTGGATCCCCATGGATGCAGTGGCGAAAGCCACGGTGGACATCGTGCTTGATGTTGAAGCTCCCGTGCTCGTGAACCTTGTGCACCCTCGTCCAGTTCAGGCATCCACCGTATTTGATAACCTCAACGAGGCGCTCGGGCTTAAGTTGCCCATCGTGCCCTTCGTTGAATGGGTGCAGAAACTGGAGGAGGCAGCTTCAAATGCATCGACGAAAGAGCTGGAGACTACGGTGAGTAGAACTGATTAGTACGTTGAGCCCATTGATCTGATCTGTCGGACCATGTATGGTGTACCGTGCAGCCGGCAATCAAGCTCCTCAACTTCTTCCAAAGTCTAACGGTGGCGGAGCAGATAGCCAAGGTGGGCAAGCTGAACGAGGGTGGGGCTGATGGCATCCCTATCTTTGAGACCACGAAGGCACAGAGCGCGAGCCCCACGATGGCTCGGCTTCGGGAGTTGGGAAAAGTTGAGGTGCGCGCGTGGGTGAAGTTTTGGAGAGGCCAGAAGTTCCTTGCGTAATGTGGAGCGAAAGTAAAATTATTGCTGTCGCTTGGTTAGCTACCTCTTTTGTGTTAGACCAAACCGTTGCTCTAGTCTGATTTGAATTCCGGATGTCTCTGCTGGTTCGCTGCCTGAGCATGGACATATTAGGGTTGTTAACCAGCATAGGAAGACTCGGAGGTGTTCCTCTGTAGACGTTGGAATGTGCCCGCTGGAGACGAAAGGTTGAAATGGCGCTAGGGGCATATCTAATTTCTTTGCAAGATGCAGTAGTTCAAGATTTTTGTCGGGACAGCACGAGATTCAGAAGTTGCTATCCAACTTCTGCAGAGGTTGAACGCTGAAGGAGCCTCAGCATATAATTGCACTTTGATCAGGGCACAGGCAAGCCGCAATCGAGAGTAATAGTAATGTTCAAATACGCTCGTACATTATTTTCTACAGCACCTCACGCCCGACTTACAACAAGCTGAAGCCATAAAACGAGTGTGCCGGGAATAACCCTAGGGCAAAATACCTAGATTATATAAAAACCAGTGACGCTTTCGATGCCTATACGGCGTACATGCGCGCAGGCAACAAAAGAAGGATCAAACGAGTGACTGCGACTTCATCCCGGTCGAAGAGTAGTCGTCGTCGACGACATGCGTGAACGAAGTCGGGCCCTTCCCGTCGTTGACATCGCTGGTAACGTGCTGGAAGATCTCGATGGGGCGCTGAAGAGGGCAGATCAAGGCATAATTCGACGAGCAATCCAATGGACAGATATGGACAGGAGGGAGACGTACAGGTACTTTTGGCTCGGTCTGAATCTGGCGTCGGGAGGTCAGCTCGACTGAGTTCGCATTGGGATCCTGGCTCGTGCTCTTGCCCCCGCCTTGCCGGAGTGTGCGCGCGTTCAGGCTGTACGAATCAGAATGTCATTATTCCTCCGGGCAGTAAAATACGGGAGCGTACGTTGCGAGGAACGAGTTCGCGTAAACTGAAAATAGGTGAGAAATGCTGTGACAACATCTGAGGTGATGATGTACGTACGCTTTCCCTGAACTTGCACGAGCCCGGCGAAGACGAGACTGTTCTTGACGAAGATAAACTGATGTGTATTTGGATCAGTACTTGACGTACGACGAATGCACTCGACCTACGGTAAGCACGATGCTGATCGATACCACCCTGTGTGAAAATGTCAGGTCTAACTGGAAATTTGGACCGAAGTTTACTTGCATTGTCAGGGCCCCAGAATTGACAACGTATGATTGCATCGACCGGATGAGGTGATCCGTGCTGAAAAGATCAGGGATCAACACCAGTTTTTTTTAAAGGTGAAAAATCGGGCACACCCTTGGAAACCCGTCCTGCTACTTTGCAGGTAATAGATGAGGATTACCGCAACTGCCAGATCTGTCGCCGCGGCGAAACTGAGACCGCAGGTCACAGTAAACTGGGAAATTGGTGAAGAGGAATGCGTCGTCTGGGTGGATCGATCATTAACCAACATGTAACGTACGAAGGAGCCCTTGTTCTGGTCAAATTCTTTCCATGTGGCGGTCGTCCATCTGCAGTTGGTCAATCATGAACAGGGATGCGCACTCGCATCAACGGAGATACATACGTCAGAACACCGGTAGCTAAGTTTGAACAAGACACTTAGTGTCAATGCCTGGCTTAGTATAGAATTGAACATCCGCACCGTAGCTCATGCCTGTAGATTACAGGTAACGTGAGCATCCTGACGTGCAAAACGAAAAATGCGACGTACAGACACGGATGAACAGCAATACGCTCTACGAAGCAGATTACTAAACGAATAGGTAAAATATTGATATCACGAACCGGTATAGCGGTGACAATGATGGACTTGTGACTCACTGGAAGACAGAAATCAGACCAGATCTCAATTATTATGGAGGAAAATAACGCACGAATCCATATACGACGGATGAAGAAGCTGTAAAAATGCAAGTCAGTGTCACGAGTTGTGTATTGGAACATTTGTGGATGTACCCTTGTGCGAACGCTGCAATGGTGACCTGGATTTGGAGAGATTTCGCTCGCAACGACCAACATATCACAGGAAGAAACACAACATACCTCGGTAAACACTGTAGCCTACAGTAACTAAGATGAGCAAAAATGGGTTTACCATCACTGATGAGCCTACCCCGGCACTCCTGCATCGTCTTGTGAGCACGTCTGATTAGTGTAAATAGCAGACAACCACTCACCAGATGATAAGGGATGCCGTAACCAGATTGCCAAAACCAGTGATCACATAGTGATACATCATATGCAGACAGAACGCCGTATGTAACGTCTCCAGTAACCTTAGACATGTCAACGAGCATGGACGAACGAACACACAGTTTTTGCTCACCATATGAGTAGAACAGTCCGCCTAATAATCTTGACGTCGTTGGGGAAATTCCACCAATAGAGGTACGCCTGTGCTGTTGTGATTCCGTACAACCTAGACGGATGATGGTTTTGGGTTTTCAAAAGGACAGACAGGCGGGTACTTACATTGCGGCGAGGGAGATCTCAATGAACATGCCTCCAAGGAGGGTCTGCGCGACGCTGGCGATTTCTGCTTGTTCTGCCGCTGAAGCCATTATTGCAAGAGGATACCAAGGACGTCCAGGAGATGGAACTACTGGGGCAACGGCGCTAAGACAAGGTTTGGACGAGACACATCCGCCGGGTTAATATCCCTCTGGGATGGTAGACTGATGGAATCAACGGTCCGATGGCGCTCGGAAGAAGAGGTATATTTGTACGCTGCGCCACCGGCCGTTTAAGAAGCGAGAGAACTGGAAGAGGTACGGATCTGCTTGACAGATGATCAGACCGAAAGTTACACACCCTAAATCGCAAGGTAACGAACGCTTCAGTTGCCCTGATACCGTCGCTAGAACCTCCCAGCTGAAACCGTCGTGGATATATGACCGGGAATAAATGGAGGATTTCGGCGACTCGCACTCTAACACTTGGTGAGGAAACTAAATTGCTCGACTGAAGAATCGGATGTCCATCCACACTTCACAAAAACCAGGCCCTTCACGTGGATTAGACATTGTGATAGTACGACATCATCCAGCATTTGTGTGATCAGTTGGTCTTACTCCTGGGTGGTCCAGAGCCGCAGGTCCTGCTGTCACCCCGATGGTGCAGAGCAGTAGCCGTACCTAAGAAAATGTTTTCTACGTGAGTGCATACGGTTAGTAACGTTCTGCGCACGATCAATCCGGAGGGACGAGAGCACGAGGTACGAGCCGTGGTCAGCCGATCCAGAATCTTTCATCCAGCAGCCGGGGTGGACATGACCTTTTATGGAAATGCGAGTTACGAGCGGTTTTAGTTTGCCGCATCTTGTCCTAGTACTGTGGTCTTCATTTTTGAGTCCGACCTCTCACCCATGGTCACTAAGCTAGCCCACTTCTTTCGCTCGAATTTCCTCCTCAGCACTCTATCTTCGCTCGAGACATGGGGCTCAAGGTTTTGCACGAGTGCTTGTAGAAGGCACCCCGAGGCGTGGGGGCTGACATAGACATCTTAACTGCAATGGGGCCCTCCAGAAAACCACCGCACCTGCGTATTCGATCGGCGACCGCGCCAGCCCCGGAGTCTACGAGGCAAACTCGACTCTCAAGCCCGCTCAAGCCCACCAAAGCCCTCGCTTGCACCGCAAGTACAAAGTGACGGATCTTTCCATCATATCCGGCCCCCCCTGGCAAGAAACTCTCTCGGGAGCGTGGATAAATTGTTCTTCCTCTTTTCCGCAGGAACGGCGACTGAACGGCGTGGCGCAAGAAGGGGCCAAGCTCTGTGGTCCGGAATATTCCACCGCCACCGCCACCACCACCTTCTTTACGCTGGTTGACCGGCCTCTAGTAGAATGGAAGAAGTTGATCCTCTGTATCATAAGACTGTATGATCCTCCTTGCAGAAATCGGTGTTCCGGGTCCCACTTTGGCTACTCAGTACTCAACACCCTACCCAGTTTCCGGGGTCCTCAAATTTTAGAGAGGCCCTCTTGGCGCGACCCGGCTATCTTGTGCTTGTGGCGCCACAGTCGCTGACTGACCTGCCAGCGGACCGGCGCGTGCATGTGCCCGCATCCCCAGAATTTCTACACGGAGTTCCGCTGAGGCCCCAAGTGTGTCGTCCAGTCCTTTCACCGCGCAGATAGCTTCTCCTGACGGCTCTGATGTACAGTATATTTATTGTATAGGCTTTACGGTCCTCCACTTGCTCTGCCATGCTCGCTGCTTCAAGCATTCGTAACGAAGGCCCATGGCGGCGACACGATACTACTATCTTCACGATGCCCTACCACCCCGGTCGCTTAGGGTAAACCTGATCATCCTCTCCTAAACACCTCCATGCCAACCTGCCCGTCGTTATCATTCTGAGGGGGTTTACACACGATTTCAGCGGACGGTCGTGATGGCAGTAGTCAGGCAGTCGTCGTCCTTGTCTGTCACCCTCTGTCTGTGTCTGACACGGCGACAGATCAAGAGACTTCTAGTGGTTTGTTGCAAGGTTTGGTTGACGTGCTTTCGGACCTTTGAAGTTTCGACGGAGGTCCGAAGAGATGCCGGGGTGATCTGATGTTCCGCCGTTCTTTCCTATTTTTTGACTCGGTTCTAGTTTTCTAGAGGTGGCGTTGAAGTCACCCTCATCATATCAACGACTTCATCGATCGGAATTCCATGCTGCTATGGATCCTCGGGTGCAGTTGGAGCTCTCGAGCTTGGGCATGACAACAAAAAAGGCCTCATGCGCTGTTCCGCGTGCAGGCTTGAAATACTGCCGTACGAACGGACGCCGACGACCCACGCTAATGGCCACAGCGCGAGGATGATTTTTCGCAATTGCTGTTGATCTGTGCGTGCCGACTGACACTGGCTTGGCCCACTGGTAACTCTTTACTCACGTTGAATGCTGGTGCACCTGGGACTGCTTACTTTTCTCTTCCGTTCAACACGTATGCTGGCCGAGGTTCCGCGTGTCTCCTCGGCCAGTTAACTGTACGCGCGTCGACAGGCGGGTGTATGTCTACGAGTGCAACGCTGGTACACTAGATTGTTAAATCTTCCCCTTTGAGGACCACTTTTGTAGTGTCTTTCGCACAGGCAGGAGGTACTGAGAATCCTGTGCACATTCAACATGTGTTAACCCGTGCAATCACAATGTCTCGAGCTCTACCCGGCATGATCCATATACTGCTACCGTTATCGGAGCAATTTATAAATGGGCTACCCTACCTCGCGTTTTAGATTCAGATGGTCTTCTATCCTCATAGTTGTTTCCGTCAATGATGCCCCCGTCAAATGGGCTTCGCTGCTCACGGAATCTCCATAAAGAAGTCCTCAAGAATTCCTCTCGTGATGTACAAGGCGGCCAATTCATTTGTGCTATACACGTTGACGCTGTCCGTCACTCTTGCGCCGCATCCGACACTGCGGAAGGGTTTTATCTGTACCCATCAGCTGATACTGCGAATATGAACCCTGCAACATACTGTAGAATCGCAAATGTTGCTAGACAGCTGCGCTCTGAACCACGACAATTTCCTTACGGAGGCAGCGGGAGTATCCGGGTCTTGTTCACAGTGGCAAATACGTTGCACGTGAGCCGTTCGCTCCGAGTCGAAGCTCTTGCTCCGTCTGCTTTCCTCATAACTTAACCCCCCTCTACTACAGCAAAATGGGTCAAGCAGCGTCGCAAACGTCGCCCTCAGCGCCAGCATCATGTCCAGTCCAGCACCATGCACCCCCTTCGCTATCCGACTCGCCCGCCCGCTGTCCCATCCAGCACGACATCCCCGCCGCCTCGTCCTCGTCTTCTCCACCCGCACAGTGTCCCATCAGCCACGACACTCTGAACCCACGCAACCAGATGCCTACGCTCTCTCAGGCGCCCGCGGCGGACCAGGCGGTCGCGCTGCCGACGGCGCGTGAGGCGTCCACGATCCCGCGCGACGCTGCGTCGACATGGGAGTACCCCTCGCCGCAGCAGTTCTACAATGCGCTCGTGCGCAAGGGCTGGGAGACGCCAGAGGAGCACGTCGAGATGATGGTGCAGATCCACAACTTCCTCAACGAGCAGGCCTGGCTAGAGATCCTCAAGTGGGAGCGCAAGGAAAACCCGTACGCCTTCCGCCGTATTAATTGGCTTTCTCGCGCAGGATATGCTAACAGTGTGGATTGTGTGAAGATCTGACGTGCCTCAGCTTGCACGGTTTAAAGGCCGGCCGGGCGAGCTCTCGCCAAAAGCGCGCGTATGGCTGTTCGCAGGATGGCTCCTCCCCTCACGCTTCAAGTAAGTGTCGTATAACGCTCCTCCTCTTAAAGTGTGCTCATTCCATTTTCTTTACAAATGCAGCACAGAGCCTCCCTTCGATCGCCACGATTGGGTCGTCCGCCGTCGGGAGACGGGCGAGGAGGTGCGCTACGTGATCGACTACTATTCAGCACCGCCAGAGCCGGACGGATCGCCCGTCTTCTCGCTCGACGTCCGCCCCGCGCTCGACAGCTTCGGCAGCGTCAAACAGCGCATCGCTGCTGCAACAGAGGACGCATGGGCGTCGTTCAGGGACAACGGCAGCACGGGCGTCGCGCGAAACGACGCGTAGGCGTCATCTAGAGCGCGGAGTACATCTAGTCTCGGAGACGTTTGATCTCACTGCTATGGTTATCCATCCATTATCTGCATCGCGGGCACATAGACCGACCGACCGTATGAAAAGTTCTTACGATACCTTCATGATTCGTATACGTAGAGTAGTTGAGCCTGGCGCACCCCACGGTCGCATAGCGCACCGGATGCGTCTTCTAATGCAACGGTTTGTCATTCCGCGTGAGAGCTAAATAGTGATAGATTGTTAGAGTACTAGAGGAGTGGTGGTAATGGCGGCGTCGCACACGAGGTGGGTGCCGGTGAGTGGGCGTTAACCCCAGGCATGTCGGTGCTATAGGTATGCGCGCGCGGATCGTCTCGCCATCTGTATCCAGGTCAGCGATGAGCTCGTCGGACATTTTGGAAGCGGTGAGACGCACCTCGACGACCTTCCAGCCACCGGTGAGCTCGTTGTCGAGATCGCCCTCTACGCGCGTGATCACTGCAGCGTAGTGGCATTGCTCGAGGCGGTCCTCCGCGCCGACCATAATCTCACCCGTCTTCGCGTTTCGGAAGAGCAGCATCTCCTGCGTCGCGAACGTGATCACGAACACGGGTACGTCGTTTTCGAGGACCTTGCCAGCCGAAACCTAGCGATATGTGCGCAACAACACGTGAGGGGATAGTGAGGATGTGAGGTGGAAGAAAATGCGCACATCGACTTGGCGGATATCTAGGACTTTGCTGTCGCTGATGAGTCCTTGTTTTAGGTACTGTTCCATCGTCGCCCACAAGACATTGTACGTCTGCAGCCATCGCTGAATAATAAATCAATGTGTTGCCGGCAGAAACACTTACCGCCTCGCCGCACCACGCCTCCAGCGCCTCCCGATCCGCGCTCAGGTATGCATCGACGACCTCAGGTACGATGTACTCGCGGAGCTCGCGCTCAAAGGACTCCATGTTGAACGTCGGGTCGAGCGCCTTCATGAGCCGCTGCACGCGCGCGTTCTCGTTTTCGTCGAACCAGCTCCCGATCGTCTGCGTCACGGAGCGCAGCGACGAGACCACAGGGTTCTCGGACTCATCGTACGCTTGCCGCAGCGAGACGAGCGAGCGCAGGAGCGGGTTCGTCGCCTTCATGCGCTCCCATGCCTCGCGCCGCGGCGAGTCCTTGTGCAGCACCAGCGCGGAGCCCGCCCTGGCACATGGCGGGGATCACAGTGGCAGTGAGCTTTCGAGGTGAGAATGGATAAATGAAGACGTACTCGGCGTTCGCCTCCACGCGCCCCCCTCCCCCGGCGATGGTGCTGATTCCCGCCTTCGCGAGACGCATCTGCCGCCGCTTCCGCCGCACCTCCTTTTCCTCGAACCCACCATGCTTTGCGCTCCCGCTGTCGTCTAAAGCATCTATGAGTGTCTCAGAGAGGACCTTGTAGGCAGCTGTATTGCGGATCGGCTCCGTCGTCGTCGCGATCGTCGATGACACCGCGGAGGACGCTCTGGAAATCTTTAATCGCGTAAGAATATACGCACAATGAGTATATGACCAGCGACGTACTGCGCGCATGACATCGCTCTCCTCCATCGTCTTGAGTGCCTCCGAGACGGCGTCGCCCACCTTGACACCGGTCTTGCGGAGCTCCTCCGCTGCAGCGCGCAATCGCGGGTTCTCTTTGATGCTCGACGTCAACTGCAAAAGGCGCACATCCCAAATTCAGCGTTTGGCATCCAGAGACACACATGCACACGAGGAAAAAGCGAAACGCACCCTCGCCCGCTCGTACGCCGCCCGCGCGCGGCGCATCGCGTCCGAGTCCTGGAGCTTATCGACGTCGCCCTGAAGCTGCTTCACGTTGTCCTGGAGCTCGCGATTTTTGCGGAGTTCCTCCCTGAGGACCTCGACGAACGTCTGGAACGGCGACTTGGGCTCATCGTGGCGCGGCGAGGAGGAGTGGAATGCTGATGAGGGCGGGAGGCGGCTGAGGCGGGCGGTGTTGCGGGCGAGGAGGGCAGCTCTGATGAGAGCAGGGGCCGAGGGGGTGAGGACTACACGGCGGAGATGGCGGGGGAGCATAGGTGGACAGTGGACAAGTACTGGCTGGGGAGCTGTCACGTCCAGCCGAAGCTTGGCCGAAGCTGGCAAAATTCGGCAGCACGTGATCACTTCCACTTCGGGTAGTCCCTTCTCCATGTAAGGCAGGCGAGTAAGTTCACCAGCTCAAATATCTCCTCGAACATCCGCTGCAGGCTACAAGTGCAATTGCTTCGTTTATTATGTGATCATATACATACATCAGTCCAATGTATACATACTCGCACTATCATCAAGCGTCGGGCTCTTCGATTTGTAATAGTAGCTTCTTGCCTAGCATTCCCTGCCCAATACGAGCGATAGCATCTCTCACAGTCTCTGTGACTTCCGCATCGCTCTTCTCCCGCCGGAGTGTGAGAATTTCGTGCTCGGGTTCTTTCAGCTGTTAACCTCCATGTCAACGAAATCCCTATGCAACGCAGGAGAGTACGAACCTGCAGCCCTACAAGCGTACGCATAAGCTCCTCCCGTTCAGCAGCGCTGTGCCCTTGATACCATCGGGTCATCCAAAAGCCATGAGCGGCGAGGTTCTTCCAGATGAACGTAGACGTAGGGAGCGATAGCGGTTGCTTCGACATCGCGCCGTAGGAGACCAGGTGCGCATCCGACCCGAGTAACCGCGTCATTTGCGCCGTCGGCTTCCCACCCACGCAATTCAGCATCAGCCGAATGGGCTGTGAAATACGTCAGGATATGTGCGGACATGTGTACTAGCCGATTACCTTGCTTCCAGTGTACTCCTTGATGGCTGCAGAAGTGGCCTTGTCGGCGAGCTCTTCATATGTGAAGACGTGCGTGGCGCCCAATGCATGTAGCTGGTTCTTAAGAGCATCACGGTTCGGTCTATGTAGATTCAGTAAGACATATCGTCTGGGAACGTGAGATTCCATACCGGTCGCGAACGAAATTGATAGTTTTCAATCCCCTCTTTGCTGCAATTTGTATGACAGCCTGGCCGACCTGGGGTGAAAAACAGATCAACATCAGAGAACGTGGGCACAGAACCGCAACAAACCGCACTGTTAGCACCTGACGCGATGGGATCAGCGAACAGCAGTGTTATTTTGGCAGGGGACAGCAGCAATACCGTTCTGGACTACCCAGTCGCCCTCCTGGAGGTCGACGAAATCCCGCAGCATGCAGTATGCAGTCGGTGGGTTGACCTATCCACAAATACGTTATCCAGGGGGCCTTGCGACAAGTGTGCGCACTCACGGTGATCGTAGCAGCATTAACCTCGCTGATGCCGCCGCTCGGGAGCTTGATGACGTCCCGCACCTCCACCGTGAGCGCGGAGGCCCACGTCCCTGCCTGGGGCTTCGCCATGGTCACCCAGTCGCCCTTCCGAAGGCCTGACACGCCCTCGCCCACCTCGACCACTTCGGCTAGGCCCTCATTGCCGCCGACGAGGAGCGACTCGCCGTTCAATGCGGTTGTGGGAGTGGGTTTGGACGGGTAAACGCCCTCGATGACATTCAGATCCGCGGGGTTGATGGGCGAGAGACGGAACTTGACGTTGAGCGCGCCTGGAGGAGGTGGGGCCAGGCGCGGGTAGGTGAGCGTGGTGAGGACCTTGGACGGGTCGCCGTTTTCTGTGTAGACAATTGCGCGGTTCGCGAGCCTCGCCGATGACATGGAGAACTGCCGAGAGGAGCGAAACGGACGTGCGAGGGGCGGCGAGTGCTGCAGACAGCGACGCAGCATGTTGAATGCAAGTACTTGGCTTCAGCGCGTGACTTTGGCATCGCTTTTCAAATCGAGGGCTGTATGCTCTCCGCGAGACTGACGACATCGGTACGTCGAGGACGTCGGTAAAGACATCTTGCTCCTCTCCACACTCTCCACCATGTCTCTGACATTTATTTTGGAGAAACAGGTTGCTATCGCGGCTGTAAGGAGAGCATGCGTCCTCACCGACTCTGTCTTCAACAAACTTGTGAAGACCGAATCATTGACGAAGGATGACAAGAGTCCCGTAACAGGTGAGCATCACGATCTTCTGGACCTTGCAGCATGTGTCTATATGGCAGGCGTCCGATTTGCACGTTGTTGTAAGAGAAGTGTGTGCTGTGAAATCTTCACTCAAGGAACTCCGCGTTCCTGCAAGGGCGTGCTCTAACTCCGGTCTGGTCTTAGGCTCTGCAATTATTCCTGTGTATCGAGAGGACAGTTCGCACCCAGACACTTACAGAAAAGGGCGCATATATCCAGCTCTTTTCCTCGAGTCACCCATGTAATGATCACTTCGTTCCCCGCTTCGAGCAAGACTTGCCTTACTAGCCTTGATCGTGTGCTGACTTGGCGACTCTGTTGCAGTCGGCGATTTCTCTGCCCAGGCAGTCATCAACACTATCCTCAGCCGCACATTCCCCCAGGATCCAATCGTAGGCGAAGAAGACTCCGCAGACCTTCGAGGGAAAACCGGCTTACCCCTCCGGAACCGTGTGGTCGAGCTCGCCAACGAGGCTCTGACTGCGCAATTGCACCCAGGAGAGAAGGCAGAATGGGGGCTCGGGCCCACCCAAGCGCGTACAGCTGACGAACTGCTGGACGCGATCGACCGCGGCAACTACGCAGGCGGGCGCTCGGGACGTGCGTGCACCCTCCAATATCTTGCGAATACGCAAAAGCTGACTCTTGACTAGGTATGTGGACGCTCGACCCGATCGACGGCACGAAGGGCTTCCTCCGCGGCGAGCAATACGCGGTCTGCCTCGCGCTCATCGTCGACGCACGCGTCCAGCTCGGCGTGATCGGCTGTCCGAACCTCCCCGTCGACGCCGCGGACCCGTCTGGTCCGCGCGGCTGCATCTTCGTCGCCGTCCGTGGGCAGGGTGCTCACCAGCTGCCTCTCGCGGACCCACTATCTGGGGCGCTCGCGCGGCTCACGATCCCGCCGTTCACAACGGAGACGCTGAACTTACTCGAGTCCGTCGAAAAGGCGCACGCGAAGTTGTCGTTCAACGAGCGCGTGGCGCAGCTGCTCGGGATCACGCGTCCCCCGACGCGGATGGACAGCCAAGCCAAGTACTGCTGCCTCGCGCGGGGAGACGGTGGGGCCTATCTCAGGATGCCTACGGGTACTGGGTACCGGGAGAAGATCTGGGTTCGTTTGGTTATTTCAACGCACAGTTGTACATTTGACGAGAGTTGCTTGCGCAGGATCACGCCCCTGGCTCTCTTCTGGTTGAGGAAGCAGGAGGCGTTATTACGGATTCGAGGGGCGAACCTCTGGACTTCGGCCTTGGCAGAACGCTCGGCGAAAATTATGGGGTGGTCGCCGCAGGTAGGACCGTGCACTCCAAGGTGCTTGAGGCAGTAAAGCTAGCAAAGGAAGAAGAGACAAAGGCGGAGACAAATGCAACGAAATGTGAGAGCTGTGTTCTGTCCTTTCAAAGATAACGCTGATCATGAGTCACGTAGAAGTGTAGAATCTCACGACACCTTCGCTCGGATGTATTCGTCAGCCGTAGAATTTGTACAATAACACCTGTGCGCAGTGTGCTCGACACCCACGGAAATCAGCAGCTTTATTGTTTGTTGTTCATTGTGACAATGGACTGGTGAACAGTGAAGGTCGGCTACATCAGGCCGTCTGATGTAGCCGACCTTCACTGTTTGCGGTTCGTTGAACGAAGGACTAGCGTAGCAGATGAAACGTCCCAATACGACCCGTTATGACAGAAAGCAGAGTCATGCACGAAAGCCACACGACGACCACAGAGAGAATAATATTAGCAGAGAAACTAATGCTACTTCCTATCCTCGAAGAACCTCTGCAGAACATGGTCAGTAACCGGAAGCGAAACTTGAATGCGCTTCGGAGCGCACCTTCAGATGCCTCAACTGCCACGCACACGTCGCCACCAGTACTATGATCTGCGCAATACTGTACCACACCGCCCTCGTATTCGTCGACTCGCTCAGGTCGCGAAAATTCGCCTCCCGCTCGCGTTGGTACTGCTGCTCCCGGCGGATGTCCTCGAGCTTGTTATTAAGATCGCGCAACTTCGAGGATAGCTCGGACACGTGTGAGCGGTCGTGCTCTGGGTCGGCTTTTGTGTGTCCCACGACGATGTCGAGATATAAGCGGATGTGTGTCGAGGAAAACCATGAGCTGCCGTAGTTGCTCGAGAGACAGATCGAGTGGTCGCCCGATTCGTGTGAGGTGAAGGTGAAGCGGCTGTCTGATGGCCCTCGTGTGCGTACGACGTTATGGCCCGACTCTATCTCCTGGAGCGCGGGCCCACCAAGCCTTGCGTGAGTGAGCGGAGGTGAGGTGGCATACGGTACTCACGTCTACTTCCACCAGTATCCCGAGTTCGGGATTGACCACATACTGCTGCTCCTTCTCGGACCACTCTAGTGCCTTGTAATGCCCTGTCATGCATCGTTCAGTCAACCTCCAATAAGGTAATTTGCGGGCGGACCCTCTACGACAGTGTCAGTTGGCAGTTCTTCAATGAAACATCGTTTTTCGTTGGTGTCGAGGTAGAAATGAAGGGCATTGACTGTCGCAGCGAGGCAGAGAAGTAGACATATTGGAAGTAGACGTGGTCGCCGAGTGAAGGCCATATATAACCGTGTCGTGGTCGTCGTCAGTCGTGGCGAGGAGCGCTGTGAATTGCTCGTGCGAAAACATCAGATCCCGTTGCCAGATTTCTAGCGTCGCGTGCATCTGTTCTGAGCTTTGCTCGGTTTTCACTCTCCCCGGTGTATTTCGACATGCCTACAGCCAGATTCGAGCCTTCAAGTATCAAGAACAAAGTGAAGAGGGAGGAAATCGCTCGGAAACAGAAGCAGAAAAGGGGAAAGGACAAGCTCGAACGCAGGCTCGCTCGGGCGAAGCTAGAGGCAAATGACCCTGCTGCGAAGAAAGCATGTTCTCTGTTCATAGACGTGCAAAAGTCATGTTTTCTTACACTCATGACCACAGAGACGTCTTGCACAGAATGTCCCCCGCACACTGGACAATACCCGTGAATTCGATCCGTCCATCCTGACAGCCAACCCGGCGGCAGCATCGTCCTCATCCTCCGCGCAAGCCGAGGCCTCTGCATCGTCTTTATCAGAGTCCGGCCAACAACATGAGCAACCCCAAGACGAAGCTGCGCTTGATATTGCCTCCGATCCCTTCGCATCCTACTTCTCTGGCGACGTCGACCCTTCGGTTCCGCCGAAGGTGCTCATCACAACGTCGTCGAAGGCAACACGGATAACGTATGACTTCTGTGAGGAGCTGGTTGATGTATTCCCTGGAGCAGAATTTATCCGACGCAAGAAGGGGAAAGGTTTCGAGATGGGACGTATCGCAGGTTGGGCCGCTGGAAGAGGATATAGTCATATGATGGTTGTAAACGAGGACGTGAAGAAGCCAAGTGCGTGATTGAGACCTCCGTCTGCATTTTCAAGGGGCCTAATGCGCGTTTGTCTTACGTCGCGTAGACGCACTCACGTTGATTTACCTTCCAGAAGGACCTACAGCCTATTTCAAGCTGACATCTATAGAATCGTCGAAGAAATTATCCGTATGTTACCGGATGCAATACCGCGCTCATCATCGGACGGTGCACTGACATCTTACACAAGGGTCACGCACGCTCAACAGCACATTTTCCGGAGCTCGTACTCAATGGCTTCGTCACTCGTCTGGGACACACTGTGGGTCGACTGTTTCAGACGCTCTTCCCGCCAATGCCGGAGTTCCAGGGCCGGCAAGTGGTCACTTTACACAACCAGAGAGACTTTTTGTTCTTCCGGAGACATCGGTATGTCAATCCGCATAGTAATTCCGACTCCATTCAACGGCTACTTGTAATATTAAGTACCTCTGCTAATACACATTTCTTGAAGATATGCTTTCCGCTCGACGGAGAAGGTAGCGCTCCAAGAAATAGGCCCACGGTTCACACTCAAGTTGCGTTCATTGAGGAAGGGCCTGCCAGCCGTGAAAAACCTTGGTGAACCATGCAAACCCTTGGAGTTTGACACCTTTGAAGAGGGCGAACCCAGCACCGTGAACGATGTGGATATGGTTGATGGGCAGAAGGGCGGTGACGACGACGCGGATGCGACTGCCCAAAGTGAGCACGATGCAGAGGCGCAGAAAAAGCGGACGAAAGTCCAGCCTCCGGCAGAAGATGAATATGTGTGGGTTTGGAAGGTATGTTTGCTCTGATCTCAATAATTTGAAGGACTCATGTTGCTCGGCAGCCGGAGCTGGAGACTACCAGACGCACATTCTTCTTATAGGCAGCACACGCGGATTTTGTGGTCTTGTGTCCGTGACTATCGTACTCGTAAGGATGACTTCTTACACTTGAACACTTTGTGAAGAATAAATCCGTGGATATCGTATAAACTAGGTCCAATGACGCGACCGCTGCATAACTTCCGCTAAATAGACCCGTATTGACTCGGCAATCAACGAGAATCTCGAAGGTTCACGCTGTCCTTTACTTCAGAATGCAGCAGCCAACGCGGGCCCAGTGCCCTGTCAACGACCCTCATCATCCCCACCACCTTTTCGTCCTCCCACTGTCGCCCGATCACCTGCACCGCGGTGGGCATGCCTGCCATGTCGACCGGGTCATACAGTCCGCCCCTTCCATACAACAATCTCTCAAACAGTGGCGACCCGTGTCCCTCGCCGATGCGTGGGTTGGACCATTCCTCCGTCACCTGGTCCCGCTTGGGGTCCACGCGCGATACGGGTACGACGCCCACGGGGAGGTTGAGGAGGTTGTAGAGGAACGTCCCAGCGGCAAGGACCGAGGCTTTCGCACAGGTGCTGTATGGTGAAAATTAGCGAAAGTGAAGACGGCTTTGTCACCGATGGGACGCACCCGTGCTGCGCTTGGGGTAGCGCTTGCACTGGCGCGATGATACCGTCAAGCTGATGTTTCTCCCATACCTGCGTATATTCTCAGATAAAATCACCACATTCTTGAAGTAGAGACACGAACTTCGTCGTAGAACAGCTGTTTATACACATCCCTTTTCGCGACCAGTTGCCAATATTCAGCCACGGATCTTGTCCGGGACATCCGCATACAGCGGGCGAAGATGTCGTCTCCGAAGAACGTACTGATGATCCACACGGCGAGCGAGCGGAACCATCCTGGGACAGAGTCAACGAGACTGGGTGGTGAGGTGACTTCGTCGAACATACCAAAAAGTCTGGGTCCTAATGTTGTGAGAAAGAGCCCGGGGTCCTGCAAGTTAGATTAATGACCAGTGAACATTCCAATAATGACGACTGCAAACAGACCGTTGGATCACGTCCGACCCCTGCAAGCAGCGTCTTGTACCCGTCAGCAGAGGTTAAGCCAGCGAAGAGTTCCACATGTGTCAACGCTGCTTCCACAGTCAGAGGTGAGAACACATCAATGTGCTTGCTGGTGCACGTACGCTCGGGGACCACAATTGGAATACATTCGTGCCCCTGATGCATTAATGCTTCTACAGTCTCTCTTACTGCTCTCTGGCATGCTGGGGATGCCTTAATGAAACCATCTGCACGAAATACCGTCCGAGTATGATTGTGAACGTGCGGTAATGTACCCACCTGAGATGTAGTACCCAAAACGTAGCTTTGCAGGAATTTGTACGTCACGGAACGGCATGGGAGAGACCTCACGGTTGCTGCCCTTCCCGAAGACGACGCGACATGCGAGCTCGACATCATCCACTGAACTATATGAATTTAGACGTTAGAGAGCCAAGGCATTTATGCTAACACTTACCGGCACACGGGACCCATAACTGTCGGTATTCCTTCGAACCCTTCTAGTGCGGCTGCACCAAACGAACCGACGTCACCCCACGTGTCTAAGTTTCTGGAGGTAACCTACATGTCATGCCCACCCCGCTTATCCTCCATGTACCGGGTCTCAACGAGTATATCCCACAATATGCTGCAGGAATCCTGAAACTAATATATCTGTATTCAACGTTTACCCAACTAGCGGTAGAACACGCACCGCAGTGAACCGCCAATGTCGTTCCCAAATCCGAGCGGACTTCCGCCCATGGCAATGAGTGCAGCTTCGCCTCCGGAGCTGCCACCGCTCGTGTAGCGCTTGTTTTGCGGATGGACCGTAACACCCCAGATGGGGTTAGCGCACTCGAAGGTCATCATTGTCTGGCAAACGTTCGTCTTGACGAAGGGGATTCCACCTGCTGCACGGGCAAGGCTCACGAGCTGTCAACGGGAATGAGTATGTGTGAGTCTAACGCTAGGGTATTAAATGTAGGGACTACAGCCGTTCTGGTGGTAAGCAGGGACAATCTAAAAGGACTTGAACGCCACTCTCCCACTTACCATAGCGTCAAGCATCTCAAACGGAGAGTAGTGTAAACCAGGCATATTATGGCTTAATTTGAGCACCATATCAACCGAGACACGAGGTTCAAGCACCCGCACAGCGAAGCTTATATTCTCGACTTCGGATTGAAATTCGGTGCAAAAGTAGGAACACCACCATGAAACACATGGGGGAGAATGCGTGGAAGAACTCACCTCTGCATCCGCCGTCCGTGGGTTATTCGCGAGCTCACCGAATCCAATCGTGGAATCATAACCCTTCACATCGACTGAACAGTTCATAAATGATCAACGAGATCCCATAGGTGTATAAAACATCGATTCGTACAGGTGTCTTTGAAGCTGATTGGGACGCCATGCAAGGGACCTTTGACTGTCTTCGTGATCTCAAATTCGTTGTCAAGCGCCCGAGCTTCCTCACGGGCATCGGCGAACATGACTTCGGGCACGGAATGCGTAAAACATGACAAGCAACAAAAACTATACCCAGACACACCTTCAGTCAGGCAGTTGGTCGATTGGTGCGCGAACGCCGCGCGCTGGATGTATGCTTCCAGAACCTGAGACGCAGTCCATTCGCCAATCTCGATGTGCTTCACGATTTCAGACGCTGGAGATCAGCGCTCAGCACCAGTTACGATCACAACAACATCAACTGTTCTGGGATCATCGTGTAATTACTGAGGTCGGACACACTCACCACCTGCGCTCAAGATGGCCGAGGTATTGACGGAAGTAGCCACAGCCATGCTGACCGACGAGAGCCTCTCATCGCGCTGCGCTTGCTTGAACAACGAAATGTTTCCGGTGGAATAAGACGAAGAGAATGGCCACATTATTGATGTCAACACTCCACGCTGACCGTAACTGGAGGACAATGTGCCAACTTGCGATGCAGTTTTGATGCAGTTGGCCTATGTAGAATAATATGTGGCGCTGATATGGCGCCGATTCAATCCAAGTCTGGTCGCGTGCCACCGTGAAGTCGACTCGAGGCTACCACGAACTCGAAGCAGGATGACAGACCGACATCTGTACACCGACGCCAGGTTTGCGTTGAAAGCGTCTTTTATCGAATTGTCGTTTGACCGTTACTATGACGAATGCAGGTTACTCGCCCGAAGAGAATTTTAGAGTGGTGGTGGACCAGGGCGTACGGTATGTAGTCAAGCGCCCAACGGGCGGCGTGCATTCAATTTGTCTCATTGAGCGAACGCTCTATCGGAAGACCTTGGGCTATCGAGTCATATATGACTGCTCCCTTAGTAAATATTTCGCCACTTTGTGAGGATTACATTTCCCCAGCGGCTCTCTGCAGTCAAACTATCGAGCATAAACTTACACTTGTTTCAGCCTCGTCGTCCGACAGGGCGAAGTAAGTCACGGCAGGGCAAGATCTATAGCGACATTGTGTCCGTCGTCCTTTTCGGACAACGGTTCGTCAACCTCATAGGGCCTCAAACCGAGTCCTTCACGCTTGGGTTGGAGACGCTGGAGAAGAAGGAATCGCTTCATCGTGGCGGGCGAGCGGATGGTATGAATGCGCCAATCCCCGCTGTAAATACACATCAATATGGCCCACGATTGCACTCGGTTCGCAACCTTTTTCTGAGCCCTCCCAGTTCGCGAGTATCACATCTAACACTAGGGTTCGCCCTTGCATGTCCCGGTTCCAGCAGTCGGCAAACTGCACAGAACTTCTCGCGCGTTTCATCCGTGAATCGGCGTCACTTGATACTCTGGAGATGCTCTAAACCTGCGGCCAAATGATTTTTTTGCTCTCGACTCGTTCTGGGTAACAACTTCATCTTGCCCTGCTTGTCCTACACCACAACGCGTTCAGTATCTCGACAAATACTCGACAACTCTGGACTTCCCTTGCTTTATTGACAAGTTGCACTGCATCAAACCAGGCATCACCATTTGCTCCCTCACGAGTGCTCTCTCCGAATACACCTGAGGATCTTTCGCGCTTCTTGCCGGCAAAGTTTTTGGCGTTTTCCGCGTGCTCTCAGTTCCTTGGCATTGACGTGTTTACGGACATGCTGTCTGTTGCTGTGCCTGACCCCATGGCTATAGAACAGCGGTTCGATCTTGCGCAGGTGAGCGTACGAACGCGTCTATCTATGGCGTTGCACACGTGTTTTCCGTGATTATTCTGCGCACGCACCGCACATAGTGTTACGGCAAACACTGGTCCGATGACGGACGACATGAGAGTCGGTATTTTTCTTGTTAATGGCTGAACGGGGGCGTAGGGCTACTCCCCCGCAGCCCATCACCCGACCTCTTACCAGTTTATGGCAGGCGCGGTGACTTGGAGCAGCCAACGGCACGCCTTCCTCGCCGGTATCACTTTTCTGGAACAACACTGGCATTCCGGCCGTTATACTTTGCGTCCGGGCTAATACTGTGACCTTAATCCTGAAGGGGAACAGTCTCATCGACAAATTTTCGAATATCGCATTTTGGTCCCTGGGCGAAGTAATTGTGTATATGCGTCGCCTAGAAGCACACCAAGCGTGTTTCGAAATTTTATGCCTACTGGCTGCCGCTCACCTTGCGCGGGTCTCTCCAGCGTTTCCGTTCTCCAACACAACGGAAACTATTGGAGGTCTCGTCCACGATCAAGACAAGCGGTCGAGTCCGTTCACCACTAGCAATGTCCGACATTTGGCCTAAGGCAAATTGTGAGTCAGTGGGGAGGCTTATCGGCGTCGTACAGGTGCTGACCGCTGTATCATCTGCTGCTTCATATTAAGTCGGATGTGAGATGGTTACAATCCCAGCGTGAACGATACCGCCCCTTGTTCGACTCCTAGTATATTGTCCCAAGGCCGATGTCCATTGACAATGTTCGTATCGTCTACGAGTGAACCCGCGCCGCGATGCTCTAAGGACGGTAGACTGCTCAAACAATGTCACTGCGCCAATTGCCCTACAAGTTGTATCGACCAATGGGACCGTGGACGTTTCGAAGAAACTGGTATTTCTCCGTAGGTTTCGAGAGTTCCAATCTGCAGATACATAGAACGACGAAATCTGACCACTTCCTACTGCAGCAGAATCAAATGCAGACCAAACGAAGTCTGACGGCCAGGACACGAACCTGTTGCGTACAAACAGTGTACAAACGCATGCCGCGAAGAAACACAGTTCCTGTTGCTTGCTGCACGGCAGAACGACGTCTACATAGCCGTAGTTCATTCGGGCGAGTGTGGACCTGGAGATTCTCCCCGATCGGCGTGAGCTTCGTGAAATGTATCCAGAAGGGCCGGAATTGACGTGGAAGTCAGATCTAGACATCGCGATCTTCGAGATGTCTCCATACAAGTGCAGGTCGCGCTTCGTATTTAGCGGCGGTGACCTTCGGACTAGGTACGCACGCTCAAAGTAGTCAAATGCATACTGATCGACTTCGAATGGTATAGGGAGGGCAGTTACCCGAGGCTGCCGTGTACCGAGACAAACAGGGAACACAAGCATCTCTGAGAGTCAACACGTTACGACGCGTTCTACAAACGGAACCATCTTCCGTTCTGTAACGACATGTTCTCGACTTTGCAAGAAATCCGACACAACCCCTCACAACCCTCCTGGACGGCGTTGACGTCATGAAGGGGACAACTGATTGTATATTGAAAGAGACTAGCCCACGGGGAATGGTGCGATGTGTGCGTCGGCATGCGCTCCGAAAATTCATCAGATCGTGTCAGGTATCATCATGTGGTGGCCATCGACCTCCCGAGACCAACCGCTGGGCGAGAGAGTGCATGCATCTGCGCGGCCGCGAAAATGAAGGACATGAGTTGTTGGGTCTACAGAAGGCATGTCAGGAAATGAAAGTTGCTGTCCGCGTTGCGGCCGTTGTGCTCGAGGAAGCAGGAGAGTTGTTGGTATTGTGTCTACCGCACATGAGAGGGCATCCGATATCCGAGACGATCCGAGGATAGCAGCCCAGAGTGCAGTGGACTCGTGAGATACGAAATTAGCGCATCTCTCGACGGGTCTGTGAGGGGTCTGCGGACGAAAGATATCCGAGCGCAAAGACAAGGAGCGCGGCGAGGTCGTTCGAATGTTTCCGCCTGCACCCGCCAGACATGCCGGTGGCGCACCCACCGCGCGAGGATAAAAGCGCGGCATCCTCGAGTTGTTCTTTCTCAAACAAATCGCTCTGCAACCGTCCAGCAATCGTCGTGCAATATTTATTACAACCATGCCGTCCTCGTCCTCGTCCTCGTCGTTTGTATCACCACCACCAAGTCCTCCCAAGCCAATGCAACTCAAGGGCGTCCGCAACCGTGTCGTCTCCAAGCTCAGACATCCCTTCCGCCGCACTTCCAAATCGGGTCTCCATGACATTCCCGACACAGCCACCCTAGACGCGCGCCTCCGCGACCCTCTCCTCGTCAACGTCGTCCGCGACGTCGAGCCCGTTCCTATCACCATCCCCGTCTCCCCAAAGTCTAAAGCGAGCACCGACTCGATGGCAGCCAGCATCAAGCGAGGCAGTAGCGACGATGGCTCGGTCGCATCTCACCCCCTTTCTGACTCTCGGCACTCGGAAACCACCAGCGCGACGAGCGGCCACCTCGAGGACTCCATCAACTCTGAATCACCCCAGGAGGGCCTCACAACGGCTCTGAGCAGTATTGGTGAGGTCACATCATCATCCTATGTCTCTGCGCAGGATGGGTTTGCTACGCCTTCGGCGGAGGTCTACCCATTCCCCGTTGCTACGCCTTTGGTTGCCGTTGGGAGTCAATATGACGATTTTCTGGACATTGAGCCTGCCTCTGAGCATGCGGAGGAACCAGTGGCTACCCTTGACTTTCAGTTTCCACCCACTGCCGCCGCTGCGATAGGGGAGGGTATTCTCGAAGTTCCCCCAGCGGCGGCTGAGCTGGAGGTGCCTGCACCCTTCCTCATCCTGGTTGATGAACCCGAGCAGCCTCGTCCAGAGCCAGAGGCTGAGGAGGACGTGGAGGAGGAAGTTCATGGGTTGTCCGTGACGGAGCCTGACGTCGCGGAGGAGGTTACGCTTGCGCCATTGGGTGCTGTCGAGGAAGGCTCTGCGCAGTCAGCCGCTGACGATGAACCTGCGCACGCTGAGCCTCCTGATGAGGCTGGGGTTTCGATTGCACAACCTCTGGCTGACGAAGAAGTCGCACTTGTCGAGCCTGTTACTGTGGACGATGAAGTCGCACCCGTCGAGCCTGTTGCTGTGGATGAAGAGGTCGCACTTGTCGAGCCTATTGTCGTGGATGACGAGGCTGCCGTTGTTGAGTCTGTTGCGGTGGGCGATGGAACTGCACTCGTCGAGCCTGTTGCTGTGAACGATGAAGCCGCACTCATCGAGCCTGTCGCAGTGGACGATGAGGCCGCACTCGTTGAGGCTGTTGCTGCGCACGATGAAGCTATCGTTGCGCACAGTCCTGTCGAGGGCGAAGTCGCTCTTGCGAAATCGTCGTTTGAGGATGAAGTCGCGCTTGTCGAGCTCATTTCTGTTGAGGATGGAGTTACGGTCGCGCACCCTCCTGCTGAGGCTGAAGTCGAGCTGGGACAATCGTCGTCTGACGATGAAATCGCGCTTGCCAAGACCGTTTATGTTGAGGATGAGGTCGCGGTCGTGCACCCTCTTGATGATGAAATCGCGCTTGCCCAACTATCCGCTGATAATGAAGCAGTTCTCGCCCACTTATCCGCTGATGAAACAATCCTCGCGCAACCGCCACCCGCTGCCGAAGAGGTCACGGTTGTGTCGTCAGCTGTTGATGAAGGTGCGGCTCAGCCACCGTCTTTTGACGATGTACTACTCCTTGAGCCACCACCCGCTGACGACGAGGCTATAGTTGCATTACCATCCGTCGATGATGAAGATGTCTTTGCGTCACCCCCTGCTGAAGATATTGAAGTTGCGCAGCCCCCCGCTGAGGACGAGGACGAGGTTGCTCAATCTTCTGCTGAGGACGAAGTTGTTTCTGCCGAGGACGAAGTCGCGACCGTGCAACCGCCAGCTGATGATGACATTGCGCTTACGCAGTCGCCAGCCGATGACGAGGTTGCCCTGCAACCCCCAGCCGATGACGAAGTCGCCCTGCAACCCCCAGCTGATGACGAAGTCGCGCTCGTGCAAATTCCTGCCGATGATAAAAGTGCGCTCGAACAGGACCCTTCATCTCCTGACTCTGCTACATCAATGCCTCTTCCCTCTCCCAACATGAACAAGGAAGTTCCACCACCACCACCAGCCGAAAGCGACGAAGAGGATGAAGAGGAGGCTCCTGAATTATATCTGTCCAGCCTCACTATCCCTACAATGTTTCTTCCTATTCCGAATGTGCGCTCATCTCTGTTTCACTCACTCAACTGGTGGCTGTCGCAACGTTTTATTTATTACCCGTGCACGATTAGACGGACCCGTTAACTACGCTTCTCACCAAATATATTTCCCCTGAGAAGCGGCCTGTGCGCGACATTACCGGCGAGTGGCAACGCAATGATTTTAACACGCTGGTTGTGAGTCGTATCGTGAATCTGTGAGCTAAGTGAACTGAGTAAGATGTTCGTACCTCCCAGATGACCAACAGCTGGAGAGCGTTGGCACGGATGGCACGCGACCGCATCGTGGAGGCAGATCCAGAGGATCTGTCCCTCATCCTTTCCGTGAGTGATTCACCGTAAGATCCAGGCGGCGGTGCTTCACGAGACGTCTCTCAGCTGTGGTCACTGCGACTGTCCTGCCTCGCACGTCTGCGGCTCTTCAACCAGACGTCGGCGGAGTGCACGAACCTCTTCACCGTGCTCAATGCCGTCGAGCCCGCCGTGTCGCGCGTGTGGCTGTTCGACCGCGTGCTGCCGTTCGAGCTTGAGGTACTCCACGCGAAGATCAAGTACTGGATGGGCGACCACATGGGCTACCTCGACGCGCTTGCCGCCCTCCTCCGGCGTTGCAAGGCCAAGGCGCGCCACGCGAAGGTGGACGACGCGATGTGGAAGGAACGCGGCGCGCGCGTGTGCCTCATCATCGCGTCCCAGCTGATAGAGATGAAGGTGCGCTCACCCCGTGTCCTTCGTTCCACGTCTTTTGATAAATCGTGGGCAGGATTTTTCCGCCGCTGCGAAGCTGCTCGAGCCCCTCTGCAAACAGGGCCCGGACACGTGCTCCCCGCAGCTCGAGTCGGCCGTGGGCAGGATCTACGTCCAGAGTGGGTACCTCAGCATGGCGGCGAAGCACTTCACCGCCGTCGCGCGGAACCCCGCTTCCGAACTGTCGCTGAAGGCTACCAACGCGGCCCTGCTTGCATCGGCCGAGGGTAACTGGACGAAGGCGGCGGAGGAGCTGCGGCTGCTGCTCGCCTCCGATCCTGAGAATTACGCGGTGAGCTCGACAACGCTGTGAGGAGAGAGCGTGCAGTAATATCGTCACAGGCCGCCAATAACCTCTCGGTTGCTCTTCTGTGTCAGGGCAAGATCCAGGAGGTGAGAATGGGCGCTTTTGGCGAACGATTGACCTTAACACGTTCACGCAGGGAATACGGATGCTAGAAGAAGTGTTGAGGGCGTCCCCATCGACGATTGTCGTGGCGGAACCCTTGATTTTCAACTTATGTGAGTGAACCAACACCCTCGCGGCGGTCTTCTCTGACAGAAAATATTGTATCAGCAACTATGTATGAGCTGCGCTCCACGGTGGGGGTGGACAAGAAGCGCGACTTACTGGTCGAAGTCGCGAAGTGGGCTGGCGACGGCGTACGCACAGCTTGTCTGAAGATGCCATCGACATAAGTTCAGATCGCAGTCTGATGCATGGATATATTTCCATAAACGAGTGTAGTGGATGCACATACGTCAAAGATTATAGTAGAGTTCTATGTAGTAGTATGTCGTATGACTTCATGGCAAATGCAGGATCCGACAGGTCCTCACGATCACCTCCCCTTCATTTCTGGCGGCTCATAACGTACACGGGCAGGTCCTGCCAACCCCCGCCCACTCGGCACATCACTTTCTGTGTAACTGACCCCTTCGCACCCGAGCGCACCAGCGTCGTCAGTTTGCACGTCACGACCTTACGTGCAATCTGGTTCGTGAATGCATATTGTGCACGGATCTCCTCGCCCTCACGGGGTACGGTGCGCAACGGAGGGTCTACGCGCTCGATCAGCAATCCGTGGGACATCGTGTTCACGACAGCTGCCACCTCCGCATCAAGCGGGTCCTTCGAGTTTGTGGGGACATAGACATGCACTGGGCCGTACCCGTTGGCCTCAATGGGGGTAGCAGCCCCTGCGCGCGACCCCGGACGGGAGCCGGGTGTGCGTGGCGAGATAGACTCCCTGAAGCTTGATGGCGGCAGCCGGGATGGGCGCGGTGTCATGCGAAGGATGCCCTCGGGCGTCTGTGCACGTACGGCGGAGGTGCGGAAAGACATGGAGCTGTCTGGACGGTAATACGACATTGCAGAGGAGGGCCGCGATGCGGTGGAGACATGTACGCTGGGAATGGGAATCATGGATCGGCTGGGCGGGCGAGCGGGTATGACGCTGCCGCCGGGTGTGTGAGAACGGGGAGGTGTTAACTGTGCTGGAGAAAGTGCGCATTGCATGAGCGTTGTGGGAGACTGATCAGACGGCCAGTGGGACAATGAAGGCGCTGGAATATGGCTGGGTGTTGTTGGGCGAATGCGGTGGAAGAAGCCTGACGATGTCTGGTTGCTTTGTGTGCGAGAGGGTGGTCGGAACATCGACATGCCGGGGGTGGATGATTGACCGGTCGAAGCAGAAGATGTGACTGGCGACCATGGTCTCGACGACGCCATGGAGCTCCGTGATACGCTGCGGTTGTATGGGTATAGAGATGGTACGGGGGGGATATCTTCATAGTATCCAGAGAGACCTGGTGTGGATGTACGGCGCTGCGCTTGTGACTTCAATGTTAAGGAACGCTCTTCGGCCTCCACCCTCGTGGAGCTATTCCATGCCGGTCTGCTCTTGACCGTGTTACTGCTATCGGCTCTGGATTCAGCTCTAAGATCATATCTGGGATCAAGTCTGGGATCGAGTTTCCGGGCAGATGGAGAAGACTCCGGTGTGAGGCTCTGCGAATGTTTATGAGACGGCGTAACGGGCGTCGGAGGGCCATTCAAAAAGTGAAGTATCGACGATCGATGCTTCAGAGTACGTTGCGGTGCCAACGATGGAGTGTTCGCAAAGCTCTTCTTCTGCGACTCCGGCACCGGACTGCGAGGCGACTTTGAGCCAGCGAGCTTCCGCGCAAGCTTTCTGAACGGTGATATAGAATTCGATAGCGAGATGGTCGAACCGTGATCCTTCTGCGACCGCGAAAGGCTGGGCGGCGTCGCTAGATAGCCATTCTTTGACATCGATGTTGCTTCGGAGGTGCTTGAGCCAACCTCACTGGGGGCCACATCCAAACTCAACAGCAATCTACGCATTGCTTCCATCTCGATCTCTGTCCGCGCTATTCGCTCCTTGAGATTTTTCCAACGCTGCGTTGACTCTGCATGTCTCCTCAGACACTCTCCATTCTTGGTGACACGGTCTTGTACACCTTTGTCGATGATGGACAGGACTTTCGTAGTTGCGGGCATGTAGTGTCTGAGAAGATAAAAGGAAGATAATTTAAATTGTCAAATACCTGCTGAATTCGTACGCACTTTTTCTTCGCTTCAAAGGAGTCCAGAAGCGAATTGAACACTTCGAGGCTAAGAGGGTTCTTCTCTGAGCGCATTGAAGACGTGGACGATGTCTGAGAGATGGAGTCTTCCCGTCTCTGCGCCTGCCATATGAAGTCCTGCACTCTCGGTCAAGATCTGAGGTCTTCGAGGGTTCTGACTACTTACCTGGCACCGATTGACAGCTTTCTCTAGACTGCACATCATCCCATCCGCCTGCTCCGTCACAGTCCGGAAGACAGTTAACCACTTATCTTCCTTCAACTCCTCACGCAGAACTTGGATATCCTTCTGCACGGCCTCCCAATCCGCGACCAAGGTGGCATGCTTGCGCAGGAGAGCCGCGTCTTCGTTTGGTTCTGCCATGCGGAAAATGGGCGTTTTCTCGGTTTGCTGTAGTAGTGGCTCGAGTGACTCCCTAACGATCTTGATGCCTTTGGATACAGACTGGACGCGCTCATCCAAATTGAGGAGAGACTGGTCAATGACGCTGGAGGCGTTGGCGGCATCTGAGGACGACTGAGACTTGTGACGAAGTTCCTGAATTTCTGTGTACAGGGATTAAAATTGGGGCACCCGACGCAGAAAATAGATCTGACCGAAGATGCGCGTCTGGATATCGGAGATGTTGTACGAAAGCTCTGTGATATGCGTGGATACTGCCAGTAGACGCAAATCTCTGCAGAAGGCATTCAGAGGTGTGCGTCCGACGTTTGTGACTCACGTACTCCTGACTCTTCTGTTTCTCTTCCATGTTTAGCGGACGGTTGGGAGTGATAGTGACATTCTCTACGACCAAGGCATAAGAAACAGTAAGTGTGGCGCGTCGGTATTGGTCGTACCTGCATCCTGATATTTTAAAGATCCGCTCGAAGAAGAAGAAGAGGACGTTGAATGACCGTTAGAGGACACGGGCGATGGTGGTACATGATTTATGCTATTCTGAGACCGGGACGAACGTATACTAGAAGCTCTGGACGACGACAAGATGCTGAGGGAGACCATAACAAGGAGTGAGACTATGCGATAGCGACAATTAGGGCAAAATGTGAGAACGTGAACAGAGACGAGGTGAAGTGAGAAGAGAAGGGATACGACTGCAAGCTGAGGCTGAGCTCAGAGGATCCGCCGGGTCGGGCTGCTGAGGGAATGGGTATCTTCAACAAGTTCCAAGGAAGACGCGACGGATCCTCTGCCACCTAGCAACGCCTAACTCGGATTCGAGAAGGGAGACAATGGCGAACTTGCTGAACAACAGGCGGACGTCGTGGGCGTAAGCGTGATAGTGTAGAATAACAAAGTTTGTGTGTCCGATAACATGTGTAACATTTGCTTACCTGCTTATTGTCCTGGATTCCTTACTTGCTTGAAATAAACACTAGTAAACACTACAATCGCTTCAAGTCCCGATTGAAGTGGCATCAAGAAAGCTGTTCTGTAAGTTTCTCCGCACGTATGGCGATACTTGCAAGCGCTGGGAGCAGCGTCCTTGTCCTTCTTCCTCCTCACCATGCCAAGCACCCCCAACAGTACACTTTTCGGGCGCTCCCAATACGACCTTACACCGACGCAGAAGCTGCTCTACGCGTCCGAACGCGCTCCCAACTACCGCCAAATCGCCAAGCTCTTTGCCACCCGATCCAAATACACGCTCTCTCCATGCGACCTCGTTCCCTCAGATGTCCAGCTCCAACTTGCCGAGTTCGGCGAATTTGCAGAGATGGCGTACGGAGACGCGGAGTTTATTTATGGGAACATTGAGATGCTCACACAGACTGACTTCCCGCTGGAGGGTTACAATGCTCTACGTCAAGCGAAACTCGTGGCCGCTTTTCAGGGCACAGTGGCGGACGTGCCAGGGTGCGTCTCATACCGCGCGGAGACCAAGCAGCTCGTAATCGGGTTCTCGGGCACTGCGACAGTCAGGCAACTGCTATTCGATTTGTACGCCACTAAGGTGGCGCATCCTGCGGGGCAGGGCAGTGCTGTACACTCGGGCTTCTGGAAGATGTACCTGGGGTGCAAGACGCAGATATTTACCGCTATCCACAAGGCCGTCCGCAAATATGATGTCGCCGAGGTCGTGAGCGTGGGACACAGCATGGGCGCTGCTCTCAGTTATCTGCTCGCGCTCGATCTCATCTGCTCGGAGGCGCTTCTTTCATCAAGGTTGACCTTGACCGTGGCAGCTTTTGGCAGTCCGCGGGTTGGAAATGCGCGTCTGTATGACCGGTGGCAGGAAATGGTAGAAAGTTACAGATCTTTTCACGGTGATAATTCTGTGAAAGAATATCTCGTCAAGGCTAATAATGATGGTAATTGTTTCTTCACTTAGTCTACTTAGGACTGCACTGACGGATTGTTAGGTGTTCATACAATACCCACAGAGAGCTTGGGTTATAGGCACCTTGCACGGATACCCTTGTATTTATACCATGGCCGACTCTTCTATATTCCCAATTCGGAGAGGGAACACGGTGATTTCACCGTCTCAACTGAAGCTTTAGACCAGACGAGACCCCCGGATCATCCTAGAGGCGGGCACCAGTACTACAACTGCAGAAGTTTCGAGAAAGTCGTGCTGCGCATGTTCTGGCTCAACAAGATGATGAAGGCGCACCCAGAGGGTTGGCAACAGGCGTACTTGGCACAGATAGCTCTTTTGGCGCAGAGCGAACTTTGCACCGCATCTGATGTTTCTGAAGACGGCGAGCTGCCAGGCTCGCCGGTTGGAGACGGTGTGCAGATGAACGACGAGCGCAGTGAGTTAACAGAAGAGACAGCCAATCGGTCGAGCCACGGAATTGACGGTGAGGTCGTGATACCGGGGACGATAGCGGTGACCCCGGGTAGTGAAGGAAGAGGGATGGGAGTATTTTCCAAGTGGCAAATGCGGAAATGGTTTCAAGACACTCCTCCGCTTTCTCCAGTGAGCGCGCGTCGAGACGCGTATGGTCACATTCCCGACACGGTGTGACAACTGTCACAGCGTGTGCTGTTTGACGTTTTTCTTTTCTGATTCCTCCTCTTTCGGGGTATGATTTTCACCGCGTATGTTTCAAGCTTTATACTGTATCTTCAGCTTATCTCGATGCTCAATTAGTGTTTGTCGTCTGTAATAAGTACTCATACCGGTCATGCTAACCATCTGTAGAACTACCTAGGGCCCAGTCCTCGAATGACCCGTAGCAATACAAAGTCGTCAGATACTCCAAAGGCAAGAAGATCGGAAGGCGAGCGAACCATGCTGGAGGAACCTCTGAACGAGGTCAACGCGGACGGAGCTGAGGTTAGCGCCTGCAAGATACGCCAGAATCGGCCGCCAACTTGACTTCTCAATATTTGGTCCAGCCGAGAAACCATTGTTATACGCCACGAAGCAAGAAGCAAAGCGAAGCAGCGTGTCTCGGCACGACATCCATGTGGAGTTCAAGGTGGTCACCGTCGACTTCGTTGTACTCCGTGTTGTTGATTCCGCGAGACAACAGCCTCCGACGCGGATCACGGCCATAATACACCCAGGTTCGGTAATTTAACAGATAAAGAGCAAGGACTGACGGGCAACTTGTGTACTGCACCCGGTACCACGGCGTTTATAGGTGAGAACACATCACCGGTGTGGCCAGTGAGAAATCATCTGAGCGAGCGGTTCGTACCCTTCGATGTGGTTCCGCGTGTCTTCCAAATCCGTTTGAGAAACCCACGTTTATGACACCGTCCCGCTAGGATATGGCAGAGGAAGCAGGTAGTATCTGTAAGCTAGCAGAACGCCCGGCCGTGACAAGTATGACTTGTGGTCACGGAGACGCGTCCTTCCGTGCGTCACGCCGCGGGCTGCAGATTGCCAGTGGAAGAGCCTCTTGTTGCAATGCCTGTGAAGTCGAAACTTGATAGTACTTGACATTTCACTATGCTAACGGAATGGTTTCGCGATGAACACTGAACTGTGAGTTCCACGCGTAAACGTTGACCTGACAACATGCCTCCGGTATTGCCGTACTATTTGTTATTTGGAGAACACAAAACGGCTGGTATATGGTGGGGCTGTTAGAAGTGAGTCATTGACCAAGGTTGATCACTCTTTATGGTTGGATTCGACTACAGACCTCTAGGATAGGACGTCGACATTCATTATCAAGTATCATCCAGTAAAGGATCTGCCTGCAATTTTTATCTCCAAGCTCATGCTCCCACTGACTGAGTAGCAGCGCGACCCGACGCGGTACAGGAGGCGGCAGTATTGTCCCCATTGCCGACACCCCCCAAAGCCACGGAATCAGTGGGTTTAAAGACGCGGAATCAGTGGGTTTAAAGATGCGGAATCAGTGGTTTCAAAAGCATGTTAGTGGTGTGAGCGCCTGTCCGTGGAGTGTGCAATCTCATTCATTCGGGCGCTGTCTGACTGATGTATGTACAGTGCACTGAGACCACCCATTAGACGCAGGTCTCCTCTCCTCGGATGACGGGCTTGCGTGTTTGCACCACACAGAGCTTCTTCCGTGGTTTATTCGCCGTGTGGTTCCCGATTGTCCCCCCATAATTTTTCTTATCTCTCATCTATTATGTGGTCTGTCAGGACTGTGCGGTGAATAGCATGTTGGACGCCAACCTTGCCTGGCTCTCGACGTTCCCCGAGCCGCGTATGACCGCGTTTGGTTCCTCTGGATATAAATACCTGCATCACAATGAGCCTCGAACACGGGCAGTATTCTCTCCTGTTCGAACTTAGCTTTTGAACGGCTCCCCATCACATACGCATCCATTGTTTTCTATTGCGTTATGTCTCCTGCCGCCATCCACAGCATCGCCAACGTATTCGGCTCCACGAAGGATATTGGCGAGATCTTAAAGAGCTTTGACTTTAACCAGGTACGCTGCATGCAGCCATTCTTGAAACCTTCACTACTACTTGTTGCCCAGATGAACGTTAAGGACTCGTCCAGAGATGATCACCTCAACATCGGGCTCGCCCCGTCGTTTGGGACGCTCGATCGTGAATCCATTAAGAACGTAGATGAAAAGCTGAAGGTCATGATTGTTGGCACAACCAAGCTGATTGCGAAGATGCCGCCGCATAAGCGCTCCTGGGACAACATCGTGTCGGTGTTGATGCAGAACCCACTCATTGAACCCCTGGACGATGGAATCAGCAGGGCGGACAAATTAATTAAAGAGGGTGTTCACTTCTTCAAGTTTGATGGTGCCCCGGAGCTGGCCGTCGTCCGAGAGGTGTGTATGGATCCGTTCAGCCTATTTCATCGAGTTGATGCACCCTTCAACAGGTCCACAACTGGTTCGTGGCACTCATTGCCGACGAGGACGTCCTTAACAGCACGAAGATCGACATCGACGTTATGGGCAGCATTGTCGCCCAGACAGGCGCGACCGTCGTCAGCCTCGAAACTCTCATCTACAAGCAAGAGTCACACAGCAAGACGCTCGTCGACATTGGCGTCCTGAGGTATCCCGATCCTGATCATCCTTACTTCAAGGTGAATTAATTGCAATTGCGGTCTGTTGCGTATGTTTGAGTGATTCACACTGTCCACGATAGGTGTACCGCATCAAGCTCACTGCCTGGAGTCAATCTACACGAGTCGCCTTTATCCAAGGCGACGAGAACGGCATCACCGGAGGTTTGTAGCCGCTCAAACCCATTTGTGCGGTTTGCACACTGAAAATGATTGTGCTCAGAATACAACGTTCGCCGCTTCAGGCCCCGCGCGTCTGTCATTGCTGAGATGCGCGAGAAGGTGACAAAGAAGGCTGCGAAGGAGGCTGAAAGTCTGTTCGACTGATTGATTTCTGTGAAACTCTGCCAGTGCTGATTTAACGTCGTGAAATGTGTTTTACGTGTCTCGTAATGGGAAAATAACGTGGATTGGATAGGCAGCGAGATTGTGATGGGCGCGTCGTGTATCAGCACTTTGCAACCGAACTGGTATCGCTACGGCCTTGCAAAAGAACACCACTGAATACAACGCCCGTCTAAGAGAATCGATGCGTATATCTCTCGTTCAATTCCTTGTAGACCAAATCACTAATAACTTAGGGCCTGTCTATGAGTTTATGCTAAGAGAAATCACGGCAAATTGAGCAGCGCTACGTCCAAACTTTTTAGCCGCAAAAGCCGTGGCAAAAACCCTCTAGTGCCTACTCTCTACCATCTGCCTTCGGGAGACTACATGGCGGCCATGCAATTAAACCCGACGGCGCGGAAGCATTACCATTTTGCAAACAGGGCACATTCTGTCAGCAATCGGATGACGTAGAACCAAGTACAGAGTTTTATAGACTCGAGCAAGTGGTAAGTGCGTGAATACTACCCGCATGGAGGAGCGCCGACAAACGCATTCAAATCAAGCAGATTTTGTAATAGAAGACAATTGTATATTTACAGCGCGGCGATTGTTCAAGAGCAGTACATGAGGAAATCGAGCTGCAGCCCAAACGAACAACCTCGGTTCGGAGTCAATGTGACTGGCTAATCATGAATTCCCTGCAGAGAATGCAGAAGCTTCTCAGACTGGGCCGAGCGCGGCTTAAGAGTACACCTGAATGGCGGTGGGTGGCTGATGATCCCGGTCGTGTACTCAACCTCCGATGGGCTAAGCACAGGATCGCCATCGGCCTTGGATATTTCGAACACCGCCAGCGTCATAGCGATCGAGAGGAATACAGAGATGTCTGCGAGTTGTATGCCTGAGACGACAGTTCAGTGCGACCTGTGGAGAGCATGGATGCAGAATTTCCACGTACCTGGACAAACTCTGCACGCAATTCTTGTGAGAAGTCGTTTTGGCGTACAAATTGAATGAGCTCACCGTCTACCAAACCCGAACGCGAGAACTCGCGGGTCTTTCTCTGGCTTCTTGTTCTCCGAGGGCATAAAACGCTCAGGCTTGAACGCCAATGGATCAGCGTAAGTATTGGAATCGTGTAAGAACTTCCTGCGAATGCATAGAGGCGCTTTTAACATCATGTCGCACAACCGGCTCTCAGAATGAATACCACACAGATACACACCAGATGTTGGGGATGAAAATAGTTCCCTTCGGGAAAACGTATCCTTCGTAGACGTCGTCCTCGATCAACCGGTGTGGAACGCCTAAACGGTTTATTGTGTGGTCATCACGAATACGTGAATCGGCAGTGCAGGAGGAAAGAACACGAACCTAACGGTGCCACGGGGTTCCAGCGTATCACCTCGTGAAACAGGGCAGTCACGTATGGCAAACTGGTGCGATCATCGTTGACGGGAAGACGTTCGTTACCAACCACAGCGTCAATCTCTGCTTGGGCTTTTTTCTGTGCCTCAGGAAACAGCATCATTGCGAGAAAGAATGTGTTAATGGCAGACACAGTCTAGATGTTGTGGATGAGTGTCTCGGACGAAAAATGATGCAGAGGTCCGAACATACCGTGTCCGCTCCACCTGCATATACAACCGAACGGTCAGACACGCTGAGTAAGAGCTCATAGAGCACTCACCAGAATAAATGGAAGCTGCCGCCATTTTGATGCAGTACTCGCGTTCTGGATCGATTCCGCCCTCGAGATGAAGGGACGTGAAGCTGGGAGCAGCAGTCCCAGCAGCCTGTGACAAATGATATACACGAAAGAGGTGAGGATGCAAACATAACGTTTGACTGGACCGACTATCTGTTCCTTGACGAAATTGAACGGCACGTCACACATGACGATAAAGTTTTTCGCCCAAGCCGCAGCCTTTCTCTTCCACCCCGCTCCGGGACACCATTCAGGAACGTACAGAACTATGCATCAAACTGGTCAATGGGGTGATGATAAACGCCCAGGCAGTTACCTACGTATCGGCAAAATATCCGCTAGGAAAGCACCCGGAGATGTGGCGAATGAAAATTGTTCCGCCGCATGACTGACGGCATTTACAACAGGATCGTCGCGTTCTTTCACCTTGTACCCGAATGATATCTCAAGGATTATGGCACCCGCAGTCCTACAGAACAAGCATTGCGTCACTTTTCATGGAGCAAACAGATCAAGATACGTACATGCGCACATACTTGGACACGTCGACATTGTGCGAGTCTGCGTCCCCCAACAGTCTAACGAGAAATCGGGAAGTCTCGGCCTCCACGAGCGGAACGAAGCGTGCCATGCTATCCCGTGTACCAAAAAGTTGGGCGAAGAGGCGGCGAATCTCCCGAAAAGTAGGGCCATACGGAGAGAGCACGAGGGTGCGTGCCCAGCCAATTACATCCCCAGCGATATGAAGCTTCGGCCTGTCAGAGTAAATCGAGCTCCTTTTCTCGAGCAGCGAAACTGCATGCTTGTGCGAATTGAGGATGACAAAATGCTGTCCTAGGAGCGTCACAGACACGATGCCGCCTGCGTGATCCAAAGTATAGTGAAAAGTTCAGGCGAAGCACAAAGTCGAAGGCTCACTTACCCCATTTTTCTCCCCATTGTGTGAACACTTTCCATTCGTGGGAGGTCGGCATGTCTAAAATATTACCAACCAAGGGCAAGCCAGAAGGACCAGGAGGGAGCAACTTCCTGGTTTTCTGATGCCCAGAGAGACGATACAAGAAGACGGCAGTCAGGAGGAAGGCAAGGACATCCAGGCTTGTGAGCTGAAGTGGCATATTGATTTATTGGTGTTGAGAGTGAGCGAACAGTGAGAGAGCTCGAGGTATTCAACACACTTGTTATGAGGGTATATATTCGCGCCGGGGGAATGCACGTTCCAATTAAATCCTGGTAGAATTCCTACTCGTCCGCCATAGGTGCACCGATAAAGACTGGTGTTCTTTGCTATGGGCCCAGCTATTACGTACCCGGCGTGCGCATGCACCTAGATAAAACGTCGACAGCATGTGCATGAGGCGCAGAAAGTCACTCATGACGACAACCGAATGACCACACCTAGTAATTTGGTTGAAGCATGCCAAGGCATCCAATGGACAGAGTGATAGTGGCGGCGCCGGCGAATTGACTCATTCCGAGATCCACAATGGCAACTGGAGCTGCTGATGACGTGCGTAAAGCGCACAGTATTTAACCCAAAAACATGAGTTGGTTCTCTTTTATCTGTCAAATTTGGCGTCAACGGCAGAGCCAAATGGACCAAAGAACATAGACCGTACGTGAAACTTCGAGCGAGCCGCGTGCGCAAAGACCATTTTTCATCGGTTTCCGACATTCGACAGAAATGGGTACTAACTTTCGTTGCCCTCCGCCGTGGCGGTCGATCATCAATCGTTGGTGGCTGTGGAAGCTAGCTACTTACCAGGATTGGTCCCTGTTGAAAAACCGGGCACTCAGCCTACTCGGCTCCAGTCATTTCTCGCGACAGTTCTTCTGAGGAACACATCAGTGGGGCCTGTGGAGACTGATTCAACACGTCCCACTTTTACTGGCAGCTGTCAAATTCGGTACAGAGGGTCAAACAACTGTAATCAATCGAAAGAATAGGATAATGTTGGCTAGGTCTAGGCATCCAGTCTCTAGATCTACTATGACGAAGGGGTACGTCAACTTGAAAGTGGCTGTTGACTTTCGACTCTCGAGATGCAGAAAGTAGCTTCCAGTCTAGCTTTGGGTCGCTCTGCAAATTAAGAGGGTAGGGGACGAGGCGTCGGAGCTATAGGCATTACGGCGGGTTTGATCGAACACCCTTGCGTCACAGCATCATGCACACATGTAACCGAACGGAGGAAAAAAGTTACAGGAGGTAGGACAAACGAAGAAAAGGAAAAGGTGCTGCCTCAGACCAGCGGAACAGCGTGGCTGAGTTTCAGGGCTATAATGCCAAGTGGACACCGGGAGGGAAGAGCACGTAACACCAGTACTCAGAATACGATGATAAGATATCACTGCTGCTCGTCCGGAGAAAGCGATCGAATCAGTGCCTCAGCCTGTGACGATCGCGGCTTCAAAGAACATTCGAACGGCGGGGGATGGCTGTGTGTGTCTTTGAACACTATCTTCCGGAATACGGGAGTACATCGACGCACCTTATAGTTCCAGTGGTGTACTGCACCTTATGAAGATCGACCGCGGGCGCAGTCCCGGGCGAGATGTCGAACAAGGCGAGAATCGTGGCACAGAAAGTAAAGATAGAGAGATCTGCAAGGTGGTTACCTGCAACAGGGTCGTTAGTTCCGCAGAATGCACAGAATGCAAGTGGATGTACCAGGGCAGATGCTAGAGTGTACATCAGCGTCTGCGAGAGCGAGAATAGCACAAACTCACCGCCGCCCATACCCAAAAACAAAATCTCGGGGATCCCGCTCAGGTGTTTTCCCTAGGAATCTTTCAGGCTTGAATGTGAAGGGGTCCGAATACACGCGAGAGTCATGCAGGTGCTGCCTGTACACGAGGAGATACGATGCGGAATCAGCCACAGGGTTCACGAGACAAAACAGCGGGCCACACGCACCAGATGTTAGCAATTACGTATGTTCCTTTTGGTATGAAGTACCCCGCATGCACATCGTCCTCAGTCAGGCGATGAATGATGCCTGCGTGTTCTACTGTCAGCTACGAATCCACTAAGAAGTTGCAGTCTGACGAAGCATACCCGACGGTACAACAGGGTGCAATCGTAGAATCTCCGAGCAAAGCGCAGAAACGTACGGGAGCTCGTTACGATCGGCAAGTTCAGGAAAACGGTCAGGACCGACGACCACGTCAACCTCCGCCTGTGCCTTCTTCTGTATATCCGGGTGCAGCATCATCATGAGGATGAAGCTAGTGTTCGTGGAAACGGTCTCAAAATGTTGGGCATCAGCGGGAAGAGATTCATGCTAATGCTTGCATACATACAGTATCTGCCCCTCCTTCGTACGTTTTAAGCAAACGAAGAGGTGACTGCGCCAAGCGAATAACTCACCAGCGTACATCCCATGTGCAGCCATCTTAACGAGTTCCTCGCGTGCAGAGTCAACGCCAGCCCCGATGTGTATGGCTGCGAAGCACTGTGCGTCCACCCCCGCCGCCTGGCAGAAAGTATTCAGAGGAGAGCGGGGGAGTATGAAACTCTACTTACCAGCTGTTTCTTAACATAGTCAATCGGCTTTTCGTACATTGCGTCGAAATTCTTCGCGCAGGCCGCAACTTTCTTCTTCCAACCACCACCCGGCATCCATTCTGGAAGATACTGGACTGCAGATGACGTTACCGGGTTTGAACTGCTCCAAAACGGCGAAAGAATTTTACGCACGAATGGGGAGGATATCAACCAGGAATGCGCCAGGGGCTGAAGCCACAGAGAATTCCTCCATGACTGCTTCGGCGGTGTTCACAAAAGGGTCTTCGCTCTCCTTAACTTGATATCCGAACGAAATTGCAAGAATGATGGCCCCAGATGTCCTGTAATTGAAGCATAAATATTTGGGCGTCTCGAATTCTGACAGGCGGTACCTACTTCCTCACCGGTTTCACTATGTCGACATCGCCGTGCTCTGACAGGTGCAGGAACCTCACCATGCAGCGACGCGTCTCAGTTTCTATGAGAGACATGTACCGCGACGCGCTTTTGCGTGAACCGAGCAGCTGCGCGAAAAGACGGCGCATATCGCGGAGACGCGGGCCATACGGCGAGAAGACGACGGAGCGAACCCAACCTATGAGTTCGCCCACAACGAAGAGCGTAGGACGGTCAGAATATATTGAGCCTTTCTTCTCGAGCATTTGCGTTGCGAGCGTGGAGGAGTTTAGAATGACAAATGGCTGTCCGAGCACGGTCACAGACATTATGTCGCCATAGATTTCGCCCCATTTCGCGAATGTGAGCCATTCATGAGAAGAGGGCCAGTCTAAGGCGTTCCCGATAATCGGCCATCCTTTGGGGCCCGGAGGAAGAGATCCCGCTCCTCTACACTTGCGCCAACTGAAAAGCCGTTTAATAAGAAACACGACAAGAGCAAGCGCAGCGACGTCCAGTATGAGTATAGCAGCCATGTTGGGTTACAACAGCTTGGGGTAGTATAAACAATTCCTGAGAAGCAGTGGATGGCGCAGGAGGAGACAGTGCCGTATATATAGCTAGAGGTCCATGAATATTTTCACAACATGGGCACCGCTCTATTGGAGCCTTCGATTCTTCACTTTGAATGCAGAAGGCTCTTGCCGATAACCTGAGAACTCCACGGCTATCGAGTAAATGCACATGCTGCAGAAAGCTCTCAGCTGGAAACAGATGTAGTAAGACAATCGGACGTTGTCAACCCCTCGAGGGAACGATCGGTGTGTAGACAGAGGAAAGGCTCTTTCCGTTACATAGGGAAAAGCCTGGCCCTCTGGGACTTTGTTCGTACACAGTCATGATAAAAGCACACGGTTGTAACCGTTCAATAGAGTGCTATCTCACCCAAAGGTATACGGAGCTCATTCCGAATCACACTCGCTTTGGTAGTTTGGAACCTAGTAAAATCCAGAGACTTCAGAACTGGATAACGTAGCACTACCCACCGAAGTATTCACTAGTGCACAAAGAATTGACAGAAATTGGGCATCCTCTTGTCTATCCTAACAAAGCTGTCAAATTGACTGTGACCATTGTCGCAAGTACTTTGAGTGTAATTTCATCGCGCGACACGCACGAGTTTTTCTGATAGATTCTGGTGGCGAATTCAGGAAACAGCGGCATGCCACGTTCAGCAGCGGAGTGGCCATCATTCAGGCAAGCTCCTGTATAAGATCTATAGTAAAGTGATGCTTGATTGGCCTCGTGGGGGCTCATGCACTCATGAGTCCGACATGGGGGTTACCTTCAATTTACCGTGATCTTAAGCTGAGAATGCGCTGGCGGTTACCCAGAGCGAAAAAATACCTGCCTGCCATCCTGCCATCAGATATCCTGCGCTTCCCTGCCGAGGTCTTCCGAGTAACCCGCTTCGTGCTCTCTCAGTGTGTCGACGTATAGTGACGCACGCACATTTGAACCTGCACTTCCTTGAGAGATTGTCTTGAGCCAGAGGAGATCGAAGTAGCTGCACAGGAAGAGTCAAAACAGACCTGAAATATTCCCGCTAGCTATGACAGCGACTGACGCAAGTGTCAGCTTGGGAATTGTGTGCGGCACTACGGTTGAAATTTGAGCGAGTCGACCATGTCGTCACGTGCTACACACAGGCGCGTCGCCATAGCCGTTCATCGAGCGCTGTCGCGTTAGGTAGAGAATGATCTGTGGACTATCCAACGAATGGAGACATATACAGACCGTAATTAGTTCATCTTAACATCGCCGTCCATTAAGTGGCTCCCCGACGCCTCAGGCGCAGAATTCTGAGCCTGCAGCAACGCCTTCTCCCGCTGATGCTCCTCCCAAATCCTCTTCAGCTGCTGCCTCGCCTCAGCATCGGCATCCTTCAGCATAATCAGTCTAGACTGTTTCCAAACGGTTGGATCCATTGATTGGTACACGCCCGGAAGCAGGCCCTCCATCGCCCACAGTTGCCTGTTCTCGTAGAGCCCGCCTTCCTCCGGTGGAAGACTAAGCGCCTTGTCGACCGCAGGCACCATCAGGGGATGGAAGAACAAGCCCGGATAGTAGCGACCACTGATGAGAGACATCGACAGAACGACTTCGTGCCCTGGGGGGAGAATTGGCCGGAATACGGATCCGTTGGGTGGAGGTGGGAGCGGATAAGGCGTGGTAAGAACAGGGTGAGAGAGCTGTCCGTTTAGGGTACGCTTCTTGGACTTGCCGGCGGGCACTGTCTGCGTAATCGTAGCCGAGGCGGTCTGCGCAATCGAGACAGACGGGTCCGGGTTGGGCAGCGGCGGAGGCTTCAGAGGGGAGGGACCAGGCATGAAGGACGACCCAGCGAGACCTTGAGATGCGCCTGGGACGTCCTGCGCGCCGATAATACCAGACTGATCAAGAGATTGATTCGTAGAAATCGACTGCGCACCGCCAACATCGGTTGCACGCTCTTTCCCCTTCCCATTCCCTTCAGCTGCCGGGGCAGCCACCTCAGACCCATCTTCCCAACCAACATCAGCAAGTTCGTATATGGTCCCGCTAGCTCTGCATTCCCGGCCAAAACCCCCCTCCGTCTTCGGAACATCCACAGCGAACAAGCCTTCGAGTCTCATGAAGAGCCCCTTTTCGCTTGCGCCCAGCACTCGGGGATCGGTATCATCAGCATGCCCAATCGACGCGATATGTTCCAGCGTGGACGCCGATGGCCCCGACGGAGGATAGATGAAATCCGTGCCACGCGGTGCAAACTGGCAACGGGCGAGCTTGAGCCGCACGAGCTCATCCGTCCAAATGCGCTCGGCACCCCACCAGAGGCCTTGAAATCGCAACTGGTTGACCACCTGCGGCACGGGGGCGGAGACCGATTGGTTCCCCAAAAGCCGTGTGCTGATAGCCCGGAACTCCTCAGCGGACACACCCTCCGGACCATACGCTTCTGGCGGCAGCCCGACCTGAGCGCTGGGCCGCGCATTGAGGTCCCGAGTAGCGTTGTTGGCCATCGACTGAGTGATGAGCGAATGTAACGTTGACGCTGATCCTGGCTCTGCAGGTGCAGATGTCGATGCTGGAGGAGGATGAAGAGATGGAATCAAAAATTTGCAGTCCCACTCATCAGTAGGCTCCCAAGACCGTACAACTTTGGAAGCAATCTGAACAGCCAGAGCGTATGGAGTGACGGCCTGGCGGAACCGCAAGCGCTCGCCCTCCGGAGATCCCACATGTTCTAGAGAACAAGGGTCGAAAGTGAATGAGCGCTGCAGATTGCTCTCCATCTCCGCGGCGGGCATGTCCTGTATCACCATCAGTAATTCTTCCTGTACTTCAACCACCAATTCTTCTGTAGGAGCGTAGGCGAGGTACGGCAAGACCTGCTCGTCAGATACGTAGTAGTTGTGCGTCACAGCAAGTAGCTTGATTGTGTAGACATTCCACTGGCGAACATCCCATCGTACTTTCGTATCTTCAGTAGTGACAGATTCCGCGGAGTCTTGCTGTTGAGAAGTTTCTCTTGGAGCAGCCGATAAGCCAACCGCGGCACCACCCGCTTGTTCCTGCGCCATATCGACATCATTGTCCTTGTCAACATCAGGTTCTGGCGACCGCGGAATGGCCTTCGTTTTCACGTTGACGTCTTCGACCAAACCAGGCCAAAAAGAGATGCTCTCTGCCTCTCCACGAATTGGCGGGTCCATCGCGCACCATACTAGCTCCCCCTTCCTGAACCATCGGCTCGTCGCGTATTCCTTGTTCGCGGCCGCACCCCTGATATCGCTGTCTTTCTCCGGCACCATCGATTGCTGAGGGCCTTGGGGGAGCTTCGATGGCTTCGGTGCACGTCGCACAGCAGCATATGGTTTGGCATGCTGGCGAACGCGTGGCTCACGAAGTCGCTTCACGGACTGGACCTTATTCGGGGTAGCTTGCGAAGGAGTCGAGCGCTTGCTCGCCGATAGACCGAAGGCGTCGGTGACCACGCGCTGCGGTTTCTTAGCGCAGTACTTGCATTCGCAGTTGGCACGGTTCATAGTTTCGTCTCGCATCAGCCAGAGAGCATGAGGAACGAACTCATTCGTCGAGCGGAATCGATTGACGTTGGTGGAACCTGAATGTTGGCATGAATATCATCTGGCGACTGCAACAATAATTCGTGCTCGCCTACGAGATAAGGATCATGCCTCGGGTTGCTGGCTGACCCTTTGTTGTGATCGTACATATGATATCCGTCGGGAAACTTCCTAAGGATATATGTCGGGCCCTCTTCAGCGATGAACGCGTCAACCCATGCGCGACCACGTCTCGAGGCATGAAGATGCTCTCACCTTCAAGGCCCATCTGCTGCGCCAACTTGGCACCGACTGTCAACCGCCAGCCAAGGGTGCCACTCTCATCGATAGACATAGGGCGCATGAAGTTCACACATCCTTCATGGTCTACCACACGCTCAGTGTTCTGAGGCCACAGGTTTTCGTCTCCATCGGTCCTCGGGAAGTCCAGGAAAGTGGGATTGTCGGGCAGGGTATGATGTCCTCCCAACCTCCGAGACATGCTGGCTGAGTGACGTGTTCCTCGAAAAACCGGATTGGTAGCACGCAACAGCAACTAAGTCTGTTCTCCTCGAAGTTGTAGGTCTGGACGGTGGCTCCACGACGACTGTACCTCCACTGGGCCTTGGCCCTTTCGAAGTAATACACTCGAAAATGCGAAGACTGGGTGACGCTTGAGGTGAATGAATAACCGCGGAGTACGAATGGTTGACCAATGGTTGTTAGTCAGGCCAGCTCCTCCACTTAATAATAAGATAGACCTACTTCATCTACTATCGTCACAGCGTGACACATCAGGTGCCTCAGGCAAAGTCTGTCACGGTGGCGCGAGATTGGCGGGGAAAGGCGTGAATTTGGAGCACTAGCAGCTTAAATCCTCCATCCCTTCCCGAAAATAAAATAATTTATTTTGTAACTAAATCCCAAAAATCATCTTCTACAAAGTTACAGAAGCAGATTTTGATGCTTGTCCTGTGCATGGAGGAATTAGCCATTCAGTGTGTGTCTCCCGCCAAGCGTGACAAAAAGGTCACGTGATAGTAGTCGAGCATGAACGGCGTCTATCTTATTTTCTTTCTTACTCAATTCTTACTCGACATGCAGTTGTCGTGCAACATGTGCTCGAACCGGCGACTATTTTATGGATCAATTTCTCCCCCCAGCGATACCAGCCAGAGTTTTCTTAAATAATACTTGCACGTTTATCATGACCCCCAGCAAGCATGGTAGCACCCATTTTCGCGAGAATGAGGCCTCACGCAGTGTGCCAGGTTGATTGTCAATGGCTCAGCAACAGGAGGCGTGTGCTGCTGCGGAGCCCACTACATATCTCAATCATGGTACACAGGTATCAACCACGGTCCTATTTTCTGGTCGCTGCTCCGTGTTCCGTTACTGTGGCTCTCCGTGATGGCATGCGGTGCAGTGTGGCAGGTGGGTGCTGCAGTACGCGCGGTTCAGAAGTACAGCCGTGTATTGATTCTTTCACTACAGTATGCGGTCGCCGATTTACCTCGCCGCTATTTTCATGCTTTCTCGTGTCTAGTTCAGCATACCGTTCGGTCCATCACCCTGAGATTATTTCCCTCTCGATGTGGAAGAGGCAAACCCGACGGAGACGTGTACTCTATCATCTGATCAATGCGAATCCGACTGGTGAGCTATGCTCCGTCTCCGTCTGCTTTCAGCCAGTATTGAGGACGAATGATTCCCGCTCCACCTCCGTCTTTCCTCGGAAATGAATAATCTGGCAGTGAACCAGACAAAGGCGGCGGCCCGCCTTATGGAGCACCTTGAGCTCACTGGTCTGGACTGGGCCCAGGCAGAAACCGGCAGAAACCCTAACCTCGGTGTCCCCGACAATGGTCTAGGAGGCACTCTGATTGGCTGGCGGGGAATGCAATCCGCCCTCATCTGGTTGTTCCTGCGCTCATTCTGGCAATAATGTTTTCGAGGACCCAGTACCTTCCATGGAGTTCGACTCGTATCGCTTCTTGCAAGTCTCGATCACAGATATGATGCAAACGACTCGCCGACGATTTGTTATGACTTGTCTCGAGAGCCATATCATAAAACGGCCTCAGCTGTTCTCTCCTTCTGCACTCTTCTACCCCAGTAACTATATTCATCACTTTCCGACTCTTTTCGTCGGACGCTGGTGACTCCAAACTATCATACATCCCTTCCCAAACAGCCTCCTCTATCCGAGGTTGCTCGCGCACGAAACAGCTACTAGCCACATTCACAACTAGAGTGCAGACATGTCGGAGGTGACCGTCGGGCAAAACATGTCAGCGGACGATAAAGAGGCGAACAAGCAATCTGTTGGCTCAACGCCAGCAACGTTTGTCGACGATATTGACGAGCCAGAGGGCGGCCTGCGAGCTTGGCTCACCGTCATTGGAGGGTAAGTAGGTGCAAACAATGATAGCGTTCCACCGAGTGCTGAACACTAACTACTTCACAATCAGGTGGATCATCTGCTTCTGCACCTTCGGGTACTCGAGTTCGTTTGGTGTATACCAGAGTTTGTACCTGAAGGCTGGAGCGGGATCATCCTCCGGGATCAGTTGGATTGGTTCCGTGCAGGTATACTCTCATCCGTTATTGTTTGCCTCCAAGCTGAAGGTTGTGGTGCTATCAGCTTTGCCTAATGTTCGCCACTGGCCTTATAGCCGGTAGATTGTTCGATGTCGGATACTTCCACCACCTGATGTTCTTCGGTACTTTACTTTACTGCTTTGCGTAAGTTTTTCATGTCGAGTCTTTGTAACTCTCCACCTGATGAATCGGATAATTCAGGCTCTTCATGCTGTCGCTAGCACATTCACAAGACTACTATCAACTAATGCTCTCACAAGGCCTTGCGGCCGGAATTGGCGGCGGGTGTCTTCTGGTCCCCTCCTTGTCTGCCCAAGCGCAACACTGGAATAAGCGGCGTGCGTTTGCTATGGGCATTGTTCTCACAGGTACGTTCGACGTTGCGTGTCATCCGCTAGGGCTCCGAGTTTGGTGCTAAGTGAAATGATAACGCAGGCACCGGAATTGGCGGTATCGTGTATCCCATCATGATCAACCAATTGTTCCAAACTTCTGCAGGTTTCGCGTGGACTGTCCGCTACACTGCGTTCATGACTCTCGGATTACTCGTCATCGCTAACTGCATTATGACAACGCGTATGCCCAGCGCCAAAGAGCTCCAAAATCGCCGTAGCCCGGATATTATGTCGATCCTCACAGACACGCCTTACATGATCGCCGCTTTAGGGTAAGTCGTACTCGTACTGGATAACAAACGGACGGCTTGTTCATACTGAAACAGGGCCTTCTTCTGTCTTTGGGGCTTATTCTACCCATGTATGCCGTCCGCTTCTTGTTGTGGCTCGTGCAGTGCGCTTACATGATTATCGCAGATTTCTACCTGCAGGTGTTTGTAGAAGATCATGGACTTAGCCCCACTCTCGCTTTCTATACCGTATGCTGATGTTTATCGATTCATAAATGTTACATTGACCATCGCGATTCCTCTCAGATCGCCATTTTGAACGCTGGATCCGTTCCGGGGCGTTGTCTCCCCAATCTGATTGGAGATATCATCGGACCGTTCAATGTGTTCATACCCTGCTGTTTTATCTGCGGAGCATTGATGTTTGCAATGTTCGGCTGCACCTCACCCGGCGGAGTGATCGTATTTTCCATCTTGTTCGGATTCTTCTCCGGTGCTTGTAAGTCAAACGGTGGTTTCCTTTTCTTCTTTGGTTCTCATCAGTCGCAACTCCCTTATAGGCATCGCAATCAATCCTCCAGCCCTCGTTAGTCTTTCCAGGAATAGGGACGAGATGGGGTGAGTCGAGGTTCGGAGTTGATGAATAATACTCTGACGCCCTTGTCTTTATCAGTTTGCGGATTGGTATCGGCTATTTCATTGCCTCGTTGGCACTGTTGACGGGAACACCTATAAACGGCGCTCTCTTGAATCCTGGAAATAAGTGGGCAAATCCCACGGTCTTCAGCGGGGTAGGTCATCCCACGGCAGTCGTTCTTCCGTCATGAAGATCTGACGTACGTGTTCGTTTAGGTTGTTATGATTGTCGGTTCGTTTCTCCTACTTATCGCACGCCGCGGGGTGGTGGAGAGGAAGCATACGCAGCGCGTGTAGTCGCTTCTCAGCATTCGCCTTCCCCCTCCCACTCTATCGCGTAGCCGCGTCCGGAGTCGGACGCGCACCCACACCTCAGCCTCCCGATTTATCGGACGTTTTGACACATCTGGATCATAGAGTAGAATATCATACTCACGACACTGACATTGTACACGAATCTATCTTACATACTAGATGTGCCTATAGACTGCTTCTTCCGATCGCGCGACGGTGGCGGATTGTGTGCGCGTGTTTGTTTTCGCTCAGTGAAACGCTGGCTTAAATAAATAAACGGCTCGGGTCTTGTCGAACTCGTCCACTAAGTCCACTCTTCGACCGAAACAATCTACGAATGTGCTTCTCAGTGGTGTCTAGTCTTATTTTCCACGTTCTCCTAAATTCTACCCGACGCGCCGTGATTATCAACGTCCCGCACATCACCTCTCCAGTGCTGGGGTGTTAAACGACACGGCAATAATGCTCGCGGACCATGGGTCCGCTCGTCCTCAGCAGATCGTCTGCCTTGCCTTTCTCACTGGGATGATGTTTTGATCGGACGGAACATTCTTGCAGGAAGTATGCACGTCCTTGCAATGGTTAGACTTGTAGTTGCGTTCGATTCTCGCTGTAACGCAAATTGGGTGTCCTCCATATGATAATATTACATGTTCCAGCTTGTCTTCTCCAAGTGTATGTCTAGGCATGAGCATGAAAACTGTCCAATCTGTTGAGACACGCGAGACCTGGCTGTTACGTCAGGTCTCTCAACCCTCGATGGTTCTCAGCTCAACTCTGTAGACTCAGGACTTGTCGTTCGAATAGAACAACATACCCTACACATGCAATAAGTAAAGCTGTGAGAGACGTCAGACCTACCCAGAAAGATGAGCTCCAGGATTGGGCATGCATCGCACTCAGCCAGCACGCCGTCAAATATTATGCTTTTTATTCACTTTACATTCTTCTTCTACTTACTCCCTTCTTCGTAACGAGCGAGACGATGAGTAGGAACTAGGATACAGACGCTGCAGAGGTAAAGTCAAACCGGGCTGGGGCCGTGGACGTACGGCAATACTATACGTAGGACGGCAAGTCCAAAGCGAGCGTAAGACAGGAGAACATTAGCTGGTCTGCTAAGGTTAAGAGAGCGAGGACGCAGGTGCGCGGACGATGTGGGCGGGATATGAATGCGGACTCGAATGGGGGAACGGTACTGGACATGAATGTGATGTATAAACAGCTGATGAACGTGGCGCGGTATCTCTGGGGTCGCCTCGGCTCTGCCGGTTCAACGGTCGTGCAGCGTGGAAAACAGGATGGTCGGGTGGCGTACTCAGGCATGGGTGCATAGGGCATGGGCTGCTACACAATCGTGCCAGAGGCGCTCATGCAGCGCTATACAAAAACAGATTGTTGGTCGCCGCGATCTAAACAAGGCACATCGGGCCAGTCAGCATCTAGAGAAAGAGAACAACAATAATACCAAGTAACGTACGGCAATGGTATTCTCTTTAGGATGCCAGCTCGCGTGGAGGATCTTCTTGTTGAAGTCGAGAGTCTCCACCGCCATGTTCTCCCGAAGTCCACCAGGCCGTACGCCGTTCTTCGCGACGGCCTTGTTATTCGGTAACGGAGCACCAATCTTCTTCGCCTTGAACGCGGACTTGTCTGCTTGCAGGACGATATCGTTTAGTGTGTCCACATCGTATATCCGGAAGTAGTTATGATACGATCCAGTCAGTACGTGCCTGAGAAGAGCACCATGAGCAACGGACATATTTCAAGCTAGGAGAATGAATCTGAAGATGGAGTCGGTACTTACTTGTCATCTCCACCCCATGTGCACTCGAACTTATCAAAGATACAATCATTCTCGTACAGGTCGCAGAGCTTCCCGCGGAGGTGGTCGTGAATGGGAATGGTCTTCAGCGGCCGTGACTCCATGTTAATATCCCAGATCTTGAGCGATAGGTAGTCGCGCGACAGAATGTACCGCCCGTCGTGACTGAACTTAACATCCGAAATAGAGGAGATAATCTCGGAGAAGAATGACCGATTTGTTGGATCTTCTTCCTCCTCAAACACTGCATGTGAGTGAATTATCAGTATGTGGCGGGCTGATCGTAATAAGGTACTCACTCTTTGCATGCTTATCGCACAATGCCGAGTCGCGCATGTCCGCCAGCTTGATATTGCTTTTTGAACTGGAGTACATGAACAGATTGCATTGTGTGGGATGGAACTCAGCCGCGGTGATAACCTCTGTTAGCTCTTCCATGTTAACGGGCTTGATGTCAACAACGTCTGCAGCCTGCACTCAGCACATGATATGTATGATCTGCAAATCACGCGCACTAAAGCTTTGGTCGCTGATGTTTAAGTTCCACAGGTTAATCCGGAGGTCGTCTGCGGAAATGTAAGTCTCCTGGTCCGAGTTGACCGAGATTGAGTGGATGTGGTATGCGTGCGCGTTAGAGTAGACTTTCCGCGGCAACGCGGCGATGATGTTATCCTGCTGTGTCATGCGAGGCAGCTTCAAGCCCTGGGACATGGTAGGTGGGGGTAATGACCGCTGTCCATCGTGCAGATTGGATTCAGAAACTACTCGCAACGACTTCTCGAATACTTTCCACAGCTTGATCGTTTTATCTATAAATGATTCACGAACTCGTCAAGAGGCCGCGTAACTATAAATGATTGAGGACAGTATACCGTTTGTGGACAGCAAGAAGTGGGCGGCGTTTTGCCGTCTGCACCACTTGATCTTGTTGATCTTCTCCTCAATTTCCAGAGATTTGAGGTAGTCGAATTCCGGTTCATGAGATTGAAACTCTGTGTAAAATTTGTACTCGCATCCCTTTTTCTGGAAGGGTGAAGACACGTCGGTGACGCAATCGTACACACGCGAGTGCACATCGTGTACGCACCATCTCATTACGCTCAAACAGCACGACTCGACCGCCCTTGTCACCGGTGGCAAGGTAATTCCCTGTCGTATCGAATTCAACGGTCGAGATGATGTCCGCTGTGGGGTCCGAACAAGTAATGATAAGACACCACACGCACGACGACAGAAGCCGGGCTTCGCGATGAGAAGACTGACCTTCTGTGATGTCCTCGACATCGCCCTTGTCTCCGAAACACTGAGCGAATCTCCAGCCTCCCGAACTTGACGCGTCCTGATCCATAATTGAGTTGATGCGGTGGGAGTATTACGGTTCGGCGAGGGGTTGGAGGAATGTCGTGTCTTGGGCTGTGGTCGCTATAGGTGGTGATGGGGAGGGCAGCGGCAGCGGCGGTGGGTGTAAGGCACGGGTGTGGCGCGTTGTGTGCAGGTTGGGGCGAGGACAAGAACGTTGAAGGCCGGTTTCCGCACGTCACGATCGAGCAGGCAGACCACAGCCCGTGTGACCGTCACGCGTGACAGCCCTGCCTTGTTGTGGGATATTGATCTGTGGCAACGCGTCTGGCCTGCTCGAGCTCGTTTCCGACTTCGTCCTCAGGCTCAACTGCAACCACCATCTTCCTACCCCCACACAACCCACTATGCCTATCGCTCCCATTACTGGCAAGCTCAGGAAACGCTTCTGGGTTGACCTTTCCACCGCCCTTGGCCTCGGCATCAGCGCCGGCTACGCTTTCTGGTGAGTCGCCCGTCCTCGTTTGCGCGTCATCTTTCTTATTTCTGCCCGATCAGGTATGGTGTACACCTGAAAACAGGTGAGCCCACAACCGTGGATCGTCGCTTTTTATTCTCTGCCGTTGTCTCATTGGTGTCGTGTAGTTCAGAGGCAGGAGGAGTATTACCTCAAGCTCGAGAGGGCCAAGCAGCAGGATCAGTAGAGCAGCGGGCTGGTCGTGACGCGATTTATTCCGTCACCACGAAATGGGGTAGCCTCCGTGTTGCAATTGACATCGTCCGCGCCATCTTCGTGCGCAACCCTCAGCCGTATAAATCGACATTCATGATGCATAACGCGACGAATGAAGTCGGAACATATAAATATGAGCGTGAATTAGATTGTGTCTATCCTCCCAAATCCCCAACTCTCCTCGCCTGCCGTTGTATGAATACATGCCAATGGCGGTCCAGTCCGATGAGATCCCAAAGCTAATTCAACAAACCCATCCGACGGAGCTTGTCACAACTCTCGACAGGCTCCTCCTGTATCCGCTTGACCTTCTCCCAGTCAGTCCCAATGCCAAACACCCCAATCTCTGCGTCTTTTCTGCTCTGCTTGCGATCCAGACCTCGTTGGCATTGTGCATACAGATCCTGTGTATACACCTGCTCCACGTTCTTCTCGAACCGCCGTAGCTCGGGTCCGGGCTTGTTCTCGTTCCGCGCGAGCTCAGCTGCGATTGAGTGACCAGAGAATTCTGCTGCATTGACATGGTACTTGACGCCGAGTCCTCCTGTCTGTCGTTCGACATTGAAACGCATGGACGGGGAAAATGAAAATCGCGGATCGGGTGTTGGTGACGATCCCAATAGATTTGGCAAGACATTGAGGAACGCGAAAGCAAACAGAAGGATGAGGGGAAGAATCTGCATAAGGACAGATTTTGGTCCAGTCTCCTGTCGCTCTTGCGGTACATTTGTTCGCATGCGTGTTGTGCGGAAGCCGCCAGGGCCAAATGTCGCAGTGAATACTGATCATGCACTCAGCCGAGGATTCTCGTGTGGGGTAAGTTGACTCACCGGGAGCACCACCAAACGGAGACCCGCCAAACGAAGTCCCACCCATACCTCTTCCAAAGAACATATTGAACAGATCCTCCGGACTCATTTCGCCTTCGAATCCGCCGCCCCCAAAGGATGCTCCAGAGAATCCTGGTGGTCCACGTGCTGCCGACGACATGCCGCTGAAACGGGACTCTGGGTCAGAGCCATGCTGATCGAATGCAGCTCTTTTTTGTGGATCTAAAGTGACAAGCTATCAGCTGGTGTTGCGCACGATAGACGACGTATCTTCACTCACCTGAGAGGACTTGGAAAGCTTTGGACACCACTACAGACGACGTCACTGAGTTGCAGATACTATAGGATCGTGAGACAAAGCGACAAACGCACTCTTGAATGCCTCATCGGCGCCTGGTGCGCCGTTCTTGTCGGGATGCAAGGATAATGCGAGCTACCAGGACAAGCAAGATCTGTCAGTCCGCCAGCGGACGAAAAATCCAGGTCACAAACCTTCCGATATGCCTTCTTGATCTCCGACTCCTCACAGTCCTTCTTGACCGACAAAATCTCGTAATACTCTGTGATCTTGCACGCGCGCACACGCTTGACCACTACCGCCTGCTCCGGTGTATAATCCCGCTTCTTCTGCGACGTACTCGACTCCGAGGCACTCCCATTCGCCTTCCCATTCGGTTCAGAAGCCGCCGCTGTATGTCTCTGTCTTGTGCCTGACGCAGACGGGTGCGCCTCAGTAGCCGAAGTGAAAGTGCTCGAGCCCGCGTTTGAAGACTCCTCTGAGGATGCAGCTTCCGACTGCGCCGACCCGGACGCGGATTCGGCATCGATAACCTCAAGTAGCTTTCGCGCCTCCGCGGTGGAGAAGAGGCTGAGAGACTTCTGGCAGAAGCGGCGGGCGGAGGGGAGGTCGCCGGAGTCGCGCCGCCGCTGGGCGATGGCGAGGCACTTGAGGGCTTCATCCTTATTGCTCTCCATTGCGCTGGGCCCCTGGGGTGAATGTGTGCGAGCGAGGAGGGAGGGGCTGCTGGGGTCAAGGTAGTAACTGGTGACCTGAGAATTCGGAAGACGCTGAGATCACAGCGCGTCTAGTGACACTTACGTGGAGGTTACGAAGAGCTCTTACTCCGCTGTTAACCCAGTAGTTGTATTATAACAAAAAACCACTACGAAGTTGTTACATCACAAAATATTAACACGTCATCGTAAGTTTGATCACAAGTGCGTTGAAATCTCCTTTCAGTGACTGATTACCCAATCGTCACTGGCAGAGATTGCTCGCTCGCCATCCCGAGGATGCTTCGAGATCACTCACACTATCACCCGCCGGTACATGCAGTCATCGCAGCCAACGACTTTGACCGACGGCGCTGACACAGATGAGCTCGCCAGGTTCAGAAAGGCCTGGAGGGAGGAGGTCTACAGGAAGAAGGAAGGACCCGCCGTAGCACCCCCCAAGCCCGACAGCGAGCCCCCTTCAGACGTCCTGCCCAACAGCACCAGCACCGTCGACCATACGCACCCCCCAAGTCGCAGCTCACCCGCAATCACCCATGGTGAGGCAGGGGTTACGCCGAAGCCCGGATCTTCTCACCTCCCTCCGCTGAGCGCGAAACTCGCTCGCGCGGTCGAGGTGTACCGCCGCGCGGTACACTGTGAGCAACAGAGCAACCTCGACGAGGCGCTCGTGCTGTACCGCACCGCGTTCCGCATGGAGCCCAACGTTGACAAGGCGTACGGTCAGGTCGAGCTGATTGCCGCGGCCCATTCTATCTCTTCCAGCCATGCCTACACCGGACCGCCGCACAAGCGCCACCAGAAAACTGCGTCCTCGTCGGGCGGCGGCGTGCACGAGATCACGCGAGGCGTCGGTGAAGTGGACTTGCGCCCTGCGCCCGTGCCTGTCGTGCACACGGGCGCGTGCACGGTCGTCTCGGGGACGCTGGCGAGCGTGGTAGCGAGCTGGCCTCGTAATCTGGCCTTTGAGCCGGAGGACGAGCGCGAGGCGCTGCCGTTCAGGAGCCTGCCGGACGAGCTGCTCGTGCATATCCTCCAGTATCTCGACACTGCTGCGCTCGAGAGATTCGCGGCGGTCAATCGCAAGGCGCGTGTTCTCAGTCTGGACGTCGCGATATGGAGGTGCGTGCGTTACTCTTGTTCTTTTCCACTAACCCATGTTCCTTGCCCTCGTGTCCAGGGAATTCGTGCATGCGGTTTACAAGCCACCGCAGATTGCAGAGGACGAGGACTTAGCTACGCTGTTGGAGAAGTACACGCCGGATTACCGACGGCTGTATGTCGAGCAGCCTCGCGTACGGTTGGATGGGGTGTACATCGCTGTGTGCCATTACATGTATGTACCTGTTCGTTTCAATGATCATGGTTTTATTCCCCGGTTAAGTGACATCGTTTCGATCATAGCCGTGCCGGTCTCAGCGAGAACGCGTGGGTGAATGTACGTTTTGTCCACTTTTTAATCGTCCCACAAATACTGACTGCAAGTAACATCATCAGGTGAGTCACCTCATCACGTACCACCGGTACCTGTAAGTCGTCTGTTTTCCTGCCATTCAGTTGCAGGAGGGTGATCCGCGTCTTTGACGCCTCCTGCAGGCGATTCTATCCGAACGGTGAAGTGCTGTCCTTGCTCGCGAACGATCAAGTCCCACCACGCCAAGTCATCTCAACCCTTAAGCCGACCCTACGGATGAAGGTCCGTCTCGTCACTCACTTCTATTCTCCCATTCGTGTCCATGCTCACCCGCACGCAGGGATTCTTCATCGGGAACTGGTACCTTGACGGCACGACAGTGCGCGTCACGAACTTGCTGGACCCGAGCGGCGGCTTCGTGCGGTACGCGTTCCAGATGAAGCTCGAGCTGCGCTCGCGGCCGCTCGGGCGATGGAACCGTCTCGATTTTCGCGCGTACGACTCAGTCGACATCGCCAGTGGGGAGGCGACGCCGCTCGCGCTCAATCATGAACGCTCCTTCTGGTTCTCGAAGGTGCGGTCATACGCGTCGGCGTGAGCCAAAGACGCGTTTTTTCACGGGGAATTCACGAGAACGACGACTGCATGTGCAGTCTTGAAGCTGGACGCCTAACGTGGATGTGGAGGGTTACAGGACATTGTGAAGCTAGAGAGTATACTGGTCCGATGCGTACGATTATGTCTATTAACCTATTAGAAGCTGTCGAAGAATTATGAAAACCTGAATATTTGGTCTTCACAATACAGTATAGGTCGTGCACACACGTACGGCTTTCCGTATGACAAACCGACCCGAGGACGAATGTTCTCGGAACAGACGGCAAATGATTTGTCGCGAGCGTGTCGCCTCGTGTGCCTCTCTTCTCTAGCAATCGTCTGCACAATTTCGATCCTTGCCCCGTCAGAGCCTGCCACCGCCCTGCAGCTTCGCATGGTGCGCACATGACCGCGCCCAGTGATGGTCGGCTCACGGCATTCACGCTATCCGAATCGGATCCGGTGCTGAGCAGATGTCGAAGATGACTGAGCGTCAGAGCTGGTAATATTCGACGATAAGTTGGAAGGGTTGAATGACGAGGACGGAAGGGAGAGAGAATGTTGGCTGGGGTGGACATGGAGCGGTGGACCGCAGTAACGCCGTCCAGGAAGGCAGATAAAAAGGCGCGGGGTGAGTTCGCGACGTGAAGGGGCAATTGATTGCCCGCTCGACGCGTCGAGCCACTAGCGCCTTGCCCCGCTCCTTCTTGGTGTATCTCTTCCTCATACCCCCACCTCGACCCATCTCTTCGTCCTTAGATTGCCTGCTCACCCCATCTGTAGAAATATCTTTTTCCGTAGAGGAAGTCACCTCTGATCACCCCGGATCACAACCATGGCCTCCTCGTCCACCTCCCTCCTTCACCCTCCGAGGCTCGCCTCCATGTTCGTGGGCTCTCCGAGTGCACCGGGAACGCCAGTCCATTCCATCCAGTCAATGCGTCGAAAGTCCGCAGGCCACTCAGGCCCCCTCACCAAGATCCTCGTGGCCAACCGCGGCGTGCGTCCATTTCAACCGCATACAACCATGCACCTCGGAGTACTAACAGATCAGGTTGTTTTCCCGGTGACAGGAAATTGCCATACGCGTTTTCCGTACGGCCCACGAGCTCGCGATGCACACCGTAGCCATTTTCTCCTTCGAGGATCGTCTCTCGGCCCACCGCCAAAAGGTGAGTGCTTGGTCGTGCTGCGGGCGTGCTGATGTCCACCTGGCCTCCGGATTTACAGGCGGACGAAGCTTACCAGGTTGGCAAAGGTCTGACTCCCGTCGGTGCCTACCTAGCCCAAGATGACATCATTAGGATCGCCCTCGAGCACGGCGTCGATATGATTCACCCCGGGTAAGGTCCATCGCGTGCTCAATCTCTGTGTCACTACTGACGGTAGTACACACTGCATGCAGATATGGCTTCCTCGCCGAGAACGCTCATTTCGCGCGCAAGGTCGAGATGGCCGGCTTGGCCTTCGTTGGCCCCTCTCCAGAGGTCATCGACCAGCTGGGTGATAAGACCAAGGCGCGCACAATCGGTGGGTTATCTCTACATATAAGTCCATATATGCGCGTTTCTCTCTAATATCTCACCACTTCAGCCATCAATATTGGCGTCCCAGTCGTGCCTGGTACCCCAGGCCCCGTCGCGTCCTACACCGAGGGGGATGCCTTCATCAAGGAGTACGGCTTCCCCGGTCCGCACCCGTTTGTTTCTGGGCCGCTGTGCCACAAAGCTGACGGTAGTGACGCAATACAGTGATCATCAAGGCCGCAATGGGCGGCGGTGGCCGCGGCATGCGTGTCGTGCGTGAGCAGTCCGACTTCAAGGACTCGTTCGAGCGCGCGGTGAGCGAGGCCAAGTCCGCGTTCGGTGATGGCACGGTGTTCATCGAGCGCTTCCTCGAGCGCCCGCGGCACATCGAGGTGCAACTCCTCGCAGACGCGCAGGGAAACACGATTCACCTCTTCGAGCGTGACTGCTCTGTGCAGCGCCGCCACCAGAAAGTCGTCGAGGTCGCGCCCGCGACGCATCTCCCAGAGGAGGTCCGCCGCGCAATCCTCGCGGACGCAATCAAGCTCGCGAAGAGCGTCGGGTACCGCAACGCGGGCACGGCCGAGTTCTTGGTCGACCAGATGGGCAGGCATTATTTCATCGAAATCAACCCGCGCATCCAGGTTGAGCATACAATCACCGGTGGGTCTTCTGATGCATCCCCAATGTTGTGTTCAGACTCTAATCTTTTGCAAATCCGATTGCCACAGAGGAGATTACGGGCATCGACATCGTCGCTGCCCAGATCCAGATCGCGGCGGGCGCGACGCTCCCCCAGCTCGGTCTAACCCAGGAGGCCATCACCAAGCGCGGCTTCGCCATCCAGTGCCGAGTCACCACCGAGGACGCGGCCCAAAACTTCCAGCCCGATACAGGCAAGATTGAAGTGTACCGCAGCTCAGGCGGAAACGGCGTGCGCCTCGACGCCAGCTCCGGCTTCGCGGGTGCTCAGATCACGGTTAGTACGGGTTACTCGGACAGGAGAGCTGCAATCGCAATATTGACTTTCGGTCGCAGCCTCACTATGACAGCTTGCTGGTGAAGGTCACCGTCAGCGGTACGACGTATGAAGTCGCGCGCAGGAAGATGCTGCGGGCCCTCGTCGAGTTCCGCATCCGTGGTGTAAAGGTGAATCGAACAGCCGCTTTCCCCCCTAGACCATCGCTGAGACACAGTGCAGACGAACATCCCCTTCCTGTTCCGCCTCTTGACACACGACGTGTTCATCGGCGGGAAGACGTGGACAACAGTAAGCCATCTCCCTCGGTATACTTCCAAGCTCACGTAACCCACTGCACGCGTCTAGTTCATCGACGACACACCCGAGCTCTTCAAGCTCGTGCAGAGCCAGAACCGTGCACAGAAACTCCTCGCGTACCTCGGTGATCTCACCGTGAACGGAAGCTCGATCAAGGGTCAGCAGGGCGAGCCGGGGTTGAGGGATGAGATCGTCGTCCCGCCATTCCAGGGGCGCGAGGACCCCGACGGGCCGCCACTGGATGCATCGCTCCCGTGTGAGACGGGATGGCGCAACATCATCGTCGAGCACGGACCGGAGGCGTTCGCCAAGGCAGTGCGCGAGTATCAAGGCGTGCTCATCATGGACACGACGTGGCGCGACGCGCACCAGTCGCTACTCGCTACACGCCTGCGCACGATCGACTTGGTCAACATCGCGAAGGAGACGAGCTGGGCGCTCGCAAACGCGTACAGTCTCGAGTGCTGGGGTGGTGCGACATTCGATGTTGCGATGCGCTTCCTATACGAGGACCCTTGGGAGCGGCTGGTGCGGTGGTCGAGGTTGCCTTGTGCTGTCCCGTGCTGATGGTATATTCTGCAGCGCACTTTGCGGAAGCTTGTGCCGAACATTCCTCTCCAGGCTCTGGTCCGTGGGGCAAACGGTGTTGGATACACGAGCTATCCGTTAGTGCTATTCTTCCCCAATAATAATGGTTTTGTGCTTGAGTTGTCTGCTCCAGCGACAACGCGATCTACGATTTCTCCAAGAAGGCGGTGGAGAATGGTCTTGATATCTTCCGGGTGTTCGACTCGCTGAACTACATTGGTATACTTTTTGTCATTGCTTGTGTCCCACCGTCTCTGATGCTCTGCCACAGAGAACGTCGGTCAAGCCATTCTGCTGTATGCTTCGACGATGCTGACTCCTCGCAGATGAAACTGGGTATTGACGCGGCCAAGAAGGCAGGCGGCGTCGTCGAAGCTAGCGTTTGCTACAGCGGAGATGTGGCCGACCCGAAGAACACGAAGTACTCTCTGCAGTACTACCTCAACTTCGTCGACGAGCTTGTCGCAGAGGGCATCCATGTTCTCGCCATTAAGGACATGGCGGGCCTGTTGAAGCCGCAGGCAGCCACCATGTACGACTCTCATCGTACGCCTCTGGGTTGATTTCTCACCTGTACGGCATCACAGCCTCGTCGGTGCCATCAGGAAGAAGTACCCCGACCTCCCGATTCACGTCCACTCGCACGACACCGCGGGCATCTCAACTGCCAGCATGTTGGCAGCGGCAGCGGCTGGTGCGGATATAGTCGACGTCGCCATCGACAGTAAGTTCCGTTGGTTCATGTCCTCGGGAATCATTAATCGATGTGTCCCCAGGCATGTCCGGCCTGACTTCTCAGCCGCCTATGGGTGCCGTGTGCTCTGCCCTCGAGCAGACCGGATTGGGCACGGGCATCCGCTATGCTGACATCCAGGCATTGAACCTGTACTGGAGCCAGGTGCGCATGCTGTACGGGTGCTTCGAGGCGAACGTGCGTGCGTCGGATTCGAGCGTGTTCGCGCACGAGATGCCTGGAGGACAGTACACGAACTTGATGGTGGGTGTTGAGATGAGAGTGATGCTTCATGATTTTCACATATCCTCGTAGTTCCAAGCTGCTCAGCTTGGCCTGGGTACGCAATGGACCGGTAAGTTACTTCCACATAACTTCGTTTTCAGAGGCCGGAGCTTCATGCGGAACTTGCAGAAATCAAGCAGAAGTACATTGAGGCGAACGAGCTCGTGAGTCAATGTCGTTGTCTTGGAAGTGCATGACGCTGACCATCCGACACGACTGCAGTGCGGCAACATCATCAAGGTATTATCTCCCAGGAAATGCTGGAGAAAGCATTCAGACTGATTGTTCAACCAGGTTACGCCGTCGTCTAAAGTTGTCGGTGACTTCGCGCAGTGGATGACCTCCAACGGTTTCTCCAAGAAAGATGTTCTCGAGCGTGCTGACCAGCTCGATTTCCCATCGTCTGTCGTCGAATTCTTCCAAGGTTACCTGGGGCAGCCCGTCGGAGGGTTTCCTGAACCCCTTCGCACCAAGATCATCCGGAACAAGCCCAGGATTGACGGCCGTCCTGGTGCGACCATGGCCCCACTCAACTTCAAGAAGATCAAGGCTGAGCTCCGCAGTAAGTTCGGCAAGCACATCACGGACTCCGACGTCACGTCATATGTCATGTATCCCAAGGTATGCGAGTTGGCTTGCCGTGGCCGGTCGGTCTGCCTCACGGTATGTCACCCAGGTCTTCGAGGAGTATCAAGGATTCGTCGAGAAATACGGTGATCTCAGGCAAGTCTGTTTGCGTCCCCCCTCGCACGTAGCGTTCATGCTCTTCCGCACGCAGTGTGATTCCCACGCGTTACTTCCTTGGACGGCCTGGGATTGGAGAGGAGATGCACATTTCCATCGAGAAGGGTAAGACTCTCATCATCCGTATTATGGCCATCGGCCCCCTCGTCGAAGGTCAAGCACAGCGTGACGTCTGGTTCGAAGTGAATGGCGAGGTGCGTTCATTCTCAAGGTGTCTCCGTGTCTCCCGTAATACTGACGTCGTGGCGCCTGTAGGTCCGTGCAGTGTCTGTGGAGGACAATAACTCCGCGGTGGAGACCGTGTCACGCGAAAAGGCGACGTCAGATCCTGGATCTGTCGGAGCGCCGATGTCAGGTGTCGTTGTCGAGGTGAGAGTGAAGGAGGGTGCAGAGATCAAGAAGGGTGACCCCGTCTGCGGTGAGTGATACCTCCCCTTTGCACCCGCACGCTTGTACTGACAAGGAGACGGGCTTAATGAAGTGATGAGCGCCATGAAGGCATGTTCCCCTCGTGTGTACCCGCGAAAATGATATTTACTGATGTTGCATACAGATGGAATCTGCTGTGACAGCTCCTGTCTCCGGGCACATCAAGCGTGTTACCGTTCACGAAGGTGTGTTTGCTGCCATCTCACACCATGAATATCTCGTAATGAAAATTTGTCTTACCAGGGGACTCGATCAACCAGGGTGACCTGGTGGTGGAAATTGTGCATTAATCTCACTCCTCATGTAACCTTGATCCGCGTCTTGAACCGATGCATGTAGGAGTAGGTCCCATAGAAGTAAACGCGAATATTGTCACGAATAAATGCATTTTTCGTCTTGTGACAAGGCAGTGAGCTGCCCGGAGCGCATGATCAACACATTGTCTTGATGGAGTGCCCCTTACAATACACGCCCACACAGAAATAAGCATTCGGTCCGTGGATGCGATGGACTATCGCTCGACGTCAACCGGGAGTGCGTCAAAGACAACCAAGAAGGCCTTTTTGTGGTCACTGGGATCGCAATTTGGACACGCTGCAGGGAGAACCGCTCCCACCTGACCGAGCTCCTCTGGTCACGCTGAATTGCGGAGTGGGGCAGACGTAATGGCACGGGGAAAGCCCATCTGTTGGCGTCTCGTACGTACTGCGGTACCTCGTCCTGCTTCGCAATTCACGGCACATACAGCCTTCGATGCGTTTTAGGAAAGTAAACAGAGTTTGTAGCCGGAGAGTGACGGATCTGTATGCTGAATAGCGGGGAAGTGGGAAGGTATTACGACATGGAGCTCTGCTCCGTTCCGTTGTGACTGCGATGGCAGACTGATAATCATGTCCTGTGAGCCTGGTCGTGTGCTGGCCGTGGCTCGACGAAGCCGAGGTTGCCTGGAGAGCGGTGTATCTCTATTCAAAAATTTTAGACGTGACGGTTCAGCCTTCGAGTAAATACTGTGCTTCGGCGGACTCAATGGGGTGGTGTTAGGTGGTGCCGATCGAAGCCGGGTATGAACCAGAAGTAATTCGGACAGCTAACCTCGAAATTCATGCGGATTGTGGGCGTTCAATTTTCCCCCAGTAAAGCCTGCGAAGCCCGCAGCCGCTGCATGATGTCCATGTGCAACTCCTGCACAATATCCTGATGGCGCAAGAGAAGTCAATCAGAACTCCAAGAAGTCGGCCGCTCGCGCAACCGTGCCGCACCTTTGCGCCCTTCACCTCGGACATGAGAGCCACGCCTTCGCCTGCCCACACCACCATGCGGGCGGGATCATTATTCTTGATCGCTTCGAGAAACTTGTCCTTCACATCCTGCAGGTGTACGCCCGCTTCCGTATCGTCAACTGTCTTATTGCGCAAAGCCCTCCCATTAATTCCGCGCGGCCATCCCAGGGTCCCTCTGGCCTGATCGAAGGCCATGGTGCGCACGGTCGAGTTAGAGTCGGCGGCTATAAGCGCTGCCTTCTGCGCATCGGAGTAGCGGCTCTCTGGGGTCAGAAGAAACCGAGTCCCCAACACGGCTCCCGCGGCGCCAAGAGTGAGCAATGCTGCAACTTGCGATCCAGTTGCCAAGCCTCCCGCCGCGAGAACGGGCGGGCCATCGTGCGGTAAATTTGCGATAATTGCAGATACGAGGGAAAAAACACTAGGAGCAGAAGAGCTGCCGTGCCCACCCGACTCAACGCCTGCGGGTCTCTCGATGAACAAAGGCGCAAAAATGGATGAAGCTTATCCGGGGGATCGTGCCGCACCTTGCGCGACGAGGACATCCGCCTTCCACTCCGAGACCGCCGTGAGAGCCTCTTGCACGGAAGACGTCTGTATGAATATCGTTGTCTTTCGGGGCGTAGCTGCCTTTGCGTCGGCTTCGCGCACGTATCGGATCCACCGGCCCAAATCATTGCCAAAAGCGAACCACACAGCCTGCACGTTGCTATCGAGCGCAGCATCGAGGAGTGCAGACGCCGTATCGGGACTGGCTTCTAGCAGCCAACCCAGATAGCCCACCCCGATGGGCAGCGGATTCGTTTTCCCGGGACCGACGTTGGGGAAACTCGCACGGATCGACGTAAGGTCATCGCGCAGCGTCTCTGCGGACTCGTACCCTCCATATATTTGCGTCAATGAGCGTCTCAAGAGACGCGTTAGGGAAGGGGTTTGCCTACTCACCTGGTGCCGTGAAGCCGAAGCCGCCTCCGAGAGATACTTGGGCCTGGTTAGCCAGTGGATAAGTCAGGGAGTAATCAGTTTGATCGCGAATGTGCAGGTTGATGGTGGCCCATCACGTACCGCGAGCTTGGCAGAGCTAGCACCTGCCATGGGGGCGGCGACAACAGGTACTCGGATGCCTGTTGAAAGGTAGCGTAGAAGATGAAGCAGTTCGCAGACCAATCTCAGCGCGTGCTTGACGAGCACGCTCGGAACACAGATAGATGCTCACCAAGGAGACGCGTTAGGCTGGTGTTTATCCCAACCATTGTGAAGATATGTTGATTGAATGCACGCTAGAGGGGGCTGTCGACGACAGAATTGCAACAAATCCTAATAAGTATGACAGATCGTCGACTCGTTCAGAGGCTCACGACCGACGAAATCCGACGACGTCCGACAATAATTCAGCGTTCGTATACCTACATTAGAATATGTTATTTGCGAGCAATGATGAGCACAAGACCGCACAGTCGGGGTCGACGATGAGAACGAAATGTTGAAGTGATTCTGAACAATGAACTCAACAAGTCGCCATCCGCCACCGGCGGTGTTTGTACCTGTTTGGCACAACTTCATCGACGCTTCTGTTGTTGGTCCTCGTTGTCTGCGACATCCTCGAGCACACCCTCAAAAACTATTTTGCCCATCATGGTTGGTCTTCATCGTACCGAATTGCGACAGTACATCTAATGTTTTGCACGTTTCAGCCTCCTCCAAAATCCAAGGGCGGCAAGATGCTCAGCCTGATCAACTGGCGACTCAAAGTTACGATCAACGACGGCCGCGCATTTGTCGGCCAGATGCTCGCGTTCGATAGGCACATGAACCTGGTTCTTGCAGACTGTGAGGAGTTTAGGCGGATACGCCCAAAGAGGAAGGCCGGCGAGGCAGAGGCGGGACCCATGCAGGAGGTAAAACGCACCCTGGGACTCGTCATCCTCCGCGGCGAGACTGTCGTCAGCCTCTCAGTCGAGGGTCCCCCGCCCGTTGTTGACGAAGACAAAAAGAACGCGGTGCGTGTCGTGCTCTTCCCGCATGTTCCGTGCGAGTATGGGTTGGCGCGTAGTCCACTAACAGCATGCTTCTTCGCAGGTTCCAGTCGGTCCAGGACGCGGTATGCCGGCAGGTCGTGGTATGGGCATGCTGCCTCCCAGTGCGTGCATTTACCATCTGATCGGATGGAAGGGAAGATGGAATGACTCATTATTTTGCTTGCTTGTGCACAGTGGGACCACCGTCGCTGCAGCGCCCGCCGATGTCATTTGGCCCGCCAGGTATGCCGGGCGGGCCTCCACCTGGTTTCCGACCGCCTGGTTTCCCTGGAGGACCCCCGCCTGGCATGCCCTTCCCTCCGCCGCCCGGCTTTGGCGGTCCTCCTCCTGGGTGAGTAGGCTTTCGCTTGGCGCTCGATTCGCATTTAGGCTCACGGACTGCCAGCTTCCAACCACCACAATAAACCTAGATCTCAGCCTCACCCAAGGCCTTGTATTTCCCTTCCTCTACGTATAATGTCACTGACGCAAAACCCGAGTCCAGCGAGGCGTCCGGCGTCCCGCATGCAGCTGTGATTGTGTCTGCTCAGGGTGCGCGTGAAGGAAGGTACCAGAAGTCGTATGTGTTATTTGTGTCGCGTTCTGCTTTGCATGGTGTGGTGCGATGCAGTTTGCGTTTGATGAGATAAGGTTTGTATAAAAAGCACTTATTCGGACGTCTGCGGAGCGTCCTCTTCTGTTGTATCGCTTGCAATTGAATGGCGAAGCCGCCTCTATCTCTTGTCCCACCTTTGACCCCCCAAGCGCGATACTTCGCCATCGGCCCCCTGTCGGGCGCACGGGTGTCCCTGCGTTGCGAATGTCGAGTGACAATTGATACCTGATTATGAAAGTTGGAACGCGGGCGATCCCATTGGAGCCTCTCGAGCAGCTTCTGCTACGATCTCTGGCACTTCGTGACAGTAACTGACAATTGGCTCTGGTGCGTCGTCCGTTACCTCGGACTCAGACTCATCTTCCGCCTTCGCAGTGGGGCGGGCGCGCTGTGGCCATCTCCATCTGTCCATCCCTTCTGTAAGGTCCGTCGCATACACTACGAGTCGACGTTGTGCTGTCGTTCAACTGTCGTCTGTAATGCTCCTGATGCGCGCCGCAAATACACTCAGCACTGAATTGTGTCCGCCAATCATACCGTCCTCCCGAGCACAGGAACTTTCTAGCCCCCGGGTGCGCCGCGTGACCCTGCCCTTTGTACTGATCCAGCGGTTTGGAGATCTGTCGGGCAGCCCGAGCTTCTGAACCGCTATTCAGCCAACCTAGCTTCTACATCTCATCTCGGGCGTCCGCAGTACGCCCACGAACGCTTCCTGCGCTGCGAACTGGCGGGTGCGGCGCCGCCCCGGATGGAAGCACTAGCACTAGCACACCATTTGGCAGGCGGGTCTGCGTCCCCCCCCCATATCTATCACCTGTCGCTGCAGCAGCACAGTTCTGACATATCGTTACGTGTACAGGAACGCGGCACAGAGCCAGAAAGGCAGAACCACATCCTCACCTGTACCGTATCCGAGCGCGTACCCACGTCACTCTACTCATTACTTATCGTCCGCAGCGGGCCTTGTATGCGCTCTATCCAGGGTATGTGCGACCCGTGCGTCCGGAGCCGCGCAATTGCGGGGAAGGGTTGACACAAAGTGCCCATCGCTCGCGGGAGCAACATGCAGGTCAGCTGCCGCCTTCGCTAGTCTCCCGAAGGCACTGGCGGACGGTGGACATTCTGCTTCGACCTCAGGATATTAACATCCGCCGTCCCATCGAACGTTCTGCAGCCCTGTCTGTCTGAGCCTGCGCCGCACGGGCGCTTGGAGTGGGGACAACAGTTACGGAGCTGGTCATATCCTAATTCTGCAGCTTATTCGTCGCGCGCGTCCCGTGCGTGATTGTCCTGTGCGTCACAGGACGCGGTGGCGCATGACCTGATATCGTCTGCTCAATCAATGTCGTCCGCGGCGCACTCTGAGCGCCCCCGAAATTTGTCTGACGGATGCGCGATGGTATTCAGCAGGATGTCGTTCCGGGACCGTACTAATTTCAACTACGCCGCGCTCGCCGATATCTGAATTGTGCGCCCTTGCGGCGCAGTGGCGTCATCCTGTCCGCGATGGCGATAGCCTTTGAGTTCGGCGGCGCAGATATGATGGAGCTTGCTCGAGACAGCGAATGTCTCGATCCAGCTAATCACTCGTCGAATCTGTCGACGATGATGCCACGCCGCTATGCAGCTATCTGTCGCGTACATGTCGCCTTCTGGGCATCTGCGCAGGCCCAGGGTCCGCTGCTAAGAAGAACTGTGTTCGTTGGCGTCCAGAGATTGCTCAGCGTCACGGTTCGACTAGGTGCGGCCATGGCCGGGAACCTCCTTCGTTCTCCACCCTAGTCTAAGGCAGTGCAGCTAGTTACTCTGCTTCACCTGAGGATATCCGTATCTGACTGATCGCCATCCCGACCCCGCCCGTGAGATTGGCTTTTTAAAAAGTGAGCATATGGCAAGCCGAAGTCCAAATGTGAATACAATTGCAAAGTGCGAGCGAACCTTGTCCAAATGCAACTTGAAATAATGCACGCCCAATCCAGTCCACCGTCCACGGCCCCGATCCCGAAGACTTCCATTCCACCACCCCGACGGCAAATCCAGATGGATTATATAGATACTGTGCCCCCACGCCGGACTCGCGCTCCTTCGGCCTCGCTACCGCCGGCGCACCACAGTATTCGTCAGTCTCGTTCAACGGCGAGTCGGACGCGTTATGGAGTTCTTGCTTCGTTCTCGCCAAGACTTACCGACGTTTCCTTGAAGCTCGTCGGTCGTTCGTTGTTCCAGCTAAATTCAGAACGTGAGACGTTTTGCGACGAAACTCACCTCCCGATTTTTGTTTGTGGTGCAGCACTTTAGTGCGGAACAAGTGCGGAACAAACAGACTTGGGCCGAATTGGGCACTAGTAGTCAATATGCGGTCAACCCTCCATCATCAGATGCTGGCAACCATGTCACCCTTTGAGGACCATAAACATGTTCCCCAAGCTGCCAAAGAGCTCATAGGGATCTTCCCAGCTCTCTTCAGGGCATATGCCAGTGTGAGAACCCTCCATGTCATTCTGCAGATCTCAGGCTCTCCGGCGAGCGCTCGAGCTTCCGCATTTGGTTTAGGTCGTTTGTCCCATACTAAAGTGCTGCTCCGCGAACAAATTTTCGGCCAGTGAGTTTCGTCGAGAGACGTCTAACGTTTTAAATTTAGCTGTCATATCACTCATTCATATATTCGTACCGTACCTGACTCCGAATGCGACTCCGACTCGGCGATGGCGTGCCGCCGGGCGTCGGGCTAGCCTCTTCTGGGCAGAACCGAGCTCGAGAGGGCGTGCTCGTTGAGGTCCGAGGGGATTCGCGTTTGGGGATTCCAGGAAGGCGGGGTGCCCGGGCTTTGGCTCAGCACTTTCCGCATCCGCACGTGCGTGCACCGCACAGACGGTCCAACTTGGACGGAAGATGCTGGAAGGCGGCGGGGGCTGACTGTGCTGCGCCACCACGATCGGGAAGGCTAGCGAATTTGGGCAATATTGTGGGTTGAGAGCGCGAGCGTATGTCGCATCTGCCTGGGGCGAGGGGGAGTGAGCGCCGACATCGGCGCGGCAACGTTCAATTTTGCTGAGACTTTCATAGGACGGTCGAATTCGAATCCGAGTCTGCGAGTGCAGATCTGGATAACGAACGTTCTCCGCAAAAAGGGTGGGCTAAGCGCGCTGGCAGTCGAGGTGTTGGACTCTGCTGCCGCCACCGCGATCGGGGAGGCTAGCGGAATTGGGCAGTATTGTGGGTTGAGAGCGCGAGCGTGCGTGGGGTGAGGGGAGGGAGCGCTGGCGTCGTCGTCGAGAACAATGCCCGCACGTTCGAATTGAATTTGAGTCTGCGAGTTGCAGATCTGCATGCGGACGTTGTCCGCACAAGCCGCGCGTGGTCTAACCGCCGTCGGGGCCTGTGTGTGCACACTGAGGCCCGAGGTTTGGGAGATCAGAAGAGGCCATGCACGGATAGGGCGAACGGACGAGCAGATGGAGTGAGAGAACGACCGTAACGAAAAGTCACGGCGGTAGTGGGTCGGAGGACCCAGTTCGCACAGTGGAGCCCGATCGCAGATGAATTACTACTCGGAGGGGGAAGATCTTCCAAACGCACGGGAGAAGGGGGGGGGGGATATCGCGCGTTCGCAGACTAGAAGAACCATAGAGTTCGCAGACCAGAAGTGCCATAGAGTTTCGCCGAAACGGATCCTCGAGCCACGGTGCTAGCAGCGACGCGCCACCGCGAAGGCGCGATATTAACTGCTCGGACACGCAAGCAAACAACGCCATCTGGGCGCAAGCAACAACGTGCATCTGGTCGCACGGCCGAAGCAAGCCCCACCTCGGCTCGTCGCCATCCTGGCAGCCAACCGACGGTGCAAAACCGATAACATCCGGTGAACCCACCAATCGAGCGTCGAGCGCGGGGGTGCCGACCAGCCCGGGGTAAGGAATGCAGCTCCGAGTGTTAATATTAGGTGACCGCACCGTACATAGCCCCGCGGCGTAATAATTATCGCACCGTACATAGCCCCGCGTCGCAACAATTGCGCGACGAGCGCGGGCGGGGAATATGCAGCGTCGCAGCCCAGCACGACGCAGCTCGAGCCATCACCGTCGGTGCGCGATAGCGAAGGGGCGCCACCATCATCATCAGCCCTGCAGAGACGTGATGGCTCCGGGGCCATCATCGAGTAGCAGCAGCACGAAATCGGTGGATTGTAGGGTGTCCGGGAGGCAGTTTCACTAAATTTTTGGGAAGTCCGTTCCCCGGGCGCGGGTCGACGTGCTGCCAGTTGGACACATCGGTAGGTAAGTGGGTAGGTAATCGGAACGCGTCCTCGACGCACTACGGCCGATTTTTGCGGCGTAGTTGCCGCAGGAAATTGTTAGACCGCGATTTCACAGAAATTTTACCGAGCGGCAGGTGTTCAGTCCGGCGTTCATACGGCACAAGGCGGCAGGGCTCGACGGGGAAGACCGAGTATCTGGCAGCAGCGGGTGCAGAGCAAAAAACGCAGGCTTGGCTTGCGCTTCTCAGCAGGCGCAATACAACGAGCAAATTCGCGCCCCATTTCGATGTATGATCTGGCAAGTGCACGAGGCACGGAGGAGGAGACGGTGTGATCGTGCTCGTGTCGTGGAGCCGCTGTCAGTGTCCAGCGCACGTACGCGGGAGGTGTTTGTGCGTGTTTGGCCCGGGTCACGGTGAGGGCGTGACCACTGCTGATCGGGCACAATCGAGACGGCGAGCCGGCGCGTCTCCCGAAACGGGCATATGGCGGGAGATCACTGATCGGAGTTGCGCCGGGGTGTCGGGCCTTGGAGTGCATATGCGGCCGACCACCTGCGTCAGCGTCGGGTGCCGTTTATGCCTAAATTTGGGCAACGCTCCGCTGCTAATTGCCACTGCTTCTTCCTCCTGCCAGCCGCTATACGGAGCTGATACCTCCGACGGCTCTAACGGAGCGCTCTCTGGCAGCGCGCCAGTCCCCCAAATGCTGCACGGCAACTATCGCATTAATATTGGCAATTGAGCACCCCTAAGCCCGCGATCGCGCTCGGCCAAAACACCGAAATGCAAAAATTAATTGGCTTGCACTGCAATCCCCTAATCGAAATTCCCAATTGCGAGGCTTGTGGACGGGCACGGAAGCATATCGCCCGCCCCGAATCCGCTGCCGCGAGCCTATCGCGCGACGCGCCCCTACGCATTTGCTTCCGTGTCCCCTGTACGAGCCGGCGCTTGCGAGTTCCTGCGCCGTACCCCGCGCATGTCGGCCGTCTCACCAAGCCCGCCACCGCCCGAGCTCACTGACCAATATAATTAATCACCCCGGCTACAGTCATCTCAAACGGGGAACCATCCACACCAGAGCGTCGGCGGATCCAATTGTTGCTGCTCTGTCAACCCCGAACGCACCGGGGTTCGGGCTCGCTGAGTGATGCGGGGTAGTGGGCGATGATGCAGTAGAATAATTGGCTGTCTTCACCAAGGACATGTTACCAAGATTTGCAGTACGTACCTACTGTTATGAACTTGCAGCCGCTGGCGGCGATCCTGTCTCGTCGTCCTTCTGGTGAAATGTCATCTTATTCCGCAGCAACTTGTCGAGCAAAATAGCAATCAGACATACTATGCACGGCGCTGATTGAGCGGCGCCATCCCGTCCACCTACCGACCGACCGACCTCACCCACTGACCCGCCATCACCCTATGCTCCGCCCGCCAACAAGTCACTCAAACCGCGCGTCCCCACGACCACGTCAGCGACCCCAGACAGAAGCCCCGGACCTTAAGCCTGGAGAAGGGACACCCGAATGACTTCAGAGAGAAGGTGAATTACCGCGCGGTGCGATCCGCGATTTGAAGACGCTGGGCAGCCACGGTCAGAGTACCGTAGCCGTGGCAAGCACTGAGATGCAGTATGATAAGCTTCCAGTGCGCGTCCGATGACGTGCACAGCGGGCGCCGCTGCGGCACTCCCAACACGGTGTGCCCGTCGTCTCGACTCTCGATGCAGACGTGCCTCCGGCGACCAGACAAATCCCACCGTGGGCCGTGACGACATTAACGACGTTCCCCACCACGCACGCGTATTCCGCACGAGGAGCGCAGATCTCGCCGCTCGCGGTCACCCAGCATTGTCAGTGGGATGAGGGCGAGCTCACCCGGGCGCGACACCGTCACTGACGGCTCGGGATTGACAGAATACTGATAGTAAACGTCCAGGAAAGGCTGAAAGTCGCACAGGCACACGTCACGATCCTCAGCTACAAGATCAAGCAAAAGCAAAAGCGAAAGAGGAGTGCGGATAACAGGGCCGGAGCAGGACGCAGCGCAGACAAGAGGAAGAAGGTACCGCGACCGTTGGCGGTCATCGAGTTGTCGGATTGAGCGTGCGGCACGGCGCTTCTCGCGTCGGACGCATGCGCGGGGTGCCGCTACTCAGCGCTGCGGCGTGTAAATCCGTGCTTGCAGTAGTACATCTCACCGTGCAGTACGGCGGAGCCGCCGCGCTGCCGCCTCGTGAGCCCGAATCGTTACCTAGTGCGTCTCGACGCGGCAGCGCCAGCCTTGGAGACCAGACACGTTCGCGGCCGTGACGACGAGCGCTCCTCCCACAGCCACGCCACCCACATCCGCACGAGGATGGGAGCGCAGATCCTCGCCGTCGCTTTTGGATACCCAACACCTGGCCAGCTGCACATCCCCGATCCTCGCCATCTCGCCATCTCGCGATCTCGAAAAGCGAACTTCGCACCAAAGTGGTCATGGCTGAACGGTATCTATTCCAGACCTACATAATACACGACTGCGTGCAAGTAAAAGCGTAAAGTACCCTGCCCAAGACGAGAGCGCGCATTCGACGCCGAGTCGAGTAGTCGGGTACATACATACAGCGAGTGTGCGTGCGATTCGGATTCGGCGAGATCTATATGGTGAGGAGTTTCAGACAAGGGCGCAGCGAGACGATACATATTGCGAGCGACAGCGAACAGCGGAGAGCGGACGAGGGAACGGGGACATAATATGCGAGCGAGAGTATGCGAGAGAAAGTATGCGTACGAGACGACGGAACGACAAGCACAGCCAACGCCGTGCAGTAAATTTTTGCGATGCTCGGCGCTAACTCGAGCGCCGGGTGTACGAGCACAACGAACACGCACATTCCATGCACAGTATAATTCCGTAGCGGCACTAGATATGTATCGACATCGGTAGGAACTGTGCGGGAACGGAAGAGGGAGGAGGGGGAGAGCACGCACACAGCAGCGCGGCACGTTACAAGAATATCCGTAGGGCGCACAGGACGACGTGCAGGGATGAAGCGCAAAGCGACCGTACGGACTCGGGTAAGCAGGGGAAGTAATGGTGACAACGGCAGAGGGGAAGGGAGGGGGCGATACGGTACACATACGGAAACAGCAGATAGGGAGGGAGAGAGATACGGCGGGTGTACGCGGGCGCAAAGTCCGTATGCAACGAATGGGGCGGACATCTTTTGTGTCGGTAGCATGTGGGGGGGAGGTGCCGCACCGCGCATGTCGCAATATGCCTAGCGCACTTGCGTGTATGCGCGGCGGAGTAGGTCAGGGCATCGGCGTATAGGAGAGGCATGGTATGGCGGGGGGGATCAGGCACGCGGCGCGGCGATCCAAAGCAGCAGCAGCAGCGCGGCGGCAACTGCGCGCGCAGAACAGAGACGAGACGAGGGGGGGAGAGAAATCGGTGGGCAGTAAAATACACGTGAGGATGAGCGGCCGGATGATGAATGAGCAATGAGTGAGTTGAAAGCAATGGCGATATGAGCGAGGAGTGATGTGGAGCGGGCCCCGCAGGCGGACCATCTATGTTGAGAGAGCCACGAACGAACCGAGTGTATCGAAGCAAAAAAAGATGGAAAGAAATCCGAAATCCAAGAGCGGGGCGCTCACGAGTACCCTCGCGACGCCTTCCGCCCGCGCGCCATGAGCGCCCGATGGTCCTCCATCCGCATGTGCCGGCGCGACGCACGCGGCACGATCGCCTGCCCGACCTTCTCCACTATCCCAAAGGTCGACGACTCCCACCACTCCTCCTGCGCCAGCCCGAGCGCCAGCTTCCCGTCCACAGCGAGCGCGACGTAGCCGTCCTCCATGGATACGCAGTCGAGCGAAGGCTCGCGCGCGGAGCGGCTCAGCGTCCTGTGCGACTCCCGAGTGAGCGTCGCAGAGCGTTGACATTCATTTTGAGCGGCGGTCGAAGCAGCCCACGCCCGAAACTGGGCCCGGAGCGCGCCGATGAGGGTTTTCTGACGGCGGGGTGCGCCGTCCTCGGACCCGGACACGGGGGTCGCGAGGGAGACGGACGAGGAAGGGGTGATGCAGGAGTCGGCGCTAGTGTCCGTCGTCGAATGGGCGAGGAGGGACGGCAGCGACTGCCGCGGGTTGAGGACCGGGCGGGATGGCTCGACTGGGGCGAGGACGGTTTTGGACATACAGAGTGTGGGCGCGACGGGGCGGCAGTGGGTGAGAAGCAGCTTTGGCGGGCGGAGGGACGCGGTGGAGGAGACGGAGGCGCAGTCGGATGGTGGACCTGGCTTTACACCGCGGGCCCAGGCGTGGATGCCTGCGGCGCCCTTGCCTATCCAAGCACCGCGGCCGCCGACGGGTGCGAGCTCCTGCTCGCATTGCGAGTACGAATGGGTGGACGGCTCGGGGTAGTTGTAGTCGAGCTCGTCGCTGAGGTCGGATAGGTCGTCGGCGACACGGCGAGGATCGAAGAAGGGGGAGGGGCGGACGAGCGCAGACGTCGAGGGCTTGTCCGAGCTGAGGCATTCGCGTGAGCAGTAGGGTGCGGCGCCCTCCTGTGGATATATGCTATGAGGTGAGCAGGCAGAGGAGAGATAGCGAGGGAGCGTACTGCATCGATATGCCTGTTGCAGGTCAAGCACCAGTTGAGATCCATAGCGTCCATTGTGGTGAAGGTGGAAGACGGAGATGAGGCGAGGAGCGAAGGGACGGGACCGTCGTGGGCGGATGGAAGATCGAGGAGGAGGAGATGGCGCGCAGGGCGACGTCTTATAGTAGACGGCTGCTACCAGAAGATGCTCGCCCAGGGCCGATCGGATCTGAGCGTTAGGTGCAATTATTTTGATAACCACATTTATTGGGGCTAACCATATGCGGGACGCAGATGCTGGTCGATCTATCTTTATCGCAGATGCGGCCTAACGTTTTCTGGAAGAGCGAGTGACCGTCACAGGAGTCACGTCGACGACCCAGAGGAGCGGAACGTGCAATCGCGATCCAGGCCATGGACCAAGGCTCCCACACCAGCGGGGCACCTGCTCCTCCTGCTGCACCGTCCGGCCATCACCCGTGCTCGTCTCCCACTCTGCGATTCTTTCCGTCTTTTACTCGCCGTACCACGCAGCCTGCCCTGGTGCAGGAACTTCCCGTGCGCAGGAGCCTTCTCCACATCCATCTTTGCACACCAACCATGCGACCCTTCTCTTCCCAGCCCACAGGCAGTTGCCGCAGCTCGGAACTCTATTGGTCCACCGCCGAGCTATCAGCTGCCCCGTGCGACCACCCGCAGACACCGACAATGACTGTCTGTCCCGCCAGCTCCACCCAATATGGTGCCCACCCAACGCGCATCACAGCGATTGCAGTGACTCACGTCGGGTGGGCTGCAGCTCTCGCGCGGGATCACCCTCCCGCTGATGGGCCCGCCACCGTCCCAGCGAGTCATCACACTCCCTTGGAGACTTCGCCGTGGTAGCACGGTAGCACCTGCGCAGCCTGGTAGAACCCGCACGTGACGCGGTCTTGTGTGCGAGCATCGCAAAATTAATTATCGTAACCATGACGCATCGACGCGACGCGCCCCCGGTGCGGGTGCGGACGCGTACCCAGCAAAATTGACAATCAAGCCCCTTGCCCCCCCAAGCTGCTGCACAGGACCAGACCTGCACCAGCCGCGGCAGCGTCCAGACCGCCGATGCCCAGGTACCAGAATACCAGAACGCCTCCCCCCGTATCTTTTCTGCTCGCGCCAAGCTCGCGCTACCTCGTCCTATCACCGAGCGAGGCCTCTCGACGGTCCAGGCCCCCCCCCAACGCAGAAACCCTCCGACTCTGATTCTGGCAGAACCGGCACAGTCTGTATGCAAAGTATATGTGCGTGCATGTAATATTTACGGATATGCTGTAATCACGTTATAGCATCCTGCAATCGCAGCGCGTCGAAGCTACCCTCCCGGCGTCACCCTCCTGCCATCCTCGTCCGCACACGCCAGTTTCTGATCCTGCCCCTCCATCTGTAACTTATCTGTATGGCCACCGTCCTTGTCCCCCGCTACCGCGCGCCCACGCTCGCACTCTCGCAAGTATAGCCGTGCGAACGCGTGATGCCCGTCCCCCCCACACCGGCCTGCGTATGGCCGCAGGCCCACTTACGCCTGCCTGTCTCGCTTCGCCGCTTCTGCGGTGTGTTCTTCGATGCGATGTGGGTCGCCCGTATCGTCATCGGCCACAGGCTCCCACCCTTGGCCCTGCGGCCTCGGAACGCCTTACCATCTGCTCGTCACCGCGGAGCGTGCACGCGCCCGCTTTGGGTTAGCCCGCGGGCGCGCGGCACATACCGCAGGGGATGGCGCGCAGCGCGGATCGCTGCCTCTCCCGCGACTCGTGCTCGGACTGGCGCGCTGGCTGGAAGGGGGCACTGCGCTGGGCATCGGCACGATGCGACGTGCCGGTGAGAGTGAGAAAGCGAGTGCGAGCGTCGAGTCCACCCTCTCTCGTCACGGCGCTCCGCAGAAGGTACTTAGAGGCAGACATATCTCTCGCTTCTGGCTATTAGCTATGGGCTACGGGTGCCGTAGCAGATACCCACGCGCGCTGCTTCGTGCTCGTAGTGCCCTACCGATGACCATACCGGTGCGAATACCAATACGAACCCCGGTGCGATCGTGATGACGCTGCGCAAGCAAATGTAAATGTGGCACCTTCGGTGCGATGTGGTCGTAGGGTGCAGACGAACCGGTGCGTATTGCGTGCGAACGGTATGCGCGTGGGCAAGCGCATCCTGACTCGGGTGCCACACGCCCGTTATGGACGCGCACTTCCCATATCCGGACGTGCGTTTCTGGCAATTCCAGTACCTTTCGTATGCGCGTGGCTGCTTCTGCCATCAGAGGCGACGGATATTGCGGCGAGAGGCGGGCTGGACGTGCCGCGGCGGCGCGAGTCACCGCAAACGTTACGTTCGTTGATGTTGAGCGACGTGTCGCGCGGTCTGTCACTGCACGTCCGTCGCGTGCGCGGGATCGCCACCGTTCGCGTCTGGCCACTGTGCGGTTTACACACATTGGGCAGCGGTGCGAATGGGCACCGCCGCAGTCAGCGCCAAGAGTGCTGATTATGGGGTGGACTTCAGGCGTTGGGATCACTGAGGAAGATTTCGAGGAATGCGACGCTTCGAGGGGGGGAGGCGTTCCGGACTGGGACCACCTTGGGAGGACAATGCATGGAACGAGTCACAATAACGAACGCGGCAGCTAAGCAGGATGCCTACCACTCAGATGGAGATCCGATCGGACGCTCCGTCGCGTCCACACGCGTCACGGCGTCCACAACACACAGTACCTCTTTTGGTACTCCGTGGGCGAGTCAGACGCTCTCGCCGCGATTCGAGCACGTTGATGTGTTCGGGCGCGTTAATGTATCAGCGCATCTATCTGTTTGCGATATGACCGTGAGCCCGAGTCTACCCTAGTGGTAGCCTGCCACAGGGCAGAGACCACCCCGAAAATGCCATGCGCGCGTTATCCCCGTTCCATGAATGCATGACATCTGAGCCTGATATCCATGTTCCTGTCAGCAGTGGCGCTGCACCGACCCTCTCTGTGTCTCCGCGAACGCACGTGCTGGCAGAGGCATGCACCAACTTAGCCTACGATCCCCTCGGACGCAAGCACTGGCGTGCCCGAGCACCTAGCTGTGGCAGATGCGATGGAAGAACCGCCGCCGCATGCGATCCCGCACTCTGAACTGCAGCCACAAATTTCTACCTGTACAGCCTATGCGCGCGCCATCGACTCACACATTTCATATCCAGCACCTACCGTGCTTCCAAGTCATCCAGAAGACGCCCCCGTCTGCCCGAGTGCCACCCACAGCACAGCATGGATCTGATATTTCACCCCATTTCCGCATATCCACAAGCGTCCACGCCACAATTCGGCGTCTCCGAGTCAGGCTCAACTCCCACGCATCTTATTATAATCCGTACACGCGCCCCACAACGCCACAGACGCGACACACGCGCCGCCCGACCACAACCACCCTATCCCGATAATGACATATCCACATCCTGGCATCTCCGCTCGGTAGTCCGGGTCCACAACACACACGCACAGCCTCCAAGTCGATATGTGTTGTACGGAGCGTCGAAGCTTCGTTCAACACTCCATACAACACGCATCCGACGCGGTGCGTCGGTGGTCCCCCTCCTCGCCAGGGACGCCGTCCGCGCTCGCCAATCGCGTTCCCATGGGCCTCTTTCAGGGTGCGTCCCCGACGAGCCTCCTTCTGTCGTTCGAGCCGGCGGGCATCGCCGCGGCAGGCAGGCAGGCAGATTGCAGACAGGCACACCTGGCATATGTCCGACGTCTCGCATCGCATCGCATCGTCACATCAGCAAACAGAACGAACAGAAGTCAGGAGCTGGCGAGAACGCGAACGCGAACACGGAAACGAGCGAACGGACCTGGCGTGAACAGAGACAGGCTGAGCAACCGGATGCGACGAGAACAACCGCAAACAGCGAACGGTGAGCAACTGCAGAAGACGGGCTGCGTGCCGTCCGTGGTGGTGCTTATGCAGCAGCAGCAGCAGGAAGAATTGTGCCCGACGGGGAAAAGAACCGGCACTTCCCGCGCGCCGCGCGTGTGTACAGTACGCTCGTCCCAGCGTCTCTTTCACACGCCATTTTGGATCAGCTGTAGTGGCGGGTGCCCCTTGGACGAACTCGCAGTCCGAGTCCAGGCCGCTGCAAATGCAACGGTCGAGCTTCCTGCTGCAAGCTCTGGCAGCAGTGTCCCGAATTTCTGATTTTCCCCAGCCGTACACGCGTGCACTGTAACTTGCAATTGCCTGCGCACCCATGGCCATGCGCAGATGTCACCCACGGTTCTGCAGGGGCAAGCCCTTTCCTGACGCGAACTTGCTTCCCCTCCCCGTGCGTTCTCAGAGCTCTGGCGTCCAAGCACGGTTCCACAGCCCATCCTCCTCGGTCCCCTTCTCCAGGTAACCCCTTCCTTCTCTCCTCGCCCGCCCCGCAGAGTCATCAGCACTGGTAAGCACCCCCGCCTCAGCCGCGATGCGAGCGAGCGGGCGGAGCGTGATCCTCGCGCGCGACTTGCCTCAATTCGCCCGGCCTCGCCCAGGTCCCAACAACGTCCGAATTCGTCCGCTGAGCTGGTCTTCTGCTCACTCGCGCTGGCGTGAAGGATTTTGCTATCTCAGAGGGCACTCGCGGCGGATTCTCAGGGCGCCTTTGCCCTCAGTGCGCATCGCTCGAGAACAAGCACCTCAGGCCTCATTGCCGGCTTCAGATGCGGTGCTTGACTGCGACGTCAGAGTCGTGTGGCACGCTGGCAAGCACCCCATCGGACATCCCCACTCGGGTCGCCAGCCCAGCCCATATCGCTTCCTTCTCTGTTCTCTGTTCTACCATCTCGGACGCGCAAGCGAGCGGGGCCGCCGCGTACGCGCGAACGTTACGGGCATTATTGCGCTCACGATCTGATTAGAATTCGCAGATACCTTCCGCAGAAGCGTTGCGGTGACGTTACCGCCATGACCGCCGGCGGGCTGGTGCGAGCCAGGCTGAATTCCCCGGTCGGCTGAAGCTCGTCGGGCTGTGAGCTTGTGATATGCTCATAATTATCGTATCCGGCGGTTCGCGTGAGTGCACACCGTGAAGCGAGCGAGCGAGCGAGCGTACGCGACGCGCAGCACCCGCGAGAGATGGACAAGTTGGTGATGGGCCGGGTATGGAATTCGAAGATTGGGACGAAGATCTGCTGGCAAACAGCGAAGGGGGATGCCAGTAAAATGTCGGCTGCGAGTACTTTGTATATCGATTCAAGGTCCCGCTCGAGTCGCAGAAAATACGTGCAGGTTTTGTAAGATTCGCGCGTGTCCAAGAGCCGCTCACTACTGAGGGGGAGAGCCAACACGCGACCTTCAGTCTGTCGAGCTCGGTTTCAGACGTGATAGCATGAGTGGTTCATCGTACAGCACGTAAGTAGATCTCGAGCCCGTCGCGCCTTAGCCATAATACGCACCAGAGGCATCGCACGCTACTTGTCCTTTTTGTCCTCCGCGCTCTCCTCCGTCGGTGCATCCGCCTTCTCCTCGCCCTCCCCGCCCGCCGGGGGCACCTCCGCCTCGAGCTTCGCGCTCTCCGCCTCCAACTTCGCGCGCATCCCCTCCTCGACGCGCCGCGCATACTCCTCACCCGCCTGCCCACCGCGCATCAGCCGCACCATCCCATCTCGCGAGGAAAAAAGAATAGACACACCTGGAGGACGAGGATCGCGCCGAGGAGCACGACGGCGATCACGTTCCCCGCGGAGAGCACGCGCAGCGCCTCCACCTGGTCCGCGCGCGTGTCCACGTCCGGCACCGGGTCCGCGACTGTGCGCGTCGCGGGCACGCCCACCGTCAGGTACACCGCGATCGCGCACACCCACGCCACTGTGTGCGCGCGCCCGGGATTTCATAGTACGTCAGCGCGCCGCACGGATCGAATGTGGTTTATGAGGGGGGGACGCACCGAGCGAGGACCCGTCGAAGAACATCGCGCTCTCGTCCCACTTGCCCAGCTTCCCAAGCAGCCCGAGGGCCCCCACGCCCATCACCGCATGCAGCAGCGCCTGCGCGCACAACACCGTCAGCGTCCGAGGAGTGAATAATGATTTTTAAAATTTAAATTAAAAAAAGGGCACCTTGATACCCGAAGGCGCATTGTAGAACGTCTTGTAGAACTCGAACCCGTCCCGGACGACGTCGTCCGTGAGGGGCGTGAAGAGCACGCGGTAGTCGACGTTGAAGCAGATGAAGAGCACGCCTGCGCGCGCGCGACGTGGCAGCGGCGCGAAGGGGTCAGCTAGTCCGGCAGGTGCGGAGGAGGCGAGCCATGCAGCGGACTCACCGAGGCAGAAGCAGTCTGCGGCAAGCACAGCGGCCTGTCTGTAGCCCATCTTGGAATCGCTCTCACCACAGTTTTTCTCAGCCAGTGCTTCGGAGTCCCGTACGCAGATGCTTGCGGAAAGGTGTTATCGCCTATTTGGCTCCGTCGAGGCACCCAGCGCCAGATATCCACAAGTACTTAGAGCGGTGCGGTTCATAATAACTTAACGTACACGTTTACATGTACAGGGAATATATGCTACTGTAAGAGACGGGTATATGTATAATATTATCAACTGTCATCATACGGCACCCTCGTACTCTAGCTAAGCAGCCATAAATGTCGCTCAAATCGCATCGCAGCCCGCCCGCACCAGCAGCACTGGTCGTTATCGTAACACTTTTAGCACATACACACTTTGTCCATGAGATGCCGTCAGAACCGTCCGAGAGAGAAAAAAGAGAACGGGGAACAGGCCGGCAGGCCTATTTCGGGGGCGACGAGTTCCCGCCAGGGAGAGGCGACGGGGGTATCGGGGGAGGCGAAGGCGCGCCGCCTGTATTTGGCGTCCGCGGGCTCGGTCTAGGCGAGACGGGCAGGCCAACGACGTGGCTCCGCCGCCGCGAGGCCTTGTCCGTCGGCGTCGAGATGTTCAGCCCGCGCGACGCCGCCAGGTGCGCTGCGCGCGAGCGCGGGATCGGCGAGAGCCCGCCCTGGTCCGCCGTGGGCACATTCAGACTGTCCGAGGACGGCTGCTGCCCATACGACAGATGCGCGGAGCTCGATGTCGCCGAGGATTCCACGATATCGGACTCGTTCTCTGTCGTCCCTTCCATACTCTCTTCCGCAAGCGACGCTTCCTCGCCCTCATCTGATGGCGTGTCCTCGTCCGTAACTGCTTGAATCACACCCCGACCACGACAATGGCGCGCACGAGTAGATGACGAGGCGACGATGTCAGCTGAAGGTGCAATTTGGGACGAGAAGGGAAGAACGCCCACCTGGTAGTGCTCTCCCAGACAGCCCAAGAAGCTGATCTGCAGCAGCATCAGTGTAATGCCTGCTATTACGACGATCGAGCCCGGGCTCTTGCTCCCCTTGACCCCTGCGCGACGGCTCCCCATCCCCATCCGCCTCCAACGTGCTATCGACGTTGAACACACGTTTGAACTCGCCGAGCATGAGACTGAACACGCCGGCAGGGATGCCGAGCGTGGGGCTGAAGACGATACCGACGTTGCGCATCGTCATCTTGTTCACATGCGCGTTCTGCACGATCAGGATCAGGTGCGCCGTCAGCGCGCGCAGCAGGCTGTAGTTGGCGATCGGCAGCGAAGCAATGAGGCGAGAAAGCTCCTTGATCCTTTCCTGGGGATCCACGAAGTCTATGACGAGCGAGACGTCAGAGCAGCAAGAATGCATTTTGACGATAACTCACCGATCACCGCCAAAAAGCGCAAATGCAGATCGCGGGTGAGAATACTAGACGGAAGATCGCGCAGAAACGTCTTCAGGAGGCCAGCAATGGCATGCGGATCCCAGTACTCGTCTGAGCTTAGCAGGTCAATGTCGCCCTCTGGCAAGATCCGTGAATTTTGGAAGGCGAAGAGTATATTGTAAAATACCTTACCTGTGTTAAAACGGTCCTTGAGAGCTTTGATGACCGCAGAGCTGCCGCTTAATCGGTAGATACCCTCTTCTTGCTCGGCCTTTTTTGCTTCCAGATACTGGATGCAACGGAAGACAATCGCGGGCAAACTAGCTAACTCGGCGACCTCAAGCGAGTCCTCCAGGCTAATACCGAAGACGGCGCGCGGGATGTGCGTAGGCACGTTCGGCTTATCTGGAAAGATAACAAAGTCGCATTAGCCGACCCACAATAATGACATAGCCTAAGCTTCCCTCACCATGCTGGCGGACCAGGCCCCAGAAGCCGCGAGACTTCGCCTTTTCCCTCCGCTCGTTGGAAGACACGGAAGATTCTGACGGCGCGTCTTTGCCACCAAACTTGTAGCCGGCGGGAATGAGTGTGCCGTTCATCGGCGCAGAAATCTTGACCTTCCCGTTGACGTCGACGCGGGGGGTGTGCTGTCCGGCGTCCTTCTCTGGCGACGGGGTGCGCTCTGGGATAGCCGTCTTGAGTGGGTTGACGGACATCCGCATCATCTTCCTCCGGTCGAGGGCTAGGTTCCCACCTCGAACCGGTCTCTGGTCGACAAGATCAGGATAGTTACCGAGCTCAGAATTTGCCCGCTGAGATATGGGCTGCACAAGGTCTACATCATCTGCAACGAGTGGGGACGACGTAGGCAGCGAGGTCGACATCGGCATCTCCGCTGCTATTACCTGGTCGACAGGGGACGGTGCCATGACCGATGACTTCGCGGGGCCGCTCGACATCGATTCATCGCCGTACGAGGCGATATGTGGAAGGGGTTTCATGCTGCCACCATCGGATGACAACTTCGGGTTTCCGCACTTCGCTGCATCACGTGTCCGCCGGACTGGTGTGCTCTGCGCACTAGGCGGATCGTATATTGACGCAGAGCTCGTGCTCATGCGCGGCTGGTTCCCGGCATCTTGCTGTGTTGCGCCGCCCATGGCGGCGGCACTTCCCCATGAGTGGACAACGGGGATCTGATCCTCGCTGTATGTCCCGGAAACGTAGCGGACGAGCTCCTCGACCCAGCTATCGCGGTCCTTGTCGCTTTCTGCACAAAGGACATGTCGCGGGCTCGAGCCACCGGGCCCCTTCCTGGCCTCGATAATGAGAAAAGCGTGGCGATACTCGCTCTCCTCGTCCGATTCCTTCCTATCGGGGGCTCTTTGCTGGCGACCGATTTGAGCACCGGTGATCGTGATGGACCCGAGGTGGGCGCCGCCACGCTACGTCATCAGAGAAGGCACGTCAGCACGACCGTTGACGACGCAAGGCCCGCAGTGGAACCGCCGGCGGGGTTTGCGGCGAATCGGGGGAGGGGATGCACTCACGCTCTCGTAGTATTCCAGGGAAGGGCCCTGCAGCACGAAGTACCGCGTCTTCCAGCCACCAAAGTTTTTCCCCCTCTTGGTGAGGTAACCTTCCTTGTACCCGGCCTGCGCGACAGGCTTCTGTGTCTCGCGCACCATGTCCGACGTGAAGAAGGCGATCACCTCGTCCTTATTCTTGACTGGAAGTGCGATCAGCGATCGCAGGTACAGCTCGAGAGCGCTCTGCAGTGAAAAAAGACGTCAGCACTCAGACGAACTCCGAGACGACGGCGTGCCAACAGAAGGTACGAAGGACTTCCAGGTGACGACAAAAGGGGAGATAGCAAAACGATCCCGAGCATGGAACAGCAGAAGCGCAGCAACAGCATTGACATGAGAACGCGCCAGAAGAGTGGAACTGAGGTTAACCCACGGTGGTAAGCATGTACGGGCGCCATGATAAGTGGAAAACAACGGAGAAACAAAAAATAAAAATAAAAACAAACAATCACGAAACCCCAGGGGTCCGAAGATGGAAGCATAAGCACGCACCTTTCTTTGGTCAACCTTCGCGGGTGCATGATCCCGCCACAGCCGTCCTTCCGGTAGGGGCAGCATCTTCTTCCCGACGTTTTTACCTACAGTTGCGCGCATCCGCGCGTCTAAGCCGAGCACGTCGCTGTACAGCTTCTCCACCTTCCACGGGTCCTTGCCCTTTCCCGGGTCGACCAAGATCGCGAACGAGAGCACTTCCTTCCCTCGGTCGTTGGGGCGAATGGACGAATTGACCACTTGGATTTTTGTGTTAGGCAGGTCGCTCGCGAGGAGCGGCAGTTCTCGGAAGGTCATCTGCGGCGGCGTCGACGCCAGAGGGATGGGGAAGGGCGATATAGGTGTATGCGGTTCCGCCGGCGCCTGAAGATGCGAGTGGTCAGACCGAGATCGCGACCCACTGGTGCGTGTCGGCGCATACGGCGGCGTCGACGGGGGTAAGGGGAAGTCCTCCACCACCGCACGTTTGTTCGTCCCCCTCCCCCTTTTCCCTACCGTATCCCCGTTCTCGTCCGCGGGGTCATACGGATCCTCCTCCTCCTCCGGATATCCGTCCTCGACGTTGGAGTTCTGCCCGCTGCCGTCACGGACGGAGCCGCCGACACTGCCGTACATGCTATCTTCGTCTCCCATGTCGAGGAACGGCGCGTTTTCCTCTGTCGTTACCTGTAGCTTCCCTGGGGTGTGTGGGGATTCAGGACTGTGCCCCGCCTGTGCTTTAAGCGGCGAACCTGGACCTGAACTAAACCCAACCTCAAAGTTGCCTATAGCCGGGCTCGTCTTGGGCGAATCAGCCATAGTAGCGTAATACCTCTTCGCCTCTTCGGGCAACGATATCCGCGACTCGCGCGAGAGGGCGTACGGCCGCGACGGCTCGACATTAGAGAGCGGGCTCAAAGAGCTGGAAGATGCGGGCTGCTGAGGAGCCTGGAAGTTCGTCCTCAGTGGTGAAGGTGGGACGGGGACGGCTCTGCCGTTAAGCGCGGCCATTGCGGCAGTAGACCGGGGTGAAGGCGTGGGCGGTGTTAGTACGACGGCAGCTACTTGGGGCGGGACGCTGGCAACAGGGCGAACACTGTCGGGCGGGGGTTGCATCGGAGCGTAGGGACCGAGGACTGGATCTGCCACGTCAAGCTTTGGGACGGAATCTGCCATCTGAGCCGTCGCGGAAGACGTAGACGTAGAGAGCGCCTGGGATGAGGAAGAGAAAGATCTTTCTGTGGGGCTGAGCGAGTGCAGGGGTCGTTTATGTCCGTCGGACGAGGTTTCTGAGATTGAAGGGATGGAAGGTGTTGCAGCGTGACCGGAACGAGCGTTGTTGGGCCCCGAGTGGTTGACCTGTAGTTGAGAGGGTGACTCACGGGGACGCGACGGGTGTGTTGGCTGCTGCGAGGACTGTGCTGCTGATGATAACCAGAGTAAGCCAAAAGGCGGAATGTTCTGGCATCCAATGTTACCTTGTCCAGAGCTACGACTTGATGGACCAGGGACGAGCACTTGGGGAATGCTGTTCAGACTGGTCTGAGAGCTGTGTGCTTCCGTCAATGGGTCACGCGAACGATGCTGAGAGTATTGCGACTGCTGTTGCTGCTGCGATAATCGGGGAGCTACAGGACATCAGGTCAGTTGCGAACGGGGACGACAATAAATGTCGAGGACACCTGTATTATCGGAGTACGCTCGTACGATGTGCCCCCTCGGATCCAGCGCACCTCCGCTCGTGTTCGAGCTCCCGCTCTCGCTGTTCCTGAGGTGTGTCTGCGAGACGGCGGACCGCAGCGAGCCCTCCTTCTTCTCCTTCTCGCGATGTGCGCGGAGGAGCTTGTCGGTGTTCTCTCCCGTCCTCTGGAGACGCGAACGATACATTTCGCGCTCACTACGCACGCGCTCGAGCTCTTTCATGATCTGGTTGTACGCTGTGCGGTGCTTCTCCACGAGCTTCCACAACCCGCTATTCTGCACGGACAGCGTGTTTCGCTCAGCGACGGCTGCATCGAGCGCGGCAAGCGAGGGGTGGGGGGCGGACGCATAGGCTGCAAGAAGGGCCTCTGCAGTGATGGCCTGTGTACTCGGAGCGGCTTGTGAGTGGTTGGAAGACGAAAAGGAAGCAGCGGTGCGAAGTGGTGAGGAGGAATGGGAAGACGCGAGCTCTGAACGTTGGGATTGGTGTCGCTCGCGTCCATTTGGCATGGCGGTCGTCACGATTTCTGGTGGATTTGTGGTCGCCATCCTGGGGGAGGTGTACTCCGGTGACCCAAGGTGTTTCGCGTGTGATGTTCAGCCGTTCCGCAAATTCGCAGCTGAGTTCGAATCTGGGGAAAAGTGAGACTAACGCGGGGAATAGCTGCTCCAGGACTGCGAGGAGTATTCTCGAGAAATAAAAGAGAGGAGTTATGGAGATTAGACGAGGTAGAAAGGGAAGGAAGGAGTGGTCGAGGATCAAAGGAGATCAAAGGGCAGTGGCACTGGTAGTCGGGCGACTTTCCGACTCGCGTGCTCTCACCGACCCTGCTTTCTTCTTCTCATTCGACGAAACCAGCTTCCAATTATTGCGTCGTATCCAAGTTCTGATCAAACAGACTTCCCTGTCATGTTATTTCCTGGCTCAATTGTTACCAGTCCAGTTCAATCCTATAAATTGCCCCTTCCTGCTACCCAGCGCTACATATCTGATGCCCTGTTGACGTCCTCGGGCGAGGATCGTTGTGTGGTCTCGGTGCGATTAATTCGTCGGCTTCCCACTGGCATTAAGATTGTAAGGGTCTTCGATTCCGTGACGCGTGACTGACGGTTGCTATCAAGTGCAGCTTCTATATTGGGCGGCTCCTTCGAGCCTTCCCAGCACCACGTAGTCCTGACCTCGAACCATGTCTGTCGAGCCCCTACCACCTTCCATCGACGAGCTCTTAGCAGACCGCGCCAAAGCCCGCAGTCGCTACCCGCTCTCCTCCCCCCACCGCTGGCGCACTTCTCGCGTCCCGCTCCCTCTGTTTTCGCGCATATTGCGAACCCCACAGCCAGACACACCGTCTGCGTCCTTCTACCGCCTGTACGAGTTCTTCGTGCTCGACTGGAACGTCCAGCTGCGAAACGAGCTCGAGTACTTCTGTTCCATGCACCCAACCTGGTCAGTCTTCGATCTTCCCGATCCTGTCGACACCGACCCCGTGCGATACGCGGCGCTTGCGGTGCTTACAAGGCTCATGTGCGACGCGTTCAACCGCCGCATCGGATTGGGTCTTCCCCGAGACGCACCTGCGATCATACTGGACTTTGAGGAGCTCCAAGCCAGACCAAAGGTGTACGAGCAGCCGCCTGAGTGGGCGCAGCGCGTGCCCGCGTTGCAGGAGCGGGTCTTCATCCCAGATGCTCAGGGCAACGCCCCGGTAGAGGGGGACGAAGATATCAGCGAGGAGTTTCAGGGGATGAATATCATCGTCAGGATGCCCCACATCCATTTCATCTGAAATTTTTCTTCGGCACCGTTTGAATATCTGAATCCGCAGCGTATGTGTTCGAATTCTCCCTTTGCGAACTCTAGTCACACTCTAGTATAACCATTACTCCATAGTTACCTGGAGACAGAGTGATGGTGTGCTGGAAGGCCCGAGCTTCGATTCGCCCTGAGAAAATCAAACCCTGTATCCACCCTCTATGTCAGAGTAGGGCGAAGCTGCCCAACACCACAAGCTTCTCTCTCCGTTGCCATATCTGTTACACACCGACTACACCTACATTGGAAGAACCACCCCTCCTGCAGCTCCTTCCTCCGCTCCCTCCAGTCCATCTGCTCTACGTGCCCGTAGCTGATACACAACTCCTCATCTGCATCCACGTTCCGAGTTGTGATGAATCGCAGTACACGACCATTACGCTCTTTCTTGACGTTCGGCATGCAGTCTGCACGGGGCGGCACCGGGTTAGCATTACACGCGCGAAGTCAAGCGCATACTCACGATGGTTGAACAACGACGGCCTGGGATACACACCAAACCCAAGGCACTCGCTCTCCTCGGTTATGGGGACCTCCCATATACCAAACGAATTCCCCGGGTCGACTCCCAGGGCCATACGCACGTTCTCGACCGTGATGACGCTTCCTACGCCGCGCAGGCTGCCAGCTTCCCACCTGCCCACCCGAGTCTCCACCTTCCCGTTTCGCACGCGTGCGTGCTTGTGCTTGCCTCCTTCGCCGTTCAGCGCTAGCCCTGCAGCGGCCGGTTCGGCAGCGCTATCACCTCTTCTTCTCCCGCCTAACCCGAATCGCCCTTGCAATGCCTGATAGATCCTGATCTGGTCCTCCAGGAGCTCGGGGTAGGTTTGTAGATGACGAAGCTCGTTCGACTGCAGTGCCTCGAATTCGCGCCAGGTCGCTCCGCCGAAGCTAAGAGGCTTCTCGAAGGCTGGCATTTGCCCAGTATCGGGCGGCAGGAGATGCTGCGCTCCTTGTTCGCGGTAGAGGTGGACCAGCGCGAGAAGCACATAGCGCGCCATATCTGTCTCGAAATCGTCCAGCTGGATCTCCCGCCACCTTCTGACCTCTTTGGGGCTCCTCTCCTTCTGCCGCGTCTCGTCCCACGCGTGCTCGATGTCCGTACGCGTCAGTGCTGGTTTCTCTGCCAAGGCTGCTTCCGCGCTCTCGTTCACCTTTTCCTTCACCTTTTTGCGACGCGCTTCTTCAAGGGTTCTCAGGAGCTGTAGCGTGTCCATACCTTCACGCGTCATCCAGGAACTCTGGCAGTGCTCCCCGCAGAACCACAAACCAGCGCTTGGGCCTGACCTCTCTCGGTGGTCCAGGATCGTGCCTGGTTTCTCACCCTTTTCCTCCGGAGCACTGGTCTCTACGCGAGGACCATGCAGGCCTTCATCGTCACGACGCGTCAGAAACCCGCGCCGACCGCCGTCGTACCTCCAGCACTCGGCGCACACCTCCGCCCGGAACTGCTTCCAGATCGTGCACGCGTACGGCGTGGTGGCTTCGATGACGGTGCTGTTGGCGGGGATGGCGTGGGTGGTGTGGTACGTGCGTCCGACGCGCGGGTCGGTCTGCACGCGCAGACCCTCTTGCCAGGTGGCTTGGGGTATGGGGGCGGTGGTCATGACTGGAGGAATTTTATATGGTCCTCCGTATTATTGCGAGGTTCTGAGCTTTGAAACATGGAGAGATTGTTTTTTCTTCCAGCCGCAGGCTTCAGGAAAAAAAGAGACGCTCAAAAAGACCGGCGAAAGACTGGGGAGGCGCAACGCCTCTAAGGCCCACGGACGCTTAGTCAGCGGCGCGCCACAGAATAAGTGACCCAACGCGTTCTACCGCGCTCGCGACTACTTGTGCTTGAAACTAAGCGGAAATATGTACTCCTATGGGATTATATGGCCTTGGACATAATCTATGACTATATACTGTATACTACCCCTCATCAGTCTTGCATCTCTGTTCAGCATCAAGCTGACTCGAGGCTGGCAAGCCCGACATTTTCTATTTTCCTGTGTACATCCCAGAGCATCTAATTGTGATATTGTTTTTCGCTTTTTCTAAGTGATTTGATGTTTGAGGTCATCCATTCATGTGGTATGCATACAGGAAATGTAATAAATTCAGGTGTGAGAATCATGAGGGCCCGGCAGGACATTAGAGAGCCATAAATTCATGTTAAATCTGCAATTCATGCTCAGCAGTAGGTTATGATCTGACGCACAGGGAGGCTCATATACTTGGGGAAGCACGAGCACGAGCATTGCTGCGAGTGCGCGCATGCTTTCCCACACGTCCGGCGCGTCTGTGGCGCGGACTCCCTACTTCCAGTGCTTCACCTCGCATGTGGTTTGGAGCTTCAACGCTTGCTCGGTACGATTACTTTTAGTGACAACAAATGTTCTGTATTGTATTTACTAGGGAATGGACAACACAGAATTTCAATTATTCTGATATTTGCCCCACTACACGGAGGAAAAGCACTTCTCCTCTTCATTTTTTCGTAATTTGTGTTGTCCATTCCCTAGTAAATGCTATAAAGCTTCAATCCCGCGCAAATAAACCATTTTATTCGACGTGTGGAAAGTGGAAAACCACATGCGAGCAGTAGGTCACCTTTTCTGCCATCCGCCACTGAACGTAAACATGTACAAATGAAAATTCGCTCGCAGGCGTTGCGCCTCCCCAGAAAGACCCGTCGCCAATCGGATTGCGGTCACGTGCACTGGACTGATGCTAGGGTTAGGGTTAGGGGTAGCAAAGTTTCATTCTTCATCTCCGCGCGGTCACCGCCATTCCGTTTCTCCGTTTCGCGCAACTTTTCGTCAGCGGAGGCGGTACTGTTGATACCCTGCTTTTTATTATCCCTTCAATTGTTTTCTGCTTCTCCCTCCCCACTATCTCCTGAAAGGCGCCAGGCCTCTAATCAAAGTATTCACCGAATAATGCTTGTCGCAGCCCGGCTGGGTCGCGCACAGACCCGTCTATGTCTTGCCCTTGCACCAAAGTCGCCCCTCGTTCTCAGGACAGCGCGCGGACACCCGCCAAACATCCGTGCGCTATCATCCACGGTACCCCGCGCCCACCCTATCAACAAGCTCGCGCTCAAGACGCAGGAAGAGGAGGAGGAGAACAGCTCCGATCCCGACGCGATACCCGCGCACGAACTGAGCGCGGTGAGCGCGCACGAGGCGCGCAGCGAGCATGCGGTCATCTCCGCGTTTGACCTGTTCAGCATCGGAGGTGCGTGCCGCCGTGCTTTTCGCGCGGGGTGGGTGACTCACAAGTGTGGCGAGCAGTGGGTCCGAGTTCGTCGCATACGGTGGGGCCCATGCGCGCCGGGAAGATTTTTATCACGGATTTGGCAGAGCTCAATTTGTTGGAGAAGGCACGATTCGAAGCTTGTAGGCGTTGCGCTCGTATGTGTTAACATGGTTATTCTGTCCAGGTGAAAACTGTCAAGATCACGCTGTGAGTGGCCGCCGAAGTCCTGTTACACGTGTTTTAGGGGTTGCATGCTGATATGTTTTGCTTGTAAGCTATGGGTCGCTTGCAGCAACAGGTGAGTGATATCAAGCCTCCAGATCTGGTTCTGGCTTGAAGGGGCTACGTCGTCTTTGAGCGGTAGTCGTGAACCGAGGAGCACCTCGAACGAATCTGCCCTACATCTTCGCAGGCCCGGCAACTGCGTGGGATAGATACGTTCAGCTCGGTGTCATGCTGTGCTCGAGGACTACTGGCGCTTCACACGGCGCGTTTAATTCGCAAGCGCCGGATCTTTAGGCCACCCTAGACGCCACGTTCGCTTCTGGTTCACTCTTGCCAAACAGCAGAACGAACAGTTGACGCACTTCATGTCGTCATTTTGGATCTTGCCATCAGATCTAATGGTGTAGTAAAGTGAGAAACGTATGCTGACATGACACTCTCACTTGCGTAGGGAAAGGGTACGCGTCCCGCAGCCCTCCAGAGGTTTCGACACCATGACTCAAAACTCCACTTTTTCTACAGCCATCACACCCCGCAAGCCATCCTGCTCGGTCTTGAAGGTCTGTGCTCTTCCGCTCTTCTGATACCTATCACCCATTGGTAGATGTCCAGGCTCCGACCCCGAGACAATCGACACTGGCACGATACCCTCGCGCTATGCAGCCATTCTGGACAACAAATACCTCATGCTCGGCGGGTGGCACCGCATCTCATACGACATGGACAGGGACATGCTCTGGCGCTGGGACCAGGTGTTGAAGACGCACCCCAACGGGATGCGCTTCTCTGCGTTCGGCGAGGACGGGGACCTCCTTGCGACAAATGAGTATTTCAGGTGGGCGGAAGCATTACTGAACGTGCTTGTAGTTGCAGTTAATTGACCGCGACTTAGCGTTGGGGGAGGATTCGTGGTCAACGAGAAGACGAAAGGTGGGCGCTTTCCTGTCCGCGCGTGAAGGACTGGATGCTGAGTAGACCGCAGTCGATGAGAACTTGTTTTATAAGGGCGTGGATAAGAGCGTCGTGCATGGTGCGCGGTTGCACCAGACTCATAGCTCCGATGTTGCTCCAGGGGAGCCGCCTGCGGAACCAGAACCTGGTCAACCGCCATATCCGTTTGTCGTATGTTTTGACGTATCAACGGGATCGTCCACATGTTACTGACACATTGGTTCCGCTAGTCCGGAGACAGCTTGTTAGCACTCACACAAAAGCACAATGTACGCAACCCGAGTCCATTCGTGCTACAGCGTCCATCTCACGCGCGACATACAGATGACTATCGCACAGGTTGTCTACGATAACGAGCTGTCATTCGGATACACACACGAGGAAATCCACCAGAAGGTTTGTGCTACCATGCCTTCAAAAATTTCCTTCCTACTCAGCGCTTCACAGCTGATGCGGATCTGGAGCGTCATGGACGACTGCATCCGCATAGGTGTGTCCTCCGCGGAGGAGAAGCTTCCAGGGAGATTAGGTCTCAGACGCCGCGCGCCCATGCTCTATCGGCGGCTCATGCGGGGGTGAGTTACTCCCACTATTCCTTATACCCGTCTCCGCCTCCTCAATTCACCCTCAGTTTCTATCCGGGCCTCACCGCGCCAATCCTGCCTGCCATCGGGGCCGGATCCATGCCCTCCGGGAGCATCAGCCCCCCCGAAGGCGAGGAGTACACACAGCCGGACAAGGCGTTCTTCCCCGACAGCGCGGAGGGGCGCAATATCTCCGTGGCGCGCGCTGCTCGGGTAGTCGGCTCGTTTATGCACCCCGTGCTGCCTATGCCCCCCGTGCGTCATTTGAAATGTGGGTATACCGGTGGCTGACGATGAGTGCAGCGCAAGACGATGATCCCTGCGATGGACTTCTTGTCGTGCTATGCGATAGCAGTGAACGAGGTGAACGCGAGCGGGGGACGCATCGTCACCTCACCCACAAATGGTGCCGCTGGTGTCATCCCGGCTGTGCTGAAGTATATCGTGGAGGTGCGCGTCGCGTCGCGTGCACTTGTGTCGTTGAGCTAACTCAGTGTCGTAGTTTGTTAGCGACGATCCGGAGAAGTCTGTCGTGACATTTTTGCTCACGGCCGCTGTGAGCCATCTTCCTCTTGATAGGCGCACCTCAGCTGACTGTGCGCCGGTAGGCAATCGGCATGCTCTTCAAGCGTGGTAGCACAATCTCTGCTGCGGAAGGAGGCTGCCAAGCTGAAGTGGGCGGTAAGAGGTCGTTCGCTTTCAGTGGGTAGTCATTGACGTAGTGCCTCAGTTGCGTGTTCCATGGCTAGCGCTGGTTTCGCTGCATGTATGGGCGGTAAGCGCAATTTCTATCAGATCTCGCTGGTTATTGACACAAATGCTTCAAGCTACGCCGGAGACTGTTCTACAGGTGGGCTTTTGAATTGCTCGGCGTTGGTGTGTATTTAACGATATTATGATCGTCGGCAGGCTGCTGAGATCGGTATTGGTGAGTTTACTCAAGCTCGTTCCCAAAATTCACTGACATTTTACCCAATACAGAGCATAACCTTGGACTGACGTGCGACCCCATTGACGGTCTAGTCCAAGTACCATGCATCGTACGCGCTTCTACTGCATATGTCTGAGCGCAACCCCACTGATGTCCTCGGCCCACTTACCAGGAGCGAAACAGCTTGGGAGGTATGTATCATGCAACCACCCGTCAGTATACCAATTGATTTTTATTTATAGCTGTGAAAGCTGTCACGGCAGCGCAGCTCTCACTAGCAAGCTCAAATGTATACAGTGTCACGCTGGATGAGGCGATCGAGGCTATGCGCTTGACCGCGGTTGATATGAGCGTAAAGTACAAGGAGACCAGCTTATCGGTGAGCTTCTTCCTCCGCAGCTGACGCGAGCTAGTCTAATCAGGGTTTGACACATAGGGCCTTGCGGTACGTATTTTCACTGTATTTTGAACCGGAATACTGATGCGCTTCACCTGGAACAGAGGACGGTTAAGATCCCTCTCACTGTACCGGCTTGGTGAGTTTTCATTGTCTATCTCTCGGTCTGGCATCACATTGACGTCTTGCTTTCCCTACAGTTGATTTCATAGAGCGTCGCGCCTCTGTTTTTCACTTAGATAAACTAGACATAAGTGTAAGGCTGGCCCGGGTATAATCCTCACGGACTCTGGATGGACTTATCGTACTGTTATTTACACCTTTTTACTGTACTTTTGTTTCTGCCTAGTACTTGGACCTTGGCTTTGTGCGAATAGGAGACTGGACTTTGTAGAAGTACTTGCACGTGAGGGGAGACGCGTCAGTGGTGAGACGCGTGATACTGATAGCGCGTGTCGCTATTAGAACTGCCACCGCGACTTGGCGCTCGGGATCCGCAGCCCCCTCTCACTTCATCTCTGCTTTCTGAACCATGATTCCACAATGGGTGTCTATGCTTGCCTCTATAGGCATGGCGGTCGGCCCGCCGCTCGTCTACGCGGACCAAGCGTATTCTATCGTTCAAAAACAGTGCGTTGGTGATGTCGTTGGTGCTGGGCGCTGACTGGGGGGCTGAACTGTGAATGTAGGGATGCCACGGGGTTTTCGCGTGATGTTTGTGCTATACTGTGAGGACTTACGTTGTACATGTGCTACGGATATCTGAATGAATGAGTTGCTACTGTTCAGGCTGCTAGCGAACATCACTCGATGTTTCTTCTGGCTCGGAAACCGGTTTGAACTGGCACTACTCATACAGTCTGTGCTGATGATCCTGGCCCAGGTCAGTCACTTCCTGTGTCCGCGAATGTCATGCTAGGGTCTCATTCTGCGCCAGCTAGCTTTGCTATATATCTGCATCCGCTACCGTCCGAAGGCGAGTCCGGAGAACGTAGGCGCATCTTCGCGGCCTTTCTCCTTCTGGCAATGGCCAAAGTACACCCAGTATCTTGAATTCATTGTGGGATTTGTGTACGTTCAATCCTGTTCTCCCTGGTGATTTTACAGTACCTCATGAAGAGTATGAACGCATGACCGATAGATTATGCCAAGCTATCCTGTTCTTGATCTTTGGACGCTCAGAATTCTTCATCACGATTCTGGGTTTCGTCGCGTTGGGCTTGGAGAGCACGCTGCCCATACCACAGCTTATCAGGTCCGTATATTCGCGATACAAGGTGGTCTTCTTCCGCTGATGCAATTGGTATGACGTAGTAATCACAAGCAAAGATCACTATATGGGTTCAGGATGTCAACGCTAGTCGGGTGGTTCGGTGGAGATTCATTCAAGTAAGAGTCCAACAATGAGCTTACTCGCGCGGCTGATGCATTGGCTCCAGAACTGTGTATTTCTTCGTGCAGAATTCTCCCCTGCAGTTCAAAGTCTGCGCGATCTTCCAGCTATCGATAGACTGCGGTGGGTCATGCCATTCTCGTGCGTGTATGTCCGCTAATCTTACGTTGTTATGCTCCGACCCAACAGCCATTGTGGTGCAACGCATAATTTTTGGGAATGCCGTTCCTGCTACGACGTTGAGGGAGGAAGATGATATCGAGCAGGCCTTGGCCTTGGCGGAGGAATAAATTATCGTATATATGTAGCTGTAATGTTCTCATGGGTTTCCAGTCTACCTGCACCTTGCAGAGCGAAATGCAGAATGGGTGAACTTGGGCAACGAGATGTATGAGTCCGAAGCCTTGAGTTGTTTCGACGCGCGGTGCTGCGAGGCACAGCAGTGGAAGTGATCGCGTACGCAAACACACGTAAACCTACTTTCCCTCTCCTCCCAACGAACCGCTGTGCAGGCCGGAGCTCTCGACTGGCTCGACGTGTCCTGTTTCTCTTCCAACCGCCACGATGGATATTTCAAAGCCTATCGCGTTCTGTGAACACCTCCAGCTCTCGAGCCTCGGGGTGCAGCCTGCCTTCATCTCGTTCCAAGTATGTCCGCCTGTTGGCAAGGCGTCACCGAGTGTTGACATGTCACTGTCCGCCCGCAGACACTCACGCTCGAATCCGACCATTATATTTGTGTACGAGAGAAAGTGGGCGAACAGAACCAGGTGGTCATCGTCGACCTCGCCGACGCCAATAATGTGCTACGTAGACCTATCACGGCCGACTCGGCCATAATGCACCCTCACAAAAAGATTCTGGCGTTGAAGGGTTGGTTGCACAGCTTGTAGCTTCACTTATGGACAGTCGCTAATTCGTTCGCTGACACACTAGCGGGTCGGACCCTACAGCTCTTCAACATGGACACGAAGCAGAAGGTGAAGTCACACGTGAACAACGAGGACGTCGTCTTCTGGAAGTGGATCTCGGACTCGACGATTGGCATGGTCACAGACACAGGCGTGTACCACTGGTCCGTCGCGGACGCGACGTCGGCCCCGCAGAAGATTTTCGACCGTCATCCGACTCTCGTTGGCGCGCAGATCATCAACTACCGCGCGTCGGCAGATGAGAAATGGCTTGTGTTGGTTGGCATTTCAGGAAACACAAGCAACCCCTCAGCATTCAAGGTCAAAGGCTCGGTACAGCTTTTCAGCAGAGAGCGCGGGGTCAGCCAGCCGATTGAGGGTCATGCTGCTGCGTTTGCCGAGCTCAAGTTGGACGGTCACCATAAGCCCACGAAACTGTTTACGTTCTCTGTCCGGACAGCTACAGGAGCGAAGGTCAGTAATACGCGTCTTACTCCGTGGTGCTTTTGATGACTCGGCGCATCCAGCTGCACATCGTCGAAATTGACCACACAGCACCGGATCCGCCCTTCATAAAGAAAGCTGTCGATGTCTATTTCCCTCCAGAGGCGACGAACGACTTCCCCGTGGCTATGCAAGTGTCGAAGAAGCACGGTATCGTATACCTAGTGACGAAGTATGGTTTCATCCACCTCTACGACCTGGAGTCCGGTGCCTGCATCTACATGAACCGTATCTCTGGGGAGACCATATTTGTAACCGCTGAACATGAGGCGACGAACGGTATTATTGGCGTCAACAAGAAGGGCCAGGTGCTCAGTGTCAACGTCGACGAGCAGACAATTATCCCATACATCCTCACGACGCTTAATAACACGGAACTCGCATTCAAGATGGCTAGCAGGGCCAATCTTCCGGGTGCGGACGACCTGTACGTTAAGCAATATCAGCAGCTCTTCCAGACCGGTCAGTTCGGCGAAGCGGCGAAGGTCGCTGCGAATTCACCGCGAGTACGTCGTTCTCGGAGCAATATCCAGATATGTTCTCATATTATAATTTCAAGGGTATTCTTCGCACTGTGCAAGTCATCGAGGCGTTCAAGCATGCGCCAGCACCTCCTGGCGGTCTTTCCCCCATTCTCCAGTACTTTGGTATTCTTCTCGAAAAAGGTGAACTGAACCACCTGGAGTCACTCGAACTTGCTCGTCCAGTCTTGCAACAAGGCAGGAAGCAGCTCCTTGAGAAGTGGCTAAAGGAGAACAAGGTTCGCATGACCGTGCATTCAGATCTGGCAATGTCTGACACGCTACACGTAGCTTACATGTAGCGAGGAACTTGGCGATATTGTCCGACTTCACGACATGACCCTCGCGTTGAGTGTCTATCTCAGAGCGAATGTGCCAAATAAGGTCATTGCGTGCTTTGCGGAGACGGGACAGATGGACAAGATCGTCCTTTATGCGAAGAAGGTTGGATACACCCCGGACTTTGTCGGCCTGCTCCAACACGTCATGCGAACCAACCCCGAGAAGGGTGCTGAGTTCGCTGCGCAGCTCGTCAACGATGAGTCAGGTCCGCTCGTGGATGTCGAGCGGGTGAGTTTTATGTCTACTTCGAGCGTTCTATTACTGAGCTCGCTCTCTCTTCAGGTGGTGGACATTTTCATGTCGCAAAACATGATCCAGCCTGCGACGTCGTTCTTACTCGACGCGCTGAAGGAGAACAAGCCTGAGCAGGCTCATCTCCAGACTCGGCTGCTGGAGATGAACCTGATTCACGCCCCTCAAGTCGCGGATGCCATTCTCGGTAACGAGATGTTCACGCACTACGACCGTCCACGGATCGCCAACCTTTGTGAGAAGGCTGGTTTACTGCAGCGAGTTCGTAGACTTTCATGGCGATTGATTGCTCTTACTCATATTTTTGTCTGCAGGCTCTCGAGCACTACGAGGACTTGGCGGACATTAAGCGCGTCATCGTGCATGCGAACGTGTTCCAGATCGATGTGAGTATTTGCCGTGTCTCGCTTTTCGTTGCGCTTGTTACTCACTCGTCCATTAGTGGCTCGTCAGCTACTTCAGTCGCCTTACTACTGAGCAGTCATTGGCTTGCATGGAAGAGATGCTTCGTATCAACATCCGGCAGAACCTGCAGGTTGTTGTCCAGATCGCTACGAAGTACTCGGATATCCTTGGCCCTGTCAAGCTCATCGAGTTGTTTGAGAAGTTTAAGTCATTCGAAGGTGATCTCATTCTATACATATCATTTTATTGGACGCTGACGCTCTACGGCCAGGCCTATACTATTACCTCGGTTCCATCGTCAATCTCAGCCAGGATCCCGAGGTTCACTTCAAATACATCCAGGCGGCCACTCGTACAGGCCAGATTCGTGAGGTTGAACGCATCTGTCGTGAGAGCAACTACTACAACCCGGAGAAAGTCAAGAACTTCCTGAAGGAGGCCAAGCTTTCGGACCAGCTACCCCTCATCATCGTCTGCGACCGGTTCGACTTCGTCCATGACCTTGTGCTGTACCTGTATCAGAATGGTCTCACCAACTTCATTGAGGTTTATGTTCAACGCGTCAATTCGGTCAGGACGCCGCAGGTCGTTGGGGGTCTCTTGGATGTCGACTGTGATGAGACAACCATCAAGTCGTTGCTTGCTTCTGTCCCTGGCAACTTCCCCATCGACGAACTCGTGAACGAGGTAGAGACAAGGAACAGGCTGAAGTTAATCCTTCCGTGGTTGGAGGCACGCGTGCAGGCGGGAAGCCAAGACCCTGCTGTGTACAACGCGCTCGCAAAGATCTATATTGACTCGAACAACAATCCCGAGACGTTCTTGAAGGAGAACAATGTAAGTTCGTTCATTCCTTACCGCTACCCCTTGTTAAAATGTGACTGTTCAGTTGTACGAGCCGCTGGTCGTCGGCAAATTCTGTGAGGCCAGAGATCCGTACCTCGCCTACATTGCGTACGCGAAGGGCCTGTGCGACGACGAGCTCATTGCCATCACGAATGACAACTCGATGTTCAAGCAACAAGCTCGCTATCTCGTCAAGCGTCGTGATCTGGACCTATGGGCGCAAGTTCTTGGACCGGACAACATGCATCGTCGTCAGCTGATCGATCAGGTGAGATTTCCGCGTTGTTTTCGTCTGATCTCCCTACTGACTTCACTTCGACTAGATCATTGCGACCGCCCTTCCTGAGTCTACGGACCCCGACGATGTGTCCGTCACTGTGAAGGCGTTCTTGACGGCAGACCTTCCCATTGAGTTGATCGAGCTGCTCGAGAAGCTCATCCTCGAGCCGTCACCATTCAGCGACAATCGCAACCTCCAGAATTTGATGATGTTGACGGCCATTCGTGCAGACAAAGGCAAGGTCGTTGGATACATTGACAAGCTCAAGAACTACGATATCGCTGAGATTGCCAAGATTGCGACCGACCATGGTCTGTACGAGGAGGCATTCCTTATATACAAGAAGTATGAGCAGCACGCCATGGCCATCAACGTGCTCGTCGAGCATATCGTCTCCCTGGACCGCGGCGTCGAGTATGCCGTCAAGGTCAACAGGCCCGAGGTGTGGAGCAGGCTGGCGAAGGCACAGCTCGACGGTCTGCGAATCAAGGATGCCATCGGTGAGTCAATCCGGGTTTGAACATTTCATGTGCTAATCCCAGATAAATATTTGCAGATTCGTACATCAAGGCTGAGGATCCCTCGAACTACGTCGAAGTCATCGAGATTGCTAGTCACGCGGGCAAGCACGACGAGCTCGTCAAGTACCTCCAAATGGCGCGCAAGACCCTGCGCGAGCCTAAGATCGACACGGAGTTAGCGTACGCCTATGCGAAGACGGATCGTCTGCACGATATGGAGGACTTCTTGGGTATGACGAATGTTGCTGACATTCTTGAGGTCGGAGAGAAGTGTTTCGAGGACGAACTTTACCAGGCGGCGAAGTTGCTCTTCACAAGTATCTCCAATTGGGCCCGGCTTGCAACGACGCTCATCTATCTCGGCGAGAACCAGGCTGCAGTGGAAAGTGCGCGGAAGGCCGGAAACACTCAGTCAGTACCTCTCAGTCTATCGGAGAGGTATGTGTTCCTAATGACAATTAAAGAGTATGGAAGCAAGTGCATGCTGCATGTATCGAGAAGGCCGAATTCCGTTTGGTGCGTGTTATCACGGATCTTCTTGTGTTCCACTGACGCGGTTCGCAGGCCCAAATTTGTGGTCTTAATATCATTGTGCACGCCGTATGTTCCTAGCCAGTCACCTGTATATTATTCTCTGACGCATTGATCACCTTCACAGGAGGAACTCGCTGGTCTCATTCACTTGTACGAGCGTCGGGGGCATTTCGATGAACTTCTTGCCCTTCTGGAAGCTGGTCTCAGTCTGGAGAGAGCGCACGTAAGGCATCGATTTTCGTTGACAGATAGTCTTCTGATCGTGGTCGTCTGCAGATGGGTATCTTCACTGAGCTCTCAGCCTTGTACAGCAAGTACAGACCCGAGAAACGTGAGTGGGAATTTCTTGACATGGCTGGAAACGTCTATAACATCATATGTTCAGTCATGGAGCATCTCAAGCTCTTTGTTTCTCGCATTAATATCCCCAAGGCATGTTATGTTTCCTTCGCCATTCTCTGCCCCTAATAGCGATTTCATGTAGGTCATTAAAGCCGCTGAACGGGCCCATCTCTGGCCAGAGCTGGTTTTCCTCTACGTCAAGTACGATGAGTTTGTGGGTAGCATTCTGATATCTGTATCGAACCTCAGCTAACAGTCCTTACTAGGACAATGCGGCATTAGCAATGATTGAACGCTCGGCGGACGCTTGGGAGCACAACCAGTTCAAGGATGTGATCGTTCGGGTTGCCAACATCGAGATGTAAGTGTTAGCTTTGCACAATCTGTAGCACGCATTGACCATCGTCGTAGCTATTACAAGTCGCTTACGTTCTATCTGCAAGAACAACCGACTCTCCTGACAGATCTGCTGACCGTCTTGATTCCTCGTATTGACCATGCCCGCGTCGTGAGGATGTTCAGCCAGATGGACCACATCCCCCTCATCCGCTCGTATCTTATCGCCGTGCAACATGTGAGTTATTCAATGCTAAAGGGCGTGATGAACTTAATCTAACGGGTTTTAACAGCTGAACATTGAGGCCGTCAATGATGCGTACAACAACTTGCTCATCGAGGAGGAAGACTACACAACATTGCGGGACTCTATCGACGGCTTTGACAACTTCAACAACATCAAACTTGCGCATGACTTAGAGAAGCACGAGCTGTTGGAGTTCCGTCGACTTGCGGCCCACCTTTACAAGGTACGAACTCGTCGCTTATATCATAACAGTTCAGTCATTAACATATTCGATATGTAGAAAAATGCGCGGTGGGAGGAGTCGATTACGTTGTCTAAGGCCGACAAGCTCTACAAGGACGCGATGATTACGGCAGCCGTATCTAACTCGATAGAAGTCGCAGAGGATCTTCTCTCCTACTTCGTCGACATCGGCAACAAGGAGTGCTTCGCGGCGATGTTGTACATCTGCTTCGATCTGCTTCGTGCAGATATCGTGGAGGAACTCTCGTGGCAGCATGGTCTCAACGACTTCTACATGCCGTACAGGATACAAAACTCGCGGACATTCGTCGAAAAGGTGCGCGTACCTGTAATCTTTTTATCTCGGTACACTCGTGACCCGGTTTCCTCGTCTAGATGGCGGCTCTGGAAAAGCAAGTGCACGAGCTGTCGAAGAAGGACGTCCAAAAGGAGCAGCAAGAAGCGGAAGTGCCCATCATCAACCCTAGCGGTCTTCTTACTAACCGGTTAATGCTGACGCAAGGGAATGGGTAAGTGCCTGAAGATTTCGCAGCGGTGTTGTGCTCACATGGAATACAGTTTCCCTGGACAGGCACCCCCGATAATGCCTAATGGCACCAGCATGGGCATGCCTCCTGTAAGTGTGGTTTAACTATTATTAATTCGGTTTTACCGACGTTCTTTTGTTTCCATAGGTGATGACAGGTTTCGCTAGCTTTTGAGTTCTGATCCGTCGCCCTACAACTTGTATATTTCAGACATAATTATGCGCATATCATGTTTTCCTGTCGGGTAATTGAATTCCACAGCTTTCGCATCGTATAAATCGTACAAGTCTGAATGAGAAGCGACGACCGTACGTGTTCAAACACTTGCATGAAAGTCTGGACCAGTGCGAGTCGCCACCACGATTATGAAAATCCGTCCACAAATACAGGTGAGTTATTAGTAGTACACGAACACTAAGATAATGGAACCAAGATGCAGCAGAACCCAAAGCTAACAATGCAGTCGTCCGCGAGAGAATGTACGTAGTGATCACCACGGGTATGCCAGCGTCCCCGTCTCCACGTCTGCTGTTTATAGACTATCTGGTCGTCTCACACGACGACGCACCCGCGCCCGCCGTAGCTCCCCGACCCCTTCGCACGCGTACTCAGCGACGCCCGCGCGGATTCGTAGAATACCTCGCTGACGCCACGGTTGTGCTTCGCGCTGCATTCTGCAAAAGGTTGATTAGTTCATTACACGGTCGTGAGAGGCGTGGTGCGCACCGAGATAGCGCGACGCTCGTATTCGTCGTGCGACGGCGAGCCCTTCTTCGTATTGTACCGTGTGCAGGCCGTAGCGGGCGAGACGGTCTTGAGTTGCGTGGTCGTCTCGTAGGTCACACTTCAACGCTGGGCGTGGACGGTGAGTACGATATGGTGCAGCAAGGGAAGGTGCAAACCCACCAACTAGGACGAGCTGAGATGGCGGGCCATTCAGAATGGACACGTCAAAATTCCAACCGAGACATACCTTAACCCCAGGACAGTACTCCAGGATCTCGTCTATCCACTGGCAAGCAGGAGATCAAAACACCTTCACGCGGTAAGCGTCGCTCATGAGCTCACCTTAGCCTCCACATTCTCCAGCGACGTCGGGTTGTCGACCTTGCAAGACACATAAGACCAATTTCAGAGGGTCTCGCGTTCAGGGGATACGGAGAAGCACTTACGGAGAAGCAACACATCACGACATGCGTTTCCGCATAGCTCAGCGACCTTAGGCGATCGAACTCTTCCTGGCCTAATCGAGGGCTGGACACATCAGTCCTGCGGACGGTAGGACACAAAACGTACTAGCACACACCGGCTGTGTCCCAGAGACTCAGCTCCACCAGCTGATCGTCTACGTAGAGGTCATGCACATAGTTTTCAAATACTGTAGGTTCGCTGCAGCTCCTGTGAGTGTTTGCGCATCCCTGAACAATGCGACGGACGCACTAAACGGCGGAGAACCAGCCCCGGGTGAACACGTTGAGGAGTGATGTTTTGCCTGTGCACACAGATAGACGATCAGCATTCGACTGGTCTGAAGATACTTCATATCTGCACGCACCACAAGCACCATCCCCGCAAACGACTATTTTCCGCTGTATCTGAGAAGGGCCGTCTTTAGTGTCAGAACAGGGTGGTGGCGGTGAGGATGTCATGGCGCTCACCGGCCTCCCTCGGCCAAACGACGGCCTAACGGCGGAGCTTCCGCATCTCAGCATCTAAGTTTCACTCAGTGTCGCAGAATTCGATGATTGTTCAAGTGCGGGCGTGGTAAACGAGAAACAAAATGCATGGGCGCCTCCACGCGAGGGACGCGGCAGAGTCTGTCTCTCTTTTCCGGCGACCTCCATCCATCTCAGCGCGGAGGAGTTGCTTGCCCGGGTGTAACGTACTCGACGCGTCTCAGCCTCGCTCTTCTCAGTTTTACTCTGGATTAGCTGGGACGATGTTTCTCTGCAGCTTCACGCCATGAAGATCTCGGTATAACGAGGCTAACTGTTCGGCTCGGCAATCCATGGACTGTCACAAGTTGACAATGTTCATTCACTTGACATGTCATGCATGTCATGCGTTATGACGACGAGCTCATCGATGTTACTCCGACCGTTGGGAAATACTTGGAAAATGCTTCTCTGACTCGTGGCTCGCAAGTGAATGCAACCATCGTCTGTCTGCAATCTTGTTGCCGGATTGCGTCGTTATGCAGAACCTGATGAGAACACGGATTTTCATGTGCTGGGACACAACTATCCGGTGGAATCTGCTGGGGAGCCAGATAGAGTGAATTCCTCCAGTCATTCGCTGCTTTGTGCGCAAATTTCCATGAACGGCGCAAGGAGTGTCTCGCCGCTGGAGGCGTTGAAACCCATCCCCATTCAAGCTCTGAACGAGATGAAACAAAAAAACCAAAGGTATATATCTTCAGCTCATGCCTGGTTCGGATATCCGTTAACGCTTTTGCCTGCAAGGATAACCGGCTTCCGTGAACGGTTACCCACGGACATTGCGTAACGTTTTTGGCTTGCAGCTTTACGCAGTCATCTCACCAAATATCCCAGTAACCTGGAGTGCATTGCATGCATGTTGTCTTCGGAATCATTTTTCGTGCAGGCCACAAGATTTTGATTCACTGATATCCGCGTCTCCTTCCCTGATTACGTTGTCTTTTAGCAATTTCGTTCTTCATGGAAACAAATTTCTGCGGCATTCAATGTCCTTCGCACTATATACATGTGGATGTACCTCTTCCAACCTTCCTACGGTGATGTCATGAATACTCACTCAATATAGTATCTTGTACTCTTATGTCGACGTCTCTCATCATTCTGTTGCCTGCCAGTTTTCGACTTCATGGAAATAGTGTTATGGCCTTTTAATCAAAGGTGATTCCACTTCGAAGCTATGCCCGCAGATATCTTGGGTGAATCACCAGTAAAGCCGTTACAAACAGGTGCAGAAGTAACTCACCTTCCTCACCAACAATTCTGTCAGAGAAAATGGTGCGCGGTAAGCAACGACTCATTGCATTCGACATGGCGGTACGAAGCATGCAAATAAATGCGTAGGTACCGTAGCTCGACCGTAGAGCTACCTATGTTTGCCATAACGTCACGGTAGTACTGTGACCGTAGATAACCGTGACGATCCTATCCCGACGATAGCCGACGAGCTCCCGACTTCGCTATCTAAACTCGTGTTCCAACAAATTCAATGGTAGTAAAGAATCCAGACGGCAGTGGTAAGTACGGAACGTTACATTAATACTCTGCGGCCAAGTCAGAAAGCGTTGTGAAGTTTTTCTTCCTAGATATGCTATGGCGTCGGCAGCCCGTGCCGATCCTACCGAAAATATGTAGTTTATAAGCGAGCGCGTAAGTAAGTACGAGATGTTCGCCATCGTTTGCGTGTCCTTCGTCACCTCCTTCGTCGCTACGAACGACGATGCCGACATGCTGTAACCACGCCGAAGGGTGGGGCCCGGTTTCTCCACAGCGTACATTTGACCTCACGCCGTGCTTCGAAGAAGGTATCATTCTGTCCACCCTCCTTCTTGTGTTCTTTGTCTCGGCCGTAGTCGAATGTTGGTCTCTGCGTAAGTCCGAAGTGCGCACGAGATGTCGGAAAAGCATTTGGGTGCTCAGGGCCAAATTGGTGAGTTGATTGTGTCCGAGACGAGCTGCTGAAATATCGCTGATGGATCTCACCGCAATCTGAAGGCGTTTCTCGTGCTCGCGTGGGTTTCTAGCACCGCGAACTTGCTTCTCATTCTAGCGACACACAGATCGGTAGCTACAATATATGCCTATGCCTTGGAGGTTGCGGTATTGCTGATCGCACCGTATCTTACTTCGCTGAATCACTACCGCGCACGTACTTCCTCGACTTTATTACTTCTCTTCTGGCCGAGCTATGTGTTCGGACTTCTGGTATGGGGTCGTACAATCTACAACACAGCATTCCATCCCCTGCTGCTAGTCGTTGCTCTGAGATGTGCCGTGGTAGTGTTTGGGCTTACCGCGTTTAGTCTGGAGTGCCTGGGTACCGAGTTTACTGCAGAAGATAGTCCTGCGAACGACGATAAAGGTCAAGTTGAGAGTCCTTTGCTCAGGGCGAACGTATTCAGTGTGTGGACATTCTCGTGGATGTCAAACCTGATGCAGAAAGGCGCGTCCGCTTATATCACCGAGGACGACCTGCCTTCTCTCGTGTCAAAGGACGAGTCAAAAACACTTGGGGAGGATCTGCAGAGAGCTATTCAGAAGCAGTGTGTAGCTTTGGAGCTATGTCAGAAGAAGACGTCCTGATGTGTTGTTCTTTTCAGCAAATCTCTCTGGCGTTCTCTCTTTGTCGCATACGGTGCACCATACGGCTTTGCGGCCATCCTTAAATTTACCCAGGACTGCCTTGCTTTCCTCCAGCCTCAATTACTCCGATGGCTTCTTTCGTTCATCTCCGAATACCAGCTTGCCCAGGACAAGCCAAGCCCTGTGGAAGGGTTCGCTATTGCCGTGATTATGTTTGTGGCTTCCATTGCACAGACGATTATCCTTCACCAGGTATTTGTCTCGCGCCGAGCCGGTTGGACTGGAAATAAGTGCTGACTATTTTCAAGTATTTCCAACGTTGTTTCGAGACTGGTATGCGTGTGCGAGCCGGGCTAGTCACAGCGATCTATCAAAAGGCACTCGTTCTGTCCAATGATGGCCGAGGGCGTGCATCGGGCGACATCGTGAACTTGATGTCGGTTGACGCTACACGTCTGCAGGACTTCTGCACATACGGGCTTATCGCTATCTCCGGACCTTTCCAGGTAAGCAACATATGTTAACGTCGTTGTTGCCATGCAAATGTCTTATGGAATTTAGATCACGCTGGCGTTTGTGTCTTTATACAATATCCTTGGCTGGGCGGCATTTGTCGGTGTTGCAATCATGATTGTCTCGATCCCTCTGAACACTGCAATTGCACGCTATCTCAAGAAGATGCAACAGGAGCAGATGAGAAACAGGGACAAGAGGACCCGACTCATGAGCGAACTGTTAGCCAATATCCGGAGGTAAAGTGATGATGTCCTGTGACACTACCTACACTCTGCTAAGTGAGTGTCATACCGTGTAGTATCAAGTTATACGCTTGGGAGAACGCATTCATTCGCTGGATACTGGTGGTGCGTAATGACCAGGAGGTGAAGATGCTTCGCAAGATCGGTATTGTGACGGTGTGTACCACTGCAACTATTAATTGTTTCGTGTTCATTGGTAATATTGTATCCTATTCTCAGTCCTTGAACAGCTCTCTGTGGAGTGGTATTCCTCGTTAGTAGCTGAATTTCTTCAGGTAGTTCTTGCACTAACTCATCACTCTTTATACAAGTTCTGGTCGCCTTCAGTTCATTTGCTGTTGCCGCGGCGACTGCCGACACGCCGCTTACCTCCGACAAGATTTTTCCCTCCATCTCACTGTTTATGCTTCTGCAATTTCCGCTGAACATGGTTGGTATACACAATGAATATCTTGGCATATAGTTATGATCTGACGAGCTGCTTCTCGCTTGTAGTTCAGTCAAGTGACATCTAACGTCATTGAAGCCTGGGTGTCCGTCCAACGGCTGTCCAGCTTCCTCGATTCAGATGAACTCCAGTCTGACGCTCGCGAGATTGTCCAGGTGCCCCGTCTTGAGCTTGGGGATGAGGTTCGTCTTTGTTCTTCTCACCTTGTTATTCCTGGAGTGATACTAATAGCGTCATTATAGGTACTGTCGATCAAGGGGGGTGAATTTACCTGGTCGGAGGAGGCAGCGGTACCCACACTGGAAGACATCAACCTGACAGTGCGCAAGGGAGAGTTAGTGGGTGTGCTAGGACGTGTCGGTGCTGGAAAGGTGTGTGATGACATACTTCTCGCACTATCGAACCAACAGGAAAACAGACAAGTCTTCTGTCTGCTATCATTGGCGAGATGACACGGACGGAAGGCGAGGTGCGTCTCATGGGTTCTATTTCCTATGCTCCCCAGGATCCTTGGTAGGACGGTTTTGGTGCTAGCATTGCGGCAATGTCCTTACTCTAGTTAACAGGATCATGAGTGCAACGATCAGGGACAATATCCTTTTCTCGCACGAATACGACGAGACTTTCTACAACTTGGTTCTTGATGGTGCGTCATCTCTGTAGTGTAAGTTAAAGTATTGATCTTCTCCATTTTTAGCTTGTGCTCTACGATCTGACTTGACGCTCTTGGCCGACGGAGATCTAACTGAAGTTGGAGAGAAGGGTACGTGTCTTTCGTTGATCTGAATTAAAATAGCGTATATTCACGTATGTTCAGGTATTACTGTAAGTTTTTCATAGGCAGTCCCGCACGCGTTACTGAGCGTGGAGTGCAGTTAAGTGGGGGCCAGCGGGCAAGAGTTGCACTTGCTCGGGCAGTATACGCCAGGGCGGATCTGTAAGTTTATTTTGACATCGCCAGTTGAGCTCGACGTTTGACGTCTGCAGTGTCATTTTGGACGATGTATTGGCTGCAGTGGACTCTCACGTCGCTCGTCATGTGTTCGGTTAGTTTCATCTTGTCATTTTCGTGCACATGCATTTTGTATTGAATAAGTGTGTTCCCATAGATCAGGTCGTCGGTCCTCAAGGTATCCTTGCGACGAAAGCAAGGATCGTTGTGACCAACAGCATCCATTTCCTCAAGCAGTTTGATCAGATTGTCTATGTTCGCCGTGGCGTAATCCTTGAGAAGGGATCATACGAGGACTTGACAAACAACAGCCAGACTGAGTTGTACAAGCTCATGTGAGTGATCGCTGTTGAGACCAGTAGCGCTCTGAAATAACATGCTTTTGCAGCAAGGGACATGGTACTCTGGTCTCTTCAGAGATCTCTACCCCCTTCATCCTAGGAGATGGAGCAACACCCTCGTCTGAGAGTGACACTGTCGTAAACTCGTTGGAAGAACTCACGGAGGAAAAGCTGCAGAACATCGACAAAAAACTTGTTCGTCGCCAGAGCTATGGCAAGGCTACTGTCGTAGAAAGTCTACCTACGCGCATGTCGACAGAAGGGTTGACCAAGGAGCATAGCGAGCAGGGCCGCGTGAAACGTGACGTGTACTTACAGTACATTGAAGCCGCCTCTAAGGCGGGTTTCATTTTCTTCGTGCTGTCAACAATCCTCCAGCAAATAACGTCCGTGGCGGGTAACAACACGCTTCGTGCATGGGGAGAGCACAACCTGCACATGGGTGACAATAAAGGAATGTGGTGGTACCTGCTTGGCTACGGTCTATTCTCCCTTTCGTCCATTCTGTTTGGGACTGCTGCGGCTATCCTAATATGGGTGTTTTGCGCGGTGCGCAGCGCAAGACGCCTACACGATTCCGTGAGTTTGCATGTCGTGCTTTGGTTTATGTCTGACGTGATTACTACCAGATGCTGTACGCAGTGATGCGTGCACCGTTGAGCTTCTTCGAGTTGACGCCTACTGGCCGGTGAGTAAGAGATGCGTCACGGTTGTTCAAAGTGTCTGACGATCGGTCATGCAGTATTCTCAATCTGTTCTCCCGCGACACCTACGTCGTCGATCAAATAATCGCCAGAGTAAGTGGTTGCTGTGATGGTACCTTTGTGACTTCGACTGATGATCTCTTAGGTCGTCCAAAATGTTGTCAGAACGTCTTGTGTAACATTGATGATCGTGTTTGTAATTGGATACAGTTTCCCGCTATTTGTGAGTACCATCGTCCTTCAGCTGCATGAGTGCATCTCACATATTCCACAGTTGGTCGCCGTGCCACCACTTGCATGGTCCTACCTGCGTGTCATGATGTGAGCGAACAACTATTTTGGCCCGTGCATTCATCTGCTGATCCACTGGTGCTTCAAGTTACTACCTCTCCACGTCACGGGAGTTGAAGCGTCTCGATGCGGTCTCGCGTTCTCCTATCTTCGCGTGGTTCTCTGAGTCACTGAGCGGACTATCTACTATACGCGCCTTCGATCAACAGCGATTATTCATTGCGAACATTGAGCGTCGTGTCGATCGTAATCAAATATGCTATCTGCCTAGGTGTGTTGATCCAGATCTTTCCCAGGTGGCTCTTAGTTGATGATTTGATGGTCTATAGTATTTCGGTGAACAGGTGGCTCGCGGTGCGACTGGAATTCGTCGGAGCCACGATCATCTTCATTGCAGCTTCGCTTTCGCTCGTGGCACTCGTCACAAGTGGGGTGGATGCTGGCCTTGTTGGCTTCGTGCTCTCGTACGCCCTTAACACTACCGGTTCATTAGTGAGCTCACGGCTTTTGATTTCTCATCAAAATTCGTAAGAACTAATATTTTTATAGAACTGGCTTGTGCGCTCTGCCAGTGAGGTTGAGCAGAATATTGTCAGCGTCGAACGTATATTACACTATATTCAACTAGAACCAGAGGCGCCGGCCGAGATTGCAGGTGCTGTGCCTGAGGAGTGGCCTTCAAGCGGAGCGATTGAGTTCCGGTGAGCTGGTTATTCTTTCACTCTCTTTCCTCGTTTGATGGTGTCCAAGTGATTATTGCACACGATACCGCCCAGAACTGGACCTCGTGTTGAAGAATATCTCAGTGAAGATCGTATGTCTATGCGTCCTATCCTACTGCTACGCATCTTGACAATGTCACTCACAGAATCACCGAGAGAAGATTGGCATTTGCGGTAGAACCGGATCTGGGAAATCATCGGTCGGTCCTTTTTCTCTGAGCAAGAATTAGACAGTTTACTAACGTCTTAACCCGATAGCTGCTGCTCTCGTTGTTCCGTATTATTGAGCCGTCGTCGGGCGCCATCTACGTTGACGGGGTTGATATCGCCAAAGTGGGCTTGCATGACTGTGTGTTGCCTTCTGTTGAATCCTCATGTCAGAGACTGATACTCTACCATAGTGCGTTCTTCGATATCAATCGTACCACAGAGTCCGGACCTCTTTGAGGGCACCATCCGCGACAACATCGATCCCACAGGCGCCCACCAGGATGTGGAAATTTGGACGGCGTTAGAGCAGGTGGGTTATATGTCGTCGCTTGATTTTCTCAACTAATCATCTCACATATATTTGGTGATCGCGATGTAGACCCATTTGAAGGCGTTTGTGGAGGCATTGCCGGAGGGCCTGGATGCTCCCGTCAGAGAGGGAGGTTCGTCAATGTCTGCTGGACAGAGGCAACTAATATGCTTCGCACGAGCATTACTGCGGAAGGTATGTTCTTCATTTTTTTAAACCAGAAAATGATTGTTCATGTCTGTAATTACATGAAGTCGAAAATATTGGTGCTCGATGAGGGTGAGTTTAACTGTAGTATCGTTATCGTTCCTGTAGCTGAACTCACGGCCTTTGTGCAGCCACTTCTGCTGTGGACCTCGACACCGACAGGTCAATTCAAGAAATCATACGCGGTCCTCAGTTCGCCGATGTCACGATGCTCACGATTGCGTATGTCTGCTCCTCCATGCTGACCTGTGATCCGAATTGTTGATCTATCGTTCCACGTAGGCACCGAGTGAATACGATCCTGGAGTCAGACCGTGTCCTCGTTCTCGAGGCTGGACAGGTAATATCTCCATGTCATTGGAATAAGCCACAACACTGACTCCCCGTTGTCTTAATAGATCAAAGAATTCGATTCGCCTCAAAACCTGCTCGCTAACAAGCAGTCATCGTTCTACTCATTGGCCGCCGAGGCGGGTTTGGTATGAGGAAGATAATATTTGCTACAAGGATGACCAGCATACAAATATGATACACAGACGATGCAGATAGAGCTTCCTGGCGACATAGCTAGACATGTAGCGCTACAAATCAGTTGCGGTAGTGTTTGCAAAGATATCCATATTTGGCACATCATCGCTTGCTTTTTTTCTTGACCGCTGGACTTGAATTCACCTCAATGGATCCTCCTGCAGCTTCAGCTGCCACACCTTCTCCGTTCTCGATCTTGCTCTTTGCATCAAGGAAGAACATCAAATCCCTGACTTGGTCCTCCAACTCCTGCACCTTCCGCAGAGACTCAGCCTTCTCCTGTCCCACCTGCGTGGAACGCTCCTTGACTGAGCGGAGATTCTCCAACAACCCCTTGCTCACGGCACGCTCTTCCCGCAGCTCCTTGTTGAGCACTTGGACAAGCTCCGCCGCCTTCTCGGCGCGCTTCTCCACCTTGAGCTTCTCCTTCCTTAGCTCGGCCTCGCGCGCCTGCTCCTCCGCGGTGCGTTTTGCCTCCGTGTCCCTAGCAGACACGCGTCCCTTTTCCACCTCGACGCTGAGCTGCTCAACAAGCGTCCTCAGCTGGTCTACCTGTGTACGCAGCTCCGCAGTTTGCTCCTCGTAAAACGCGCGCTGCGAGTCGAGCTGCGACGTGAGGAGATACGAATACTCGATCCCAATCGCCTCGATCTTCTCCGCGCTGAGCGCGTCAGCCGCACTGGGCCCCGCGCCGCCCGCATCACCCGCGCGATCGGACCCGACGGTAGCTGCAGCGGAGGGCAGCTCGACGAGCTTCCCGTCGGCCTTATTCTGTATGAGCCGGTGCACGTACCCGTCGCCCGCGTAGTCCCACACGCGCTGCGTCTCGAGCTCGAGCGCGTACAGATGCGTCGTGCGCGTGTAGTGCGCGTGCGCGTGCGCGCGGCCGTAGCGCCCGCAACCGATGTTACCGCAGACGAGGCAAATCCAGAGGTTCGTGGTACTCCCGCAGTCCGCGCAGAGCGACTGCGCCGTCGCGGAGGGCGGGGAAAAAGGGATAGGATGGCTCGAGCGCGTCGTATTTGCGGAGGTTGGGTGCGAGGAGAGGAGGGTTTGGGAGTAGCGGCAGACGGGACACCTGGATTTCTCCCGTAAGAACATGAATGGGACGAAGACGTAGGAATTGGACTCACCGGCTGTCCCCCCATTTGCTTAAGCAGGCGCAGTGGAAGGTATGCGAGCATGGAACTGTGACTAATCCAGTGACAGCTGAATCCATGCGCTCAAGACACACTGGGCATGTGGGTAACTCATACATCTCCCCTGAGCTGCGCGACAGCGCAACGGAGACCGGGTCATCAGTGTCAACGCTTACGGAGAGAACCTTGACAACGTGACAAATTTCAGGCTACATAAACTGTGTTAACTTTCTCGTAGCATAGAACATGGACAATTTGCAATCTCACCTCCATTGAGTTGAACTGTTTCCCGTTGAATGTTTCCGCAAATTCGGCAGCGTCAGAGTCACCTCTAAACTTCATGACCACAATAGAACGATTAGGTGCTGAATCTCTGAGCGATGAGCTCAACAATATGGAGAATACGAGAGCAAAGGAATGGACGTACCTGATCATTCTGAGTTGTGCAATTCCGTCAGCAGCGGGAGCCACGAAGGCGAGGAAGTCGGAGGGAGTCATCCAAGACGGAACAGCGAGAACAGCAAGGGTGAGACCTTCTACATCCGCATCTACATCCGGGAGCACGTTAGATTGCTCTGCTGCAGGGTTGGCGGTTGTAGTCACATCATCAGGTTGGGGTGAAGGGGCCTCCTGTCCTGATTCGGGTGCACACTCGCGATATATGTGAACAACACCCTCTGGAAGGTTGGTCGATCCGGACTTGTTCCTGTATGCTATAAACGCAGCCGTCACTGGTTCATGCGCTGCTGCCTGTCAGTACTGGTAGGGAACGTTATTATTCCTCGCGGCATAACTCACCGCGTCCCTGATCTGTGTCCAGCTTCTCCTTTCCGACCAACTTCTTGGAGGTAACCGTGCTCATATCTCTGTCAGCACAGTCTACCCAGTCGATTCTGATCGGTCCGAAACGATAGTCTCTCTGCTCCGACGAGGTATCCGACCCACGATTCTGTCGCGTGACGACAGTATGGCGACGCGCGACTGGGCGAGGAGAGTGAGCTGGAAGAGATTGGAAAAGCGAGATTGGTACGAAAGTATTTTTTACGGCGTGGATTGGAGATGGATGGGGATGGGACGTCGAAGTGGTCGGCGGCGCAGACAGCGAGGAAGGTTGCAGAGCTATGCGGATGTGATATCCTCTCATGCCGTGGACATGAGCTACAATGGCGACGACAAGGACTGAGTGAAATGGTGGGAAGAAGGACAGTCGCGTTGATGCTCCGGACGCTCACTACCGCGGCTTCTCAATCCACCCTCATATCCCTCACTTCCCCCCTCAATCGCTCATCTCTCACCGCTATACGCTCTACTCTTGCTGCATCTTTCGACGAAAACGAAAATGTATATGATCCAGCAGAGACCCACGCAACGGTTCTCGTCCCCCTCTGCAATGTGAACGGCAGGCCGGGCGTCCTGCTCGAGGTACGCGGTAAATTAAGAACACATTCTGGCGAGGTAAGGTATGTACACTAATGAATGTGATCTCTCGTCGACGCAGGTTGACGATGTACTGCCACAGCTTTCCTGGAGGAAAGGTCGACAAGGTACGTACTGGTGAAACGAGCCCGACCTTTCCCAACATCTAAATTATCATTCGATAAAATCAGACAGACGAGTCCACCGTTGCGGCAGCTCTTCGCGAGACCCAGGAGGAGGTTGGAATCCATCCCGACCAAATAGAGATACTAGGCCGTTTCGGTCCAGCTGAACACTCACTTGGTGGAATGCGCGTATGGCCATACGTCGTGCGTAAAAACCATCCGTGTGGCTACTCTGACCGACCTTCGACTGTCCGCAGGCTTTCGTTCATGCTGACAGCGGGCTCGTCTCAGATACGGCATCATCCTCAGCATTTCAAGCAGACGGGGACACGCCCCTGCCATCCTTGCCTATGTCTTCCCTTATTCTCTCCCCCAGCGAAGTTGCCCATGCCTTCCATCTTCCCCTCTCTGATCTTGTCTCTCCTCCGCGGCTCCGCTCGTACCTATTCCGTGGTGCACGGCCTTATTTCGCTGTCAGCGTAGGTGACATAGTAACTGGCCCAAATGCCGTGCATCGCAAGCTCCCAGGCGCCGGAGATCAATTGGACCTGACGTGGCCAAACGACCCCGACCAGCAAGATGAGATCGGTGCCGGGCGGGAAAGCCGCCTTGAGGTCTGGGGTCTGACGGGGTGGTATCTCTCTACCTTCATGCAAATTCTTGGAGTATATCGATAGTGCTACACGCTAACTCCTTCGCTTACAAACAGACCAAGAGAGGGCACTTGTGGACAGATATCGCAATCTCTAGTTGAATGTACTACGATGTACACAATACTGTATCTTACGATCACATACTCACCCGAAGTAGCGAATTTGTCTCGCAGAATCGTGTTGTTCTTCCGGGAAATGCATTGGTCACGGCTCAAAATTGGAATCCATCGATTACCACCAACAATTTTGCGTCTGCATAGAACAGAGGTGTCACTTAAGTACTCCTCGCTTACTTCCCGCAGGGTTCGTCTTGTATACCCGCTTCACGAACTTCTCGGTCTAAAGGTCAGGTCTTCAGGCCGCGTACAATGACATGGGACATTTAGTGCATCTGCGTAGCCTCGCAGATAAATTGTCGTTCATTGTATAACCCTGTGATACAGACTAGCATAATTGTTTTTCACAGAAGCCTGATATTTCCCGCATTTCAGAGTGCCGTCTCAGTTCTGTAATCCCGCTCGTGCTCACGGTGAACCTGCTTGCATTTCATCATCCATGCACAGATGCAGACCCGCAGGATCCGCCCGCCCAACGTATGTTATTCTCACATCTCATTCACAGTTACTGCTACACGAGGAACTGGTAGATAGATAGTTTAACTAATCATAGTCACAACTCTACTGCGCTACCTGCTCTAGTCTATATATAACGTATATCATTTGCGAGCAGATACTCTTTACACCCTACTGCCTACTGCCATGCGATGAGAACTGACCTGATGAAAACAAGGGATGCGGAGTGCATCACGGCGATGGGAAAAGAGCCTCGCAAAGAATGCCGGACGATGCGACACTATGGGAAGGGGGACGCGACATCTGAGGGTCTGAAAGTACGTACCCTCTGACTACGAGCAGAGTCACGGTACGAACGACGGAGATAGGGCATAACACGGCTAGCAATACGGACGAAAGTGATGGCGGGAGACGGCGATGGAAGATGGCGGGGATGGCGGCGGTGCTGAACGTTTGAAGGATGAGCTCCCCGGGATGAGCGAGCTCGACGAGGTACAGAGCGCGCCGGACGCGCTCCAGCCATCAATCCTCTCGCCATCCTCGACACGACGGAGCTTGGCGCGGAGGGCCGGAGATCGAGAGGCGGTGAATCAGCTGCGCCGGCGCGCGGTAAACTCCTCGGACTAGGTGAGAAAACAGCAGACTGCGAGTGCGAATGCTAAAACAGCGAAGCGGAGGCCATCGACAATGCTCACCTGGCGGCGAATGATGAACGTTAACTGCCAATTTGACAGAGATGGGCGGCCGGTGCCGAAGGCCTCAGGTTCACTGGATAGCGCAACCCCTAAAGCGCTTACGAGTTGCCGACGACTGTGCATTCGTGGAGTCATGCAGCGTTTGCGCTCCAGTGGCAGTAGGTGTCAAAGGAGGCAGCGAAGCAAATTGTGCCTGCTCCGCAGGCGAAAGAATCCTCTCGCCTTCGTCGCTCAGTGATAGCGAGGCCGGCCGCTTTTCAAGCACTTGCGTTTGTCGCGAGAGGGAGGGGAACAAGGGATGTCGTTCCTCGCGGATTGGAGCAGGGAGGTCAGATCCTGGTCGGTAATCCGTGAGGGGGATCATCGCCGATTTGCCACCAGAAGCCGATGGTTTCCACTTCTTTGATTGAAGTAATTCGGGACCATCGGCGGTGCGCTTGGATCCTGCACGAACTTTCTGCGTCTCCTTGTGTAGGTCGTAATCTGCGGGGAGCTTGTCTGGGCACTTGTCATTTTCTCGCCATGGGCCTAGTTCGAGAATGCTGTCAAAAGCAGAACAAATTGCGTAATGATCTTTCAGCTCTTCCGCATCGTCCTTGACCAACTGTATTTGCACTTCTTTGAGGCGATCGCGACGACTGACCAGCTTAGAGAAGTCTATACGGCCTACATTCGGAGCACGCTTCTTCCTGCGTTTGACTGGTTGGTCTGACGAATCCTCGCCCGCCAATTGTTCAGCGGGCACCTCGATGAGGTCGCGCCGGAATAGATCGGGTTGTTCCCGCGCAAGCACAGCGTAGTAAGCGCTGAACCATTTTGATACCGAATTCAGGAGAACGTTCAAAGGGTAGCATTCGTGGCCTCCAAATATGATCTTTCCGGATGTGTCTTCGAGCTCCCCGTCTTTCATTGTGGACCACTTCTTGTCCCCACAAACGTAGTACTCTCCGTTGTACGGGATCGCGGCATCGAAATAGCGCCATATGAAGGTGCCCACGTTTATCGCTGGAATATTATGCGGCAAGAATCGTATGGCCTCGTACACGACAAGGTGAACGAAGGATTCGAGGTCATCTTGAAGTGTGATAGGCTTGTATGGATTTTGGAGTGACAGTGCGGACATGAATTGCCAGGTTCCCTGAGGAGAGGGTCAAAGATGGATCTTAAAGCAAGCACAAGACACGCACGGTACGATCAGGTTGTCGCGCTACGTGATTTTCGCCTCCTTTGGGTACTGTCTTAGAAAGCTCCCAATCGCTCAGGTACCCAACAGGAACCACCGCATCTCCTTCGATTCGTTCTACGAAGAACACATTCCCCGAGCTGATATCTCTGTGAAGAAGACGAAGCCTTTCGTAAGCTTGTCGATGCGCTGCAATTACTGAATGAGCGCAGGTAACAAATGGACAACAACGTGACGTACCTGTGAGGCAATCACTCATAATGCTCACAAGCTCGTAACCGTCCTTGAAGTCACTGAGAGGATGACCAACTTCTTCTACAACAAGGCGATAATGCATGTGCAGCTTGACCGGGCGATTGCCTACAGGGACTGATCCATAAACGGACTCCCAAACGTCTTGCGTCTTGGTCCGTTGGCCCAACACGTCCCCGTGACAAACCAGTGTAGGGACGTTCCGGACGTTAACGTCGTTGAGTCTTCGAAGCACTTCACCTTCCTTCTCAATATCTTCATGGTCGACCCGCCATGAATCTTTGAGGAAGACGAATTTGGAGGTCTGACAATCGAGAGCGACATATCCGCGCGTACCCCGGCCTACCATGCCATCAGCGATGAAGTGTGGCTTGCCAACCAGATAGCATGCGGGACGTGTTGCACGAGGCGCCTCAGACGCTGTGTGCGCACCCACGGCCACTCCTAATCTGCCCATCTCCACGTCTCGTGGTGTAGGCAATTCGTCGTTAACCTGCAGACTCCACCACGGCCACCCTGCTTCGAGCGACTTCTTGAAGAATTCTCGCACGTAGTCTCCAGAAGTCAACTTTGTGTTCGCGTACTGTGTCATCAGATTGTAGTAGTCGGAACCTTCAGTGACCATTGTAGCAGACGGATCGTAGCCTTGCGCCTCAAGAGAGTGATGCGAGAATCGCCATAAGAATTTGCCGAGAATAAAAGGTTTTCGCTTGTAGTCAAATTTCTCAGTGAAGACGGCCCCAGATCTGTCCCAGCGAATGATGCGAGCACAGTTACCAAGGATGATTACGGTGAAGCAGAACGTGCGGTGTTGACGAGCGAACGTTTCTGCAGCGTACGAGATAATCTGGCCTCGATTCTTGTTCCCTTGCTCGGAGTCGTGCTCGAGGTCCTCTTTGTCGTCCTGAAACGGATCATCCGCCATCGAGGACTTCTTGAACTCGAAGGAGATTGCCTGCCGTGCCCAGTGCTGTCTCCCGTCCGTCGGTGCGTCTTTCTCGAGGAACAGTGCAGCATCGACCTTCTGTTTGAACTTGTCATCCCGGTCGGGTGCGTTCGCCGTCAATACGCACTGGTAACCTGGACATAATTTCGCGTCCTCCAGGCATTTGCGCTATGGCGGCAGTGAGCGGGGATGAAGAGGTCAAAGGGAAAGAAATGCGAACGTACGAATGGTAAATATAAATATTCTTCTGGAACACCTTCCTCTGGCATCGCCTTGAATGCGCCTGTATACTTCCGACTCGCAAGTCCATCTGGGTTTCGAAGGAAGGTGTTGAAAAACTCGTCGGTAGAGACGTTGACAAACTTTTGCAACATTTATTGACGAAGTACTTGTCGGCTCTGCGCCACTGTAAGGCTGGGTTGGGCACTGTGTTTGTTGTGGGTAGGCATTGACACCTTGTTAACGTTAGGGCTGACCGCAGGTGACAGATCTGTGTGGGGACAACGGGAAGCGGAAGGTGCACCCTAAGTTGACACCGAGATCACTTACACGCGGACACAGACAAAGGTCCAAACAGAGACAATGTTGTGTTCAACTTGAGTGGCGTTCAGTAGAAGGCGTGGTCGCGGCTAAGCGCCTACGCTCAACGATTTGGCATGTGCATAGTCCGAAGCGTGACCAGTCACCGATGCAATTGAGTAGTCAGTCCCTCAACATACAGATCAGCACTAATAAGTAGGCAGGTGAAGTCTATCAACATCTGCGAGTGGGTTTGATAGCCATGTTTGCATCCTACCAGTGCGTTTGACGGCAGTACATTTTGCCAACGATTGTCACGTACGCGATCTGTCACGCGTGACCTGCGGGTTGATGTGGCCTTTCTCAGGACCCCCGCGAATCAACTAAGAGCTCCGATCCCGGCGACGACATTTCTCCGGGGTGGCCGACCACCCAGTTTCGGGGGTTTGCACACAACCTGGCGGCGGGTCGGCCGTTTTCGGGGGTATGTGGGATCGAACATTCGGCCACCTAGAATTACGTTCGACAGCCTGCGGAACAAAAATTTCGCTTCCTGCGCAAAACCCAAGCTTTTGTGAGCCAAATTACTAAAACTTTCCTCCCAAACCACCACATATGGCTAAACTTTGGGCAGTCTCCCTATAGTGGTACTATCGTTACCCCAGTACTGCAATCTGGTCTAGTTATGCAATTTCGCCGTTTTGCCGCATTTTGCTGCACTAAAAATCACAAAAAAATATGCAATAGATGTGCACAGTCCCAAATACCTTGGCTGTGCAACTTGGGAGTCAAACTCGGAGGGGAAGAGTGCGAAGTTTCTGAATTGCAAGTTTGGAGGACTTAGGCGTGACAGTGAAATGTGCCATTTAAAACTCCGACTAGAGGGAGAACAAGGGAACGGCACGTCGGCAAGCGTGACGATCTGTGACCGATTCGGCGCTCTTGCGTGCAAATCAGTCTCTTCACTGCGTTCGGTCTTGGAGTCGCACAACATCAGGAAAAAAATTGGCAGTCACACAGAAGGTAGCTTATATGTTGTATATTTGATCCAAAGAGGTTCGAAGGAAAACGGGCTCGATTTGAAGGAACGGTGACAGAGATGCAATCGCAATTGCATTACTGGGGTAACGATAGTAGGGTAGTTAGGTCCTAGCGGAGTTTGAAAAACCTAACCTACCGGCACGGGCGGGCCCGCGTCATGTGCATTCTTAATGCGGCAGGAGACCTGCCACAAATGGCATTTCTGACATAAGCAAGCACCTCTGCTTTGGATGCCATGCAACGCCTACTTAGATTACACACTCTGCGGCATGGTTTTATAAAAAATTGTGTGTGTAATTGAGTGCTTTATATGCTCTCTAACCATGCAAGATGACTGCTCAAGTGGAGTTTGAGATGGAGATCCATTCAGAGTAACATTGACCTGCAATTGAATCTCTGCTCGGGGACTTTTCTTCTATACATTGCATGTCCTGGCAGTGAAAATTATGCCTGACAAAACTTGTGGTGTCACAGGAATTTTCTCCAGTTGCAAGAGGAAGTCCTTGCATTTGGACAGTTACAGGGAATGCACTAGGCCCAAGTTCAGCTGTGCTGCAAGAGATACATACACTCTCGCCCGGAGGGCGAAGACAAAATTTGGAGGATTTCTGCATACCATCAACTTGGAATCTCTAGAGAACCCATGCCTCTAAGGTTGCACTGCAAGAAGAGCTGTCTTTGCAGTGATGTTTGTACATCTGACCATACTGCAAAGATTGAATATAACTCTACAACATCATTATGGATTGTACCTAAGTAACATACAAACTGATGTTCATACCCCAGAGAACCCGTGTGTTGGAGTCGAGGACACAGCGAGCATCATGCAGATCTGCAGAGTGAATTCTTTCTCACTCCCTTGAATTAATTTCATTTAATTTATTTGATTTTCGCTGACCCTACCACTATAAGTAGACTGCCAAACTTTGGGCCCATCCTCCGAAACCTGAAAGATCCGTCAGCCAACCTCAGTTTTCGGGGGTTCTGGACCTAACCTCAGGTTGGAGGGTCACATTTCGGGGTGTTTCGCACGCAACTTTCGACGTCTTTTTCGCCATTTTCGGGGGTCGGAGATCTAACATTTTGCCTCCGGCGGCCCATTTTTCGGATGGGTGCATCGGAGCTCTCAGTGGATTCGCGGGGGTCCTCCTTTCTCTCATTGTCAACTCTCGTCACAGTCTATTGGCTCGTGGGCACGTTATCCAACCGTTCAGGTGAGACTCTATTTACATGTCTTTATTTGTGCTATCTCTCCTAACACAACCCCTTCTCACCAGCTTACAGACCCTGCCTCTCGCTGCAATTCAACCTTTTAATTGACACGGTGCTCAAGCCAACTACGGTGTTACCATAAATCGAGGAGTCCTTCGCAAACATTGAGGGAAAATTTTGTCAAAATCTCTTCTGCTGAATTTATAAATCTTTTCCTTCTGACCTTGACTGAATTACGGGATAAAACGTATGAGGGCGCATTCGTATCGCTGCCCAGCTCGGTAGAGCGCGATGAACACTTATATGAACCATTCGTATGCCACAAAGTTTGCCTTCTGCATTCGTTATGGCTGATATGAACATTATTGCAGTGCCAATGCTTGGGTGACGCGAACTTGTGTCCGAAGTACGAGTGCACACTGATATCAGAAACACCCGACAACGCAGACAAGACAAGGCAGAAGGTCGACGCCGCCCTTTTCCTCAAGGCCCACACTCCGACGCACTGCGGACAACACCGGGGGCGGCAGGCCATGTCTTTCGAGTTCAAGGCAAACACTGTTAGAGATGACCCGTTCGATGATGAGGTCCGTAGCCACGAGCATGATACAAAATATGGCAACAAATGTCGAGAGCAACTCATCTCTTATGCTGCGAAGATGTTCGCTCATCAGCATCGTGTGTTCTGGTACTCGGTGGTCATCCTTCAAAATGATGCTCGCATCTTACGGTGGGACAGGTCTGGGGCGGTCTTCACTGAGAAGTTCAGCCTTTGGGCAAATCCAGAGATCCTCGGGGAGTTCTTGTGGCGATTCTCTCACTCAAGGCCCGTGGACCAAGGTTATGATCTGACTGCTACATTGGTTCCCGAAGATTCGGAATATTATCATTTGATGACGCAAGTTGCTGAGACGAAACTGGCTGCTGGAGACTATGTGCGGCAGTACTTCAGGAATTCGCTCATCAAGGAGTGGCCGTGGTGGAGGCTGCGAATCGACGAGGAGTTGGCCTATCTCGAGATGGACATGATGCAAGTGTAGCCTAGACAGAAACGGAGGTGAGCACGCAGACACCGTCGGGAGAACCTCATGCAGCGCACACAAAGTACTATCTCGTTGGCAAGCCTCACTTCCTCGCGGACGGTATGGTGGGTCGGGGCACGCGTGGATACGTCGCTCTCGATTGCTAGACGCACCAATTTGTTTTCCTGAAAGATGCATGGCGGGTCGATCTTCCGGATATTGAGAAGGAAGGTGATATACTCAGGAGACTCAGTACCTACTCCGTGAAGAACATCCCGACTGTACTTTGTCACAGGGACGTGCTTGCACGGCCGACAGAGACTCAGTTTGTCTGGGATCAGGTCAATATCGTGAGGCCCTTCTCGGATCGTCCAGTGAAGCACAGGCATTATCGTCTCGTTGTGAAAGAAGTTGGTAAACCCCTCAGCGCTTTCAGACAATGTTATGATCTCATCAAGGTGATGTATGATTGCTTGATAGGTTTATTCCTTTGCATAATGCATTATGCCTGTGTGCTCATTTTGCACTTCAGTGCATCACCAGGTATATGAGAGGCTTCGACTCTTACACAAGGATATCAGCTATGGTAACGTGTTGGTAATGGAAGATATGGAGGACAATGAAGCAATTCAGATCGGATACTTGAACGATTGGGAACTTTCTAAGGCCGCCAATGAAGACATCACTCAAGTAGCGAGACAACCCAAGTGGACCGTGCGTGTTTATGTTTGGCATCGTGTCTTCATTATTGAATTCTGCCTCAAAGCACCTGGCAATTCTTGTTTGCACTATCCCTGCAAAACCCGTACAAGCCCATTATGCTTCAGGATGACCTTGAGTCATTCTTCCACTTAATCTTGTATGTCATGATCTGCCGGATGAAAATGTGGGCTTTTTCGTACACCACTATTTTGATGCTGCAATTCCGCACAACCGACAATTCTACATCTGCAGAGACAAGAATTGGTCTACTGTGCAATTTGGCGAACTTGCATATGCCAACATTCCTATAAAGTTCGGAGATGACGAAATTGACTCTCCTGTGAACAAGATCGTGAAGAGGCTATTGAAGTGGTTCACTGCTTACTACGCCGTAGTTGAGCGAGACCAGTCGCAACTTTGGGAGCATCCTAGAATTGGCGCCATAAGTCAGGAAAGCGATCCACCACAGCGAGGTCAGGGCGAAACATATAAGGCAAAATCTATCGAGTGGACGGTGACTTCGAGGCATACGGCGAGGATGACTCCCAGGATGCAAGCGAGGAGACCACCAAAGCACAGATACAGAAACTCAAGATGCGGGCCGACAAACTGCAGGGTCATGGCGTGATGTGCTCCTTTCTAGACGTCCTTGATAACTCCCTGTGGCCAATGATTGACAAAGTTCCAGATATGCTTCCAACAGATTACAATCACCAGATGAAGATGGAACGCGTAGGCAACTCATCCACTGGCAGGCGTTCTCTGGAAGAGTCCTCCGTGTCTCAGACGAGGAAGAAATTGAAGTTGGCGACCTCGAATGGTACAATAGCGAACTCGAATGGTACAATGGCAAACTCCCAGTGTTTCATAAGCCACGCCAAGAACCGTCCTAAATCGCCCTTCTCGGTCCCGCGCCATGTGTCAGGCATCCAAGTGCTCGAGTAGAACAGCTATGAACAAAGAAGAAATACAGGCATCGCAATCGTCAGGAGCTTGCTTTTCTACCCCCATGCTTGCAAAGAGTCGCTTTCCGCAGAGCAGTATTCAGTGGAGCCCAGCGTACAAAACTTGGCCCGCTTCCACCAACAGGTATTCGCCACCAACTTCTGGTCACATCTAGATATACCTCTACGCCCGGAGTGAGCCCGATTGGCCATTGGAGCCGACCATGGATACGAGGTAAGTTAGCAGGTGCAGGACGACAGGATAACTTGGTAGGAGAGATATTGGCCAAGATGCCGAAGCCCACTCAGGCTTCAGCAACTACAATTAATTTAATTTAAGTTCTTCTCTTCATTTGCCTATCATCACATTCGCATCCTATGTTGTACCTATTTCCGTTGGCTAGGGTTGATTAAACTGTACTGTACACCTCTGTAACGAGCACTATTATGATCGTGGTCGCTTGCCTGCGATATGCATACATACTTTTCATCTGTCACTTAGAGAGTGGCCTGGCGCACATTAACCGACGCAGCGACGTGAGGATTTACACCTTCGACGTGTGCTGTATACAGATCGGCTGTGCTAAATAGCATTGTCACCTGAACCACATTTTTGCTACACACAACCATCGTTCTCTCTACGAAGATGTTATGGCTGAGGCCAGTAATCGATGACACTCTCGAGCCCCGTCAGCTCGAAGGTGAGCGTCGCCTTCGAGTCCACATCCAGCACGAGAGTATACGACCCAGGATATAGCACTGCGTTTCCGTACCCATCGACTCGCGATAGCGAACCAAGCGTGAGGTTGAGCGTGGTGGTCTGGCTAGACGAAGGCGCGATCGCGTGCAAACGATCATATGCCACGAGCGCCTTGTTGGGATACGGCGCGGGACCGAACTCGCCCTTGAGGAAAAGCAGCGTCACGTAGTCGGAGGTGACGGAACTGCCCGTATTTGTCACGTTCACAGCAAAAGAGGCAAATGGGCAGAGGTCAAGGTAACTATAGGATAAACAGCCCTCGACGAGAGTGGAGATGTCGTAGGAATCACAGTTTTTCTCGGCTCCCAAGGTTGCACTGAAGTTCGTGTAATGCAGGCCTAGATGAAATGGTGATGATTAACAACCAGTATCACGAAGGCGAGGGATATACTAACCATAGCCAAACTCCACCACCGGCGTCCCAGTGTACCACTTGTAGGTCCTACCCGGGTTAGTCGGGCCGGGGCGCAGGGCCATGTCTGTCATCGGCACCTGGTAGACGTACTCCGCAGGGTACTGCGTAACTGGTAGGCGACCCGCCGGCGCAGCGTTGCCTACGATGATATCCATAAGCGCAGTACCACCGTCCTGGCCGGGATATCCGCCCCAGATCAGCGCGTTCACATCGGGGTTCGAGAGTAACTCCGAATCATCGACCTGGCCGCCGCCCATCTGCAACACGATCAGCGGCTTGCCCATCTGCGAGAGCTGGTCGATGAAGTCGAGCTGCACGCCGGGGTACGTGATGGTGTAGCGATCCATCGCCTCGGCCTCGACGGTGTCGTCGATCCCGCCGGCAAAGATGATCACTTCGGAGGCGTTGGCCGCAGCAAGAGCCGCGGGAAAAGAGCTGGTGGTGGGGTCGTCGACGCCAGGCCCCGCAGCATAATTTACCGTAAAGCCGAGCTGCTGTGCAGCATACAGCGGGCTATGTAGGTAAGGAGCAATTCCAGCGTAGTTACCCTGCATCTGGGTGGTCGCGTTCGCCCAAGGTCCAATGAGTGCGAGAGTTTTGTAAGACGGGGAGAGCGGAAGGGTGCCGTCGTTCTTGAGTAGCGTGATGCCTTCCACCGCGGCGGTATATGCCAGCTCCTCTGCGCCGGGAGTGCTGACATTCGCCCAGGTGAGCGCACGGTACGAGACACTTTCAGCAGGATCGAAATAGCCGAGTTTCACCAGTCCGGCGTACTGGCGGATGAGCGCACGATCCAGCACGGAAATATTGAACAAGCCCTGCGCATATGCACTAGGAAGGTATTCAGGGTAATATGTCCCGCAATCTGTGTCTGTGCCTGCATTGAGCGCGTCCGCTACAGCCTGTTGGCGTGTGGGAGCGTAGTAGTGTGGTTCGTATATGTTCTGTACAGCGTCGCAGTCCGACGTCACGTACTGGTAGTCGCTTGTCCAATTCCAGTGTTCTCGTAGAAGGGTCTGTAGGAAGTAGCTGTTCGCACAGGACGGGACGCCGTTCACTGCGTTGTACGAGCACATGAACGACCCTACAACTGCGTCACGCGCGCATGTTTTGAACTGGGGAGTGTAGAATTCGGAAAGATCTTGCAGCGATATGAGAGCGTCGAACCCATAGCGCACGTTTCCTTCCCAGTCTTCAATATCATACCCTGCATAATGTTTGCACGTTGCAATGACTTGCTTGTACTGCGGCTCTACGCCGCCTGAGAGAGATCCGCTGAATAGACTTATTATAGCCACAGCACACTGAGACTTACCTTCAAGACCAGTAAGCAAGTTGTACACGTATGACTGTAGGTGAAAGGTGTCCTCTCCGGGAGTTTCCTGGCCTAGGTATCGTGCTGAGCGACATCCTCCTTTCTAGGGAGAACAATAATGTGCACCTCTACCCCACCTTGGGTCGCGAAACGCGTTGATATTTGGAGTCTGAGCCAACGTTGCTTCAGCCTTCACTGTGACGTCATGTGGAGCTGAAATGAAACTTACCCAGAAATCCTGAGATGTACGGAGATTGATGAGCGCTACCCGAGTTCGAAACGCAGATATACGCATACCAGGCCGGAGCGGTTGAAATTGTTGAATGCGCGACCTTCTGTCCCGACAGTCAACCCAACTTGATGGATCAAGGCATCGTCAAAGGCGGCGCTCATTAAGATCGGCTCGGGGAAAGAAGTCGCATAGCTGAAGGGCCCTGACGCAGCGAAGTTGACACCTGGTGAAGATGCAACTCCGTGCAGACCTTCCTGCCACCACCTGAGTAACACATCAGATTCAATGACGCGGCGACGAATTCAAAGCTCACTGGTATGCAGGGAGGCCAAGACGGGGCACACCCGGAGAGGTGTTGCCAGTGTTGTTCAGCTTTTCCTCCAGGGTGAACAGATCGATCAAGGCCGTCGCACGTTCGATTGGCGTCGCAGTAGCGTCGCACACCGTGTTGTTCGCGAGAGGCCCATTGGCGCAGTCCGGAAATGCGGCATGCACACCTCCGGCGAGGGCGAGTATCGACAGTGCAAAAACGGCAGCCATCGTTTCGAGCGAGGGAGGACGAAGACAATCTCGGAGGAACGTCGATGAAAAGGAGCTTTATATCTGCGAGTCCCCCCTATGCCGTGCTGACCAGCGCCCATTTCTTCTAATTTCCCGAGGAATTCTCTTTTACAGGTGAGTAGGAGTGAACCCAGCCTCGCTTCATGGCTCGCGGACCGAGAACAGGCCCCACCTGATCACGCTTCCGACCGTTCTGCATACCCGGAAGCATTAATTGGTTGAATCAGGAGTTCTTGTGACCCGTACGCGAGCGAGTAACATAGAGAAATGTGCACTCTCCCATGCTGTGCATCTCCGGCTGTGACGCTGAACGGGAGGAGTGAGCAAGGAGACCCCCTCCATGTCGAACGTCAATCATGGGCGATGACGACGACAAAGGAATACCAGTCTTCACGACAGAGTTTGCCTATACTCAGCTGCGGGTCGACAGGAGCCGCACGACGATCAGTTCGCGCATGCGGAACTCGGCAGACGGGCAATGTCCTGTAGGCAAAGTAGATGTGAAGAAGCGGGCCGGCGCGGTCTGGTCTTTCGCGCATGAAGTGCGCGGGACCAATATACAAGAGGAGGCATGAGCGAAAAGTGACGGTCCCGTTCTCGAGCACGCAGCTGAAGCAACTGCAAGTTGGTCGAGTACGATCTAAACGGTCTCCAAGTTCGCTCTGGCATCGAATCGAGTCTGATCTCGATCGGCAGATCGCGGCCCCGCCGGTAAATGTCAAGCAATCAACAAGAGTCAACAGGGTAACAGGAAGGATTTGAAGGTGCATACAATGAACGTAGACTAGCAGATCGTCTTCATCAATCCTGTACTTACTAACAAAAGGTGCTTTTTGAAGGCAGCACAAAAGAGTAACGGAACAAAGATTTTTGCGAACTACCGCGACATACTCAACCACATCAGCGAATGAGAACGACTGCTGTGTTTAATAATGTACTCAGTCGTAATGTACCGCAAAGACAGGTGATCATGATACACGCGTGGGCAAAGTGTTCGTTGGTAAAGCAGAGACGCCGGGTAAATGGAGAAGCTACTACTGCGTAAAATCTAGAATCATAGGTTTTCCATGCTGGCGACAAGCTCGGCCATCTCGTTCTTGGATTGGGTATATTTTGCCTGTACATCCTGCATATGCGACAGATGAACGATCGACGTGGCAATACAAAAACAGATGACGAGTAATCCAGTAAATCGGAGGACACTGGCGGAGCGGAACGTACCTCATACTTCTTCTCGATTTCGTCACGTTCTTGCTCCAGCCGTACTACACGTTTCTCAAGGTGCTCTGCCCTGATATCGAGCTGCCTTAGCCTATAGGTGCATCAAGCAAAACATGGTCAGCAAATTGTGCTTGCAAATCAGTAAATTGTAAATCGCACTTCTCCTTTGTATCTTTTGAGGATGCATCCGATGTGTCAAGCTTTGTTTCAAGAATCTCGACCTTCTTCTGCAGACTCTGGTTGAGCTGCTCCTTTTCGAGGAGTGCCTGCTCTAGTTTCTTGTTCTTTGCCTCTGCCTCCTCAGCACGGGCAATAGATTTGTCGGCCTCTGCTCGGATGGATTGAAGGCGCTGTAAATAATTGAGCAGTTGCTTTGGACGAACTCGTTATAGAGACACACCTCCTTAATTCTTTCCATTATTTGTGTGTCAGTATGTGAAGACTATCTGAACGGGGTGTTCTGAGTGAAAGTTCTGCGTATGTGAAGGGTTAAGAGGCGAAAAAAGACTCCTCGTGTTCGTACACGTTTCGAGGATCGACTGAAGTGGAATTTCTCAAAAGGGCCTCAGACGATCCTGGATGATCCCCTAAAGCCCATGTAGTGGCACTAGAATGGACGAACGCGTTACGGAAGCAACTGACGCGTCTGGGTCACGTGCATGGCGTAGTGTTCCCGCATTTCGTCATGCCTCGCGTGCTAGAGTTATGTACTCACTCTGTTCTCTCGCCAACCCTACCACCATCTTGTCTTTCGTTCGCCGCACCCCCACCCGAAATTTCGGGTTGAGATATTTATCTATCTCGATTAGTCCATTTCGCCGCGCGATCCCTAGTAGCGGTACTTTGATTCGCCCGACATTCAGAGCCATGAGCAATTCGACCAAGACGAAGAGCGACGGAGAATGGAGGGCCATTCTGTCGCCAGATCAGGTGAGTATAGCAGTATTCTGCCCATGCTGGCGATAGACATTAGGTTTCGCTCTTCGTAGTTCCGTATCCTACGCCAGAAGGGGACGGAACCTGCGGGGACAGGAAGGTACGAGAACTTCAAGGGTCAGGGGGTATACACCTGTGTGGGGTGCGGTACCCCACTCTACACCAGCGCGACAAAGTTCGCGAGTGGCTGTGGATGGCCTGCATTCTTCGATGGCAAGCATCTAAACTGTTTAGCACATGTCAAGCTCCTGGACCGCTGATCACGCGTTTTGTAGCTATTCCAGGAGCAGTCAGTCGCCATGAAGATCGCTCATTTGGCATGTCGCGTACCGAGATTACATGCACGGCCTGTGGAGGACATCTTGGCCATGTCTTCAAAGGGGAAGGTTTCGACACTCCCAGTACGCTGATCTTTGACTCCTCAATTCTTGTACTGACACGAGTCTCGTAGCTGACGAACGGCACTGTGTGAACTCGGTCTCGCTCAATTTCGTTGATGATGACAAGAAGCCGTAATCCAGCATCGTTGTGCCGGCAATTTGTCGGACGTTGAGAATTAGTAGGTGGATCATGTATTGTTAGATCATCGCAGCGGTTCGGCGTGTAATAATATCAATGTTGGATATGAGATTACCGCGAGGTTGTATCTGGAGGTTATACGATACTGGTGTAAGATAAGCCTAACACCAATTCCTTTCCACACGTACGCCCTTACTTTGATCGATGCTGGTTAGACGGTATCGTATTTAGACGGAAAAAAAAAGCCTGGTTGTAGTGTAGCCAGAAGTATATGGTCATGATACATCCTATTCGGAGACGATTAAAGAGAAGACAATTGTCTTAAAATGGAGAACGCGAGCCGAGGCGACAAATGCGACGAGTGCTAGTGCTATACAAGGTTTGGTTACAGGCCTTCCATGTTCGCGACAAGCTCGTCCAACTCCGCCTTGGACTCGCGGTACTTCGCTTGCGCCTCCTGTGAAAGGACACGAGGCATCAGACGTCACGACACAATGTGCCAGAAATGTGGGTCAGAGTGATTATCAAACGACGCGTCTCGTCGAGCCACATCGGATAATAGGAAACCGCCAAGGGAAGAAGACGTACCTCGAACTTCTTCTCCCACTGGTCGCGCTCCTGCTCGAGCCGTTGCACCTGGCGCTCGAAGTGCTCAGCCTTGACATCAACTTGTCTCAGCCTACATGGGCCACCAGCGGTCAGTGATCTGCCTAAATTAGTACAAAATTGTATACGCACTTCTCCATCGCGTCCTTAAGATTCTTGTCCGCGGCATCCAGCTCCTCCTCCAGGAGCTGAATCTTCCTCTGTAGACCTTCATTCGCGGTTTTGCTCTGATCACCCTCCTCCTGCGCCGCCTTCGCCTCTTGCAGCTTGCCTTCCGCTTTGTCGAGGTCCCCCTCCATCACGGACAGCTTATGTTGCAAGGACGTGATCTCCTGATCCTTCTCGAGCAGCTCCTGCTCGTACTTCTTGTTCTTGGCCTCCGCCTCCTCGGCGCGAGCAACTGCATTGTCGGCTTCCACACGGAGAGATTGAAGGCGCTGTACGTCGCGAGAAACGACACAAGTTTAGACAAAACATCGCTATATGCAGAGCAATTAGCACACCTCTCTGATTCTCTCCATGGTTGTATGGCGTTTGACGGGTACAAGTTTCAATAGATGCGTGCTGTGCAGTCTGGCGCTGTAATGTTGATAAAGTATCAGCCGTGGGAACCTAGCTATTCCTAGTAATTCCATCAGGTGACCTTCGTAATGACTCTTCCGTCTGAGTGATCGTCCTGAGTGCTCTCCTCGTCGTTGTGAACGATTACGGACGACGTCAACCACGGATTTCACCACGGGCCCAAGGTTGGCCTGTGATTATTACAAGTAGAAGCAGAAATTATTCGCGAACATGGCTGCGCCTGTTGCTCAGGAAGGTATGTAGGCTTTACCGGGGTTTTGTCTGAGCTGATCATGTTGTGCCTCCGCATTTCACAGAGCTACCTATCCTCGAGGCAGTTATCAAGTATGTCGTGCGCACATGCTACGCGGACAGTGTTGCTAACATAAAACCACCGTCTCCTAACCGAAAAGCATCCGGAACCGTTTGACAGCCCTGAAAAAGGATAGAGGCGAGTTCATCAAGGCGTCCGATGTTAATTCGCTCTATCATGCAATTGTAAAGCAAGGTGCGTCATCGTCATTACCCAAGGAAATTGTGCCTTTATTCTGACCGCATCTTCTCTGCATACACTCGTTTCTTATCGCCGTCCCGCCTCCTCGGCACGTACCATACGCCCATCCTTTCCAACTGCATCTCAGTTACCCGCTTGAATGAAGTTCGCGACGACCGTACGACGTATAATAACCGCTTGGACACCACACTTGCAGATGTTTTCAATCTGCTCTCCCTCTTCTTCCTTACAATTGGAAGGACAAGAGAGTGTCCCGCTACCTATTGCCAAATTGCCAGCATGAGAGTGAGTTCCTCTCCTTCCGTTGTCTCTTTCCAGAGTCCCGGATCACATGCACCCCCCGCTCTTGACTGCGACCGCGACTAGGAAGAACGGGAACAGATAGCAGTCCCGCTCTGTCCATCAGAAATTTCTCGGCTAGAGTCGTCTGGACGTAAAGAGAAATTGCGGGAGCTTCCCCTGCGATAGTCCCTCTACGTCTCATGACAATCTAGCTTCGGACGTTTCCAGCTGCTCCGTTCCGTCCTTCTGAGCACGGAGCAGAGATTGGCTGCGGTCGATGCGCTCTGTTACCCTATTCTTGGCCCCCCTTAATGAGCCTTCTTTCGTCCAATCATAATGTGACGGACAACTTTGTGTGTGCCGAACAGCCAATTTTGTCATCTGCGCATGTCGAATTTGGATGATCGTCGGTGGATGCGTGTCGTCTTCCCTTTCATTTGGGAAATGCCCGTGGCCAGTCTGACCGTGATGGTTCGTAAGAATGTGTCTCTTCTGCCCTTCTCCCTGCTTGAACGTTCGGGATGGGGGCCGAGGTGTCAGCCAGACCTTGAGAGATTTGGAGACGGTGGCTTTCCTCCAGGAACATTCGTCTCTTACTCTCATTTATATAAGATGCCAAGTCATATCATGTTTCCCCGCACTGGGATTTTACGTCCTTTCATCCATCCGACAGCCTTGGCGCCTCTGGATCTCACAAATCTGCTTCTTTTCTCTTCTTCCCCACTAACCTCACTATGCGGCAGCAAATTCTCGAACATATGAATGAATCCGGGATCTACAACGAGTCAGACCTTGCCCCGTTTCATCGACGGTTGGTGGAATTACGGTGCGTGACACTTCATATGACGGAAGGAGTTCCAGTGATGGCGGCACGTTGCAACACTTTTGACTCCTTGGAACACCGTCCACGGAGAATAAATTTTTGCTCACCTGTATGCTGCGATGGAGATCTTCCACCGTCGTTAATCATCCAGGTGTTGACACTGACGATACATTCAACTTATAGCTCTATCGTTCAGCACGATATGGACAGCGGCAGACATCCAGTCGCAATGACAACATTACTGGAGAGGCAGTTGAACGATTGCGGTGCGTATTGTATTGATACAACCTTTATCCCTGGTTTGCGGTCGTTTACGTTGTCCGACCATCTCGTGCCATTGTAATCCTTACGATTATTCCTTTTCAATCATTTACACTACGTGTACTTGGGTACACCGTTTACTTTGTAATTCTTTTAGATTCTGGTACCCATTAGTGACTAATTCCACTCCCACCGACAGAGGCTCTCCTTTGCAGTTTGCAAGATTCGCTAGGGATTCTCTCTCCAGAGTTAATACCAATCCACGAACGCCTAGTCAACATTCGACGGCAGCTGGTCGCGCTTGCGGCAAAGGAGACCGCTAGAGAAGCCGCGGTTGCGAACGCATTCGTAGTTCAGATGCAGGAACCCGCGTGTATTCAAGGACCTGCATCCGAAGGAAGACGGACTCCGGACGGAGAGCCTGTAAACGGTAGTAACGGAGCTTCAGGAAGCGACAGAGAAATAAAGACGCCGACGAAGGAAAGCACGCCGAAGCCAGAAGGGCCGAAAGATAAAGAGCGGTCCAAAGTCAAAGCAGAGCTCAAGGGCATTCAGGAGGAGCTGCGCAAAATCGATTCGTTGAGTGCATCATTACCATCTTATACCAAGTTGCTTGGTGCTGATTGGCATAGCACTTATTTTTGTCATGCTCGCCGCTTGATTTTCGCGCTGCTGCCATATACACATCCTTATTCTGTGTCCCTCCACCTCACAATGTTATTGGCCATCCTCTTAATCCCTAATCAGGAAGCGTGTAGATGGCAAGTTCATGGGTCCAGGCGGAACGTTACCGGCGTCTCAAGCGATCTGCTCTTCTTTGCTGGAAGAGTGCTTTGAGATCGCGCAAGAGATCCGTGCACAGGACGATTCAAAACATGTCGCATCTTCTCTGAAGCCTATCTACGACAGGCTTAGCGAGATCCGGCGAGAGTTGGAAAGTCTTGTATGTCGGGACTTCTATTCTGTGCGCCATCATGTGGTTGATTAATTTCGTCAAAGGTCTTGACGCATCGATGGAGTCTGCGCGAGACGGATCTGTGGAATTACAGCCTCAGTTTGCAAGAAATTGACAAGATGAGGGTGGACGGAAAGTTCGTCGATGCAGAGGGAACTCGGCCAACGGGACAATATGTGGGTGTGTCCTTCCATAGCGAACGCGTGTCCTCACCTTCGTTCCAGGTTTTGTTGTACCTGCTCAGGCGATGTTATGGCTTGATTTACCGGCTGCTCTCATCCAGCGAGCCCGTGTCCGAAGAACTTATGCCGATCGTAAGTGATGGCGATCGCAGTCATGCCACACACCCATTTTCCCTCTTTTGACAGGCCAACAAACTCTCAACAGTCAAGAAGTGTCTGAATGAAGTGCTAAAATATGGCGGACCCTTCAGTCCACGAGATCTCTACCCTGTGCGTACTCGCTATCATGCATGACATTCTCACGGAGGGAGACAAGTTCCCGCTACCCCGATTATTGCGGCTTGAATACACGGGCATTGCAGGTACAGAGAGCTGACGAACGACACATTTTCAGTACCAGCTGGCACTGCATCAGATAGACTCGATGCGGAAGGACGGCAAGTTTATTGGCATCGACGGGTCGATACCAGAGGGGCAGGGGATCGTCATGGCGCATCTCAACGAATGCCACGAGCTGCTTGAGATGGTGAGCACTCCGTCTCACCTTGTCCCAGTCGGGCTGATCGGCGCGTCTCTGCAGTTGAAGCAGGCGATGGACGAGAATGACAATGAAGATGAGTATGTAACCGGTGACGAGGATGACTCTGTATTCGACGAACCGTCGGACGATGGTCAGGAATAAGATTCAGGACTACATTTTATAGAATGAATGGTTTTTGTGCTGTATGGATATTTTACTACGACGGGGCGAGTGTTCAGCCCGACTTTTCCTATGGTCACTGCAAATGTTGCTCGTGTTGCGATCAGGCGACATACAGGTATACGGGGAACGTTACTTCAGAAAGGCATCATAAACAACGCAGGCACATCCATCAATCTGGAGCGTCATTGCTGACAGGAAATCCAAGCTCACAACGACAAGAGAACAGATGACGACAATTCCACCCTATGTCATTCGCGCGGCACGAATAGGTAGTGTAGCAAGCAGAAAAAACCATCAAATCAGATTTTTAGTCATCGAGGCTAGCCTACTCTATGAGAATGAGGAGACGTGGTCCTCCACAACTTTCTTGATCTTTGCCTCAATCTCAGGTGTGATCTGGCCAGCCGAGATCTCCTGGAGGAGCGGGCCCTGCGTCGCAGTTAGGTGCGAGCGGAACTCAGCCTCCCAGCGGGTGATCTGGTCGACGGCGATCGGGTCAAGCTGTAAATGACGCAGTTAAGGCCTGTTGTCCCGATGACACGGATGAGTATACGTACGAGACCGTTTACGCCAGCGTAGATGATGGGGACCTGGATCTCCATCGCCATGGGCTGGTACTGGCCTTGCTCTGCAAAGAAACCGGTGTAAATCGAGGCGCATATATAGACGCCGGAGGTAACGTACTCAGAAGCTCGGTCAGACGGGCACCACGAGAGAGTAAGAAGCGCGTCGACGCGTCGAGATCAGAACCAAATTGAGCGAAGGCAGCGACTTCACGGTACTGCGCGAGATACAGCTTCAGCGAACCGGCAAACTTCTTCATGATCTTGCTGCAAGCGATATACCACGTGAGAAGACAATCACAATGTGATCACAGGGCAAATAAAACTGACGTCTGGGCAGCCGAACCGACACGAGACACTGACAAACCGACGTTGATGGCGGGGCGAACACCACGGAAGAAGAGCTCAGCTTCCAGGAAGATCTGGCCATCAGTGATGGAAATAACCTACGTAGGATGCGGTTTTAGGACACACGCATTCAGCGGAAGAAGAGGGGGGGAAAACTACGCACGTTCGTGGGAATGTACGCCGACACATCACCACCCTGGGTCTCAATAATGGGCAGCGCGGTAAGGGATCCTCCACCAAACTTTTCATTCATCTTGGCAGCACGCTCCAAGAGACGGGAGTGCAAGTAGAAGACATCACCAGGGTAAGCCTCACGACCGGGGGGACGGCGAAGAAGTAGCGACATTTGACGGTAGGCAACAGCCTGCTTAGATAAGTCATCATAAATGATGAGAGCTGAAGGATGGTTGAATGAGTATGGGGCTTGGCACAAGCTGCCAGATATTCTTACCGTGCTTGCTGTTATCACGGAACCATTCACCCATAGCACAACCAGAGAAAGGAGCGAGGTACTGGAGGGGAGCAGCCTCCGAAGCAGTAGCAGCAACGATGATAGTGTATTTCATAGCATCGTTCTCCTCCAGGGTCTGAACTAGCTGAGCGACAGTCGAACGCTTCTGGCCGATAGCGACGTAGACACAGTAGAGCTTCTTGTCCTCGTCCTGGCCATCGTTCCATCGCTTCTGGTTGAGGATGGTGTCGATGGCGACGGCAGTCTTACCAGTCTGACGGTCACCAATGATCAGCTCACGCTGGCCACGGCCGATAGGGACCATAGCGTCGATGGGCTTGATACCGGTCATCATGGGCTGATTAACCGAGCGACGGGGCAAAATACCGGGGGCTTTGAGGGAGGCACGGCTGCGCTGGGTAGCCTTGACGGGACCCTTACCATCAATGGGGTTACCGAGAGCGTCGACGACACGGCCCAGCAGTTCGGGACCAACTGGAACGTCGACAATTTGGCCGGTACGCTTGACCGTGTCGCCCTCCTTGATAGCGCGATCGTTACCAAAGATGGAGACACCGACGTTGTCGGCTTCCAAATTCAGGCACATGCCGCGGACGCCGGAAGAGAATTCCACCATTTCCTCGGCTAGAATGGTTGAGTGGACGTATGAAAACACGAGTGAGTGAGAGGGTACTCTTCCACATACCCTGGACGTTTCTCAGACCCCAGACACGTGCGATACCGTCACCGACACCTGGAGGACACCAGTTTCAGTCCCTCTTGTCCTGTGGAGCAACGGAAACGGAAAGAACTTACTCAGAACGCGTCCAGTCTCCTCAACATTCGCGCCCACAGACGAGCCAGCTATGCGGGACTCGAGAATGGAAGATACCTCGGACGCAGCTGTGACGTGTCACATAGCAAGGCGACATCATCATACGGGGGAGAAGAGAGAAAAAATATGAGATGCAATGAGTCTTCACGTGTAGACTCCTCGGCACTTACCAGCTTTCGCGGTTGCATATGAGCGAGAGACTGCAGGAGCAACGCGAACAGCGCTCTAAATTTTGCAAAGTCACCAATAATTCGCATACGAAGATAGAACGGTTGGCAAAAGAACGAAGTAACCTACCCTGGGCGCGGCCAGCGCAGCTGCGCGGAGGGAGTTTCTGAGGGCGACCCTGTGCATCGAGGAAGGAGGGAAAGTGGAGTACACGAAAGAATCAACGGTCGGTGCGTAGGGCTTTTTCGGAAGCCGGCGTCCCTCCGTTACATAATCCCGAGTTCGTACTCCGCCCCAATTGCCTTCCTCGGCTCTCCTCCGTTTGTGTCCGCTTCTCAGCTGCTCGTAACAAAGTCATAAAATTGAAACATGTGCGTAAAGATGTACATGTACATCGGCGACAAGCGTGCAGACTCTACTATTGTCCAAGATCTTGGCGAGTTGTGATACTTCGGAACTCTACATATCATGTCCGCAAAAACCGAGGTTAACCACACGTCCCGCCGGAGCTGCCATTGGCGCGCAATGCATCGCCTTGTGGACAGCTTCACGACGTGAGGACAGTGCAGCCAGTCTGGAAAGTGGTCTTCAGTTTTCGCTGGCAGCTGTGCTGTAGAAATACGCACCGTCAACTTCTTGTGCGGACGCTGGGCTCGACTTTGGACCAGTGCCAGTATGTGCTAATGGTGCTCAGGCTATCGCCGAGTAATATTTGCACTGAGTCGTCCAACAAGTGAATCGAGCGCCGTGTGAGTGTAGCCAAAAGAGACTACACTCAGGCGCTCAAGATTCATCGTAGAGAGTAGAGCAGAAGCACAATGTCGAGCCTAGGATGGTAGAGCCAAGCAGAACGCCAGGGGATCGCAGGTCAAGCCGAAGGAAAGAAAAGAAACAAATAGCACCATTCGCCGACGCTATAGGGATGTTCCGTCAGCTGAAGCCTGTCACTCGTCTGAGAGAACACTCACTGGGCAAACCGATGCTTGAAAAAGAGAATTATAAGACCGGAGGAGCCGGAGTTCATAGGAAGTTCCAGTACGCCGGGAAGATAGAAGACAAAGCCAAGGCACAAGCAAAAGTAGTCCGACAGCTGGATAGGGCGAGCAAGTTCGTGGGCATATCAGTCGAGCGCTGAGAGCCGGGTGGACTTCAGGGCCGTGACGGCGGGGTGATCGTAAAGAAAGGCGACATCTAGGCGATGCGAGTGCTTCCTCGGGTAGTTGCTTCAGAGCCGCCAGAGCCGAGCAAAGAGCCAATGCGTACGGAGGAAAGACCACAGTTGGCTGTTGGAGCGATGCCGCGCTCCCTGCAAAGCTCGCCAGATCGCTGTTGCGAATGGTGTGGTGATTCCATGTAAGCATGTAAGCACGTAAAGAGCGTGACCAGCTGACTGTTGCGGATAGTGCTGCGCAGATTCTGAGGAGAAGATACCAGTTCACCGTGGCGGATAGTGCTGTGCGCTAGAAGGTCGTAGAGCAGAAGACCAGTTGATTGTTGTGGATGGTACCGCGCATTCGCTCAGAAGGCCGAGCACGACAGAAGTAACGACAGACGACAGTTAGATCCAAGTATCGCAAAGCTGAATACAAACTTGGGGTCAGAATTGAGCAGCACCGGTCGAAAGCGATCACATACCGGCAATGATAGGTAGTCGGCATCGCGCACACCAGCGAGTTGGCGTGTGAACGTTGACCAGATCGCTGGGCCGGGAAAGAGAGGCGACAGTCAGGTGCCCAGAATGTTACCATTAGGACGTCGATCGGAAGCTCAGAACTGAGGGGGCAAAGTTCGGGAGTGCAGATGCTGGGTGATGCAGAACAGATGACTGCTAATAGTCACAACGCCGCAAAAGCTGCACGTACGTTAGTCAACAACAAAGCATATCTCTCCCAGAGTAAACCGTACCGGGAAAGGAAGGGCTTTCGCTGCGACCGATGTCGCGAATGTGCTGCTCGAGAGCAGGAAGCGGCGAGAAGCCAAGGACGAGACGGAACCAACAGGACAGATGACACCTGAAGGTTGTGCACGTCGTCGCTGTGCAAGGCAGAAAACAACAATTCCGAGCGATGTCTTGGGTGGACAGCTCGTGGAGAGAGAAAGGTTTTGAATAACGTCAGAACAGACGACAGTCATCGCCAACGCCGCGAAAGCTGCGTCGTCTTTGATCAACCACTGGCCGAATTCTACTGAGAAGAGGACTTACCGGAAAAGGCCGGCATTGTGACCGATGTCGCAAGGATACTGCTCCAGGGAGGGCAGTGGAAAGCCGAGAATACTACAGAACCATCAAGACAGGTGACACTTGAAGATTGTGAACATTGCCACTGCGTAGGGCTCGGAAGTGTGGAACAGTTGAAGCCTGAGGCCCCGCGAATACAGGTGGCAGCTGTGAGCCATGCCGCCGGTGTGGTGCTCGTGAACAGAGCAAAAATTCGTCGACACATCAGAGCAGAGGACAGTCAATGTTACCGACGCCGCAAAGCTGCGCTATTCTTTGTCAATGATTATGAGACTCTCCTTTGAGAAATGGACACACCAGTGAGGGGGTGGAGAGGGTGCCAAGGAAGCGACGGAACGATCTAGAAGCCAATCCGAGTCGTGTGCGTCGCCGCAAAACAAGGCACCCTAGTTAATGGGAAAGGAGGAAATCGTCGAGACAGACGATAGTTGGCTGCGGGCAGTGCCGCGGGTATATTGCTCGAAAGCTAGAAGGAGTGGGGGCCAAGGATGCGACGGAACCTTCGAGACAGGTGGTACTCGAAAGCTCGAAACCTCGCGTCGGCACGGCCCGGGTGTATTGCTCGAACGCTGGAGGAGTAGGGGAGCCGAGGATGCGCTGCAACGATCAAGATCTGGAAGTTGCGAAACGTCGCCGCAGAACACGGCTGGAGAGTGGGAAGTGAAAGCTTCACAGAAAACAAAAGCTGTAAAGACCGTGCTGCAGATACCACGGGATCTAACGAGTGACCATTAGACTCAGTGCTCTACTCCTGGAGAATATACCACGCACCGTGTGTAAAATGGGAGTCTTCGAAATGACATAGTAAAGACGGACGACAGTTGGTTGTTGCGAGAGATGTCGCGGGTATACTTCTCGAAAGCTGGGGTGAGGCCAAGGATGAGCCGGAAATTTCAAGAAAGGGGGCATTAGAAAGTTGCGAACGTTGCCGCGGGACATGGCACTGAAGACAGGCGTTCGTCAAGATACACGGTAGCCTGCCGTCTCGAAAGCTGGGGGACCTCAGCCAAGGACGGGACGACAGCTGGAAACGCGCACGTTGCCACGTGACATGGCTCGGGGGTTGGGAAATTGCACAAACGGACGATCGAAAACTAGGAATAGCAAAAATCTTCGGAAAGTCCGATCAATCATGGGTCCCACTGCTGAGCAAGGAGAGGATGCTCACTTACCATGGAAAAGCGCGCGTACCGATCGTAAAGCCATAAAGAATCTTTTTTTGTGATTTCACAGTTTTCTGCTTTTGTCTGGCGTTTTTGTGATTTTGTGTTCGAAAGCGAATTGAGAGCCGATCGAGAGCGAAAGCCGAAGACGAAATCATAGCGATATGTGGTTTTCTGTTTTCAGTGAGAACCGGAAACCAAAAGCGAACCGAAAGCAATTTGAGAACGAAATCCAAGTTTGGAGTATGAGGACTAGAGTCAAGACCAGTCGGAGAAGATATATGACGGTCTGGTGTTGCGAACGATGAGGCGGATATGGGGATAGACAATGATGGCGACGAGTCGAAGACGATGCAAGAGGAGGATTTGCGGTGATTGTGGGTGGACGTTAAGCAGGTGTTACGAGAGAACGGACGTGAGCGCGTTGGAGGGTGGGTAGTCAGCATGTGATCTACTTGCGACCCCAGCGCATGAAGAGCTTGCGAAGCGATTCCTTGAATCCCGGCGAGGTGCTTACCGAATCCACAGTCCAGTCAGACCAAGCCGACCGCAGACCAGTGAAACTGCAAGAAGAGCTAGTAGAGCTAGAGGAAGTAGAAGACACGTCCCAGCTCGGGCGGGACGCCTCGTAGTCCTCCGCGAATGGCTCGGTGAACGACGCATGAAGATCTGCCTGTGGTGGACAGGAAGACATTGGTCCGAGCTTCTCCATCTTCTGAGGCGCTCTAATGGCAGGCTCAAGGAACGACTGCACGACATAGGACACCCCGTCTTCAACAGGAAGAATCTTTCCCGAGGTAGCACACGGGTCAATCTGCACCTCGAGGGTCGGGAGGATGCCGGAAACCTCCATGTGTTCGGAATCGGTCTTCTGCCAAGCCTTGGGTGAGATCACACCAAAACGGTGTTCAGCTCGGAAAATGGCAGTTGCTTGAAAAGCGGGGATGAATTGTACCTCGGGCATACAATCGGAGCCGATCTTCTGCAATGGCTTAGGCGAGACCATACCATAGCGGCGTTCAGCGCGGGAGGTGGGAGTCATTTTCGAAGCGAGCGCGAGCAGGGCTGCCGGTGTACCATCGGAGTCGGCCTTCTGCAACGTCCTGGGTGAGACCATACCATAGCGGCGTTCAGCGCGGGGGGTAGCAATGGCTTTAACAGCTGGCGCGGACCGTGCTTCAGGGGGAGACTAAAACAAGCCATGAGTTCACAAGGATCTCAGCAGATGCAGACGATCATGCAAACATACCGTGGTACCAGTGCCCACATGCGCCTCAAGCTCATACTCCACCTCCGCCTCCTCAGCAATCTCCTCCAAAACCTCCGCCATCATTACAGGGCCATCATAACTGCGCTTCATCTTCGACATCAAGCGCTCACTAGACTGCTCGTGCAGCCGCCACACCGCGGGAAAGGAGGTATCCTTGTTGACCTTGGAGGCAACATTAACGATTGGAACCGGTGCTGCCACAGGACTAGGGAAAATGTTAGACGAGGTATCAAAATGGATATCGACGAATGAAACGTACGCATCGTGACCAACCGGAGGCCAATACTCGACGACAGCGCTCTGCTCATTCACCAGGAGGTCAGGTGAGATATACTCAACCGTAGAAGGCTGCACAAGACGAGCATTGCGTACAGATTTGATGCTTGCCGACACGGGCGCATGTTCGAAGGCCTTCAGGACTGCGTTCCCGATGTCACCATCGACCACGATGGGCTTCACTGGGACCATGGTCCCGCCTGCATTACCAATATCATTGTCATCCTTCTGCCCAAGCTTCTCATCGTCAGCAGAAAAAGCAGCATTGGAGAACAAGCGGCTGCCAATGACGTGTTAAGTTCGCGAGTCAGGAGCGGGACAGAATGTGAGGAGTAACACGTACTTCAGAGCAAGAACGTCTTCGATCAAGCCCGCGGTGACACGGGGCCCAGCTGGAAGAGGCCTACAAAGGGGCAACATTGTCTGAGCAAGGATGTAATCTACTAAAGATGGAGACATATACTTCTCAGCCGGCGACTTAGTGACGAGTCTTGCGGGGGAAGAAACCGTTCCTGCATGAACGGGAGGCGAAGTCTTCATAATCGTCGTCGCCGACTTGCCGGTCTCCGAAGGGCTCTCCTCCTCTGCCAGACCGCCTAATGTCGGCTTGAATGCGCGCGAAGGCTTCGCCTCCACCTTGACAGGAGGAGAGGGAGCGACACTACGCGATCGAAGGGGCTTGACAAAGCGCGAACCATTGACGGATCTGGGAGGCTTCTTCTCCGCGTTGACCTTCTTCTTCGTCGTGACAGCCTTGGGCGTCTCAAAGCCATACGTCCACTCTGGAACGGTCAAGTAGTTCTCCTTGCCGACCTTGCGCTTGGGGAAAGGAGGTGGGGGTTTCTTTGCGGCGACGGAGACAGGACGACACTTCGCAGTCTCCAGACCGTCGACCTTCTGCGACTTCGCCTTCAGAGCGGTGGGTGAAGCGGTGTTCTCCACTACAGCGTCAACTACAGCGTGGGTAATCGTCATGTTAGCCCCTCTTCAGCGCAGCACAAGAACGAGATGACTGACCAGTAATATGAATGTCACCAACATCTTCTTCCACAACTGCAACAACAACAGGTTCTGCACCCTCATCCTTCGCAACCGCCTCCTCCTTGTCCGAGGCAGTAGCCGCTTTCGACAAGACCTTTGCCGGCGGGCTACCCGCTCGAACGGGCTTGGGCTGACAAATAGCAGTGCGCCGCACTGGAGTACCGAAAGCCCCAGGCAAGGAAGTGCGGTTCACAGAAGCTTTGGTCGGCTTTGCAAAGGACGCTCGAGCAGTGGTGGAGGGAGGCGAACGAGGTACAGAAACTGGGGCAGTAGGCGACATCTTGGAATAAATCGGAAGAGAAGAAGCACGTTTCATCTAGGCGAATACTTCAGTTCAAGCGTGAAACACCGCAGTAGTGAAGGGCACTCACGGTAGAAACATAACCAACAGAAGCCTTCGCTACATGCGAGCCAGCGACCTTCGGATTCGACAGTCCAGGAGTTGACAACTTAGTTCCTCCTGCAGGCAGCGCCGCCTTCTTGTCTACATCGACGGGTCTCTTCGAGATCGACGAAGAAACGGAGACCGGTGTAGACGTCGACCGCGCATGACCAATCGAAGGATGAATGGTAGTAGCACCAGGCTTCATCTTGACGGCAGTGTTACGAGGGGGAGGCGACGCAATCTTAGAGACAATAGACATGGCTTCTTGATGACGAGGTTGAAGGCCGGGTCGACGAGATGCTTGAAGTGGACGTAGAGAGCTGGTCTGCAATGGACAGTTGAGGGGATTTATGAGCACCGGTTGTGCCTTTGACCAAGCTGACATTTCATGTTAGGCCGCATAGAACACACCACGTTACAGCATTCGAGTAAGATCGTGAAGTAGTCGGTATCAAAATACGCTTCAGAAACGAAATTTTCGTTTCTGAAGCGTATTTTGATACTGACCTCACCATAATCATGTAGCGTACATGCACAAAATTTAGGGGTCCAGCATTTCCGGCATCCACCACTTGTACAAGGCTTCCCAGTACAAATAGTCGATGCTGGACCCATTATTCCTTCCGGAACCTGAAGCTAATCGAGGCGGTGATCGACATTGGTCGCAAATCCGATGCTCTCGGATGTTTAACCAATGTCGGTCATGGTCCATATGCTCTCGGATTTTCAACCAATGTCGGTCATGGTCCATAGATTCTCCTTGAGCTTGGGCAGCGAGACCATCCTCTCGTGCTCTAAATGAGCGTTCGACCACAAGTGGGTACCTGTGCAAGATGTGATCAGCGTAATCGGTTTCGTAGAGAAGGATGTCTGAACTAGGCTCATAAATACAGCCTCTACCTGCAGGAAGACAGTCGTTCCGTTGTAATAGATGTCTGAACAACCATTTGGGAGATGAAGTGCTCCTTAGAAGTGAGTACGCTGCATGGACTAAGGGAACCCTAACGGTCTACATGTACGACGGATCATGATGAGGGTGAGTAGATGCGTGCTTGAAGGGATATCGTGTACTACGTTGGCAAGCACGCAGCCCATTCAAGTTGAAAGCGTCACCATGAGCGAACTCAGCTGTGGCAGTAGTTCACGGCCAGACGGTGGCTAGATCTGTGAATCGATATCTCGGAGATGGTAGTGAGCGCTTGTGGGTTTCTCTGAGATTTATTTTCGCTAACCTCGGTTTTACATTCCGGTATCTGCTGCCAGAGCTCCTTGCGAGGTCGTTCCTACTCATCGTCCACTCTAAGCGATGAACGTCTGGGTGAGTATTGTAGCGTGCAGGCCGAGTCATTGGCTGACCCTTGTTGAAGACTGAACACCGTAACCCTGAGGGTCGGACCTATTGGTTCAACACAGGCACCAGAGAAAGTGTCTGGGAGAAACCAGATGGTACGTGTACCGTAACTTGTTCTCCGCGCACACTCTTGACTTTTTTCGTAGACCTAAAGACTCCGTTCGAGGTGCGTGTTATGCTCAAAGTTAAGCCATAACGTCGTGCTCACTAGCGACGTGTAGCGTGCCCTAAATCAGACAAAATGGAAGGAGTATTTCTCTGGCGGAAGGAAGTACTACTACAATGTACGCGCTCCATTTACCGTTTCGTACAGAGAACCGCACCTAAATACACCTGCAGACCGATTCGAAGGAGTCAAAATGGGACATGCCCGACGAGCTGCTCCTGCTGCTCGAAAAAGTCGAGAAGGAAGCCAAGGCACAGCAATCCGCCGCTCTCGCGTATGTACACCCTGGTGGCCTCCTCTCCCAGCGTTCCCGCTGACCTGTTTTCGTCGCAGACCGAACCGCCTAACAGCGCCCGCGTTCACGTCGGGGGGTAACCTCCCTGCTGCAATCCAAGGTGCACCTGGCTCTCTGGGCGGAACTGACACATCCTCATCCGCACCCGGTTCGCAGCCACAGACCAATGGCCACACCGCCGCCGAGCTCGCCGTCGGGCACCACACCGGCGGCTTGCCCTTCCAGTCATCCAGCATCCTCCCGGCACGACCGAACCTCCCAGACGACCCAGTGATCCCGCACAACGGGTTCCAGACGGTCGAGGAGGGTGAGAAGGCGTTCGTTCACCTCCTGCGCAAGGCCGGCGTCGACGCGCGCTGGACGTGGGACCAGACGATGCGTGCCATCATCACGGACCCTCTGTACAAGGCACTAAACACTCTTGCTGAGAAGAAGGCGGTCTATCAGAAGGTGGGTGCGTTCGTTGTACCCTTCATACAATGGCTGATACGGGATTCAGTACACGGAGGATCTACTGGCAAAAGAGGTCGAAGAGCGTGAGGCGCGTCTCGCAAAGTCACGGCCAGCCATCCGGAACATGCTGAGGGGCAATCCGAGCGTCTTCCACTACACGACGTTCGCGACGGCCGATAAGCTCTTCTCACAGCACCCTATCTGGCAGATGGCCAAGATCGAGGCCGAGCGGAAGCTCATCTTCGAGGAGTACGTCGCCGAGCTGAAGCAGCGTGAAGTGGTGCGCCCCCATCCGTCGTTTGTGTCTCCTATTTCTGCCTGCTCACCGCGACGAACTGCAGCAAGAGAGCCGCGCCTCTCGCGCGCGCAGCGTCTCAAAGATTGTTGCGCTCTTCAAGCGCCTAGACGTCGACGTTACGACGCGCTGGCGCCAGGCGTACAACCTCGTTCTCGACTCGGACGAGTGGCGCGACGACGAGGAGCTGCAGAAGCTGCCCACGCTCGACATCCTGCTCGCGTTCGAGGACTACAGCCGCGTCCGCGAGCGCGAGTTTGAGGAGCAGATGCGCAAGATGCAGGTCGAGAAGACGCGCAGGGAGCGCAAGGCGCGCGAGGCATTCAAGGTGCGCCGCCCAGTGCCATCATGCACTTCACGCACCTCTGGCTGACTCGATATCACCCGCGGTAGGCATTGCTGCAGAGCTTGGTGGATTCTGGGAAGCTCAAGGCGCGGACCAAGTGGAAGGAGGTGTACCCACTCTTAGCAAACGACATTCGCTACCTCGACATGCTCGGGAAACCCGGCTCCAACCCCATTGAGCTCTTCTGGGACACCGTCGACGCGCTCGACCAGGAGCTCGACGCCAAACTCGCCGTCGCGGAAGACGCTATCCGGCGGCACAACAAGAAGCTCGAAGCTCAAGCCTCTGGTGCAGAGAAGACGGAAGGCACAGATGCGAAGAAGGGGGAGCGTGCAGTGCCACTTTTCAAGGTTGTCTCTGAGACTACCGAGGAAGAATTCATGGCTGTCATCAAGGCCGAAGCGGATGACGCAGTGCGCGCGTTGAAGACGGGCGAGCTGCTGCAGATATTCCGTACGGTGAGTACCTCTGTCGCGCCGGTCGCTTGAGAGGGTTACCTAAGCGGGCATCCCCTTTACAGCTACACGAACAAGCGGTGAAGCAAGAGGCAGACGAAAGGCGCCGTGCTGAACGGAGACAGCGCCATCTGCAGGACGATCTCCGTTACGCACTCAAGAAGTTCCCCGAACCCATTGACATCAGCCTGCCTTACGAAGAGGTAATTCTTTAAAGTGTGCTGCGGATTTCGCGGACAGCTCATAACTTTTGAAACCTATCTCAGGTCGTGCCGTTGATCCAAGAATTGCCCGAGTTCAAAGCGCTCGATGACGACGAAGGACGGAGGGCCTCTTTCGCGAAGTTCGTCAAAAGACAGAAGGTGCGTGCGGCTGCAACTATCCTTTGGCCGTCCTGATCTGAACGGACTTGACGGACGTATCTTAGGAACGCCTCCGCGAGCGCGAGCGCGAAGTATCGGAGGACGGTGGCTCGGCTACGAGTCGGAAGCGAAGAGAGGCGCGCGAAGATCGCGAACGTGAACGCGAGCATGATCGTGATCGTGATCGCGACCGGGAACGGGAGCGTGAGCGTGAGTACCGCGAGCGCGATGTGGAACATATCGACCGAGACAGTCGCAGCTCGCGGCATGCACGCCCACAGGAGGAATATGAGGCACACGGACATCGATCCTCGCGAGACTACCCCCGCGAGCGCGAGTACTCGAAAGAGAAGGCATACTATGGGCGGGAGAAGGAAAGGGAGAAGGAGAGCGTGAAGGAGCGGGACTATGCTTACAGGTCAAAATCCCATCGCGATCACGACCGGGATGACAGGAGACGTGATAGGAGAGGCTCCAGGGGAGCTTTAGATGGGCTCGGGGGCAGAGAGTGGGACGAGGGCTCTGCGTACGGTCATGAAGCTCCACCATTCCGCGAGGAGAGGGAGCGGAGTGCCTCGGTGTTTCGCGAAGAGCCCAGAGAGAAGAGAGATCGTGCGGCATATGAGGAGAAACCTTTCGAGGAGAGAGCAGAGAAGGTGTGTACACTTCCGGTTTTTGAGATTGCACCAGGAGGATTCTGACTTCACGCCATCGCAGAGGGCACGTTACAGCATACCCCCCGAAGCACCACAGGAGGAAATCAAGGTCAAGCAAGAGCCTCCTCCGCGTGCAGAGACGCCAGAGGAGGGCGAGATATGATTCTTAGGCTAGTAGCACGCCGTAGGGATATGTCTGTCTGCATGATGGGGGAATAATTACTGATTACTGGTCTGTAATGTCAATGGGACCGATCCTGAGACGAGTGTACGTCTGCTTATGCGTGATGGTCTTTTGGTAGCCCTTTCTCCGCTTCTTCTTGAATATTACCTCCATCTTTCCCTTCGTATGCTCCACCACGGTCGCGGCGACCTTGACCTTTTCGGGGGGGATGACGGGGTTGCCGCGCATAGTGTACTCGCGCGAGCCTACTTCGTGGATCTCGGAGAGGGCGAGGACGTCGCCGACACGTACGTCCTTGAGGCGGGGGACGGTGAGGAGGTCGCGGGGTGCGAGGAGGTATTTGCGGCCTGCGACGGAGGCGACGACGTATTGGGAGGGCTGAGAGCGGATGAGGGAAAGTGCGGAGGGTGCTGAGGTACGTGGTAGGACTGTGTCCGTGTGCAGAGCTCGTCGTGCGACCACGCGGAGCGACACAGCTGCTGCAGGGAGCTCAAACACGCAAAAATGGGGAGAGAGATAGTACTCACGTCTAAAAAGACTGGCCATCGCGGACAGCGAGGACAGCGACATGGACGGCGACGATGACCACAGCCGCTGCCCTGGCAGCTTTGCGCCGGCGGGCGCTTACGAAATGCGTGAGAATGTCTTTGATTTCGGACTTTACAAATGACTTTACTCTCCTTCCAGCACCGTATCTTATTGAATATATTCTGTGGCTTTACGTATACCCTCTCTAGCTAAGTATACGCTCAGTACAAAGTTGGTACCTGCAGTTTGCATCGACCATCGACGTGAATACCGCGTCGTGGTTATATTCCTCGGCGCAATATTCCATGCCGGGTCGGACTACTACTACTTAATACGCTACTTCCTAGGATCTTCAGTACATCACTGAATTCGCGTTTACAGCTAGTAGCCGTAATAATGGCGGCCGTTGCCACTGAGGTATTGCAGGGTTCACTCTAGGGTCACTGTGCGGTGAATACAGGTCGTCTCCGCCTGTGATGATTAGTTAGTTGTAAAGGCACTACATCTGACAATCATCCCAAGTGGTCCTGTCTGTCTATTTGCTACGAGTTGGGTGAGACTTGTCTGTGGGTGTTGCTACTCTGTTTTAGTATTTTTCCTGATGGTTTCTCGATCCACTGTGTCAAACCTGCTTGTCGTATGGATTTTCCTCCATCTGCCGTCGCGTTCCCTCGAGTCGTTCTGCATGTGACTTCGACCGAGGTCCTCAAATTGACGCAAGGTAAAGTGTGATGACGGCAAGGAGAACTTGAACGAAATCAATTGCGAACGACATAGGAAAGACGGCGAAATACTATACAATCAGACGACGCTAAAGCCTACAGCCCCTCGAAGAACGACAAATCCTGCGCCGACAACCCACTGCTCTTCACAGCCGTCTGAGCCGCAGAGGCAGATGTAGACGGGTGCACTGGAGCCGAAAACAAATCCGGCACCCCACCGCCCAACGGCGTCCCCGTCCTCGGCACCGCCTCGAATGCGCCCCACCCCTGCAACGACTGCGACTGCGACAGCCGCGTAGGCACAAAGGGGGTGCTCCCTGCGCCGCTGCTGGGGCGCACCGGGTTGAACAGCGCAGGCGACGACAGCGACACTGACATCGGTATCGCGGGAATCACGGGGACAGCGCTGGCCGCGAGCGGTTGCGGCTGCGCGAGTGCAGGCTCGGGCGCGTCGTCGCCGTCGTCACCCATTAGGTCCACGAGCGGCTGCACTGATGACGCTGATGCCGATGGGGGCGGCTTGGGGAAGTGCAGCGCGGTTGGTAACGGTGACGGGGGGGCGGGCCAGCGCCCGGGCCGCGCGGCGGCGCGCTCCATCAGCTCGAGCGTGTGCTGCACCTCCTCGGCACGGCTACGCTTGCGCGCATGTGAGGGGCTGTCGGGGCTCCTTCCCCGTGGCTTGAGTATGAGCGAGGGCGTCGACGACTTTGACGGAGGCCGAGGCGGTGAGGGAGACCGCAGCACGGGAGAGAGGCCGCCCGCAACGTCAAAACCCGCGGACTTGTGTGGGGCGAGGAACGCCTTCTCGGATGTGGAAGTGTTGAATGAGGAGAAGGATGAAGGCGAGTCGAAGGACTTGGATGACGTGGGCTGGAGGGAGGACGGGAGCGCGGATGCGGGGACGGAGGAGTTGAAGTCGGAAAAATTGTCGTTGTCGTCAAATAGCGGAATGGAGGAGCGGAGAGACGACAACGACAATGCTGGTGGTGGGGGCTGCTTCGAGGACGATGCGATAGATAAATTAGACCGGGTCGAGGATGCTGCTGGTATGGCGGATGGGCTTTGGGCGCGCTGCGGGAGAGGGAGAGTTGCAGGGGCCGGGATTGGGGAGGAGTGGAACTCCGAGAAATCATCGTCATCCAGCACATTCACGAACGGAGAAACAGGTTTCGATGCTGCTGAGGATGCTCGTGGCGGTGGAGGCAGTGTGGGAGTGAACGCAGTAGTCGCGGGTGCCTGGGAACACGATGAGGGCGGAGGAGGCAGGATGAACGACGATGATGATGACGACGAGGCTTTGACCACGGTCGCATTGGTGCCGTTCGTCAGTGAGTTTACACGCATGGCCATAGGGTACAACTCTGCGAGAGGTCGAGCAGACGACGGCGTGCTCGGAGACTCCGAAGACGTGGACGCTAAAGACGACGTATTCGCCTGAGGCTGTGTCGAGGAGCGATGGGCCCTGAGGGGAGAAGGGAGCCTCGGCCACGATAGCCTAGGTTTCACAGTCGACGACCTGCCGAGCTCTGGAGTTGGATGAACAGGCGCGGTGCTTGGGGCAGGGAAGCTGGGGGTTTGAGCGCGAGAGGACGGCGGAGACGGGAGATAAAATGGTGTCGCGGCTTGTTTCTCCACGATCGGGCTGTTACTGGAAGATAGCGGATATGGACTCAGCGGCCTGGATTCGAGCTGAGAAGCAGTGAGCGGAGATGGGGGCACGGGTGTGACCAACCCGGCAGGGAACGTGGGCTGGAGAGTGGCGCTGAGCGAGACCGAAGATGCGCGCGATCCGGGTTTGGAACCCCCGGCGTCAAGCGACGTGAAGAACGAATCCAAGCTGTTCAGCTGTGCGTCCGGGATCTGGGGGAGGATGGTAGTTGGCTCCGTGCTACTCGTCAGTTCATGAACAGGACTCCCATTTGTGCCCATTGACTGCACTCGAGGAGGGGGTGGCAACGGCGGTGGGGGCAGTACGGGTGGCAACGGTTCCGGCTTGACTGAACTCGCCAAAGAGCTAATTGGTACGTGATCACTCTCGTCATTGGCGCTCGGGATATCAGACAGGAACTCAAGATCATCGGGCGAGAGCGCCAACGAGCTATGGACACCGATGCTCCCGTGAGAGCTCTGGTGGCGAGAGAACCTACCGAAGAAGCGCGACACTGCGGACGGGGCTGCAGGTGGCGACTGTGTCCGCGGAGGTTCAGACGGTGGTTCAGGTGCGTTTGAATAGGAGCCCATCTGCGGAGGTGATACAGGAGAAATAACAGTAGGTGTGAGGGGCAATGGCGAAGGAGTTGGTGATTTGGTGGCTGAAACGGGAGATGAGACCTTATCGACGCTCGTCCTTCCAGCAGACCCGATGCTGTTGTGACTGGGACTTCTGACATGAGCAGTATTATCGAAGAACGGACTTTCTGACCCCTCTGGATGCGCATGGTCAGTTGGCGATGTGGTGGACAACGTCGACCGTGCAGGGGAAGCGCCCGATTGTCGCCGTGACCAGAAAGAGAACAAGCGGCTGCCGTGTTTCTTTGCCTGAGTAGAGTCAACTGCCTCAGATGTTGAGAGCTGCTTCTCCAAGATACGCCAACCAACGGGCACATCGTCTTCGACTGCCTCTTTCCGCTCCTTGACCGCAACTTCCCATGCAGTAGAACCACGCGCGGCGAGGTAGTGGGACATCGGGCTGCCCTTTGTTAAAGGGAGGTGCTTGGTCAAACGTACAGAATTCGCCATCTTCCTCGCAATGCTCGACTTTCCGAACTGCCCGGCCGGCTGCAGTGTAAGCGGCGGAAGGAGAGATTGTAGAAAGGAATCACTGCATCGACGGAAGGAACAACGTATGCAATATTTTAGACCGCGTATTCAACAGGGAACTGCGCTTTGCACTCACAGACCTTCCACACCATCCAATGTACTTCGCCAATCATTCCTCCAAGCATCCTTGCCCGTCGCCGATAACTTCTCTCCTTCTGGCCAGACCTCGATGCAAAACTCATTACACTGCTGTAGCATAGATGCTACTACTTCTGGTGGCTGCAAGACGCGGTTTGGTCACCTATGTGCGCAGCGGGACATGATGGCACTAGCTTACAACTCTGCGATCCTGCCTTGCCTTCTGCTTCTTGGCTTCCTCCCATTCGTCCACCTGCGCAGACTTGTTCTCTGCCTGGTCCCGGTCCGTATTCGCCCACGCTGAGCCCCATGCATCTGCTCCTACCTCTTCCGAGTCAAAATCATGCGGAGAATGATCTTCTGCAGTTGAGATAAATGCAGACTCAAAACTTCCGAAGGCGTCCGAACTGTCTGGCAAGGATGCTATAGGAAGAGACGGAGAGAGTACAGAAGACGAAGACTCCGCATGCAAGGCCGAGCTAGGCGGAGAAGATATCTCCTCGGGAGCATGCAAGTGAAGCGACTGAGGTGCAGACCCGACGACAGTTTCTGCCTCGTCGTCAACAGGCTGCGACGGCGCGTCTACCGGAAGCGGAGACTTGATATCAATGCCCTCGTAAGTGCTCGCGCCCCAAGCCAGATCCGAATCAGCCTGAGACCACGAGAAACCGGAAACTTCAGAAGGCTCGTTCCATTGTGTACCAGCACCGGTCGACCACGACGGTGCCGCTAGGTCTGCCTCCTCGTCATGAACAGTAGGCAGCGGAAGCTTCGGGGAAACCCAAGACGACGTCGAGCGGTCGAGCGGGAGCTTTGGCTTCGAAGTAGACGAATCTTGAGTGTCGCTCCAAGCATTGATGTACAAGTCATCCATGGACAAGCGTCCGAGTGCGTTGACATACGTTTTGTACTGAGCAGAGAGTGCGGTTGAGGAGAGCGTCGGGCACACAAGCCGGAGAGGACCCCCTAATACCGCACTCTCGAAAAATAGCGAAACGTCGAGGTGAGAATGGGTCACTAGTCAAGTTCAATTGGTATCCAACAAATTGTGGATGATATACCAAAATTGAAAGACTTTTCGACTTGCCGAGGACACTCAAAGCATCGAGTGCAATGCTCGTAGCAAGAACCACCGTCAAACCATAATGACAATTGTATGCGTGACTATGTCACGGCTTGTCACGTCAATGTGACTTTTCGACCGCCTGTGCTCGACGCTGCCTCCAACTTGCAACGCCCATTGACGCCAAAATGAAGCTCGTAAGGTGAGTATTCATGTCATGTCCCTCTCTTCGTGTACTCCATCTTGTTTTCAGCGTGGTCTGACCTCTTCCCTTTCCGTCCCCAGATTTTTGATGAAACTTAATAATGAGACGGTCACCGTCGAACTGAAGAACGGTTCCGTCGTGCATGGCACCATCACCGGTACGCAGAATTGCCAGTGTGTTCGTCAAATTTGGCTCATGTTGTGATCTGCCAGGGGTTGACATGCAGATGAACACACATCTCAAGACCGTCAAAATGACCGCCCGCAACCGTGACCCCACATCTCTCGACTCCCTCTCCATTCGCGGCAACAACATCCGGTACTTCGTCCTGCCTGATGCTCTTCCTCTTGACACACTCCTGGTCGACGACGCACCTAAGCCTAAGAACAGGAAAAAGGATGATGCACGAGGTCGTGGGCGTGGTAGGGGCGCTCCTGATCGCGGTCGCGGACGAGGCAGAGGCAGAGGAAGGGGGCGCGGGTTCTGATATTCACCCTCCATTCTCGGTGAGAGTTGAGCTAAGCTTCCGCGTCTCAGACCGATTTCTGTATCTTTGCGTGACGGTACCTGTAAAATCTGTATAGCTCTACGACATTCTCTGGCCAGATTTTCGTGCAGCTGTGGGGCCCGAGCCTTTCCTGTATTCAATGAAGTCAGCCTTCAATCTGATATAACGCACCCGGAGTGTCCTTACAACTGTCCATGACCGTTGAGAAGTGAATTTGGAGTTCTATTGGTGGGACCTGGCACTTCAAGAAAATCAAGGCTGCCCTATAGAGCTGAGCTGAACAGATGCTCTGCATGCAGGTCAATTCCAGCGATTCAATATCCAGGATTCAGGTGGTGCGCTGCTACATGTCTACCATGTGCTTATGCAGGGGGCTGTCTTGTCCGAGTGAACGCCGGATAAGCGCCCGGCAATCGCTGGACAATGCGAAGGTGGATGAAAACTCAAGGTCAGAAACTGGAGCACAGTTCGCTGGTCGTGCTGTACTGTACATGTGTGTGGCGTATCTTGACTGCAACAATCTCCCGGGTGTTACGCTGCAGTGAATGTTCTGTTCACACTGTAACACGGACCCACCGTTGATGGTAGTTCGGAGCCACGAGACCACCGGACACTCCTAGTAGCAGTATCCAAACTAAGAAGTGCGGACTTGGGGTCCTCGTACCAGCTAGAGTCCTCTGCCGAAGTCCTGCTTTACCCTCTCACCGAAATCCTGGCGGCCATGGATGTCCTTGAGCCGAGGACGAGCATTATCGACTGGGACGAGAGCGATGTCAACGCATTCTTCACCAAGCTGGGATATCCTCAGTACGAGATCCAAATCAGAGGTGCGTCAGGTTCTTCTTTCGTCCGCCCGGAACACTCCTTACATGCTCCATAGAACACAACATTTCTGGTGATGTGCTCTGTCTACTGGACGCAGAGGGTCTGAAGGAGATAGGTGTAGCGACAATTGGCCAGCGTTTAGCCATCTTGAAGGGCGTGTATAACATCAAGCTTGCCCAAAACATCCCCATTGAGTCCGACCACTACGTGCCACCTTGTAGGTTTCTGCACCTTATTAGAAGTGTTTAAATACTCATTTCACACATAGCCGAGGTAGATGAACGGCAAGAATATATGAATGTCGACCGACTATATGACCTTCTTAGGGACCAAAGTGGGCGCTGTTCTTATTGTTTCCTGACTTGCCATTTACGGTGATCCAGGCGAAAGGTTACATATGGTAGAGGAAGATAACCGCCGTCTGACAGAAAGCTTGCACTCATGTCTTGAAGATATACATAGTTTGCGATCGGCCACCCACTCCGCAGTGCGTGTATTGATCCACCTGTCCTGCGAACGGTTGACTTAACCCAATTCTAGATCGAGACAGACAGCCCTGTGCAGCGGTCGCACTCGTTCAAATGGGCGTCGTTGGGGAAGGCAATTCGTTCGCCAACCAAGCCTGCGCCAGAGGTCGAGTCGCCCCAATCTTCTCCGCAGCGCCTTGAGCATGACTTCAGTTCTCGCAATCCCCCACCGGAGCGGTCACGACCACCACAGCCGTCGACCATGCATGACACACCATACTCACAGGCCCCCACTGGCAACTCCGGAAACCCTCCGCAGCCTAAGCCGGTGCGGCAGGAGAGCTCGGACAACCTGAAGAGCTTCAAGGTCAGTCTGGACGACCCTGCGTGGAAAGTGCTGCCTGCTGCGCTCAAGAAGTACAAAATCAACAACGACGACTGGCAAAATTACGCCATGTTCATCTGCTATGGGTCCGCTGGTAGGTGCTTTGCATCATATAAGCTGGTGGTGATTAAAGCTCGCAACAGGGAATCGTATTGAGCGGTGTCTGAGCTACGACGAGAAGCCATTGCTGCTGTTTCAGAAGCTGAAGGACGCGAAGAAGAATCCGGTCTTTATGCTCAAGCACATCAAGGACATTCGCTCTCCCATTGCAGTCGCGCAGCAGAAGCAAGCCGCTCGTAAGGCGTCGTCAGAAACATCATCCGCGAAGTCGCCTCCGCTCTCCAGCGCGTCACTGCAGATGCAGGCACAAGGACAGGGGCAGACGCAGGAACAAGGACAGGGGCAGACGCAGGACAGCGCAAGCCGCCCGCCGAAGCTGCAGGTCATCAGCCATCTAGGACACACCGCACCACCCCTCATGACTGGTGTACCAAACGCACAATCGGGCTGGCCGGAACTTATGTCGCCCGCAGTGGAATCTAAGGAGCGTACGGAGGAGCTTGGCCCGGACAGCGGGAAGATGCAGAGCGCGAACCCGGGGAACGGCGCTGGAGACGGTGTGGACATGGTTGGGCCTTCAATAGTCAGGGAAATTCCGCCGTCGACGGGCGTATCGTACGCAGTGGCTATCTATCCGTACATGGCGGAACAAGAGGACGAATTCGACGTAGTTGTGTGAGTGCTGCTCGTTTCATACCTTGAGGTATTATATCCTGACTCGCAAATTTGCTTTATTTCAGTGGGGATACTTTCATCATCCTGTCGAGAGCCCGCGGATGGTGGGTTGTGCAGCAGGACCCCGCAGGTTCCGGGCTGGTCGAACCTGATACAAGCAAGCAAGGTTGGGTACCCGCAGGATGTCTCCTGGAGACGAGCGTGCCAGTCGCGATAGCTATTGCGGAAGCGACGGCGCGTTCGTCTTCAGCAGGTTCTCCACCGCCGTCACCAGCAGGGAAGACGCCGATTTTGCCGCTGAGTATCCTGTCAACGAGCTTCCCCGGTATTGCCCTTATGGATTACAAGAAGAAGGGAGAAGAGGAGCTTGACCTGGCGAAGGACGATAGTTTACGGGTCTTCAAGCGGTACAACCATTGGTCATATGTATGTATCTCAACAGGTTTTGAGTCTTCATCTACTGACGCAGTTGATATTACAGGCCGTGAAAGAAGAGAGCGGTGACCGGGGGTGGGTACCTGTAAGTGTGCATTTGTATTGCATGTGTTGGCGCATGGACTGACCCACTACCCTTTCGTAGTCCTGGTTTATCGGCAAGGTCCCGACACCACCAGGCGCACCTCAAACACCGAGCACCAGTGGTGCCCCCAACGCACTATCCGCCTCTCTCATGGAGGGTGATTCGCGCTACGCAAACGATAGCCAGCAGGCGCAGGTCTCGCCCATGTCATCCGCCTTCCCTCCAATGCAAACGCAAACCCGCACGACAGCAGTCATCTGACAGCGTTGCTGTTCCATCCTTTCCATCACCCCGAACGCATACGTTTCTCCTCATGACCTCATGACCATCGTTCGTTTCTTCGAGTCCCTATACGCCAACCCAACATCCCTACATGGAGTACTTTTTCAACTCACGTCCCACTCTCATTATCGCTTTCCCCCTTACTTTTGCGTCATCGCTCCGTAATTATTATTTACTGGACCATCCTCGCTCGCTTTCCTAGTTTCTCGGCTCAGATTCGTTCTTGTGTATGGTATATTCTACTTACTCCCTGCTTTGGGCATTTAAGCATAGCATCTGCGCCTGTATATTATCACTGCACCTTCCACGACCTGGCTTGCCAGCGCGTCGACCATAAAGCCTTACAGGTTAAAGTTCTCGAACACGAAAATTCTCCCGGTCTAATGTTGTGTAACCACGTAGGATGACATATTTCAACTTCGGGTGTAATATGAATGTTGGATACAGTGAGGCACAGTACATATGCATGCGGGATGCGAGCTACAACTCCAAATTGCGAAAATCATACGATAAGATTGAAAAAAATTGCATGTGGATATGTGAAATCAGAGATGGGGACACTCTAGTCCACATGGTGGCGTCGAAATGAACCTTTTAGAACCCGTCTGAGGCCACGGAGCCTGCCATCAGCGAAACGGTGACGTGCAGAGATCAAAAGTCAGAACAGCGCACTTCGTGATGCACGCAATACCAACATGGTACCTGCGTGGAGTCAGAGCTCACCATCCTCCGCGCGACTTCTTCTCGTCTTTTTCCTGCCGTGGCTCGCGCTCGCGCTCTCGGTCTCCGGGGTAAACGGGGGCGGGAACCTCGTGCCCTTAACGGCAGAGCCTGTTAGCTTGCCCATCAAGGGAGTAACAGCGGGAAACGCAGAGGAAGCAGCTAACTCACCGTAACTGGTTCCCGGTGCGCGACTGCGGCGATCATCGTCGTGGTATCGCTGGCTATGACGGCCCTCGTCGCGGTATTCGCGACTGGTGTGGCGGCTGGCGTCGCGGTAAGGCTCATTGCTGTGATGACTGTGTTCACTCCCGTCATGGTGTAAGTAGCTATGGTGCTTCTCCGGTCGGTCGTCATATGAAGCTCGCGGTGCTGGCGCAGGAATCACAGGCGCCGGGGGAGCGCGAGATTGGCCGACGGACATGCGAGGGTCAGCAGGGTACGAGTATGCACCGCGGTTCGCCTGAGGAGGGCTATATGCAGGAACAGGCTGCGGTGGTGGAGGTGCATATACCGGGATCGGTTGGGGTCGCTGAGGTGCATAATAATTTGCTTGCGGCTGGGGGCCAGCGGAAATCACCTGCGGAGCTCCGCCATTCTGTATAGTAGCTGGTGCAGTCGCAGACCTGATTGCATGGTCTGCACGCGGCGGCTGCTCAACCCCATTGATCGTGTACCGTTCACCCTCTGGTGACGAATATGTTATGTGCTCGTTGCCCTATGCCAGATGATATCAGCACCGACGACATTTTCGAGTCAGGTCGGCGTGGAACTCACCTCTGGATCGCGGCGCTTGTGGATAGTCTCGGTACGGCCATTGATGTTGCGAGTCATCTTGCTCTGCGAGACCCACCTGCCGTTCCCCCCCATTGCCTGTGAAACGGAGTTGTACGACGAGACGCCCGGGAGCATATTTATATCCGTAGGCTGGGAGAACAATGGTCCGCCGAACATGCTTTCGAAGGGAGACCCGAACGAGGCAGATCGGCCAAAGGGAGCATCAAACATAGAGCGCATAGGGAAGTGATTCGGGAATGGAGAATCATCAAAGTGACCCCGCATATCGCCTAATAGGGAGTCAAATAACTCGAAGGGGTCGGTAAAGGCGAATCGTGGGTGCGAGCCGGTAAAGCCGAAGGCGGGGCGCTGTGAACCAAAACCGAAAGGAGAGAAGGAGGCATTTGGATCCGGTCTCCATTGCTCAGACGTTGTGCTGCGGTGACGGGGTGGGTCTAGCGTGACGCTGGGCGGAGGCCAGACACCATATTTATCATACAGCTGCAGAGTTTACGGAGCACAAGTGTTGGCAAAGTTGTGAGATTGCATAGAAAAATGAAACATACCTCTCGGTTCTGAGGGTCATTCAGTACTTCGTATGCATTGTTAACCTAAAGCTAACGTGAGGACCGCTGGGGTCATCGCTGCATTCACAACTCACATACCAGTCGAAATTGTTCTTCTGCGTTGCTTTTATCCGCTGGTGTGACATTCGGCGGAAGCCTGTCGGGATGTGTCTGCAAAGCTCTCCGCTTGTATGCTTTTCTAACTGCTCAGGCAGCTCAGTATCACCACAGCCACTATATAGGCGCATGCATACTGTCTTCAGGTGAGACGTTCTTGTCGAGGCCGAGAATTTCGTACAAGTTCATGGACATTATAGAGGATGCAAAGCACTCTGGTGGGGAGTGTAAAGGTCAGGGAAGGTCACAGTGAGCAGTGAAGGTAATGGGGGCTGTGAGGAACCTTGGAGGAACCTCATCGAAAGTGCATGCCTCGATGATTATGCCGTGACGGTCACGTGGACATATATTGATTTTCGTGTGTCAAAGTTTCCTCAAAGTGTGTTTGTCCGCGAAGCTTGCGTGGGTCTCTCTGACCGTTTTCAACACATCAAGGATCAGCGGAATTGTGAGATGCAATTCCATGAATGTATTCTCTGTGCTACCGCACCATCTTCCTCTAATCCGGGTCCGGGTACGATATCTCTGCATGACATCCAAACAGGTACTCCTCTAGCCTCGTTCAAACAAACCTCGGCAGACAGCCATTGCACGGCCGTTGTGCACACAAGAAATGGTCAGGGTGGTTTCATAATCGCGGCTCAGCCGGACAAATCGATCATGAACGTTTACAATTTTCAGAAAGTGTGTAATATTCTCGTCTCCTTCTAGACACAGTCGTTCATATGATGGAACGGCACAGGATCAACTAGCACTGAAGATTGTCCTGCCAGAAAAGCTCTCGAGCATAGCCGTGGATCCCAAGGGCGATTATTGCGCAGGCGGCACGTCGCAAGGGCGAATGTATTTCTGGGAGGCTCGTATTGCCATTTCCTACCCCCATGCACCTCTGAGTGACAATTTGCATTCATGTAGTAGATTGCTTCCGGCGTCATGTACAACGCGTGGGATGCCCACTATCGCCAGGTGACCGTCCTCCGATTTACGCACGACGGCTCTGCCCTACTATCGGGCAGCAAAGACTCTGGTGTAAGCGTCTGGTCCGTGTCCAGGTCAACTCAGTCTCCACTAGTCTGCCGTACAACCCACTTGACGTCTTGTCTGTTGTTACAGATTATTGGATGAAGATCTACAGAACGAGCTCCCAACTCCCTATTGCTCTCTTACAGACCATACACTCCCTGTGACAGACGTTGTCTGTGGGGTTGGCCTCTTTCCGTCATGCCGTGTCCTGACAGCATCTGCCGACCATTCTGTGAAGGTGAGGGCACAATTACACGACTCACATTATAGCTAAGCAACGACCGTCTGCTAGCTCTGGGATCTTTCATCGAAATCGCTCCTCACGACGTTCGACTTCCCGCAACCTATATCATGTCTCGCATGGGATGCGACAGAACGCCTCTTCTTGGCTGCGTCGGCCGACGGTTCAATACACCAAGTCAACCTCTTCCGCCAGCGCGTGGACGAATTCGATCACGCGGCCGTGGAGGCCGTAGGGGGTGCTGGGGTGACCGACGTGATTCGTATCGACGACGAAGACCAGCACACTGCGAGAAAGCGGCTCATTTCAGTCGGGTAAGCTTCGTGTTCGTTCCCCGCCTTGATCTCACCCTGAGATCACACAATAATACGCTGGCCAGACAACCGGTGACGACGCTTTCGCTATCTATTACATCGTCGCTCCTACTCGCGGGCACTGCAACGGGGCTCATCCACATCTACGACGTGACGTCGCATCAACTACTCCGCACGCTGTCAACGCATAAGGGGCTTGTCATCACCCACCTCGCGACGCTCATCCGGCCGTCAGATCTTATTGGCCATATAAGTTTGAGCATGGCCGCAGGTGGGGAGGCGCGGGATAGCGTGCCTGTGCGCACAGTTGCACCTTTTCAACGCATGCGCGATGCAAAAGCCAGAGAGGCCCATGAGGTCGGCATAATCTTGCCTATACAGAGTTCAGTGAGTCGATCATTTTTCAGTTTTCATAGCCTCGACTGATTTGTTGCCTCATGATCGTAGACGAAAACCGAAGCATTTTTCGAGTGCCCGAGGGAGGAACTGCTCCGAGACCACGCGTTCTTCGTGCAGTCTTCCATTACAGGTGGTGGCGTAGAGCCTACTGGCGTGTCGCTGCAATCTCGTGTCAACGAACTTGAAGACGAAGTTGTGAAACTGCGTGAGCAGCTCGGTAAGGCGAAGGGAGTGAACGACGTCATTTGGGAGACGGTCGTACGGCAGATGATTGAGGAGTCGAAGGAGAAGGAGAAAGCGAAAGCAGTATCACAAGCGGATGCGCAACAAAACCAGGACGTGCAAATGGAAGAAGACAGTGGGCGGAGGCGCAAAAGAGGACGAACATGATGCTCAAGCCCTCGATCTATCTGTATCTACATTGGTGTTTATTTGCACTGTTGGACCGCTGTTCTGATTTGCTCAAAGCACACAAGTGGGCGAGCTTGGCGAGCTTGCATGAGACGCTGCTCCAGCCTTTCAAATGTCTGGTTTGTATCAGAAATCGGGAAAATGTACGCAGTTACTATATTCCCTATTACGACTCGTTCTTGGGCTTGTATTTCTCCGGGTCCGTACCATGGTGCTGGTGGTTGACAAGGTTGAACCTGAGGAGGTAGAAATTAGCGGTCAGCCGACAGGATCACGAGCGTGAAATCATACATCGGGAAAGCCTCTGTTATAATTGTCAACGACAAATACCAACAGAGTAAACCATACTCACGGAACTTCAGCTGCGAGAATGCAGAGTTCCTGTACGCAGCACCCTGGACCCACTCCGGCTGATTCGACTCGCCATACAGAGGAAGACCCTTCGCAGCACGCTCCGTCAGCTCTACACGGTCCAACTCTTCCTCACGCTTGTTCTCAGACCAGCCCCAGAAACGGACTAACGAGATGTATGAATTTCAGTCTGACAGGGTATATTCAGGCCTTACAGCTCGATCGTTGGTACGCCAGGAGAAATCCGCCGATGAAGCCGAGCATACCGCCAAGGCGCAAGTGTGTCCGAAGTTTGACCTTCGAGGGGTCTGCCACGTCTGCAGAATCGTTATCGTCACCGTTCTCTGCAATTATAAACTACATACCCCAGAAGTAGAGAGCAGCCGGGAATGCAGCCGTCGCGGCGGCCCAGACGCCATAGTCTGTGGCGCGAAAGTAGCGGAGCACGCGAGACGCATGAGGGTCTGCGTCGATGAGGGGATAAGGTGTCTGGACAACTTTCTCCGGCATGGTCGTCGGTGATGGGTGCGACGACTAATTAGGACGACGCGGTGTTGCTCGCCGGCGCCTAACGAACCGACAACGCGTGACTACTTTAGGGCAGGCTCAGAACGCGCTGCTGCAGGCGCCGCCTCGTTGAGCCGCCTCACTTTCATCGAGCTGACTGCTGCCCACCTCCCCCACTAGTCCCCGACTCCCAGCTATTGACGGGCAACATCGACGACGATGAGCACGAGCGCAAGACGTCTCGACCTAACTGCCTCTCGGCGACAGACACGAACCAACAACTCTTCTCCATATTCTCGCAACAAGGGTGCACCGAAACCTGACCATACCACAGTGACTGCACCTGCACCTACTGAAGAGCGCGTTCCTCTCTCAAAGAAATGGAGCCTCACTGGCCTACTAGGCTTTTTGAATCCATTTGCATCACGGCCGGAGCCGAAAGCTACTGTGGCCTCCGACTCCGACGCTGCAAGAAACCTCGCGGAAAGAGGGAACCAAGTACGCGTTTCTGATGATTTGTGTGACCATTTATTTACAAGACGCGCGTATTTCAGCTGGCTAATGGTGTAATGGCGCGAACGCACGCAGACGAACAGGAAGCGATGGAGACGCACATTGATCCTGCACCGACACCAGCACCAGAACCAGACCCAGAAATAGCACCCGCCCCTGCCGCTACCCCTGCCCCTGCCCCTGCCCCTTCTGCCAACTCTGAAACCATATCGCCTGCGGACGCGCCAATGGATACGGATGCTTCGAGTGTCCCACCCACATTGCCACCCGCCGACGAACCACGCACTACGGCAGAAAATTTGGCTACTGTCCAAGCTTTCCTGACTGAGAAGGGTGGCAAGCCGCTGAACGCAGTTGAACTTGCGGGAATAGTCTCTTTACTGAACAACAGCGTGGAAGGTGCACAACCTGCCTCTGGTGCGTAGTATTAACGCTGTGTAACAGTTCACGTGCTGACCAGCAGGTGTAGGACCGAAGCCCGAACCATTCCGATTCTCTGAGAGCCCCTCCTCCCCGGGACGAGGTGACACACCCATACTTGACTTCACCAGCCCCGGCACCGCTCCAAGCGGACAAAAGGTACTGACGAAAAATCCGAATGGCATGTATCGATTGCAAGGTGGCGGCACAGCCCGCCCACGCAACCGCTACCACTCGCCCGCGTTCGGCCCATCTCGATCAGCACCAACGATGACGATCACGCCTGAGAAGTTTAAGACAGACACGAAGCGGCGGCGTGTCGGCCAGGATGCTGCAACGTCGTCACCTCAGCGCGTCCCAGTATCCACATCGATGCCTCTCAATGGCGCAGCAGGGCCGTCTGCGCCATTTGCCAATGGCGCATCCATCTCCACGTCCACATCTGCATCCGCCTATCCGTTTGTTCAACCAAATGGTACTGCACGCACCCGCCCTGCACCACGTCTAAACACTCCAGTGAAACCCACCACTCCCGCGCGGCCCTCTCCACTTCGCCAGACGTGGAACGGGTCACCCCCGTCTCCGCCCCAGCCGCGGCCCACCTCGAAACCGACACGCGCAGCAAGTTTCATGACAGAGTTGATCAAAGAGGTGACGCCGCCGAAGAAGCCCGATCTGGTGAATCCGTATCAGGCTGCAAGCTTCACACCAATGCGACCGCTTCCTCAGAAACAGCCGACCAGAAAAGCGAAGGCTGCTGCTACCGCTCCACCGTCCGCGGCGTCAACGTCAAACGCGAAGCCACCATTAGAGAAAAAAGAATCCCAATTGAGTCAACAGGCTATCATTGAGGCTACTGTGCCCAAGGTAAAGCCTGGTCGCTTTTGTGGGTATGCATGAGATTGACGCTCGATTCAGGGCTATAAGCGCTCGCGACCACCGCCCAACCTCAAGAGTGCCAAGTCACAAGCTTCTACTGTCACATCAGCGTCCACTTTCACTGCTCCTAGTGAGATGCGCCGACCCGAAGTTCTCGAAACTCAGTCATCTAGAGGCGCTAACGGCGCCTCCCTTGCGAACGCTAAGCGCCCATATCAGACAGTCGTCGAGGAAGTCGAGGACGAAGATGCACCCCCTTCACCTCCGAAGAAGCAGCGGACCAACGGGGCGTCCACGAACGGGCGTGCTGCCCCTCCGCCCGTTACGATCGAGGAGGTCGACGATGTCGACATACCAACCGCGCAACGCCCAGGCCCGCCACCGATATTCATGCACCCGTCGGAGGTCGTCGAACCTAGCAGCCGCAGTGCCTCCTCGAGCACTGCGAGTCCCATGTATGCGAGTGGCGCCGGCAGTAGTAGCGTGGGCGTAGGATTACTACCCACAGCCGCGCGCTCGATGTTCGGCAACATCAAGTCGTCCGCACCGAAAGCGCCATCGAAGCTCCGCTATGTTATCCAAGCAGAAAGGGAACAGGAGGTCGAGGAAGTGGAGAAGATCACCCAGGACAAGGAGGAGCCGGGGAATGCGGGTGTCGACCGTGTCCCACCGCCAGCACTTACCGCTCCCTCGTCCTCGTTCGGGGTATCAGGGTTCTCCTCATATGCAACGCCTGGATCATCCTCGTTTGGGAAATCCGGGCTCCCCTTGTCCGCCAAACCCGGGAACTCTGCCCTCGCAGCGGCTGGTTCGTCCCCGTTTGGGACGACTAGTTCCTCCTCGTTTGCAGCGCCCAGTTCTTCCTCATTCGCAGGGCCCGGAACCTCCTCATTTTCACCCCCCGTAGCTTCCTCATCTACAGCTCCAGGACCTTTCTCATTCGGGGCGCCTAAGCTCTCCTCGTTTAAAGTGCCTGAGTCCTCTCCGTTTGGAACGCGCAGTTCATCCTCCTCTACAGCGCCCGCATTCTCTCCGTTTCTGACACGTGAAGCGAGCTCCTTCGGCGCCCCGGCCTTCCCTTCGACGTCCGCCATTTCTTCGTTCAAGCCTGTGAAGCCTAGCATGGCGGTCGACGCTCGGAGCACGGCGATGGAAGTCCACGAGTTTCCACCGTACACCTTTCCCGGCAGACAAGTAGGTCCCAGCTTATCGAAACCGCTGGCTCGCAGACGGGCGATGTCCGTTGATGTCCCATCCGCCCCCGCATTCGAATTCACATCTCGCACCTCGCCTAAGGTCGAGCCGATAGTTGGATTTAACTGGACCGCAGCGGGCTTAAAACCCCCACCCAAGCCTGCGGCAGGAAGCTGGGCGTGCTCGCTGTGCATGGTGAATAATACGGGCGGAGCGACGAAGTGTATAGCGTGTGATACGCCGCGTTAATTTCGTTTGGGTAGTAGTGAAATTGCTGGCTTCTTTGTTATATTTTTCGTTTTATATTTCGCTTTTCTGTGTGAATGTTTATCTTCGTATCTCAGTTTTTTGCTTTACTTTACAGGGATCTGTCCTGTGCCGCGTTGTGTATACAAATGGGGTACAAGGGGCGTGCAATTGCACGTTCATCATCGCGAGCTCTTCTGTCTGTAAAGTTGGCGCTGGAGATGCTTGCCCCTGAATGAAAGGGCGTGAGAGGGTGTAAAATTTGTGCCTTCATCTACGTTGTTCGCGCATTGGGACTCACCGGCCGCACCCCTTGGCATCCAGTCCAGAGAGCAACGTATATAACATGTTTGCGGAAGATGGCTCCATGTCCAGCGTCGACGCACAGCGTCCGCTGCTGACCACCTTTTCGCGCGGATGCCCACTAATCGCGGTCGATGCCCTTATACTTAGTCTAGTTTTTAACGCGGGGGGCTTATCGGTAGGTCCCCAATTTCGTTCGGAGCTTGGACTTGCAGGGAAGGAATTGCGTGACCGATCAACTCGCCTGCAAGAGAATGAGTCGGAGCTGGAAATAAGAGAACAAGCGCTCGCCGCAAGCTCACGGTTAGGGCTCCGAATCGTACCGTACAGTACGAATACGACCAGTACGTAAACAGATACGAGCCGTATAGTATACGGCCGGCAATACCCGATTACGATACGCATACGATACGGGCTGACCAGTATCGTTTCAGTATACGTACGCGATGCGCTCGTATATACGGGCCACGTTCAAGCCGATGCAGCAGCTCAGAGCTCAACATTCACTCAACAACTGTGCATGGTGCGTAGCCTTCGAATGAGGAGTTCATTTGTTGTGTATCCATTTATCGTACAACGTGGCAATTTCACGATTTTAATCCTCACGGAGCCGGCACGCGCTGACACTGTATGTCCGCTCTCTGATGTGCAAATTTGCTGAAGATCCAATGCATGCTGCAGTGAGTAGAGTGGCTAATGAGAGTGCCCAACTTTACAGCTGAGTAGGAGGACTCCGAAATGTTTGACAGTATGATTGCACCACTTTCCAACCGGTGGATTTCTTGACTATTTGTGGCATGTTCGCCACCCATTGGATTGCATGACGGAGTTCGCGGGAGTGTTGCCAGGTCCTCCGACCGTGTCTCAGGTACCAATTCGTACGAGTGCTGAAACATATAATGGTCAATGAGTCTCTTCCCCGACTTGCGCTCACCCTTTCTTAACCATGAGTGGCTCCTCTCACCCCGGTGCAAATGGTGGGCCATATTCTCATTGACTGCATGTCTGTGCTGAAGCCTTTACAGATGGCAGGAGTTACAACCTGAGGACGGCTTTGTTCACTGGCTTTCCTCCATATCCAGTGACTAATCCTCAAGCCCCTGCAGTGAGATTCCTCGATGATGCCACTTCATTCGAGGCTGATCGACCTCCACAGTGTAGCTCAGCTCCAGCATCTCATGCTGCCGATGCACTGCTAACGCTTTCCGGAGGCCAACCATATGCACCCGACCATGGATCTTGGACGACTATTCCCCGCCATGCAAGGTCACCATTGAACAGGGCAACAGCCACCGGTGGAGCTTCCAGCAGTGTTGCACACTCAGTGCCATCGGCAGATTCTAATCGTTACAGTGAACTCCTCCGTCATCACGATACCGACTCTGACCTTGAGGGCTCTGAGTTCACGGGATCCGACGAAGAGGAGAGTGATGATGAGGATGTTTCCGGGATAATCAGTAATGATGAAGTTTGTCCGTTTACCATCCTCATTGGATGTCTCTGACCAGCATGCATGATTACATTTGTCAGGTTGCTTTCAACCTGCCCCGCATGACGACTTCGAAGAAACACGAACGCCGCGCTGCACAGCAAGCACAAGACGTCATCAATCAACACTTACCTGCCCGGAAACGAAAGAGGAAGATGAAGGATTCCACTAGTCGGAAGAGCTCTTCAAAGTCGAAACGGGCACGCACGGACACAGCTCCTGTCGTGGATGGACCACTCGCATCGGTGTCGCACACACTTGCACAAACCTCATCGTCCATCCATGTGTCATCTGCACATGATAACCCAAATGTTGCATCGTCATCCACAGTGAATGAAGACCAAGTACGCAACTGTAATGGAAAGCAAAGGAAGACCAAGGTGTGCACATTGTGAAGGAGCCTTTGTGATCATTAACTGATTGCTGTTGGCTCATTCCATGTTCAGAAACCTCCGTCACCGATTTACATGTTCTACCGAGAGATCAAAGAGAACCATAAGCTTCACTTTCCGAATTGGAAGCCAGCTGACAAGCTATATATGTGTCTGCACGGTCACAACAAAGTGCTGAGGATTTCGGAGGGTATGAACGGCTCAACGACTGGACTGAAGAATCACCTGAAGGCTGCTGATGAAAGCATGTACAAGCTATACCAGATTCTTGAGAAGAAGCGTGCACTTGGGCAGAAGCCAACAGCGCAAGAGATCTTGGTCGCACGTGCTGAAATGCCATTGCAGAGTCTTGGCTATAATGTTGACCAGCCGGACGAGGTATCACAGGCCGCGACTGCTACCGGTGACTCCAATCGACTCGCGGTATGTGACAGGTTGCATCGTATGGACCTAATTCTCAACCCAGATTAGGAGCCATTTGACCAAGCAACGTGGGAGCGTCTTGTCTCAGAGTGGGTCGCAGCATGTGACCAACCGTTTGATGCTGTCGAAGCGCCCGAATATGTTCGTATGGTGCAGTACGCAAGCCGCGTTGGTGATCACCTCAAGGTGCCGTGTGGAGACACAATCAAGAAGCGTATCATGGAGATGGGGGATAACGTTATCTCAGACATTAAAGCAATGCTCTCGGTACGTGATCCAGATCATCTTCTAGTCCTCTGCCTGACATTGAAGTACTCTGGCAAGGCTGTGGAGGGGAAATTTACCTTGGCCCTTGACTGCTGGACTTCCAGCAATCAATGGGCTTTCATGTGTATTATCCTCACTTTTGTGACGGAATCTTGGGACATAGGTAATGTCATATTCAGTAATTTGTTGTTGTTTGATGCTCTCAACTAATGGCATGCACGCTTAACTCAGAGGAGGTCATGATAGACTTTCGAGAGATCATTGGGGAACACTCCGGTGAAAATCTCGCCGAGGCCGTCTGGCAAACCATAGAGCTCTACGGACTTAAAGGTCGGGTAAGTGGACTGGCTACACTCTCAGTCAGTTCCTGATGATCAACTCAGATTCAAGCCGTGGTTGCTGACAATGCATCAAATAACGATACAATGGTGGAAGCACTTGAACGTTGCTTCAAGGCTGAGAACATCCCCTTCCACGCTTCCCACGCACAAATGAGATGTGTACCACACACGATCCATTTAGCTGCCCTAGAAGTAAGTACTATAGCACATTGTAGCTTACCTCCACACTCACAAATGACATTGTGTAGCTTCTACAAGCAATTGGCGGCTTCTCGTCAACTAACAACCATGAACAATCTCGCGGCAAATATCAGGCAACTCCTGATAACTACCAGGAAGCGCTTCAAGAGCCTCTGACAACCGAGGCGGATAATCTTTTGTCACAGGCAAATGACTCCGTGAACTGCAACAATGCGCACGCTGACGATGATGTACCCGGTCGTATCCTCTCGGCACTCGATAAGGTCAGTTGTGGGTCGTTCAATTCATCCTCCGCTAACAAGGTTTTTGCATCAGCTTCGCAAAGTTGTTCGTGTAGTGCGATCAAGTCCACAACGGAAGCGGCAGTGGCTTGATGAAGTCAATTTATCATTGCGAAGATTGGAAGATGCTTTTGACAAGGCTGAAGAGGCGCTGATGCTCATCTTAGACGTCAGGACACGTTGGTCCTCAACACACCAAATGCTCCGTACGTCTGTCTCGTATAGATCTGGGCTAGTTCATGACTCATACTGATCGGTGAATCTCACTCGCAGGTCGTGCGCTCGAGTACAAGGAAGAAATCTGGTTGTTCATAGCCAAGCGAGTCGATCTGCGTCATCTCGAGCTAGATGAGCTGGAGTGGGGAGCGATCAAGCTTGTTTGTCAATGGCTGTTGATGTTCCGGCAGGCGACAGAACAGATGTCATCATCAAAGGAGGTTACCTTGTCATCGGTGCACACAATCTTCCACGGGCTTCAGGAACACCTCAAGAATGCCCTCCGCAAGTTGCCGCCTGATTCCCCACCTCAGCTACGAGATGGGCTTCTCAGAGCTTACAAGAAGCTCTCGGATTATCACAGTCACTTTGACGAGAGCCCATATTACATCTGGGCATGCCGTAAGTCCAGTTTACTTGTGTGTAGAGGTCGGTTGCTGAATTATTATGCTAGCAGTTCTCGATCCAAGAATTAACTATGAGGGTCTCAAAGCCGAAGCAGCTATGGATGCAAACCCTCAGAGTCGCGACGAGTACCTCAAACACATCAAAGACGCGAAGGCGGAGCTCAAGACGTACTATCTCAACCACTATCATTCATCCTCATGTGAAAATGGTGCAGCCGCAACGTTGTCCAGCTCCATTGGCGGCAAGGACCAGACACCAGCAAACTTCAATTTTTTTGCTCCTTATGCTCCTCCAGTGGATAGGGCACCCTCGGAAGAACTTGACGAGTACTTGAAGTTGAAGAATCTCGGCTTTGGTAACCGTGTCTCTCACCCTTTGCGCTGGTGGAAAGAGCACCAGGATCTCTACCCCAGTCTCTCGCGATTGGCGCGTGATATTCTGACAATCCCAGGTGAATATTTAGCACTTTCTTTTCGCGAGTCGAATGTTTGCTTAAACTCGCTGAAAATGTAGGTTCTGCTGTCGCAGTGGAGCGTGCGTTTTCATCTGGCCGCGACACTGTCTCCTTACGGCGTGCAAGCCTCAAACCAGTGACGATCCGGAAGCTCATGCTTGTCAAGCACAAGTTAATGCTTGCGAGACGACAGCTCAAGCGGGCCTTGGAAGAACAACTACTATTCCTATAGTTAGCACTGTTGTCCTGTTCCTAGTACTAAGCTGGAGACTGTACATACGCTCGTAAACCGTATACGTGCAGATACGCTAGTTTCGTATATGGTTGATCCCGTAATTTTTCCGTATTCGTACGGTTCGTACAGTATTTCTCACGTAATTTACGACCGTAACCGTATACTGTACGATCGGAGCCCTACTCACGGTGCGCAGATACTACATACTCCAGGGAAGCGGATGTTGTTACATTCGAGATATCTCAGTCAAATGGCATGCCTTTTAAGCTGTAGGAGACAAGCAAAAGAAGCACATCCAAAGTGTAACAAGAGAAGCGACTACTGAGGATGGGATGTGAAAGTTCTGGCTTGAACTTGGACACTGTCACATCCCAATAATTTTGTTCCTCCTTCTAGCATAAGACTGTTGAAGAAATCCAGAAGACTAATTGGGAGTCACTCTGGCTACCACTACCATGGTTGTAAACAGTGCAGCATACTGTTATCCCCCACCTAAAATACAGTACTAGTGGATTTAGCTGTTCTGAGGGCCTTCAGGCATAGATTTTCTGAAACCAAAATCCAGTCTACAGACAGTACATAACAGGAGAACACCCTGTGTACCAGAGAGCTATGAGAATGCGGCAGAAACGCGAGACTTGCATGGGTAGATGAGAACGCGTTTTGACACGTCGCGTGTGCACGTGATTTGCGGAGATGAAAATACCCAACCTACCGATAAGGACCACCTTATGGATAGCAGACGCCAGACACGGATATCCTGAGGAACGAAGGTTGAAGCAGAGTGTCAGTCTGCCTTTGGGAGACTACTTATACTGCGGGATAGTGTTTACAGATGGCAGCTATATGTCCAGCATCGATGCACGATGCTCACTACTCCCGCCTGCTTCTAAGGCATGCATTTGTTGTGTACCTTCCATGTCCAGTGTCGACGCACAGTGTCCGCTGCTACCCGCGTTTTAGTGCGGATGCCCATCGATGGCGGTGGATGCCCACCGATGGTGGATGCCCTCAGACTGTGAGGAAGTGTTTACCGACGGCTCTATGACCAGCGTCGACGCACAGTGCCCACTGCTCCTGCCTGTGACTGCGGAAGCCGACCAATGGTAGTGGTCTACCTGTCACTCACCTTACCCCTATTTGTGTTGTTCACGAATATCGTCCTCTGCTACTCTGACAACACCGTGGACTATCATGACATGAGAAGTGTGTTTACAGAACATGATGTTATGGTTTGCTGAAGTATCTCAACAGCATCCATACACAGTACCCGCTGCTCTGGTGGATACCCACCAATGGTGGTGATGCCCACCAATGCTTGTGGATGCCCACAATTTGCTGTGGATGCCTGCGTATCATGTTCACATGCCGCACCACCCCTACACGGACTCGAATACAGGTGGCAAGCTTCGTAGTGTGCAGTTCTTTCGCATGCGAGCATTCTCATCCATCGCATTGCTGTTGTCGACCCCTTGTCCGCGAGCCGTCGCGCTACCTGTATACCCCAGCTCGAGAGTCCAGCAGTGTGCATCACTTCCATATTATGCTCCATGTGCACATTGTGCATCGGGCATCGTGGTGAGTGTGGTTAAGTATGCATAGTGACTGTGCTGGCATTCTTCATGCAACCTGTAATTATTCTTTCAAATCATGACGTGCAGCTCTTGCTCTTTGCTACGTGTGGAAGTGTCACACTTGATGTGTGAACATGTGGCCATGTCCCGCTGGCTTTTTTGTGTATGGTGCAGAATATCTTGCACATCCACGTACAACATCCTAAGTGTTTCACACAACGAAGCATACGCTTCTTCCACATATAACAACAGCTGCAGAGCCTACTTAGTCTCATGCATCCTTGATGGATTTCGTGGGACAGTGCTCTTGTTGAAGCAGCTCCCTGAGTTCAGGGTTTTTTCCACTGGGTTTTCCCTTGCCCCCAAATCAACTTCGATGCACTGGGAGCTGTGTAGATGAGTAGGCATTGATCGGAGCGATTTCTGTCCTGGATGTGTTGTATCCTAGGTTTCTGTAGTGTACTGTGCACGGGTACATAGCAGAGGTCTAGGTGCGACAACCCGGCGTTCCTGAATGGGACCAATGCCGGTCATCTACCTAGTCACAGTGACTACCTACCTACCTAAGATAGGCCTCACTCATATCCAACCACTCGCGTCGGGCGTCTAATGTCACGCTTACACCAAAATGGTGGGCGAAAGTGCTTGCTCGTCTAATTCCTCTTTCCACAAAGCCTTTATCAGAAATGTGTTCCCTGGGGATTGTTAATGAATACCTTCTTGAATATTCCCAGGGAGCACATTTTTTTATTTCGCCCTCGTAGGAGAGAAATTAGGCTGGCAACAACCCAAAGTGAACGGCGACCAAACAGAGCCAACATCCAGCAGATAAATATTTGGCTGATAAGCACACCATCCATTACCATATCGGGTATCAGACTTTGACTTATTGCTCCCAAATCAATAGCATCACTCTCGGGCAACTGTCGGGTCACAACCACGTCACGGCGCTTAGAGTGGTTGGGCATGAGTGAGGTCTATCTTACCTACCTGGGCAGTGCATTGGAACCAGATGGCTCCTCCGGATCCCCAGATGAGATCTAGTAACGTCGATCGCTCCAAGTTCTTTCACTGATCGACGTACGACAAGTTGAACCCGGCAGCTGGGATCTCTCTTGCGCTCGAGCCGTGGTACGGTATGGATCCACACTTTCTCTCCTCTCCTTTGCATCATCCTTCTCTAGCTTTATATATGTACCTGAACAACGGATACTAGTATTCGACTACACACAACGCGTTCTGACTTTGGGTATCCACCGTCAGCCATGGAAAAGTGAAGTAGAACGGCAGATATTCCACTTCACTTTTCTATGGCTGACTGGTTATATTTGTCCCCATGATCGCAGACTTTCGGCTCATACCCGTAGGCGGAAGGCTGACATTGGACCAGCCTCCGAAGTGGAGCACCTTAGGAGGATATAAACCCCCCCACTGTACGTGCACATCCCAGTCCAGTCGCTCTTAGTGTTTTCCTTGCTCTCAAGCCTTCCCAAGTTATTCGCCAAACGTTTTCGACCTCAAGACATCATGCCTATGATATACAAGACCCCTTCTAATCCCGCTCGTGGTGCTTCCGCTAAGGACGTTAACAAGCCCGACGCTGCTCTCAAAGGTTCCGCTGGTGGTCACACTCGTTCTCCTTCTACTCCTGTCTCCGTTCGTTCTTCCGTCATTGCCAAGGCTGCTACCGGTGGTACCAAAGTCTCGAAGCCCGGAGCGTTGGCTTCTCCTTCTGTGCGTGCTTTCGTGGATGCAGCGTGCCAGCTACCGAAGCTGAATGCTTTGATGCAGACTGTCAAGCGTTCCAACAGCCTCCCGATCGGTGCCAAGCTCATCTCCCCTCGCACGCCCTTGGCGAAGGTGACTGCGAACCGCGCTTCTCCTCCTACCTTAGTCAAAAAGGCTGTGGAGAACAAGGCGGTTGCACAGCTCGTGGGGACCGGCTTTGGGTCCCCTGGCATGAAAGCCGTTGCGAAGGTCGTGGGGACTGGGTCGCCCTCCGCGAAGGCAGTCCTGGAGAACGAGGCTACGGCTGACAACCCGCCGGCAGGTAATGTTCTCCCTTCCGCTCACACCACGTCTCCCGCGGCTGACATTGTGATTTTTCTCTCGCAGCCGACGCAGTGACGAAGGTTGAGACTCCGCGCGCCGCCGTCCGCGGGAAGACGCAGAAGGCGAACGGCACCAAGAGCGGTGGAACCTCTCCCCCCTCCTCCGTAGGGAAGAAACGCGTCCCACCCGCATTCGCCCAGAGCCCTATCGGGAAGGAGAACCTCCTCGCCATTCCGGAGTGGGAGTACGACCGCCTGACCCCCGACGCCGACGACAAGAAGAAGGCGGTCCCGGGCAGGAAGGCCAAACCGGCCACTGTCAAGCTCGCCATCGTCAAGCCCTCGAATTTCAAGTTACCGGCTGTCAAGCCTGCTACAGTCGCGCCCCTCCAGCTCGCTCGGCGCGCTTCGCTTCTTCCCACTGCCAAGAAGGTGGAGAAGGCGAAGCCCGGGCACGCGTTAAAGCCGACCTTGGGCGGGCTCGCTGAGGACGTGGAGGAAGTGGTGAAGATGGCCGAGGCAGTCACAGTCAAGGCGGAGGTTTCCGCTGCGTTTTTGCCCTTCGAAGATTGCACCAAACAGGTTGTCGAGGCGTATGTGATTTCTCTTTCGTCCCTCGTATCTTCGCTTACAGGGAGTGGATGCTTGCAGACTCGTTCCTGCCTCCGCTTCAGGCAATGTAGTGATCGAAGAAGTCCCTTCGTCCGACATTGCAGCGGTTGAGGAAGTCCCTGCGCCTTCGCCCGACACTGCGATGGTCGAAGAAGTCCCTGTCCCTTCTTTCGACATTGCGGGAGTTGTGGGAGTTCCAGTCCCTTCAACTGTCATTGTGGTCGAGGAAGTTCCCTTCCTGGGCGACGTCGCGGTCAGCCATCATCCCGGTGTCGACACCTCGGCTGACACTACCTTCGAGGAACTGGTTCTCAAGGACAACGATGGCAATGCCGGCGAGACCGAGTTCACGGTCGTACCCATTCCGGACGTCGACGAACTTACTCAGCCTGTTGCGTGCCAGTTCGTGTGCCCTGCTCTGAAGAGCGATTCTTCCGATGTCGCAGTGAACACGACACTTTCCTCTCCTTTGGCAGCAATCGTTGCCCTTCTTGAAGAGGCTCAGGTTATGTATGTCGCTCCACAAATTTCTTGTTGATGTGTCTGATATACCATCCGCAGAAGCCCTGTCGCAGAAACCATTCCAACCCACGTGGAGGACGATGAAGATCTTGTTACTCTTGGGTGCCTTTTCGTCTCATTACGCATGTCGCCAAGTTTGTTCTAATTTCAGGGTGTTTTTTTGCAGCCGTCTTTTTTCTAATACTTCTTACGACCATGATGAAAACTACGACCATGATGAAAACTACGACAACGACGCATTGGATGACGATGAAGATGTTCCTGCCTCGATTTCTGTCTCAGCTGCACCGATGGTCGACGACGACGACGACGACCACATGCCCCTTATTCATGTCATGCACAAGCTCCGTGCTGAGCAGCCCATTGTGAAGGACGTCGGGGCGGCTCGTGATGTCCTCCCCGCAATCAAGAACGCCCCCATCATGTCCCTAACCGCCGTCCAAGGTGGCCACCCAGCACAGTGGGACGACGATGCTCAGTCCATGGCGTCGTTCGCTACCTCGGTCTCATGCAGGATCCCGTTCGAGGAGAAGGGGAAGGGTCTGCTCCTCGACCCCAATGAGGATTGGACCGGGGCTGAGGTACTTTTCGAGTTCATCGATGATGAAGAGGTTCCGGAGGTCATTAAGGAACGGTTGAAGGTGGAGGTAAAGGTGGAGGAGAAGCCCGGCGAGTTCGTCATCTACGACCCCGCGGTACGTCCTTGCTCTCAATACGCTGGTTATTGTATCCTCATTCGTCGTTCCAGTGGGCGCCCCAATTCCTGGCTGGGAGCTCGACATCGCCAGTTACTGAAGCGACTGATGGGTATCGGAGCGCGCGGAAGTTCGACGTGCGTTCCAAAGTCCCACTCCCGAAGGCGTCCAAGAGCGATAGCTCCCCGTTCGCGGGCAACGTGCGGTCCAACGTCCCATACAAGCAGGCGTTCAAGGGCGACGACAGCTCCCCGTACGCGGTCGACGTCGTGTTAAAGACCGACAATGTGCAGATCGATCCGCACGCAACATCCGGGAAGATCTGTCCAATGGGCGACGAGTACGCCTACGTTGTCCAGGCGTACCAGGAGCCCGCGGTCATGAAGCCGCTCAAGATCGTGACGTCTCCTCCCAGGGCCTTGAAGCGGTCGAAGGCTGTTCATTATCCTGCCAAGGTCGCAAAACCGGCGAAGAACGTCAAATCTCTTGCCAAGGTCGCAAAGCCAGCGCAGATTGTCCCGTCTCCTACCACGGTTGTGAAGCCGAAGGTCATTATATCTCCTCCCGACATCTCACAGCCTCCAAATACCGTGACAACGCCGCCTCTCCCCTCTCAGGCAGCGCTGCACGAGTCGTTCACGGAGCCATTCGCAAACGAATACAATGCCTGCCCGGTCAGCTGGGACTCGTCGAAACCATCCATGTCCTCTAGTTCCTCGGGAGACTCGCAGGGTGGCCTTCGATCTGCATGGTCCGACTGGACCGTGGACTCAGTAGAGACCTCGTCCGGCTTCTTCAAAGTCGGATCCTTGCGCAAGTTCTTCACCCGCTGGGGGCGAAGGTAGATCGCTTCCTCCTCCAATCACACCACCCTTGCATTCATTTTCTGGTTCGTTTCATCTCGTTTCCTGAAACACACAAAATCAACTCTCGTTCAACGTCGTCTTGCAACCCCTTCCCCATCCCTACATCTGCACCGCTGTTCGCAACATCCAACCGTCATGTGTCCACGCGCTCTGGTCCCGTTTTGGTCATCAAGCACAAAATCACAAAACCCATATCACTACGATTTCGTCTCCGATTTGCGCTATCGAACAGAAATCTACAAAACCCCAATCGCTACGCTACATATCTGGTTTACGCTCTCGCACGATCACATTGCTACCACTTCGCCTTCAACTCTTGCACTCGAACTACAAATCGCAGAACACACCTCACGACTTCGTTCTCCGGGCTTGCGCACTCGAACAGAAAACCCCAAAACACACCACGGCTTCCTTATTTGGCTTGCGCTATCGAACAGAAAACTACAAAACACACCACGGCTTCCTTATTTGGCTTGCGCTATCGAACAGAAAACTACAAAACACACCACGGCTTCCTTATTTGGCTTGCGCTATCGAACAGAAACCTACAAAACCCACATTGCTACGACTTGGCTCTCTCCCTCATCTACAAAACAACGAAACGACACAATAAAAAAGCATAAAACCGCTAAAGCAACAAAAACAGCAGAAAAGTACATCCACGCGCAAAAAAAGACTTCTCTATGCTGATATTCACGACCTTTAATAGTAAGTGGGCGTCCCCGCAGCATGACTGATCGGACTTCTTAGAGTTTTGCAACCCACAGTCTTGGTGAGACATATTTTGATTTTCGCAAGCCTCGCTCGTTCCTGCAGCATCTGCAACCCACTGTCTTTACCGCTTTTGCTTTGCGTCGATTCTTCTTCGCTTCCGGCTATGTTCTGCGGTTCCCAACTTTCTGGTCTTCACTGCCGCACCACATCCTTGGTTCTCCCATTACCCAAGCTTTCGTTCTATACACCCAGGCCATGTTCGATGACGACCCTGAACTTCCAAGCGATCCCTGTCTTGAAGGTTTCTTCGCATCCTCGGCCTCAACTCCCTCCAGTTTTCGAGCAGTGTACCCGCCACACTGTTCGCAGTCAACTGTCGTCTGTCTCGACACTTTCCTCCCTCCCCCACCTAAATGGCCTTGTTCCGGGGCGACGCGCACAACTTCGAACTGTCTTCTCGATCGTTCCGTCGCTTCTTTGGCTCTCTGCACCACCCCTTTCGGCTTTCGAGCATTATACCCGCGACATCGTTCGTACTAACCAACTGTCGTCCCTCCTTTGAGTTTTGCGTTCGCAGACCCCCCTTTTTTGGACCCGGTACGTCATGAGTTCCCGGTTTGGCTTGTCGATATCTCGACAATTCTAACTACCAAGCCATGTCCCATAGCAGTGTTTGCAACGTTGAGACGTCAACTGTTGCATCGCATCCTCGGTTCCTCCACTCCCTTTGCTCTCGAGCAAAACATGCCCGCTGCATTGTTCGCACCACCCGGGCCATGTTCCGCGGGGACGATCGCAATTTTCAATCGACCTAAAGTTCCGTCGCTTCCTTGGCTCCCCACTTCTCTCGCTTTCGTTCACGACGAAAGTCCACCCTTACCGGTATGTCCAATTCCCAAACAAGAGTCTCTCAATTATTGGCAGAGAATAACGCAGTTTTTGCGGCGTCGCTAACGTTGATAGTCGTCTGCTCTGACGCGTCAACAAACTTCTGCTCTGTTCACGAGCACCTCACAGGTGGCATGGCTCACAGCTGCCACCTGTATTCGCGAGGCCTCAGGCTTCAACTGTTTCACATTTCCGATCCCTGTGCAGTGGCGATATTCGCACTCTTCAACTGTCACCTGTTTTGGTGGTTCCATCGCACCCTCGGCTTTCCACTACCCCTCGAACGGTTTCCTTGCGACTTATCGGCCGCAACGCCGGCCTTTTCCGGTAAGTCGCCTTCTCAGTAAAATTCGGCCGGTGGTTGATCAAAGCTTCCGCGGCGTTGGTGATGACTGTCGTCTGTTCGGACACGTTATTCAAAGCCTTTCTCTCTGTCCACCGGCGACATTGCTCTGAATTGTCGTTCTCTGCCTTGTACAGCGACGATTTCCATAACCTTCAAGTGTCTTCTGTCCTGCTGGTTCCGTCGCATCCTTGGCTTCTCGCCGCTTCCTGCTCTCGAGCAACACACCCGCGACATCGATCGCAAAGAAAGCCCGACTTTCGCCGTACGTTTTACTCTTTGAGAAATATGCTTTGTTGTTGACTGGCGTATACGCAGCTTTGCGGCGTCGAGACTATTAACAGTCATATTTTCTGCATCACCCAACATCCGCACTCCTGAACTTTGTTCCCCTCGGCCCAGTCAGTTCCGGTCTTCCGACCATGTCCAAGCGGCAACGTTTTGGGCATCTGTCTTTTCATCGCTTCTACTCCGTGCTTCGTGAATCTGGAGCGCCTGTTTGTAGTCTCACAACTTCAAACACACGGCGCTCGATCCACACCCTCCACCACCCGCTTGTATCTCACCGGGGCAGTCGGCCACGGCGCTTGTCGCCAACCAACTCGCACCCGCTCCACCCTCTACACCAACAATCCAAGTGGTATCTCTACCTCCCTCACTACACCCGAAAACTCGCACCCGTACCACCCTGAACTCACAACACCAGAGACCCAAGTCGCACCGCATCACCCTCGCTACACGATGATCAGGCCCTACCCTTTCTCGTCGCACCGAAGTCGGACGTGAGTTCAACAATCCATGTGCCTGAAATATTATTACTGATTCCTTTGTTCCAGAGTCCTCGCATAAATCACTCTTATCGCACACGTCTCAACGGCGAAGGACGTCGCGCGCAGATCGTTCTCTTTAAGTTCCGGGCAGAGATATCAAGCATATCGAGTAGAAGCAACGAATCTTCGATATCTGAGTCTCGGCGTGGAGGCTCTGGTTTGCGCGCTTTCTGTTCCCGTGCGCTCATGTACTTACATGTACGTGTGTTTGTTTGAATGTGATTTCCTCTCGTCCTTGAAACCCTCATGTGCGGAAGCCACCGGTCTACAATATCACCAAAGAGACTCAAAAATACATAAGAGCGAGTGGATAAAGATACAGAGTAGAATGGTACAAATACACACAAGGCTAAACCTTCACTCCAGACAATGAACCAGCTGTACCCCAAATCCCTTGCAAGACCGCCTGGTCATCTCCCATGCTCCACCCTCAACAGAACCACAATAAACGATTATCCGAGGAGACGTAGTATCGGATAAAAGCCCTTTCTTCAACGCTTCGGCCAGCTTCCACCTCTCAAGCTCTGTGTTACCCAGGTCTTCCCCGGGCAAGTGCAACGCGACTGTGTGCAGGGTGCTAGGGGAGTGCTGCAGCACCTGGAGTGACTCTGCGTTGTCAATATCCAGCGTCTCCAAGCAAGTGCACGCCGCGAGGATGTCCGCCACGAACTTGATGGGGGCACCCCGGATCGACAGGTGGCGTACGTGCGGCAGCGTCCAGTATCTGTGCCATCGGCGCAAGTAGTCTGACCGGAGCGAACTCACGAGCGAAGTTACGAGTCCCCCGCTGTAGCTGAACGCGATGTCAAGGTGGGTGATCTGTTTGGGGAACACCACGAGGCGCCCCTGGTCCACGACGTCATCAAACCCCCAATTGAAGTACTGGAGGGAGACGCGCCGCAAGTTGGGGAGGTAATCCAGCACGGTGACCATGTACAGCGTGCTGGAAATGAAATTTGAGGCGGCGGCGCAGCTGAGAGTTATGGAGGGCGTCGCGCCTACAGCGTATAGTGGGTGGCTTGAGGAGCCTCTACCGACGTGGAAAGTCAACGACCGGCAGAGGTTATTGACCGTCGTCGACGATCCTGAGCTCTTCATCAAGTACGGATCATTGTCCCCGAAGTAAAGTCGTCCTCGTATGAGACGCAGGTAATCCTGGGCGAAATCGGGGCCCGGGATGTGTACGTCCTTGAAGGCGATGCGGACGAAGAGACCCAACCAGGCACGGTTGACTCGACAAAGAGACGTAAAAAGCGCGACGCGTTCGTTGATCGGCAAAGGGGATGACCACGCTTCGAATATGATCATTTCGATGAGTTCCAGAGGAAGCCATGGTGGCGACGAGACGCTGCCTTCGGTCGCCATCGTGGTATTGCTGAAATAAGCCACGCGTACAGAGGAGGATTTAAGGAGAGGAAGATGTGGTAGCGCAAGCAGGTATGCAATGAGCATTCAATCACACTCTATATAAGCACTGAGTACTGAGTACTGAGGGGCGTAGCCTTGAGTGTACAAGGGCGAGGCGGGCCCACGGCAGGACGAGTCTCTAAGATCTTGTCTGAACATTGGAGATCCGTGCATTCTTCGTTTGCTTCCGGCAGCAGACATCCGACAGCACAGAGGCTCAGAAATGACGGTAGCGTTGGAGCTCCTGGCTCGCTCCTCAGCAAGATTGAGTTTCCGCATAGATTTCATTCCTACGTACAAGGCTTCCCATTTTTGGGCCATCCGACAATCACCAACAAACAAAGCGCCCACTTTTCGAGTTCCGTACCAAGTGTACGACTATCACTCCGCTTTCTAAACCTGAATCAATGGGTAGCACAATATTACAGAAGAAAACAAACACTGAAGAGAAGCAATATTACACAAGTCGTATTCCGTTGAAATCGCTCAGATGCCAGCTCCCGCCCCGAACTCGTCCAACTTTGGCTCTTCGAAAGGGGTTTCCGCGTCGTCCTCCTTGCTCCCGGGATCTGGATCTGCGGCTTTCAGTGAAGGCGGTGCACATTTGATCGTGTCTTTCGCGGATCGTCCGACGGGAGATGGGCTTCGGGGCGGTTCCGCCGGCATCATAACGTTTGTTCTCCTGGTAGGGATAGCTACGCCTGTGGACATCCTAGTAAGCACCATTCCATGCAGCATTCCTCAATGGGAGGAATTGTGACCGCTTACGGAGACTTTTCACGAGATCGTAGCCCCTTAACCTCTCCTTATCGAAAGCAGGGTCAACCGACGACCCCTCGTCAATTGCGACGTAGTCTATGCGATGCGAGCGCAGAAACTGCTCGTCTAATGTCCACGGCGCATCCGGAATTATTTCGTCCACCCACCGGCAGTGCCGCAACAGCTCGCACCTGTCCACATGCCGTGCGTAAGTCGCTGACTCGTGCCGGGCGCAAAGTTCGTCCGCGAAGACGCCCACTATGAGATACACGGATGGAAAGGACAGCTTGGCCTGCCGCAGCTGCAGTGCGTGTCTTCGCCCAGGTAAGCAAAACGCGCCCCTTTCGACCGGCCAGCCTCGCACTCACCTAGGGAGGAATGGATCGAATGCGCCGTCCACATATACTCTGATTATCCGCTGTTCCTCATCCACGGTTCGCCATATGTTTTCAGACGAAGGGACAGATTTCTGGATATACGCCTGGATGTCCTCGGCACTTAGCCCGACCGTGTCGAACTTGTCCTTCGCCGCCTGCAAGGGCTCTGGTTCGCGTACCGATCCGATCCTATCCACGTGACCGAGGTCTGCAATGCTCGACTCGAGCGATCGAGGACCATCCGAGATAACATCATAGTCCGCGAGGTCGTCGTTGGACAGCATGGAGGCCAAGTCGAGCGACCGCCTCATCGTAGTTGAGCGCGAAGACGAAGGTTCAATGGGGCACGAGGCGGGCCCAGCCTCATCAAGAGTGCGTGAGGAGTAAATATGTACATACATACCCCCTGTGCACCGAAACTGCTGCGATGACTCTGTATCTGACAGGAACTTGGTGTTCACACCCCGCGCACACGATTAGTATCGTCCATCAGAGAGCTGGAACGTGCGGGGTGCAATCAGCTTGTGGCGGCGTGTGAGATCGGCACTTGCCTGTAGCCAGCTGTAGCCCCTGTTGTCACTTGGCACCATCCACAGACGCCTGTAGATTGTGCAGATTCGTTGAAGACTGCTTGCAGCAATGATGTCCGCCCTTCCATCCTTCAGCGACCTCGTCGGTAATTCGCCCGACCTCAACGGTGCTCTGTTGAGCGCCCTCGAAATCCTCTTCGAGCCATCGCCGGTCCTCTCGAAGATCGTGTTCGATATCTCGTCACCTACGCGTTTAGGCCCCCGAGGCGTCATCTGCAGCTACTCCGATCTCATCGATGTCGCGTTAAACGTAATTTCGCGCTGGGACGACGAGCTGAAAGCGCGCTTCATAGCCGGCCATCCGCGCATTGGCGAAGTCAAGAATCTTTCGCACCTCAGCGCAAGGGAGCAGGCGGCGGTCGCTACGCGCCCTGCCATCCTTGTACGCCTTGGACATCTGAACGCATGCTATGAGCATCGCTATCCGGGCTTGAGGTACATCATATTCGTGAACGGCAGGTCGAGGGAGGCAATCAAGGAAGAGATGGAGAGTGTCTTGGGTATCGAGCGGTCGCTCAGCCCTGACCAGCCCCCTGTCAAGAATGTCAGCAGCGTTCAAGTCGGCGGGAGGGAGTGGAAAGATGAACTAGCGAGAGCCATTGTAGATGTAGGGAGGATCGCCAAGGATAGGGTGCGCGCATTGGGTGTGGAGTAGGGTGAGTAATTGGACAGTTCGTACCTCATAGCTATCGCTATGATAGATTGCTGATCATGTGGTTAGCCACCACAGGAATGACCTGTCCAATAAATGAATCGGCGTCATTCAGCGCGGATGTCCGATAGATATCAGAATAAAACGGTATGTGAAACAACACAGCAGAAAGAAATATTCTACACGTGGGCATGAGTCCTCTCTTCTTTCTTCAACCTCTCTGCCTGGCGCTGTACAGGTTTCAGCGACTCTGAAACGTAGACGAAATGTAGAAACTCACCCGCAACACTTCCTGCCTACGCACCTCCCACTCCGGGTTCATCCTCCGCAACTCATTTAATACCTCGTCCTCAAAAGTCATTGATTTAGAGAAATCTTGCTCTGCGAGCCGCTCTGCCTCCCGGTTCAGCCGCAACTGCTCTTCCATGGCACGGATCCGTTCCTGGTAGCGAAGCTCTACCTTTGCCAAGTTATCCTTGTAACGTTTCTGACTTGCATGGATTTCCTCCCGCAGAACGCGCATCCGCTCCTGGTGGCGTGCTTCTGTCTGCCGCGCCCATTCCGCGCGTTCGCGCGCCAATCTCGCCTGCATGTCGTTGATATTGACTTGCCTGCGCAGGTAGTCGAGGCCATTGTCATACGCCTGAGAATATTAGTAGTTGATTCAGCCTGGTGTGCATGCTTGCACTGCGTGTTTGATACACTCACCCGACGCTTAGCGGAATCGCCTAGGACCTCGAAGGCTGTGCGAACCTGAATATGGTTCGAGTGAGCACTGTCTGTGTCAGGTTTAGGAAGACTCGCGAACTTCTCTGAAGCGTGCTTCCGCAGCTTGCCTCTCAATCTCTAGAGCTCCCAGACCCAATTTGTCTGCGAATTGTCAAGATCAAATCTCATCCGCACTCTGGAGGCTCACAAACCTGGATGCGTCTCAAGCGCCTTGAGCTTATACGCCTTGCGCACTAATTACGATCCAGCACTCAGCATGCGATCGGCTGCTTTACGATGTAATCACACACCTGCATCAGCTGAGGCGTTCTGGGCGACGCCCAGAATATCATACAAAGAGCTACTCGCGGCCATATGGCCCATATAGGGTGGTGGTGGTGTCCAGGACGACTGCGGCTATGTTGGAGGATGGTATGTCGCGTCGACGTGCGGCAAATGCGAAGAGTTCATTTGTTTAAATTGCAACACGCGGCAGGTCACGTGCATCGCGCCATCTAGGGTGGCACAGCACTCATGGATGTCATTCATGCTCAAACCATTATATTGAGAGACTGCGGCTTAGGCAACATGGGTATCTTGAAATTGTATGCATACTATGCCCTACCGTCGCATCGGCACCCCCTTCAAGTCGGCAGTAACGTGTTATGTCACCCATCAGTCACCGTAGACTTTGGCTCGATGACCTCATTTGGGGCGAAGAACATGTCGGCCACCGGCCTGCCGCAATGAGTTCAGTCTAGTAGCAATGACCCAATGAAGAGGTTGAAGATGTCGATAGACGAAGAGAGTCCATACAGTGTGTCAAAGCTCCGGAGACACTCGAGGTGAAATGGCTTTGCTAGTGTGCGACGTGGCGAGTGGAGATGTAGAGCGGAAATCAGGAAGCTGGAACGGTTATCCACTGGCGCCCGCCGGCGTACGGGAAGAGTTAGCGAAGGCTGAAGATGGACACTACATTCACGGGCCCATGGCCATAGTGAGGAGGTTGTCTTACCCGGACAGGGGATAATTCCTTGACGAGCGGCCATCTCCGCTATCTCTTCTCCATCGCCAGTCTGCACGGTATCATGTCATGCACAATCGGCTGCAGCGAGTATTATCCGGAGGATTGAGTTGCGTAGGATTAAGTTAGAGTTCTAGCCAGTATGAGGAGCACACCACTGACCGTGAGACGGCACTCGCGGGAGACTTGACCTACTCCAAGTGCTGTCATTCTGCACAGGAGTCGGCAGCACATAGGAAATCAGTCCATAATGCTTCTATCCCTTGCACACCATCGGCTTTTCGAGTGGTCCGTGTAGGTGAGTTTCGAGATATAGACTTGCTCCTATTTAGTGTGGTGCTTCAGATGCACACTCGCGAACTATTCTGGCGTAGTAGGAAGGCGAGGATTAGTTTCAAGATGATCGGTAAGAAGTGCAAAATGGTGAAGAGAGAGTGACCGTCATAGGTTCATTGCTCCCATTGTGCGACACACACAAAGACCGGTGGAGCTCCGGTCTCTCTACAAAAACCCTGGTCAATACTCCGGGTGACTGCAGACCTGTCATTGGCGGGAAAGGACCTGCCATGAGGACAACAGATGCCCGAGAATTCATTGCATGCATGTTACCATGTGGCACTCTCAAGCCCAGCCACTTACCTTCATGAAGTTGAGCTCAATCTACCAACTGCACTTCTCTCCAGATGCCTGTATGCTTGTGGTGGTCATTTCTGTGAGTCTGCTTCAGAAGGTTGTAGGACATTGACAATTGATGCCGGCAGGAGAATGGCACCTGAGTGTCTTTAAGCCTAAGCAGACTCTCTGAGCATCACTTTCGTCATGTTCTGTGACAGGATGTGTGTTCAGAATTCTGCTGGAGGCTCAGCACTCAATTGCTCGAAGGAATGCTCACTCAAAAACAATGACAAAAAAATTCCAGTGAGTATCAGCAGTCTTCTAGATACGGTCATGTGATTGCAGGACAATGGTGTTCGCGGTTGGCTCAGAATTTTCCTCATACGGGGCTCGCGAGGCCAGCGCAGCATCTGTCGCGTCTCCGCGCTTTCCTTGATAGTGCATCCCCAACGCTCGTCATTTTCCACCTAGTTTTGCTACACTCTAAGCTCGTCGATGGCGCGCACGCGGCCACAAAGTTTCCAGTCTGCCCCCAGAAAACGACCTGCGCCCCGCTCTTCCACTGCATTCATGGAAGGGAGGAAGGCAGTTCCGCCACCGAAATCCGTAACGATTGCCGGGAAGAAGCTCCCTATTTCCCCTGTCTTAGACACACTATTTCATTTTCTCGCCGAACGACATCGCATTCACCAGCGACGCATAGCGGGGGATCCATCGCCCTGGACTCGGGACCCAATTCTCGCCGCATATCCGTTCACCAACATTTTTCGCGTATACGACCGCACGACGCAATATATTCTCCGCCATGTGATACAGGAGGGTAGCTCAGACTTGCACGAATCGTGCTTTCGTGTAATGTTGTTTCGGTTTTTCAACAAGGTTGAGACATGGGAGCTGCTGGAATCATCACTAGGAAAGGTTACCTGGAGAGATTTCTCTGTCAGGAAGTATGAGGAGGTTCTCTTCTCCGCGGAAGAGGCCCTGTATTGTCCGGCATACATTATTCCTGCCCCGAAGCTCGGTGCGAAGGCCAATCTCTCAAATCACCTTCGACTGGTTCAATTGATGATGGAGAATGATCTACCTGGTCACTTGGAAAAGGTACACCATTTGAAGGACGCACATGGATATCTTCGCCTCTATCCCAGTATGGGTGATTTTACAGCACTCCAGTGCGGCAAATTTTTTTCTTAATATAAGTTGCAACTGAATTCTAGTGCATCTATAGGCTTCTGCTCGATTTGAATATGCTCCCGCATTTCAATTTTAGCGAGGACGAGTGGGTCGCACTTGGGCCTGGTGCACTGGAATGCATACGAAAGATTTTCGGCCCGTCAGTGCGAGGAAGCGAAGGTGAAGCGCTTACCTGGCTGCACTCGACGCAGTACAGCCATTTCGCTCGAATGGGCATCACCCCGGATCGCATTCCTCGACTGTGCGACAGCCGGCCGGCTGGTCTTACAAAGGTCGATTTCGAACATGCTCTTTGCGAAGTCGAGAAGTATTCTCGAGCAAAACACCCTCACATCGTTGGCAGGAGGCGTAATGTCGCCAAATCAGCCTTTTCTCCCAAGCGTGAGCCGCTTACGGCTACGCTACCAAAGCATTGGTTAAAACCTCGCCACGCACCGACTACCCTTTCGCGGCCTCCCCCCATCAAGAAAGGTGGCTCCGAAGAATACGAAGTCTCCCATATCATCGCCGAGAGGCAGGCGGGACAAGGATACCAGTATCTCGTGCGCTGGGTCGGATACGGTCTGGAAGATGATACATGGGAGCCGGAGAGTGCCCTAGAGCACACAGCGAATTTAGACGAATGGAAAGTGACGAAGATAAAAATTTGGGATGGAGTAGGGGATTTCCAGGCCATGGGGAATAATTTTACACGTACCAGGGGATTTTACACTGCGAAGTGAGTTCATATGCATTATCACCGCCGTCCACGTACATGTACTGCATGGCCCGCCATCATCACTTTCATTCAGTCTCTGTCATGGTACTTGGCCGATGATACCAGTATAGTATTCCTGCGAAGTAATACTACTGTATATACAAGCCTCCTCCGAGTCGTAGTACAACCTTTGGAAGACCATAGCTGTGCATACTGTACTGTATCTGCGACCTACAGTTGCGGACAATCAAACACGGTAAATTTGATAGCGCCTGAACTAGATTTTTCTGAGACAAATGGACTTCAGATTCAGACTCAGGGAGGTTTAAAACCCCCAAAAATGCACTCAGATAGTTTTTCCCACGAGGTTTTTGGATGGCCAAATTTTTGGGCGATTTTTTCGACACTTATAGGCCACTTTGCGGTCGTAGTGAGTACTATTGGCCACCTGCTAGTCACCCGCAACCTCTGATTCATTCAAATGTTGCGAATCCACCCAAAATTCACCCAACCAGCTTCCGTAAGGGATCCTACTGCTACTTACGCATTTGTTCTCACGCCACACGTTTGAGGTGTTCTCACATGTTCGCGCAGATTTTAGCTGAAACTGCCTCTGGCACGAACCCGCTCATCATAGCTAGATTGGCAATGGTTAGAATGCTATCTAAGATAGTAACTTTAAATGACAAATTCCATATTCTAGGTATACTTTGTGCATTTTCTATAGCCATATTTTTGGATGTATATTTTTCATCTGTTTGTGGCATTATGCCCTACTCATTGAAAGGAGTCGATTGCATATTTTTTCGTATTTTTATCTAATTAATTATGGGGTTGGCCAAAATTTTGGGTCCAAAACAGGAAATAATAAGAATTAGTGAAATCGGCTCGTGCAAATCGAGTCTCTGAGTCATAAGCATCACATTTGTGCAGTTTCCGAAAGCTTCCGGCACTGTCCGGACTCTACATAATTGGACTAAAATAGTTACCGCGTTTGATTGTCCGCAACTGTAGTCCTATAGATATAGCCTCTAGTTACCTGCAGGAAGCTTAACAGTCATTCCTTTGTAATACTTAGATCTGCGACCTTGCATTCCTCAGGATATCCGTGTCTGAGTATATGGTCGGTGACCCAAACTTGAATCTGCAACAGACAGGGCATCATTGCACACTACTCTATTCACATTTGGCACAGAAACCCTACTGAGGGATTCTCTGAAATTTTCCAGACAACTTCCACGCCAGCTGAGGCCTAGCCGCCTAGGAAGAAGCGCGCCCCACGGGTGTTATTTAAGCGCTCGCAGTCAGAAGAAGAGGCGCTCACGGCCTCGAAGCCGAACTAATCATTTTGACCGTCAGCTCCAGCTTGTTGCCAGACGTTAGCCGCGCTTTGCAAAACCCATCTCCGTTAATCTGTGTGTTGTGCACGGGTTGTTGATAACTCTGCTACTTGTGTTAGCTTGACAGCTTTCCATCACTGCAACGGTGGCGAGCAGCTAGGAGGTCCTTATGGACGCCGTAGAAAAGGCAAACGCGGAAAGGCAGAAAAGATGGTATGTAAGTCCTTGTATCGAGCGTCTGTACGTGCCTGATCTTTCATAGGGCAAAGGATCAGAAAGTTGGTGAAGGTACCTACGCCGTGGTGTACCGAGGTGGGCTTGTAATAACCACTACAATGGCCTATGTTGACTGGGTGCAAGGGCGCGAAATCGCAACAGGGCGGAAGGTTGCCATCAAAAAGTTGAAGATGGGCCAGTTCAAGGACGGCCTAGACATGTCTGCCTTGCGTGAAGTCAAATATTTACGCGAACTCAAGCATCAGAATGTCATAGAAGTAACATGCGTTCTTGTAACGTCTACTTCTCTCGTTGTTGCTGATAGTGATATAGCTATTGGATGTCTTCTCGTCCAAGACGAACTTGAATCTCGTGCTTGAATTCCTTGATACGGACCTCGAGCTTGTAATCAAAGACAGATCACTGGTGTTCCTTCCTGCCGACATTAAAAGCTGGATGGCCATGACGTTTCGTGGCCTGGAATTCTGCCACAGAAATTTCATCCTACACAGGGTGCGTCTATTGTTCCGCCAGTGTTTTGTAACGCTATATTCTGCCAGTAGGATCTGAAGCCCAACAACTTACTCATTGCCTCCAACGGGCAACTCAAGATTGCCGACTTTGGTTTGGCGCGTGACGCTGCAGACCCTGGATACAAGATGACATGTCAAGTCGTCACTCGGTCAGCCCAATCGCCTCTCACAGGCTCTCAAATTAGTGATTAGTCTCCTATTCGATTCAGGTGGTACCGTCCGGCAGAGTTGCTCTTTGGCTGCCGATATTACAGCTCATCAGTGGACATCTGGTCTGTCGGCTGTATCTTCGCCGAGCTCATGCTCCGCACGCCATACCTCCCTGGAGAGAGTGACATGGACCAGCTGAGGACGATATTCCGCGCCCTAGGTACTCCGACTGAAGAAGACTGGCCGGTAAGAATTCATGTTGATCTTAATCTCACTTGTAACCTCCGAGTGTATTTTTGACGATATCAGGGGCACACAAAACTGCCAGACTACGTTACAGTGGGTCAATTCCCGAGGACGCCTCTCCGTGATCTCTTCACCGCCGCGACTGCAGACTGCCTAAACCTTCTTGGCAAGTGCCTTATCTATGAACCGCGAAAACGCATCAGTGCGAAAGACGTGAGTCGCACATCCAGTCGGTGTCATTGTAATTATTCATTGATCCGGCAGGCGCTCAATCATCCTTATTTCTTTGCGCTACCATATCCCACACATCCATCCAAGCTTCCGAAGCCGGCGGCTAAAGCCAACTCCACATTCCCACTTGAAGAGGTTGACGGGAACGTCGACTTCAGTGGACCTGGACCTGGAGTCAAGGCGAACCCGCCAAACAAGCTGAAGCGGAAGATCTCCTCGGATGAGCTGGGCGGCAGGCCAGTGGCTCGAAGGCTTGATTTCTCGCAACATCGAACATGACATCGACAGGGTGTTGTGTCCTTGTACCATCACTGAAAGGGTCACGGAAATGGACTATCAGGTCACTTGCACACTTTCTTTCGGCACTTCATCGCGTTTTTGTATTATCATCCCGTAGGTTTGTTGTGTCCCCGACTCCAGGAACTGGAGGAGGGCTTTGGCAAGGGGAAACGGCAGACGCCTCTGCGAATGAAGTTGTGCGAAAACAACATCAGTAAATAAGTTGAGTAACAACACTTACGATTTTGAGTCTTGACTCCGTCTAGGCTTCCGGTCGCGAACGTCGCTGTTGCACTGGACCTGTCGACACTGTTCGAGCGCAGGTCTATTTACGTAAGATCGCGCTCGCGAACATTCCGCCCTTGTGCTCGACCTGCCGACGGTGTTCCAGCGCAGGTCTATTCACGTAGGATGGCGCTCGCAAACATCACGTGCGCGCTCGATTTCTCGACGATGTTGGCGCTGCTGGACGACGTTACACCTCAGTGTCGCTCCTCGACGAGTCGCTATACGACATCATTCTGTTTTGCACGTGAGTGTATTCTTCTTCTCGTATTATTACTAATCTACTGATTCACCACTAAACTATGTAGAATCTACGCGGACCTGCTCTCTTGAAGACATAGTTTTCGCATTTTTTATGACTGTTTCAGACAAGTGTACATGCATCTATGCTTGTTGACTTGTTCAAATGGATACTTACAGTTTAATTTGCACGATGCAGTTGCTATTTGTGATACTGTGTTCACAGTTTCACTGTGCTGTTTTAATTGAGTTTGTGTCTAAGCACGTTAAACATTTCGTGTTAAAGCACATTAAATATTTTGTGTTCAAGCACATTAAGTATTTGTCTTCAAGCACGCTAAGTGTTTGTGTTCAAGTACACTAAGAATTTGTGTTCAAACACATTTAAATTTTCGGACTGAAGTAGTGTAAGCGATTGACTTTAGCCATGGCAGATTTCAATCCCTCATGGTTCTATTTGTCCGATGAACAGTATTTGCGTACACTCCAAAGGTTAAGTCTTCATACTCTGCAGTCTGCAGCTGTGTCATCTCACTGTTTAATACCTCAGAAAGGTCGTAACAAGTCTCAGATTTGCAGAAGACTTCTTGTTGACTTTCAATTGAGTCGTGCATCTGTTGCTATCATGTCCAATGAAGATGTAGCAAAGTGTCTGCATGGTGATGATCAACTTCTCAAATCTCGGTATGCTCTGCTCAGTGCTCTGTATATTAAATTGTATGGTGAACCTGTAGCACTAGCAATACGTTCTGCGAACTCTCCACTTTTTGAGGAACATCCATTAATTGGATATGCCATATCGCCTGTAAAATTATGTATAGAATTACTTTGGTTTGTCACTCCAGCTAGTGTTCTCATTCACTGTTTGTCATCTGTGTTAATGCGAACACTTTATAACTATGGTATTACATTTATAAACCAATTGCCGGTAAAATGTCATGCACGTTGTACAGTTATAGTTGAGCATATTGTTGAGTTGTCCCAGTACTTATTCAAAGTTGAATCTTCAAAGTTTTTGAATACTATCTTGTGTCATTTACCATTCTTATCTCAGAGTGAGTTATGTAGTCCTCGTAGTGAACTCATTTTCAAGCTACTAAAGTCAAGTGTTCCATCTGAGATTTTTGATAAATTAAACATGGAGTCTCATGCAAACAGTGATGCAAAGAAAGAGCAGCGTAGAGTTGAAAAGGCATTAGAAATTGAACAGGACAGTGCAGAGACAAAAGCATATATTGATGCATGGCCACAACTTGTTCCTCACGATGTGATTCTTAACTGTCTGAACAATTATTACACTCATACTCAGTGGCATTCACCTTCAATTTGTGCTGTATGTGCTCGTCAGTCACATGAGATTCATATTTCTGAATATAAGATGGATGGTTTACTGCTGAATAAGCAAGTATTATCTGCATTCCAAATCACAGATCCTTTCATTCTAGAAAACTGTGTAGTTAAACAGAATAGCTCTAAGTTTCTTTTTAAGGACTCAAGGTTAGACGGCTGTATGTTGGATAAGAAAGGGCTGACTTATGATAATGGCATGGTCACAGCTATCAAAATTTCTTCGAGCTGCTATACAGCAATACAACATTGTACTACACCACAATATGGCTTAGTTAATAATCTGTATTGTGGTTGTCTATCTGAGCAATACAATGATATAACCTGGGTTGAAGAAATGGTTTGTGCAATCTACCGTAGCACTGCACATATCACAAGAATTTACCAGTCATCTGACCCTGCACAGCCAAAGGTGTTTCATGGAAACACATGTGCACATGATTTAAATGTTGTTTCCACAGCATCAGTGCTTCCAAGAACACCTGCCGATGTTGCTGGTATGCTTACAGTTGTTTTTATTGGTCCACATAAGTTTAAGCCTGAGTACGTAGGAAACATGTATCGTGTGCGGAAGCATAAGATTTGGAGCTTCTTACTATGGCTTAAGAGTTATAACAAATTGTATAAACATATGACTTTTGATCTGTCTGCACTTGATATGTATCCTGAAGATGATGTGTTACCAGGTCTTAGTTCACGAATTGTTGAAGATCACAGAATGGATACTACACTTATATTTCAAGATGAAACAGCAGGCTTTTCAGAACATCCTGCAGAATTATTTGCCAAAAGCTGTCCTCTACCAAATGAACCACAACTTATGATGGAGAAAATGGGCATGTCAGATCCAGAAGGAGATAAACTTAGTGGGAGAAGCTTTACTGCTGCGGCAATAAGAAGTATAGTTAATCCAACTGCATCGCAACCTGATCTTGTAGTTCATCATGGTATGCTGCCTGTCTCTGAATACAACAATCCTAACTTGTTTTCAGGTATGTTTCCAACACTATATCTATTTGGCATTGGTGGGTTTGAAGATCCTAGTAGGCCAAAGCCAATAGAGTTTGATACTCAGGCCAACCACTATCTTGATCTTACAAACAAGGCATTTCGGTATCATCACATGTTTATGTTCATTGCACTTAATATATGGCAGCATCGCTCTGCTCACTTACACACACACTTTGCAGTACAAAAGCCCTACTTTCAGACTATCGCTAGAAGATTAGTCACTCTTTCACCCTCCTTGCTTATGTCAGTTTCTAACCATCTTGAGAATGAAGGTAAATATGCAGATTTGACTGACCAGCAGAAAGGTGCATTAGACTTGCTAAGGCATGTGAACACTATTGGTGGACATATTCCTGGTTCTCAAGCCTCAAAAATTCAGGTCAGAAATGAGATACGTAGCTACTTTGGTTACTTTGGCATGCCACACACTTACATGACCATAAATCCTTCGCCTACACATAATCCAATTTTCCAAGTCATGTATGGTGACACTACTGTAGACTTGGCCAAATGATTCCAACTAGTTGTGCCTGCATATAAATGTGCTTTGCAGCTGGCCAAAGATCCAGTTGCAGCATGCGATTTCTTCTACTTTTGTATACACACTATATTTGAAGACCTCTTGGGCTGGGATTTTTCTAAGAGATGCTCCAAAAGGCAAGGTGAAATCTTAGGAAAGTTGCGTGCATTTTATGGTACACCTGAATGTACTGAGCATGGTACACTGCATGGTCACTTTGTATTATGGCTACTCGGAGGTCTGAATCCTTCTGATTTGCATGCAAGGTTGTGTGACAGTCATGAGTTTGAATGCCAATTTTTCAGATACTGGGAGAGCATTATATTTCATCACTTGCCTAATATTGATATGCAAGTTGATTCAACATATGAACCTCATATTGAACGACCACCACAACCACCTATTGTTGGTGAATTGGCACTCAATATTCTGAATGAATGGGAGTCAGTGTTTGTTACTGAAATTAAAAAATGTGGAGAAGTCTTGCAGTGTCATCAACACCGTAAAGTCTGTGAAAAGTACGGCAATGAAGGTAAATGCAGATTTTTATTTCCCCATGAGGTTGTTGAGAGCTCATATTTTGATCGTAATACTAACTCTGTCATTCTGATGTGTAAAGATGCAAATGTGAACTACTACAATCCATATATTCTGTTTTTTTGCAGACATAATCATGACATTAAATGTATTCTTTCTGGTAAAGCTGCGAAGGCTGCAATATTTTATATTACAGACTATATTACTAAGGTTGACCTAAAAACCTATCAGATGCTATCATTATTATCAAAGGCAGTAGCAAGTTTACCCAGTGGCAATGACCAATCCTTGCAATTGACTAGTTACAGTACAAAAACCTTACTAAATAGGTGCTTGGCTCAATTCTTGCGTCAACAACAGATCCACTCTCAGCAAGCAGCCTGGTACATACGTAAGAGAGGCGATAGTATTTCATCACATCCTACAAAGCCCTTGCTATCTATTTTGTTACTGCTTTATGTCAAAGAGCATTATTCATTTGCTATGCAAATTGAAGGTCAGAGTGGTGAGGATAATCATTCTGATGCTGATGATATAGAAGAGTGTACTATCAATATTAAAGTGAATAAAAATGGACAGCTACTCAAACAGAACCAAATTGATGATTACATCTACAGACCACACACCCTTTCTTACTTAAACTTCTATGACTTCTGCAGATACTTCACATTAGAGTCTAAAACAGCACAGCATAACCATCATACACCAGATGACCAACTAGGTGTACTTTCACGTCTTTCTGTAAAGGAACAACATCCTCTTGCAGATACACATGTACTTGTTGAGCACTTCAGTCCAATGCATGTTGACTTTAATATGGAGCGTGTTCCACGTCCAATTGGTACACTGATCCCTCGCCGTGAAAATAGTGAAAGGTATGCAATATTTATGCTGGCACACTTTAAACCATTTAGTGATACAGTTCCACTTGTAGAGTACGGTGACACCTTTCAGCATACCTTCAGTGTATATGACTTTAGTGAGTTCAGCAAAACCAAGATGTGCAACTGGGAGGTAACGTATGAATGCGAAGATGCAAGAGACAGTGAATGGTTGCACAAGCGAGCCACACTGCTAGCAGAATCACGTCACTTGACAAAATCCATGTACTCATCTGTTACAGCAGACACAGATGATGATGTTGATGTTACATCACATAATAGACGAAGTGCAGTCAATAACTTTAAGATACAGCAGTTTGTCTCTTTACTTGAACAGTGCAATTATCTCCATCACAACACTTATCACAAGATAGCTGCACTATCCACTGTTAAATATAATATAACCCACTTGCAGTTGCAGAAGTGGAAGTCAGCCCTGCATGAGCAAGAGATGCAAGTAATGCAGAAAAGACGTAATGCTGGCAACATGAGCTCTCAGTTTACTCTCGAAAAGACTCCTGCATACACTGAGTATTACATGACGCCTACAATACCAGAACAATTAACCACATGCACAGAAGCCCCAAATATGAGTGATACTATTGCATTAGTTGAACAGTCCCCAATGAAAGTTCTACAGTCTGTTCAGACATCCTACAGTTTAAATGCTAAGCAGGCATGTGCCTTTCAGATTTGTGCAAAACATTTTATTCAAAACTATGTAGTCAAATCAGACACTGTAATGGAACCACTGTACTTGTTACTCACCGGTCCTGGTGGCACAGGCAAGATGCATGTTGTCAAAGCCTTGAAAGAATTGATGACTTACTTTGGCTGCTTATACCAAATTCATTTTCTTGCGCCTCCCGGCTCTGCTGCTGCCCTAATTGATGGAATGACAATTCACAAAGGACTTGATTTGAAGATACAATCAAAGACAAAGGGTAAAGGCAACAGGCGACTGGGCGAAAGTGAACAGGACTATACAGTAACAATTAGTGTTCAAAATTGTACAGTATTGCGTGATGAATGGCAGTGTGTTGAGTTTGTACTTATTGATGAAATCTCACTGGTTAGCTGTCAGTTACTCTCTGAGATAGATCATGCATTACGTTATGCCAAAGAAAAACCAGATGTATGGTTTGGAGGTATTAATATAATTTTTGCGAGAGATTTTTATCAATATCCTCCAGTAGGTGGCACACCGCTATACACACCTATATCAGCATATGCAAGACAGACATCAGATGAACTCAGCAAGAGGCTTGGTCGACTTGCATGGAAGCAAGTAAATGCAGTCATAGAGTTGACTGAGCAACAACGTATGAAAGATGATCCTGAGTATAGTGATGCAGTCAACAGATTGCGAACACGTGAATGCACAATGGGAGATGTTGACCTATTTAATACACGGGTAGTTAAGTCAGTGACCCATCTTGATGGCCTTCAAATAAAAGATGATGATGATGATCCTACAGTAATTGTCAATACCAACCTGCTACGACAAGTTATTAATACTGAAAAGGCACAGGCAAACTGTGATGCAGACAATGGTTTGAGCTTAATAATATGCACAGCAGTCGATAAGATTGATGGTCAGGTACCTGAGAAATCCACTCGTGATGCACTTCTGCGACTCAATGTAACACCACTTACTTCTGAAGGTGCCCTCCCAGCATTCATTTCATTATATGTAGGCATGCCTGTGGTACTATGCAGTTGAAACATCTCCACAGAACTTGGAATCACCAATGGTGCTCAAGGCATAGTTAGGCACATCTCGATTAAACACTGTCCTGTCGGATACACATATGCAGATTGTGTTATAGTTGAGTTTTCTACAAGCAAGGTACATCTGCCTGACTTGCCTTCAGGCTATGTGCCTATTGCTCCAACAACATGGTGGTTTACAACTACACTTAGAGATGCCAATGGAGATACACAAAGGTACCAAGTTACCCGACTGCAACTCATCATACAACCTGCATTTGCAGTCACCGGCCACACATTGCAAGGCAAAACACTGCCTAAAGTACTCAACAACATGACTGAGGGCGGCTTTGCAGCCTATGTTGCTGCATCAAGAGCACACACACGAAATGGCTTATTCATCTCAGAGCCAGTAAAGTTGGAACAGCTAAACAAGCCTGTTTCTGCTGACCTATACCATGAGACACAGAAATTTAAAGTGCTTGAGCAAAATACTCTAATTCACTATGGCTTTAAAACAGGATCCCTCGTACCTTTGCCAAATCCTGAAAGTGAAGATGACATCTCCACAAAGTCATTTCATGTCAACTTTAGTGACAGTAGCTCACAGTCAAAAGGAACCAAACGGAAAGCCTCACAAATGGAAGAATCAGGGATTTTGCCATCAATGTCAATGCCACCTTCTGACTCATCACCATACATGTACAAGCACGGTTGCCAATGGTCATCCACAGACTACTCATGTGCATATGATGCCACATTTATGTCACTTTATCACAGCTACTCTCAACTGACCTCTTCTTCACGTGCAATGTGAAAGAATCAGTTGGCTATTGCTAGTCTGTTGGTCAGTTGTTTTGAGAATTTGAGCCCAGACTCCAGTGCCAAGCAGTTTAACATGCAATGTGATTTTCTCTGAGAGTTTCTTAGTAGATGATCACCTATGGAATATCCAAGATATGGTCCACTGTTTGCCTCTGCAGCAAGCATAATTGAATGTGCATTGGAAAACACCACTAACAATATAGTCACGACCATACAATGTCTTGCCTGTTATCAAACATGCCCACTCACGCTACAAATTCCATCTGTTATTGTGTTCACCGGCATGCAGTCCTCTGCTGAAACTCAAACTATACAAACTTGGTTAAGTAAGACCATGACATCATCCATTCTGCATGCAAGAAGATTACTATGTCAATGCGACAGTGAAGTTCATCATAATATAAGCAACATTACACCACCGCCCATCTTATACTTTGAATATCCTTCACAGGAACATACAGTTGTCACTCCCATATTTCATCTGGAATTCAATATGCAGACCACCTACTCATTGGCAGCTGTAATATACTTTGGATCTAGTCACTTTACAGCATGTCTCCTCCACTCTGACAACTCAGGATGGATATACGATGACCAACAGAATGACGGTGTCCCACAATATGAAAACAGAATGCATACCAATGACCGTACAGCACTCCTTACGCTTGACGGACGCTGGGCACACATCCTCGTGTATACATCAAATGGTCCATTCAATTGAATCAACGAAATATTGTATTATCGTCACCACGACACTATACCTATTTTACTGATTTCATTACCCGATCAACACCATCTTGATGCTCAGATGGTTCTTCCATTTGGATTTTTAAAAGACAGCCATACCATCAGTATCTTATATCATATGACTATATGTAACAGTACTGCAACTATCCCACTGGCTTCATTACCTGATCTACATCATCTGTCTTGTCCATTACTGTCAGTGAATTCAAGTGTTGTTCAGCCCATGCCCCTCCTCGGAGTCTTCCGACCAAATTCCAAGCCTGACCAACACCACTCAGATGACAGCGATGATGACGATGCCTCGCTCGTGTAGTTTTCCATTGCTGTAACTACCGTAATAAATGCCTGTACTTGTACTACATAATCACCAATCATACACCCTCACTCTTACAAAAACCGTGAGCACCCCATCGGAGTCGGGGAATGGCGCTCGCGCCGCTACGATGTATGTATGGTAGATATATATAGGCGCACTATACGCACATAATTCAGCTCAATTCATCGTTAACGTTCTGATCAGTCAATCACTCCGAGTCGTAGCTGTAAGCGTTCTCGTCAACCACGTGACATTCATGGCCTGCTCGACCGTTCTCGAGCTCGTGGCAATTTCCACTTTCACCCTTACAGCTAAATTTTTGCGATGTTTCGACGTCCCTTTTCGAAAGTCTATCACATATATCGCGCCACACCTCAGATCTCACAATCCGGTTCTTCGTCAATCTGGTCAGTTTACCGCCTACGTCCGACCACACATTCGTTCGGCACGGGTTACCGTGCACTGTCATCTACTACAAACCTAGCAAGCGATGCTTCTCGTGCATCCACCACTCCAAAATGTTCTGAAACATACTCGAGCGCATCGATTGCAGCTCCAGAACGGCAGACGGAGATACAGTTCAAGACACCAGAACCTCGACTCTCTCTAACATTCACCTGTACCGTGACTGATTGTTTTACACGGTCTACACACGAGTTTACGAGGAGAAGTTATGAACGGGGAATTGTGATTGTGCAGTGTCCGGGCTGCAAGAATCGGTGAGCATCCGGATTGTATGACACTCGGTGTTCTTGCGTTAGTTTCTACTGTAGAACGCGTTAACGATGGACTCTTGCATCTTCCTGTAGTCATCTAATAGCTGACCATCTTGGATGGTTCAAAGAAAGTACAGAGGAGGGGAAGTTGAAGACCATTGAGGACCTCATGCGCGTAAAGGGAGCGGTTGTGCAGCGAGGGCGAATAGACGCGAATGGTGATATCGAGTACGCCCCGGAATAATTGCCGACTTTCACAATAATATTCGGAGCACTGGCACACTAGTCTGCGCTATTGCATCATACTTAGTTCGTTCGTGAGCAGTGTGTAAAGACAGATGTACAGTGATACAGTGCATAATTAGATAGAGACCATCCCGAAGCTATGTCGTACGATACCAGGTTCTTCCTCGGTGAATGCACCCTCAAGACGACTGAGGCGTGGATGCCTGCGGCTCCTCCACGACGGGAGGAACAACACCGCTTTTTTCTAGAAGTTGTTCGAGCTCACCAGACTGGTGCACTGAACCAAAATATTCAAATTCAAGATCGACACAGACGCCCGAGAGAGGTACTCACTGCTCAAAAGAATATCACAGCCACCGACAAATTCGCCATTGACATATAGTTGGGGAATGGTCGGCCAGTCACTGGGTGCTCTATGGTCAGTAAGCCTCGACGCACATAATCTAGCAATACACACGAAAATTCCTTGATCCCACTCCTGAGTTCGCTATCCTCCAGGACATTGAACGTCTTCAACTTCTCTGTCGGGACACCTTGCAGGTCGAGCACCTGAATCGCCGCACGGGAGAAACCGCACTGAGGCGCGTCGGGGGTGCCTTTCATGAACAGCACAACCGGTGTGATATGCACGGCGTCCTGAATCTTTGCCCGTGCCTCCTGTGACAAGAGCCTGCGCGCAACAGAGAGTGAAGGAGAGCCTAGGGTCGCGACAGACGTGCGGAGCGGAGAGAACTGATACCAACGGTTAGCCTGTCGAAGGTGAAATAACTTGCATCGAACCTACAGGAGATCGGAATGCAGCACGAAACATGGTATTCAGGTATCACAAAAGGCTGAAGGTGGGATAGCAAGCTCGACGGGTGGATGAGGTGACCGGTGAAGAACACTTTGGAATTGGAGTGCTCAGGAAGAATACAGGAAATAAAATCACGTGATACAAACCCAGGTTTAGGGTCAGGATGACATTCACCTCTCGAGTCTCGAATGCGATGAAGTAACTTGCACCGGCACTTCTGGTTTGACTCTGCTGACTTGGAAGGGCCGACTTCGTTGGCAGAGCCGTTGCTTGCAATGTATTTTTACTTCTTCATGCAGTAATTATTATCCACAGTGCTAGAGTGTTCTTCGCGTTGCTCTTCTATCGAGCTTTAAGGAGCAACTTTCTACTCCCAAACCTGTTGGAAGCTTAGCTAGAGCCCACAGATTTTCTTTTCTACACAACCACCAATGCTTTGATTGTATTTTCTCTGTGTCTCTGCGTGAATTGACTTTGGCTAGTCATTAAGTGAGGTGCTTTGTCATCTCCACGTAAAGACTCACCGGTCCGTGCGGACCAGTGAGCTGGGCCCAACTGGAACAAGTCTTCCTTTATTACTGTTGTGCGGAATCTTGAGGCTTGCGGCGTCCGTCCCTGTGAGGAGAAAGCACCGAATCATTCGTTACATATCGCAGATTGATTGCACAAGTGAAGTACGATCCGTGCGACGTGCTTTGCTACGCCCTGATGCAATATTGCTGCTAGGACTTGACATAGGCCATCTCGAGGGTTTCGCGCGTGTTACTCGGCGAGCCCCATCTGTTTATTGTCATGTCTCGCGCCGCTAAGGCTACCTTGATCGGGTCTGTGTTTGCATCTGCGTTCATCATCTGGGGTGTCCATCATCTTCAGACACGAGAGCGGGAGGTACGTGCGTCTATACTGGATCTCACAGTCGGCCATGAACCTCGCGTGCGCTTTTCTCCACACTGACAACCTGATCGTAGACAATGTACAAAGGTGTTATCCGCGATGATGAGCGACGGCGCGAGAAAATGCGTCAACGGGAGGAGGATTTGCACGAGTCCCTGAGGAAGAGGGAGATATACGAGCGAGTACAACCTGTGTCCAGCTCTGCTACTCGTGATTCTGGGCAACTATGATATTTGCATTGCTTGCAATTTCATCATAATTCGAACGAGGCAAGTCACAGCTGCTACTGTGAACACCGCCAGGTCAGAGGGATGCGGTTCAAGTTGCCACTGATACCTTATTTGTGGAACTACGAGCAACGGCTGAGGGGTGTGAGGACGAAGAGTTTTACTGTTCGACTGATGCTTCACAGGGTATCTGTTATGGGTAACTCGGAGCGTAAATCTTGTGAGGTACGGGGAGTCATACAATGTTCTTGCATAGTATTCTCACCATTTGTGGTTGTATATAGAACAAGTACCGGCTTGAGTGCCATTCAGCGAAGTCGGTGTCCAGTCGACCACCTTGACATTCGACACACAAGATCGTAGGAGGGTGTTCACTGCTACTGCAGTCTATCTTGTGAGCCTTGACAGCTGAATCTTCTCGAATTTATTGTGGACGAATGTAACGCTGTGCACGTGCTCGATCGCGGTTGGGCTGCGTGCGCTTAGCTGGGCCGTCTATCCAACCTCGAGGCCGCCAAGTCGAACCCGATCTATTAAAGGCGTTCTCCCCACGCAAAGCGTACACAGTGCTCAATCGGGCGGTAAAGTCGACGAAAATCGACAAGTTCTTCGACAAGAAATGTGGCGAAAATTCGTCACAGTTCCCTCGAACGACTTCTTGGAGAGATTCCTCCCAAATCCCGTTGGTCTGACCCCTGGAAATTATGCCGGCGCATTCAACAAGATGCCTCGGGAAGGCGATCGTGAAGAATCGCTATATGAACCATTCGTATGTTTGCATGCCACCCGTCATCATCCTTCTAGTGGCCCTGATCACCATTACAGTGCAAGTGCCTAGTGACTTTGTGTCCAGGTTACAAGTGCGTATCAACAGCGAACGCACCTGATAGGGACGAGAAATTCAAACAGAAGGTCGACGCCGCACTGTTCCTCGAGGAAGAAGCTCCGACGGACGGGAGACAGCACTGGGCGCAGCAGCGGATTTCTTTTGAGTTCAAGAGATATTCTGGTAGGGATGACCCATTTGAAGAGGAGAAAGAGGGCTACGAGCACGATACGTCGTATGGGAACCGAACCCGAGGCCAAGCCATTGCGTACGCCGCTGAAATATTCGCTCGGCAGTTTCGGACGTTCTGTTTCACAGTCCTCATTCTCGGGAATTGTGCTCGCATTGTGCGCTGGGACAGATCTGGTGCCGCGTTTACGGAGAAGTTCAACTACAAGCGGAATCCGGAGATTCTCGGCGAGTTTTTATGGCGGTTCTCGCACCATGAAGCCAAAGAGCAAGGCTATGATGAATCTGCGACTTTGGTCACAGAAGGATCGGAAGACTACGTTCTGATGAAGCAATATGCAGAGACGAAACTGGAGTCTGGAGATTATGTTCGGGAATACTTTAAGACCTCGTACGACGCCGGGTGGCCTTTGTGGAGGTTGAAAGTTGACGATGAGTCGCACCCGGAAGGAGACCACGGCAAGAATACTGGCAAATCGCATGTGGGCACCAGTGCGCGTACGGCATCTGGAGTTTCCACTGCGCCGCGTTCCACATACTATCTCGTTGGCAAGCCACACTTCCTCGCTAACGGTATGGTGGGTCGGGGCACCCGTGGGTACGTTGCTCTCGATTGCCAGACCTGCAAGTTCGTCTTCCTCAAAGACGCGTGGAGAGTCGACCACATCGACATCGAGAAGGAAGGCGACGTGCTACGGAAACTTTACGGCGAGCGTGTTGAGAACGTCCCCACCCTTGTTTGCCATGGAGACGTGCTCGACCAACAGACTTTGACGCAAGTCATTTGGGAAGAGGTCAATGGGCCTACGCCGGAGGCGAGACGTCCACTGAAGAAGCACGTCCATTATCGACTTGTCGTAGAAGAAGTTGGTATTCCCGTCAATGAATTCGCACACGGCTTCGAGCTTGTGAGTATTATTTATGACTGCTTGACAGGTACGCTGTGTTCGCTGTGTATCCTACCTACGTGCTCACTCTGTCTTGCAGCTCATCAGCAGGCGTTTGAAAAACTTCGTCTCTTGCACAGAGATGTCAGCATAGGAAACGTTATGATTGTCGAACGGTTCGACGGGATTGAATTTGTCCGAATCGGATATCTGTGTGATTGGGAGCTGTCGAAGTCAATTCCCGACGGAGATGCGACTCAGGTAGCGAGACAACCTGATCGTACTGTGCGTTATCTACGCTTATCTTGCGATCTGTCTTTGACCTCCAGTCTAGGGAACCTGGCAGTTCATGTCTGCGCTATCACTGCAGAATCCATACAAACCTATCACGCTCCAAGATGACCTCGAGGCGTTCTTTCACCTTGTCTTGTATATGGCCGTACGATTCCTGCCGCACAACATTGGGGATGCAAACGTGGGTACGTTCATATACCGCTACTTCGATGATGCAGATCCTCTCGACCGACAATTCTACGTCTGCGGGGAAAAAAAGTGGTCTACGATTCAAAGCGGGCTTCTCACGTTTAAGACCAAACCAATCACATTCGGCGACGACGCCAACTATCCTATGAACGATCTCCTGGAGACGCTTCTGCCGTGGTTCAGTGCGTACTACGCCGTGATTGGGCATGATCACCCACAGCTCGTGAAGCCCCCTGAACCTGCGGCCGACCCCCAGAACTCCGTGGATGACCCACTCGACAACATGCCACAACGTCTCCGTCAGATACTGCAGATTAATAGCGTTAAGGACGGCATGCATCGCCCCAGGAAAACTACTCGAAACAAAGATGCGCAGATGCAGGAAAATCGGAAGTTGGCACAGAGTTTGAACGGACACTCTGAAATCTGTTCCCTTTTCAGAACGATGCTCGCGGACCCGAAGCGGTGGCAATCGCACGACAAAACACTGGACAAGCTGCCAAAGAATTACAATCTAGCAAAGGAGGTTCAAGGTGTCCGCGACTCGACCAGGCACTCGCTAGGGTGCGCTGGGTTGTCCCACAAGATGAATTCATTGACTTTGGATGCTACACCTGAGGTGGAGCCCGTCGTCAGTTATCCTCAGGAGCAAGTATGCACTCCACCAGTGCCCGAGGACCGCGTCCGGCCCCGCAGTGTGGCCCACTCGGACCTGACAGAATGTATTGAAGGCCCCCACTTATACTCTGAAAGCCCCCGCTTATGCTCTGAAGATCCCCACTTCTCGGTATCATTGTTCGACCTGTTCGAGCCTGCACAGCTTGATCCAGCCGCTCAGCCTCCCCCCCAAGAGGATGCTTTACGTTCCACAAGTGCGCAGTCGTCGCCATTCTGGGAGCTTGCGTGGGGTTGCACTGTGCAGTGAGCCTAAGGCACTCCACTACGAGCTGGTGGTGGGTTGTCAGCTACTTCGTCCGGTTGTCTTCATATTCGCGTTTCTTTCCCACTCCATGTGCCCCATTCCCTGGCTTACGTTTGCGTCTCGGACGTCTGTCGCAACTGCAGTGTTATTAACGTTATCTATCATCTAAGTTAGATCGTGTATTATGTGTTCATTAGCTTGCTCCTTGTCAGTTTTCTCTACCCACCAATTGCAATGGGTCACGATTGTCCTTTCGGCGTGCACATAAGTGTATCCTAAGTTCCTAAGTTGATCCCTGGGATGTGAGGCCTCGAGGACGCGACGTCGTTCTACATACTGTAAGTAGCGGCGAGTCCTCCCAGCGTCAGCAGATCTCGGCTGTTTCCATCCCATCACTTTGTTGACAGATTCCATCCAGTAGATATCTCTGCACTCATGTCTCAATCTGCTTTGATTCAAAGCAATCTACCCGGGTTGTCTCTCGTCTCCAGAGGCAAAGTTCGGGACATCTACGCTACGTCGTCCCCGCAGCATCTACTTTTCGTCGCGACAGATCGCATCTCGGCGTACGACGTGATCCTCCGCAACGTTTGTCCACTTTGTCATTGTTTTCCTGGCTTTTGGGTGACGGGTGACCTTGCGGTATGACATTAACTCTGCGTTGGGCAATGGGCTGGCGCACTATCAGGGGGTGCCAGACAAGGGCAAAGTTCTGACTCGGATTTCCCTGTTCTGGTTCGACAAACTAAGGGATGTCCTCCCCACACACCTTGTCACCGCCGATATAGACAAGATGCCGGAAGAAGTTAGACAATACAAGGAGCAGCTGGAGGGGCGAACTATGCTTGTCCGTAAGGCCAAGGTTATACCTCTTGAAGCCATCGTCCGAGGATATTTGAGTGGTGCGCCTGTCACTGACTAAAATTGCACTGTTCATGGGACTAATTCTCGATGTGATGATATAGGGTCCGGTTGGGCTGAATACAAGGAATATGGAACAGTGCATGGTATCTCCCTACCTGCTGGACTCGTCGAGTCCCAGAAGCTGCCCAAGCCATTGTTTACACCTTCCACGAAAGCAGAACAAGGCCAACACGATGAAAATATTTCTCCGGAACATGGTATGTCTATTTTTCTCATATTCATCCTCACACTAGCATCACTGACCGCCGCTGCGGTAGCCGCTGGGCTGATTGGCCAGAGGCTGTACGACCAGATATCAACAGCCGCTGTACGATTATACAAGGAAGCTGCAGATTATGCATCCACCCGTGGCCTCATCCTCGCGGATACAAAATTCGAATTCGGTCTATTACCGTCGTCCGAGGCGTTGGGAGAAGATCAAGTAATTCTGATCGATGAACTCCTTACCCCGGACTCGTCGCGGTACTGGCCTGCCAGCTCCTACAAGCCTGGCGGTTTGCAGCCCAGTTTCGACAAGCAATACCTTAGGGACTGGCTTGTGAGCACCGGATTCCGCAAGGGCCTTGAAAGCGGTCCTGAGGGGAAAGAAGGGCAAGGTTGGATCATGGAAGACAGCGTTATTGAGGGCACAAGAAAGCGTTACATGGAGGCACTAACGTTACTGATTGGCGAGGGGGCCAGCCTGTAGATGGACTGAAATGAACTCTGAATATATTGTACGGACGACATTTACAATCAATCATAGGGCTGAGGCGTAAGGTTTCATACATAGCTGGCAGGGCGGAAGTAGGTGCAGCATCTTTCGCAGCTTTCCTAGGACGGTGTTCAGAAAGGCTAAAGCCACAACTTGAATGCCAGAGCGGAACCCGAAGATCATAAGTAGATGTCTTCCATGGGCACATGACTTTGACGCGCTTTCGATCTCCGCCCGAAAGCGCGTCATGTCGACGCGCTCACCTGTCCTCTCTTCCAGTTGAACGTGAAGCATCACCGTCCCCTGAGACCTGTGCATCTTACATTATGGCCAACAGGGCAGAACGCGATAAAGCGCTCGCCGCGCTCAAAGTTGCCAGGGAAGGCGGGCGTCGAGAGTGGAAGGTACTGTTCACTGTCCTCCATGATTACCTAGCTTCTCATTCGTTTTCCAGGAGGAAGAAAACGTTGCGATATACGACATTGTCTCAGATGATCAGTACAAGACCATTGTTCAAGGAAGGCTTGCGAAGGACGATTTCGTGGTCGATGACGGCGTGCGAGGTTACATGGATAATGGTGTCGATGACTTCGAACAGGCTGAAGAGGAGATGGATAGCGATGATGACATGAGATATGGGCGGTGTACGTGCTCTCATGATCGTCTCATTACATTGCTGATGGAGGTGCAGCGAGGAAGGGCAAAGTCGACGGGAAGGCGAAAGCGAAGGCGAAGCCAAAACCACCGCCCCCGGCCGTAACACCGAGCATCAGTGCTTATAGACCCGTAGTCTCTGCAGCACAGGAGACTGACTTCATGACTTCACTTTTGGGCGACATGGACGCCCTTCCCGCCCAACCCAGTGGGAGTTCGCGCAAGCGCAAAACCCGACCGGAATCTGTATACGACCTACCGAGAATATCGCCTGCTCGTGCTATAGGCGAATACAGGGACACCTATCCAGATAAATTTGACGCCTCTTCTGATGGAATTCCCCAAGACAGTGTCGAACCGTCAAGCGATGACCAGTTTCTCAGCCCAAAGAAGAAGATTAGGACCGAGGCCATTGACATGACACCAGCCACTAGGAAATTTGAACGAATGGACTTCCATAGCGAAACGGACGAAGGTGACACCTCGTTTGATGGTCTGGACATGGACGCGTTCATGGACGTGGACGACGAGGACATCAATGGTGACGCGCCACTCAAATCCGTGCTGAAAGACTTGAATGTCCAGAAAAGGCCACTTGAGTCCATTGATGGAAGGCTCAACGTTCAGGACAAGAAAGCCAGACAGGACGACACCCCATCGTGGCTCTCTGTCTACGATTCTCTCAGCGTCGCGCCTGACGATACTTTGGGACCGCTTTCCACATCTGTATCTACATCTGCAAACTCCTCAAGTGCATATGTTCTTGAGGAAGATGGTTCTCTACGATTCTTTTGGCTTGATTACCTCGAACATGAGGGACATCTCTACTTCGTGGGAAAGACACAAGACAAGGTCTCGAAGGCCTGGTTGTCGTGTTGCGTCACTGTCGAAAACCTGCAACGCAACTTGTTCATCCTACCCCGAGAGCGGCGCATGCAGGAGGACGAAGCCGGAGATACCTACGAGACTGACGTGGTGCCCGAGATGAAGGACATTTATGAGGACTTCGATCGTGTTCGCAGAAAGGCTGGGATCAAGCGCTGGAGATCGAAGTTTGTCAGGAGGAAATATGCCTTCGGAGAGAAGGACGTGCCCAAAGGAGAGGCGCAATGGATGAAAGTTGTTTATGGTTTCGACGGTAGGTTGCTCGCATGTTTGTCGCAATATGGCAGTTCTGAAGTCGTCACAGAACCACAACTCTCGAACAACGTGTCTAGCCCGAACTTTTCACGCATCTTCGGTACCAACACAAGCGCATTCGAACTGCTAGTATTGAAGCGCAGAATAATGGGTCCATGCTGGCTGCAAATCAAGAAGCCTCATCTAGAACACAAGGGAGTGCGTGAACCAATTCCCTCCTTTGGTACTTTAGGCTGACGTGCAGACGTGTAGGTCTCTTGGTGCAAAGTCGAAGCAACAGTATCGGACTCGAAAGATATCAATCCATTTCCCGAAACGGATGCCAAAGCTCCCAGGGAAATACCCCCATTAACCGTGATGAGTCTTAGCCTTAAAACGATTGTCAATCACAAGCAGAACAACCGAGAGATTGTGTGTGCCACGGCGAGGATCTGGTCGAACAGTATGTTCACATATCTGTCTTCGCGGTGCAGTCATGCTAACTAGGATATCATTTCTAGTACAAATCGACGATCCTACGCCTCCGGAAGCTCTCCCGTGTTCCGTGCGTACGTTTGTTCGACCGTTGGACCGCTTCCCGCCGAACTTCGAAGTACGCGCCGGACGCAATGGCAAGGGCGTCATTTCTCCCATGAAGAACGAACGGATGTTGCTGAACAGCTTGCTTGGTTCGTATTCTCTGACCCTCAGACATTTCCCGACTGAAATAGTGGCACTACTAGTGACTATTCACAAAGCAGACCCTGATGTTATCGTTGGGCACGAATTCCTGGGTGTCTCTCTGGATGTTCTACTCCACCGCATGAGAGAGCTGAAGGCAGACCATTGGTCACGAATTGGCCGTTTCAGGCGATCGAGGTGGCCGAATATCGGTAGGCAAGGGAGCAACCTCCGGTTCGTTAACGGGAGGTTGGTCTGCGATCTTGCTAGTGACAGTGCAAAGGTGCAAAGAGCATCCATGCGTTGAAAGCATACGACACTCACGGATCTGTCTATCGTTAGGGCATGATATCGTCCACTACGTGGTCACTCACAGAAATGTGCAAGACACATCTCAAGAGTGATAGGCAGGATATCGACCCAGACGACACTGCCAGCTACTTCGATAGCGGTGTCAGTTCGCCAGACAGACTCCTCACCTTCGTCCGGCATTGTGAGCTAGACGCTCACTATCAAATGGCGCTCGCCGCTAAGGTGCAGATGCTTCCTCTGACGAGGCAACTTACGAATTTGGCCGGAAACTCTTGGTCAGTTGTTTTCGCTGTTCAGCATACTTTGAAAATGACCGGAGATTTAATGTAGGAACAAGACTCTCAATGGCGGACGTGCTGAACGGAACGAGTACATCTTGTTGCACGAATTCCATCGCTTAAAGTACATCTGTCCTGACAAGCTGTTCGGCAAGAAGGCTGCCACTGCTGAAAAGATCGAGGCACAGGATGACGATGCGGAAGGAGGTAAGACGACTAAAGGCAAGCGGGATAAGTACAAGGGTGGTCTTGTTTTCGAACCTAAGCGTGGATTGTGGGATAAGTTTATACTCGTTATGGACTTCAACTCCCTGTACCCGAGTATCATCCAGGAGTACAACATCGACTTCACCACTGTCGACAGGATAGAGGATGAGGTGAGTGCACGTATAGTTGGGGAAACTGTGATATGCTGATGAATGAACTGATCAGGAGGGTGAAGAAAAAATCCCAGAACCGCCGAGTCCTGAGGTTGCCCAGGGTGTTCTTCCCCGTCTCATTGCTACTCTCGTCAACAGACGTAGGCAGGTCAAAAGTCTAATGAAAGACCGCAAAGCGACACAATCACAGTTGCTTCAGGTACTATCAGTCATATCACGGGCGGTGGCGTGCCACTGATCATTTTCTGCAGTGGGATATCAAACAGATGGCATTGAAGCTTACAGCGAACAGTATGTACGGTTGTTTGGGATTCGAGTACTCCAGGTTCTACGCCCGCCCCCTCGCTGCCCTCACGACGTTCAAGGGTCGTGAGATTCTGACGCATACTCGTGAACTAGCAGAGAGTCTACAGCTTGACGTGCGTGGGGTCAAAGTTGTACTTGAAGGCTCTTCTGATTACGTTCGCAGGTTGTCTATGGAGATACGGACTCGGTCTTCGTTAATTCCAACGTCACTGAACTTCCAGAGGCACTCAAGATATCAGCAGAATTCAAAAAAGCGGTTAATGATCGTTACAAGCTCTTGGAGATTGACCTCGACGGTATCTTCCAACGTTTGCTCCTGTTACAAAAGAAGAAGTATGCTGCCATCAAGGTCGAAGATGGTGGACGAACATCCACAGAGGTGAAGGGGTTGGACATGAAGCGCAGAGAGTATTGCGCGTTATCTAAGGCGGTGTCTCAGTATGTCACCGTTTCTTCTGGGAATGTGCGTTAACCAACTCGTTTACAGATACGTACTAGACCAGATTCTGTCAGGAGAGGCGACCGAAACTGTCGTTGAACGAATACACGAGTATCTCACAACTATGGGCGAGGATATTCGCGCAGGCAAGGTCAAGTTGGACGAGTTCATCATCTTCAAGGTTGATATTATTTCGACCACTTCTGATCGTCATGCTAACCAGTGGGGATAGCGACTCGGAAAAAACCCAGAGGACTACCCTGATGCTAAGAGCCAGCCACATGTCCAAGTCGCTCTGAGGATGAAGGCGAGGGGTGGCACCGCTCGATCGGGTGATGTCATCCCCTACGTATTTTGCGTAGGTGAGAGCGGCGAAGTAGGCAAGACCGCGCAAGCTGAGCGGGCGAAGCATCCCGACGAGGTACGAAGGGCAAGCGACGAGTTGAAGATTGGTGAGTCCGTCGGAGGCCTCGGACATGAATAGAAACTGAAAATGTATCCAGACTACGAACATTATCTGGCACACCAAATCTTGCCTCCGATCGAACGTTTATGTGAACCTATCGAAGGGACCGACCGGTCGCGTTTGGCCGAGTGCCTGGGTGAGCAGTGGACCACTGAACACAATGCTGCGATATCCACTTCTAACTTGATATGTCTCAGGACTCGATGCAAGCCGATACCGCAGTCCGGCTGAGGCGGAAGAACGAGCGTTCGGCACACTGGATTCATTGATGTCAGATGCTGAGAGGTTCAAAGACACAGATCCGTTCGTTGTGCGATGTCGCTCGTGCCAGGGTGAGGTTGCCTTCGCGCCCATCAGTGACAGAGAGGTGCGTTGCTTGGTCCCTCATCAGATTCGGCAGCCGTGGGCTCATGTCTTATGATAAAGGCTTCGTTGCTACTCCCTGCGGGCCCGACATGTCCTGGGTGCCATGGCAGATTAGGCACGGCTAGTCTGCAGGTGCAGCTGGAGACGCAGATCCGGGAACACATCGCGAAGTACTATGAAGGTTGGACTGTCTGTGATGATCCTACATGCGGTAACCGGACGCGGATGATGGGTGTGTATGGGCGAAGATGTCTCCGGCATGGATGCCGCGGTGCAGTGATGTTCGAAGTAAGTCGTGTGGCTCCGTCCAGCATGAGAAACTAGTACTGACGAGTCGCAGTACTCGGACGCGGAACTCTACACTCAGATCCGGTTCTACCTTTCTCTGTTCAGTGCGGAGAAGGCGTTGAAGAGTGCAACGGGGACGAGATTAGGTGTGAATCCTTCCAGCCAGCTAGCGAAAATCAACATTGACCCTCATCTTGATGTAGACGAAATACGGGCCTTGGTCGATCTGCAAGCCGATTTCTTGCAGGTCATGACCGACACTGTGGAAAAATATCTCGACCAGTGTGGGCGCCGGTGGGTGAACCTGACTGGACTTTTCTCTTTCATGAAGATATAACTTGTCTTCGACAACCGCTATGAAACCTGTCTCTCATGCTCTGCATTCATCATAAACTGTTGTATCAATAATACCCCGCATAGCTTTCACAATGGATATCGTTGAACATCATGACTTTGTCTCGGATGCAGATCGTCCAGGGATATCGCGAGTTGTGGAATATGCGCGTCGGTAATATAGCAAGGGGGATGTCCGTAGATCTTTCTCGTCTTCTTTTGGTTCAGGATCAGTAAGTAATTCCACTCGTGTCACTCTGGCGATGAAGAGCTCCGATGCGACACCCTCGCCCTCCCATACCGTCTCCTCATTACTCCGGCCCTCTAGCAACTCCAGGTCGTGCAACGGCCACGACGCCGCCACAAGCTTACAAGAAAGCGCGCCAACAGAGTCCTTCAACACGGGAAGGCCCTCCGCAGAGAGAAAATATGGAGAACCCGCGAACGGGTCCGGATGCAGATCTGGACGGGCGAAGCGCACGGCAGTATCAACCTGTGCGGCGGAAAGGATGTTGACGACCATATGTGACGCGACCGGGAGAGATACGTGTGCGGACTTGAGGGACATCGCCATGCGCGAGGGTATTCGGAGAGAGAACGCGACGAGGGGGTATGGGTCCAACGCGATGGAGCTGAAAGAAGATAGTGTCGCGCCGTGAAAGCGGGAGTGGCTGTGTAGGACATTATGTTGCGCGCCTGACGGCATGAGTGATGTCACCACGGCTACTGGCTGCGCGGTCTCGCGAAGCAGGTTGCGGAGGTCCTGGCGGATGACTTCCGGTGTTTGGAACGTGCTATGAGGTGCTCGCAAAACACTCTGCAACACTTTTTTTAACTTCAGGTTTGCATGGCGCAAACTCATGATCTATGGTTCACAAGCCGTTTTGCAGGCTTACAAGATTGGTTGTTCTGACCGGTGCCGGGGGGGGAGAGACGATATGCGAAACACCTATCGCGACAACGCATTAGATGTACGCGAAATACATCAAGGTGAAGTAAGACGGCGCGTACCTGTCCGCCGTTTTACTGGAACTTATTCAACAGACGTGACGGTGGCAGGTCCAAAGCTCATGTGACCAGGTGGTTGTTGCGGTTTATTTGTAGTTATTAGAATCGGAAGCCTTTGCCCAACAAGGAACGTGATTCGTGAATTGCCAGTTCGATTGCGAGATTGACTAACTTGGTAGATGCCATCAGAGTCCGAGCCCTCATGTCTATTCTCCATTTCTTCTTCACGGAGCTTCGTACCTGGGAGCTTTGCTCTCCGAGGGGAAGTTATGCCGAACAATGCCGATAAAATGATTAAGAGCGGTCACTTGTCTGTCAGGTGCTGCAGAGCGTCTGCGCAAGGTGGATGAATGACTCGGAGGCTCGGGATTGTTGGCTATGTCCGACAATTTCTTTGTCACGCGCAGATCGTTGACCATTGGGTGGCTCAAGGTTTTTCCTTCAGGCGGGCCCCCGGAGCGGCATCTTGGAGGGGCGTCTCCATCGTATCGCCCAAATGCGGAAATGAGACTATTTTGTCTCTGGATGCTTCTCCCATGCGATCACAGGATATAAATCAGCCTGGCGTCTTCGCAATGCCTCAGCTCCCCTTCGACTGTCTCTTTACCTCTCGCCTCCTTCTCCACCATGTCCCGCGACGAAGAAGCGACCCTGGCCGATGAGAGAACTTCCGAGCTTGTTATCCATGGTTTGGAAGATGTTCACGAGCCGATAGACCCTCGCATCAGCCCTTCCGATAGACCCGCAAGCGAAGTTCTTGACGAGAGTTATACCCACCAATTCAGCGACTATATGCACCATCGAGATCACCATCATGCGCACGATCATCATGACGAGAGCGATCTTGAAGCGCAGAGAAGTAGCATTGAGAAGCACCTTGCAAAGGTGGAGTCTCACCCAGAATCCCAGACAAAACCCGAAGAAGAACCGCTCTACGTCAGTTGTGCCTGTTTCGAATGCTTTGAACGATCTAACATGCACCGTTCATCGTAGATCGAGTTCGACAAGGGGGACAAGCGAGACCCTGTGAACTTCTGTGACAAAAGGAAATGGATGATCACTCTTAGCGCTTGCTGGTTCTCAGTCTTGGTCGGTGAGTGAACCTGTGCTCCCAGTTGTCACGAATCTGCAGAGCTGACTTTGGCACAATCAGCCTCTTCTAGCGCCGCGTATGCGCTTGGTTTTCCTTCCATGATGCGTGACCTGAATTGTACCGAATTTCAAGCTACCATAGGACTCTCGTTGTATGCACTGGGTTTTGGCATCGTCCCTCTAGTGTCGGCGTCGTTCAGTGAGGAGTTTGGACGACAGCCGTTGTATCTATGGAGCGGTGTCGGTTTTGTGCTAATGCAAATCATGACTGCTCTGTCAGTGTGCCCTCTTCTTGTCTTTATCCTGTTGTTCACTTTATCTTGCAGTGCCAAAAATGTACAGACTGTAATGATTGGCCGCTTCCTGGCTGGTGCATTTGGATCTACAGGTTCCACTATGGTTGGTGGTACCGTTGCTGACATATGGATGCCCCATCAGTGCGTACATCACACTTCGCTTAGTAACTCAGTGCAAACCCGTAGATGGGCTTCAGGCGTGGATTCGCGATGTCCATGTTCACGACAGCCGCAATCGGTGCAATTGGACTAGGTCCAGTAGCTTCAGGTTGGATCGAGCAGAACCGTCATCTTGAGTGGCGCTGGATTCAATGGATTCATGTCATGTATGGTAGTATGGATCACTTTATATGTATTGTATTTTTTGGCTTAATCTCATCCTGCAGATTCTCCGGTGTATTCGTGCTTTTGAATCTTACCTTAATGAAAGAAACACGGGCGTCGGTGCTGCTCGTACGCCTGGCCAAGAAGATGCGTAAGGAGACGGGCGATCACCGCTACCGTGCCCGCGTGGAAGATGAGCGTGCTAGCCTCACAACGCTCATCTACATCTCTTGCACTCGACCAATTTGTGAGTGGAAGTCTACATGATTCGGACGGCATCATGTTAACGCCCTGCGCAGATCTGCTGATTACGGAGCCGGTTGTCTTGAGCTTCACTGTACGACTATTTGACTTAATACTCATGCGTCGCACTGACGACCACATTTTATAGCTTTGGATAGGATTTGTTTGGGGTATTCTCTACACCATGATTGAGTGGGTAGACGCTCTTGTTTCAGTATCTTCCAATAATCTTACTTCTCTGCATAGGTCTATCGGTCCCGTTTTCCAGAAACTCCATGGGTTCAACTCCGGTGAAACAGGGACAGTTTTCTCTTGTCTGATGTGAGTTAATCCATGCTCCCGCCTGGCAGCATCTGAAGATGTTATCAATAGTCTCAGTTGTGTTCTGGGTGTCATTGGCAACGTCTGGCAGGAACGACTGTACCTGTCAGTACTTCGTCTTCGCGACCTGTCGATGTCAAGGTCTGATTTAATTTAACTCCCTAGAAAATATGTCGAGATGCGCGGACCGGAAGCTCGGTTGTTCGCCCCTTGTGTAGCGGCCATTGTGTTCCCCGCTGGACTATTCATCTACGCATGGTCAACATACTCACATGTTTATTGGATCTCTCTCTGCGTGGGGATCGTGGTATGTAGTTTAAATCTGAGCGCAGTCCTAACTACTGACAGGGAGTACTAGCTCATTATGTGGGCCCTCTGGGTCGTGTACCTGGCTGTGTTCACGTATATAGCGGACTGGTGCGTGCTTTCGCGTGTCTCGATGATCTCCCAACCTGACCAGGACGTCCACCAGCTACGGTCCATTCGCATCTTCTGCGCTGGCAGGGCAAAGTCTATTCCGTGAGCTCTCCATCGTTGTTGTTAGAAGAATTGCCGCTTACTCTGCACACAGGTAATCTGATGGGCATGGCCTTCCCGCTCTTCACGCAGCAGATGTTCGCCCGCCTGACGTACCACTGGGCGAACACGCTGTTCGCCTTGATCGCTGTCGTCCTGATCCCGATCCCCTACGTGAGTCTCACCATCGCGTCATCGGTGGGGCTTCGCTGATGCACACGACCAGGTTCTGTTCTTCAAGGGGCCGGCCATTCGTGCTCGCAGCAAGTTCGCGAAGCAGGTCATGCAGGAGCTCAGCAAGCCGTGACGCAATGCTTATCAGCAGGGGACTCACAGTTACAGTTCATAATTAGTCACACACCACCCATATCGGTCTTCATTGGGAGATGGTGAGCCCGTCGCGGGACATATTTTCTTATTTCTTCCTGAGCTGTAAGGCCACTTGCACCGATTAACGGCTTATGATTCATTACATAGACTAGCATATCACCGCTGTAGCACTAACCTTAGACTGTGCATGTTCGTTCGCATGCATTCATGAACGTGAGCTTTGTCGGAATTTTCGATGACCTCTCCGCTTCTAGATCAATATCGCCGCTGCGTTGAGTTGGGCTTGTGCATTCACGCCATACTTCTAACTCCTCCCGGGAACGCATCGAGGTGTGAGGCGGGCCCGTAGTAGGGTAAGACGGTCCTGCAGATTTCATGGGTGCGCACGGAGCTTGAAACAAAGAAGTTTCCTGAAAGTGGGGGTTAGAGTTCAAATGTTCCTAGCTAATCTAGCGCTACTGCTATAGAGACGTCGATGTACACAACGACACTGGACCTACCCGCTGCCAGTCAATCATCCCTGTGTCCATGGATCCTCAAGAGTTCAACGCGGTCCGGCCTGTCTTCAGGGACGTACTGGAGACATCTCTCGATGAATGCTGCAGCGTTCACCAACTCGCGAGAGTCCTCCACAGCCTCTGAGTTGCGGATGAGTTCAGCCTGCGTGGACGCCAGCGTCGGCGCATCGACTGATAGACCGCACAGGGCAGCGCTCACCGTCGGCGCTCGGAAATTGGTCTCGATTCATAGAGTCAGTCAGGAATTCTGCGGGGGACGGGTGTCCATGTATCCACATGATACGCAGCAGATGATCGTCGTCCACAGTGACGCCTTCGGATGGGTTATCTTTGGAGGTAAATAGACGTGATCCAGTCAACAACTCAAACGCCTAAGGACATGCCCGGGAAAGAGGAGAGATGGCTGATGAGGGATCGAGACACACCAGGCGTCCGACTGCCCACACGTCGACCTTTTAACTAATTAAATCCGCAACTCAGGATGAAAGAGACATCCGAGGGGTGCGCTTCAAGTACCTAAAATTGGTTCCTCGATTGCGTAATAGATTCCGGAATCAGGCGTCTTGCTTTCATTTTCATTGTCTCTAGCTGCACGGTACCAAACCCATAAGCTGATGGAAGAGACATCTGACGAGTGGCATATAGCACTGACATTAGTCCCACCGTTTGCATACATACCGAGGCCTGGCTAGGCGTGAGCAGTGCCGGCCTGAATCAGCGACGTCCGTCTCCGGTTGATCAGCTTGCCATTTGGCACACGATCTTGGTCTGATTGCAGGAGTGCTCACGGTACTGTTACTGCAGATCTAGTCACTATCATCTTGTGAGTGCCAAATCATTCGATGGACGCGATCTGTCACGAAGCATGTCACGTCTGCGCACGTGCTCGATCGCGGTTGACTGCGCGCGCTTAGCTAGCCTTCTATCCAACAAGCAAAGTCGAACACACCTGCTGTATACAACCATTGTCTCTGTCTAGACAACCGTTTGTTTGTGCCCGCTTCACGCCATTTTAGGGTCGCATCTACTGATCTTCATTGTCCCCGCATAGATCTGTCACGCGCTTGGCCACGCAGGGTCCCCGATATTTAACGAGCTTTCCAACCTTTGCGGTATGCATCTTCATCCACCATGTACGCCCAAGGCACTCCCACTAAAGTCGTTCTCCCTACACACAGCGTACACAGCGCTCAACCCAGCGGTAAAGTCGACGAAAATCGACAAGTTCTTCGACAAGAAATGTGGCGAAAATTCATCACGGTTCCCTCGAGCGACTTCTTGGAGAGATTCCTCCCACGTCCTGTTGGTCTGACCCCTGGAAATTATGCCGGCGCATTCAACAAGATGCCTCGGGAAGGCGATCGTGAAGAATCGCTGTATGAACCATTTGTATGTTTGCATGCCACCCTTTATTATCCTTCCAGTGGCCCTGATCACCATTACAGTGCAAGTGTCTAGTGGCTCTGTGTCCAGGTTATAAGTGCGTATCGACAGCGAATGCACCTGATAGGGACGAGAAATTCAAACAGAAGGTGGATGCCGCACTGTTCCTCGAGGAAGAAGCTCCGACGGACGGGAGACAGCACTGGGCGCAGCAGCGGATTTCTTTTGAATTCAAGAGATATTCTGGTAGGGATGACCCGTTTGATGAAGAGAAAGAGGGTTACGAGCACGATACGTCGTATGGGGACCGAACCCGAGGCCAAGCCATTGCGTACGCCGCTGAAATATTCGCTCGCCAGTTTCGGACGTTCTGTTTCACAGTCCTCATTCTTGGGAATTGTGCTCGCATTGTGCGCTGGGACAGATCTGGTGCTGCGTTTACGGAGAAGTTCAACTACAAGCGGAATCCAGAGATTCTCGGCGAATTTTTATGGCGTTTCTCGCACCATCAAGCCAAAGAGCAAGGGTACGATGAATCTGCGACTTTGGTCACAGAAGGATCGGAAGACCACGTTCTGATGAAGCAATACGCAGAGACGAAACTGGAGTTTGGAGATTACATTCGGGAATACTTTAAGACCTCGTTCGACGCCGGGTGGCCTTTGTGGAGGTTAAAGGTTGACGATGAGTCGTCCCCGGAAGGAGACCACGGCAATGACCCTGGCAAATCGCATGTGGGCACCAGTGCGCGTACGGCATCTGGAGTTTCTACTGTGCCGCGTTCCACATACTATCTCGTTGGCAAGCCACACTTCCTCGCTAACGGTATGGTGGGTCGGGGCACCCGTGGGTACGTCGCCCTCGATTGCCAGACTCGCAAGTTCGTTTTTCTCAAAGACGCGTGGAGGGTCGATCACGTCGACATCGAGAAGGAAGGCGATGTGCTACGGAAACTTAACGACGCGAGTGTCAAGAACGTCCCCACCCTTGTTTGCCACGGCGACGTGCTCGACCAACAGACTTTGACGCAAGCCGTTTGGGAAGAAGTTAATGGGCCGACACCAGCGGCAAGACGTCCGTTGAAGAAGCATACTCATTATCGCCTTGTGGTTAAAGAAGTTGGTTATCCTCTTGCTGAGTTCAAGGAAGGTTTTGAGCTCGTCAAGGTTGTATATGACTGCCTGATAGGTTTGTGGTGTACACCGTATGCGCTGTCTGCTTGTTCACTCTGATATTGCAGCTCATCAACAAGCGTATGAAAAGCTTCATCTTCTTCATAGGGATATCAGCGTAGGAAATATCTTGATGATGGAACAGGAAGGCGAGGAGGTCCGAGTTGGATATCTGTGTGACTGGGAGCTGTCCAAATTAGTTTCCGGAGGGAATGTGCTTCAGGCAGCGAGACAGCCCGATCGTACGGTGCGTGGTCTATGCTTGCGGTGCGATTTGTGGTTGACTCTCTTGTCTAGGGTACCTGGCAATTCATGTCTGCGCTGTCACTGCGAAACCCGTACAAGCCCAGCACGCTCCAAGATGATCTCGAGTCATTCTTTCACCTTCTCTTGTACATGGCCATTCGATTCTTGCCCCATACCATTTCGGACGTGGGGTCTTTCATATACCACTACTTCGATGCCTCGAAGTCGCATCAAGGACAATTCTACGTCTGTGGAGACAAGAAGTGGTCTACAATGAAAAATGGGGACCTCTCAGATGATGGCGAACCTATTGAATTCGGAATCAGCTCGACCTATCCGTTGAATTCTCTCCTGGGAACATTACTGGGATACTTCAAAGGATACTACGCCGTAGTTGCGCAGGATCTGCCATATCTATTGCAGCGCCCTAAAGTAGGCCCTGCGAGCAGCAATATCATTACTGCCAATTTGAAACGTAGGCCGACTTATCTCCCTCCAACTTTTCAGAATGAAGTCGCCTCCATGAATGCCACCAAGGTTACTCAGGCTATCGAAGTACAGATGAAAGAGAATCGGGAGATGGCGCAGCAATTAAACAGCCATAAGAGAATCTGTGGCCACTTCGAAGAAATCATTCGATCGGACTCCTGGTTAGAACTGGACAAGACGACGGATAACTTACCAAAGAAGTACAATCTCGTTAAAGAGACGGAAGGAGTCCGTGATTCAACCAATCGGACCTCGCTAGGGAACGTTGACGTGCATGGGCTGAGCACGAAGATGATGTCGTTGTCCCTGAATTGTACACCAAAGATGCTGCCAGTCGCGAGTGACGCCCAGGAACGGGTTTGCCCACCCCTACTTCCCCAGAAACCCCGCAGCGTGGCCCACTCGAATCCAACAGAATCCTTTCATACAGACCCCCACTTATCCGTATTGTCGCTCGACATGTTCGGACCTACGGAATCAGATCCAGTGGCTCAGCCTCCTACTCCCCCTCAAGACCATGTTTCGCATTCCACGAATGCGAAGAATGCACAGTCGTCGCCATTTTGGAAGCGCACATGGAGTTGCACTGTTCAATGAACCTAAGACTCTCCCCAACGAGCTGGCGGTGGGTCGTAAGCTCCTTCGTCTCGCCGTCTTCATATTTGCGTTTCCTTCCCACTCTATATGCTCCATGCCCCAGGTTGCGTCTGCGTCTTGGACGTCCGTCGCAACTGTAGTATTATTAACGTTATCTATCTAGACCGTGTATTTCTCATGTGTTTATTAGTTTGCTCCTTGTCTATTTTATCCATCTGCCAATGGATTACGGTTGTCGATGCTTCGTCTGTCTCACACCCTGTCCAAGTAAGTGTATATCCCTTGATGATCAAAGCTGATGCATGATGTCTCAGGAGTACGGCTGCATCTGCAAAAGTGAATTATTTACTGTATACCAGCCTCTAGATCTTTTATGTATGTTCCACTACGACTGCCTCGTCTACACGGTCTCAATACTATGTAAGCCCGTCTAGGAAGACAATCGCTATGTGGGATTCTGTTGAAATGCTGGATCTAATAGATCTCTCAACGGTGGACGCACGACGCGTTTCGTCAGCCAGAATGTTTAGGTATTTTCTAGCCGAGCTCAGACAGCTCTGTATGTGCTCCTGTCCGGACGGACTTCACTCAAGGCTTTCAAACGCTGACATTCTGTGAGCTGCTCAGAATCTTTATCTTCGGTCGGCGACAATAATCTTCCGGCCCTAGTAGTAAATAGACCGGTTTGCAGATCTTTCATGTGCGGAGGCACAGGCTCTATGTCGAATTCATGCTCCAAAGTACAAGCTGGTCTAGACTCTACTACTACTGCAGGATTTAGAGTTCAGAAATGGGAGACGTTCTCAACTTAAGCACATGTCCGCAGGCATCCGATTTGCTACACTGACATGCAAAAGGATTTGTTCAAGATGACTCTCTGGTAGAACGATCCTCTCGAACTGTGATGGACCACTTTGCTGATTTGACTGTGCTTAGGTTGAGTGCAAGTGTTCTGTCCGAGTCGGGGATGCAATCATGACTTTGATGTCTGATTTGACGGACGACGAATTGGGACGGCATATCCCTACTATTATGATAACAGTTACCCATATATCGTTTAGTCCTTTTATTCAATGTCATTAGAGTGTTTGCAGCCGCGGCTGCCCTCGTTGTAAGGGCCCCTTGCCTTTCTGGGAGTCATGGACCCTCAGGTGCACACAGATGGATCTGATGATTTGGTGACTGTCGCTGCCGCGCACACTCGAGGCTACGACGCCTTAACCAGCCTCAATCACGGTGAGATTCCTTCGTGTTAATCGCCCTAAGATGCTACCTTGTTAAGGTATATGCTAACATGTCACTCTGAAAGGTACAATTCATAGCGTTCTTCACGACTGACAACGAGTTGTCGCTGTCCACAGTAGTAGAAAGGCAGGTGCCCAAGTATGCAATCAATCGTAAATTTTTTTTAAGAACCAGCCTGGGTACTTAAACCTGAAGCCTCTGCTGTTTCTCTGACACAGCTCCTCCCAATCACGCGAGTCGCATCCCGTCACGTCCAATAAAGCCGTCCCGACTCTAGTCGCCCCTGACTCTACCCTCCGAGTTGGCACAGATACTCCTGTGGCTTTCAAGTATCCGGAAAAGCCCGTTGGTCTTCCGGCAGCGCTGTTACCCTCGGATGTCCCGGCACTCATGGAGATTTACATCGGGGACGAGGCTGGAGTCGACCACAGTCGTTACACCATAGTTCATAAAATGGGATATGGATCATACTCAAGCGTTTCGCTTGCTCGTGATAAACAGTACGTGTGCCGTGGAGTTACCCGTTGTCTCATCGTCACTGATTTCGCTTCGTTTGAGAAGTCCAAGTATGTCAAGATCTGTTGGAGGTGTGCGGATTAGCAATCCGGCATCTACGGAAAGGTCCGGGAAAGGTCCGTAGGGTTAGGATTAGTAAGGACAATGTCTCGAGAACAGTCTGGTAGTTTCTAGTCTTTTAGTTTACAGTATATAAGGAGCTCAACAGGCTTCTATGTAGTTAAGCCAATTTCTATCCTCTTCCACTCGTAGCCCGAGGCGCAGTTGCTTACAGGTTATGAGCCCCGTGCTCACACTAGTTCACATCTAATCTCTCCCTCATATCTTATCACTCGATCTTATCACGCAAGATGGCATCGCTAAATCCCCATGTCAAGCTCCCGACCCTCACGGGAGATAATTACTATGACTGGAAATTTGCGGTTTCCATGGTCATGCGGCGCAACGCGTGCTGGGATGTTGTGAGTGGAAAGGTGTCGAAGCCTGCCGAAGACAAGTTGGGAGACTGGCCGAAGAAAGCGGAAGATGGACTCACACTGATCGGGCTCACAGTCGATCCGAGCCAGTACGGCTACATTCGTGATTGCGCGGATGGACCGGCGGCATGGAAAGCATTGGCGGCGGTCTACGAGAAAAATAGCCGCGCGAACCGAATCGCCCTCAAGCGTCAATTCTACAATTTCGTGCATGATCCCAAGTGTCCGATCCGGGATTACATCAGCGGCATTACCGATTTGGCAGCAAAGTTGAAGGGCATTGGAGTTGCGCTCGAAGATGAAGATGTTACTGATGTCCTTATATTCAATCTACATGAGGACTACTCTAATATCGCGGGCACACTCACAGCCACCAAGGGTGATCTGAAGATAGCAGATGTGACAGGTGCTCTAGTCGACGAAGAAGGACGACGCGGAGGATTGCCTAAAGCGGACGATGAAAAAGAAGTCGAGAATATGGCATTATTCGCGCAGAAAGAACGTGACAGAAATCGTAACGTGGAATGTTACAATTGCGGAAAGCGTGGTCACATTGCTCGTGATTGTCGCTTACCGGGCAGGTACAACGAAAAGAATTCGGCAAAGGCCGAGAAGGCATCGGTTGCCTTTGATTTGCGAGACGTTGCATTTTGAAGGGTTAGGGTTACCGTGGGAATCAAGGGAGGTACCTTGGGAATGAAGCATTGGCTCTGCTGTTGTGGTCGAAGGATCTGGCGGGATGGTAGCAGGAGGCTCTCTTGTCACGAGCATAGGGCTCCCACAGCATATAGCGAGGTACAGGATTTCCAAGTATGGATAGCCGATGATTTTTGGAGATGCCGAATTGAAGGGGTGTGTTGGAGGTGTGCGGATTAGCAATCCGGCATCTACGGAAAGGTCCGGGAAAGGTCCGTAGGGTTAGGATTAGTAAGGACAATGTCTCGAGAACAGTCTGGTAGTTTCTAGTCTTTTAGTTTACAGTATATAAGGAGCTCAACAGGCTTCTATGTAGTTAAGCCAATTTCTATCCTCTTCCACTCGTAGCCCGAGGCGCAGTTGCTTACAAGATCCTTACGAGACAAGCTACGAAGCTTGTTGAGACTGAGTTCACGAAAGAGCCACGCATCCTCGGTTCTACTAGAGGATTCGCGTCCAGTTCAACAGGAAAGGTGCAGACAAATGTTTTAAGCTGTACGACAGCTATGTCTTCAGACGGCAAGGAACGATACTGGCCCACATCTCTGCTTGGTTACGGAGCTTCTCGGAATAGATCTCAGTCGCTTTCGTAGACAGTTTCCGCGGAGAGCTTTGCCGCTACCCCTCCTGAGGCTCTCCCTGAGGCATCTTCTGATCGGCCTAGATTTCATTTATTATAGCTGCATGCTGACGCACATGGGTGAGTGGAATGGTTTTCTTGGCCTCGAAAATGCTAAAGTTTGCACATAGATCTGAAGCCAGACAACGTAATGCTTCTCCTTTTTCGGACGAGGAGATCACGGTGCCCTCCGAAGTACTGTGCTTCCATGTCGGTTTTGGGTCACGAAATCCGTCCCATAGTCAGTCAACCACTGCGCCCTGCAGGAACCCATGGATAAACTGGTTTTCAACCTCGCCGAGTTTCGGGCACGGTGAGACTGGCATTTTTGGTTTGCAGCGTTACTTAATTCGCTGTGTTCACAGCCCAGATCTGCGGGGAGGAAGTGACAGACGTTATCAGTCCCAAGACGTTCCGTACCCCGGAAGTTATCTCGCAATGCGGATGGAACCTCGAATTCAAGGTCGACGTTTGGGCCGTCGGATGCCTGGTGCGCCACGATCCCCAGCAGCCGTCTCTCTTCTTGACGGAGTGTCTCTTTGAGACGTTTGAGCCGTTGACTGGATCGCAGCTGTTTACTCCCGAAGACAACCCTTCCGAAAGCGTCACTGCAGACGACGATCATCTGCTGCATATCATACAGATTCAAGGCTATCATATCTCTTCCGAATTCCTCGCCGACTCCCCGAATCAAGACCAATTTTTCAACGCCGATCATGGTGAGTCTATCAGCGACCAACGATTCGACGCAAGGCGCAAGACCTGTACACAGGTACGATGATACACGTGCCCACGAAGGTCGATCCTAGGACAATAGCTGAGCACATACGCGACTCCGAGACCGTGGACGACCCTCGCGAGTTGGCGGTGGCTGCAGTGTTCATCGAGTGTCCCTGAAGACAGGCCAGATGCCGAGGTCCTTATGGAGAATCCCGTGGCTTCAAGGGTAGATCGAGTGTTTCTGTGCAGAGTTTCAAGAGTTTTGGAACACGGTGGTACCGCGAAGGCTAACTTCTCGGTCTCTCATTGGCCACCATTTAAATGGATTCTCGAAGCAGCGAAAACGTGGTCCCCCGAAGGCAGACTACAGCAGGAGGAGGGTGTGACTAGGTCGCGATATTAGGTAAGTTTATGTCTTCGAACGCTGCTCTTCGTGCAGGTGCCACCAAGTTGGCCATTAATATTGAAGACACATTGAAGACGCACTGAGCGTTAGTGCGATTTAGGCTCATCAACAGTTTCGGCAGTCAGACTATACATAGGTATAGTGCCCTGCAGTGCCAGCAGGCTCGGCACCTCGAGGATCACATGACAAGATTCATCGTGAAGAAAAATCGACAGCAGGGTTCATAATTCACGGGCAGCATTCTAAATGTGCTGCGGTGACTAGCATGAGTAAGTACATAACAACAGCCACACTGACAAGAGGGAACAAGGAATCCAAATTACTCAGTACAATATCTGGTATGTAAATTCGGGTACATAACAGCCATCCTTCCGTATATCAGCACTGCTTCGGACAACGAAACGCACCGGCGAATTGGGGATCTGGTCCAGATAACGGGCATGATCGCAAAGGGAACGATCGCGGGCAAAGCCAACTCCCGCGAGGCTCAGAGCCAAAGCACGAGTTCACTGCACGTTGGCCTGGTTCTCCGTGGTTTCCGCCGCAGTGGTCTGGAATCCGGCCCAACTCATGTGCTTGCTAACGGGCGCCCCGCGCTCCGACTCGCTGAAGCGACCCCAGTTCACCCACCACTCGTCGGCGGCGTCGGCGGCGTCGTAGCCGAACACCTCCGCGATCTCCTCGAATTGCGCCTTGAGGGTGCCCTCGTCCCACTCGTCCAGCTCGCGGCTCACGCTAGCGTTGCGTGCATCGCGCATCGGCCCAGGCGGCATCGCGACCAGATGCGCGTTCGCGATGTCTGCAACTTTGACCGCCTTGCAGCGGCCCTGCCGCAGCTCCTGGTATGCGCTGATGAAGGAGGGTGCCTGCAGCCAAGACTTCAACCGCCCGAACAGCGTCCCGAACACGACAGCATCTTCCACGGCCATGGCTGCGCCGTGAGAGCCCCCGGGCTGAATCGCGTAGATGATAAGTGTGCATTGCCGCCTGTGGAGCGGGAGCGACTTACAAACCATGGATGTGCTGCCTCGCCTATCAGCACGATCCGCCCCGTCTCGTCCGCCCAGTCCTCGATCGCGTCGTCTGGGCGCTCCACGAATCTTGTTCGGATTAGGCTCGATGTCATGTTCAGCAGCCGTTGCATTCTGAAATGAACCACGTTGACCATGTCACGACTGGTCTCAACCGCAACGGCTGAGAGGGCTTACCTCTGCGAATGGCCTTGATTCTTGTAATTCACGCTGTCCGTGGGGACCTTCTCATCCCACCCTTCGTCTCCACCTTGGCAGTCATATTGGTCGCCCAGATGCGAATACAAGTGGAATCCGAATTCCCGCTTGCCTCGCTACAGGGATCATATCAGACACGTCGTCGACGAGCGCTAGAAGTGGCACCTACAACTCTGTGTACTAACGAAAATCATGTGAATACGCTCATCTGCTAGGGTAAAGGAAAACTTACTACACATACTGCGATCCGAGCCCATGAAGATGGGCCACTGCATTACACACCGTCAAGCTCAACGACACACGGTCTATCCGGAAACACACTCACATCGTCATTCTCGCCGTAAATAGGCTGGAGCTCCGGGTAGGCAAGCATCTTCTCCGTAGGCACGACGCCCGTATAAAGCGTCATTTTCGGAACCTTCTCCTCATCGGGCCCCCAAATAACTTCTCTAATAAAGCTATTCGGGCCATCTGCAGCGATGAGAAAGTCCGCTGTAAGGACCTCCCCAGAGCTCAGCGAGACGCTCGGATTAGGTAGCGCCTCAGTCCCCTGGTGAATGGCTACAACCGAGGTGTTGAAGTCTGTTTGTACGCCCACAGATATAGCGAGCTCATATAACATGCGATGACAGTCGGCATGCTGCATCAGAAATTCAGTTACTGCGAATGCAGCGGTAGCGCGACGGACGCACGTGCATGACGAGAAACTCGCCGCCTGCTTCCGCCATTACGGCAGGCGTCCAGTGCAGGTGTCCAACGAGTTCGCCCGTTATCACTGCGACAAACGAAAGCTTATCAGCCAAGCACTCGAAGTAAAATTGACAACGCGTAATAATCAAATAGCGATAGATTATTCGCTTCGCTACCACTACGATAGAGAGCCCTGTTTCAGAACTGCTGCAAGCGGTTAAGAAATCGGCACCAGGTGATTATCAAGAAGAATCACGGTCGTTGTTCAGCCTGAGCTTCGACGTATTGCCATCGACAAGTGCGAATCAGAGTCTGAGCCAATCAGCAATGGAGGGCTTCCTAGCCAATGAGATCTCCTTCAGCGAAGGCCAGATCGTCGATACATCTCGGCACGGGGAACACCGGGGGACGAAAAAGGCAGCAAAAGGAAGCCGTTGCGCGCTAAGCCCGACTTCGGAGCCTGAAGACTGCATGTGCAATGTACGCCCACACAGGAAGAACAAAGCAATGCCCAAAGACGCTAGCGCACTCGGCTAGCCCCTCGTCACTCCCACACGCTCTGCAGCTACGCGGATGGCCGACACAGACAGCGGACATGTATACAAGAGCACTCACTGTCGAGGAAGGGAGATCGTGTGCAACGTGTGGTGACCCGGGCGAGCTCCTCGGGGCCAACCCATCGTCGGAGAATTTTGCTGAGGTTGGGAGGAACCCGCAGGGGCCCTGAGGGCGCAGTGAGGTCGTGTTTATCGATGACGCGGACGCGATGACCGGACTGTGCGAGGACGAATGCAACGGCAAGGCCGGCAATACCTGAGGGGAGCGGGTTAATGAGAAATTTTGGACAACAGACGCGCAGAAACGCGCAGAAAAACTGGACGAGGGAAGAGAGAACAAGATGCTGAGGTCGATGGCCGCGCTACCTGGATTGGTAGAGGGATCTCCCAAAACGTCCGTCATGGTGCGTCGTGAAGGCGTAGACGAAGGACGGGGGTAGGATGATAGCACTGAACTGAGGGGTCCATCTGTAACCACGGAAAAATGAGGGACACGCACCGCCACCGGATACGAGAAAATCGAGACGCAGAAGAGGCCCCGGACTCTCAGAACGGACCATGATTCTTGAGGAGGGAGAGGAGGAAGATGCAGGCTTTGAGAGGGAGATATATGTTGGTGGAAGAGAGGAAGTTGCGCATGACAGGTCGGATAAAGACTGGACGCCGCGTATCACCGTGACGTTAACCTAGACCGGGCAAAGTCCGCTGGTGCTTCGCGGATGCGATGGCAGCTTCGCTTGTTGCAGATATCGACCGCGTAAATTCGCAGTAGAGTTAAACTTCCTGCAGCGATATTCGCAGTTGGATATTCGTTTGCGCTCTGTCAACTGGCCTTCCGATCTGCAATCAGCTCCCGACTGAACCTTAGCGCACCGATTGTGATCAACCTTTTCCTCCCTCACATGATCGGATTAATTATCGTCTTCCGGTGGACCGGCCGGCATTCAGCCATGGGTTATTTTGCAGTTTATGTAAGTCCGGGTTACGTTGAAATGATGACCATCTGGCCCAAAAGGGAATATCGCTTACCTCACCCAAAATGGAGGCTGCCACAACATCACGTGCTCGCCATGCTCTTGAGTGGCGGAGGACGCTGTGGCCATGTCTTCAGGTTTGCGCTCGACGAACATTTCATTTCCCCCCCTTTCTCCTTCCCCCATTAATGGTTTTTCCTTTCAACTTCAAACTTTCTGCTCCAGGCCCCGCAAATCCCTTCGCCTCCCCGCAAATGCGGCGCCCTTCCAACTCAGCGCCTGGGGACCGTGACTTTGACAAGCGGAAGCTCGGGAACTTCCTCCACCCACGCCGACCTCCCTCCCCGTCTCTCCTGCCACCCCTAGCCAAGAAGAGAGGATGGATTCCCTCCATCCCTGAGCCCAGCCCTGCTGCTGCCTTCCCGACCTCTACTAGTGGCTACCTCGACACTCCCGCGAAGTACAGGGACACCGTGGAGGCGGCTATCCAGGGAGATGATATTGACGAGATGGTGGCAGGTGCGCATTTGTTTCGTTCCGAGATCTCTCCACGAGTTTGGCTGGCGTACTTGCGGCGCCCGCTTCACATCCTGCGCGCTCCGGAACCGAAGATTGTGGCCACATCTCATCACACTGTTTTGGGCAGATCGCAGCTTCGAGATATGACTGGTTAGATTATCTGAGAGCTTTGAACACTTCCTGGCACGATTCAGTTGTCAGGCAGACTCCTAGCGTGTCTGGCCATGCTCAATCGAGTCTTATCGCGTGGGGTGGCCTCTTCATCATCATGCCTCTCGCACGTGTTTCATTCCTGCATGCAGTTGTTTTTGTTATATCTCGTCTTCATCCTTTCATTCTTCACAATGTGTGTTTTTAACATCGCTTTTTATGTTCGATTAGATCTTCCCCCGCCCAAACGGCGTCGCACCCTCACTGGCTCTATCGTCTCAACTGCGATGAGCGCTGCTCTGATAGGGACTGCAGTAGGCCTTACTGTGTATCGACTGTGCGTACCGTGGTCTCTCCGTTTTTCTGTAGAATCTGAGTCACTAATATTTCCTATCTCACAGGTGGAAAGACAGGTCCAAGCACCCCGAGCAGCTCCCCCCTCCCCCTTACGAGCAAGGGGAGTGGGTCCCTCCTAAGGTATGTAGCTTTCTCTATCTCCGCTCAGCTAAGGCTAATCTACTGCAGCATGAGCTCTCTACGCCCATCTCACCGATTACGCCGACTGCCGATGCAGAATCACCGGCTCCGCGTTCCAAGAAGAACCATCACGTCGCGGGCCGGCGGACTGCCCCGCGTCATCGCAAGACGGTCTCCCGCGCAAACATTATTGGTAACTCCCCGCCCATGGGTTCTTCCGTCCCCACCGCCCGCATGCCGATTCCCGCCCAGTTTAACTTCGTCGGCGCAGACGAGCCGGAGGTGGACGTCGACGACCAGATGTCGTGGATGGGCGACAGGCTCGCGCAGCTGATTGCCGAGGGGCAACGCGCCCTCGGAAAGGAGGTAGTTGTCATGAGCGAGGACCAGGAGGAGCCGGTGGACGATGGTGCTGATGGGTGGGTCGAGGAAGAGGATGATGATACGCCTTCTAGACGTTCCCGATTTTCTACAGGCAAAGGCAAGCAGCCCTGGGGCCCCGCCCTCCCCTCGTACTCACCGTCGCACGGCTTTCCGCGGCATGATCGGACTACCTTCGACATGAAGCCGAGCGCAATCGCAGTTCCTAGCCTCGGCTCGCCGCGGCTCGGCAGGGAGGCGTCCCTCGAGTCAGAGGGCTTCACCAGCGCGAGCTTCATGGAGGACGAATCGGTATGGCAGACTGAGGAGTTGAGGGAGTCGATGGAGCGCGCGCGGATGCGTTACCAGCGGAATCGCGCGTGATTTCGCAATCCCTCAGTCTTATCCCAGGTTCTCCTCTTCACATCACAGGCTCTCTCTCTCTCGCATCTCCTTTCTCTTGCAGTGCTTTCACCGATCTACACTCCACGACACCCCTTCCACGACACGACACGATGACTCGCACGACAGGCACGCTGCTTAGTTTACTGCATATCAGCATCCCCGCATATCCATATCGCTATTGTATCGTATGTACGTGTGCTCGCGTTCTCTATAGGCTCTGTGAAAATTGTATGTAGCATTCAAGATGTTCCTCGAATACAAGTTCTGTTCCTCGTTCTCCTCGTCGTGTAGTTGTATGTCGAGCTGTACCTACGTATCTGGTCTCACTCAGCTGTATCTTGTCAGTTTCGATTTCAATCCAATGGACTCCAGTTTCGTTTTGTACCCGACTAAAACATTTCGAGGACACCCAGCAGAGGAGTGTGCACGCGAGCGCCGAGATTTGATCGGTGCCGTAGCCGCACGCCACCCGGGCCCTCCAGTAAGATTGGCGCCCGCGCCCCCGCTGCAGCGGTGTTCAGGCCGAGCAAGGCTCTAACGTTCCAGCCAGCCAGCCCAAACGCCAACGGAGCGTCTCTCATTCTGAGCACAAGCCAGACTGTCTCTGCATCAGCCGGGCGCAGCTGGTCTCACCCTCCAAGGTCTTTGAGCAACTATTCCTCACTGCGAGTCCACCATGTCGACGATCTCGACACACCTGCGGAATTTCAAGGAGCCGACCAAGAATCAGCTCCTGCAGCTCTTCTTTGCGCTCCCATTTGATGCCCCCGCCAGCACCTTGAACGACGAGCAGAAGGGTAAGGCACAGGACGACTTGTCCGAGGCCCAACTCGAGAAGATGGAGATCAATGCGGTGCTCAGCCTCCAGGGCGAAGAGGACTCGTATGTGAGTGTGCCATCTGCAGCAGGATGTGTGCGAGTGTGCTGAGGCATGCGCCGTCCGTGTCTGCGTAACTGTGTCTCCCTGTGCGCTAGGCAGGGAAGCTGCACCTCCTCCCGCCCTATCTCGCCTTCATCTCGCTCGACCGCAAGTCCGCGCGCTTCACCGTGCCCCTGTGCACCATCCGCCGCGTCGAGCGCCTCAACGCCCGTGCGGGGATATATGCGCTCAGCCTGTCGCTCTGGCATGGCATGAAGATCGTGCGTCGCGTTCACTCGTCTGCCTTCTCACTAGGCTGAGCGCTATTCGCGTCTGCTCTGCACTGGACAGATTGTGCAACTGACGTCATTACGCCCCACGGCGGACCTGTTCTGCTCGCTCCTGCGGGACGCGCTTAAGGTGGAGCTGCAGCGTGGGATGATGAAGGCCGTCAAGGGTTTCGTGAAGACGTGTTATTCGGAAGTGCTCGTCGCCGCGGCAGAAAGCGAGGAGAAGGGGGAGAAGGAGGGCTCAAGCGCCGCGAAACTGGCGGAAGAAGGCTCCGCGACGAGTGCCGAGTCGATGTACCTCGGCGGCTTGGGACTGAAGTTCAAATTCCCTGGCGATCCGAAGAAGTGGGTGCCCCGTCCCCGATAGCGCGAACTGAGCAGCTGATTTGGGACGTGTAGGCTACGTGAAGCATCGAAGACAAAACTGTGGACTAATTACCTACGCAGTAAGCAGGCAGTGTAATGTTCGCGCCTCCGTGCTGACTGCCGTCCAGCACACGGGCGGAACCTCTCACTACTCCGGTACCCACAGTGTACGCGCCTCGTGCAGGTAGGTCTGCCTAATCGACTACGTGGTGAGATGTGGGAGACACTGTCAGGCTCGCTGTACCTCCGCTTCGCGAATCCAGGGTACTATGAGCGCATCCTGGAGGAGAACGCGGGCCGTACAAATACGAGCACGGAGGAAATAGAGAAGGATCTACATCGCAGCCTGCCGGAGTACTCGGCATACCAATCAGATGAAGGTATCGCGTCTCTGAGAAGGGTACTACAAGCATATTCGTTCAGGAATCCGGAGACAGGTTACTGCCAAGCCATGAATATACTCGCCGCTGCTATCTTGATGTGAGACTGTGAACTACTTCGCGTATCAACATGCTGACGATCCGTCCAGCTATATGTGCGAAGAGCAAGCTTTCTGGTTACTGGAAGTTATCTGTGATCGTCTTCTTCCTGGCTACTACAGGTATGGGTCCTTCAGGCATACCGCTCTTGCTCGCCACTTATTATATCAATATGCAGTACATCCATGCATGGAACTCTTCTCGATCAGCGAGTGTTTGAATCATTGGTGCATCGGTGTTTGCCTATCATCCATGATCACTTCCAGGAAGTTGATGTGCAGCTGTCTGTCGCGTCCTTGCCATGGTTCCTTAGTTTGTGCGCCTCTCAACTCTTCATGTCTGGTAATCAACTAACACCTTCTATGACTATATTAGATTTATAAACAGCATGCCGATGGTGTTCGCTTTCCGGATAATCGACTGTTTCTTCTGCATGGGGCCGAAGGTTCTGTTCCAAGTCGGGTAAGTCCGTCTTCTTTCTTTTCACTTGCAGTCACTGACGAGTTCCGCTGAGTTTAGACTTGGTCGGTCATTCCTTCTCGTGTATACGCTCGTACTGACTAGACTACAGCAATTCTCAAAATCAATGGAGAAAAGCTATTGCAGGTACAGGACGACGGCGGGTTTATCCAGTACGTCAGATGTCGTGTGTAGACGCTCCCAAAGCTTATTCTGACCCGCGCCAGTCTCATGCGAGAGTACTTCGCATCGCTCGGCGCCTCTGCACACCCGAACTCGAGCGACCCGCGCGCTCGCGCCATCACGCGTTTCCAAGAGTTACTGCTGGTGTCCTTCCGCGAGTTCGCGGTGATCACCGATGACACTATCCTAACCGAGCGGCGCAAGTATCGGTCGGAAATCGTGAACAGTATCGAGTCGTTCTCGAAGCGTTCCGCCATTCGTAACCTCAAGACGCTCGGCCGGTTCAGCAAGGACCAGGCGGGGCTGATATACGATGCGCTATTCAAGGCGATTTGTGTTGTTCCCCCGCCCGCGGTGCAGGTCCCGCCGCCGATGCTGTTGACAACGAAGGACACGCCAGAGGAGCGCCCTGAGACGAGGATTGGCTTGCGCACATTTAGAGTGTTCCTGAGTGAAGTGGTATCATGGGCTCGGGTAGAGAAGATCGTTTCGAACGGCTTCCAGGTAGACTTTCCCCGCTGCTCTCTTTGTTTCCTGGTTACTGATATGTTAGTCCATCCATAGCAAAGAGTGGATCGCGAGGTTGCTGAGCATGAGCTTATAGACCGCCTGTTTTACTTCTGGGACACGTCGTATAGAGGTGCTCTATCATTCCAGGCAAGTCTCATGCAGATTGTAGTATGGGTACAGTACGTTGACGTCAAGTCCAGGATCTTGTGTCTGGTCTAGATGGTGTCATGTTCAATGACTTGATGGATAACATTGAGTGGTTCTTCAACCTGCATGACAAGAACAAGGACGGGTTCCTAACAAAAGACGAAGTTCTGACGCTGTCAGAGTCTCTGTTGGTCTGTGCATTTTCACTAACCTCTGTTCTCTCAGTGTTGAGCTATTATGAATCTAGTTTATTTTCCGCTTTGAGATTGGTGATGCGTACCTCGGAGCAGTCAGCCGATTCATGTCGAATGCGTTCGAATATGGCGATGCATTGATTCCCCGACCAGAAGGGGCAGATCCAAATGACGATGCGCCACCACAACTCGAGTCAAATCAGCCATACATGAACTTGGCAACGTAGGGCAATCTTGCACTTAGCCGGATCTCGTTGACCCGTGTTACAGATTCCGCATGGTGGTTCTGGCAGAGGAGGTACTCGAGTCATTCTTCGAGACAGACTTCTCTGCGACGTTCAAGTTGGAGCCTGTACCAATCATGGAGCTTCCTTCCTCGAACGGCGGCTTGCTGGGCGGGCTGTGGTCCAACATCACATCAGACGACAGCCGTAAGATCTTCAACAGGTTCACCGATGAGATTGGGAGAACGATTGGCAAGCACCAGGCACGTATTGATGCTTGAACTGCGTTGTCCGAGGCTCACATCGAACAGGTCTACCATCGCCCAGCGATTGGAAAATACACCTCGCTGGAGGAGCCGAAAGCGCGGGAGTCTCTTCTTACGCCCACCATGCGCCGGTCAACGTCCCGGACCAGCCTCAATACCTTCGAGAGCTCTCCAAGCGAATCAACGCCCTCTCTATCGGCTTCGGCACCCTCGACATTGGGCGTCGAAAAGGAGACGTTAACGTCACCTGCAGAATTCTCCCCGATGCCGGGCATGTTCCAGGCTGCCGCAAACGTCGCCGCGTACATGGAGCGTACGCCGTTCGCGATCGACGATGCGAAGGATGATGATGACGATACTGAGTACGAGAGCGGTTTGGAAGAGGATGAGGATGTCATGGACGAAGTGCGTATGACCTTGTTGTGTCGTGCGGCGCTGATGTTCAGCGGTCTTGCAGGTCGATGCGTTCCTGGAAGCACACGATTCTGGCCTGACGGAAGCGGAGCGCGAGCTTGCGAAAGGTAATGGCTCCTGTCCCAACAGCGATATGTTGTTTGACGAATCCTGCGCAGATTTGATCAATGCCGAGCCGGTGAAGTGATCTCTGCTAGATTCCACACCTCGTCGCACATCAGCTGGGCCTCGCGCCCGAACTCTATGCATATCGCTTTCGGCCACACGAAGTTGTATTATCTACATTGCACTGCTTTACTTTTGGGTTTAAATGCATAACACGCTATACAGAACGCACGACAACCATGATTAGAGAGGTTAAAATAATGGGAGAATATAAATCAGACATCCAAGAACAGCTCCAACACATATCAGCAGTATTATTACCCAGCTCTATCGGCCCATATTCGAACGGTCAGATCGGAATCCATTGACCCTGACGCGATCATATTTTGTTGGGGATGTGTCTGGTGAAAGTTAGGCATGTCAGTATGGTGCATACTCGGGGTAAATTTTGCGTCCGAAAACATACTGCGACCGCAACAACGACGTCTGAAAGTGAGGGAAACGTGAGGATTACGAATACACATCGGACGAAGTCTACTGACCAGTGTGCCCCTCTAACATCTGCACAACCTCGCGCGTTTGGAGGTCCCACAGGTAAACTTTATTATCCTCGCTCCCAGAAACTATCCATTTACCTCCGGTCACGCTAAAACATGCCGCAATGCAGTATTTCTGGTTTGTGTGTCCGACATATGTCTTGAGACAGCGGGACGTCTGGTAATCCCAGAGGCGGATAGCGCTGTCATGCGCAGTCGATAGGATATACTTGGAATTGGGCGAAAATTGCACATGTTGGCTACGGTAATGTTAAGATTACTAAAAATCGGACGACATGATGACACACCAAATGGCATCGTGGCCCTCGGCGAGCGTTTTCAGACATTGCCCGGAGGTGGTGTTCCAAATTCGGCTGTAAAAATGAGTGCGTACCATAATCAAACTATTCTCAAGGCAGAAAATGTGTAAATGGCGCACATAAGCCCGTCGAGCGAACAGGACACAATTAATGTTGCATCCCTGTTAAAGTGAACGGCAGTCACGTAGTCCAGATGAGCGTGTATCGTCTTCATACATTTGCCTGCAGACAATGTCAGACGACTGCAATGAGAATGTCAATAACTTTGCCACCTTTCGAGGCGTTCCATATTCGAACGTCCCCATCACAAGCGCCAGACACGAGCAGGTTGGACGTCGAGTTATAGTTCACACAGAATACATAGCTCGTATGTCCCCGCAATGTCCGACTTGTTATCCCCTACACCACATTCATCACATCTCGACACGGTCACTGGAACATCGGAGCAACGCACTGAATCGACGTCCCATATTCGAATGGTAGTGTCGTCCGAGGCGGAGGCCAGATAGACACTATCAGAGGACCATGCAATATCAGACAGCCCCTTCGTGTGGCCATTCAGATTCCTAATTAGTTCCCCCGTGAACGGAGACCAAATTTTGACCACGCGGTCATTTCCTGCATGTAAGTTGAGTGTGAGTGGCATATGTCCAGTCGTAGGTAATATGACCGACCGCAAGACGCAAGAAGTGTGCCGTCCGGACTGAATTTAACCGCAGAAATGGATGATGTGTGTCCCCGCATGGTATGTCGGAGTTCGTAATGTGGTCGTTCTCTGCCGCTAGGTGCGGACACTGCTGCCGGCGGCGGTGGTTGCGTTTGAGGTTCTTGTCGTTCTGGTACCTGAGGATCATCCTCAGTTGTCTGCGATGCAGCATCTTCATCTGTGGAAGATTCCTCCATCTCTTTTCGCGTATCCATCCTCGAGCAGATGTGGTAAATGCAGAAAGTAGCAGTGCACGTGCACGTAGATGGCGATGGCCTCGGAAAATAACAAGCGTCAATAAATACTTACGGTGGAGTTGGGTGGAACGGTGAGCGACGAACGGCTCTATCAATTTTTTTTTGCGTCTAGTCCTTCTCGTGTATCGTTTCGCACCTTATCGTATTTGTGTTTGGAGAAACGCCGGTTCTATCCAGGTGCTAAGCTCGTTCTTACACAGAATAACAAAGCGCAGCCGAATGTGGTGTGTATGGCGGGTCATGCCAAATTTACGATCGAGATGGATGCTGAGCGCTGATGGACGATCCGTTCGACGACGACGCGGAATAGCTCTCACGCATAGGGCCCCTTTTCTCCCACCAGCATCGTGTGTTCTGCATTTCCATTAGTCGTATGTCATGGAGTCGGGCTCATAGTCGGAAGCGGTCATCGAAAGCACAGCCACTAGTGAAGAGAAATCATCATCGAGTACGATGTTCACAGATTTCGTGGACTTGGGGAGAATTTTTCGCTTCAGGCTCGACTATTTACCGAGCTTGTCAAGAGCTTGTATTTATTTGAGACCGAGTGTCATGCATGGTAATTTCGCGGCGACGTGTAAAACATGCACCACATCAGCCTAGTTTACACAGTGCACGGTTCTCTAGATCTCCTTCCTGATCCTGATTTCGAAGCTTGTGCGAGTCTAGCACCCCCACGCCAAAGACCCACACCGGCTTGCACCTTGCAGCCATGCCCAACGACACCAGCAATGCGCGCCGGCTCAGCAGCGTCTTGAGCGGGTACTCCATCCAGTCTTCCGCACGAGTTTCAATGATGCCTTCTTCGACGAATACGATGCCTCGCTCAGCCCAGTTACATGTGTTGTTATCCGCGGTGTTCCATCCGCACGCTTGAAGGAACGACTCGAGCCCATGGACAAGCTGCCCTTCAGGAAGAGCGAGACGAGAAGGCGCCCTCTGCGAAGGTCGTGAGGAGTTGCTAGGTTTTGCGAGCCAAATCACAGCATTTTCCAGAAGCGCACTCAACTGAGTGGAGAAGCCACGGTTGCCCTGTTTGCAGCCAAATACGCTTGCATCGGTGGAAGACAGTGCCGCACAATGCCATAGCCGCGGGTGGTCCATGCAAGAATTCGGGGGAGCCGCATGTCCTAGAATTGGTGTGGCCGGAGGACATTCCAATGCCCCAGGACTATTCACCGCCACGCTCGATGTGGAAGGCCTTCTGTCCGCACTGGGCTCTTCGTCCTGCACGTTTGCAGGCGAAGGAGCGAGAAGTATCTGCGTTACCGGATCTCGCGCGATGTTGGTGACAGAGCCAAAAGCCCTCAGAGTCGGCGAGCATCCAGAAGGTCCTGCCGCAGGACTTCCCACATTCTCCGTTTCTCTGACCCTCCGAGGCCTATGAGGAAGGCTGTCATCTGCCCGGGCTCGACTATGTATTTCTATCTTTCGTGCTCGCTTGTGGTTCTGCTTCTGGTCGACCAGTGCAAGCTTGCTCTCCCACGCAGCTTCTGTATTCTTTCGCTTCCTAGGACAGTCGACTCCGGGAGATCTAGGCTTTCCCCACAGTTCATTACACCAATCGTCGACATCCTTGTTCGGTCGATCGCGACCGACAGATTCCCGCGCAATGCTTTGAAACTCTTCGAGGGTTGTACCCTCTGTCCACGAACGTTCACTCGGACGGAAGACCTTGGAGATACGTGGGAAGCGGAGTTCATAGAACTGCGATGGATCGGAAAGAACAAGAAATTGGTGTTATCGCAGGGTGCGTCACAGAAGAGAAATTGATGACTACCTTGTTCTGTGGTGCTTTCGTGAATCCCGCGCCAAACACTTCCGCGAGTACTGGTTGGCGTAGTAGCACGGCTGACGGAGGCAGTCCTGGAAAGAGGTTACATTTGTAGGATAGTCCGGTCATGGGCTGCGCCACAGCATCATGCTTGTAAGTGAAATCATGATGTACAGAGGTGAAGTCACCCACGTTTCGTGAGGAATAAGGAACAGGATCGGCGCTCTTGATAATGAAGTTGAGTTCTTCTAGCTTCTCCCTGGTGAGCCCGTAGCACACGGTGAAGAACACTTCGAAGTGGGGTGGAACTGCGAGCTTTAAGCAGTCGTGAGCACGAGACTCCACGGAGTCCACCAATACTCACATCTCCCTTGATGATGTCTCCATTACTCAGTGCTCCAAGGTAGAACGTGGTATATACAGTTGGAGGTACTGCACGTAGAGGTTAAGTGGCATACTAGGAGAAGGGATACTCGTCTACAACGTACCTGATAACACCCGTGCACGGTCCTTCTCCCAGGCAGCCCCAACTAGCACGAGGTCAAGCGTATCCCCATACCCCGGAATGTAATCTTTCTTCAACTGCGTGACCAGCATATGCGTGTCAACGCAGATTTTCCGGCACAACACAAGCAAGTTACCTTGACCCACGGAAACCGTCTCTCGTTGTACCTCCCCTCGTCTGCCTTTAGCACGATGCCTTCTTGATGGTCTGCAATCAATTTCGAGAATACTGTTCGCAGCAGAGCATCCGCATCTTGCGTCAAGGGATCAATATGGGTCCGTTGGGCGAGCATAGAGTATCCAGGAATCTCCGTGACGACAGACTCTAGAATAGCACGGCGTGTGGAGTAAGACGCAGACAAGAGTGAGGTATCATCGAGCAATAGGACGTCAAAGAATACTAAGGCGAGATGTCGGGTGCCGCCATCAGAGGCGTTTGAGATCATAGAACATTGCGAATCGCTGTTGCAAGGAGCTCAGGCACTTTTCCACGTCGAAGAGCCGAAGAGGACATACAGGATCTCGTCTTCTCCGACATGAGCTTTAGTTGCGCCCGTGTGGCGGACACCCAAGGCGGTACTTGCGACCAAACTGCGAATACGCCAAAATTCTTCAATAAACCTGTGAGCAAGGTGCCATCATTTGAATAAGATATTGGCACGATTATACCATCAATTTTGTTCAGTGTGTCCGAGAATGCGACCATCTCAGCCTCGAGAATAACATTTTTATTTATTTTCCCCGCCACCGAGTTCGTTATCCCTTGTGGTGTTGTAGAATTCCTGTTCCCGAGATCGAGAGCCTCAGAGATTACCCTGGTAGCACCGTAATAATGACCGGTCAATCAATTTGGACAATAAAAAAACACGACGCACGAATGAATCGCAAAGCGATCCAACGTCGAGTCACGCCCGCTTTTGCTGAAAATTGTGATGGTAGGCTGGCTACCAAGCTCCGATGCCAGCTCAACATGGATCTGTGCCCGCTCTCCGTCGTACTTGGTTTCGACCCAAATTTTCTCCGAGCCGTTAAAGAGCTGGAGGGCCTGAGCACAGCCCTGACCTTTGACACACTTCGGAATCTAGTAGCACAGACATAGATCAGCTGCATAAACATCCACACGGGTTTCTTACTTGAACCTGGATTCCCGGTTGGGGTTTTGGGGGGTCACCTCCATCCTCCCGACGCTCGTACACCAATGCAGCTTCATCTAGACAAGAGCGAACACGATATGCCTGCAGCATGCATCCGCTAGGATCCCACGCACGCATTCCGTCCCACTTCGTCAGCTGTGTGATGGAGTTGCTGTTGTAATGCAGAAGCGCTGCAGTGTAATGGCCCGCGTCTTCCGGTATCGGGTAGAGTAACGGACGAAGATCCTTCAGAATGATCTGCGTGAGGACGCTTGCTTCTCCGGGGGTCACGGCTGTGTACAATGCACGAAGTATGGATTCTCTTGAACCAGGAGGCGAGCTCGTGCTGGATTGGCGGACGGTGGAAGCAGAAAACGCGCATGTCGTGGCAAGCTCGGTAAGAAGGGCGTCGACTTCCGTTATGCTGATGCTGCTTTCAGTCACCTAGAGAGCTATACTTTAAATTTTCTCATCCACCATTTATGAAGCACTACATACCGCAGAGCTCTCACTCATGATATCCCGCACCTCGACACCGAGGCAACCAAGAGCACCTTGGCTATTCCAATGCATGAGTCTTCGTCCGCGGCCGTGTGTAATATTAGAGAGGGCTAGGACATTGGAGAGATGCAGGCCAAGGCGTGTCTCCTGCATTCCATATTTTCTGCGGACGTCCTCCTCTGGGAAGAGGAGTCGGAACACGACAGCCGTGGTGCCATAAGGCAATGGTGCATATCTTCTACGCAACTCCGCTACCCAGTTTTGAAATGTTCGAAAAGCGGGAGATGTTGTGTCTGAGGAGTGCGGAGCAGTACTCGAGGTCTTGCGGGGTTTGATGGCGCCGATGGCTTCGACGAGGGAGACAAAACTGAAAATTTAGAGTCAATTAATTAGTATGTCAATGTCCATGAACTGAAGAAAAAGACGCACAATGCGAAGGGTATGGAGTTAACAGGTACTGTCGGGCTGTTAACATCTGTCATATTGCGATCGCTAAAGTATAATATTCAGCGAATGTCAAAGTAAATTTTGGACACATAAACAGCAAGAAGACTTGTAGTAGATGGCGACATCCCTTGGAAGGCGAAACCGCAGAGGAAGACGGTCTTGCGCCACCCCACCTTCAACCAAAGAAGAAAGTAGACGGATACAAAACGACGGCGTAAAAAAAGACGACAGATCAAATGGAGTCAGAAAATGGAAAATGTGATTGAGCTTGATGAAATCCCGTGTCGTATGAATGAGCAAGTTGGCTCAACAGAAGTGCAGCCATACAGGAGGGGCACGCCTGCTATCGACCTCCGCTCCTCTCCTCCCCCTCTTGTACTATTTCGTGCAAAAAAATTGCTACGCTTCGAGAGAAAGCCACCGACCACCTCTGAACCCCTCGCCGCTGGTGGGCAAAACATCGACGGACGCCACCTCATCCGGACAAGAACAGGACGCAAGAAAACATCGATAGCTCACCTCTGTCTCTGTTTAATAAATGAAACGAATAATTTATCCGCGCTCGCGGTAAATACACACTAGGAATCGCAACGGGGCGAAGCCTGCTCAGCCGAAAAGACAGTGAGTTCAAGCGTCGAAGTCAACCGGAGAAACCAAGGAAAAACGTCGAGAGAACGCGTCGCGTTGGATCACGTGCGCGCGTCCACCTGTTGGGCGCTTCAAGCTTTATGGTCAGCGTTTCGACCCGAATTCTCATTTCTTTTGGGACCAGATGGATGATCCTGAGAATCTACTGCGACACATCTGCTAAATGCGAGCCATTCGATGCTATCCCCGACGAACGTTGTGGCTCCCTTCAAATCGAAACTGGGGCTTTGATTTCACAGAATAGTCGCCTCTATGACCGGCAGGAAATTGGTGAGGGGAGGCGAGCGATTCCAGCGTGACTCATCACGTTCGCGGACGATCCTGAAGTACACCAGTGGGAAACCGCGATATCATAATTTTTTGACTGCAGGAACGGCAATATGATACAGTAATCCTGATATAAACCGATGGAGAAGTAGCGCTTGGCACCACCTTCTCCATCTCTCACCCCATCGACAGAGAGAATAATGGGTCGCATATTGTTCGTTTTTACTTCCACTGCTCAGACGTTGACAGGTGCACAAGCTGTGAGCGACCAAGCACTTCAACTTCAGTCACCCTTGTACCAATCACTGTGGATATTTTACAGGGCTGGTACCTTCCTGAAGCAGTTTACCCATACTACGGTATGGTCAACCGTTCGATCCAGATACAACTTACATTGTGAGGCGTTCATCTCAACAGTTCTCTCGCCCCATCACGATATCGACTTTGCTGCACCCAAAGGCCCGAACCCTCCGATGGACGAATCCAGCCGGGAGGTCAGTCGTACACCCCAAGATGGCCATTGACTGACCTTCCCATCAAATAAGCTGTTCCAAGACGATGAATGCGTCAGGTTCCTGAATGACGAGATCGTGAAGAACAAGCTGGACAATGCCTTCAAGTTGTCGGAGGTCAGCGCTCAAGACTACGACGCGATCTTTCACATCGGCGGGTATGGACCGGTCTTGGACCTTGCGTCAGATTCTGCTGGCATCAAGCTTGTATCGGATGTAAGCCTTGGTCGAAACCTGACGCAGAGAAAGATGATGAGGGGCTTTTATTACCAGTTCTATCGCGCGGGGAAGGTGACCTCCGCTGTCTGCCATGGCTCCGCGTAATCCTCGTCCCTATGTGTCTCCGAGATAAGCTGAACTGTCATCCTTTATGAACAGCGCGCTAGTCAATGCCACGGATGCATCGGGCAAGCCCATCGTCCAGGGCAAAGCAGTAACAGGCTTCTCAAATGCCGAGAAAGAGCAAGTCAGCCAGGCGAAAGTACCATCATTGCCCTTTCGTCACTACGTTCGCTTCTGAAATTCGCATCGTAGGAGACCCCCTTTTTACTTGAAGATAAAATCAAATCCCTGGGTGGCCTGTATGAGAAGGCTCCGGAGCTGTGGGGTGTAAGACGCTGCTTGATCTGTTCCGCTTACTCGAGCTGAAGGAACATCATTCAGGCTAAGGTCGTTGTTTCTGGCAATTTGATTACTGGCCAGAATCCAGCTTCTGCAAGAGGTGTTGGCGAGGCGATATTGCAAGCGCTCCCTCGCACGCAGTAGCACATCTGCAGTTGAATAACCTCACAGTCGAATACGCTTGTTGAGATGAATGACGGTCACAGAAATTCGAAAAGCCGTATAGATACATGCAGAGCATAAGAAACTATTCCGGTCACACTGTTGACTAACCATGCGATCGTTCATCTCACTCAAGGTCAAACAACACGATCTCCGCAACGCGATCTCCCACGTTCTCGAACTTCAGCTCCTTCCCAGCTTCGCCCATGACGTACGCACCATCGCCCTCGCGGAGCTCTGCCGTCGCTCCGTCAGAGCCCGCGACGCGCACCGTCGTGCCGCCCGGTGTCTTCGTCGGGTTGTATCCCGATGTCTGCGCAACATGAATGTATGCCTTCCTAGAGCCTGCAACCTCGGGGGAGAACGTGTGCGACAGCGAGGCGGACGGTGAAAGGAGCGTAGCGTAGAGGGACAGGGGCGAATGTACCGGTGCGGGGCCCGAGGCGTGGCGCTCCTCCACAACGCCTTCTGCTTCTGCGGGGGCGACCACGAGCACCCATTTGTCCTTCTTTTCTTCGTCTGAGAAGTACCTGAAATCGCAGCACATCAGCATGGTAAGGTGCTTGCGATCAAGTGTGCTGCTTACCGGTTGAAGTATTGCGGCTTGAGACTTTTCGTGTGAGGTACGCTCCAGATCTGCAGGAAGTGAGCTTGCTCGTCTCCGTGGCACTTCTCGCTGTGACGGATTCCAGTGCCCGCGGAGGTCATCTGCAGATCTCCTCTCTTGAGCACCTCGACGTTGCCCATCGAGTCGTGGCTAAGGCAGGTATGTTAGCAATCGCAAGACGAGGGAGCAGAGTGAGCCAGAGGTGTCGTGGCGAGGATTTGTCACAAATGTGCCGCATCTCGATCCACTGGGCCGCTCACGATGCAGTAATGGGGAGGACTTACTGTTCAATCGCGCCACCGATAATATACGAGAAAATCTCAAACTCAGCATGAGCGTGCATGCCAAAGCCAGTCTTTGGTTCTACGCGGTCCTCGTTAATCACCCTGAGACAGCCAAACGACTCATTCTCTGGATCGTAGAACCTGCACGATGCCACGAAAGTTAGGAGACAAATCTCAGTGATCACAATTAGCACTTACGCAGCGAATGCAAATGTGTGAAAGGTCTTAAGCCAGCCGTGATTGCTGTGGCCACGCTCATAGCTGCGGCGAGGAACAATTTTCATAACCATTTTGTCTGGGTGGAAAGCACTGGAAGTAAATGGGGCGAGGGATGCGGGGGCCTTCAGGCTGCGAGAAATCCAGGGGTTGGCTTGCTTCAACCGGAGTAGAGCAGACAGTTTGGGAGTGAGGAAAGCAGAATAGATACGAATGGCCTATATATACCCGGAGAGAACTAGCTACGAATGCATATGATGATGGGATGATTCATGGAAAGGGGGTGGAGTAAGCAGGGTGTAAGCGTCTTCTTCAACGACAGTTGCCGTATTTGGCGACGTGTGCTCACGGCGTCCCACGCTCTGTGCGCCATTCCTTTTCCTTCTGGGCGTTTGCCCTATTTTTGGCAAAAGTTCAGGCAGGAATAGCCTCGCGGAGACTGGATTTGCTGACAGATTTGGAGGTGAAAACTTTAAATTGTCTGCTTGGCCGATGTGATGCCGTAAGCAAGTGCGCTGAGGCACTTCATTTTCTGGAGGATATCGAAACTGTTTTGTCTTATTACTGACCTCCGGTACGAGCCCTCTAGTAGGTACTCCTTGAGGAGCTATTGCAAAATATGGCTACTCTATTGCCTCCCCCGAAACGTCAAAAGGTCTACCACGGCGTCCCCGAACCTGAGCCGGAACCCTCAAAGCCATCTCCGCATATAGTCGTGCAGTTCGTCTCAGAGGACGATGGCCAACCCCTTGCGCCTGCTGTGAACCTTCCCGCAAACCTCTCGCGAGAGGGGTTAGAAGCATTAGTTAACAAGCTCAGCACCAAGGTACGGACTTTGTCAACTTACTTGTTATCCAACGTCTGACGCTGCCAGGATGATGACCCTGTTCCATTCTCCTTCCACGTCGCGTTGCCTGCGGACGCTTCTGTAGCGGGAGCGCCCACACGAGTAGCGATATCCAAGTCTATCGAGGACGACGTGCTGTCCCACCCATCCCGACCGTTCTCAACTGAAGACGTATTCGTCGTTCGCTGCTCTCCACAAGCTGTGTTCAAAGTTCGACCAGCTACCCGATGCTCATCTACACTGTCTGGTGAATAAAGCTCACCGCGTTCGGTCATCAGACCAAAGCTCATCCCCAAGCATTATAGGACACTCGTCTCCAATTCTATGTGCGTCGTTCTCACCAACGGGCAACCTCCTCGCGACCGGTTCTGGCGACTGCAATGCCCGTCTGTGGGACCTCTTCACAGAGACACCGTCACATGTTCTCTCCGGTCACAAGGGCTGGGTACTGTGCGTCGAGTGGGAAGCAATGGAGAGGAAGCTGGCGACTGGTGGTCACGATGGACATGTGTGTCTCTCATCGTCGACGTCCTCATTTTGCCAACACTTAATCTGGTAATTCCAGGTGCGGTTATGGGATCCAAAGACCGGTAAGCCGATCGGCGATGCGCTGAAAGGGCATACGAAGTGGGTCACGTCTCTCGCATGGGAGCCCGTCCATATGTGGGTACGGTTGTCTGGAGTGCAGTAATCGCCAGCTCAATGACTGAGTTCAGAAACCCGACAGCGCCCCGCCTGGCCTCCTCATCGAAGGACGGCACCGTGCGCGTATGGGCGACGGCGACGCGACGATGCGAATACACACTCGGAGGGCACACTGCGAGTGTGAACGTCGTACGTTGGGGCGGAGGCGGACTGGATGGTAAGGGGGTACTATACACTGCTTCAAGTGACAGGACGGTGCGAATATGGGACGCAAACGGGGTAAGTGACTTAGTCTTGACTGCCTTTCCAGAGCTGATACAATTTTCAGGGCAAGCCATTGCACACGCTGAAGGACCATGCTCATTGGGTGACGACGCTGACTCTAAATACGGATTTCGTGCTACGCACAGGTCCGTTTGATCACTTCGGTAAGAAACCATCATCGGACAGTGAAGGTACGTTCCTCTGCTGGTTTTTCATAGTATCGACCCACGACGAGTGGACTCAGCCACTGCTGCACTCTCGCAGTAGGGACCGGCTCCATTCGTAGTTATCGTCGCTGATCATCGACGTTGATGCTGACGCGCTCTGCAGCACAGTCCCTCGCTCTCGCCCGCTACAACACGCTCATCTCGTCCACCGGCGAGGTGCTCATTTCCGGCTCAGACGACCACACGCTCTTCCTGTGGTCGCTCTTCCCCTCGCGTACTACCGATTTCGCGTCTACCGCCGCCGCCGCCGCCGAGCGCGGGGGGAAGTTCAAGCCCATCGCACGCCTCACGGGACACCAGCGGCAGGTCTCCCACGTCGCGTTCAGCCCGGACGGCCGTTGGGCCGCGAGCGCAGCGTGGGACAACAGCGTGCGCGTGTGGGACGGCCGGACGGGCAAATTCGTCGCGACGCTGCGCGGGCACATCGGCGCGGTTTATCGGCTCGCGTGGAGCGCGGACTCACGCATGCTCGTCAGCGCGAGCAAGGATAGCACGCTCAAGGTGCGTCAGTTCTGCGCGGCGTGGCTGCTATCGTCCTGATTGTGGATCTGCGCAGATATGGGATTTGAAGACGTACAAGCTGAAGACGGACTTGCCGGGTCATACCGATGAGGTGTATTGTGTCGATTTCGTCGCCGACAAGGTTGTCAGCGGCGGGAGAGATCGTACCGTCAAGATGTGCGTCACTCAGTGTCGTCAGTTGATGTCGATTCAACCTAATCTGCGATTACCCCTACAGATGGAAGAATTGATATCTGCAGTTCTTCATGAAAAGTGATCGGTGTGATACACGCCGCGCATACCCGCATCGAGATGGTGTCATTATATACTGATACGTGCTCCTCCATATGTATTACTGCACCTACAGTGGTGCAGTCTGGAATTGCGGTGCTCGTGCTCGAGTGGTGGGCGGAAAGTTTCAGCCCCCTTCTGCCTGAAGTAGCTGTGATGGACAGAAGGAATACCTTGAACGGCATTTCCAGAGAGAATCAACTTGAGACTCGACGATTCCGTCCTGAGCCCGACTGCGACTTTCAAGCGAGCCCGCATGCTTCTATGATGCTCTTCCTCACTTCGTCGATCCCTATGCGAGGCTCCTTAATCGCAGTAGTGACAATCGGTGGAAGACACGTCGGAGCCGCCTCAAAGATCTCTTTCTGCATCTTCTGAATCTGACTCGCGAGCTCCGCCACCGAGAGCGCGTCCACCTTAGTGATGATGGCCTGCAACGCGAAGTTGAGCCCCGCCGAGGCGAGACATCGGCTATGGAGGGACTCGAGCATCGCCTTGTCCATGTCCTTCAGCCCGTGCTTCGCGCTGAAGAGGACGTACACCCGTCGGAGCCTGCGGGGCTGTCAATTCAGGGACGAGTGGGAGCGAAGATGTACTCACTCCTTGCGGTTGGCGACGTAGTGGTCGAAAAGCTCTCCCCACTCCGGGCGCCCTCTCGATCCATAGCCCGGTGCATCCACTAGAACTAGGTTTCCTGGAGGAGCTCCGACCCGATAGAAATTGAGCGTCTGCGTGCGACCCTGCAGACGCGGACGAGAAGTTCAGTTGACCATCCACCTTAGGAGGGACGAGAAGACTCACAGGCTTCTTGCTGGTATGGAGCAGCTTCGTCCTTCCGAGAACAGCATTGAGCAGAGTCGACTTCCCCGCATTCGCGCGACCTGTCCAGCCAGCTCGTTAGGCTAAAACAAGGTCTACGACGTGTTGCAGACCAGTTACAATTACCTACGTATAAACGTCAGCGTTTAGTGGAAATATACGAAACTGCGCTCTCACTTCCGGCAAGCCGTGCAGTATCGGTATGGATAATGGAGTCGCCGCTGCTGCGAGGAACTCCGCAGACTTTGCGTCTGCGAATGTTTTTGGAACAGTCGAGGCGTGTCGCGCAAAGATATGTCGAGGCACCACCAAGAGGGCTTGGGTCAGCTCGAGAGGTAACATCATCGGGACGCTAAGTATGCATTGGTTGAATGCTCTGAGCCTAGGAGAATTGATTCAAGCCTCAACGCCAAACTTGCTAGGATCTCGATCCGGGTTAGGCGCCCCATATACTAGTGACACCGGAGACAGCGAGCTATATCTGGACATCTAATATTGTGCAAATATCCCATCTAACATTGTACATATGTGGTAGAATGTCAGACAGTTGTACATTTTGGTAAACAGGCTTATTCTCGCGACCTGATTGGCTAAGAAAGGATGTAAGGCAAAATTTCCGCAGGCAACAAGAGCCGGTCATACATGTACAATGTAAGGCGGAATTTTCCCACAATGTCCGCAGATGCGATATTGCCCGCTGTCTCCGGTGTGACTAGATACGGCCTCCGGCTGGTTGACAGTCGCTCCCTTCAAATCGCCCTATGTATAACTGGTAGTGTTGGAAAGTAGCGCCCAAATTTCTGGAGCTCCAGAAATTGGGGAGCGCCCAAGGGCAGACAAGCCGAGGGCATGATTACAAAGAAAGACAAAGAAGGAAATTTGCTTATATAAAGTGGAGCGTCTAGAACTGTATATATACAGAAATCTATTTTAGGACGCGTAATCACGCGCCCCGACGCATCTTGACCCGCCATCACTACCTTCCTATTTGGGAACTAAGGCGCGATTTCTAACAGGTTATGAGCCCCGGCTCTAGCCAATAAATACTTGGATAACAACAGCCCCTATTGTGGCTACAAAAATTGTTACCCCCTTACTAGTACGAGAACAAATAATGTCGACCAGCGCTGATAATACGAGCAATAGCAATGCTTACCGGATCCCGCTCCTGAAGGAAGACAATTGGCTCCCGTGGAAGCGCCGCGTCGAGGCCATCCTTAATGATAAGGGTCTCCAGGAGTATGTGACCGGAAAGACACCGAAGCCACAGCCGAGTAATGACCCAGCCAATAGGGCAGCGAGAGAGGCGGAGATTAGCGCCTGGGGAGAGAAGGACCTCAAGGCCCAGAACGTAATTGCGCTATCGCTGGGAGATTCCCAGATGGTGCACATCGCTGGAGCCGAGACGGCACGGGCCATGTGGGAGCAGCTTCGCACAGTCAAGGAACAGTGTGGACAGCATGGAATTCTCGCGCTGTGCCGGCGTTTTTACCGGATGCAAGCCAAGAAAGAAGATAATATCTCCAGTCACATTACACAGCTACGACAGATCCAGGAACAACTCCACCTAATGGGGAAGGTTGTTTCTGACGAAGATTTCCGGCTCATTCTGGCTACCTCATTACCGGAGAGCTGGGACTCTTTCCTCAGCTCTTACTTTGGCGCCGTGGGTGGCAATGTTGGCGCCGAAGGTGCTGACAACGTGCGCCCTCAGCTTACATCACAAGAATTGATTGCCATCATTCTTGATGAAAATAGGCGAAGGCACGAGCGTGGCGAGCGCGGTCAATCCTCGGACCAAGCCATGGTTGCCAAAGGAAAGAAGCGCCCCTTTGGGGAATACAAAAAATGTTCGATCTGCGGAAAGCCGGGACATCTTGGTAACGAGTGTCGGCACCGCGACAAGGTCAAATGTATGAATTGCGGAAAATTCGGGCATAAGGCCACGGATTGTTGGGCTAAAGGCGGCGGCAAAGCCGGACAGGGCTCGCCGATGAAACGGCAAAAGACGGAACGTGCTTACGAAGCGCGCGAGGTCGAATCGAAAGAGGATGAGGCAAAAATAGCCTACGATAATGATAGCGACACTGTATCTCTCGGATCTGATGGCGAAATCGCTTCTTTCTATGAGTGGTTTGCCGACTCCGGGACAACTTCGCACATTACAAATCGTCGTGAAGTCTTCGCGACCTATCAGGCGCTCGAAGATCACACGATCACGGGCATCGGACCGCAACCAACGCAGGCATTGGGCCGCGGTACGGTCGATGTCGAAAGTAAAGTAGGAGACCGGAAAGTGAAATTCCGTCTCCACAGTGTACTGTATGCGCCGACAGCACCCAATAGCCTCCTCTCCATCACGCGTTTGGACGATGCGGGAGGAAGAGTACTTATGGGTAATAGTCGTGCAATACTAATAGATAAAAATAAACACACTCTTGCTATAGGCAAGAAAAATGGACGACTATATTCATTGAAATTGCGTCCAATAGTTCCACAACCTGCGCGAACCTATACTGCTAAGGAATACGGCCCGCATACCTGGGAAGAGTGGCACAAGATCTATGGCCATATCGGGAAACCAGCGTTTACGCGATTATATCGCGAAGGGCTTGTTGATGGCCTAGAAATCTCGCCAAGCCCAGATGAAATTAATTGCGAGGCGTGTTACAACGCTCCCCACTTGTGGCGCGTCTTTTCTTTTTCTTTTCCTTGTTCCCTTTACGTTACCAGACCACGTGATCCAACACGTAACTCATTGGAGCGCAACCTCCGATTCTTTACCCAGATGCCCAGAACCCCTAGTCTAGGGTTACACCGGATCCAACTCCGGACCTTCTTCTTATCGCGCATGCAAGACATGCATGTACGCCTCATCTTTACCTCGTTCTGATACACGACTCGTTATCCCCATTAGTACTGATTATCTCTCACGACCTTACTCAGCTTTCTCATACATATTACTTCCTCGCTGTTACCTCACCCAGATATCGTTTCACCTTATCTAGCCAATGAACGATCTCGCATTACTGCGTAGTACTGCGGATACCTTTTGTATAAGTAAACGACCTTGTCGAGCTGGATCCCCATCTCGACCTGGTTACCATTAAACCAGCTTTTCACTTGCCTTTGACTGAGATCGACCGTCAGTAGCAGACAGCTACTACGAGTCATAAGAATGAACTCTGATCGACCTTCAGTGCGAGGACATCGCCAGAAGTGTCACTTGAACGGACTTGTGTCTTAGACTAAGACCTTGTCTCGTGACGACTCGACTAGACGCTCGTGTTTCGCTGCCGCGTAACATTAGGTCGAGATCTTATTACTCTCTGTGACTTCCTAGAGTCTAACAACGAACTACCGACCGGACCGAACCTTGAAGACTGAACGATACACCCGATTCGATTGCTAAAGCACCGTTTGAGATTACTCTGTAATCGAGGTAGCTGAAGGGATAGACTGATCACTCATCTTCGGAGAGGGGTCTGTCCGAGAGACCAATAGGCCGAGGAGGCTGAGGTAATCACTCGAGCAATCAGCAAATAGGTGTATCAGTTTGAAGACAGAAGACACTCTACGGGCTTGTTAGCCGACGACGAACGAACCCACTTAGTTAAGGACGGTGTGCAGTCTACGTGTAGACATAGGCCACACAGAAGAATTTATCCACGCTGGATTTTAACTACATCAACCTGACCGCTCTTCCAGAGCAGTACCGCGAGCACCTCCCATCCCAAGCGGAGTGGAGCACAGAACGAAACGCACATTTCATAGGAGGAAGGCCTGTATTCATCAGGCCAGACAATCACAACTTCGACTACTCCCCAGAGGAATTTGAAAGGACACTTCCCCATAATCTTGGTGGAATAGTGCTCCAGCACATCGCAGACAGCGGTATAACGACCTCCTATCCAGGAGAAAGACCAGACGCCCCTTGGAACCCCCCTGCCCAGAATCCTGTACCCCAACCGACTCTTGCACCAATCGTACCCGATTACATACCACCGATGGCTACAGTTACCATGGATGAAGGACGTCACCATGCTAGCCAGAAGGAACTTGGTTTTAGAAAACCCGAGATCTTCAACGGTTCGGACCGTTCGAAGCTTAGGGAATTTATAAACCAATGCAAGAACTACATGGCCGGAAATAGCCATGTCTACCAGGAGGACAATCAGAAGATCGCATTCGTGCTATCGCACATGCAAGGAGGAACAGCAGGATCATGGGCACAGAGCTTCATAGAAACGGAACTCACCAATGATGACTTCCTTTCTTATGGGAGTTGGAGAGACTTCATTGCAAGTGTGAACAAAGCATTTGGCGATGAAAATATTGAAGAAACCGCTCGTACCTTGCTGCGTAACATCAAGCAAGGAACTCGTACTGCGGACGACTACATTGCTGAATTCCGATCGCTTGAATCCAAGGCGAAACTAGAAGATGCCGGAAATATCGAGTATTTCAAGTGGGGACTTAACGACCCACTCCGACAAAGGATATATGGGATGGAAAGCATGCCCAAGACACTTGACAAGTGGTACGAATACGTCTCGCGGTTTGATAACCAATGGAGATCTGCTCAGATCTTCAAGCGAGGAGCCACTACGACGACGCGAGGAAAGGGCCGATCTGTCCATCGTCCCTACTACTCGGCTTCTGCAAAGGATCCAAACGCGATGGATGTTGATCGCGTCAATATCTCGCGCTTATCCCCAGATGAGCGACAGAAGAGAATGAAAGAAGGATTATGTTTCCTATGCGGAAAGAAGGGCCATATAGCCAACGACAGACAATTTCACCCCCAGTCTGGAAGTTTCACCCGTGCTAGAACGATACAGCCCGGGTTAGACACAGACACGATCACATGGATCAAGAAGATGCGAGAAGGCCTCGCACAGAAGAAGGAGACGTTGAAGGAAGAAACCAGAGAGGAACAGATCGCCTATGTGCGAAATGTCTTCAACGACATGACCGATGAAGAACGAACCCAATTGGGTTTTTGAGACGACGGCCACTAGTAATGCATGGACCGTCGCATCTTACCGTATCTCCCCTCGTTATTTGTAACACTAGCGGAAATTCAATCACTGTGAATATTTCGTTGGGAGAGAAGGAAGACGTTACAACAGAAGCCTTGATCGATTCCGGTGCAGCCGAGACGTTCATGAACATTCGTTTTGCGGAAGAAAACGATTTCATCAGATGGGAATTACCGAAACCGATTACAGTCATGAATGCAGATGGCACACCAAATCAAATGGGTACCATTACTCATTGCACCTGGAAGATGATGAAAATCGGAGGAAGGAAGACGCTTACTCGCTTCCTCTTGACCGGCATTGGCAAAGAAAACATACTTCTCGGCATGCCGTGGCTTAAACGCCTCAATCCGATGATCAACTGGGAAACCGGTGACTTTTGGTTTGGTAAAGAGGCCAAATGGCCACCGAAACCCACCGTCGAAGACGCACCAGATAAAGAAGTTTCGATTTTCAAGGAAGATGAACTCCCAGAGCTAATCACCACCGAAACTTCCCCTACCTCGTTTGGGCATTCAGAATCTATCAGAGAAATCATGACCGATAACACTGAGCGTGGCGAGTTACCCGCAGTGCGGAATGATACCGAACTAGATGACCTACCATCAGAATCCCCTATGGATCAGCTCGATGACGACGATCTAGTTATATCCTATATCGCAGGAGAGCCAGTCATTGGGATATTTGAACCCATCAGGAAGGAGTCACTTTTGACGAATGAAGAGACTGAAACCGCAGTCTTCACCATACGAAGAGGCCCTGCCATTGGAAGAATGACACACAGTACTCGATCCCCATTATTCTGTAATGCACAGAATACGGTCTTTTACAAACCATCCGGTAAATCACAAGAATTGGCACAACAGGCACACAAAGAAGCATCAGCTGTAGACAAACCCAAAACCGTCGAGGAGTTGGTCCCCAACTACCTCCATGATTTGAAGTCCGTCTTTGAAAAGAAAGCAGCTGAACGCTTTCCAGAAACCAGGCCTTGGGACCACGCCATTGACTTGAAACCCGATTTTATTCCACGCGACTGTAAAGTCTATCTGTTATCGCTCAAAGAACAAGGAGCGATGGATGACTTCCTGGAAGAAAATCTGCGAAAAGGATACATCCGACCGTCGAAATCTCCCATGGCTTCACCATTTTTCTTCGTAGGAAAGAAAGACGGAGCACTACGTCCTTGTCAGGATTACCGATACCTGAATGAAGGGACGGTGAAGAACGCCTATCCTCTTCCGCTCATCTCTGACCTTATGGATCAATTCAAAGGCGCATCGATCTTTACGAAAATGGATTTACGCTCCGGATATAACAATGTCAGAATCAAAGATGGTGACCAATGGAAGGGCGCATTTAAGACAAATCGCAGACTTTTTGAACCTATGGTCATGTTCTTTAGACTCTGCAACTCCCCGGCGACTTTCCAAATGATGATGAACGCACTCTTCAAGGACATGATCGATGAGGGATGGATAGTCATTTACATGGATGATATCCTCATCTTCTCAAACGATTTGGAAGAACATCACATTCGAACCCGACACGTACTCCAACGACTCGAAGACAACGACTTATTCCTTAAACCGGAAAAGTGTTTCTTTGATGTTAAAGAAGTCGAATTCCTAGGCATGATCATTCGAGAAAACTACATTGGCATGGACCCTATCAAACTTAAAGGAATTGCAGAATGGCCTGAACCAAGCACGGTAAAAGGTGTTCGCTCTTTCCTAGGGTTTGGAAACTTCTATCGGAAGTTTATTGCCAACTTCTCGGATATTGCCAAACCATTGACAAATCTTACGCGCACTGCCGCTGGATCTCCACCTTTTGAATGGACGACAGAATGTCAGACAGCTTTCGACACGTTAAAACAACGATTCAGTACCGCCCCAGTACTGTTACTGCCTGACAAGGCAAAACCCTTTATTGTTGAATCCGACGCTTCCAAGTTTGCTACGGGTGCAGTTTTACGCCAAGCCGACATCAATGGAGACCTCCATCCTTGTGCCTACATTTCACAGACACTCAACCCAGCTGAACGGAACTACGAAATCTACGACCGCGAACTCCTCGGAATCATTCGAGCCCTCGCTGAATGGCGCCATTATCTTGAAGGCTCTCCCCATCCCGTCGAAGTTCGCAGTGATCACAAGAACCTCACGTACTTCCGTACAGCTCAGAAGTTAAACCGCCGACAAGCACGATGGAGTCTCAAATTATCACAATTTGATCTTCACCTCGTTCATGTCCCCGGCACTCAGATGATCCAATCTGATGCACTATCTCGTCGTAACGGACTCGATGACAGTGAAAGTGACAATGAAGATTGCGTTCTTTTACCCAATGCACTGTTTGTGCGATCCATTTCCCCGACATTATTTGACGAAATCAGGAATCACGCAGCAAAAGACCTCATTGTTCACGAAGCCCTCGAAGCGATTGCGCACAAAGGGCCATTCCCCATGAAATCATCGCTTTCTGACTGGGAAGTTCGCGATGGTGTCATCCTCTACAAGGGAAAGATCTACGTTCCACCATCTGAAACTCTTCGTCGTGACCTCGTTCGACTACATCACGACTCCCCTGCCATGGGTCACCCTGGAAAGTTCAACACTCTTGAACTGTTACGTCGTGAATTCTGGTGGCCCGGCATGTATACATTTGTCTACAATTATGTTGAAGGCTGTGCCGCCTGTCAACAAATGAAACCGAACACTCATCCAACGCGTATTCCTTTGGAACCAATTCCCGCCGACCCACACGCATTACCATTTTCCTGTTGCACCACCGATTTTATTACCGACCTTCCCATTTCCAATGGTTTTGATTCAATTATGGTCGTAGTAGACCATGACCTTACGAAGGGGGTGATTCTTACGCCCTGCCTCAAAACGATCACAGCCGAAGGAACAGCCAAGATTTTTCATAACAAAGTATACTCGCGATTTGGATTACCCGACCGAATCATCTCGGATAGAGGACCTCAATACGCATCCAAGGTCTTCCAAGAGTTAAATCGACTACTCCAGATCAGATCATCAATGAGCACAGCTTATCACCCTCAGACGGACGGAGAAACAGAGCGAGTCAACCAGGAGCTGGAAATCTATCTTCGACTCTATTGCGGAAACAACCCTGAAACATGGGCCGACCGCCTGCCAGACCTCGAGTTTTGTCATAACACAAGGGAACACTCAGCACGGAAGATGAGCCCATTCCGCATCATGATGGGATACGAACCACGTGGACTCCCTTCCGTATTTCCGACCACGAACATTCCATCGGTTGAATCCAGGCTTGACATGTTGCAGAAGATAAGACTAGAAGCACTAGCCATGCACGAGTTAGCCCGACAACAGATGGCGGACCGAGTCAGACAAGGATCGCCGAAGTTTACACTAGGACAGAAGGTCTGGCTAGACTCGAGGAACCTGAAGGTCAATTATGCCTCGCGCAAGATAGCACCAAAGCGTGAGGGGCCATTCGAAATTGTCGAAGTCATTGGACCGGCCAACTATCGTCTCAAACTCCCGAAGACCTGGCGAGTTCATTCCGTATTCCACGCCGCCCTTCTATCTCCTTATCGCGAAAACGACATACATGGTCCGAATTACATGAACCCACCACCTGATGTCGTTGATAACGAGGAAGAGTACGAAGTCGAAGCCATCCTGAATCACAAGACGTACCGAGGTCATCTGAGGTACTTAGTCAAGTGGAAGGGATATTCTTCAGCAGAAAACTCGTGGGAACCTACCCACAATTTACAGAATGCCAAACGAATCCTCGATGCATATAAAAGGACCAGGGGAATCCAGTAGAGGAGAAGAAACCCGGAATGACTACCACGACGGTTTTCCTCATCATCTTCCTAATCGTCCTCCACTGCACAACCCTCGCCTTTCTTTGGATCATCCACCGAATCCTTATCAGACGACTTGTCGAACACACACTCTTCACGCGAGACAGCCCGCACGCTAACGGCTGGGGTGATCAGAACGATGCCTGGAACTGATCAGGCAGCTCTTATCTCTGTGGGAATACTCTTTATCGTCCAATGGATTTTCATCTATTTGATTATTACCCGGATCCACGACATTCTATTTCACATCACAGATAACCGCGACCCCCTTAACGACCGAAAGGTATAAAAGGGGGAGAAAACGACATATCATCAATGCCCACTTCCGCTATAGACGACCTTGTTCACAATATACTCGCTGAAGTCGCCTCCACAATTATGAGCATACCCGCATCGCCTACGCTTGTCAATGGAGTACCCTCTCGAGCACAGACACCCTTTATCCGCACCTCATCGCCCTCACCTTCTATCGAACTCAGTCACGCATCGGACGAACAAGAATTTGCCACACGTCTGGTCTCGGCTATCCGTGTTCCTGTCGACTTCACAGATATCCTCGTCGCCTTACGAAATCGCCCGCAAGATCGACAAGCGGTGGTTTCCATGCAACGAGCATTAGAAATGGTCGAGTGGATGCAGACGGCCAGACAAGAGCTCATCGCAGCAGAAGAAAGGACGAGTAGAGCCCGGACCAGAGTCGACCAAGTCTGGTCATTGATGCGCAGTACGGTCACTCGTACAGCACAGGAGATTTGGAGGGAGCATGGGGACGAAGACATCGGACACATCCTCGGATACACCACTAATGGAATACCCGCATCCACTCCTCGCTCGTCGCCAGAACCAATTCCCGTTCGACCTCGCCCTCCTCGTTCGCACGTACCCAGTGGACGATCTCCGTTATCCCAACCATCTTTCTCGACTGCATCCACTTCTTCGCGTCGCAGTCATCCCTACAGGAATGGACGTATCCCCGAACAAGGATCACGAACCAGCCGGCGGACATGCTACAGATGTGGAGGAGATCATTATGTCCGCGACTGCCCTCGACGACGATGAAGATCACAATATTTCTTGTGGGACAAGAAACGTTAGACGGGAGCTGATGTTACAACGCTCCCCACTTGTGGCGCGTCTTTTCTTTTTCTTTTCCTTGTTCCCTTTACGTTACCAGACCACGTGATCCAACACGTAACTCATTGGAGCGCAACCTCCGATTCTTTACCCAGATGCCCAGAACCCCTAGTCTAGGGTTACACCGGATCCAACTCCGGACCTTCTTCTTATCGCGCATGCAAGACATGCATGTACGCCTCATCTTTACCTCGTTCTGATACACGACTCGTTATCCCCATTAGTACTGATTATCTCTCACGACCTTACTCAGCTTTCTCATACATATTACTTCCTCGCTGTTACCTCGCCCAGATATCGTTTCACCTTATCTAGCCAATGAACGATCTCGCATTACTGCGTAGTACTGCGGATACCTTTTGTATAAGTAAACGACCTTGTCGAGCTGGATCCCCATCTCGACCTGGTTACCATTAAACCAGCTTTTCACTTGCCTTTGACTGAGATCGACCGTCAGTAGCAGACAGCTACTACGAGTCATAAGAACGAACTCTGATCGACCTTCAGTGCGAGGACATCGCCAGAAGTGTCACTTGAACGGACTTGTGTCTTAGACTAAGACCTTGTCTCGTGACGACTCGACTAGACGCTCGTGTTTCGCTGCCGCGTAACAAGGCGTGCATCCAAGCAAAGGCAACGCGGAAGCCATTTCCCAAAGAGACGGACGAATGCAGCAAGGTACCCGGAGAATTAACACACACGGATGTGTGGGGACCTGCGCAGACAGCCGCTCTACAAGGGTGGAAATATTTTATTACATTTACCGATGATTACAGTCGTCGAAGTACAGTACTATTTATGAGGCATAAAGATGAAGTAACTGAAAAGGTAAAGAATTATATTACCTATATCGAGCGCAAGTTTGGAAATAAACCCTTGCGACTCAGGCTCGACAACGGTCGAGAATATATGAACACCGAATTAATTAACTGGTGTCAAATGAAAGGGATCGAGATGGGTCCGACTGCGCCGTACTCACCATCCCAGAACGGAGTCTCTGAGAGATTGAATCGCACACTGCTTGGACTAGCGCGCGCGATGATCTATGCGAGAGATCTACCTCGTTATCTTTGGGCTGAAGCGATTGCTCACGCAGTCTATATTAAAAATAGATCGCCTACTCAGGCGTTAAATGGGGCAACTCCCGAAGAAAAATGGAATGGGACGAAACCAAATATCTCGTACCTACAAGAATTCGGTTCCCCCGTATGGGTCCTCACGGAGGACGCAACACTATCAAAGCTAGCGCCCCGTGCCAACAAGTATATTTTTGTTGGATACATGGACGGACCCAAAGCCATCAAATATTATGATGCACATACGCGCCAGATTAAAATCTCGCGTAATTTCCAATTTTCTTCGAATTCCCCGGACCATTTGCCCGGCAACGCGCCTCACGTGCCACAAGAGCAAATAGGATCCGACGTACCTATCCTCACAGCACAGCGTGAGGGGGAGCAAAATATATTTCCGGGCACTTTACCTAGCAATGCGTCAGACGTGCCGCATGCGGAAAGAAGACCCGAAGTCCCAAACCTCACAACGACTGCAGACGTGCGGCGCGAGGGGGAGTTAGGAACTTCCGCGCCACAGTCACCTGCCAAAAATCCGCGAAAGCGCAGACAGGATGATGATCCTGATCAACGCAAGGAAAGCGGGACGGACGCACCAAGCCAGCCCAGACGAACCAGAAGAAAGACAGTTCGGCATGATTACCGTCTAATGCACGACCCAGAGGCAGACGAAGATCTGGATAATGATCCAGATAAATCAAATGCCGAATTAGTCTATATTGCGATGAGCGCCCACGGAAATGCGGATGCGGATGAGCCAAAGACGCTCAGTGATGCCAAGAGATCACTCGAGTGGCCCAAATGGGAACAGGCAGTCCAGACGGAACTCAATCAACTACAGGGTATGGAGACTTGGGAGTTAGTGGAACCTCCCGAAGATCGAAAACCCGTAGGAAATAAATGGGTTCTAGTTAAGAAAACAAACAAAGAGGGTGAAATAATCAAATACAAAGCCCGCCTGGTTGCGAAGGGATATTCTCAAATCCCAGGCATGGACTATACCGAGACGTTCGCGCCCGTAGTCCGCCTCGAAACCATTCGAGCTATCCTCGGGCTAGCCGCAATCTTAGATTGGGAGATCGGACAGATGGACGTGAAAGGCGCCTATCTCAATGGAACTCTCAAAGAAGAAGTGTATATGCGGCAACCCGAAGGATACAGCGATGGAACATACCGCGTATGTAAATTAAAGAAAACCCTCTATGGGCTAAAGCAGTCTGGCCAAGAATGGAATATCGTGCTGAACCGCAAGTTACTAGACGCGGGATTCAAGCGCCTATTCTCGGATCCATGTGCGTACATTCGGATCAAAGGTGATAAGATAGAAATCGTCACCGTTTGGGTAGACGACCTATTAATATTCACCAATGATTGCGCACTGATGGACCAATTGAAGAGGGAACTCCGAAATATGTTCGAAGTTACCGACCTTGGCGAACCCCGAAAAATTGTGGGGATAGAAATTGAGAGAGACCGTTCAAAGCGGACAATCAAAATCTCTCAGACAAAATATATTGAGTCTATCCTACACAAGAATGGGCTTACGAACGCCAACACGGTCGGGATGCCTCTTGATCCAAATACAGTGCTTGAAAAAGAAGAACCCGAAACTGATGACGAATGCGACCGAGACAACGGATATGCATCGCTCGTCGGATCACTGATGTACGCGGCAATTGCCACGAGACCAGACATTGCTCACGCCGTGCAACGGCTTAGCTCATTTACTGCCAATCCCGGAATGGCTCATTGGACTGCTGCTAAACGCGTCCTCCGCTATCTATCCGGAACGCGAGAACTTGGAATAATCTACGGGCCAATTGCAGATGTCAAGCCCGAAGATCAATCCATATTTGTGGGCTACTCAGATGCAGACTATGCGAACGATATCCGAGATCGCAAATCAATCTCGGAATATTTATTTAAATTAGGAAATGGCACGATCACGTGGAGCTCAAAGAAGCAAACCACGGTCGCGTCATCCACCACGGAAGCCGAATACATGGCATCCGCAGAAGCGGCAAAAGAAGCCGTGTGGCTCCGAACACTATTCAAAGAAATAGGTTTCGAGCAACAAGATCCTACAATTTTATTCGAGGATAATACAGCGGCGATCTCAATCGCACGTGATCCCCAATTCCACGCGAAATCAAAACATTTTGATGTAAAGCATCATTATGTGCGCGAAAAATTGAGGGATAAATATATTGATATCCACTACTGTCCCACGGAGGACATGATAGCGGATATCCTAACAAAATCACTCCCTAAGCCGAGGCACGAGAAGCTCACAAAGAAGCTCGGAATGCCCATCGGCTTGAGGGGGAGTGTTGGAAAGTAGCACCCAAATTTCTGGAGCTCCAGAAATTGGGGAGCGCCCAAGGGCAGACAAGCCGAGGGCATGATTACAAAGAAAGACAAAGAAGGAAATTTGCTTATATAAAGTGGAGTGTCTAGAACTGTATATATACAGAAATCTATTTTAGGACGCGTAATCACGCGCCCCGACGCATCTTGACCCGCCATCACTACCTTCCTATTTGGGAACTAAGGCGCGATTTCTAACAGGTAGCACCAGGGATTTACTGATGATTGGCTCGTTAATCATCGACTTCAATAAGAAAGCAGCCTCAATGCATGACGATCTCCCTGTCCACGTCTTCAAGGGTACATAAGCACACTGGCAAGGTGGAAGATAAGCAACAAATTCCCCGCTGCACATAAATATCACGAGGTAAAGTTTGATTTAGGTCTATCAGGGAATTGTGCATGTTGTCATTGCAATACAGTGGATGACTTTCCGTAAGGAAATTAAGGATTTAGAGCATACTCTAAATTCCCAGAATGCTAGAAAATATATTAATTTTGATGCATTCCCATGCCCGCCGTCCAATGAGCAGCCCACGGCAAAGGCTAACCTTCCAAATACGACTGCGGCCTTCGCCGGGACCTGGCGCTTCTCCACACTCAATAAGCGCCGGGGACATGCCTTTGGTGCCCATCGCCGATGGCATGTCGAGCGTGCAACCTCCAGGGGAAGTGTACAATTCTTCACCTGGAATTGTTTGCTGGAGTTCCACAAAGACAAATCCTGCAGCCTTGAGAGTTTTTGTGAAGGGAGGAAGAAGTTGTCACATCCCTTCTTCGAGGTTTTAGCTCAGGGGGTCCCCTCCACGTTGTTAACCACGCAAATTTAGGATTGATGGCATGCCATAACAGGAAATCTGATCGCCGAGGTCGTCTTTGACGCCCACAGTGTGGTCACACCCTCACGACACCAATTCTTGGTGAACACTGTGTCTCCCCCCATCCTACATGATTTGTATATCATTCGGATGCTTGAAATGAGCAGTTACAGGTTGTCCAAACCAATTTTGAAGGAGGGACTTCCTCGACATGCAAATCCCAGATCTTGCAAAAATGAACTAACCTATATTGGGAATGCCTTCCAAAATTAAGGAAATCGCTAAATCCTTACGGAAAGTCATCCAGTGATTGGACACCGTTTGAGCCACGGACTCGATGTGAGCCGCAGATTCTGCACGCATCACGGTTGTATCGTAGCCTTGCTGTGCCTTCGACATGCGGGAGAATCGCCAGAGAAACTGGGCAAAATCAGAATTTTGACGATAGTCAATCTTCTCGGTGTAGAGTGCCCCACACCTATCCCAGTGCAAGATACGAGCAAAGTTGGCGGTTATCAAGACAGAAAAGCAGAATGCTCGATATTGACAGGTGAATATTTCCTCAGCGCAGGATACGAGGCGGATCGACACATTCCATCATGAACTTGAATGGCATGACCTGTCGCTCCCACCACGGCTGTCCGTCGCTCGGTGCTTCATGGTCTAGATAGAGCGCAGCGTTGGATACTCGTTTCACGTCCCTTTCAAGCAGCTCATCCTGGTCATCCTCGTCGTACACTTTGTCTCCTTCTCCTTCTTCTTCTTCTTCTCCTTCTTCTTCTGGCGTGGATGTACCCACAGCAAATTTGTAGCCGGGATGCAATTGGTTACCTTTCCAGACATCTGTGCTGTAATGTCCGTCAGGTTTCACAGTGAACCGGGCAGAAACAAGACGTATCTGTTTGCGCGCACATTTTTGGAGTTTCGGGGCATTCCAAAGAAGGCACTTCTGAGTTTCGGCTTTGCTGTCCCCTCTGGCGGCGGGGCACAAAGGCATGCATGAATTCGATGCAAGACACTTCCACAAAGTTCCCTGGAAGAGCCCTGTCTTGCTTCTGCTGTAGCAGATTCCGAAGGTGTGACGTCGACTCCTGTACGGCCTGCAGCAACGTTTCATGCTCGATCATTAGTTCTGCAGAAATTCGAGAGGTCAAGCAGTCATGACTCCTTATATTTTTTCCGCAATATAATCTCGTAGGTTGTTTTGCAGACGTTGTATGAGAAGATTGATGGATAGCAGGTTGCGGAGATGCGCTCAAACTCAACGGTGACTGAAGAAGGGAGGGAGCACAATCGAGCACGTGCAATTCGCGCATCTCGCAGTCGCGTGACACAGTTTGTGACTGATCGCGTTCAGCGTCACACACTCTGCAGCAGTCTGCAAACTTAGTGCATGTGGTTCTAGCCTTCGTCAGCTGCATAGCGCTGGAAATGTTGTGCTGCGCGAATATCTCCCTGGAGATGACTGGGCCGCTCGCTAACCTGGATCCGAAGAACCATAAGTGCCTGTAACTTACCCCTCTTGTAGCATGTCGGGAAATATCGCCAAGTGCGGTAGAAGAATACCTAATCCATGTGTTTCAGCAGTTGCGGCGCTAAAGCCTTGACGGAATTTGGTGAGCTGTGGAACGGAGCGAAGATACACTGTTGGATCAGCTGCTCGATGTTGATGAAGGATCAGTTAACGTGGTTGGCACCTGCTCAAGTCGTAAGTATCGGGTTGTACAGCGTACTCAGTGCCGCTATACACGGGACAGGACAGCTCTTTCATGCGTGAATTGCCGCACTTAATAGGAACTTAAATGGTATGTATGCAGCCTTTGGTGCTCCGCCGGGCGTGCATGTCAGACAGTCGGAAGAGACGCATGCTATAGCATGCGTATGTACACGTTTTCACTGGTATTCAAGCAGCTGCGCTCGTTGGTTGCCAAGTCAGCTTGTCATCCGACAGATAGTGGCCATACCTTCTAATTTAGTTGGACAATCCGCAGTTCTGGATGTGGACCCATACTCAACGAAGTTCACGCTGTTAACGCCGCTTACGTGTATTTCAGAACCGCATCTCCCAATCGATATTCACTTCAACGTAGGGATCGCTGTGCCACCTACAGCTATTTTTTGCGACAGATCGCTCTGCTGTGCACGAGTTTAACACGTGCATACTGCTGCAACTCGTTCCGGGCACTGAAGTTCCTTTGGACCAATATACGAATATGATAACGAATGTCATTCTACCATTGGAGGACAGGGAGACCACAGTATGTGGGGAGATACACAATGCTGTCATTTAAACTACATCAACCACCTGTAGGGGCTCTCACACAGGTGACACTTTACACTCAGATTTTTATACCGTCTAATTTGACCGTCGCGCGGCCCGTATTCCATCGATCATGCACAGCGTCGCAACCGCCATCGCTCGATCGAAGCGCGCCCTGACTGCATCGAAGGGGATGTAGTAAGTAACGGGTCGCCTTCTTGCACTGTGCTCGACAGACCTGGCGATTCCCTGCCAATTCAACGTGGGCCACCACATTTGTCGAGACACGACGTTGGAAACACTTCTGTTCGCGAAACGTGCCAGTTTCACGCCGTGGCGAATCAGGTAGGGGGGTCCCTCTGTGCACTGTCAGGGCCGCACCAAAGATCGGTTGTTCAGCGTCCGAGTGCCCATGAACTGGTGGAACAGTGTGATGGTGGGAATGGCCTGTGCAAATTGGTAAAGAAGTCGGTTGACAGGGACATCCGTGTCCCATCATTCGGCCGAATGGCATGTACAGATAACCACAACATGATCCGTGAAAGGCTGCTGACCACCGGCACCGCGCGGCGAATACGGCCAAACAGCGTCCGAGACGTTCGCATGTCGCATATACAGACCACAGCCAGGGGCGCCGTCATCTGGACTGAATGGAGGATGAGTGAGGCGTGAACAAGTGCGCGGAGTGGCATGGGAGCTTTGTAACAGCGAGGGTCGTCAATACAAGGTGATGATCAGCGGCGGCCTCACGAAAACGAGAAGGTGTGGGGTATCCATACGGAAACTGCGATCTTCCCACAAGTAGCGCACCACGATTGGGCGGCGGCACCGAGGAGAGCCCGTTCGAAGATTGCTTTGGCACGCGAACGCAACTAGCGCAAACCCATTCCTTGGTGGCTTAGAAGCCTAGGACGAAATGCTGCGCTGTAGGACATGCCAGCCACAGCTTCGAATGAACATCCAGATCCAACGCAAAGAGAAAGTTGATTTTTCATTGAGTTTCCCTCCCCGCGTTGGATAAACGTTATTTCGAATGACTTGGATTTTTCCTGATCTCAGCAGACAAGTGAACTCGTCTCCAGAACAGAAGGCACCCATACCGTCCCACCACGGAGGATGTGCGTCACGAGAACGGGAACCAAGCTTTCGTCGTATATCAGATAATCACAGCCCCAGATAACAAATCCATATGCAGAGCTGACGGAGATGCGCACTTGGACCATTCCCCCGATGATGTCGCCATCGGCTCAATTGGTACCAGGGCAGCAGGCATGCGGAGGTAATACAAGAGCTGAGTTCTTGGGATGAGGTTGCGCGATTTGGCTGCAATCTTCGAGAAAAGGAAGTTAAAGAGAATGAGGCACGGGAGAGAACTTGGCACAGACGCTCGGGACCGAGCTCTACCTCCCCCTTGTGATCGGTAGACAGGTCGGTACCACGAAGCGCTGAGTTCCTCAGATACTCATGTGATAGGAGGTTTTACTTGACATCCACTGGGTTCCTGTTCAATTTTGTGATGGTGACAATCAGATGGACGAAAGCAGCACTGCAATACGATGTATTTACTCTCAGCATCGCGAGTACTCACAGACGAGCTCATGCACCATCGCAGATCTCAACTCGGAGACGGAATCTGGAGCGATGTCGGACGTGATCGAAATGGGCCCGCAAGGCCATGGATTCCCATGTACGTCTCACTACCGCCAAGTGTGGATTGATAGTGGCGCCATTCGCGAGAACGTCCTGGATGAAGTTGGCTAGACTAAGTGGCCTGATCACAGGAGCATCTCACTGAGTGATTACTTACACGACCGACATTGAAGGACAACCTACGTTGGACGGGCATCACAGCGGAAGAATATCATCGTGCCGGTGGGTACTACGACGTTCCCACAGACACCACGCGCATTGAAAATAGGACTTGGAAACGCAACTGAGGCAGTGTCGAGGGCAATGTGTACTATAGCATCACGATCTGTAACAGGGCCCTCAAGCAAGACCAGATTGCAGTCCTCAGGACGAGCGTCGGACCTGACGCCATTGAAGCTTCAGCAGATATATCATATCACTAGCCTCTTCAACTCGAATGTGGTCCAAGCCAACGATGTTACACAGAACACGATGAGACACTTCGGAACTGCGGCGCAAAATACGAGATAGTAGAATACGTGGAAAGACAAGCCAGAGATCTAGAGGCATACGGTAGTAGTAGCTCGGAGGGTGTAAAACAGTGGAAGCTTACGTAAGAACACCTGGTGGCTGCTTCCCGTCTGTGGTCTTCAGGCCAACCAAACCCCCGAAATTACCGTCATGCCTATCAAACATCTGGACGGTGAGTGGTATTTTGTGTTTTGACTTGAACCCTGCACAGACATGTTCGTCGTCTGCCCATGTTGCAGGCTATCTCGCAGAGAGGAAACATCTGCAGACCCACCCACTCTCCATTCTCTCAGACTCACGCCTCGGCATCGATGCGTCGTACTATCTCGGGCTGCTGAACGACAACCCACCTTCTCGGGAGCCTCTCCTCGCCGCTACTGGAGGTCTACCGCTCGCTCTGACAGTGCGGATCGAGTCTGACCTCCGGGTCCTCGAAAAATTGCATATCAAACCTGTTTTTGTCTTCCCTGGTCTTGTGCCCAACCGTCGACTGAAACCACAACACCAACACTATGAATACAATGAGGCCTGCAGGGATAGGCGTGAAGCTTGGACCAAGTACGAGGCCGGCCAGGAGGAGACGGCAACAAAACTGTTCGAGGGGAGGAGCAATTTACACCAGTGGGACCTCTGGAAGATGGTCCTCAGAATTTTCAGACATCGCAACGTGGAGTTTATTGTTGCGCCATACGTCGGATGGGCACAGGTATGCTCACTCTCATGACGCGTCGCGCGCTTCCTGGGTGCCTAACTATCCGGCATAGTTGATTTACCTGCAGCGACATCCTAAGTCGTATATCCATGCCATATTCGGGCCAACCGACACTCTTCTGTATCCTGGAGTTGACAAAGTCATCACATCCTTGGATCTTGTCTCTGCGAACCCGTCGTTTACCTTCGTTTCCAAGCGCTCCATTCTCAGTGATCTTAGTGTATCGGAAGACCAATTTTTGGATATTGGTATTTTACTTGGTTTCGATCACTCGCCATCGTTCCCTCCTACTGTCCACGAACAGGCGTTGAAGGCGACAGTCGACATGGTCAAGTACTACAAGTCGGGTCATGCAGCCGTGTCCGCTTTTTCGGAGCAGCCACAAGTCAAGTCCATCCAATATCCGGACCACTACGCGCGCACACGTTCCATGATCAAGTATTCTCTCATTATGAACTCGGAGGGAGCAGTGACGCCGCTCCCTGTCTCTATCAATACATCCCCTGCCCATACTCACCAAAATCACCACCCGCACCATCCGACCGTCACAGATATTCCCCAAGACTTACATGATATCTTCACACACCGGCTGCCGGACGAGATCTACTTCTACGTGTCGCGTGGCCTAATGGGCCCCCAATCTCTCGTTTGGCTTACTTCCGGACAGATCATCGAGAACCCACCATTGGACAATGGAGAGACTACAGAGTACCGCCGTTTCGTGAAAGAGGTGATAACGGAGGGCCAGACTGGACCCCGTGCAACGGCCCTCGCCCTAATTTCCAGTGTTACCAACAGCGCATGGTCGAACAAGAAGGTTGCGGCTTACTTCTGGTTTGAACAGCCCACGCCGCAGAAGCAGATTACGCACAATTCACAGCAGACGGCGCAGCTCGCGGAACGGGTAGTGGGCTGGAATGTTCCGTATGCGATCGTGGAGGAGGAGCTCAGAAGACAGAATGTATAACCTTATTTTCTCCGCGCTTTGAGATGTACTGCTGATGTACCTGTTCGCGCTCGGTGGCTCTTAGTCTTCGACGATCGACTTTGCGCTCTGCCTGGGTGCTACTGTGTCGGAGAAACTGGCCGCACGCACCAAGATAAAGAACGGTCAGGCTGCGATCTCGATGTCTCTGGAAAAGAAGGATGAGCTAGTGGCTAATGTCATATGGCGCTTCCTGGAGCTCAGAGGGTTTGTGCATTCATCCGGGTTATCTTGCGTGCAACCCATCGCGGCGATTATTGACCATTGTTCTGGCTTCGGTAGGTTCCTGCTGAATACACACACGCATTCGCCGTTGGCCCGCGCTATGCACACAGCAATTCGAAGTGCACGTGTGAACGACAAGTTCCAAGATTCGTTGTACCTGTTCCTGGAACTGGTCAGAGCTGGCGTGATGCACGGTAATCTCTGGTCAGGCCGCGCCTTCAGTGGCGGGCCCAGTTTCGGTACCGGTACGGCGCCATCTTTTCCACCCCGATGGCAGTTCGAGCGTTGACGGGTGCTGTTGCGCGCCACCAGATGATGAGAAATCGTGTATGCTGCTGGTGATGAGAGTGTTGAGCATTGTTCCCTTAAACTTCAAGGTGACCATCCCCCGGCGGTCGCTACGGTGCTGTGGACACTGATTGCTATCTTTGTTTACACTTGGACGATCTCCTGATCACTATATCCAGCCCCAGCCCTGGTCTGCACCTCTGTCACGAGAGCTGCTCGTGTTCAACTCATTTGTCCGTTCCCTCACACGGGCGTTGAGGACGTTGTTGGAGGTGACTTCGCTGAATATGCTGCTGCGACACGACGCTCGGCGGGCCCGGGACGATTATCTGGATATTAACCTATCACTGCCTTTCCAATCGGAGGTCAACACCGGGTTTGGGGTGCTTGCCAAGGTCTATCTGGACGCGCTCACACATATCAATAACCGGCAGCGAGTGCGAGATCCGAATGCAGAGGGGGTGAAGGAGGCCAAGCTGATGGCGCTCGAGATCTGTGAGGAGACGTTCCCGGGGGTGAAGTTCCCCAAGTTGGAAGTAGAGCGCGGGTTCCGGTTCTGGGATGTGGTGAGTGGCTCGGCTGCCAGTCGCATTCAAAGTTAGCTGTGTATGGACTCTCATCATCGTTCTGTTTGCAGACGCTGACGGCCATGAGGCAGCTGCACTCTGAAGGCGCTGTGTTGCGTGAGCTGATCGACCAGTTTGAAGCAGCCGAGGCGTGGTTGGCGCCGATGCGACCGTAAAATCTCTCACAGTTGCAAGGGGCAAGGTAGCGCGTGATACCTGATATCTGCGAGGCGAGCGTGGAAGCGGTGTTTTTATTTCTTGGTCGGAGGTGGGATGCGGCAGCGCAAGAGGGGATTGGGCGGAGTGGCTGGGTGGGGGCGAGTGTAGTCTGGAGTAGACGTGTTGCGGCACCGTGATTGAGAGAGAGTTAGGAGAACATGATGTGAGGATCGGACATGGATTCGAGCGAGGGAAAATTGGAAGACAAGTCTGGGAAAACAGGACGCTGCTGAGCCACTTGCCCGAGAGGGGCCGACACGTGAGGATGGATGCAAAGTTGGCCGAATCGGAAAGGTGGATCTGAGATTTTTATCATATCTTGATTGCGCGACTGGGATCCAATTATTTTTTGTGCAGGATTCGGATCTGGGAGCTCAGCCGCGCGGCTTCTGGGCGTGTTCCCTTTTCCGGTCAAGTGCTCCTCAACACTCTCTCAGCCTTTTCAGACGCTTTATTTAAGGATGGCTGTCCCCTCTCTCCCGCCACGCCCATCCCGCCCGCCCGTTTCTTCGCTCTCCGCCACCGTCGACGACGACGACGAGGAACATGGAGTCTCCCATCCTCTTCACCATGTTCAAGCAGGATCCAGAGCCTCTCTCCCCCTCCTCGTGCATGCACAAAGACACCACCGCCACCCCCCTCTTCCTCCAGCACCGCACACTCGAGATCATTCAACTCATTGAAGTCCCCGCCCCTCCCCGCGTCCAGCACCCGTCTACTATCGCATCCAGCTCTGCCGCGACCTCTTCGACCTCCTACCTCTCGACCTCCACCAGTGGCATCGAGGACGCCGACTCAGTGGCGTCCTCCTCCTATTGCTCGTCTGCTGAAGGACAGTCCGATGTGTTCGTCCCCGACGACACCTACAAGATCAGACTGACCCGCGTGCTCGCGTGGCGAGAGAGCTCTGCAAAAGTCCCAGGCGGATCGCAGCTTAGTGCGCACACTTACTCCGTTAGATGTCCGTGTCTGCTGACCTTCGGCTCTTATTCTTAGCTACACCTCTGGCACCCGCGGTCCCACTGAAGCGAAAAGTTGATGGCGACGACGATGGCTTGAACGACGACGCTGTAAGCCACGACTTTCTCTGAGGTGTGCACCACCGTACTAACGCACCATTTACGTGTAGGTGTCGCACTCGTCTAAACGTTCGCGCTCGAGCACCTCCCGGTTGCGCTCGCCCTGGCCCAAGCGTCGGTTCAGCGAACATTCCTGCCCCGCATGCGACACCTCCTTCCCCACCCGTCGGAGCCTACAGCAGCATGGTCGGGATGCTTCCCTCAGCGATGCCTGTCGGCAAGCCGTGGAATACGGTTTCGAAGCATGAATGCATGACATCCGCCGCACGATTTTTTGACGTCCTTATGCCACACACCACCCGCATAGCTATCGATTGACCTTACTCGTTTACATGCACGCACGACTTGCGTTCTACGCGTAAGCTCGCATAATCTTACTGTACCCGCTATTAAACCTGTCTGGCATATTGTGTCCCCCTAATGCAGCGAATCTTATTACTTCCCTATTTACATACCGGTCCGTCTGCAAATACTGTACATACCCACCCAGCCTATGTTTATTCTTCTGTGCCGTGTATACTGTACGATGTATTCATAGTGCTGTGAGTGCAATGGAAGCACTTCATTTCCTGCTCGTTCCACACGACCCCGTCCCAATCGTCAACGATGACGATCGTTATTCTCACTTCCTGAGAAAACATACGGAAATCGAATCGGCAGTGGCTACACGTGATCACCTCTCTCAAGTCCATTAAATTGTTTACAATAATCACCTCGTCGCGCCATTGCTTCGTCTCAACACGCCAGAACGCTCAGCTCGCTTGACCCACTATGAACAGGCGCGCACGATGCTTGCACGGAACCCAGCCGCTGCTAGTGCCCGCTGGGCGCAGATTTAGCTCGCGTCGCTCAGCGCTAGCGTTCCTTCATACTTCCTTATCTTCTGAATCGTTCTCACAGGCATTCATGTTCGTGTCCTTTTTTTCTCATCCACATATTACGCCGTCTCCAGCGATGCAACGCCCTCCAACGTGCTCTTCGCACCGTCGCAAGCCCGTAGTGTGTCTCTTCGCGTCCCTTCGGGCCTTCTCCCGCTGGACGCCTCGGACCGAAGAGGAGTTACCGAAGAGGAGTGGGTACATGGGAACGGCGAACACGAAGTTTTCTTCTTCCCTTGCAGGCGTCCAGGTTTTGCAGATGGGGTTTTTGCCTCCCCAACTTAATCATCACGCCTGCGAAATCCGGCAACGATGCCCGGACGTAAGCGAGTGCTGATCCGGTGTTTTTCGGACCATCGATATATGGACGTGCGTTCTCTGTCGGGTGGGGTCGCATGTCGTCGCCATCTGCGGCTCACTCGTGGAGTCTGATGTTGCGGTCTGGCGATGACGAACGCGCCCGATGTGTCCAGGCTTCACCGTGAGGGTGGCACGATTTTCATTCCCCAAGCAATAACATGCAGGCTGCCGATCCTCCGCACTGACACACACATGAACACAATGAAACCATCGATAACGGGGATCACAAGAGCTCAAAATAAGGACGACATCGTGAACGAGATCGAGCGGCGGCTTGTGTGCACCGACTCTTGGGGGCGTACTCACGCACCGGTGTACCGCAATCGCCATCCGGCGCACCGGCTGGAGCTCAGTCCAGTGCAGTGCTAAGGCCCGAAATTCTTGTTGTTATCCACCATACGTGTCCTGCGGAGGATACACAGCCCTCAACAGCATTAGCAGTGCACAAATATTGTCGTCCACAGCCAGCGGTCTCACTTGGAACGTCCCACGCACTCACACACAGTCTTACACATGAGCCGATCGCAGCGGTGAAATCGGAAGACCAAACGCTGCATGCCTGCAGCTTCGTAGACGCAATGCGCGACGTTAGTGAGCTATGGCACGCACGAACATCAATGATGAGCAGCTCACTGGGCTAGGAATTCATCTTGACTGTATTGCCAGGCCCTGCCTGTGCCGTCCATTACGCTGCTCAGTGCTCAGTTCGTTCTCCGCGCCGCAGCCTGGGAGAAAGGGCTGTCCTTCCTCTGCCTCAAGTCTTCGTTCTTGGGCATTCTCACCTATTCTCGCTGACCGAGGATAGGAAACTTCCACGACGGCCATCGTAGAGCTCCGAAATGCCGGGCGTGCGATTGGACCCGCTGGAAGAGAAGCTTGTTATTCGCGCTTGATTAGAGGCGGGGAGGGCAGTCCCCAAAACACCACCACCAGCCTGAGAACTCAGGACGTACCCACGCAAGAAAGCTGCCAGGTCAGAGTTTCGAAGTAGTAGCCCCGACGTCGGGCACTCCGTTGAGAGAGATAATGCGGAGATGGAAGTCCAGTAGCTGGTCGGTGCACAGGTTCCGTCCTGCGAAGGCCACGAAATGTCCGTGACCTGCTATGGGAGAGTGCGTACCCACGACGTCCAAGGATATCTGTCAGCTGAAAGAGGATGTATTATATATAGCTGGCCATGGGTAGCCGGAGTAGAGCAAGCTCGGCGTGGGGAGCAGAGGACCGCTCGAGCAAAGTCATGTACAGAAGATTCCTGAAAAGCACGCCGGTGCAGCGCCTACTTGGAGCAGTGCCGTATACGCACATGTAGGATATATCCCGCTTTGTGTAAATGGACATGCGAGTGCGGAGATGGCGCTCATCAGAGCGCTACTCTCATAGTTCGCATGCCACGCAAGATATCGCACCGCACGACCACTGCGTTGAGACGCGGCGAAGGGAATAATTAATCAAGAAGCAATAGAAGCGCTGTCAATAATGTGGCAAACCATTGAACGAGCAGAGCAGGCGACCTAGAGCGTCGAGCAGACGCAAGTTCCATCCGCGCGGACTTGATCTAATATTGGACTACTTTCGGTGCTCTGAGCCAGAAGGACAGGTCGGCTATCCGGTGGATAGATTGTGTAGGCATCGCGATCGAGATGAGACGGTGGCGAGCGACTGGGAAGACAGCGCCTCGTCTCCAACAGCTGTGTGAGCGAGCCAACGATCTCTATGCAGCCACTGAGATGCGTGTGAGCGACCACCAGTCGTGTTCAGTGTATTAACGCGCTCAGAAGGCCAGCGGCGATGGTCTGATCATAGGGAGACGGAGATTGGGTTGATCGGGGCAGCACCTCTGGTTCTCTGCAAGTAGAGATAAGTATGCCGAGCCCATATCGAAGTCACAACGCTGGCAAGCACATTGAAATGCAGCCTCTCCTGTCAGTGGCATTGTTTCACCGCTGACCGACAACCATTCCCAGGCGGATCTCTTGGCATCGCAGGGGCCATGGTTGTACCGAGGACGTGTTGCAACGCCTTCAATCTGGATCAATCATCAGCAGCGGGAATGAGCAGGTGGCGAGGTCATGAGCACGATTCTATTGCATTGCCACTCACTATCAGGCCCAACTGCTAGATAAGTCGCTCCACTCTAACAGAGAAAGGGTCGCATTCACGTTCAAGTGGACTGATATGCCCCGGGTCTTCGATTGGTGGTGAACAAGTTCGAACAGGTTCGAATATGTCGGGACCACCTGCTGACCTGCAGGCAGTGGTGGGATGAGGTACACGCGCAAGATGGGTTAGTTCACACTAGGATTCTGCGGATAGAACTTTGACTATCGCATGCAATGGGGTGACAAGTGCCATGAAATGTACAAATAAGCTCGATCAGATACCTTGTTCCTCAGGGAGATTTCGCCCGTTCTGGAAATGCGATGTTCACAGAAGGCAATCTTTTGCATCTGTTGGCTCTCCGATGCCCCCGAAGTCTTCAGGATAACGACATGGCGGAGCAATCAGCTTAATGGTGAGTTTTTCAGAATTCAAGACTGACCATAGAGTAGCGTTGTCCGTTCACACCTCGAGCTTGAACGTAGGTCAACAGATGTTTGAATCTACCTTTTAAAAAGGACCTCCGCAGTTACGCGTCATACGCCAGGAGAGTTTATCATGAAGTTCTAATGGTCCAGTCTCAACTCCAGGGGTAAGTATCCGAGTCAGTCCAGAGTACACTTGTACATAACATATATGTACAGAAAGCGATACATATCCCAATGCTTGAAATATCTGGAGACACCGGAGACAGCGGGCAATATCGCACCTGTGGACATTGTGGGAAAATTCTGCCTTACATTGTACATGTATGACCGGCTCTTGTTGCCTGCGAAAATTTTGCCTTACATCCTTTCTCAGCCAATCAGGTCGCGAGAATAAGCCTGTTTACAAAAATTTACAACTGTCTGACATTCTATCACATATGTACAATGTTAGATGGGATATTTGCACAATATTAGATGTCCAGATATAGCTCGCCGTCTCCAGTGAGAAATCATGCAGAACGCGATCTGTCACACGTCACGCGCGCTGAACCATGTGGGCAATCGATCCAATTGGTTCCGCTTTCCCTTCCATTCGCAGCAAATTCGCAGTGAGACTATGTGAGTTACTCTTGTTCAGAATTAAGATATCACCGACACGCACTGAATGATTATTCGCCCTGAGCAGACCACATCTCATTTTCAACGTTAACTCCAGCCACGGCCGCTGGAATCTACAAGATACAAACACAGAAGGTTCATTGGTGGGTGTCACAGCTCACCACGTTCTCTACAGCTGTTAGCACGCCGCTCGAGATTTGCGGCTGATTTTGTCGACTTCCCCCCTCTGCATTGCTGCAGGTGAACTCTACTGTAGCTTTTCCTAGCTATGCCGGAGACGTTTGTGGAGACTTCTTGCGAGGGATTTATCAAACTCTTTGTGCAGCCTCCAGGGCTGAAGTGCGCGAAGAGCGACTTCGTATGTGCTCATCGTGCTCGCGTATTGCCATAATCTTACTGTAAATGTAGCGGAAGTGTGCAGAAATATGCATTATGTACAGGTTACAAGTTTACTCTTGCGAGCGACGTACGGACGAAAATCTGTCGACGGCTGGATGCAGCTCTCTTCCTCAGTAGCGACGTACCGCTGGACGGGAGTTCATTCTGGGCGTGGCGGGCCATCTCGTTCACGTTCATTATAGAACGCCAGGATCCATTCCATTGGAGGGAGACTTCAGATGCCTCATGTGAGCGACACGTACGCCTCTGAGCTCAGGTGCCGAACAATTCTTTTCCCTTCAGCATCGGTCATTTATTTTTGCCGTCTTGATCCTTGGCCACTGCGCGCGTATCTTGCGATGGGACAGGTGAGGTGGAATTGCCACGGAGAAATTTCACTATCGTCGGATTCCAGAGCTCCTAGGGGAGTGTCTATGGTCCTTCTTACATTTGTAGAAGGGGAAAAATGCTACGATTCCACTGTGACAGCCATCGAGAAGGACTCACACGGGGACAATCTCACGCAGAACTTGGCGGTGTTAGAGACCGGGGACTACACACGAAGGCTATTCAAAGATTCTCTCAATGAATACATGACTGGTGGAAGGTTCGTGTTGACCCGCAAGAGACAAGGATCGATAAGGGTGAATCAGATGCAGAACTTAGCAAGACACCGCTGCCCATGGTAGCAAGGTTCTTTCTCATTGGTAAACTGCACTTCGAGACACCTGTTATAGCTCGTCGCCACACGTGCGGGTATGTTGCGGTCAACTGCGAGACAGAGACCTTGGTCTTCCTCAAAGATACATGGCGCGTTGGCCTACACGGCTTCAAGAGGGAAGGGATAGTTCTTCGAATCCTCAACGCTCACGAGGCCGTGAATTTTTACACCCTGGTATATCACGGGAATGTCCCAGGCCACTCGACCATGACGCAAGAACTTTCGGGGCACCATTCTGAGGTGGAAAAAGTCGCACACTATCGACTTGTCGGGCTGTCGTGACTCGTGTTGGCGACTTCCGAAATGGCGAGGAGCTGGTAGCAATTATTTACAGTTGCCTTACAGGTGTGTTTAATACTTTGGCATTCATAATGGTATTCTGATTGTCAATTTGCTACTCACAACGAGGCATATGATAAATGCCAGATTTTACACGGGGACGTCAGCTATGGGAACATATTAGTTGCGGAGTGACGTGACGATGCTGGGAACTTTGTTTGGTTTGACCTCTTGAATGATTGGGAGACCTCAGAATCAGCTGCGGGGAGTGACAATGCGACAACGACACGGCTCGGTCTCAAGGTAAGCATCAAGTTGTCTAACTCGAACATCTATCGTGCCGCAGCTGAGTTCTCTTCGGAGGGAACATAGCAATTTTTACATGTGATGTTATTGGTGAACTTTTTATTCGTCCGTTCCGAAGAAGGCGGCGCGGTCCGTCTATCCACTCGTGAAGTCGTCCACAACGAAAGGCAGACACTTAAAAGGATCTCAATGGCAGACCTCTACAATTTGGGCACGATATTAGGACATATCCTCCCAACGATCTTTTTAAAGAGCTGTTGGCTTTGTTCTGCTTCCGCTACCATCTTTACGAATATCAAAACTGACGTCTCGAGTCCACTGTTAACGATCACGTCATTGCCTCTGGGAATGCTGACTGTTCCTCTTCATTTTCCCTCGAGCTGATACCAGAATACAAGCGGCCTAATGCGAAGGATGCCTCGAGATTCCCTCCTATAATTGGTACTCACATTCCAAAATATTGAACGTCCAAGATGCAGGACAGACGGAACAGAAGATATGAAAAGTGCAGGAGAAAGCATCCCTTTTGGAGTCGTATGAGGAAATCTCTATACTCTTCGAGACTGTGATCTCCATGCCTGGACGACAAGTGGAACAACAGCTGTTGTCAAGGATTTTGTGACCGAGTCCCGTTGATGTCAGACGGAAGCGTACTAGTGGCACGTTTCGCAGCAGTTGAACAAGCGGCTTAAGCCAGTCTCTGCGGACGATCCTCTAGCGGACAGCAGGAATGCGAGTCGTGAACTATTTATCCGTTCGGGCAATCTGCAAAATCCAAAATATTCAAGGGTTAGTATCTTCAAGTCGAATTCGCAAGCAGTCTGACAGCATGCATCCAGCTGGAGGTGCGCAGTGGCCTAAAAGTCAAAGTTCACGCGACCTGGCACTGGCAACGAAGCATTCACCGTGGACACCGGGCGTCCTCTAAGTTTTGTGGGAGATTTGCAGAGAGAAAGTACCCACCCTTTGCAGACCACTCTCGATGCACCATCATATTCCGCTTCAACCCGAGCTTCGAGTCAGATGGAAGCAATGGCACAGAGGTCCAAGTCCCACGCTCAACCCAGCTCTGAACATTGACTATCCAAGGCATACAAGGAGCGGTGGTACAAGGCCTGTGAAATGCAGGGGTATCGAGCGACAAAATTCACTACTCAGTGACACGAAGGCGTACTCATGTATAAACATTTTCATGATGACTGTCTCTGTCGCGAGTTGTATTTGCAATGCCCGTACTCTGAGTCTGTTCACTTCACCGTCCTGGATTCGTCTGAATCTGAAGAGTTACCATTTATGGAGTGACACATCCTTCAGCCACCTCCATCCACTCGCAGTCACCCGCCGTTCGCAGCGACCTTCGTCGTTGAAGTGGTGCCAGCAGTTCCTACCCATATTCTTCACAGGCTTCCCGGACGAATAACTGACTTATTTAACGTCTTGGTCACGATTTCTCAAGACCGCGGGTCTATGCCCGTATGCTCGCGGCTGCGCAGGCAGACAAGACCCCTCACTGGCCATCATTGTATTCCCTTGGGGTCGAGCTATTTCCGATCTCACATCGAGCACCCACACACAAGGATGGTTCATACTTGTACAATGCCAACGGTGCGTCGTGCGATTGCGTTAAAGGAAATAGGCATTGACCGGCCACAGTGGTATTTCGCTTCACACTGTATTGGACGCTCGTCCTTTACACGCCAGCGTTTATGCTGTGCGGGATATATGCATTCCTGAATATCGTATTTCCTCCCCAGAGGCTCCAGCGTGCATCTTGGCGAAGAGCATCCTTCACTTTCCCGTTCTCCTCGCCCCCTACGGCTCCAACTAGTGGCGACATACAGCTGCAGGCCTATGATGCAATCCCCAAGAAGGATATGCCGTCTCAATATCGCTCCAGGACGATGCTCAACGAGAAGCGGTCCCGCCTTACTTTTGGTCTCTTGGTGGTGTTGACGTACGGGGTGTTTGCTTTGACCGGAGCGGTGATAGGGTCAGCCTTGATTGGATATGTCTTAGCGGGAATTTTTACTGCGGGGGACTACAACATGTCTACGTAAGTTGCAATCGTTGATCCTGTCGCCATCTTCCCGCTGAACGAGACCATTAGTTGGATGCCGTTCTTGGGGGCTCTCCTGCAGACGCTCGTGGGCTATCTGGGGTGCGTACCTACTTCCCGACCGGCCTTCGCAGTGGGCCAACGCTAATACTAATGATACTGCTTCGTTAGACTTTGGCCCTCGGTCGTGGACATCATCTAACTCTCGAGGTAGAAGATAGGAATCTCTGGTGCAGTGGAAAGGAATGTGTACAAAGGACTTCTCGGACGGTTAGGATTCTGCTGAGTATACCTTCCACGCTTCGATACATACCCCGCTGCCGATAAGTAATTTGTGTATTTAAAGTCATTGTCGGGATATCATTGCCAGGCCAAGTCCTACATGGGCCGTGCACGCACTACGACGTAGCAGAGCAAGAGGCACGCACACTTCACTGAAGCATCAAAATATTAGGGGAGCATGAGGTATTTGCGCAGGTAAGTGCGAAAGGAACTCATACTCGTGACTTGAACCATTTCAGCTGCAAGGCAACCAACACGACTGGAAGTACACTGACGATTTCGCCGAGCCCGGCGTACGCAGGGGCGATGCGGGCCTTCACAAATGCGCCCGCAGCGAACAGGATTGCAATGAGGTTGTACACTGCAGACCACGCGAAGTTCAGCATGATCCTGCGCGCGACCGCCTCGGACAGCTCGAACAGGAACAGGATACCCATCAGCGACGGATGAGTCAGAACAACATCCGCCGCAGTGGACGCAGCGAAGCCGGCACCCTCCCCCGTATGCAGGTGAACGCCAATATCGGCCTGCGCGAGCGCGACGGCGTCATTCGTGCCGTCCCCACAAAAGAGTACCTTCTCGCCTGCCGCGTGTAGCTCCTTGATATACGCCTGCTTCGTTTCAGGCAGACACGCAGACCGCACGCAGTCACTGGGAACGTTCAAAGCCGAAGCGACCTTCTCTACCGCAGTAGCGTGGTCACCACTGAGGACGGAGATGCGGATGCCCCGCTTGCAGAGAGTGTCGACCACAAACAGCGACTCGGGGCGCATCGTGTCTTCAAGTCCAAAGGCTGCCACAAGTCTATCACCATGCATGACACAGAACGTAGTAAGGCCTTTCAGGAGGAGAGGCTTGACGACAGGATGATCCTCGACGTCCAACCAGCACGCACTGCCACCGCGAAGGGGCTTGCCAGCCAATACACCCTGCATGCCTCTTCCAGTCACCATCTCGGCATCCCCCACTTTCACGTCACCATTCACTCCAGCTTCGACGAGGTAAGTTCCAACGGCACGCGCTACTGGATGTCTGCTGGACGCCACGAGCTCAATAATGGCCGCCCGGACATCAATGTTCTCTGCAGACGCGTCGAACACGTCACAGCTCACCACCGCAAGCCGACCCAGTGTCAGCGTGCCTGTCTTGTCGAACACGACATGAGAAATCTTGCGCGCCCCCTCGATCGTTGTTGCAGCCTTGAACACAAGTCCGAGGCGCGCAGCCACGCCGCCTGCGATGAGGACCACCATCGGCACTGCGAGCCCAATCGCACACGGGCACGAGATCGCTAGCACTGCAATAGCGTACGTCAGCGCCGCCACGGCGGCCTCACTGTGGCGCTGGCGGCGGACAGCAATGCCGACAGCAAGCCAGACGAAAAATGTGACGAGCGCGATGCCGACGACGACGGGTACAAACCACCCGCAGATACGGTCGACGGTCGCCTGCACCTGCGCACGTGAAAAACGGGCGTCGTCGACCATCGACGCAATGTCGGTGATGGTGTTCTCGCCGGGTAGACGTGTGACTTCGACGAGGAGCGTGCTGGGGCCGTTCAGCGTGCCGGCAATGACGGTGCTCCCTGAGCTCTTCTCGACCGCGCGCGACTCGCCCGTCATCATCGACTCGTCGACCTCGCTCTGACCCACGCATACCGTGCCATCTGTGATAATTGAGGAATCCGGCATGACTTTGAAGATATCGCCGTACTGGAGGAGTCGCGCATCCATACGTTCCTCTCTACCGTCAGGGTGCATGATTATAGCGTCCTTGCTCTGCAGCGATCGGATCGAGATCGCTTCCATCGCCCGCTGGCGCGCATACGCGCTCACAAGGCGCCCGAGCATAATGAGGGTGACGAGGAGCGTGCTCGTCTCGAAAAACTCGCCAGATGATAGCGGCCGGTCCAGCATTAAGAACGCAAAGGCGACGACGGAGTAGACGTAGGCCGCGGTAGTGCTGAGCACAATGAGCATGTCCGTCTCAACGAGCCGCGAGAAGAAGAGGCTCTTGAATGCGCTGAAGTACACGGGCCCGGTGATTGCGACCTGCACAATGGTCGCGAGGACTAAGGATGCCAAGGCGTACGCGTGTGAGCGTGGCGGGAGCGGCGCCCAAGCCATGACGAGGACGGGGATGGTCAGGGCAGCAGAGCAGGTTGTCCGCAGAGCAAGGCTGCGGATATGCTTCGAGCCGGCTGAGAGCGCTGGGTCGCGAGGCTCTGGGGCGAACGTCGGGGAACAGAAGGCATACCAATCCATGATCGAACGAGCTCCCACGAGCTTGGGGTCATAGCTAATGCGGATAGTATCTTTGTCCACGCGCAGAACGTCTTCTACGCCATCAGGGCGGCCCATAGCCAGGAGCTGGTCGCAAAAGGCGCGATCGACGTTCAGCCGCAACTCGTGCATAGACGCACCCGCAATAACCTCCACGCTAAACCCAGTGCGCTTCTCGACGATCCCGACAAGCACCTGCAGGCCCAATGCGGCGCCGTCGAAGTCGAACTCTGCGCGGCATAACACGAGGCTGGTCTTGACATTGGAGATGGTGGGGATCCCGTGGAGGGTGCGGATCACTTTGTTTTCGCAGCCGGTGCAGGTCATGCCCTTGATAGCGATGACGGCATGCTCGGTCACCCCGCCCACTCCCTTCTCTAGGACCGACACCTCGATGTTGGTTGACTTATCTACCTCGACGTCGTGTCCATACTGAGAGCGGTCGCCCCCGCCGCAGTGGCTATCGGCGCAACAAGAATCGATTGACACGCGGGACCTGGACTTCGATTTAATAGAGTTCTTCCCGCCATTACAGTCGCCGCTCGAACCGCGGCAGCAAGAGCCCACGGATTGGCGACTCTTGGTGGATGCAGGTGGATAACTGAAGCGAGGGAGCCGCACAGTACGCGACGCACTAACGCCGGCAGCCTCAGTCGCGGTAGAGGTGCTGCAACAGGACTGCAGACCGTGCGCGAGCATCGCCTTGCAGATGCATCCGAATGCTGAGAGGGTGTCGTGATACCTACTCCGAGCGATGGACGTGTGCTCACCGCAGGCCTCGGTAGGATAGTGCGACTCGGAGTGCGAGTCATCGTGCTTGGCGGAGCGTTTGCGAAGACCGGTATAGGTGCAGCCTGTGCTCGCCTCATTGCCAGCTGAAGGCATTCTCTTTTGCGAACAATCTGTACAACCTGCGTGAACAACAGTCAGACTGAAGAATATTTCTCCGGGACATGCTGCGTACCCTTCTGATGCTCGCAGCACGACGAGCAGTCTGCAATGGGTCCCGTACCCTGAGGAGCCTGATCGAGGTTTGTTACATCATGCAAATGCCCAGCATCGTCTGCACAGATTGCTCTAGCGAGGAGGTCCAAACAGCTGGCTGATGAGATAATTATCAGATGGAACTGGTAGGATATTCAGAAAATAGCACGAAATTTGCGAAGAGGGACCGGTTCTCCGTCTGAAGTGAGATCGGGAACTAGCCTGCACCATTCCAAAGGCCAACTCAACGTACAACAAAATTCGGACCTGGTAAAGCGTATGGCTGAAGCTGATGACGTGGACTCACCATCGCATTTACAAGAATCGCCTTCACAGCACGACTGATCCCCAGACGAGATCGCTGGCACCGCTGGTTCAGCGAGAGAGTCCGTGGTCTCCAAGCGAACGGTGCCAACGTTCGAATTACCACAGTCGCTGCAGCACGAACTTGGCATGGTGGTGGAAAGCGAAAAGCTACCGGAAAGACTGGACAAATGCGCAGCCTTTTGAGATAGCAAGCATCCGAACAACACACGCCCGGGCCTCACGCCCGAGTCCGTCCCCGTGCAAGTGGCGCCAGACAGCAACGTCGAGGATCATGCCAGCTCCATTTCCGCATATCATCCTGTCCGATGACACGGTGATCACGACTAGAACAAAGCACGCCTGTCCTCGCGCCTGCAGCTACATCCAGTTCGTCTTGAACCTCAAATGGGAGGATTAGACCATGCCCGGCCGGCCGGCCGGAGGTAAGACTTGCCGGTCGATCACTGGGAAGAATGTGAGAGCTTGTCGTTCATAGGTACAAGCCACCGTGCGGAGACAGAATAGACGGAGAGTACATAGTGGTCGAGAAAGAGAGCGAAAGGTGTTAGGGCAGGGTATATATGTGCATCACCCATGCGGTACTGATGCCCTCGCTGCAGGTACTGGTGCGGTACTCTTCTTCGGGGTATCTTTTACATGTCAGTTTTTCATATGTTTTTCTGTCAATGACATACAACCACACACATCAATTGTTATTAGATCTCAGCAAAATCATAAGTACATTCATCTTACAGTCGCTCCCTTCGCAATACTCGACGACTCTAAGTGTTTCTTCTCCTTCACGAGAACTACAATACCCACCTCTGACGCAACGTGGGCACTCCATGTGTTCCCGGAGACCATGACCCACCATTCTGTAGTTGATGCAGGAAACGTGTGCTCCGCAGGTCTGCAAACTGCCGCAGGACTTGTTGCACCCCCTTGAATCCCATCCAATCGAGCGAAAGGCTCCGTTTTCGTGTTAAATATGGAGCAAAATTCGACGTCTCAACGAACCATTAACGAACGTCTTGCACGTCGGACATCAAGGAGCGCCAGGTGAGGGTGAGCAGTCAGGGTGAAGAAAAACGACTGTGAGCGTGAGCAATTGGAAAGGTTGAATGCGCCTAGAGGGCTCGTTGCTAGCGAATGGATTCCACAGTGAGTATCCACCGAGCGACAGAACATATTGACATTGTGTTCACTGGCGCGTACATTGATATGCAAGATGCGTGTAAACGCTTGATATTCACCTCTGCTCCTCGGAGAAACCGCAGGACCACGATTTCGTCTCACTCATACGATTGACTCATAAGTACTGAGCGACTGGAGAGTGCGAGCAGTGGACGTCCTCTGCAGCATACCCCACAGGGCATAGCCCTCTTTTCGGCAAGTGTAGCCACAAGTCTTTCTGTGATATCTGTCACTTCAAGAAAAAAGTGGTCGTCCTGGTCAGACGAATCCGACATATAAAGGCGGATATCGCGGCCAACTCCCAAAAGTCCCAGCTCGGAGAACGAGCCGACGAAGAGTGGAAACCCTTTCGGGACAGCAAAGGAAATTAGATCCACGGAAGGATTGTCCAGCTTGAGCTACGGGTTCATCATTCAGAGTTGCACTGGAAATAACTGAAGAACCCAGCTCACAAAGACTCGATATACTCGATAGAACCCGCGCTAGAGCGTGTAGACAAATGAGATAAGGTTCGTGACCTTGAAGGTGATCATGCGCCTGCTGGATCCGGTTCGGTAGGATACAATTTGGGGTGATGTATCCAATGATCAACTTTCAGATATAACTCCCCCAATTCCAAGATCCGTGTAGTCTTGAAAAGATGTGGTGTGGGTGAGTTCTAGGCATCCATGCACGACACACCGTCGAGGAACAAAATGCGAGGTTCCTTCGATTGTCATGAAATCAACGATCATGTCTTGAATCTCCTGGGGAATATTAGGGGCCATTGCACGGAATAATGGGCGGCACCGTAGTAGAACAAGCTGGTCTGAAACCAGATGAAGTGACGCAAAATCGCGGCCGCTTCACTGCCAGCCACGTGAGTGTGACCGAACGGAGATCTCTACTCCGAGTCACCACGGACTCCGAGAGCAAGATGTGACACCGTGGATATCCTGATTCTCTTTCCGCAGCTGCAAGAAGATCAACTACTAGAGTGATCGCTTTCTCTGGCTCATAATCCGACTCATACATTATGTCTCCGCAGCTGGGTGAATCCACCCAGCGTGTCGTCTCATCCGAGGAAGATTGGCACTCACAAAATAGAGCATACTATCTGACTGCACTGCAGCCCGCAACATTCTTGTGAGCTATATGATACTTACGACGTACCAAGTATTCCAATAATGCAGACAGTCAAAAGTACTGAGAGGTTCAGGATGCGCATTGCGAACAGTACTGATAACTTACAAGTTGAAGGTGAATGCAAGCCTGGGCCAATTGAAGATCCACGCTAAACCGCTGAACTTGAACGGCGATCATTCTCAAATTCTCAACCACCGCGGCACGCGCTCGCACTGGGCCTCATGCACATTGTCGTTCCCAAGTCGTTCCTGTTCTTTTGTCGCGTCTCCTTGACGAGACGGGTCTCGTCTCGGCGGTGAGCTTGTCTTTTTCTACGCCGCTTGGTCACAATGTTGCCGAGCTTCAGCGCTCGAACTCACCCACCACAGTTCCTTGATCATGACGGGTCCTGATGGGAATCAAGGCAGACATTTGGAGACAATGTCCCAGCCTACCGTGCCCATCAGCCGCTTGCAACGCTCCTCCTGTTGGCGCCTATCAAGTGAAACATGGACCCGCGTACCCAGTCGTGGCTCTTATGTCAACTGCGCTAGCTTGTTTAGTAACGCGCATGGCGGTAGAGCGACTGCAACCCTTGTTTGTATCTCTCATCTGCGTCGCGACCGGCGTGACGACACCCCATCGTGAAGTTGGTTAGAAATGGCCTCCCAAGATACCCTGTATCATGCAGTCCAGGTGGCCGAACCTCCTGATGAGCATCGTTCTAAAGTAATCACCACAATCACCAACACGTTTCTCACTTGTGTTCAGAAGTGAAACCTTCATCTTACGACTCTATGCTACGAAATAATAGAGATTCTCACCTGACCCGCCAAATATGGTCACCCCCATCCTTACGATTCGTTTCTACGATTGCTTTCGTCGGTTACAATCTCGTTCTGATTGCACTGCTTGAAGTCTTCATCCGCCTGTCTCCATACAACCCACCACGCAGTTCAGGGATCAAATTCGCCTGGACATACTTACCGACAGCATGCCTTATGATTGTCGAGTGGGTATGGGCAGCATACGACCTGCAGGTTAGACTCCTCACGCCTTGGGCCGAACTTTCACGCGGCACCGCTCCCGAGAAGGTCTGGAAGCTCGACTATTTCGGATGGAACTATTTCGTAGGATTGTGGTACGCCGTCAAGAATCTGCATTTGGCGGTTCTGCTATGTTTTCTTGGAGTCTGGCTTGCCGCATTGGCTGGAGTTGCCTCAACATCGTTGTGGACGATCCAGATACAGTCTACCACACCGTCTACCAACCTTATGCTCACGTCTCACCTGAATCCGAATTCTTTATTCTGGGAGGTGAACAACACTCAGTCTTCCGATGCATCTTACATCACACCTTTCCTTGGTCATATTGTCTTTGACCTCGCGCGCTCGCCGTGGGTAACGCCTGACAATGTCATTATTGAACCCTTCGCTCTTCCGTCTGGATCTCTATATTCATCTAGTGCGACATCATTGGTCGCACAGACGAAGGGGTACTCCGCCAGCCTTAACTGCAGCTCCGCAACTGCCAATTTTCGTGGAGATTTCCTGTCGGTAACAGACTCCCTTAATTCCACAGCATACCTAGTTGACGTTGAGGCTTGGGGGTGCACGAGGACGTATAATCTTAGTTGGGCAATTTCATACCCTACAGGAGCATCAGCAAAAGTGCACTTTTGTTACCATCGGTTATATAGCATTATAATCTACAAAATCCATTACAATGATCAAAATCATTGAGCAAAGTTGTAATGGATAGTAACTTCTCTACGGTGGTTCCGAACTTTTCTCAACGTCTTAAATTATTCAGTAATCCATTCGCAACCAACCTAATCTATTCCGAATGCACGGAATTCTCGGGACTTATTATAATGGATTCCGAGCTTTATAAGGCATTGTGATACTCTTGTAAGCAGTACCAATGGAGGACTTACGACGGCTGTATAAACAGACTTGCTCCTCGCGGGCAGGGCAAGAAATGCAGTAATCATAGTACAATATTACATACAACAGGTGTGACTATCAATACAGAGCCCATGAAGCCCACATGAGCCCATGGAGATAACAACACGACACTGAACAATGCAGGAGCACAGCACAAAAGCCGAAGGGAGCATGAGAGCTGAACATCACAAGCTGGGACAAGAAGAGCAAGACAACCACAGGAAAATGAGCATGGAGTCCGAGAGAACGCAGGAAAGATACGAGTGAGTGAGAGGCGGTGAGAAGGCACCTTAAGCGAGCGACAGTGAACCACAACCAGAGAGACAGTGAGAGGGGAGAAATATGAGGTTGGCAGTCTGCGCACATAAGGCTGTAAGATGTCACAGTACATGATGCATACATCGAGGTACTTACTGTCTATAGTGATGTTGAAATGGAGGCGGACAGTAGTATGTGGCACCGAATTCTCTCCGCATTGCCAGACCGTTGCGACCGTTCTCGGTCCGGCAGTTTGCGCGATCATTCTCGTCGGCCTCGGTTCAAGGGATTTGACTATAATACAATAATTCAGTATGGTGGCGCAGGCATGAACACGTACTCTCATTCCACCACTGAACAGCAGAATCCGGCTATGTGCATGCATTCCCCAGTTCGTTGAATAGACCGACAAAGTTCTGGAAAAACTCCGCGGTGCCAAAATTCGCCATCACGCTCCGATGCATCTGAGAGTTCAGTCATGGCACATGCTCCGGAAATTCGCGCAGGCACTCACAGGCTCGCATATCTAGAGTATCACCGCGTGTGCAACGCCAACATGATCGAGCACCTAAACGCACGGCTTGATGCCACTGTGGAGGAGAGGGCGAAGAGGATGAGCGCGATGCATGCAGGCTCAACTGGGCAACAAGATGGGTGTGCATTGCTGTAGACGACGCTTCGAGATGAACGAACGGACGAGGTTGCGTAACGTCACCTTCCCCGAGCAATAGCTATGATGTCATTTCGGAACATCACAAGTAACAAGAACTCACCGCCACGAGGAAGGGGCTTTGTATCGCCGGTATCCACACAAAGGGCCTGTCTATAATAAGGAATCCATCAGCTACATTATCATGCAGACAATGATACGTACTCATGATATCCCCCACAGTTTCTGGGGATTGCACGCCGCCTCGCTGTGTATTGATGGTGACTAAACTCGGTATATGCATCCTGCATGGACACAAAGCATGAAGTCAAGGCAGTTAAGGGAGGCTGTACAGGCACCTGTTCGTGCTCAATATGATCGTATTCCCAATTAGCGGCAGAAAAGAAGAAATGACTCAGAGATACTTAGCACCTACCATACTCGGATAGGCATGAGAGGAGCGGAAGAGCAAGAGTGCATCACTTCGGAGGCAAAGCTCATAGGAAGTCTCTTGGAGAAGGGTCTTTTGGAGAGCAGCAGAAGGACAGGAAAAGTCAGTCGTAGGCGGGAGGGGAGCAGCGTTGGCGGGAACCAATTCTACGGGGTTCTTGATATCTTGAAGTCATCAGTAAAGTGGGAGGATACAAGGAGAAGGAACGAGGGAGTATTTGACGCCAGAGGGGACTCGCCGTCCATTATATACGCCAGGGTTAAGGTATGCAAGGAGAACAAGCTACTACGTCATCGCTCTTACTTCCAAATCGGGAAGAGTCGCTACGGGCTTAGGCCTTAGGGCTTTGGATTTTCACCACTAGAGTATGGTAGCTATAGGTAATTAGTTAGGTAGGTAGATTACCGGCATTGAACATTTTGACGTGGAGCACCGGATGCCTCAAGATCCTATCAATATATTCTCGGCACATTTATGCAGTGACGGAATGCAAAACTCGCAGCAAACGTAGAGATTCGAAGGTGGCCCGCAAAGGAAGCAATACTAATCTCGGAGGGCGCGGTGTGTCCAAACCGTTCAGTAGATCGTTCTGGCTGGACTTTAAGCTTTACGCCGTGCGCGTGCCAACCAGTCGATCGACTGTTTTTGGGTCTCCCTTCGTAGTTGCTCCTGTGATTTGACAAAAATTCGCTCAACATTACAAGCACTTTGTACTCCTATATCTACCTTACATAGCATTGCAGCACATTGCGATGCCATTGCGACGAATTGTCTATATTACTGAGCATTGCAATACATTGGGAAGGATTACGGAGGTTGTAATAGAATCCGAGGGCTTGCAATGCCGTTCTAATCTCTTACTACGTACAGGCAAGTATTACAATCGTCAGAATCTATTGTAACAATTGTGCACTTTTGCTGATGAGATGCCATGGGAACTCCTAGTTAGTCTCTGAATCCCAATTCTCAAGATTAGTATATGGATGTATCTTCCACCCAGGTGACCAACCGAATGCTACGACCTGGGATGTTGGCTTTGTGTTTAACCATACATGTCCTGGATTATCTTCCGTGGCAGTTCAAACTATATGCTACTACTCTGACAACTCTTGCTCGATGAAGGCTGCAATATCATGCGCATCTACCTACATGGAGCATACCATGGATGTCACCTTCACACTCAAACCATCTGTATCTGTATCAGCCTCGATTGTGCTGGGTTCCTCAAAGCCATACATTTTTTCGGGTTCAAATAGCGTGCTGCAGTGGATCAATCTTGTCAATGGAACATCAACATTGTTACCTGGCCTCTCAACTGACCCTTTAGAATCATGGCCCAGCGATGCAACTGGAGACCCCACTGCTGTCACCGATCTTATGAATGTCAGTTATCCCGCTTGGATGTGGCTTCTCGCTCATGCTACAAATATGACCTTGGAGGACTTCAGGGACGTGGACAGGTTGCAGAATGCAACCACTTCCACCTTTGAAAACATGTGGCCTGATTTTGCACAGGCTAACCTCATGGTTGACCCTGATACCTCTGGATCATCTTCAACTACGGTTGATGGCATGGTGCACAGCAGTGATCTGAAACTTATCGCTCACCCCCTTAGTGTGCGTCTAGCCCAAGGTACTTTGTCCGCCCTCATCTTCGTCGTCATCGGCGTGTACATTCTGTGGCCGCAGACAGTGCTACCACGAGATCCTTCATCTCTCGCTGCGCTGGCTACTCTGTTGGCTGCGAAGGAAGGCACGATTGATTTGGACAAGGTAGTGTCCGATACGGAGGGAAAGTCAGTGAGTTCGAATCGATCCGAGATGCAGCTTCGCTTCGAGGAAGGGCTCGCCACCGTCAAATCAAGCGACTCTACGGTATGTCTGTTACAATCCAAGCTACTCTGGAAGCTAAACCATTTGGGCTAGATTACGCCACTTCGGCAACAGGGTGATGGCACCTTGCCGATGTGGAGACCACTCACTCTACATCCCATTACAGGTACCACCCTGGCTGTTCTCATTGTGGGAACCATCGTTGCGTTACAGTACACATATCGCTACAGCATGTCACACCACGGCTTCGGCGATTCCGACACCAAGTCAAGTGCCCTGCAAACCTTGCGAAATTACGTCGCACTGATTTACATCTTCATTCTCATCATCATGCTATCCTCGTATCTGAGTGCCATCCAGGTGCTTGATTCTTATATTTCTCTGGCACGCTCGCCAATGCGGGCACACAGCACGGTGATGTATGCGCCCGCGTCTTGTACACAAGTCGGTCTCGTGTGGCACGCCACTCAGCATCACAGTATAGTGGGACTCTTATGTGCAGCCATGCTCATGACCCTCCCGTTTCTCAAGATTGCAGTAGCCGGTCTGCTCATCACTACCTCCACTCTCCATCAGAGCCCAGTCGCACTTAATTGGACTGGGACGTTCAACAACACCTACAACTTCGGGTCTTTCTTTGTTATAAACGAGAATGGCAGCGCATTTCCTACGGGGTTTCAAAGTGGCTGCCCTGTTGGTCTTGTAGATTGTCCGGTCCCTGGGTGGTCAACAATTTTGTCCCAGATACCACAATTCGGACTGTTGCTCCCGGATTGGGTGATGGCAACCGATGCTGTCGGCGTGGTCGACGTGGATCCACTTGGGTGGCTGTTGGACAGCGTAAATGTGACTGTCCCTTTGCCGATGGTCAGCGCGCAACTTTTCAACTGCTCAGCGCTGGAGTCATCGGATTACAATTACACAGTCGGGTTCCTTGAAGGAGTCATATTTCCGAATGAGAAGCCTGGACTCATCGTCCAATTACCCCCATCGCTTGATCCTGTCACCTGTTCAAACGCAAATGACTGGGCGTGTCCGTCTGGTGAGGTTCCGAACCAGGTGATGTTAACTCTCCCGCAAAAGCCGGGGTACTTTGGGGAAGCCAATGCGCTGTATGGCGGATACATATTCTACTATGGGAAGACACAAGACAACAATGCTAGCCAGATCACGGATCTCATCATCGTGGAATGTGCTTACAACATAACACAGTAAGTCTGATGGTTTGTACCATGTGTGGATGACGCTGTCTCACTTCGTATTGTGATAGATCAACAAAGCAAGTCACCATAACCAAGTCCAACACAAGCACTGTACCGATTCTCACCATCGATCAATCCTCTGTGCGCGATGCCGAAATCGTCATTGATCATGGTACGGACGACGGCAACCTGCCTTATTTCATTTTCCCAGTTTTTCCGCTTGCGACGAACGCCAGTCAGGCGTTCGACACTTTCAATCAGATCCTAACCCTACGAAATATATCAGCACCACTTAGCGCGTTCCTGGACCCCTCCTACCTCATACCTGCTGTGCAGGAGTTGTACACCGCATTTTGGGCTATTTATGCCAACGTATACATGCGGTTGCCCGTGAATCGCTCTGACGCCAGTCATCCAGGTCAGATTATCGAAGGCGTCATGGTGGGCAACGTCACGTGCGTCAGCCAGGCAAGTGTCCCTACGCGGGTCATTCAAGCACTCCTCGGCGTGATCCTCGCATGCGCACTCATGCGACAGCACTGATATGGAGCACAGGCAACGCGCTGCCTTTCTCTCCAACCTCTATCGGTGCTCAGCTGCGGCTGATCGTGAGCAGTAGGTTCTCGGAGCTCGAGGTGCTCGGTGAGGATGTGGACAACAACGAGCTTGGGAAGACGCTGGACAGCTATCGGTTTGCATTAGGATGGAGTAACGACATTGACGGGGTGACATGATTTGGTGTGGACATTGTCGACGAAGCTCATCTATAGGAAGATATTTGGAGGTACAGGAGGGTCTTCGTGGTTGACTTCGGAGGTCACGAATGATGAGATATTACTCGTACGTCATACTAGTAGGACTATTGTATAAATTCATCCGAGAAACTTCGCGAGGTACTGTATCAAGTTCTGGAATCGCTTGCTACGCTCTCCCCAGTGCTATCCCGATGCAATGAGAGATGGTGGAATTCGGCGCGTCAATGCATGTCGCGGTAGCGCGTGGCTTGTCCTCTAATTGTCCTTCATTAAGGAGTCCTTGCTTCATCTGGCCATCAGGAAAAACCTCCCAGCGCAATTGTGAAGAATTGTATGATAATTGTGGATAATTCACGAGAATGAGAAAATTTGGAGTGCATTGTGAGGAAAGTCACTCAATTTCTCAACTTCAATGACATCAAGAAAAACCTCCCAGCACAATTGTGAAGAAATGTATGATAAATGTGGATAATTCACGAGAACGAGAAAATTTGGAGTGCATTGCGCACTGAGGAAAGTCGCTCGATTTCTTGACTTCAATGATGATCTGATTTGAAAACCTCATAATTACATGTAAATTGTATGGTAATCAGAAACTCTACTGGGGGGCTCTTGGAAAACAGTTCTTCTAGAACACTCTCAAAGAGAATTGTCAGCTGAACTACTGCTTACCATGATCACACAGCAAAAGCAGAAACAGCAGGGTTCACCGGCTCGACACTCAGCAAAGATGGCCGTAAATGCAGTGCAGCCGGTTCGAAGTGATCCGAATGGTGTATTAGATGTTGCCGATGCATCCAACTGAGTGAGATGGGTAAGAACACGAGGCGGGCAAAAATGCGATACAGCAGATGCAAGGTGTACGAAGATGCGAGGTGGGAGAGGTGGAGGAGGCGGGATGCAAGGGCGAGATGTAAGGCGAGATGTGGAGGCCGGACAGACGCAGTCAGCGATGCAGGTAAGGCGGGGGTATGCCGGGCGAGGTGGGGGATACGAGCTGCAAGATATCAAGAAGGGAGATATGTACAAAGTGCAGGATATGGGTAGAGGTGACTGGTACCTGACCGGTGACAATACAATTTGCAAGGGTGAGGCACGCGTCGTCGCTCAGGAATTGCTAAAGTCCAATGGCACGTGATGACGTTGATTGGACCAAACAGGAGCAAGCACTGGTTCACTGCCGTCTTTTCTCTTCTTCATATTCACGGCTTTGTTGTGGGACCCGCAACACTTATTCTATGGTACGTGCTTTCTCTGTTACTGTTGAAGGTATGCGGATTAGCAATCCGGCATCTACGGAAAGGTCCGGGAAAGGTCCGTAGGGTTAGGATTAGTAAGGACAATGTCCCAAGAACAGTCTGGTAATTTCTAGTCTTTTAGTTTACAGTATATAAGGAGCTGAACAGGCTCCTAGGTAGCTAACTAATTTCTATCCTCTTCTACTCGTAGCCCGAGGTGCAGTTGCTTACAGTTACTCCTCACGGATGCATTTAACGAAGCTGATATTGGCATGCAATGCTAGGCATAGTCTTGTGTAGCAGCATAAGGGTAACACTCGAGGTGCGTCATTACGCTCTATGTGCCTCGCTGAAAGACTAACTCGGATACTAGTAAAATGAAAATATGGGGCTTCTATGGATGCTCCGACTCCGGCCCCCCTCAACACATCAAATTCAGTCGGACGCTGGAGTCGACCCGCACCACATAAACCCCCGCAGCGGTTACCACCCTCTTGCATACAATGACCCCGAGCCGTCATCTGCGAACAATCTGCACAGGCACATATGACTTCGAGGCCGTTGACTATGACTACGCACAGCCGCCCCCTCGCTCCCCTCCTGGTCCGTCAGATTGTGCACTGCTGAACAAGTACGGCAATTCCAGCGGGCTCGTCCCCTCTATCGTTTCTGCTGGCACAGATGATGCGCGGAGAAGGGGCGGCTGGCTCAGGAGGTCCACGGCTGTGAGTTTCGCTGAGCTTTTATGTCGAGAGGTTTCGGCTCGTACCGCATGCGCCCACTGGGGCGATCGGAGGGGGCACCTCTAATGACGTTGTCTTTGTGAACATGACTGCGAAACCCTCATGGCCTCTTAGGATACGAGATAGTATGCTGGCAATTTTTCTCCCTTGTTCACTGTACTGATGATCCCCACCTCAAAGTAATCAACATGCCATTGGGAGTGTCCCGCCATTGTATGATCCCCTTTCCTTCCGTGCATACCAAATTCACCCTCTGTTCAATATTTTGTAGATCGTATTGAGGCATATTGAACACACTCAGGGTGATCCGCAGCAGCGTGGAAATGTCAACCAAGCCCCGCAGTACCAGTAAGTTTCCTTTACTCCACACCATCACACGCTCAAATGCTCCAGGTAATGAGTACACTGTATGTGTGTCTACGTCTCTCGGCATGCGGGTGCAGGGCCTGATCACGTTGGGCCGAGCCCGTCGCCTTCGATGTTACCTCCTCCATCCATGTCAAGCACTTGTTTCCTACACCCGGTGCATCACACGAACTCATGTAACATGTTTTCTAACCCCTCTCTTCGATCTTTTTGGTGCATAACATCCGCCCCCATTGTTGTGCTTCCTGTTAAGTACTCATGCAGGGCTATCCAGGGCAGTATGCAAGTGACCTGATGATGACTTACGTATCTCTTTGAGTATCGTACTTCATACCGTCTAATAACAAGCTCGTTTTCCTACTGTATTGTTGAGTAAATGAGGCCTGATTCATTGCCACAACATGTATAATAGCAAGAATTGAAGAGAAAACCCTGTAACAAATGTGTCTAATGTTGAGAAATGTTGAGAATTAAGGGGTGAAATCGGCAGGGGCCGTCTATTTCATGTAATTCTCAACAATGTTGATAATCGCTGGAACGCAGAGAATCTCGACTATTCCTGACAATTAATATATAATTCTGACCAATTTGCGCGGGAGGTTTTCCCTGATGTGAATGTGACGACTTAAGCCTCTACTGCGACACATCTCAGCAGCTCACATTCTCTGTATCTTAGAACAGAAAACCCGTAACACAAGTAAGATCTATTTGGATGGCTCGAGGACTCGACGTGAGGATTCCTGCTTGATCTATCAAGTAGTCTCTCGACTGCAGGCTGAACCCCTAAAAATTGGCAAACGACGAGCTAGATATGGGTAATTATAGGTAATTATATACATCCGTCAGTACTTCGAAAAGTCTTTAGATGAACGCTGGCCTTGGTGGAAGATCTGCATTGACCCGGAGGAAGCCAAGGCCGACGCAGATATGGGCGACACTGAAGATGTTAGAGCCGAGCCATCTTCGGATGCAAAGCTTTTATCTGGTGGGTAAGCCTCATTTCGAGGCACCTGGTTTGGCTGGCCTAATTATGTGTGGCTACGTTGCTGTTGATTGTGAGACGGAGATATTTGTTTTCTTGAAGGGTGCCTGGCGATTCGAAATATTTGGAGCCGAGAAGGAGGGGGACATACTTCGCTAATCTTAACGCTTTGAAGTCGTGAACGTACCTACTCTGATACTGTATGTCATGGAGATGCCCTCGAACAGTTCACTGTGACACACAATATTTGGAATATGCACAAGATGGACGAGGAAGCGGCTGCACTATCGCTTGGCTGTCGCAGAGGTTGGCCGTCCTCTGAGTGACTTTCGAAGAGGATTTGAGCTGGTCCTGATTATATTCCATTACTTGATAGGTGAGTAGTGGTCTGCATCACCTTCTGCCTGTAGATATTCATTCTGTACTATCCAGCATACAGTCAGGCTTACGAAAAATGCCACCTTCTCCATCAAGATATTAGTGCTGGAAATGTGTTGATTGTGGAGCGATCGCACTGTGTGCCTAAGAAGTGGTGAACCGTCCGAACTTATTCGGTGAAAACCGCCCTTCACCAATAAATTTCGGCATTAATTAGTGGATAGTGATTTGGATGTGATTTCCCCTGATTTCTGATCCACCGAGTATGGTAGTGAAATTCTCCAACGACGATCCGCGTCGAAACGGTTCGGGAATTCACCACCTCCTTGTTGGTGATTTTCTGTCGCATTAAACTACCAAGTCCAATCAACCCTGCCCTAAATGTTCAAGTTTCAACGTGGCGCCTGGCGTCGTCGAGCTTCGTCGTGCGCTGGCATTGCTCAACACTGTCTCTAGCTTTGCACTTTCCAGAACTCTGCTTGGGCCAGCTAATCTGGACTGGCTTAGTCAAATTGATCTCTGGCGTTGTCTCGTCTGCTGGGCTCCATGGCTTGCTCTATGGGGAAGGTTCAATGCTTACCATGGCAAACAACAGACAGGTACGTGCAAATTTTGATGCAACGAGTGACCTCTCGGCCTTGCTACGGTATTCTGATGTCATCCTATGCCGACCAGCAGACGGCTCTGTCGTGCAGCGTGGAGCGCAGTTTTAGGCGGACGTGGTTTTAGGCGGACATGGCCCGATTTTAGGCGGATGTGGTTTCACAAATTACGAGGGAGCGTAGGATTATGTGTTCATTGCTATACCGGAACACTGTATATACGTACTAGAATTGAATCTATATTCAATGTTTCTGGTAGTGAATTCAGTTGAGCGGAACCTAGTAGAAATCAACAGTAAACAATTGGGTTCTCACGAGTCACGACTCGCCTTTCGACGCGAGGTAGTGAAATCGGACATTTTCTGGGTGATTTTCACCGCTTTTGCTCACCGAGAAAATTGGTGAAACAAGATATTGAACCCTCGAAAACCTAGTGACATTCCATATGTAAAGTAGTAATACCTCCGAAGATATCTAGTGAACGAAGTTCGGGCTTTTCACCAACTTCGTTCACTAGATATCTTCGGAGGTATTACTACTTTACATATGGAATGTCACTAGGTTTTCGAGGGTTCAATATCTTGTTTCACCAATTTTCTCGGTGAGCAAAAGCGGTGAAAATCACCCAGAAAATGTCCGATTTCACTACCTCGCGTCGAAAGGCGAGTCGTGACTCGTGAGAACCCAATTGTTTACTGTTGATTTCTACTAGGTTCCGCTCAACTGAATTCACTACCAGAAACATTGAATATAGATTCAATTCTAGTACGTATATACAGTGTTCCGGTATAGCAATGAACACATAATCCTACGCTCCCTCGTAATTTGTGAAACCACATCCGCCTAAAATCGGGCCATGTCCGCCTAAAACCACGTCCGCCTAAAACTGCGCTCCACGCTGCACGACAGAGCCGTCTGCTGGTCGGCATAGGATGACATCAGAATACCGTAGCAAGGCCGAGAGGTCACTCGTTGCATCAAAATTTGCACGTACCTGTCTGTTGTTTGCCATGGTAAGCATTGAACCTTCCCCATAGAGCAAGCCATGGAGCCCAGCAGACGAGACAACGCCAGAGATCAATTTGACTAAGCCAGTCCAGATTAGCTGGCCCAAGCAGAGTTCTGGAAAGTGCAAAGCTAGAGACAGTGTTGAGCAATGCCAGCGCACGACGAAGCTCGACGACGCCAGGCGCCACGTTGAAACTTGAACATTTAGGGCAGGGTTGATTGGACTTGGTAGTTTAATGCGACAGAAAATCACCAACAAGGAGGTGGTGAATTCCCGAACCGTTTCGACGCGGATCGTCGTTGGAGAATTTCACTACCATACTCGGTGGATCAGAAATCAGGGGAAATCACATCCAAATCACTATCCACTAATTAATGCCGAAATTTATTGGTGAAGGGCGGTTTTCACCGAATAAGTTCGGACGGTTCACCACTTCTTAGGCACACAGTGTCAGAAGACAGTACCCAGGCTGGCAAGGAAGGTCGCGTTGAAAGCTCCCAATCATTTAGGATACCCAGCATCTGTCGGTGGAAGCCGGACAAGTGGACCGCATGGTTAGTCGGTTATTTACTCGACGTCGTAACTGAGTACTGATGTATCTACGGGGAACATGTGTTGCTACAAGATTTTGACAAGGACATGTTCCTTGCGGACGAATTGGAGTCTTTCTTCAATGTCTTGCTGTACTGCAGCGCGAAGTACCTGTCATATAACTGTTCTGACACGGCGTTCTTCATGCACAGTTATTTCGATGCTTGTCTGGTTCAAAATGGATGCCGATTCTGCGGACTCCGGAGAATTGAGAGACTTCGGCCACCTCATTCGTTTTGGGCCCACCGGCTCTCAAGTGGAAGAGTATCCGCTCAATGGTCTCATCGATGAGCTCTTGTCATGGTTTTGTGTATACTACCATGTGCACAACGCCGACGATATATTGCCGTCTATCCGTGATGATTTACGTGGGAGTGCGCCGGGCGTTGATCCCGAGTCAAAGACCATTTCTAACCTACAACAAGATGGCCACTCTGAATACGAGGAATACAGAGAGGACTCGGACGACGAAAACTTATCCAAGTTCAAAGTATGACTAGAAAAGATCCGGTCAAAAACGCTCAGGAAGAACGTGAAGAAGTTGGAATCACACGTAGCGATCATCTCTGTATTTAAGAACTATCTGCAGGTTGAATGGCCGTCAGATGATAACGAAGTGAAGGAGAAGTTGACGAACGAGAAAATGAAAGCCGACACCAGGAAACGCAGTATGAATGGTGAAGAGCCGCAGCTCTCGAACAAACGGCTGAAATCAATAACTTCAAGCAACGTTGCAATGCTCACTCCCGCTGGTGGTCGCTCGCAATCTATCAACTCTTCTGGTGTCACTCCTGCGACTGGGTCACCACGCAGCGCCTCTCATTCTGTACGTGCCTTACAGTAAGCCGAGCTCAACGAGATTGTCGGAATGACAGATATGTCTGAGGGACAGGTGCGTCGCCCGCCTCGGAAATGTCCTAGAAGGTGTACCACCTTCAAACGACGGATGCGAGAGAAGGCCGTCGTCGCGGATCGCGGGCTTCCACGTCGCGCACGCAGTCATGCACCTCCACTTTGAATGCGGTCTGACCATACGAGACAGTCAGCGGGTCAGGTATTGTTGACAGCCAAATCATGCGGTCGCACATTATGGTCGTACTCATCAATCAGATTCTGGACCTGCCTCCACGCCCATCCGAATTTGGTGAGCATGCGTTCTTTCGCTATACTGTCTGCCATCAAGAACAGCGCGATGCGCACCTGGATATGGCAGTATTCCGTTCAGTGAGGACTCGTCATAGGACTTGACACCAGAGTTCAAACGCACCTGCACATCCTTACTGCGGATCTCATGGTATTTCGTTATGTCTGAAGGAAACTGAGCGTCCCTTCGACGACGTGCATCCTCCTCAGCAGCAATAAGAGCTATGCGTGACCTCTGTAGCGGAAGAATGGTGCTGTGATGTGCGTAAGAAATAGCAGACAGTGCGTCATCGTATTGAAACGAATATCGGCACTCTGACATCCTATAGAAAGACTGACAATTTTACGTGAGAGCCGCATTACAACGATAGCGAGGCCTACACACCTCGAGTTGGTTGTCTGGCCTACCATTCTTGTCCAAAAGGTCGTACTTACATTGATACAGGTCTGAGGCATTGTTCAGGTGATCTTCTGCTTGCCACTCGAACATGGTAAGCAGCTCTTCTGCATGTCGTCTCTCCAAGTCCGTTACGCGGTCCTTGACGCTCGCCGCCGTCTCCGGGTGTTCGTTCGTCCCCTTCGCCGCGGCAAGGCTGGGTGAAATGTGAGTGGTGCGCAACGTCTCCAGAAAGCTTACATACCCCGGGAAGTACGTTCCTCTGAGTTGCAACATGTCCTCCGCAAACATGCGCTGTTCGATCGCATCACGGAATGCCCGCCTCGTCGGACTTGTCGCAGAGGCGGTGTCTGCACCAATGTGCACGTTAGGAATCACAACGTCCCCTCGAACGCGGGATCGGGTGGGATCCGTGAAGCCATTCGATCCTTTACAGCGAGACATGAAGTTCCGAGCCGTCGCCAAGCGTTTAAGCGGCAAGCCTGTAAAATACTTTCACCAGCGAGGATAAGCACCAGGCTGAGCGACGGGCGAAAACATCCAACCATTCAAGTCGCATGCATGCACTGAGGTTCCAGATACCCGCGGTGCGAGACCACGTGACGAGAGTCCGCAGCTCGGACCGCTACACTCCCAGCCCAGTACTACTTGCCGCCGCATACTTTGGTTGCTGCGATCTCATACTTAGCAGCGAGGGACTCAACGCAGACACACAAGAGACATTGCAGTGAGGTCCAGTTATTGTGCCGCTATTCCTTCTGAAGAGGTTATATAGTCTCGCGCTTAGCTGCCAGGCTGTGTATCCCTGGAAGGGCGCACGTCAGAGGCTACACGATTGTGAGAATTGGTTCGTCCTTGAAATAATGTACGCTTTTGCTCTTCGTCTGATCGTTTATGATGTAGGATTAATTGCTCCAATAACCCTCAGATTGTATCTAAGAATTGTGACGACAGTGCTGAAACACTAAGGCATTACAACTCAATACTTCTTCCATGCAACCTACTAGACGCGAAAGCCTCTTCCTCTCATCGTCTCTTAGCCGCGGCACTTCTCTTACCAGAAACGGGTCTCATGAGAGCCTCTCTGCTCATCCCCTGCTCTCCCCGACACCTTCGATCATCCAGCCGGCCTCCTCGTCGTCCTCTGTTGATTCTCATAATTCTGCATCTCCTTCAAATTCGAACGAAACTCCTCCGCGATATGTCCCATATACTCCGCGACAGCGTGTCGCACCTACGTCCGTCACGACCGGGACTACGATGCATCCGAATATAAACTCTGCTCCACAGCAACATTCCTTCCAGGGTGACGCCACCAGTAAGCTCCAGCTTATGAACCTGAAGGCTGCCGCACAGCGTATTGGGTTGGATATTAACAGCGCAGGATGGGCCATTCTTGAGCGGCTCAGTGAAGAGACGGATCATGGTCCGGAGTGGAATGAAATTTGGAATGCGCTATCTGTAGGGAAGGTACGATACTACTTTCAATGAGTGGGCAAAATTTCACGGATTTCAGGCGACGCTCTTATTACCTCTCGAACCACACTCTCATCACGACCCGATCACTCCAGAATTTCTGAAAGACCACATCGCCCTATGCGACGATACTGTGCGAACTAGTTCGCCTATAGTGACGCTGTCCGGTCTGCGCGGCTCACTGGCAAAGTAGCATCGCATTTTTTATGTCGAGGATTGTACTGACGTCTGCACCTTCAGTGACACTCTGACCCTCCGCTCCGCCCTCCAGCCCGCATCAAAACCTTTCCAAGCTCTACTCTCGCCTTCAACTCGCACTTCCGCCCTGTCGGCACTGCCACCTTTACCCCTGCCACTCGAGCCGCCTTCACCAACACCCTCTTCTCCTGCGTCTGTCACTGGAGCATCATACCCTACGTATACAATTTCTTTGCATCCGGCTCCACTACCACTTCCTCCACGGCCGCAAGCAATCGCCAAACCTCCGCTTCCCCCTCGCCCCGGTACGCGTGTTGTTTCCGCGCCTCACGGTCCACCACAGCCGGCTGTGCAAACCCATGGATCCCGGCTATCAAATCCATTTGCGTCCTTCTTCGCGCGTGCAACACCCCCAGCGAGCCCCACAATGTCAACTTCATCTCTCCAACCCGAATCTACACCACTTGGCCCGTTACCCTCGGTCTCGTCAGGACCCACCTTACACCAGGGCGCAGTATCCCCGGCACAGGCCTCAGGCAGCGGCTCGGCCTCAGACGGCGCGTCTGAACACGCGCTCGGCGTACCTGTGTACACCATCTCGGCGCGCATCGACCGCACGCAGGTCGCGCCCGCACTCGCACGTGCGTTGACGAAGGAGTTGCATGCTGCGCTAGCGGATGCTGGTGTACCCGAGTATGCGGCCGAGCGAGTGGAGAATTTTGTCGGCCCGCTGTTTCCACTCGTGCGCGCTGGACCAGAGGCGGAGAAGGATGCAGTTACGAAGAGTGCTCCGCGGATAGCGAACGGAGCAGCAAAGGGTGCGGGAGCTGGTGGGAGGAGGAACCGCGAAGGGTTGTGGGTTGTGGTTCCCGCAGCGCCGGGGGCAGACGAGACTGCGGCGCGGTTCCAGGAGTTTTATGTGGAATTGGAGGACCTAGTGCGAGAACGCCTCAAGGAGCACGGCCATGGTCACGAGCACTTGCATGGTGTATTGAGGAAAGGACATTTCCATGACGTACATACTGAAGAGAGTAGTGGGACTGGAAGTGGCAGCGGGAGCGGAAGTGCGGAGGAGACGGACCGGGAGAAGGAAAGGGAATGGGATACGGAGAACGAGAGGGACGAAGGAGATGAAGAGAAGCGAGACGCACAAGTACGCGATATCATGGATGGCGTGGAACGCGTCATTTGTTCGATGTTCTACGACAGGTGCGTTCGATATTTCATGTCCTGAAACACTGCGTGGTACTTATACTGATCACTGTTCGCACTTCAGGCTATTTCTTCCAGTAACCGCCGACGATGCATCCCATGACGAGGCCCTTTCAAGTCGGATCGCCGCTGTGAACTTGCTGGACCTTGGGCTGGCACATTTGGGCGTTGATGTGGGTAAAGCGGGCGCCGAGGTCGAGGCTGTAGTAAGGGCGTGTGGGCAGAGTAAGTTTAGATCTGTCCGTCTTTGCACGCTCTATGTCCCTGCATGCTTCCGAGATCTTCCCTTACGAGCAACGTTTTGAATTTCACAGCTCTCGTGCAGCTTGATCAGGCGTGTCGTGCCCCTGCAGACAAGGCCGCCATTCTTGTCGCAGCGCATAAGATTATTGTTGGTGAGAATGTCCATGCCTTACACAATTGCTACACTTATGCATAATTTGCAGACGGCCTCTCCAGGTTGCCTCCCATCAGACTCAAATCCGAGGACGAAATTCTCGATGACAATACCCCACGCGCGTCGTCGTTCGGAAAGCAAAGTGCTGATGAAGACGAGGACGATGAGGATGAAATGAAGAAAGTGCAATCGGGTTCTGCTGCTACGATAGTTGAACTGAAGGAACCGGCTCTGCTTTCACCAACAATCATCTTACCTCCGGACGAAGTGCCCTCTGATACCCATGCCTTGTCGCTTCATACAGACGATATTAGCCCCGCCTTACCCAATCGTAATAACTTGCTGCCAACTGATGCATCAAGCGCTCCTGACCGAAGTAGATCTTCAGAACTGACATTGTCTCGGCCCAGCTCGCCGACGCCCGTTTCAGGCGACATCATCTTACCCCTCATGATCTTTGCTGTGGTCAAAGCGAATCCGCCCCGGCTTGTGTCAAATCTTCTCTATATTCAACGTTTTCGCCGCGAGGGCGCTGGAGGAGGCGAGGAAGGCTACTGTCTGATCAACCTGATGGCCGTCGCAGAGTTCTTGGAGAACGTTGATCTAGCAGCCCTCGGACTGGGAGAGAGCGAGAAGAATGTCATCAGGTATGTTCCTTTTGTCTTACTTTCCGGCCTACCCCCAAGAAAGACAGCCTGAGTTGCTGGGTTGCGCCTCTGTCGTTTCTCGCACCCCCTTTGTGCTCCAGCGTCTCACTGATAATTGTGCCCATGATCATTATGCACAGTGCCGCCGCTCTCAGCCCCATCCCCGTTACACGCTCTGGCCTCATCTCAGGGTCCCAACCTTCATCTCCGCTGGCCGTCAATCCGAGCTTGCGCGGCCGAGTTGAGCAGCAGGTCGACGCTATCGCCGGCTCTGCTAATAAGGTCATATCTGGCGTTGTAGACACATCCTTCGGTGTGCTACGCATGCTTCTTCCTGGCCAGAGCCAGGCACAGAAAACTCCCGCGGAGCCACAACTCGATACTGACGCCCCTCCTGCCGAAGAGTCTGTGCCTGCACGGCCTGGATTTACACTTCTCCGCCGTGACACCGGCTTCTCTATCGCAAGTCTCGCTGCGTCTCTGCCTGGTGCGGCAAGTCGTGTCCGTTCCACAGGTCAGAACGAAGAGGCAGGACAGCAGATGGTGGAAGTGCCTTCCCGTCCAGGCTCAAGCCGCTCAATACGTGGCCAAGACGAGCGTTCGACGTCAGAGGAGAGTTCGAGCGAAGACGAAGAGGAATCTGAGGACGAGGAGGGCGAGCACGATACACGGAGCATTCGTAGCTTCGAGAGCATGATGAGCGGGCGGCATAGACAGCGGAAACGTGCTCCTGGGGGGCGGAAGAGCATCACGGATAGGCTGGCGAGCGTACCGGGCTTGTCGCGGTTGTCACAGTCCGCGCCACATGAGGTGACGAAGGTCCGTCCTGTCATGTTCACTCTATGTGGTGATGTTGATTTTTTTCCCGTCGGATGAATGATTACAGGGTTCGCCACCGGGCTCGCGCAAATCTTCCGTACTTTTCCCCAAGAGTGCGGCGTCCAATCGTTTGGAATCGCCAGAGTCCTCTCGCGCACCGTCCCCAATAGCAATTCGCATATCGCCACCAAATTCCCGCTTCCTCTCCTGCACCGAGGATGATATCAAGGTGTCCGAGGTGGGCGAGCTATTACGGGAGTACAGGCGGTTAGCGGAGGCGGTCCGCATGATGGGTGGGTTCCACGACGATTGAGTCATTGAGTGGCGGGGTCTTCGTGCATTTATCGATGCTTACTTGTATCTTGTTACTGCAATTTTGAGTGACCTTGACACCCTGGAATTTGTACCGCCTGGTATCACTAGATGTCTACCATACGAAATGTTGATCGCCACCGAGATACTTCTACAGCAACTATTCCAACCGCAAGGTATTCAGTATTTGAAAATGAAGGGCGTTATATATACACATATTCTGACGCGAGCAGACCGGCTGTGGAGAAGAACGAACTTTCAGCAATATTGAAGTCTGAGAATACTCTGAAAGAATGAGGTGACACAAAAAGAGGTGGTGAATCCGTTAGTTGCGCGAGCGGCGCTGAACAACCCCGCGAGAACGTTTCCCAGTAGCTAGCTGTCCAGCGGCACTGCTTCTAGTACACCACGGAGAATTAATTGCAGGTGCGACAGACGTATGAGACGCATTCTTTTGCGCCGCAATACGACTGGAACGCCTTCGACGAGGGGGCTGGCTCCAATGTGCAGGAGCATGTGAAGGTGGTGCAAGTCCCGGCTTTCCGAAGTAATATCATGATCTCTAGGCGGAGGACTCCTCATGGGCGATAACGCATTGACAAGCTCGTTCTGATGTGTACGTTCCTGAATACCACCGTCGCGTTGCATTCCATCAGAGCGCTGAGTAGGCCGACTGGCAGGAGTGGGCGGAGTGGGGACGAGCAGGACGACGAGTGCTGTCCTGCGCATTCGCAAAAGGGATTTGATTGAACGGCTGCAAGGACAACGGATACAGTACCAGTGTGAATAGATCTGAGCCGCTTGCTCGGCGGCTGCAGGATCTCATCGACCAGTGTGCGTTTCTTTCCAGTTCTGGTGTCCTTCTCGTCCTCGCCGCGATCTTCGCATGCCACCTGCGGAATCAAACCACAGAATTTCTACCATGACCGCAAGGAAAAAAATACGGAGCGACCGCGAGAAAATACCGCGGCCATTAAAGCTCTTGGAGTCCTTGAGGATGTGTCAAACGCGTACCCGTCCCACCAGGCGAATGCGTAACCGGTTAGGTGCTCCACAGCAAGCGCACTGAACGAACGAAAGGTCCGTAATGCTGTATTTGCCGCCGACGAGCCACGCTTGCTTGGAGAGGACGCTCAAGCGCGCCAAGCACGCGGAGCGATGCGCGCTGGTACGGCTCGATGGCGCTGTGCACCTTCTCAGGATGCATGTTCATGACCCACGTGGCCTGAGAAAAGTACGGGCTACAGCGTCAGGAGGGATCAGCTTCAGGTGCCACTAGTAGCCGCAATCCTTTAATAGTATTGGGACTTGCCCTCGGCCGCTGGCCTGGAAGAACAGCCAATTCAGCCGGGTGGTTTTGTTTTCGAAGGTGCAGGCAGAGATCTTATGATTCTTGTCGGATTTCTCGACGAGACATACGAGAATTGCATCGGATTCCCTAGTCGAGTGAGTTTTGGCGGGTGACACTGAGACTACGCAAGAAAAGATGGGTGCGTACGAGATGACGAAGTCATTGTTGGAGTGGTCGATGAGGGTAGGGATCCGGCCATACGAGCTGAACCAAGTGTGTGCCTCGTGCTTGCCTTCGCCTTCCATCAGGGAATGAGCACCACATTGAGAGTGCACAAGTGATAAGGGCACCTACCAGCCGTTCGGGACCAACTTGTGGGTGTAAAGCTTGAACTGCTTGCTGGACTTTGATTGTGAGTATGCTGCGAGAATGCGATATGCGTATTTATGCCTGCCAGCTCCGCCGGTCTTTGAATGGACTCCTGATCGCATCGATACCTAAAATGCGAGTCTGATGGTGAAGAAGTAAACGATGAGGATAAGTGTATCTGTAATTTATCAAGGTGAGCAGGTGAGCACGCACGGCCACCGGCTGACTGTTATAACTCTCGATTACTGTGGGGTTACAGGGCTAACGTAAGGAGCTAGCTTGGCTGGTATTATCAATCACTCAAGTGAATGCTGCGTGGCAGTTAACATGAACGCCTATCGAGTGAGCGATGGGTGCGAAGGTCCGAGTCTGCGTTATACTGGCCGCAAGAAGAACCAGAATCAGATGGTCTTTAAACTCGCGATCGTAGGTCTCGGTCAGAGGTTTGTCCATATGTAAAGGAACAGTGTGTCCGATCGAGAGAATGTGACATCTGTAAGTGGCGCACACATCGGCCAACCCACAGGAGTGACTCATCGCCAGCGATAGGATTCCGAAGCGGCAGACCTAGAAACATTCAAATCCTCTCCGAAACTATGGGTGACGTTCCTGTGGTAATCTGATGGCAAATGGGCAACACCGAAGCGAAAGCTAGAGGCTGCGGGATATATGAACTTGACTCCGTGAAATGAACCACATGAACCGACTCACGACGATGTCAATTACGTGCGGGTTAGAAAATTGCAATCAACAGCTGCTGTGGACTCTCAATTCTTCGAGTGTCTTACCCGCACATTCAATCATTCATCTGCACTGACCTCCTGGCGAAAGCATCCACATCTCCCGGAGACATTCAAGGTTGAAATCCGAGAGCATTTCAACATCCTGTTGGATGACGAGCTGACAATCAATAATCTCTACAGCAATCATTTTCAATATTTGTTGAGAAATATGAGAATTCAAGTAGACAGGATGAAGTCGACAGTCCAATTCGCTGTTGAGCGCCTATTATCTGACGCGACGCGTCTGTCCCTAGTCCGTCCTTCCCCCTTCGACAATATCAGCGACGGTGGATGTTCCTTTGTCATTCACTGTTGCAGGAACATTTCATGACTCTCACGAAACACAACTAATCCCTTCTGGCATCTTTTTCATTATCAATATCGTATAGCTGACTCGGAAAGTCGATCATGTCCTTCAGCGCGCGTCTCAGCGACACCCATCACGACAGGCGTCGTATCTCCACCGTCCGTACTGGCACCATCATCCGCGGCACCCCTACTCCCAACGCCGAAGATGCCCAGCCAAACGGGCGCACTGACAGGCGCACCGATAATCCACCGGCGGTGAGGTCCGCCCCGCGCAAGTCGTCTGTTCGGGACGCGCTGTCATCTAGGCGACAGTGCCCCCCTCTAGGTGCGCAGGACCAGTCGGGGTCACGCCCCCAGCGGGTGTCGCTCCCGCTTCCGCGGACGGTATCGTATCCGCCTCTTCCTCGCTTGAACGACGCGTCCGCTCTGCGTAGGCAAGGTTCTGGGGGTGAACAGAATGCGAACTCTTACACAACGTATGTGCCCATATTGGCTCCTTATCGTGCGACGGAGATGGCGTCTATCTCGGAAGAAGCGGCTGGAACGCAGCGGAGGTCCACGCCAATTGCGCTCCCCAGATTCGTCGCTAATGAAGCGGCAATGCGACGGCATGGTTTGGACTCTTTGTCCCCTTCCACTGTGCCCGCTCTCGCCGCCACAACCCATGATGTCAGCCCTGTATCACGTCTTCGACTCGATCCACTTTTTCACGAGAGACGGCTTGAGCTCTCTGCTGCGGATCTTAACTCTCAAACCAGCGAAAATCTCTCCAGTCCGTCAACCACGCTTCCTTTCGCAAAGGAAGTCCCAGTGAACATCGCGGCCGACGACGCCAAGTCGCCAACCCTAAATAACCCTCCCAGCCAAGACAAGGACCCAAACGTCTCCGAGAGCATCCCCTCTCCTGGCCACGCTCAGGCGCTTCCTGATCCCAACCCTAGCTGCGATGCGGGCACTATGTTGCTCGGCGACTTCTGCGGACCTAGAAAGAGACCTACCCTGAACCTGAGCACTGGCAGCGTGACTGAGGCACTATCGAACCTCACCAGCACGCAGACAGCCGTGCCCGTCGCAGACAGTATCTCTCATCCTGACCCAGCCCTCAATCTTCCGCACCCGCCGAAGGGGGTAATGCGTTCTATGGGGAGCACATCCACGTCCAATCCGGACGCAGAACCCACCATTGATCTCATCAAGCACGCACGCAGCGCGTCCGAGCAGCCCACAACCAGAGGAATCAAACGCGAACGCAGCGCGTCTCCACCGTTACGCACCTCGGCCGCCGTTGTGCGTCCAGTGATGGAGGGCTCACTGCGTTTCGCGCCGGTTCCGGAGGAGTGCCGGCGCCCGCATCCTGAATGGCAACGAAATCGCCGTGCGTGGATTGAACGTGAGTGCGCCGCGTTGCAAGGGAAGGGTTTGAAGATTTTGAAGACGTTCACGCGGTAGGTTTTGCATTAACACTGGTACTTTTCGTGCGTACGCTGATTTATACTGCGGGTTGTAGGGACGACGGAATGGTCATCGATTGGTAAGTCTTTGGGGGGGGGGGGGGGTTCTAGATATCTGAGTTTGGCTCACGAAATATTTAGGCAGAGCTGCATGCCCGTCATGTCTGACACACTTCTGCCAGCGCATCCTGACTCTCGTCCGCTCCCCAGCAGAGTTCAAGAGGTCTTCGAGGTGGACGCCCCGCCCGCCAAGCGGCCGCGCACATCTCGGCAGGAACGCTCCGCCAGGCCCGCCAGTGAGAACGGCACTGACATCATTGACGTCGACTTATCGGAGTCTACTACTGTTCCTGTCACCGCTGCACCAGCGCCTGCAGCGAAGCCCGGTGCCCTCCCACCACAGGAGAAGCCTGCTCCGCGGGACTACGCCTTCGCAACGGGACGCGCACGCCTGGCGAGCCCTGTTGTCGTTGATCTGCCCGTACAGGTGGAGTTTCGCGATGCTGATGCGGGGCCTGTGCGGGCGGGGCTGGATGCACCACGCCAGCCCGCGACGACAGACACAGAACTACCTGCTCCTTCTGCGTCCCCAGAAAAATTGGTGCGTATGCCTTCGATGGAAGAGCGGGCCGAACTGGAGAGTGCCGCCCTGGCATTTCTGGAAAGGCACGTAACGCGCTGTCAACTACCGGCACTGATTATTCACCCATCTGCGCAGATATATAGAGACTTTCGACCAGGATCGCTCCGCTCTCGCAAGCGCGTACTCGCGCACCGCGACGTTCTCCGTGCTGTCTCCCGTGCCGGACGCCCCGGGGGGCCAACATATCAAGCAGGGGCGCATGGAGATCGTCGAGGGGCTGCTCTCGCTCGACGGGAGGTGGCGCTTCTGCTCCGGCGGGGAGGCGGCGAAGGTCGATTACGACGCCGTATGCCTCGGCGAGGTCGGCGTGTTGCTGGTGTGCTATACGGGCCCACGCGCATGTGGCAAGGCCGCCGGCGGGCGGTGGGCGTGCGATCAGCGGTTTGTGTTACGGAGGAGGGAGTGGGACGAGGAGGATCGGTGAGTCGCGCATTGTGGTGTGTGCTGCGTTGTTTTGGTTATTGAGAGTGTTATGGATAGGTCTACGGATAATTTGTGGCCGCTCGTTGCGGTCTCTCATCAGATGACGGTACGGTTGTCGTGACATCTTTCCCCCCACAAATTTGCCAAGATCTACTCAATGAACGTGGATTTTTCTGTATCTTACCGTGAGATTTTACCGTGGAATTGTTGTTATATCTACTAAGACCTGCTTTGCCAATGCTCATCCCGCTTTCCTTGCTCTCAAACTTCCCCCCACTGGCCCCAGGCCCCGCATGTTGGGAGAAACTCGTTCGCATAAGTCCGAGAAACAGATGTGAGACACACTACCGCCTATATCCCCGCCTCCCGTCTTTCGCCTTCATTGCCCGCTTCCGCTCTTTCTCCTCTTCCCGCGCCCGCGCGCCCCGTTGTCGGGGATCGATGACCTCGTAGTCCCGCTCAGCCTTGGCCACCTCCTCGCTGTTGTCCTTCGGGAAATGCAGGGCATGCGATAAGAACGCGGTATCGTCGTCGACCTCCATACCTCCCTCCGCCGCTGGGGCGGCCTCCTCTGCGGGCTCGCCCACTGGGGCGTCCGCTTCAACATCGGCAGCGGCCTCAGGCTCGACATCGCGCGCGGTGCCCTGCAACTTGGTGCGGAAGCTGTTCAGCGCTGCGAGGACGTCGTCCTCGTCACGCCGCTTGCCCTTCTTGTGGGCGCCACGCCCCTTGGTGTACTTCGCCATCTCCTCAGCGAGGTACGACTTCTTCGCCTTCTTTGGTGCCGGCTCGTCATCGCTGTCGTCTCCGCCTCGATGTGCGAGCTTGCGGATCTCGGCTTCCATCTTGGCGATCTCGGTTTGGCGGGAGGTACTGGGGAGCGATGTGTGAGGAAGGTGCTAGAGGTGAAGTCGGAGAGCATACCTTTGCGCTGCTTGCTCGCGAGCGTGCTTCTCGCGGATCTTCGTGATGTCCGCGTCGTCCTTGGAGGATTTCTTCTCAGACTGTGAAGAATAAGAAATATGAGACGGTCGGGTCAAACGGATGAGGCTCACGGCGCTTGTCTCCACAACGGATGTAAGTCCTTGCACCTTTGATGCCTTCTCTTTTGGACGTGAAGGGACCAAGCCGGGGATGGACACAAGCTGATCTGGTACATCGAGCACTGGAACAGCGAGTATGACACAAACCAGGTATTGCGACGAAGGCACAACTCACGATCTGGGCGGACAATTGGCTTTTTCTTGAATGTGACAGGCTCCTCTTCAACACTTTCCTCCGCACCAAAGCTCAGGAGCTTCACATCTCTGAAGTAACTTACGTGAGTCACAATGCAGTGAACTGCGAATCGCGATGACGCACTTCTTGGCTCCCTTGCGCCGTTGCTCTTCCTCGCGCTCGCGCTGAGACTTATCTCTAGCGCGTTGCTGTGTGCGTTTCTCCTCTGCGGTGATGCGGGGGATGATGTCTGGGAAAGGGTTGTCGATAATGCGTATTGTCTTGATTTTGGGGGGACTTAACATAAAAATTAGACTTATGCATCGTCGAACATGCGACTATATCACGAACTATAGTGGTCGTTCATTCTCGTCAAGCTCTAAGGAAAGAAGCCTGAAAAACTCATGTCGGTCTTCACGCTCAGAGGTAGGAGAACGTACCCATTTCGCCAATTTTCAACACGTCTGGAAAGCGGTCAGAACTCATGACGGACATTTCGGCAGAGCTGATGCATACTGAAGATAGTATCTCCTATAACACGACCGAACAGCGTGTGTTTGCCGTGCAGTTCGTCCGCACGGTCTTGCGGTCAAGACAAGGTTAGTAATTAGTCAGTTCATCAGGAAATAAAGGTCTCACCGAGGGTGATAAAGAACTGTGAATCGTTTGAGTTTTTTGTTCCATTGTTGGCCATAGCCACCAAACCTCGGTGGGCAAACCGCAATCGTGGATGTATCTCATCCTCGAAAGGCTCTGGGCAGTTTTGCAGTTAGGCTATTTTGATTAAAAAATTTGCAGGACTACACACCTCCGTAGAACGATTCTCCACCTGCACCAGTGCCCGTCCTATCCCCAGTCTGAACCAGGAATCCAGGAATAACCCTAGGAACACGGTTACGCTCGCGGTATCCGTAGTTGCACAGCACCCTACCGGTGGAATATGACGCCATCATAATACCCTTAAAAACTGCTCAGTCGATATGAACGTGCGCAACCCTTCCACAGTACGCACCTTCCATAGCCAAAGCCAGAAAGTTTCGACATGCTTTCGGTGTTTCCTGCTCGACCGTTTTCACTCAATCTCCGTGATTCTCAAGACAGAGATAGCGCACTTTTGACCACAGTTCTATGTCAATCTCACCCGCTGTAGTGTCAATAATAACGCGTCCTGTGGTTGGAAGGGCCATTATTGCAGCGTCGCGAACAAGAAAGCAGGACAAATAAGCGTCGCAGAGTGTAGTTCGTCACGGGATGCGACGCACGCGAGCGGCACATGGCGCCGTTGTCGGACAAAGCAAGCTGGAGACTGTTGCTCCCGCCCCACTCAACTCTGTACCTCCACTTCCTCTTTCTTACATCTCCATCATGGCTACCAAAGCTGCTTACAAGCGGGTACGTCTGGAGATAAAGTGACATTCAGTAAGGTATACTCAATTTGTGTCGGATCCAGCTCAACAAGGAGTACCTCTCGATGCAGAGAGATCCGCCCCCGTTCGTTTGGGCTGCGCCGGACGAGAAGAACATCTTGACTTGTAAGTGCTCATCACTGAATGCCATACTGGCCACGCTGATTGTATGCGCTTAGGGAACTATATCATTGTACGATGCGCTTTCTATGTTGCTGTCCCAGCTGAATGCCCCATGTTACTCAGCGAGGTCCCCCCGAATCTCCCTTCGCCGGAGGAGAGTATCACGGTGTCCTGCTCTTCCCTCCAGAATACCCCTTCAAACCTCCCGGCATTAAGGTGCGTTCTTTGGTATGACCTGGCGGTATCTGTGCAAATCGGAGGCGCTGCAGATGTTGACTCCATCGGGGCGGTTCCACCCTGACCGGAAGATCTGCTTCTCGATGTCCGATTTTCACCCGGGCACTGTGAGTGTTTACCTGTGTGATTTACGTGTCGCCGAGTATTGACATAGCAATGACAGTGGAACCCTGCTTGGAGTGTGTCCACCATGTGCGTAGTTTCAGTGTTTCTTCACCGTTAACTGATCGCTAACTGTCCTAACAGATTAACTGGATTGTTGTCGTTCATGCTCTCAGATGAGATGACAACCGGGTCCGTCACTTCGACGGACGCCGATAAGCGCCACTACGCTGCGCGGAGCCATTCATGGAATATCACACAGAAGAAGTTCAAGGAGGCATTCCCTGAGGTGAGCAGCACATACTCCGCTGTCGTCCAGCTGTCTTGTTGGCTTACAGCGTAACATGGTTGTTGCGCCAAATCCTTGATTTGTGCGGTGCTGACCTCACACTGTAGCACTCTGCAGAAACTCAGCGGGATCTTCCGAATATGGGCGAGAAAGAACGTGGAGCAAGTTCAAAACCTGACCCCAACTCTATCCCTGCTGTCGCGCCAGTCGCATTCTCAACTGCTACTCCACCACAAGCGGCACATCCTTCCGCTTCTGCCACTATCACGCTCAATAACTCTTGCACCGCATCACGGACATCCGGTAGCGGTGCGGTGATTCCTGCTGGTTCGAGCGGCGCCGTTGGCGATGCCGCGAAGTCAGTCGGATGGACAACAGCGTGGCGGCAGCTAATTTGGGACAAGTGGAGGTGGGGAGTCATTCTAGCTTTGGCTATCATTGTTTCTCGCATGTCGTCCACCAACTAGCAGCGCTGGTCAGCACGACTTGCATTCCGAGTCACCCTTCTCTGTGTGGGTTCTGGTCGCTAAACGGGCAGGAACACCGGAGAAATATGGTTTCTGTTGGTTGTATCTTGGACACTCTTCACAAACCCAGACGGTCGTTACACTCTATAATTTCCCACCACACTACTGTTTAGCTTTGAGTGCCATGACCACTGTCACCAATACTGTACACTACCATAGATCTAAGCGGTCGATTACTTCCTATGCCCGCATTGATCGTACTTCGTTGGGTGAGACTTCAGGCTACCGGCGTTATCAATATAACAACAGGTATGCCGAGCATGATCTGCTATAAGTACAACTCCAAGTTTCGCCGTCTATCCTCCTGCAAATGGTCCCATAGTCTACGCAAAGGCAGCTGTGTTCCATGAGAAAATGGTTCCGCAAATTCCCAGACTGCCTGCGCAACCTCCTCCGTTGATGCATCCGCATCAATGGTGATCCACATCCCTTCCGCTTCCTCAACCTCTGCGCCGATGCGATCGAACACGGCGCGCACCCGCGCTTGCACGTCCTCCGTTTCGTAGCGTTCTTTTCCGTACCCGCCGCGTGCTGCCGCGGCTGCAAGGGAGACATTGAGGAAGAGCGTGGCGTCTGGGGCGGGAAGGTATACGTCTGGGGCACGGCACCATTCGTACGAGAGCCCCTCGAGCGCCTTCGCCGCAGAGAACGCGATTCCAGAGAAGGCATAACGGTCACATATGACGGTCGTGCCCGCGCGCAGTGCATTTTCAATGGAAGATCTGTAGGGAGGGAAAGTGCGGTCAGCAGTAGGCGTCTTGACGCAGATCGTCGAGGACAAACGCACGCAAGCTCCCAGCGATTCGCGGAGAAGAGTAAGTGGATTGCGTGGTCATCGAGCTCAGTCTGCGAGCTCAGATATGCGTCGATCATTTTCCCGATGGGGGTCGAGCGGTCTGCAATAAAGAAGATACTATGCAAATTCGCTGCCGATGAATGGTGGGTATCACTGACCTGGAAATTTTATGAACTTGGTCTCAACGCCTGCGCGTTGTAACCGCTCGGCAAGTAAGGTAGTCTGTGTGCTCTTGCCTGACCTGTCGAGGCCCTCTATCGCGATGAATGTGCCGCGTATCTGGCGTTCTGACATGGTGTCAGACTAGGAGGTCCCCAGGTATTCTGTATCTTTGCGGTAAAGTGGAGCGCTGTAAAGCTTCTAATAACAATATTAATGCCTTCGAGGTAAAATCTTCTGGATGACTAGGTAGTCGGGAGTGAGAATGCACTAATAGTTCCGCGGCGGCGCGACGCGTCGTCACCTATTTGCGATCACGTGGATCCTTATGTTGAATCCCCACGTGGCTTCAAAATACAGATCTGATCGTACTGAGATCTACGGGAGATCCTCGGTCGCCACGACGCGGTCTCAAAGCCCTCCCTCAAATCAACAAATGGGCTAAACTTGCTTAACGCCAGGCTATTCATCCAAAGGTATAGCACACTTACATATTTTCTGTGTCTGATAATGGAACACAAATGGGGTGTCATGAAGTCCCGTCTACCATGGGCCGAAATGCTGGTTGAAGTGCGACCAAACTTACGCGATTGTCCAGGGGCCTCCGGATCCTTTACCTCCCGCTCGCCAAGAACAACAGAGCATCCACGATACAGTGCTCCTGTCCGTCTTGTGCGTCCAAGGCACGGCGGTCGCCACGCAATAGGATGAAACGCGCAAACGCTTATATTAATTCTCGTCCGTGGACGAACACGATCGCCTCATATGAGTCCTGACACAGATTTTCTGCAGATCTAACCCGTGGATCAGTACAAGCGTTTGCTACACCGCGCCAGTGGAGGTGCTTGGGAGGAATGACGCCAGTCAAACGAACGGATAGGCGCAAGGACGGAATGTGACCTCCAACGACGAGAGCCGGATGTCTTCCAGGATCTCCCAAAAGCAATGGTGCAACATAATCTCCCGAGGGATGAGCACCACTGAAAACTAGCCCAGGCTGCAGGCAAGAGACCATTAATGGTTGTCCCTACGCCCTCAGATTGACTGAATCACAAGTCGGGACTTTGTCGCCGCTCAACCAACGTGAAGGCAAAAGCAGGTTTGAACAAGATACTAGCAGGTCACTGAGTAGACGATACGCATGCATGCATACGGCGTATATATATATGCAACGAAGTGAAAATATTCATCTGAATTTCGTAAGATTTCCATCTCGTCCGAGACGGAAGCCCGGCTCCGAAAGCTCTCAACTTTCTCCGAGTCCACGATGGACTGACTCCACATCCTCATCGTCTAACGTCTCGCACCGCAGATCACCTCACGATGACTACGCTCTCCTTCCTTTCATACTTCTGCGTCTCCCGCTTGGTTGGCCGTACGAGCTTGCATGAATCAACTCGCCGCGAATCTCGTGGAGGTGGACATAAGAGGATTGAGACTTAAATGTATGTACATGCTATCACTGATCCCAGCAGAATGACTACCGTGTGTCCCTGTAGGTGGATGAGGTGTGCACTCCGAGATGGATGATAGGTCTGATTGATGCTCCACGCGAGGTGCAGTGCATAACTGTACCATCTCTACTCAAAAAACACTTCCAACTGTTACAATTGGTGTTATCATTGTATGTTTACTGCTTTGCATAGTCCAGCCATTTCCATAGCTAGTTTGTTATGGGCATGTATATATTCTCAAAATATCTGCATGCTCATAGCAACCTAGATGTGTTCTTGTGTGCTTGCTGTGCAGTAAGATCTCAAACCATCTTGTTCAGTCTGCATCCCTCTCCTTGCACCTATTACATAGATACTCAGCATGTATTATCTGACATCAGGTGATGCCCTGCAATAGAAATAAAATTGGGAAAAAAGATCCCAAACACTTTTACATAGTACCTATTGACAATTTCGAATGAAATAGGTAATGTAAAATTGAGGCTCATACAACAATGTGACAACTGGGGACTTGTGGCACAACTTTAATGTGTTCTACAGGGCAATATGCCAGACATTACAAGAATATGCATCAGAAAAACAAAACACCAGCTAGCACAACACCAATCAGAGAGGAATACAAGATGAATCAGATTCTACTATGGGCATGTATCTATTCTCAAAGCTCTGGCACAGTACTGACATCCTTGGTGGGCTCAGAGAAACCCACCAGACAAATATCAATGGGCAGGAGCTCATTGCACCCAGAGCCTATAGGTGAAATATCAATGATCAAATAGAAGAAACCTAGAAATGACTGGTGCATACCCTGCTGAACATCCGACGATACGTCCGGCAATGACACTGGCTCTGGGTGTGCTATATGATGGAAGGGCTATCAGAATAATACTAGCGATGGACGAGAATTTCCTACGTGACGTTGGCCACACAAAATCCTCGTCGATGTCGAGGGCCGCCAGCGCCATCTCGCCGCCCGCGTCGATCGGAGTCAAGTCTGTAAATATACTGAGCAAGCTGGACCATCGCCGTTGACGACACATTCGGGTAACTTACCTCGATCATGCAAGCCTCCAGAAGTCGACCCATCACCGAAGCCATCCGACACCGCGATCGAAGGGGCTTCGACCATGGCCACGGCCATGTCGTTGACTGCCAGAGCTTCCATCGATGATGTGAGCCGAGAAACCAGAGGTGAGACCTCAATGCCAAGGAGTAAGGAGACGGGACGTGTATAAGTCCCGAACGCTGTATCTGAACGAGATTGGGTGGATTAGTCGTTGGAAGACTACTCAGCAAGTGATGAACAATTCACCACCCCACGAAGACATGTTGAATACAGAATCTGAAATGTAGAGAGAGGCAGGAAAGTGTAGAGCAAGGTGGTTGAGAGCAAGATGCAGCGCGAGAAACCCCCATGTTCGAACTTTATCACCGGATTCTTCTCCGAATCAGGCTCCGAACGCACCGTTCTCACGAGCCAACGCTAGAAGATCAGCTTGAAACGCGAATCATGCCACAGCGCAATTCAAACATACGACGCCTCGCGCTAAGGACACTACGCAGCGAGCCTAACATGTTTTGTCCGTACGAATCTGTCCAACATGCCCGTAGAGTCAGTTTTCGTGGACCAGCAGCGACACGCCGAACACGCCGACCACCCATGAGCCGTCTGAACATCGGCGTCAACCGAACACGACTCTTGAGTCCTTGTGCCATACATGGACTAAGTAAAATCGGCCGGTCGCAACCGCAGATATGGCATCGGCTAGAGCGAGTCTTAGCGGACGGCATTTGAAAGTTCCGTTCGAGTGGTCAATGAGAGTAGGGATGCGACCATTGGGGTCGAACTTGTGTGCGCCGCCTGCTTGACTTCGATGAAGTCGAGATAGACGCTCTCGGAGCTGAGGTCAAGCTCAACGAGGACGACTGCGACCTTCCTGTGTGCACGGTCAGCTTACCTAGAGAGGAGCGAATGCGAACGACTAAATCACTCACCAGCCGTTCGGACATGCAAGGAGTCAACTGCCTTGGTGAAAGGGAGGAGGAGCAGTCTTATAGCGTCATCGATCATACAATTTGATGCAAAGTGAGAGTTATTTCTAGCGGCCGGAACCTCAAGGATGCCATCGAATCACACGGCTACACCTTCAAAGGAAGAGGTTTCTCGCTGCATAACATGTCGATACCTACTGCAGGCTCAGATCCCAGCCATACCTGGACTTGGAGCCTCTGGATTTGTATTTAACGCGCTGGTAGTAATTATTAGCAATTCTCAAAGCTTTGAAGTTGCATACTGATATCCGATTCGTAGATTCTGGTGTCCTTCCAACGCGGCTGCTGCTTCAAGCAGCAATGTCGATAAAAAGACGTCCTGCACGGAAGACGCATTTAGAGTCCCACCTGTACATCATATGTAGACCACCTGCAGATTTTCACGCGAGCATCGGTCACGCGGGGGCTCAAGCGCTCACTATGTAAGTTACTACGAGCAGAGCACGGTATTCACATCAACCCTCGGTATGGCGCTCAAAGGCACAGTCAAGGGGATTTGATAGTGATGCAAGTTATAGCAGTAATAAATCGATGGGGCCACGGTCTGCTCGTGTACCCGTTTAATCCAAGTCCATTTTGACAATAAAGGACTGAACCGCCATCAGCCTGGATCACAGCAACGGCACCATGTAAGCGCAATGCAGCGCGACTCTTGCCTCCTGTATACGCGGCAGATCATGGTGGTCAAGTATCTGATGCTGAGATATTTATCGTATGATGCGGCCAATTGAGTGGTGGCGCGGCCGGCGGCCTGCCGATATGGGCACGGGACCGTGTTTGGGCCTTTACACCAGGCTTTACACGGTGGTGGCCCCCCGTACGTACTCGCTGAAGTAGAAAAGTCCTTGCTTTGTCGCAGTCACTCCCCCTTACATAAGATTGACTTTGGAACGCCGATGCCACCATCCAACTCGAAGAGTACGATTACCGCTCTCCCAGTTGCTCTCCCGCACAGCTTGCTTGTCCTCGTGCACCTGCACCTCCTGGACTATCCACTTAAGCAAGCGGCACAATATGACGAACGCCTCTTTAACTCCAAGACCAATGGGATCCGTGAACGAACTAAGGCCATGGAGGACATTTGCTACTTCCTACTAGGTCGCATAGAAGGTCGAGATCGCGCAAAGGCAGTAAGTCTCTTGCTTTGCTAGGTTCGTCTCGGAATGGATGCGTATCTTCTGTTACAGATCCTCCCGATGTACCCGTGTCTGCAGCCATCAGATACCACCGCATTCCGCGTCTCGCTCACAAAATATCTAGAATCACTGCGGCACGGCATCGTCCATACGAATCACAAAGTTTCGAACTCGGATAACAAGGGGAAGATGCGAGATAGCACAGACACAGCAGGTGCTTGGTGGTGGAAGGACGTGGTGGTGCGCAAGTCCTTGCTTGAAGAATGTGCGGGGGAAAGGTCAGTGGTGCAGCATGAGAAATTCAGTTTCATCAATTAATTTTTCGTTGCATTCCGTAGGTTCGAACGACTCTTGTTAGCGTTGTCAACACATGCTCTCTTCAAAAAATTGTCCGCCTCTCCAGCGTTATCGGCTGAACCAGGACGGGTGTGTCATAACTCATGGTCCTTTCCTACTCCGCTGATGGTCTCCAGGAAGAGCTAACCGCACTTACAAGCACCTACGGTGCGCTCCTAGCACAATCCCACTCTTCGCGGCGCGTATGGGAGCGTACAGCCTCTGCGCTCACGCGACGAAAAGCCGACTTGCAGCTCCTGCGTGTGCGCCCATTTTGCAGCTATTACTTTCTAGGCTTGCCTCACGTGCATAGATGACCTAGGAACGCCTTTCCGACCCCAACGCCAACGCGCGGCGGTCCACCAAGTACAATGCATTGACTACAGACAGGCTCCTGGCACTTCGTGACTCTGCTCTGTCGGATCTGCTGCGCAAGAGCTGGAGGCATGCCGAAGGCTTGATTGCCTTGGATTTTCTGATCGACCTGGCTGGCCTGCAGGGTTCGCATGGAGCCTCGAAGCATGATGGGGAAAATTCATCCAGATTGTCAATCGTTGCAGTGGATGTACTCGATACGAAGGTATACATCGTGTTTTCTTTCATCTGCGAAATCCATCGGAGCTCACAAGTAGCAGGCACCTGTAGCCCTCCCGATCCCGCCACTCCCCATCGCTGCAGCGCACCATCCCGCACACTTGCACACGCTCATGGAGCCCGTCTTTTCTTCGTCAACCCCTACTGCACCCATGAACGCCACCGTCAGCGCACCCGCCAGGCCGAAGGAAACGATCCCGTTCGGTGTCTCCGAGCGCATAGACGCTGCCGCGCGGATGGAAGAGGCTCTGCAACGCGCCCTGGCCAGCGCAGAGGCGGTCCGGCAGCAGCTACAGAAACGCATCCAAGGTGGCAAGGCCATTCCTGCCTCTAACAAGAGCGTGCTCAACCTTGATCTGCGATCGTGGGCAGCACCAAATCCGCGCACGCTTGACTTCCACGTATGTCTCCGCCTACATTCCTCTGGCAATGCACTCAGTCGAGGCCACACAGACGGCACCGACGCCAGGCTTATTGGGAACCTTCTCCCTCCCATCGGTTTCGCCAGAATCTGCGCTGGAGGAGCAGATCGCACAGATCCGCACAGCGCTCCTGCCTGCTTATCCTCCGGTACCTACCCAGCCCGTGCTCTGCAGCGACCCTCTACCTGTTCCTGTTCCTCCTAGCCGCCTACGGCAGCCTGCACAGATCGGAGAGGTCAAGGCACTTAGGCGGGGTGCCGCTGGCATGAGCGTGAACAGCGGACTAGCGCGCGCGACGAGCGCGCATCTCCGATTTGCCCAGGAAGACGCTGCGGCGTCTACCCAGCGGAACGTGCATCCCCGAATAGCGTCGAGACGTGTGTCCCGCCGGGTGCGCCGCTCGCTCGCGGTGCGGGATGAGGAAGTCGACAAGGCGGGTCACCATTGACTGCACGCCTTCTCCCCTCCGATGCTCACCTTAGTACGCTTGCAGGTCGTCGAGGCCGTGCGGGGCGAGTCTGCTTCGTTCGAGGTTGCCGAAGCGACGCCTGCGCATGTGGGCAGGACGGCTGGTGTCCCGCTGTCAGCGGTGAAGTCTGTGCCTCGTCCGTCATATGACATGGAGAGACACGAGCGCGCGATTAATGTTCCCCTTCCAAGGCTGCGGCTCAGCGGTGCAGACGAGGATGCGCACTCGGAGGACGATATCCCGAGGCATCGATCGTCGGAAGGCGGAAAAGCCTGGACGAACAACAACTGGCCTGATGTAAAACCGGAGGAAGAGGAGTATTATGAGGGTCAGAGCATTACTCTGAAGGAGATCTTGCTCAAAGCCGGGAGCGATGCAGCGCAATTCGACCTTCTTGGTGATTCCGAGGACGATTTGGACGAAGATTTCGAATGGGAATAAATAACACCACACGGGTAGACTCACTCTGTCTCAGAAGGAGGCTTGGTCCTGCTCTCTCGCTTGCAGTACACACGGTGACCGGTCCAGCATAAAACAAGAAGATACATCGTCCGAAATGATAATCGCACGCATAGAATCGCATGGCATACATAACTCATGTATTTTGCGCGTCATGAAGCAAAACATGCTGATCGAGAGTGTGCAAAGAGGCAAGTGAGAGGACATATACGGATGCAGTTGCGAGTAGATGCGGAAACTGGTGGTACAATCATGCCTCAGCCTGCTTTGCCTTAGACCGCTTAACTGCAGACGTGTTCTCCCTGCGACCCAGTCAACTTTCCCGTATTACGCGAGAAGGACGGAGATGGGGGAACGCACCTGAAGCCGTTCTTGAATCGCCTCGAGACAGTCTTGAGGTAGCGCATTCGGCCCGTCCCAGTCGTCTTTCGGCGCTTCGCCTTCTGGCCCCACTCATACGACCGCAGCTTTGCGCGGGGGTAGCCGCACTGTGCGCACTCTGGAAAAAAACATGAGCGGGCGATGATCATTGCGCAGATGTGAAGACAGACGGGGGCGCGTGGACGAGATGGTGCAGAGAGGGGAGGAGGGGATGAAAGGCTGCGTGGTGGGTGGCGGGCCACGACGGATACGCACCCTTGTGTTGCTTGTGGAATGCGCGGTTGCCACACCGCCGGCAGAGCGTGTGGGACTTGGTGTGCCGCTTACTGCGAGATGCGAGGCCGGCGGGTGAGCACTGCAGCAGAGCACAAAAGATAGAGCGGCACGCACCCGAAGGATGTGGTACCTATGCCCCGCCGAGAGCCCTGTCAGTGACGCTGCGCGGAATCAATGCGGACACGCCGCACGCACCTTTGGTCTATGAAGGAGAAGAGATGGAGAGTCAGCATTCAACCTCGCGAGGATCGTCGACGGAAGTAGGGGACAGTCAAAGTTTGTGTACATCCAAGCAGGGCACGACCCATCCAGCCGCGAAGTGCGTCAAATTGCCCCGTTCGAGCGCAGAATCGCGACCTGCTGGCCTGACTGCCCCTTACATTGATATGAACGGACGTGGACTCACCATCTTGCCTTGAGGATTTTGAGGATACCGCTGGGTGTTACAGTTTTCGACACTGGCGAGTCCTCCTCGGCCTGTGGGAATTTGCCACGTGCGTTCCGGCGCTCCGCTCACGCGACTCCCGGGCGTCTATGGCCAGAATGTCTCTGGATCGATCTCTCAAACTGAAATTTGCATGCCGAAGACCCTACCAACTGTATGGCGGTTGACAATATTAGCGATGCTGTATGTCTACCGAGCGGTGCATTACAGTTTTCTTTTTTCTTCGTCCTAGGTTTCACAGGAGGCGGAGATGAGACTCCTGCCATGACTGGCGTCATTCTGTCGACGCATCCAATTCAAATCCTGCGGAGCCAGCATGTGTTAGTTTTGGTTGAAGGAATTTTCAGGGATCACAGGGTACCAGCTGCAAGACTTGGCATCCAGCATTTCTTGGACTCATCCTCCGCGCTCTCCGACTGCAGTGCAGACAAGGTGAAGAAGGGCAGGCGTGTGACCATTCGAAATATTAATCTGTCGATGTCATCTCTTCATTCAATCAAATCCGCCACAGCAAGTACTTACACTATCCATCCATCACCGCATCTCAATTCCTAGTGGCGGCGCGGCTGGATGCTGTCAATGGGGTCCATGTACCGCCTCCATATCCTGATGTGGATGATTCTCCTGATATAGGATCCCGAGTACTTTCACAGCTTGTACAGACGCCACAAACGCTGTTGGAAATTTCGTCTTCGTACGGCGCCGAAGAATCGGTGACAGCGAAGGCCCAGCCGGGCTGCGCCAACTTGATGTAGCGGGCTCAGCGCCCCAGCTGAGGTCACCGTCCCTTTAGCGTGATCTCCATCCCCACACCGGGATCCACGCAGTATAAGTCCACGCGGTCCCGGAGCTTCTCGAACCACTCGTCCATCTTTTCTTCTCTCACCGTCCCGACTCCTGCATCTGCACGATGAGCAAGCTGGACGAGAAAAATTTTGCAGGCCCCGTCGATCCTATACAGGTGGATGCTGCGAGCTCTGATCTGGAGTCCAGCGAAGGACCTGCGCCTTTGAACGGCGGGTTGAAGCGGCAGCTGAAGAACAGGCATGTCGCCATGATCAGGTCCGTTTACTTCCAGCCCCCCATTTCACTTATACAGGCAGCTAAGATGAGCCGAAAAACAGTATAGGCGGTACGAGATGAGATCGTACTCCACTGCGCTGGGTTTCACGTCTTGTTGCAGGTGTAATTGGAACTGGGTTATTCTTGGGGACTGCAAATGCGCTGGTGGCTGGCGGACCGGTTGGTCTGCTGCTAGGTTACGCTACAGTCGGAACCATCTGCTACAGTGTCATGGTGAGTTGCCTTCTGTAACGTGCTTGGGTCGCGTCGATTAGATCTCGATGCCAGATCTCCCTGGGTGAAATGGTTGCATACCTGCCGCTACCTGGTGGACATATCAAGTTGGCAGAACGTTTTGTCGATCCTGCGTTCTCTTTCGCGATGGTGCGTCGCGCTGTCTGCCTGCCGCCACTATGGTTCATTGATCCCTGCCAAATCTAGGGTTGGAACTATTGTGTGTGAATTTGTGTTGCTCTCGCTCGAAGTGCTGAAAGATGCTTGCCGCAGGGTACAACTGGACAATCCTGCTTCCGGCCGAGCTGAGCGCTGCGGCGATCCTCATTAACTACTGGAACCACTCCATCAACAACGCTGCGTGGATCACCATATGTCTCGTCGTCGTTGTCACGATCAACCTGTTTGGTGCAGGTGAGCTTTCCTCTTCCACTCGTCACTCCGCACACAGTCTCACCGTGCTCGCGCAGGTGCATACGGAGAATGCGAATTTATCTTCGCGTGCGCGCCACCTCTCCATCTCTGAAGTCTTACGTTCGCTGAATGCGTGCGCACGCAGGTCGATCAAGGTAATCACGATCACGGGACTTATTATCCTAGGCATTGTCCTCGACCTGGGCGGCGGCCCGAACCACGACCGTATTGGGTTCCGCTACTGGAAACATCCAGGCCCGTTTGTACAATACGACCACATCCCCGGCGCCAAGGGACGCTTCCTCGGATGGTGGGCCGTCATGACCCAAGCCGCATTTTCGTACATCGGCACTGAAATCGTCGCGGTACGCTCCTTGTGCATATCCCTTGAGAACGCGGAGCGACCTCTCCTGGGTATTGGTGCATAACATTGATGCTACGTGCCCCTGTTGCAGATTGCCGCTGGTGAGGCGAAGAACCCGAGGCGGAATCTCCCCAAGGCGATACGCAGGGTGTACATCCGTATTTTGCTTTTCTACATCGGTGGCGTCATCGTGATCGGCCTCCTGGTGCCGTCGACAAACAAGAACCTCATCCTAGGGACGGGGAACGCCGCCCAGTCGCCGTTCGTCATCGCTATCGAGACGGCGGGGATCAAGGCACTTCCCTCGGTCCGTGTTCTTTTGTGTAATCCGTCCGTTGTGCGTGCTGATACCCTGCAGATCATCAATGCCTGCCTCCTGACTTCAGCATGGTCTGCAGCGTCGAGCGACTTGTACACAAGTTCTCGAGCGCTGTGTACGTTCTCTTATGCGTTTCCTGTTGCTACTCAGCGATTGAGTGTATTTTTGTTCTAGATGGACTTGCGCTGGCAGGGAATGCACCGAAGATCTTCGCCAAGACCTCGCGCAACGGCCTGCCTTACGTCGCGCTTATTACCAACGCGCTGTTCGCGTCCCTTGCGTATATGGGCATCAACAGCGGCTCAGGTATGTGTGTCTGCGGTGCATGTAGATGTACTCTAACTTGGCTATGTAGGCAAGGTCTTCAACTGGTTCTCGGCCAGTGAGTTCTAAGATTTCGCGCCCTGGCATGAATACTGACGTTTTGCTCTCAGTGACGTGTAGGTTTTCGGCTCCGCTCCTCTTGTCGCAACGGGAGACACTGACTTGGGCGATGCAGCCATCGCGGGCCTGATGACATGGTTCGGCATCTGCGTGACGTACCTCCGCTTCTACAAGGGCTTCCGGATGCAAGGGTTCGACCGCAGCACTCTCCCGTACGCGTCGCGCATGCAACCATATGCGGCCTGGTGGGGCGTGATCTCCTGCATCGTCATCTGCTTTGTGCGCGCACTTCTTTTTTTGGTGTCTCCGGGAGGTGCTGACGCACTGTGCAGTTCAGCGGGTGGGCGGTGTTCCTGAAGGGCAAGTGGGTAACGGCGACGTTCGTGACGAACTACCTCCCGTTTGCGCTCTTCCCTATACTATACATCGGCGCGAAGTTCTGGCGGCGCGCGCCCATCGTGCGCCCGGAGGACATGGACTTCATCTCCGGCCTGAAGGAGATCGAAGCGGACTGGTGCGTCTTCGCTTTCCCCTTTAACGCGTTCTTGCGCCCGCGTGCAGTGCTGATGCGTGTTTGCAGCTACGACGAGCCCCCACCGAGGAACTGGGTAGAGCGCTTCTGGTCGTGGTTGGTGAGTGCGCTCTCTGCGATTTGTTTAGGGTGTGTGGATCGGGGCTGACCGCCCTCGTTCGCGGAACCAAGATGTGACCGGCCGACAGCGAGGCGCACCCGCAATTGGTGCCCGGGCCCGAGAGCGCGGTTCCCTCCTCGAGTTGCTGTTGTACTTATCAGATTCGAAGCCACAATCTTATCCGCAGTCGTTTCTCGGCTTAATTCCAATCTGCCGCCTTGACACGACGGGGTCCCTCATCCGTCGTCAGAGTGGTGCGGTGATGCTGCTCGCGTGTCACGGTGTGCGAGTGGTGTGAGGTGGTGTGCGGCGTTACGGCACACGCAAGACAGTCGCAGCGAGTTGCGAGGATTGCGCTTGCAAACCCTACTTATAAACGGACCGGGGAGCAGATACGTTAGTGCGTGCGTATCGTTCGCGGTACCAGTGCCTCGCGTCCGCCGTGGCCAATGGCCGTCTGCCCCGTCGTCTTAAGCTTGCCGCCGCCGCCGATGTAGACGACTTATCTGAGCGTATCTCTGAACGCATGATCAGTGGGAAAGTATCTGATATGATCCTTGTGATCCCATGGTATGGAAGCTCGGGCGGTGCATCTTATCAGACCGATGCAGATCGGCCGCGTAATGCGGCGCAACTTCGCGGTCGAGGTTGCATATGTACTGTATATGGAGAAGGTGGTGTGCGTCGAGGCGTGCATGAGACCCGGTGTTTATGAAGACGATACGGAGAGGGGGTTGGTTCGGTGTCTCTGAGGGGCACGCGTGAGGATCAGGTGGATGAGAGTCGCGGTGATGCGCGATTTTGGGGGTGTAGACCAAGGGCTGACGAAGGTTGTGCAAGAGGCCTGGGCCTCTGGGACGGAAAGGACCCGCAAAGGGATAAGATCTGAATTGATGTGATCGAGCAGAGAACGTACAGCAGTGGTCGGCCGGCGCAAGATAATAAATTGATGAAGCACGGGTTCAACACAAACATGACGCAAAAAGTCGCGCGCGCCGATTCTGACAGCGCGGGAGAGGAAGAGAAATGACGAACAAGCGGTGTGTAAATTTCCTGGAAGAGCTGAACGGAGAAGAGGGCAAGTGCTGAGCAGCGAGAGAGCGTTGATTAGATAATGACGCTGATTACGGCGCTTATCGTAATGGAGCTGCCCCGATTGGTCCACAGCCATCGCGTTATCTAGGTCTATATCTTCAACTTTGTCTCCTCCTAACTTGTTCCCCTCCATCATCGTCCTTTATACGTCCCGGATATCTCCCAGTCCTTTCAGTCCTCGTCCTCGAAGCTCGCACCGTTCCCCACAGCATCGCTCGTATAATATCTCCTAATCACGTCTCTAACGCCCGCAAAATCCACCAGCATGTCTCCAGCGGTCGTGCTTGATTCCCCAGCCATGAACATGCACCTCGCGTCCCTCTCCAGGATGCAGTTCAACGGTCACATCCACACGCCACCCGCATCGGATCACTCCAGACATGACCAGTCACCTACCTCCCCGACGTCCCCCAGTTCGCCGTCTCTCCAAGCGCAGCAACCCCGGAACGGCTCCGCGCCCTATCCCATTGATCCTGCTCTGAGGGAGCGCAACGCGGACAATATCGATCCCGCACTCACGCAGAATACTTTTATTCCGAGTACCTCTCCGAGCTCTAACTCTTCTCCGCCGCTGTCCTGCGCAAACTGTGGTACCTCCTCCACCCCATTGTGGCGCAGAGATGGTGACGGCAAGTCCATCTGCAACGCCTGCGGTAAGTCACTCATCTGCCTTTTGTTTATCTGCCTTCTTGCGCGTTACGATTTCCGGGCCGCCGAGTTCTCCCTTTAGCCACGTGTAATACGCGTTTGAAGCGGCGATGCTCCTCAGAGGCTATCATATCGATTCCTCACCGCTAGCGCGTGTATATGGTCAGATTCGACGGCCCCTGCATGCACGGCGATGGGCATGTTGACGCATTGCTATCGTCCTTCCTGCTATCACCCCTTCGACATGCTTGCTGACGCCTTTGCTCCTCCATCCATCACTCCTCCTACCACCCTCCCGCGAATGATTGATGTGCCTGCACATATCGTCGTGGCCATCCCCCGTCCTTGATAATATCGCCGCTCCGATGGCAATGCACAGGTCTCTACTACAAGTCTCGCCGCATGGCTCGCCCCTCCACTCTCGGACGCACGTCCACCGCTCCTTCCGCGACGCATCCCAACGCCAACCCGGTCACCGCGAGCTCTCCTGTCTCCAAACCTGCTTACGCTCAGAACGGCAACCGCCAGATGTCCGCATCGCCCCCGCCTATGCTTACTCCGGCAGCGTCACCTCCCTCGGCATCTCAGAACCAGAGCCAAAACGCTCCCCCTGGTGCTGAGCAAAAAGCAGCGGGACAAGCTCAGAAGGGACATCTTCCGGGTACGTGCCCCGGAGATGGGCGATGCGACGGTACCGGAGGTACGTCTGCGTGCTCAGGCTGCCCAACCTACAACAACGCACTTTCAGCGCGCGTAGAGGTCGAGACGACAAATGGTCAAGCTCCGGCGCCCGCGTCGCCAGTTGTGGCTTCCGCGGGGCCAACTGCGCCCCCACAGATCAGCGAAGGAGAGCAGCCCCCGGCGGAGGGATCGCCGGTCATCTCTCAGGCGGGCAACAGCCGCTCACGGATGCGGAGCACGGTAGGGGCGTTGAGTTGCGCCAACTGTGGAACAAGCACGACCCCGCTATGGAGACGTGACGACGTCGGGAACAACATCTGCAACGCATGCGGTATGTCGTTGTTGTCTCGCTTTCCCCTCCCCTCCTTCCATTCGCCGTTGTACGTACCTGCGGGGCTTTTGGAAAACCTCCGTTCTCCGATGGCGAGACGCGCCCATTCTTGTCAGCATTCCTGAAGGAGCGACAACCTTTAGGGTATTGGATGCACGTGGCCGTCGTTTGTACTTCTCACGTTTTATCGGCCGTGACGCCACGAGGCGCAATCGTCGTTCGCATCTTATCAGATATATGATTGATGCGTTCGGCGGTAGCTGCCATTGGTTTGGAATTGCGAAGACGCGGAGGTAATGCTGGCCGCGGCGATTCTTGGATACAGTGAATGAGTTCGTACGGAAGTTTGCCGTAGCCGGTGTGGGACGTTCTGCGGTCGATGAATTGTTGAGAAGCCCCAACATTTCCAGTGCATTCGCTTCTGATCACCCGTTTTGTCGCTTCTCGTGTCCATTTCCTTCATTTAACTGACCACCCCTCCTTCCTCTTCTCTTCCCCTGTTCATAGGACTGTATTTCAAGCTGCACGGCACTCACCGGCCGAATTCGATGAAAAAGACGGTCATCAAGCGGCGCAAGCGCGTCCCGGCAGCCTCCGGGCCCCCTGGTTCACCCACGCAGCAAGATCGCATGACCGACCAGGCGGCAGCGGAGGTCCTGGCGAGCGTTGGCCGTGGGCACAGCGGTACTAGTGTGGGGGCAGGCGGAACCTTGGAGGAGAGCGAGGAGGAGCCTCCTCGGCGCAAGCGCGCGCGTAAGAGTCGTGGGAAGGAGGTGAGAGAGGACGGGATGGAGGTGGACGACGACGAGGGGGACGAGGAAGACTCTAGCAAGACAGCAGTCCCGAAGAGGGGGCGTCGCAGTACGGGCGCTCGCGCTAATCAGCGCCGTACCGACTCGCGTGGTGGTGCGTCTACAGGGATGGGTTGGCAGATGGACACTGGTCCGTCTTCCCCCGAGCACGTCCGCTCCGCGTCCAACCCCCGTGCGCAGGAGCTGGACCGTTATGGCGCGGGCGCACCGCGCGGCAACCCGTTCTCGCCCAATCCACATGGCGGCTTCGACCTCCCCCCTCTGAACGCCGCACTCGGGAACGGCGAGATGCAGGTGCAGATGCCGATGGGGATGTCGCTTGGGATGGGCATGCCCGGCGCGCACTATGGCGGCCCTCCCGGTTACGCGCGCTCTGGCTCGCAGGGCGCGGGCGGGCCTAGCAGGACACATTCCCCCCTCGCGGGCCCGGGCATGGGCGCGCCAGGCGGGGGGTACGTCCTCCCTCCCCCTCACAGCCTCGCGCATGGGCACCATGTGCTGAACCACGGGCACCACGCGCCGCTCCCTCCCCCACCGGGATTCTACAATCCGGCAAACCCGCAGGTGCCGTCGGTGGGCGAGCTGGAGCGGCATTACTTCGAGTTGCAGGAGCAGCGGCGGAAGTACCAGGAGATGATGGAGCGGACGGATTATATGATGGCGGGTGTGAAGCGCGGGCTGGAGGATATGCGCGGGGCGGCGGCGGTCGCGGTGGCGGCGGCGGGGGGTCAGCAGCAGGGCCCACCGCCGACGCAGGTGACAGCACAGCCGCACGTGCAGGGACAGCAAGCGCAAGGTAAGGGTCAGCAACAAGGTCAGCAACAGGGTCAGCAGCAAGGACAGGGACAGGCGGTGCCCATTGGGAGATCGCCGAGTGGTAGCGGGCGGGAGAGCGTGTGGCCGGTCGCGCCTCCCGAGTCTTCGCGGGATTAGGCGCATGGACGGTTACGTTTTCTCTCATCGCTGTGGTTCGGCGTGAACAGAAGAGTCTGTATACGTTGTGTTATGCTTGATGTTCCCCCCTCTGCTCCCGTTCGGTTTGACGTGGGTGTTATTTAGTGTGTACCTTAGGTGTATTCTGGCGGTGCGGCGACCCGAAAAGGACGTTGCTCTGGATAGTTTTATGTTAGTTTTTATCCGCCTCGTAGTGCCTTTTTTCTTACTTCGGCTGTGTATGTTCCACCTCTCCGAATTCATTCCAGCTCTAATACTTAAGTCTGCGTGGTAACTGGTATGAAGGGAGATCCCGAGAGTTGATAAGATAAGATCAAATTTCGCCGTGGGTCCATTTCCACATGAACGCGATTTCACATGCGTCACAATCAGCTGGGGCAAGGGCTCTGTGTCCTGCTTGATTGCAGCTTCCATCTCTTCGCCATCATCCTCCAGCTCGAGCTCACCATGCTCCCCGACGAGGACGAGTCTGTGCGCATCGCTATCCGCGCCCTCGGCGATATGCGCAACAGCGCGCCCGCCGCCGTCCCCTCCTCCGCCTCCCCGTCCACCTGTGCGTCCGCTCCCGCTCCGCGTCCGAGCTGGTAGAAAGACTGACACTCGCCCGTTAACACTGCGCACAGCATTCCAGCCCACCCCCGCACTCTCGATCTCTTCGGGCACGTCGTCCCCCTCGCTGTCGTCCCCGTCACTCCTGGGCGACGACCCGCCCCGCACGGACGATGCGGACTTTGTCTCGCGCGTCTCCAGTATCCCGCTCGTCAACAGCGCGCTGCGCGCGTACGAGCAGGGCAAGGCGAGCTCGCGCGTCGTCAAGGTGTGTCTGTCTGTGTCCGCTTTCGAGGTGCGGTGCTCATGCGTGGATGGCGGCAGTACGGCGCGGAGATGATGGAGTCGAGCGTCAAGACGATCTCGCGCCCTGTTATTGATCGGCTGCCTGTGAACCAGCTTGATGAATTTGCGAGGAGACAGCTCGATCGGGTGCGTGTCTGTTTTACTGTTTGTCGGGTACCGTGTGTGTTGTGGTGGACTTCGGAAGGGGGCTTGCGTCTGTCGATTTCGCTGCAGCAGCTGCAGTGTCCTAGGCGGAAAGTCCTGATAGAAATGTGTTCGATATTTGTTTCTTGCATCTTTTGGTTTTCTGGCAGTAGGTATTCTGGCTCAGGGTCATCCACCGAATTGCCAAATGGACCTCGCTGGTGTGTGTGCCCTCTGCCGTTTTATATAGAGTTCTCTGTTTGCCGAGCTCTGTACAAAATAGCAGGGAATGGGGATCTCCCGCGGTGACGAACATACTTCGTATCACGTCTTCCGGATACCCCTACCCCGCAAGGGAAGGTCTGGGACCGTGAATGTTTGGAAGGACTCTCGAAGAGTATTCCTGAGTCATAACATGAAAATTGTGAACTAGAAGCATTCCTTCTTGAAGAGTTCGGTACTTTGCCACTAGAGATTTCAGTACTTTCGGACTGATAATTTCTGTCTGCGTCCGTGGATGCTATCTCTCCAATCAATGCGCTAATCGCAAGGCTCTTTATTCACTGGAAGCAAATGCTACTCAATTGTGTATGCAGGGGAAGATCCGGTTATGTGCTGCCTGAGTTCCTCGAACTTATCATTTGTAATAGCAGTCGATCTGTGCATTGTACTGAAACCGTTTCATCCAGATTGAGAGTTACACACGACGTACGCCTAGCCAAGATCGCGACAGAGGTCGTGAACGTGGGCGTAGCAGAACTACCACCGATTACGAACAATCACGAGTGACTGACGAAGACAACTGGAGCACCAGGGACGTGTCCATGACGCGAAGGGCACAGGACGAAAAGGCGTGGGACGGTACGCGAAATTAACCCTCCTTGATTTGCGTCCCGATTTTTGATAACGTACAGTTCACTCCCCATCTATGTCTGCAGAACCATCTAGTCGCGCGTCGACCCCCCGCTCGCAACCATTATCTTCGCCCTATGCTCACCGATCCTCACACCTCGAGGGGTCGTCCTCACAGCAGCAGACGCAATATTCATCATCAGCAACACCTGAAAACCAAGAAGTGGCACGACGCAGTCGATGGCAGGCCATGCTTCTCGAGGCCGGTGGTATTGGCGCCGCTGTTAGCGAGGAGAGCATGCGGCGCCTTCGTTATTGTCTGCAGTGGCTTCAGGTACGGCGTCGTTATACCAGCAAAGATGTGCTCATATCTGCTCTCCACAGTATGCAACTACGCATATCGATACTCAGATTCTTGTCCTCCGCAATTTCATCGCCTCTCTCCAACCATTATCTTCTTCCAGCAGCTCTCATGCGGTCTCATCGTATCACCTTCGCACTCTACATGCAGCCAAGCGTGATGTCGTCGAGACGCTACGTCAAGTTGTGGACGTCGTGAGCCGCTACGCGGGCAGCGCGCTCCCCGAGCCCGCTCGTGCACGCGTGCGGTCTTTCATTCTGCACCTCCCGCGGCGTTGGGCGCATGCTACCGGTACCGATGGAGCGGGGCCTTCCTCGGCGTCAGGTAGTGCCTCGGGCGTCGACACGCGTACTGGCGGCGGTGTGGATAGGGGCGAGCGGCGAACGAACGCTGGCTCCGCCCCATACAGCTATGGCCCTGGTGAGGCCGGACCGTCCCAAAGATCCCGCCCATCGTCACGTGCGACGTCGCCGTCCAGGTCGAAGGGGCATCCCAGGCAGGGAAGCAGCAGAGCTGCCCAGGACAGCCTGAGTGTGAACAATGCGGTCCCCACAACGGCAGATACCGCAACGCAGGCTGCCCAGCGGATTTTGACCCTGGCGACGGAGAGTTTGGATATGCTCCGTGGGGTCACCGCAGTATGTAAGGAGAGCTTGGACAGAGCTGATGCGTACGTCTATTTATTCTTTGTGGAAGAACATGTGTTGACAACGTCCATAGGTGGGTCGAGCGCCTCCGTGTCGTTGGTCTGCAGCGCCAACAAAATCCCGAGGCAGGCGAGAACGACGCCATGCTGGACTTCCGCGAGCCGCCGCTTCCACCGCTCTCTCATCTCTCGCCACCATTCGCATTCTCTCCGGCTGGTTCGTCGCAGTACTCCCCGACTGCGCCGTGCTCGCCACTCTCTACGACGAGCTCGGGGCACGCGACGCCGCTGTTCCCGCCCCCACACATGCGGCGGAATTTGAGCTCGGGCTCAGGTTTCGCCAGTCCGTCGGCGAGCTTCTATTCTGTCGATGGCCCGTCGTCCACGTCGTTCGACGCCCTGACGCTGTCGTCGCCGACCGTGTCCACGTCCGGGGCGAGCTCGCGGTACACGACGCCAAGGAGCGTGCTCATGGGCTTACCGGCTGATGGCGATAGTGGCGGAAGTCTCCTCGGTGCTGGCAGTTTCCGGGGCGAAAAGCGGGGCGCGGAAGAGGACGACATGGACGGTCCGACGGTGGCTGCGGCTGCTGCACTGGCCGGGATGGCGGGTGCGGCGAAGAGGGCGAAGCAAAATCGGGGGAGGGATGACGGGATGCTGTACATGCATGGCCGGCGGAGTAGTGGGGATGATGGTAGCGTGCAGATGGACGTGGACGGGTGATGTGCGAGCGGTGTCGATCTTGGTGCTGGGTATCTGAGATGACTCTTGATTGCTTTGATGCATGCTGTGGGATGCATATGCCTGTGGGGCATTCTGGGACTTTTTGTCTGTCTGTTTGCATGTGGACTGGTATGTGCGTATACGAGCTGGTGGTGTACGATATTCACTCCCCCCAAAACGCGTATACTTACGTGTATTTAGGATGACTTGTAGGATCACGGTTACGGTGGTATTTACTGACCCTTCTTGTATGCGTCGAGGAGTTCTGCCAAAATGTAGAATACCTTCCGTTATATATTTGCGTATTGCTGTAGCAGGTAGATGGCAGGTAGATTGCTCAAGCTTCAAGCTTCAGCGCTTCAAGTCGTTTCGGTGGGAAGAACGTCGCATGCCCATTCTGGACTGTTGTGCTGCCGCCCGGCACCCGCCGAGTTTCCCTCGCGTATCTGAATGCAGCCTGCTCGGTGTAGATATTCGTCACTTCTGACTCGCCTGCTTTAAGTTGGTCGTTACCTTATCTTTGATGCGTGCCTTTAACCGGTCGTTCTACACGATTCTGCGCCTACACTGAACAATCCATCTTGCACCCATCCTTGCCGTGGCAGTGCGCCCTTTCTACGCTATGTTCACTGTCTGTTTAGGCGACTATCCAGAGGGCTTGTTTTGCATGCACGACGCGTCAATGACTGTCAATTATTTATTCGACGGCCGTGGATGCGGTGCAGTTTGTTATTTTCTGTTGTATTCTCATCGTTCCTTTCTGCCCAGGGTATAGCACCGATTATTTCCATATTCGATTTTTCATAATTTCGCGAAGAGCATTTTGTACGTGCCAAAAATATAAGGTGCTTTGACCAGGGTCGCGCTTCCAGAAAAAACGATGTTGTTCCCTCAACAAGCACAGTATCAGTAGAATCCACTTCGTCGCATGTTCCTCAGTGACCATACTGACATTGACGAGGTCTTCATATAGATACAGCCTGGGGGCCCAATGCGCGGTCTGGCCTAGCAACTCTGCGATTTCCGCCCAACTTTCGGTCAATCATTGGCGGCAGCATTCGCACAGAATGCCTCTATCCTGGCCGTTTCTGCTGCCAGCGATAAGAGAGAGTCTTCTCACTCAGTTTGGCACTCTACCTATTCGAAGAGTCTGTTGCAATGACCGATATCAGCACGTTGTGCAACGTGGAATGTTTCTTAGCTCTTCTGAGGGCGTAGCCTTGACTTCCTTGAGCTTGAGTTCCACCGGCTAATGCTGAAATAACCCATGTTTAGTATTCAATTGCAGGATTGGTAGCGCTGTTGAAGCCAGCTTGTCATTCAAACTCGTGCTATTAGCGCACCCGGTCTTCCATCCTGGCATTGATGATGGCTTATGGACGACATTGGTAAGCAACTTATCTAATTTTACGGTGCGTTAAGTGTTCGTGTATAGCAGACGCGCATCTTATTCACGCCTATGTATCCACCATCCCTCTATTGAGCACCTTCTGTACCAACTCTGTCCACAGGACACCGCTTCGATGAACCTAAGGTGATCTGCGCAGGTTTGCCGAATTTGAAAGTTTACGTTTTCGTGCATTCTGTGGCGGTATCGATAATACACTAGAGCCTATCTGAGTAGAGGTGGGAGAGGAAGGATCAGGTATAAACGAGAGCGCAGGCTCCCCCTTTCACCAAGGCAGTTGTCTTCTCACATCTCCAGTGATTTCAGTCTATCCCCAGCACCCTTACAATGACCTCCAAGCAGTTCACCCTCTACACTCATAAGACTGGTACGAACGGCTGGTGAGTGACTTCGTCATTCGGTCCTCTCCGGGGAAGCTGACCGCGTACAAAGGAAGGTCGCGATCGTCCTCGTTGAGCTTGGCCTCAGCTTCGACAGCATCTACCTCGACTTCACAGAAGTCAAGCAGGTGGCGCACACTAAGTTCAATCCCAACGGTCGCATCCCTACTCTCATTGATCATTCGAACAACGACTTCGTCGTCTGGTAGTTATCTGCATCAGACCATTCCAATGCCGTCCGCTAAAGCTTTTCGCTCGCGGGCGCGTTTCAGGGAATCCAACGCAATCCTCATATACTTAGTTGAGAAGTACGACAAGGAGCACAAGATCTCAGCGAGCAGTCTTGAGGACAAGGCCACTCAGCTGCAGTGGCTATTCTTCCAGGCCAGCGGACAGGGGTGGGTCGTGGCTGCTATAACATTGTGATTCGCCTCTAGAGCTCGTTGCTTGAACTGTAGCGCGTACTTTGGTCAGGCAGCGTGGTTCAGGAACTACCATCACGAGAAGATTCCCAGCGCCCTCGAGCGCTACCTGAGGGAGACCATTCGCTTGACTACCGTCCCCGAGAGCGTCCTCTCCAAGCAGGCGTGGCTCATCTGCGATAAGCTCACGATCGCGGACCTCTCGTTCATTCCGTGAGTTCGCGCCTTACCGAGGTGCCGCGTACAGGCTGACCAGTCGTTGCTCCATCTACAGGTGGAACAGGTACGCGTTCGACCACATGATCGAGGGTTTCGAAGGCTTCAACCTGGAGAAGGACTGCCCTGCAGTTGCTGCGTATGTTCCCTCGTTATCGCTGTGCTTCAAGTCAACGAGTCGTTGATAGTTTTATATGTTTTCCCCAGTTGGCATGCGAAGCTCATGGCTAGACCTGCTGTTGCGGAGCAGTTCGCTCTGAAGGACGCTTTGGCGCCGAAGTAGAAGTACTGCGTGCTGGATTATTGGGAAAAGCGAGAGGAATTATGTGTTGACTACGAAAATGTCGATTGCATCGCCGCGTTGTTGGGACGGAGAATCTCCCTTAGATATGTGTACGACCGTGATTTTTCTAGATGCCATCGCCAGTAAGTCAATCCACGTGAGCTAGTACGATCAAACAAGCCAGAGACTCAGAAATATGAAAGATGGCGGGTTGTACGCAGTATCGTAAGGTGGTTCATTGACGTCAGGAAATGAGGATCGCGGTGGTCAATTCCAGTCTGACGTTGATCGATCTCTGTCTCATCTTTGCCAGCGCCGCGGCGTACTACACGACTGGCATGTATCATCTACTCAGTGATCCCAACAATCCTGTGGTCTCTTGCTGTTCAGATTTGCACCTGCGTCCACGTTGGCTAGGCGGCGATAAAGTCCTAACTTGTCCAATCCTACGCTAGCGCTACTACCGACGGGCGACAGTCATTTGCGGTGGGCCGTCTCAAGCAGCTTAACCTTCCCCGCGAGGAGATTGTTGTGATGACGAAGGTCGGTGTAAATATTCATAGCTTTGACGTCGAGCTGTGTACAAGCTGCCGATTCTGAATAGCTCTTCATGCCCATGACACCCGGTAAATGGGGCACCAACATCTTCAGTTCTGAACAGAGCGCGGACGAAATCGGCCTAGTCAACCAACACGGACTCAGCCGCAAGGTATTCATATTGATGTTATAACCGGTATTCTGACAGTGAGATTTTGCTGCAGCATATTTTCGATGTGGTTAAGGCTAGCTTGGAACGTCTGTGGCTCGACTACATTGACCTCCGTCAATGTTGGCATTGTGTCTCATTATCTGCTAATGGGACATCTTTACCGAACATTGGGATACAGGCCATCGGTTCGACTACGAAACTCCCATCGAGGAGACGGTGAGTATTGTATGACATTGCAATGATGCGGGACCTATATTCTGCCCCTCAGATGCAAGCATTACACGACGTTGTCAAAGCCGGGTACGTGCGCTACATCGGCATGAGTTCTTGCCACGCCTGTCAATGTACTTGTGACCATGAATTTGGTGGACTTATCCTCTCACCCTCCTTCCTCAATCCACGCTGTGCAAAGTAAGTCAGAGAGCGCCACCCCGATGTCTTTGATAGCTAACAGAGATTTTGCCAGCCTACACTTTCCGATCGTAGAGGTGAAGCGCTTATACATCCACTTGGATCCTCTTCGTCGTCCGTTGTATTCGGCAGCCAGACTCTGTTGGGAACGCATCTCGGTGAGCAATGCACTCGCCTGTCTCGTTTGCCCGGTACCTGAAGAGCTAGAGATACAGCGTGGACTCGGTTCTCAGTTTTCACTCTATCTGTGCTTTGGCAGGCGATGTCTACCAGTGACGGTTTCAGTGAGACCGATTACAGCCTTAATACTCAGCTACTCAGCGAAGTGCATCTGAAGCGCAATCTTAGCGTTGATGGCAACTTGTTTGACGCGTTCGCGCGGCTGTGCGTAACGTGTTCACAATATTCTTCTCTTGATACAGCAGCGTTTCTGGGGGAAAGTCTCAAGACTGAATATGTTCTTTCCCACGTTCCCCTCTATCCGTCTTAGTGCGTTTCGTGCCATGAGACGGCCCCTGTAATCTATGACATCGTCTCTTTCTTTGATTCACAGCCCGACTCTGTCAGCGCCAGGCGGCAACTCGGAAACTGCTGCATACTTCTCAAGCTGTTTCTCCAAATATTTTACCGTCCCCTCGTTCCGGAAGAATGGTAGACTCTGGCATTAGCAGGTGTGGAAACACCTACGATGGCCTCAACGATACGTCTGGGCACAGGCATTTGAGGAATGGTCATCACTTAAACTTCCTTAAACTGGATTGTCGCCAGTGAAGAATCTACTCTTGGCTACCTGGCCATGCAGAACTTACCGTCTTCTGCCGGATCGGCTGCCAAACTTACAGCTTCTCGCCTCTGATGGGTCTGTCAGTTGACGACATGCACTAATGACAGATACAACCTTCATGAAGAGTCTACTTATGAACTGGATTTTGTTCACGCTTAGTGTCTGACGCAATAGAACCTGTTGTCCGGATATGTCTCTGGTGGATGCGGACGCGGCCGAGGACATTTGTGAGTACTACGACCCAGTGGATACGATGCCGACCGATGCGGACAACTGCGTCCTGTTACGCGAATAGCTGGGGGATTCTTGAAAAACCAGTGAATCCTCCGAAGTTCGTGCTGACAACTGTGTTGTTGGATTTCGCTCAAGTGATACCCTATCTACAGGGCAATTATCTGTCACGGCTGCGGTTCCTATACAGAATAATATATCTGGTCTTGGCGGTCTAGTAACTGCTGCCGTGTCGGGCGACCTCTCTATCTGTGCCTGTCCGTTTCTGTCTACGTGTTGCTAAAGTATCGGAAACTTGTTCATTTACTGTTGAACTCTGTCCACACGACGGTGGATGTAATTTTGTCGCGGTGAGTCTCCTTGGATATTCTGTCGCTGAGTGTGGCTGTTCCGCGTGTGGTCTTATTCCTCATTTCATGCGCCCTTGCCATGAGACTTCTAGCGGATGCCATATCTGCGGTTGCGACCGGCCGATCAGACTTAGTCCGTCTATGGCACAAGGACTCAAGCTCAAGAGTCGTGTTCAGTTGACGCCGATGTCCAGACGGGTCATGGGCGGTCGGCGTGTTCGGCGTGTCGCTGCTGGTCCACGAATACTGAATCTACGGGCATGTTCGCCAGACTCGTACGGACAATGCATGTTAGGCTCACTGTGTAGCGTCCTCGGTGCGGGGCGTCGTATGTTTGAATTGCGCTGTGGCATGATTCGCGTTTCAAGCTGATCTTCTAGCGGTTGACTCGTGAGAACGGTGCGTTCGGAGCCTGATTCGGAGAAGAATCCGGCATAATAAAGTTCGAACATGGGGCATTCTCGCACTGTATCTTGCTCTCAACTACCTCCCTCTACGCTTTCCTGCCCCTCTCTACATTTCAGATTCTGTATTAAACATGTCTTCTTGGGGAGGTAAATTGTTCGTCACTTGTTGAGTAGTATTCCGACAACTAATGCACCCAACCTCGTTCAGATACAGCATTTGGGACATATACACGTCCCGTGTCTCTGCTCTTTGGCATGGAGGTCTCACCTCTTGTTTCTCGGCTCACGTCATCGATAGAAGCTATGGTGGTGGATGACAGGGCCGTTGCAGCGGTCGAAGCCCCTTCGATCCCGGTGTTCGCTGGCGTCGGTGATGGATCGACTCCTGGAGACTGGGACGTTCGAGGTAAGTCACCCGAATATGGTGTCGTTAACGGTGGTGGTTCAGCTTGCTCACTAGGTTTTACAGACTTGACTCCGATCGACGTGGGCGGCGAGACGGCGCTGGCGGCCCCGGACATCGACGAGAATTTTGTGTGGCCAACCTCACGTAGGAAATTCTCGTTCATCGCTAGTATTGTTCTGATAGTCCTTCCATCATATAGCACGCCAGCTGGTGTCTTTGCCGGACGTATCATCAGATGTTCAGTACGGTATGCACCAATCACCTCCGGGCTTCTTCTACTTTATTGTTGATATTTCATCCGTAGGTGTCGGGTGCAATGAGCTCCCACCCATTGATATCTGTCTGGTAGGTTTTGCTGAGCCTACCAAGGATCTCAATGCTGTGCCAGAGACCTCTAGTATCTCACAAAACATACTTGCCCATAGCAGAATGCTACTCACCTGTCTTCCTCTCTGATTGGTGACATGCTAGGTGTTTCATTTTTCTGATGCATATCATTGGTGTCTGGTATATTGCTCTGTGAAATACATTGAAGTTGTACCAGTTGTCACATTGTTGTATGAGCATCAATTTTAAGCTATCTACTTCACTCAAAATTGTCAAGAGGTAATAAGAGTGTTTGAGATCCTACTGCACAGCACAAGCATGCATCCAGTTTGCTATGAGCACGTAGGTATTCACACAATACATACTTGCCCATAACGAACTAGCTTATGGAAATGGCTGGACTATGCGAAGCAGTAGATGTAAAATGATAACACTGATTGTACCAGTCGGAAGAGTAGAGATGATACACACCACACGTCCGCACCTCGCATATGTGGATCGTCGATTGATCAGACTATCATCCATCACGGAGTACGCGCCTCATCCACCTACGCGGAGATGCAGTAGTCGAGCGTTCTGCTGGGATAAGAGATAGGATGTACATACATCTCAGCCGCAATCCTCTAAGGTCCACGTCCACGATCGCAGAGCGATGTTTTTCCATCAGCTGGAAGATATCGACGTGAACGGAACGATTCGCAGCCAGCCGATCCTTGCAAGCTCGTATGTTCAACCAAGCGAGAGACTCAGAAGTGTGAAAGAAAGGAGATCCTGGTCATCGCGCGGTGATCTGCCGTACGAGACGTGACAACGGTTGGACGACGAGGATGTGGGAGTCCATATAGTAAGTTACGAGCCTGCCGCCAAGTCGGAGCCGGGCTTCCGTCTCTCACGGAATGGAAATCTTAGGAAAATCATATGAATATTTTCACTGCGTTGCATATGCCATATGCACATGCATGCATGCGTATCGTCTACTCAATGATGCCAACCTTCCTGTTAGCATTTTGTCCGAACCTGCGTCCACGTTGGTTGAGCGGCGACTAAGTTCCAACGTGTGATCCAGTTAGTCTCCCAAAGGCAGTTGTAGCCACTCTGCTTCAACCTTCGTGCCTCGGATATCCGTGTCTGAGATCCAGTCACTGATCTGCGGGCGTAGCGACAACCATTATGTCGAACAACGGTGCTCATTCGAGACCAAGTTCACCACGATATCCGGCTGCAATGCCACCCCGAGGTCCATCATCTCACTAAGACGGCGCATGCGCTCAGCCTGAACCGGACAGGAAGAAAGACCGGGACGTACGGCGTTGTGAGCCTCGGCACCCGTACAGGCGTCCACGTCGTCCGCATCGTACACCTCTTCAGCGTCCTCCTCGTGGAACGCGACACGTTTGTTTTCCCTCGCAGGACTGGAAGCCTCGGCTTTGCGGGGATATGTAGGACTGCTACGGAGTGCGGTGTTTGGATCCGGGGACGACGATCACTTCCGCTTGAGACAGCTTTTCTTCATATTGTTCGGCAACAATGGGGATAGGAGCCTGCGAGTTTTGCCACGTAGCTGCAAGCTGCATATATAGCGAGTAACCAATCCATTCGGGACCGCCGCAAGAAAGCTTCCAGGCGGAAAGCCCGGAAACTGCTGCGTACTTCTCAAGCTGTTTCTCCAAATATTTTACCATCTCCTCGTTCCAGAAGAGGTGCTAGACTCTGACATTACCCGCTGTGGAAGCACCTGAGACGGCCTCAACAAAATGTCTAGGCACAGGCAGTTGGTGAATGGCCGTCATGTCTCATTCATAATCTCTTCAAGTTCATGGCCAACTTAAACCAGTTCCTTAAGCTGGATTGTCGCCAGTGAAGAATCTACTCTTGGCTACCTGGACATGCAGAGCTTACCGTCTTCTGCCTGATCGACTGCCAGACTTAAAGCTTCTCGCTTCTGACAGGCCTGTCAATTGACGCCATGTGCTAATGGCAGATACAACCTTCGCGAAGAGTCTACTTATGACTTGGATTCTGCTCACACTTGGCTGATGCAATAGAACCTGTTGTCCGGATATATCTCTGGTGGATGTGGACGCGGTCGAGTGATGTTTGTGAGTACTACAACACAGTCGACACGGTGCTGACCGATGCGGACAAGGGCATCCTGTTACGCGAATAGCTAGGGAACTCTTGAAAGACCAGTGAATCCTCCGAAGTCCGTGCCGACAACTGTGTTGTTGGACTCTGCTCAAGTGGTACACCATCTATAGGACAATTATCTGACACCTCTGCAGTTCCTATACCTAACAATATATCTGGTCTTAGCGGTCTAGTAACTGCTGCCGTGTCGGGCGACCTCTCTGTCCGAGCCTGTCCTTTTCTGTCTGCGTGTTGCTGAAGTTTCGGAAACTTGTTCATTTACTGTTGAACTCTGTCGCTGCGTCCACGACGGTGCATGTAATGGCTGTTCCGCGTGTGGTTTTATTCCTCGTTTCATGCGCCCTTGCCATGAGACTTCTAGCCGATGCCATATCTGCGGTTGCGACCGGCCGATTTTACTTAGTCCATGTATGGCACAAGGACTCAAGAGTCGTGTTCGGTTGACGCCGATGTCCAGATGAGTGGTCGGCGTGTTCGGCGTGTCGCTGCTGGTCTACGAATACTGACACTACGGGCATGTTGGACAGACTCGTACGGACAAAACATGTTACGCTCGCTGTGTAGTGTCCTTGGCGCGGGGCGTCGTATGTTTGAATTGCGCTGTGGCATGATTCGCGTTTCAAGCTGATCTTCTAGCGGTTGGCTCGTGAGAACGGTGCGTTCGGAGCCTGATTCGGAGAAAAATCCGGTAATAAAGTTCGAACATGGGGGATTCTCGCACTGTATCTTGCTCTCAACCTCCTCCCTCTACGCTTTCCTGCCCATCTCTACATTTCTGATTCTGTATTAAACATGTCTTCTTGGGGAGGTAAATTGTTCGTCACTTGTTGAGTAGTATTCCGACAACTAATGCACCCAATCTCGTTCAGATACAGCATTTGGGACATATACACGTCCCGTGTCTCTGCTCTTTGGCATGGAGGTCTCACCTCTGGTTTCCCGGCTCACGTTATCGATGGAAGCTTTGGTAGTGGATGACGAGGTCGTTGCAGCGGTCGAAGCCCCTTCGATTCCGGTGTTCGCTGGCGTCGGTGATGGGTCGACTTCTGGAGACTTGCATGATCGAGGTAAGTCACCCGAATGTGTCGTCAACGGCGATGGTCCAGCTTGCTCAGTTGATTTACAGACTTGACTCCGATCGACGCGGGCGGCGAGACGGCGCTGACAGCCCTCGACGTCGACGATGATTTTGTGTGGCCAACCTCACGTAGGAAATTCTCGACCATCGCTAGTATTATTCTGATAGTCCTTCCATCATATAGCACGCCCAGAGCTGGTGTCTTTGCCGGACGTATCGTCAGATGTTCAGCAGGGTATGCACTAATCACTTCTGGGCTTCTTCTATTTCATCTTTGATATTATACCCGCAGGCGATGACCTCTCGCCAATTGACATCTGTCTGGTGGGTTTCAATGAGCCCATCAATGATGTCAGCACTGTGAAAGAGGCATCTGGCAGCTTTTTGAGTGTATACATACCCATAGTAGAATCCAACTCTATCTTGTGATCCTCTCTGATCAGTGAAGTGCCAGGTGTTTCATTTCTCTGATGTGTATCATTGTAATGTCTGGCATATTGCTCTGTAAATACATTCAAGTTGTGTCACAAGTCCTCAGTTATCATATTGCTGTATGAGTATCAATTTTACAGTATCTACTTCACTCAACATTGTCAAGAGGTAATAAGAGTGTTTGAGATCCTACTGCACAGCACGAGAACACATCTAGGTTGCTATGGGCAGGTAGATGCTTCAAGAGTGTATACCTACCCATAACAAACTAGCTGATGGAAATGGCTGGACTATGCAAAGCAGTAGATGCACAACTATAGCACCAATCATAACAGTTGGAAGTATTCCTGAGTAGAGATGGTACAGTTACGCACTGCACCTCGCATGTGTGATCGGTCAGACAATCATCCCTCCTGGAGTGCGCACCTCTTCCACCTACCGGGACATACAGTAGTCGTTCTGCTGGAATAAGAGGTAGCCTGTAAATACATCGAAGTCTCGATCCTCTCTTATCCACGCCCACGGTCGCAGAGCGACACATTTCCATCCGCTGGAAGGTATCTGCATGCACAAATGAGCCAGCCGATCCATGCAAGCTCGTATGGCTAACCAAGCGAGAGACTCAGAAGTGTGAAGGAACTTATAAAATGATGGAATTTAACTTCATGAATCCTCTGCTACAAGTTTCAAACAGTCTTCCAAGTTTAACAAACTTCACCAGAGAAGGAGAGCCAGGTTGGTGACTTTTTGGCAAATTGAGTCTCACCATCATCAGAATGTCAAGCCATGGCTCGCCATATACCCAGGAAGTCTAAAATGGCGATCGTAGTCATCGTAGGGTTATCCGTTGTGCGCGACGTTGGACGAGGAGGATGCGGAGTCCATCATGGACTCGGAGGAAGTTGCGAGCCTGTCGAGTCGGAGCCAGGCTTCCGTCTCTCACGGAACGGAAATCTTAGGAAATTCATATGAATATTTTCACTTCGTTGCATACACCATATGCATACATGCATGCGTGCGTGCGTATCGTCTACCCAGTGACCTGCCAGCATCTTGTTCAAACCTGCATCTGCGTCCACGTTGGGGCGAGTCGCGACAAAGTCCCAACTTGTGATCCACTCAATCCGAGGGTGGGGCGACCACCATTAATATTCTCTTGCCTGCAGCTGGGCTAGTTTTCAGTGGTGCTCATCCCTCGCCGGGGTTATGTTGCACCATCGCTTTTGGGAGATCGTGGAAGACATCAGGCTCTCGTCGCTGGAGTCACATTCCGTCCTTGCACGCATCCGTTCGTTTGACCGGCGTCGTTCTTCCCAAGTACCTCCATTGGCGCGGTGCAGCAAACGGTTACGCTTGTATTTATCTACGGCTAATATCTGCAGAAAATCCGTGTCAGGACTCATATGAGGTGATCATGTTCGTCCACGAACTAGAATTAATAATAATATGAGCGTTTGCGCATTTCATCCTATTACGTGGCGACAGCCGTGCCTCCGATGCAGGAGATGGACAGAAGCACGGTATCGTGGACACTCTGTTGTTCTTGGCGAGCAGGAGGTGAAGGAGTCTGGATAATCGCGTAAGTTTCGTCGCATTTAAGCAAGCACTTCGGCCCATGCCAGACGAGACTTCACGACATCCCATTTGCATTCCACTCTCAGACACAGAAAATATGACAGTGTACTATACACTCCTAGATGAATGGCCTGGAGTTGAGAAAGTTTAGCACATTTATTGATTTGAAGAGCGAGGGAGGGCCTTAAGACGACTCTTTGCGATCCTTCTTTTCCATTGTTATTTTCGCCTGACTCTATTGCAATCTAGCCCCGAATATCTCTCTGTCACCGGGTTTGAGCCCTAATAGAGAGTTAAGCAAAAAAAACTGAGAACGTTCAGATAATTTCAAGGCAACGTAGCTTCCCAGTTTGAGTCATCCAGACGACTCGTGCTGCAGAGAGGCTCAACGGAGAAGAGTCAGTGTAGCTGGAAGGTCAACATCAATCGAGATCTACTGAAGAGCGATCTCGCTCATCCGCCGGCTAGACGACGGCAAGCGTGGACAAAAAAGATAGCTTACAACCTGGGAGATGCACAGACGAAAAAAGACGCAACATGAATTATGCCAACAAGGTGAAAAAAACTCATCGGTCTACAGATCGCTCGGAATTACGACCGTAAGACTCTCGCGACTTCCCTCAACGACGTGGCTTCCTCCTTGAACAACGGCGCTCACTCGAGACCAACTTCACCACGATATACGGCTGCAATGCTACACCGAGGTCCATCATCTCGATGATATCACTAACACGGGGAATACACTCAGCCTGGATCGGATAGGGAGAAAGACCGGGACGTACAGCGTCGTGAGTCTCGGCATCCGTATAGGCGTGCGGTCCACGTCGTCCGCATCGTACACCTCCTCAGCGCCCTCGCGGAACGTGACACGTTTGTTTTCCCTCGCAGGACTGGAAGCCTCGGCTTTGCGGCGATATGTAGGACTACTGCGGAGTGCGATGTCTGGGTTCGGGGACGACGATCGCTTCTGCTTGAGACAGCTTTTCTTCATATTGTTCGGCGACAATGGGGGTTAGGAGCCAGCGACTTTTACCACGTAGCCTATATAGCGAGTAGCCAATCCATTCAGGACCCGCCGCAAGAAAGCTTCCGGGCGGAAAAGGGGCGGACGCAGATCAAATTGTGATGCCTCCGTCGGGATGATGTGTGGACAAGTCCCCCTGAAGCAATTCATTCAGCAAATAGCTGTATCACGCACCAGCAAGTTGGTGGTTGCTTGCAGGAAAAACATAGCACGTTCGCTGGAGGATTGTGGTTACGCTCATCGAAGTATGTGATTTCGCAGTGAGCGTGAGTAGGCGTGAGTCGGTGGCCGCAAACCACATGCAAGATGCTCCCACCTTCGTCACTCTTCCACCTCCACCAACGAACAGGGAGATCGCGGGACAGGGACATCACCTGGCAGGCAGACCTGTGCACCCTTCGCTATCTTGTATCTACCTCACCGTACGATGAAGAGATCAGCTTGGGTGCGTCAGCTGAATCGAACATCAGCGATCATCGTCTACGACGTGGCAGAGGTTCGCGCTCTGCTGTCATCGACTTGTTGTCCTGGGCTCAGACTCATGCTCAGCACGTAGAACCGTTGCTAGTATATATACTACGTCAGCCCATGACTGCTCCTTCAGCTGCTTAATTAATCTCCCCTGTCTGCGACAGACAAGGGCGGTACATTAACCAACTGCAGGAAGAGGGATCGGAGCCCCCATCGGACTCAGCATCATCTTGATCCCTCTTGCCAGTGTCTCTCCGCTGAACAAAGTACAGTATTCGCGTTTTCGCAGTGGTCAGCGCGGAACACGATTCGCTCCGGCATCGCCCAAATTTCAGGACCAGCAACTTGAAGTGGCAAGGTCAGCGCCCCATCCCAACGCTCCATCGCGCCGCTGGAGAGGGAGCCCCGCGACGACGCCACCTGCATCCGACCATCGTCGGACATTATGCATCAATATTAGAGACTGACAGAGACTGACACAGAACATACTCGTACAGTGACAAAGCCACACGACCGACTTTCACAGAGATCGATACGGGGATGAGGAACCTTCGTTCCGCGCCATGAGGAACCTTCGTTCCGCGCCATGTTCGACAATATCGTTGACGAGCTCCAGGCATTATTGGCCTTCCAAACAGAGGAAGGAAAAACCGAAAGTTCCATGCAGGTCTATATCTGGCTGTGCAAAATTGCACAGCCGTTCCTAGTACGCTCTCGATTCCTGAAGCAGCTTTGTGACGATACAACCTTCTGGCACTGGGAGCGCAGGATGAGGGCGTATAGGTTGAAGCGGTGTTTGGACCAAGTCTGCCAATACGTCGGTGGCATCACACTGCTCATGCAGCAGGCCAATCGAATGTTCCCGGATGGAAAGACTCCTTGTCGCTGGATGAAGGACAGCTTCGTAGGCTCCGGAGAGGGACAGTTCAGTATCTCTAATGACTATTTGGAGGTGCTGCCGCCCTGCTGCGGCATGGATTTCAGTTGGAGAGTACTCTATCTGATGCTACCGTGCGCGCCCTCGCAGAATGGTTCCCTGACATGCACAGCAATTGGGAACATCTGCGCATCATCAACACTTGTATCCATGCTGAACTACGGATTATCCTCCACTTCCGAGCCAGTACACAGTCATCGCCATCTACAGCTGCATCTCATCACACCATCAGATGCTTGTCGCAGTAGGCTATTGGGAGCAGCAGATGGAGCTGCCTATGCTGCGCCATGTGGATGGATGCATACAACAAAGAATTTGGAACGACTTAGTTGACAAGTGGATCCAATGGCAGACCAGACGCAACACGGGCGCTACCGGGTTTTTCGTGGGCAAGTGGCTGTGTAAGAGAAGGGAAGAATATTGCAGTCAATGCGGACGTCCTCCAAGAAGTTTCGGCTTGCCTGACGGAGAGATTATCAGAGCTTTTGTCCAGGTCAGAGACCGGGCTCGGCTTCGGACGAAGGTTCTGATTCTGGCTGGCTTTCGGATACTGTGCATCGTAAGGTGCTCAGGGTTGCCCGGCACCCTTCCACTGCTTGAATTCACTGCGTAGTGCGTCCTCGCTTTCTGCTCGAACTGTTGTATCTTATCACTGTATATTCACCGTCCGAGTCATTCGAGAGAGTGGGAAGCTCCCTCTGCCATCCATCCATCCATCCGTCCATCCGTCCATCCATCTGTCGATCCAATCATTGTAGTATACTGTATGTAATCAGAAGAAGCGTTAGATGTCCATCCAAGCATTCGCGCGCCCACCGTGTTCAACATTCATGATCTATCTTGCCAATCTAGGTGACTTTGTCGGCCTGCATCTCCTGAGTTCTTTCAGTCGAACTGCCATGTTGCTCACATACGTCCCGGAAAACATATCTCAACCCATCCGTAAAATCACGTCATGCAAATGCACGAAACGCAAAAATGAAGGTTGTACAGAATATTGTAGGCCAAGAATACCCACCTGCGACAAGAATAATCAATCCAATGCATATGTAAAACGGTTTGGCGTGGTATTATATTGAAAGTCAGCGGCATGTAAGTTGGGACTAGCGCTCGAGGGGTTGGCGTCGATCGGACGCGAGGTTCGCAACTTTAAATATCATTGACACAGAACTGGTGCCCAGTCTCTTCAATATTCCCAATTGTCACTTTCTCAGGTTCTTTGCTAGGTCATACGCATACCGTCGCATCACAATGAGGCTGGCCTCAACCTGTGACGCTGGCAGTTGGTATGATTTACATAGCTTCATTGTTCTGGGCAGGATGGGCCTGTTTTAAACATAAATGATTCTACTGTCCACGCCTCGTCAGCCTATCAGCGCTCAGCGCTCTTGCATTGCCTCACTGCGGTCAAAGCACCTGTGAACTCCTACTCAAACAAGATTCAGGACCACAACAGTGTCCGTGATGTATAACAAGTCACCTACCTATGTATAGACTTGGCTGCATCTGTCCCCCTGTACTATCGTGTCCGGTCCTGGCAGCATGGGACAAATCTCACTCGTCTCCGCCAGTCTTGCTTCGGTGTCCATCTCAGCCTTCCTCTATGGTGTCTTCCTCGTATTGTTTTGCACATCCACATACCTCATGGCGCAACGCGAACGTCAGGCCCGTGCCAGCTCTTCCCGCTCCTTGACTATCTGGAAGAAACCGTTATTTATTGGAGGAATTGCATACTTCATTACTATCACCGCGGTATTTGCATTTTTCTCGAGATGAAGGCGGAGGAAACATGACTCATATTCTCCCTGCGGGATAGAATTGGATCCTGATTGTGTATCGTTCATTTTCAGCCTTTATTTATTATAAGGATGGTACAGCTCCGAAGGAGTACTACAGTCTTATGGTGGTACCCAACGTTATCAAGATCGCTTTTTGGCTTTCGTCACTAGCAGTTGGGGACACTATGCTGGTAAGCGTCTATTCCATTTGCTTTCTTCAGAGCCAAAGCTCGGGCTCAGAATGAAACTTCCTGCAGTTATACCGTCTTTGGATGACCTGGAGTCGTAACGTGTATGTTATCATTTTTCCGTTGTGCACCTTCATCGCCTCAATCGGTAAGTCGGTTTTCGGATTCCCATATAGCCGGATTTTTTAATGCCGGCGCGCAGTATGCTGCGTGGTTGTTGTATACACAGAAGCGCACCAGGTAGGCCAAACAACGTTCGACACTGCACATATCGACCCATGGCTAGACAGCACCTGGAGTCTAACTATGTGGTATGTGTCTACCCTTGTTCTGTGCTCTCCGCTTGACAATGCATTAATTTGCACTTATATGAACTAATAATACACAGCACGAATTTATCTTGCTGTGGTAAGACATCTAGAAGTCTCTGATAGTTTTGACATGCTGTTGTTCCACTTAGTGTTGATCATATGGCGACTATGGCGCGTTCATTCACAAGTGATGTCACTTGTTGAACAGTCTGAGAAGCGCGGTCTGAAGGCGAGCTGTGAATGTGACATGTACGTTCATGGTCGCTGACGCTTGCCTGCAGTGGTTTCTCTCCGTATTTATTGAGAGCGCGGTCCTCTATGTGTATGCCCTTCTCAGCGTTTTGTGGGCTTGTGTAACTGACCCGCAGTTATCGATGGTCCTATCTAGCTTCTGGACTGTGCTCTTCATAATCTCTTACGAGACATACACCTCCAGAAATAACCTTGCGTTCCTGGTCGAGGACGCATGGGCGCCCGTGTCTGGCATTGCGTTCATGCTCATCAACATCCGTGTTGGCCTGGGCTACGATGCACACTAGTGTCCAGCGATCCTCCACGGATCGACAACGCCTGGACCCTATCTCATTCGCCTCGCTGCCCATCACCAGCACAGGCCACAATGTAGGCTCACTGGACGACGAATTGGAGGTTTCCGACAGCTTGCAGCTGAAGAGGTTTAGGGATGGCTGGGCCAGCACTGCCGGCGTTGCGTCGGCCGGTCTGACTTTAGTTCGTGTGGTGAGCAAATACAAGTAGCTTGCGCTTCAACAGCTCATCGAGGTGTACGCGATACTCAGGCTGAGGCTTGAGGTTTCTGAACTGCGACGCAATTTGTCCCTTGGTACACCAGCGAGTTTTCTGGTATAGTGTATGGATATTACTATCATATTAGCAGTTAGTTTCGACCCCAGTCGTCTTGGTTAGAAGCATCAGCGACACGATGCAGAGAAACGCTTCGACACGCTGCCTATGCAACGCCGATCTTCACCCATCTCGTCGAGCTGGGTACTTTTCCCTCAAAACTTACCCTTCAGGACGTACGCGCCGACGCTGAGATCAGCACGCGCACCAAGACCCACAGAATGTCCGAGCATCAGTCCACACACCGCAGAGTCCACCGTGCAACGAACAACGAAAATAGATCCGAGAAAGCGAGTCTATGTGGCATCTACGCGTGCGCAGGCAGAAATAGAAATATTGTACGTAGGTCCGCGGGCCATGCATGGGCATGAGATATACGTGGGTTAAGGTAGAGAGGGTAGAATACGGCAAGACGGGGAGAGGCGATAATAGTGGGGACGAAGACGGGGATGCGGCGTGGGGTAGGAATAGGGTGAGTCGTACGGACATGGGAGAGGTATGTGAGGTATGGAGGTATGGGTGTGCAGAGCCAAAGGTAAGGGGCAATGCGGAAGGAGGAAAACTGGCAGACGGTAACACGCAAGCCAGAGCGAGACAGAGAGTGCGCACGGTAGAGATCTACGCGCCTAGTCCCAAAGTTCGCAGAACCAAACCAACACGCCGCATCTACGCGCGCACGCCCACATCCACCTGCCTCGATCGGCGCGTAATGCTCGGCGGTATCATGCATTCTCTGTCCTCCCCGCCTATCCCCTCCTCACCCTCTTCATCATCCTGCACCCGGTCCTCCCCCTTCAACCGCCACCCCCACATGCGCTTGCTCATCATCGCCGGCGCACCAAGCGAGAACGGCGACGGCGGGATCAGCGCAGCGCTTGTGATCGCGCGCAGGTGCTGCGCCTGCGAGCGGGGGGAGGGATACAGCGCCGACAGTGGCGGCGTTGTCCCGGGGCCGGGCGCAGGCGTTCGCCGCTTCCCACCCTCGTCCTCCACGTCACCAAGTCCTAGTTTCTCCCCAGCGTCCCCGAGTCGCAGCTCCTGCAGCGCGTACGCGAAGTAGCCGTCCTCGACTGTCGGAAACGGCACGGGCTCAGACTCGGTGGGGGACGGGATGCTTTCCGCCGTGCCCGTGCTCGGTGCGTCGCTCTCTGTGTCCGTATCGACGGTGGAATCGGTGTCTGCATCCACGTCAGGGGAAGACGGCGAGAGCAGCGGCGTTGGCGCGGTGGACCTGGGCTGGGGTGGGAGCGTCAGCATCAGCGGGACCCGTGCGGTGGGGATCGGCGAGGGCGGGTTAGAAGCGGATGTTTCTAATGATGGCGGGAAAACAAATGGGGGCACCTCAGGCGTGGACGAAATAGAGGGCTCGACAGGCGCAGCGAGGGTCACGAACGTCATGTTGAACAAACGCTTCGGTTTGGGTGTCTGTTCAAGTGTGAGCACAGGCAGGGGTACGGGAGGGGAGGGATCAACGGGGAGCAGAGGGAGGAACGCGAAGTTGAGAGTGCGTCGCGGGGGCGGGAGTACACTCGTTGGAGTGGTGGGCGAATCGGACGGCGAGGCTGGCCGCGTTGGCTCTTGGGGCAAGGTGGGTACGTGGATGGCGGGGGGAATGCGTGGTGGTGGTACTTGGGGCGGAGGGACGGATAGGGGCTGAAAGGAAGAAGCGCTTCGATCGGGGCACGTGGATACCGGGGCGGATGTAGGGACGGTATCGGGCTCTGGAGTAGGCGAGTAAGCGTCGAGGAGGGGCAGGAGGCGGATAGGGACTGCGTCGAGGTAGGGGAGGATGTCGGGGTCAATGGGTGGCTGGGGACGGTTCTTCCAACGAGATGGTGTCTGCGATGGTTGGGAGGCGAGCCGCGAGACCGGGAACGATGCGCTAGACAGACCAGAGCACGAATCTGAATTTTCCGAGGACGAAGACGCGTAGGCGTCGGGAAGGGAGGTGGTGAAGGGTTGGCGGAAGGAAGGGGATGGGGGCGTACGGGGAAGGGAGAGCCGAAGCTGCTTCAACTCGAGGACGTCTCTGTCGAATTCATATACGAGAGCAGTTATCAGTCGCGTGTAACCCCCGTGCCAGATAATACGGCCGATGAAAAGAATGCGCAGGACGCGCTCACTCATCTCATGAACCCCAGAATGCGGGGTTTGAGGATGAAGGCTAGGCCTAGGACGATCGCACTGAGAATAGGTACCCCTGCACTTTCGACCCTGAAAATACAGGTGGGACAAGAGCGGCCCCGTACGCTGCCCGCTCTTGGCGTCGCTGTCTGAAGGTGGTGCTCGAACACTGACAACGCTAGCATCGCCACTGCACGCAGTAAACCATCTCTGCAGAGGCAATACACAGCAGACGAGCTCTTCACACGCGTGCGCCAGGAAACCTCGGAGAGCCGTCCTCTGGATAAGTGTTCGCATCTGGGAGAATTCCGGACATAACAGCATAAAGCCGGCCGGGAAAACGGTGGAAAATTAGGATCGGAGGTCAGGAGACCTGCACCCGCGCACGCCATTGGCTCCCGGGCCATGACGTCGAGTACGCGCCGGCCGCATCGGCGATGCCGAACCGGTCAGCGCGGCCGTAAAAGGCAAGCACACTTGACTCGAGTCCGGCGTCTGAGCACACGAGCAGCAGTCCGAGTCGAACAGCCTTGGGCCCGAGGAACACGACGAGCAACATAAGGATCACAACGGAGAGACACTGATACGCACTGATACGACAGTCGCGGCGTCACTGGCGCGGGCGACCGATCCCACTCGTCCGCGACGAACACCTCCTCCAGACAGTCTTCAGAGCAGAACGACACCGTCTTGTGTGGGTGAGGGCGCAGATACCGCAAGGGCGAGCCTGAGCCGCTGGGTGACGATGGCGGACTCTGCTCCGGCGACAGCGGTGGGGATTTCAGACAGCTCTTCATGGGGTGGCTGGCGGGTGTTAGTGTGTGGCACAGGCAGAGCTCCCGCACAACTGGTAGGTGCGTAGATCGTGGGCCAGCTTGTCGACGTGGAGGGTGGTGGGGAGTTGATGGCAGCGAGCGAGCAGCTCAGGGGGAAAGCGTTTGGAGACGGCTTGGACCGGGCTCTTTTTTCTGGCACTGACGGGGACGACTTGCGCCAAAATCCACCAGCACGTGAGCGGTCCCATCTCGGGTCATCTCGGCGCCTCCTCTTCAACTGAGCCAAGCCGCCTCCATCTGTCCCCTATCTGCAACGCTACTGTAAGCTATGACCAACATCCGACAACAATTTCTCACCGCCTCCTGGCCATTGACAACTGCTCTTGTCATTCCCCTGGCATATTGCATCCCGTCAATCACTTGTCCCTACTGCGTGATCTTCAACGTCTGTACGTTTGTCTAGCATAACAAGCCCTCCCAGCAACGCGCCTTCGGTCGCAGCGAGCACACTCGAACCTCGGATCCGAGGCGGATAGCCAGCGCATGTTCCGAACGAGAGCTTTCTTCCACGGCTCGCCCCAGCCTGGCCTATTCTCCACGGCCTCCGGCTTGTCGCTATCTAGTATCTGGGCACCAGTTTTGTTTCCTCCCTTATGGTGCTATGCAAACCAGCGTGCTTTGCGGAATGAAAAGCATCAACACGGCGCTGCAGCCTGGCAACGAGCATATGCTCTGACGTGCACCGCTCTTCGGCATCCTTGCATCTCTGTTTACTTCGGTACTTTCAAATAGGTATGCTCTTCTGGAATGTTTGCGCGGATTTGCGGATGTCTTGGCCAGTGCATATTGTAGGTGCCCGACCTACTTACTTGGGTACTATGGGTGATAGTGGAGTCAGTATCTGATGGCGAAAGCGACGCATTCATCTGGCACAAACGGCGATTCATTCCGCAAAAATAGCGCGTTCTCCTGGTGAAGTCTCCGCTTCCGTATTCGAATTCTGGGTATCGAATTACTATCCGTTTGTGCGCGCTATGTCGACTCCTAGCTGTTAGTTCCGTCCCATGGTGTCAGACTACCGGCTTGCAGGTGCGTGCGCGATGGCCTTACCTGGCAGCCTGAAACGTGCAGACAGGGATCGGAACGTTTGACAGAGCTGTACCTCTGCTTGATTAGGCGTTCTCTAGGAGGGCTGCTCGCGGGCGCGCGTTACTTTCTTGTAGTTCGCCTGCTGGCGCGACTCTACTCTCCGTTGCAATATCTTTTTTACTCGGGCCAGCTAGCACTTGTGATTTGCTATTCCTACCTGTATGAAATTCTCTTTTGAGTAATGGGCTACCGAGCAAAATGCACTAGGTCCTGGGCGATCGGGATCGCCTTAGCTGCATGGATGTATCTCGTCCAGTAATTCCGAATCGTTGCTGGCCTTTATTGTTCTCCAAGGTCTCCCGTAACTTTCTAAGCCTTCAACCCCAGTCAAAACTCCACCTGCCCAGGTCGGGCCAAATCGAAGAGGCTCGGCGCACAAGGAGGACTATCGTACCAAATCGAAGCAGACCGAAATCTAGCAGTTGCACATGATTTTCCTCCGATCAGCATTCTCGAAATGCTCAGGGAATTTGACCATTTCGTGGATGCACAGATCATCTTGGCTTGCGTCGATTTCGCCAACCCGGTGCCACACCACCTCTTCGCCGTAGGCGTCCTCCTGCGTGTTCAGTGCTGTACTCCAGGCCCTCCAAGACCCGGCCGACCTCGGGGGAAACGGGCTCGAGCGCGTTATGGGTATCTCGTATTTCTCACGTACGGTGAACCCAGATGATCTGTACCTGCTCGTCGTTCGGGACGAAAGTGAGCTAACGACGTCCATTGTGTGGACTGACCGCAGGTTGACCTGATGGTACACCCGACAGCGGCTCGGGCGTTGTAGTGAAAGCGTGCACCGCCTTCTGCAGAAGAGACGAGCAAGCGCCAGAAGAGGATTCAAGACCTGCTGCCACTGAGATCGCCTTCCTCCCTCGGGTGTAAATCACGGGAGTGTGCGGCCGTTTGAGGGCGCAGACGACAGGAATCTGATTGAGAAGGGATACCATCTTGCGATGTTGAGATTTATGTTTGAGTAGCGCGCATTCCAACTTCAGCTTCAAGTTGTGCACTCGCCCGATATTGTAAATGTACAATTAATATCGGGTTGTTCTGAGCATGTACACGCATGTTCACAGTCACTTGGTAAAAAATATATGCCCGAAAATCAGCAGCAGAATAGACAATGGAACAATGGGAATTATCGTGGTTCTTCGTATACAACACTTGCCAAACAAAGCAACCAGCTGTCACACTAGCTGGTATTCAAGTGGCTCTACGCCACAACCACCATCTACTCATACTCATAGCTCTTCATCCTTCATGGCAACTCCGATAAGTCCTACTGCACCAGTCGGCGGTGCTGGTCTTCCGAGGCAGGGTACGCATCTGCTGCATAGGCTTCTACAAGTTACAACTTAAATCCCTGATTTTTTTCGCGAAGTTGGCGTTGCGGCGCTTCCCTCGGACGACTTTGGAGTGCGTTTCAGGGACAGCAACGTCGGTATGTTGAACTATGTAGATGGACGGTTCAACGACATGAGCGCGCAAATCGTCACCCTCGATGGCCAATTGAGGTCAGCTATCGATCAGTCCGAAGTGCGCATGCGGAACGCATTGCGGGACGCAATCAAGGAATCAGAGCTACGAATAGTTACAGCTCTGTCCACACAGATTGAGCAACTCAGGCAGGAGATGCGGAGATCCTCTTCAGCCGGTTCCGCCCACAGCTCCCTTGTTTTTACTCAGAGTAGTCCTCGAGAGTCACCAGTTGCACACCCCTCAACTTCTCTACCGTCTCCTGCATCACGCTCAACCTCCGTTCCTAACGTCGCGTTAACCAACGTGGAGTCACTCACCCCCGATAATGTCGGCCAACGCATCATGGACGAGGGGGAAAGAATAAAGGGCTATGGAAACTTTGTTAGAACATTGACTGGAAGATTCAAGGTCAGTTCATAAGTCCTATAACCTTGTTAAGATGCTCACCTCTCTATACTTGTGTCATCATAGTCGTCAGCGTCGTTGCGGTCCCAAGCTCGTCGCGGGACCTAGAGGACCCAGGATTGTCTTACGGGATGAATCCGCCCTTTTCTTCATCTCGTCCAAGTTGGCATATCTGTTTTCTTCATCTCCTATGGAATCTTCGTACTCTTTTATGTTTGCCGCCCATGCGCCACACGGTCATTCCTTATGCTGAATTATGATGTCTTTGTTTTGCTCTCGCGTCATCTTACTCTGCTCTGTTGTTCCGTATCTCATAAATGTTTTCTGGTGGGTTTGCTGCTCTGGCTTCTGCGTGATACCATCTCGCGCTCTCCCATGGTCACCGGTCACAGCTCCCGCTCCTACTCATATCTGTACATTAGCTTCCACCTTGGTCCGCCGGGGTCTTCTCATGAATATGGAAATATATATATGCCAGGTCGGGTAATTTACACCACTGAGAGCTCTTGTCTACGTCCGGCTCACGTTGTTGTTACCCCATTCTAACCTTTGATATGTTCGCCATTCACGCTGGCCTGGTATTGCTGCAGAGAGCAGATTCGACTAAGATTCGACGCCTATGCGTGGTGTTACGGTACAATTGAGTGGTAGTCCATTGAACTTCCACCATGCTCTACTCTACTTGCTTGCTGAACATATCTTCGTTCTGCGTGACTGCTTATAAAGATAATATAAGTGTACTAAGACTACAAGGCGCACTAGTTTCCATCGACAAAGACGAGGTGCGTACCCCGAGGTGCTTATCCCGATGACCACGAAAATATCCGCGCCCGAATGGATATCTGGTGACTGCAGGCTCCGCCCGCCGTCGAGAAAAATATTACAGGGACTCAGAAGGCAGGTTGGTTCCATGCGATCGCCGGGTCCGAATGGTAAATGAGCAACGGTCCCAGCTGTGCTTTTTAGTAGAGAACTTCCGTATGGGAACGTGCCCTTCGTCTCCAACCCGAACCTACATGGCAGGTCAACGATGAGGTGCTGCCAGTGTGTGCGGTGCCCCATTCTACCGGTGGCCGTGGTTTCTCCAGCGTAGCGATACAGCATAATGTTTTGTGTAATTGAGTCAACGGGATAATATGATCTTAGGCAACGAATCGTTCGTCGGCGTCTGTCAACTGGAGGAGCAGAAACCTGGGTAATAAACAGCGGGCATATTTCTTACAGAATTTTTATAGTAAGTAGAGAGAGACGGGACGCAGATGTTGTTATAATGAGAAGCGCTCGACAGGACAATGCCAATGCTTGGAATTCGAATGATTCTTCTCATGTACGGTGATGCTTCTTGTACAGGCTGAGCACATGAACCTGAAAGTCAGAACCTCGGAGCTGAAGGCGTAGATATGGTGGTTAGCTTGCGCGACCTGTTTGGGGAATGAGAAAACAGTCAACGCAGCAACGAGTTGGCGAGTGCCGCTTATCGTATGTATACAACCAGGGATAATCTCAAACTGTGTTGATGGCTCCTTTCTAGCGCGAGCGGTAAGCGAGCTCGTCGTGTACTCTGCCAGTCAAATGCTTCTCAGTGAGTGGGCCCAAGTGCCAGTGTACCTTGATATTGATGTTTCCAGTACAACCAAATCCCGTAGTGTCTAATCTGAAGTCGTTACGGCATGAGAACACCAAATTCTATATGGCAGCCTTCAATTGAGCAAGGAAGAAAAGACATGGGTGAGTGCAATTCGGAAATCTCCGGTTCAAGTTGTGATCACCAGCGCCAAATACTCGGATACTTCCGAGTAAGTTCAACAGTTGCATACGTCTCTGGGTTTTGGCTTCCAGCTTGGCCTTGATATATATCACACACTAGAGAGATAGAGCGTGCTGAAGACGACCTCCAGCAGTTTGTCATTCTCTGACGCTGTTGTTTCGGCCTGTTGGCATTGGCCACTGTCACTAAGTCAGCAGATTTGTTCTCAGGCTGTCAGGATAAACCACTAACTTATACCCACCTCATTGCATACCTTTCTCTTTCATCGAGAATCTGTAGAATAGTGACTCAATCCTAACTTTCTCCCCCTGGTGCAGCGTAGTTTTACTGGTCATGATGTTGCACTCATGCTCGGCCTTCTTCCTGCAGGACTCCTATTAATTGTCATTCTCTAAACTTGCGTTACAAAAGCCTTTCAGAACGAATGGAGGCTCTCTCATTGAACTACGATGTCTTGTCCGCCATCATCTCGTATCTACTGATGCGCGACGCCCTCAGGCTTTCCGTCACTACCCGAGGATTACATACGATGGCGGTGCAACAAGCTCTGTCGCACGTCAAAATTGTCGGAAGTCATGATACCATCCACAAGTTCTGTTCATACATACTTGCAGAGCCCACTGCCACCCCAGTCTTCCCAGCGTCGCCAAGCCGTTTGTCTTATCTGCGGTCACTAGAACTTTTGCTCGAAGGATCCTGGAAATATCAAATCCCGTCAGCACTCATCACAGATCTTTTAATGCAATTGCGCACTTCCCCAAACTTCTGGAGCCTCTTCATCGGGCCAGTGGGACGGCTGCAGTCCTACGAGTCGCAATTTATACCGGCAATATCCGCGCTACCGTGTCTGAAAATGCTCGAGCTGCGCGACTGGTCTGCTTACTGGCTCCTCGATGTGCTGAGCGAGCTGCGCAGCCCATTAAGCAGACTGGCATTAACCTCATTGCACGGCCAGTCAATGTCTCTGCTCCTTTTTCTTGCAGAACAGCCTTTGCTTGAGGGGTTGGCTCTCCTGGACCTATCTGGGTTTGATTTTACGGAACGAGAAAGGCAGTTGAATGTACTCACAGGACCTCAGTGGCATACAGTGTGCGATTTGTCTGTCACGAACAGCAAGGTGCCACTTTCTGCATTGGTTCATGCATTTCCCAACATCCGCGTGCTGCGTGGCAGAGCGCATGTACTCTATGCTAACAAGGAGGGTGCGATTTACTGGGAGGGGCTCGATACCGTGTCCGGTCAGCCTTCAGAACTGAAGACGTGGCAACAATGTTCCGTGCAGTGGTTGGACTTGAATACGGGGAAAGGGTGACGAATAGATGACCAGCAGGACATTGTATCAGCACTGCGAAATATGTCGCCCATCGTGCTATCTTTCGCGGCGAGCACCCAGAACGATCTGTCATTCTGGCAGGACGTTGTCCAAGCAGTGCCAAGGCTGCGTGCTCTTAGGATAGAACTGTATACCTCCCGATCGTGCCTTCAGACCTGGATCGTGAGTCATTCTTTGCTATCCGATCTCAGAACATGGAGCTTATTCAATTCAATTGACAGGACAATGTGCCTCAGATTCTCGCCTCCACAGACATCATCTGCCTGCAAATAGACATCCTGGACAGCATGCATCGTGACGCGATCAGGGATGTATGGCCCATGTGCATCGCAAAGAGTATTCCTTCCCTTCGTTATCTCTCCCTCGGATTCAGGGCAAACTGTCCGAAGACGTGGCACCCCGATGTTAGTGGTGAATTTCATCCATTCTACACAGCTTTCCCCTGGTGGTGTATCAGCGGCATACAAGACCGGTCTTTGGAGCGTGTTCCAATGAACGAAGTAGAAGCATATTCATTTCTTCACCAGCCTGCGTGAGTGTTGTGGTCGATGTCGATGTAGCGCTACATGTACCTCTCTTAAATAATGAAGGTACAAGAACTGGACAACAGTACTTAGATAAAACAATTCCTATACAGCTCTGGACAGCGCGTAAGAGAGTCCGCACAACCTGCGTGCAATTTCAGGACACTTCAAAAACAGAAAATAACAGAGCAGACTTCGTTCCAGCATTACGTCACACGTCGGTATTCTTGTATAGCCAGAGAAGTTGAAGAGAAATGTAGCAACCGATATCTTTCACATACAAAGACTACGCATGGCTACCTATGATGACCGTGCCTGTGCATCTTAATAAACAACTTTCACAAAAAAATCATACCGTTCAGACTTCCACCACAGAATCAGCTGATATAATGACTGTGAAGATCCATGCGTTGTTACCATACTCTGTCAGAGGATGCATAGTGCAGAGCACTGCCTTGCATCTGCTGAGTATTCTGCAGTACGATGGGCTTGCACCAAAGAAGACCCGACGAATGTCTGGATACCTGTAGGTGTCACCGGAATGACGGTACAAGTATTCAACAGAATAAAATAAGAGTTCTCACAGGGTAGAGCGAGCAGCAGATATAATGAGATCAAGAACGCCACCCGCAGCTTCTGCCAACAAATGTCAGAAATTCCAGGAGCTTCGGAGCACGAGGGAGCATGCACCGCAAACATAAGGCAGTCTGCTGCATTTGTAACGAAAGTGGAACAGGTAGAGGTGCTGTGCGGATATTTTGGGAAGAATTTGAATATATCAACATCTCATTGCGAATCACGATGACAACACCTCAAAATGCCGAAAGTGTTTAAATCTGACCTGCTCAAAACATTGCTCGGACGGCTTGCAAAATATATCAGTCCTCACAATATTGTAAATCCACGCGAAGACGGAACCAACGCAGTAACTACTTTGAAGAATAATAACACATACATTAGCAGATATGGAATGAACAAGATGTGTGCGAGTACGTGCAATGGAGGATAAACTTCCCACAGATTTTTCACCCTAGCCGCAGGCAAAACCGAGACCTTAGCAAAACTCGCACGTCGCTAGCGCCAGTATGCCAACGTGCATTTGAGGATGTCAAAAAGCCAATGACTTCACACTCAAGATAGAAACCATGACATGGGAGATAAGAGGGTAGATGGGATGGGAGAGACACTGCATTGAAAATAGAACTTTTATACGCCATGCTCATCACTCCGATACTAGGTCGCTTTGGTCAATAGTCATGTTGGCGTCGATGGCCTCTGTGAGTCGGTTCATTCAAAGTCAAATGATCTGAGCCACAAAGGCCATCAACGCCAATAGCACATAACAAAGAAATGACCGAGAAGTCCATGGAATTACTTCGTAATTATTCACCCAATGTGAAGTCAATACGTGCTAGTCGAAGAAGATGAGAGATAAAACTGTTATGAGCTCACGGCCGAGGAGAGAGTTGTGGGCTGAGGGAGAGAAACTTTGCACAGGAGCGTTCAAAGAATGAAGACCGTATCACAGCTTCACTGTTCGGCGGTTCATTGTCTGAACAACATCACTGAAATGCTCACATAATTAACCCGCAAGATCCCAAAAAAAGAACCGGAAGTTAGAATATCGCGTTCGCCGACCTCGGCTGCATCAAGTGGGCTGTCAAATTCATCAGGACGAAATTTGTGCTCAGTTGAGTAAGATACACCAGGTGCAACTCACCACATTTCCACTTGGAGTGACCTCAATGACAGGTCACAATGTCTAAAAAAAGGTGCAAAAAATGTTTGGAAGTGGTGCAGATGCTTTTCGATACTAATCCTTGATATAGAAAAAGAAAAAGATATTTCCTTGTCTGTGTATCATTCAAAAACATTTCTCCGACAAAATGTCCTGTAACATGCAGCATGTTGGATCAGTGGCAACTTATCAATGAGATGAGTTATTTAGTCCATACTCTGCGCAGCACACCTATCAGCCAATATATACCCAAATGTCCATATAACCGAGGTGGAATATTTTGTGTAAATTTCCATAAAACTGAGTGTTGGCCAAGAATATAATATAGGATGGAGATATAGGGTTGGCCAAGATAAATAGGCTATATAGGCTGAGTCGCATATTTGGGAGTTAGCCAAGGGAGGCGCAGTTTGAAGTCTATATAGGTTGTCGGGCATTTTGGGGTCGGCCGCCATGTCTCTATATAGATTGTAGCTGAAATTGTGCCATTGGCCAAGAGTCATAAAATTCCAATCCTATATAAAGTTTGCAGACAGTTGGGCTTGGCCAAGTGGACCTATATAGAATCTTTGTGTAAATGGTCCACTTGGCCAAGGCACATGAAATTTTGATCCTATATAGCATCTCCTGAAATTTGGCCATGGCCAAGAGTACCCTATATAGATTTTTTGTGGAAATAGTGTCTGCGGCCAGGGGTCAAGAAATTTGCATTCTATATAGGATTGTCTGAAATTTGGCCTTGGCTGAAGATATCCTATATAGTTCTTGTGGAAATGGTGGCCTCGGCCGAGAGTCATCAAATTTCAACCTATATAGAGATATCTGAATTTTGGCCTTGGCTGAATATACACTATATAGTTCTTGCACAGATGTTGGCCTTGGCCGAAGGTAGTCGAATTTCTATTCTATATAGGGTCTTCTGAACTATGGCATTGGCTGAGGATGCCCTATATAGGGTTATTAAAAATAATGGTCTTGGCCGAGACTCTTGAAATTTGTATCCTATATAGGATTCTCCACACTTTGGCTTCAGCCGAGTAGCATCCTCTATTTGTTTTAATCAGAAAGGGCAAAATTTCCTTCACACATAGGAGTTTTAAAGCTGAGGCCTTCACCCAGTGTATATATACAGGTTTCGTCACATGTGATGCCATCGGCTGTAATGAGCCAGGTCAGACCACCTTCAGGGTTTGTGTAGGAGTTGGGCAGTCCTTTGCTGTCACATTCTGAGACCAATATCCTTCATATCAAATGATTCAGTGCCACTGAATTCAATTTAAGAGTAAACTAATTGTGAAGTATCTGCTAGAACCCCTGACGCACTACATACTGGGGAGTCATCAGTGCGAGATATGTCCCATATTCTACCCATGAGGTTTTGTTGATCTTTAACGCCTCAAATACTGCCGAGCGCATATAGTGTGCTATGCATATCCTCTCACCTCCCTCTCATGCATCACAGCTATGTTCTAAAACTCTTCCTCAGATTCCTACCAATGTTCCAGGGCAGTAACCCAGCTCCATTTGCAGATCATCCAATTGAAGCACTGCCCATTTATGAGTACCCACACTGGCCAATAAATCAAGGCATGCATGCCAGACTTTGCCATCCCGATGAGAAATTGTCCGTCGATTCACAATAATCCCCATTGCTGTGAAATTTGAGAGCCACCGTTGAACATTCTCATGCGTCTGCTGTAGAACATCCTCATGCTGAATCTTCAACTTGCTAGAGATGCCTGCAAAATAGAGTGGCCGGTTTATCAGGCATAAAGTTGCATTCAGCAACTGCTCAACAAATGAGGTCCTCTCCAGCCAATTACCGACCGGTTCGTTTCGTAATGAGACAGATGGAACGAGATTTGTCTGAAGCATACATACTCTTCTCAGATCATATAAATGTGGCATTGATGTCCAAACTCACATTATGTCCTCGTGCAAACCATCCAGCAGAGATGTCCAGAGAGCCTGGGTTGAACCGTCCACTGGGGGCTGCAATGAACAGATCTGCATCTGTCCGAAAGTTTTCACCTTGTGAAACCGTTCTCTGAAGGAACTGGTTTATTCCACAAGTCGCGTTGTTGTAGTCATTCTAGGGCTTATATTAGCAAGTGACAGCAGTTAGAGAGAAGACTTACTATACATGCTTGTCCCAAGATACCTGGCAGATATCATGTAAGAACCTTATTGTTCGTGTCCAGAATAACTGCAGGCTCTAAGATGACTAGCATTGGTCCTTGGCAGTCCTGCTTGCCATTCTTCTTTAGCACTCCCTTGTCCGTCACATAACAATCGACATGAACTTAGTAACACGGCAAATCAATATGCATCTGATTGAAACAAGCAAAAATGACAAACTGGGATTCAGAAGCGCACAGGCAACAACAGTGACAATATGGTCCAGCTCCACGGCATGGGGTGCGGATGTGAAACTCACATGTTGAGCCATAAGGGATTTTTCCTTCAATGCCTGCTGCTGGAGGTGTGTTCTGCATGATCATAAGCAACACAAATGTAGATCATGGAATCAAACAAACCTTATTCTCTCGCGTTCAATGTCAGCGACTGGAGCAGTGTGCCTATGAGTATTATAAAAACCAGTAGCCTCCCTCAGCAACTCCGATAACCTCTTCCACAGAAATTCATCAAGTGTCAGTGCACTGCACACAGAATTCACGTCAGTAAAGAAAAGGAGGTAAGCCTGTCAGACTAAAATACCCCTTTATCATCTCAGCTGTTTTATGACCTTTTTCATCGGACAATCTATGCTCCTGTGCATGCCAACAACGTTTATGTGATTGAGGAAGACTATGTTGAAATCTTCCGCCTTGAAAAGTCATCAGATAATGAAAATAGGATTATAAAAAATTGCACAGTGCCAGCACATCATGCAAAGTTGTCACATGATCACGAGTTTCCCACAGTCATGTGACCTTATGACTGCAGTGCATCCTCCAAGGTTGCTTTATGTCAGAGTCTCTCCACCGAAATGAGAGAAAACATTGACCAACTCATCCGTGTAGTTTTCATATTGTATCACTACAGACATATTGAACGCAGACCGCAAAATTCATATCAAAAGCAAACCACAAAAATTGATACTGTACAAAGACAACACATTTAGGGAGAAAAAGAAAGCATACAATGACCACACATATTGTACAAAGGGTAAGCGATGGGCAAGAAACAGAAAGCATATGACAACAACTGATATCGTATAAAGGGCAAGTGGTGGGCAAGAAATCGAAAGCATATGACAACAACTGATATCGTACAAAGGGAAAGGAGTGGGTAACAAAGACACGGTATGATATGTCCTAAACTACTGCTGAATAACCTTCACCCAGGCGCCTTGGTTGAACTCCTTCAGAAGCCTGCCATCCTGCGGAGGCTCAAAGCTCCACTCAGCATGACAATGCTTGCAGTGATAGCAATGAGTCTGGGGAGAAGTGCCCTTACGATCGAAGAAGATGAAAGTGCCTAAGCGAAGACAAGTGTCACACTGCATTGGAACCCGATTGCCATAGGGGCTGATCCTGGGATGATCCCAGATGTACTCTGAGATGGTCAGCTTGTAGGACTCTGCCCATGCTCGCTTACGCCTGGCCTTATCCAAATCACCAGTCGTCGCATCACCACGGCTGATGACACGATCCTGAGTGGTTTCTTCTAAGAGAATGACCCTGGAGTGCCTGCCCAATGGGCCTGAACTGGCGAGAAGTTCGCTCATCAGCAGGTCACCGACAGTGGCTCCTTCAATAAACACACGGCGCACGAATCCAAAAAAGAAGGGGGCTGCACTGATAGAAGACAGCACCGGTGCTGTGAATGCCAAAACCCGGGGGAGCTTGTAGCTAAATCGTGCATGTGTAAAAATGCTAATATCGAGTGGAGGGTAATGGGAAGACCGTACCGTGTACAAACTGTGACCAAGTCTTCCCCAGGAGCTGCCTTTGACACCACGGAACCACAAGCCAGCAGCGCAAATGTTGTCAGCACCTCTCGGGAGAGCGCCATCAGGTCTTCACAGACAACAAATTTGAAGAACTGTGATGAATCAGTGAATGCAAGGTCCCATTGGTCATGAGAGACTTACAGTATCAATTGTGCCTACCCAGTGGCTGCTGTAAAACAAGTCACCGGTGTCGTCGTGCGAGTGTGTATAAATAAGAATTAGCATGCGGGTAGGCTTGTAGCTAGTGACACAGGAGAAGAAGATTGGCGATGGTACCATACTCAGGCAGCGAGTGCAGGCGCAGATGAACCAAAACCAAAGATGAGGTATCCAACCTTGCGGTCTGTGATATCTCAGGCTTGCCAAGAATCTGAAGACCTTTCGTCAATGGTACCCAAGGTTTTTCCGCAGATTGGACACTATACAGGCCCTGATAACCCTCAAACATCAGCTTCTGTGGGAGTAAAGAATGCATATAACCTACATGGTATACCTGCATTGCACCACCGCCATGCTTTGTAGCGCAGGCCGGACATTCAAACTGCATCTGCTCAGTCATATTCCACTGCTGGAGATCTGGAATGCAATGCAAGCAAATAGCTCTGCCGCAGTTAGGATGGTCACAGTCGACCAAGTCTCCACCTTGTTGGCAGAGAAAGCAATACTAGGTGCATTGAGTCAGCAAGACTCATATGTTGAAGAGAGAAAACACACCACGTCAGAATTGGAGATGACATTGGAAACAACTGACACCGGGCTTGGCAGCTGAGAGACCACATGCAGGTCATCGGAGGCTTGTAACATTCCAGAGGCTAATATCATAAGAATAAAGATGCACTGCCGAAAATTGAACAATGCACCATTGTCAAGTGGGCCACGTTCACCTGTCGGCAACCCCACAGACTTCTGTGCCGTCTGAAAGACCTTGTGACATTGACGCTTCGGTGGGTGAGTAGGAGGAGGTGTAGTTGGATCGGGGGTGAGTGCGCTGCGCTCACGTTCACTAATAGTGGCAGCGGTAGACACTACAGGACCAGCCAAGAGTCGACTGCTTCGGCGTCGAGGGGCATCCACTTTAGCAGCAGATGCACGTCCTTTTGGCCTGCGTATGACTCTGTGAGATGGGCGGCTCTGAAAGACAGGTGAGGGCTGGACAGGAACACTTCGTTCATCCTTGTCCTCGTCATTGTCCTCATCCTCATCATCGTCCTCGTCCTCGTCCTCATCCTTATCATTGTCCTCATTCTCATTCTTGTCCTCCTCCTTGCCCTCCTCCTCGACGACCTCCTTGATGCCCTCCTCGATGTCCTCCTTGACATCTGACACAGGTGTATAGCTCTGCGGCTGGTGGATTGTCTCCTCCGATTCCTCGTCGGTATTATCCAATTCATCAGTCTCCTCTGACTCGTCATTGGACAGAGGTGGGCTTCCTGTGTGATCGCGATTTACTATGAACATGTCACCTCGGTCCGAGTCGTCATCCAGAATCTCCCCCTTCAACTGACCAGCTTCATCGGCATCTTCATACGCACCTCTATGTGAAAGGCTCCCCCTGTCCTCTCCGCTTCCCCTCGACTGGAACTGCTTCCAATCATCCACATCCATCATCTCGTCCACACTCGGAGTCGATTGCGACATAGCATCTTCTTGGGGGGTCATGTGAGGCATCGACAAACGCACGATAGAGTCTGTCATCAACATATCAAATGAAATGTTGCTTACTTGACAAATGTTTTCACTATTAAAAACATAGAAACATACCAGGTCTGTCCTTTTGCGAAGTTCGGCCAGGGGAGTAAGCCGGTGGCGCAGAGCTACGGTATGAGATTCCTCCCCTGATCGGTTGATCAGCCAGATCGAGATTGAAAGCTTGATGCCAGTCCTGGCTTGTACCCACGGTCGTAAGTTCCTCCGGGATTGAGTGCAGATTGGAGGTAGAGTGCCTGACACCAGACTGTGGGGTAGAGGTCTGATGGGCAGGCTGAGCAGACTGTGCGCGCTTCCTGGACTGGCTGTGCATGGTAGAATATACAAAAGCAGTGAAATAGATGTCTGAGAATAAGCAGGAGAGGCTCAGCAGCTGAAATATAGCAGAGATCAGACAGCAAGGATAGAGCAAGAGAGAGAGAGATCAGATTACAGTGATTGCAATCAAAAGGACTTGTGCGCGCGAGCCCATGGAGATCATGTGATATGCTTGGAGGGCCGGACTTCCTGAAATCTAGTGGACAGTGGCTGAAATTTGATCGGAGTCCGAAAATCATCCAAATATAGCAATATTCCAGCCACCAGTGTACACCTTCTGCATATGGAAGGTGCTTGACGTGTCTGGTGTCTGGAGCACATGACCGAACAAACATGGCCAAATAGTTGGTTTTATGAGCTGGCGCAACTTCCTCTCTCTCTTCCTTCTCTATCACTATCATCCCCTTCCAGCAAGCCAGCCACAAGTGGCTGAGCTTTGTTGCTGCATGTTGCCATGGGCATGCAGTGTCAAAGCTCAGTTATTTGTGCATGCCTTTGTAAGGTAACTGTTTCTTTTCCTGTAGATAGTATTATATAATATGCACTTTACTGACATCATCCCATGGCTGGCCTTTGGCCAGTCATGGGGTACATGTGGGTTTTGGGGGATCACTGGGCATGCAGCGGCGAGCTGCAGAGGGCTCCACATTGTGGGGGCAACCCACTCGCATCCCTCACCTGGTACTTGAGATTTGGGGGATCACTGGGCATGCAGCGGCGAGCTGCAGAGGGCTCCGCATTGTGAGGGCGACCCACTCGCATCCCTCACCTGGTACTTGAGATTTGGGGGATCACTGGGCATGCAGCGGTGAGCTGCAGAGGGCTCCGCGTTGTGGGGGCGACCCACTCGCGCCTCTCACCCAGTATATATGGGAATTGGGGGATTTTGCACTTCGGTGCCAATGCTCTTCAGCGTACTTGCATCTAGGCGCATATGTGCTCTGCACATTACATTGTCACCGGCCATCAGCCTTGTGCTGTGCGAGTCGTGCGTGGAGCCACCATTGGCCTGCTCCACAAGGTCAGTCTTTTTTACTTGTTTGTTTCTTTTTGCATGGTATGGTGCGAGTACAGGAAGTGTAAGGAAGATGTGGTAAGTACTCCACAGCACATCATACAGATACTGACAAGGGTTCTTCAGCATATGGTGAGTTTTATGGCAGTGGTGAAGACCAGGCCAAATCCTATAGTGGATTGAAAGAACCGGTGAGTTTTTTTCCTTGCATTTTAAAGAATACTGACCTCTTGATGTTTCCACAGCCTCTTACACATGTACTGAAAATTGACGACGGTCACTGCAGCGCGAGCAATGCAGCGCGCAAGGTGAGCATTTTCTAATGTTTTCTGACTGTTTTCTGACCTCCTTTTGGTGTTTTGCAGATTGTATTTGTACTTTCCTTGTAGTCTATTTTCTTTCATTTTTCCCTTCTTCCTGGTGCTTGTGGCGAATGAGGGAGGGCCCGCCCTCAGTCATCACAAGTCACCTTTTGTTTTCCATCTTTGTAGTTAGAAAAAATTGTAATACTTGAGTTTGTATCCATGAAGCATGAATAAGGCGAAGCCATGCCGGTATGCTGGACAATGCACGGGCGCTTAAGTCACGTGATCACATCACGTGCCACCGTGTGCACTTTTTGAACCCTTGGCCCTGCCCAAATTTCTATCTTGCCTCTTCCCACCATCTGCTACAACAGCAATTCCAGTACTTTCATCCTTTCAAAAGCCCTACTATCAACCATGGCTGGCAAAGCTCGTTGGTCGAAGCCCTATGGCTCCATGATGGTGTTGTACTACCCTAAGTGGAGAGACAGTAAGCGTGGTGCACGTGCAGCTGTTGTGACAAAGGTCTCAGAGGCGATTACAGCAAGGGCGAATGCAAAGGGATGGGACAGGCCCAAGGTCAACACTCAAGTACGTCGACATGGTAAATTTTTTCAGTCTACATCTTCTCACTTCCTGCATAGCAAATCGGCAACTGGTTCGCAAATAATAAGGCCGCATTGGATCTCGGAATCATTCCTGGCACGACAGATCGCAAGTTCTCTCTCACAGATGCTGAACGCATGGCCAATGATGACGATTATCCCGATCCGACTGAAGGTGAAGGTGGGGCTGATCCCGCCACTGTGGACGACAATGACGTAGAGCCATTCTCGGTGGAGGAAGATGCAGCTGATGTGCGAAAGAAGACGATGGGGCAGAAGTGGTCTTTGTGAAAGACTGTGCACTGGGCATGGCGAGAGGAGCTATTGGAAAGGGTTGGCCAGGAGCATCCTGATGCGAAGGATCAAGTTGAGAAATTGGTCTGGTATACCAAGGCATTTGTAGATAAATGGCATGACCTGACCGACGAGGAGCGAGATGAACTGAAAGTGCTTGCTGCGAAGAAGACGGAGGAGTCGCAGATGGATTGAGCTGGGCAAATTGCCTATGCTCAAAAGCATCTTGGCAGGATGGGTGAAGACTTCATCCAGACTGTGGAGACAAAGATGGGAGGAAAGGTTCTCATCCTCCTGGCCTTGCTGACAGAGAAGCCCACGCAGATTCGGCGCATCAAGTAAGTCTCGGCCATCATTATTTGCATTATTTTATTCACTGCCATCCTAGGCTTCAGTCACCTGATACTGGTGGCTTTCTGAAGTTCACCGACTCTGTCGATGACTGGCAGAAAGATTTGTGGAAGAAGTGGGGGATGTGGGCAATGAATGTTATGAGTAAGTCATACCCATGGAATACGAAGCAACATGCACTAATCAATGACTAGTTCCCGATGAGCTTAAGGATAATGATGCCGAAGAAGAGGATGAAATCGCACTCACCGACGTGCAGCATGAGATCGATGACGATGGCAATGCCATCGTTCCTGCATTTGAGGAGACGTGGAAGCTGACTCAAAAGCGTCATTTGGTCCGGGCCATTGTGACTCACCAGCATCGTAAGCTTCATTCTCAAAAGTGAATCTGTATCCATGCTGATGATATATATGCAGGAAAGATTGTTGATTCCAAGCGTGCAAAGTGCCCTTGGAAGAAGATCAGTGAAGATGTCCGCAAGTACATTGATGAGGCATGTTGGCCGGACAGCATGGTCTTTGCCGAACCTTGGAACATCGGTGTTGACAACATCGATTTGCTCCTCAAGCACTGGGCGAATCGACAGGCTATTGGCTCAGTTGCTTTCCAATTTCTGGTAGCAGCTGGTGGAGGTGATGCCGTGAAGCCCAGGGGAAAAAAGCAGAAAGACGTCACTGATATGAATGTTGGCAATTCAGCAGATGAAGGGGACCAGGATGACAACGATAATGAGATGGAGGTCGGAGTCAATTGTCACACGAAGGGCAAAGGCAAGCAGCCTGCCATAAGGAAGAAGCATGTTCCCCCACATTCTGAGGAGGAGTTCGACTTGGATAATGTTTCCAGCAGCGAGGATGACTTAGTGGGGGTAAAGATGAAGGCTGCGATGAACAAGGCCAAGTCGATGCACACTGCCAATACTGCCTATAATGAGGAGGGATGGCAGCCATTTTTTGCACAGGATCTTGTCGATGTTCCTCGGATGGGAGATGCGAGTTCATCTGGAGTTGCTGGTGCTCCGGCAGCAATTGCACATGCAAGGAAACTCTATCCGAGGATCGCCAATCACCCGGAAGATATTATTCTGTGGCCCAGGTCAATGATGGTTGATGCCGACTGGTATAAGCACAATGTTAGCAGAATTGTGATCCCTCTGCCAGCATTTTCACTTCCAGATCCCGCTGAAAATGATGCGGCAGAGCTAGAGTGGGTTGACTGCCAGAAGGCGATTTTACTGACAACATCTGCCCGATTCCAAGGCTTCAGGATACTTGACCTCGAACATATCGTTCAGCGACCATCAATGGCACGGTTGGATAATCCGGGATGTTTCGCTCCGCGGTTGCTGGCTGACGACACCGCTGCTATTCCTGAAGAATATGTAAAGGTGTAAAAATATGAGCCTGGAGTATGGCAAGCTATCGAGCATCCTCTTCGAGAGCAATGGACGCTTGCAGGCAATTGGGTTGGTGGTCTTCCACACATTGCGCCATCCTATAAAGCCTTTCTGCAATGGAATTCCCCTCTGATGTGAGCAGTTACTGTTTTGGTCCAACTGATCGGGTCTCATGCTTGTTATTAGCAATAATCCAGAAGATGGATCACCTGCTTCGGCAACTCAGCGATCTGAATTTCTTTTATCTCTGTCTACCTTTAAGGAGTACAGGCTTCTTATCAAAGTCTGCCGACTCACTCCCGTAAGTCAATTTGCTTTCCAATAGATTATTCATCTGATCAGAGATGTAGTGTGTCACACTGATGCTCAAAAAATATCCTCGCCCAGCATGGGCATCATGGGAACTCGCACACCGTGAACTCCCTCCCGACTTCTGCATGCCGAAGGGAATTGAGACCTTCTGTGCTTATATTGAGGCATGACCGTATCAGGGATTTGAGATGCTGACCTCAGCTTTGGAGCTCTCACTCATGACATTGGCAATTGGCTTGGTACTGCAATTCATCGCCGAGCATAATGATCCACAGACAGTTGCACTTGGCCTTGATGACACCCTCGTGTTGCAGCTTCGTCGACTATGTTGGCTCTTTGCACAGCAGATTCGTGCATATATGAAGACCGCATATGCAGAGGGCGGCCTGACAGCAGATGAATTCTCAGCATACTCAGTGATGACAGGCCTCGTGGAGGAGCCAGTGATTGTAGAGCATCGGATGGTGTGTATGCTGCGAAAGCAAATGGATAAGGCCAGTAGGTGGATCGAGCAAGGCCAACCTCATAGGTGCAAAAGGATCCGACATTCTGTGAGGGATGTCGTGGTCATGCTCTCCGCTGATGCAACTCTTAACGATGTTAACGAATATCTGACTGATGACTACATGCGACACTATCGGGAAAAGGTAGAGTCGAGTCCTGTGCGAACAGCAGAAGCTGCATTGCTGATCTTCCAACAGTTGATCAAGACTACATCAGCACCTGCCGATTCTCAAGCAGCCACGGCTGATAGCACTGCTATGCAGCCACAGGTGAGGGCATCCATCCATCTCCTTGATCATAGTGCTGAAGTTAAACAGGCCTCGTCTCAGCTGCAACGTCGCTGAGCCCAGCCCACTCCTCCACCGGTAGAGTTTTTAGCTAATAGTGATGATGAACCGGCACCTCAGGAACGTCCGAAAACCCGCCAGCGACAACATCGTCAGCAGGCTTCTCCTGTTGCAGCTGGAGAGCCTCCAGAGGAGGATCAATTGCAAGAGGAACCCACCAGGTTTTGTTGGCATGGTTTTTTATCGTCTTCACATTTGCTAATCGTGTTCATTTTTTAATCACAATAGATCTGCTGGAAAGAAGAGAACTCGGGCACAGGTCAAAGATGGAGGCACTGCTCCCAGTACCTCCAGTGCTGTCATTCCACGTCGCACTGGCCGAGTGACTGTAGCAACAAGGAAGGCTCAAGCAGCTGCAGCTGGGGTGACAGCAGTGATAGAGGCGACACCTGCTCAGGCGGCAAAGGCCAAGGCTCCTGCACGAAAAAAGAAGGGATCTCGGAAGTAGATATAATTTGCGCATTGTTATAACCTTGTCATGTTATGCAATATGAGAATCACGTTTTTTATGATTTGCACGAGGTAGAAAATCATATGACTAACACCAGGCAGCCAGCAAAATGATTACTCATTCATCACGTAATTTGTATTTCATGGAGCATGCAGCCTGCACATGTTGATAAAGAGATTGCCCACCACTTTCTTCTCCCTTGCTTTATCCCCACCACTTTCACCGGCATCACAATGTCTCCAAGAAGTCAAAAGCAGTCCAGGAAATCGAAGCGCCATCGCAGTTCAATTGAGGATGTTGACCTTGTAGAGGTCCGGGCACGCCGGGGCAGAAAGTGGGTGATGCGAGCTGTGCAAGGTACACCAAAGTCGAGTCCTGGGACAGGAAGGAGGAAGGGTACAGCTGTAGAAGGACCAAGCCGGACTTTAGCTGCGCCCTCTGGAAATCACATTATTGGTGATGATGGCCTGCATCCGTTTGCTCTGGAACCGCTGTCAACTAGGACACGTAGTGGCAAGGTGAGTGAAGAATGATGGAGATGATGTTTGCTCACTTTTTCCACATTGTAGTCACAACAGGACCTGATGTGTTCATGGCTTCCCTATCGGGCTGAGTATCTGTCGGAGATATTGGGCATGGAGGCACCTTCGGAGGATTGTGGATGCACTAATTGCAATGCACCTGATGGCCAGTTTCATTGTCGAGACTGCTGGGGGGATCATTTTGAATGTCTCCAATGCTGCCTTGATTCACATCGCTGACAACCATTTCATCATCTCGAACACTGGGTTCAGAATCGGTTTGTCAAAATCTCTCTGGCTTCAATGGGGTTCGTCCTTCACCTGGGGCATGGCGGAAATGTATGTCCATGTGGATTTGGTGTCCAAGATGGATGGGAGGATGTCATTAATCTTGGGGGAGATCTCAGGCCGCAGCTGGAAGATGAAGGCCAGGTATATTTTTTGGGTGAAGATGTCATAGATGATCGACAGGAGGGAGAGGTGGTTATTGCTTCATGCAATGGAGTCTATGTGCAAAAGGTAAAATGGTGTATATGTCCTGATGCAGCTCCTTGCCACATTCAGATGCTTCGAATGGCCCTTTATCCTGCCAGTCAGCTTCGCCCCAGAACAGCGTTCACCTTTAATGTCCTCAAATATTTTAGTATTGATGCCATAGTTTGCAACACCTCGGCATCCAGGTTCTACACCAAGATGTGATGGCTAACCAATAATGCTGCACCCCAAACTGTTCCTGTGAGTAATCTTAGTTATATGATAAGTCTCTTGGAGGTAATCTGCCTGTTTTAGGACCGTTATAGGGAACTCATGAGGGTTTCCCGCCAGTGGCGAGATATTGCAGTTCGGAAATGGTTTGGCTTTGGCCATGACCTTCTTAAGAGCCCAGGTCATGGGGAGTTGGCTTATTTTTGTCCGGCTTGCCCCCAACCATGTCTCAATTTACCTGAGAATTGGCAAGAAGATTCTGAAATGTGAGTGTGATAATAAATGATTTCAGAGCTCTGACTGAAATTCAAGATAAAGCGGTGTGTATCGTCGCACAATAGTGGCAGATGGAAACTTCACCTTGGAGCATATGAAGATGTGTCGGCCTGAGAATGATGTGCCTCTGACTAATGGTCAAGGATTCATGGTTGATGATGTGGAGTATCAAGATCATTTGAAGTGCAGTAAAGAAACTATTGAGGTGCGTGCAATAAGATGAGTTGGAACTGCAATTGAGCTCTGGGAGATATCTGCAGAAATCTAGATGTGCAAATCACCGTGCTGTGAATCAGGCCAATGCTAATCGCCATAATCTGGAGGCCACAGGTGTTGGAGCATGTGTCTGTGCTCGCCATGGGTGTGTCATACCCCATTCAGTGATTGACTTCCAAAAAGGAGAGAGGTAAGCATATTCCAACCGATCACATCTCCTTTGCCAAACATTCCATCTCTGCACGACTGTCAGACAGATGAACATAGACTACTCCATCTGCCAGGCCCTTCTATATAACACTGAAGGGCTCCAGTTCATGGATGTGTGCTACGATGTCGCATGTCAGTGGTGGATTCACTTTCTGGAGCGCATTGCGGATAGCAAATATCTGAAGGTCGCAGACAAGATAAAGATCATTGCCTATGTGGAGAAGTTCCACCTTGGGGCCCACATTGCAGAGTGTTTTGCCAAGTTCTCCTTAAACTTCGGAAAAGACATGAGTGAGATTGAGGGTGAGGTTGTGGAGAAGCTGTGGTCCAAAATGAATGGCACAGGTCCTTCAACACGTGCAATAACCAAGGCACACCGATGAGAGGTTCTGGATAATCATTTTCGAGACTGGAACTGGATGAAGCTGCTGGGCATTGGTGGGCACTGTTCTTTTGCTGTTGCGCTGATGAGGGTTAACAGTACTTCAGTGAACATGCTCCGAACCAAGTATTCCAAGGCTGTCAAAGGTGAATCTGAAATGGAGCAAGAGTTTGTTGATCTCTCAACCACGATGACCGAGGACGATATCAAAGTGTGGACTGAGCAGGAGACCATGGCTATGCGAGAGCGTGGTGATAAGTTGAACATATACAATGTCCACTTGGAGAAGGGTATGTGCATTCTCCAAGCCAGATTTCGTCTGATTGAGCAAACTGAGCCATAGCTCCATCCATGGGTGATATTCACCTTCTGCTCGCGACAGAAGAAAGACAGTCACCCAATGAGGAGGGTAGAGTCCTGGAAAGTGGAACAGTAACCTGGTTGAGCACTGGAATAAATATCGAAAAGACACAGTGAGCCAGTTGACATTCACTTCCATCTCTTTGCTCAGTCTGTGCTTCAGAGATGACATACAAGTAATGGCAAAACACCTCACCAAGCGAAGCTCCACCATGGACAAGAATTCGGTGGAGATGAAGCAAAATTTGCTGCAGAAAAGAATTGATGGATTTCACAATCGCGCAATGGCGCTATTAGATGGTGAAGACATTGAGCACTTAGAAATCTCCTCTAATGAGGTGGCAGATGAAGAGGGTTGGACCATGGAGGATGTGGAGGAGAACCCAGAAGATATTGAAGAGGAGGTGTTGCCAGAGAACATCACTCTCCTGCTTCCCTCCTCACTTGGCATTGAGCAATGCAAGACAGTGGGATGGGAGAGCATTGCACAGCAGGAGTTACAGCTACGGGTTGGCCAAGCCAATGACTGTCTTGAAGACTTGCGACTCTTGTTAGGTCACAAGTCTTTGCTTTTCCGGACCAAATTCAGGCACAATAAGTCTCAATGGCACAAAACCCGAAATGCAGCTGAGCTCAGGAAGATTGGTCAGCAAGAGCGCAAAATCATTAGATGATACAAGCGTGCTAGGAAAGCCCTGATCTGTTTAGGAGCAAGTAAACAGTTGTTGACACGATATCTTGACATTCAAAAGGAAGACACGAAGATGCCTGGAGATATTGTGGAGGAGAATAGAGTTGGGCAGAGGAATGATAGATTGGTGTGGTTTTGGAAACTTGGAGGTGAGAATGCTCGAAATGCACGGGGGGAAAGTGTGGACAATAATACGGAAGACGTCGGTCAAAATGCCATGAAGGAGGATGAGTGACTATCTGTTTATGCCTGGTCAAACTTATTCACAGATGGTAATCACCATGTCAGTTGATCGAGTTAACTGGCTGAGAGCAAAGGCACGATACACAAGGTACAAGGAGGAGGTACCGAAGGTGCGACATGAGATGTTATGGACTGTCCTGTGGTTTGAACGCAAGCAGCATGAGTGGCAGACCAGGGAGATGGAGGCAGTGAATGCAGGTCTACGTGGTCATGCATCCTATGCAGCAAAGCAAGGTGCAATGTGAAAGGACTTTGCACTTCAATCACAGCAGGCATTCAATGGTCAAATGATTGTCAGGTAGTCTGCGAGTTGCAAAGGTAGATATGCAAAATTAGCCAATAAATGTGTGTGACTGGCTATGTAGATTTGGACGAGTGTATCCTCCGGGACCTTAAAGGTGTCAGCAAGACCTTTAAGTTTGGATGCCTTAGCCTGGAGCACCATTTGTGTAGAAAGTTATACGGCCACAGCCAGAGTGTGGAAAACTCTCTATAGAATGAAAATTGCTAGATCCTCAGCCGAGGCCACCATTTTCACAAACACTATATAGGGCATCCTTGGCCCAAAGTTCAGCAGACCTTATATAGAACAGAAATTCCAGGACGCTCGGCCAAGGCCACCATTTCCACAAGGAACTATATAGGATCTTTTTAGCCGAGGCCAAATTTCAGACAATCCTATATAGAATGCAAATTTCTCGACCCTTGGCCGCAGGCATTATTTCTACAAAATCTATATAGGGTACCCTTTGCCATGGCCAAATTTCAGGAGATGCTATATAGGATCAAAATTTCATGTGCCTTGGCCAAGTGGACCATTTACACAAAGATTCTATATAGGTTCACTTGGCCAAGCCCAATTGTCTGCAAACTCTATATAGGATTGGAATTTTATAACTCTTGGCCAATGGCACGATTTCAGCTATAATATATATAGAGACATGGCGGCCGACCCCAAAATGCCCGACAACCTATATAGACTTCAAATTGTGCCTCCCTTGGCTAACTCTCAAATATGCGACTCAGCCTATATAGCCTAATTGTCTTGGCCAACCCTATATCTCCATCCTATATTATATTCTTGGCCAACACTCGGTTTTATGGAAATTTACACAAAATGTTCCACCTCAGTTATATGGAAGTTTAGGTATATATTGGCTGAATGGGCTCTGCGCAGACTTAGTGTTCTGCCAAATGGGGCAGATACACTGTTGACATGCAGAGCCAGATCGAAAGAGATGTTGCTTCACTATCGAAACGGTTCTTGGTATAAACCCCGTTCTAACCACCTGATTGCCCTCGATAAAATGCTTGCATCCAATTATAAGTGACTGCCCACCAAAAAAAGGCCAAAGTAAAACCGTCGCTTTACAGTTTCCCTACCTCCGCATAACGGAAGGCATGGTAGCTGGCCGCCAATGGCTCTTTACCCGCATTGGCTTGCACATCAGCGGCATCAAAAAGCATGACTCAACAATACTAAACAGCTTCCTGGGTCAGATCAACACATGGGTTAATACAATCGGTAGGGAATATAACGCTGAATGCTGACCGATGTTTGGGTCTTTTATCGACTGGTATAGGTGTTCTGTCCCATTCGTATGCGTAGAATATCTGCTCTTCGCCCTCTGTGCAAAAGCTAACACACTTCCACTGCGAGTCGTCCTCGGGGCCGGAAGCGGACAGAGGGACCTCTGATTCGAGCACACCTGGGTTCTGAGGAGCAGAAGCCACACACTGCTTCAGACAGCTCTTTATGACGGAGAAGTAGTGCTGAGAATCGACCACACTCCACTCCTGTGGGCAATAAAGCATCTCTCAGACTTCACCTAAGGCACAGCGTTTATATACCATTGCCCCTTGGATGCGCCAAGTTAAGAGTGGCCATTCCGCTACCCATAAAGCTGTACAGCATATACATCCGTCCCGAGCGGAACCGCGGGTGCAGAAGTGACTGCGGTATTGAACTCCTGAGCATCTCCAGGTGGAGGGATAATCACAGAACAGTTGGCTCCAGAAGAGTAGTCACAGCCGTGGAGGATGGCAAGTACACTGGAAAGGATAATACTTCTCACTCTAGTCTCTCGAGCAGGATATGCAATGTCAGTAGTGCGGTCGCGGACTCGTGTAAAGTGCCCACATCCACTCCATGTGACTCGCCTGCCCTGAACTGGACAGACATCGGAGAATTTGCATTGACCTGGTTTGACCTTTATCAGGCCCTGTAAGGCCTTACAAGCCTTGTCAGATGTGAAAGATGCACCAGGCTGGTAGAGGACCTGATAAGCAGTAGTAAAACTATCTACCGATTTTCCAGAGCTACAAGGCTGGCAATTTTTCACCAATCTGGTACATATGATGGATGCTTGTGAGCTTGAGTATGGCCACATGCACCACCACAACAAATGAAAAACACCAAATATATTTCGATAGAGTCATACATAGCATTCGCAAAGAACACCGAGAGCACCACATTTGCCAAGGATCATGACCGGGTATGGGTATGCAATATCTGAGGCATGTTAGCGAGGTGGACAGATGGGTGTATTGGCGATAGCCATGCAGTAGACCCTCGTGTACAAGCGTGCACATTCAGATGTTGAGCAGGCACACTGAAAGTACTATATGTCCTAGCAGTCAGCGCAGGAACTCAAGCCCCCCAGCAATGGCATCCCCAGCATGAAGGATCGAACGTAGCGCCATAGAAGTAGGGCGGAGTCTGGAGGTCAGGCATCGTATTGTATCGTTCGACGGCTGAGAGTGCCACATTAGTGCTAGGCTGCTAGCATAGAGGTCGCGACAGGACTCACATAGAGTGTCCCGATAGGTGTCGGACAGGTCTGCATATGGTGGCTCAACCCAGTTTGTATCTTCGCAACGGATGAGAGGGACAAAAACAGCGCCAACCTTGCACCTTCGGATCCAGCCACACCATTCACACCACCACGAGAATCCGATGCAATGTCTCAAAATTATTGGCATTCATGTAGCGTACCATGACGAGCCCGAGCTTCTTCGCTGCGGAGTCCCGGAGACCCTGGAGGTTGCATTATCAGACACATCTAGGCTCCACGAGAATAAGGTGCACCACAATATGCACAATCCATGGAAATTTCTACACACATAACTGTCAGTAAGAAGTCAAATCCCCCAACATTGACATGGTGTACACCATGGAGCAAAACCAGCTCGAGGATGACAACAGTACGCATAAGAGTCTCCACATAGCGACACAGAATTAAAACTGTGGAGCAAACAGCTCGAGAGTTTCAGAGAAAGATAACGGGGTGCTCCACGGTGAGAGGGAGAGGCAAGGGAGATCGTATCGATATTGATGTTGAAAAGCGAACGTGGTCCGTGTGCTAGTTTAGGGCGGGCTGACGAAGACTTCAACTTCGTAATCCGGGATCCGGAAAGCTGATGAAACAAGACTTGTCCAGCCTAACAAGCCATGCGCAAGAACGTCGGAAGTCTATCAAGACTTACCAGATAGCGCCAAGGATCGTGGAGGTTCGTAAGGTGTGACAAGCTATCATCAGCATCGGTCACAGTGGTGTGACTCTGGTCAGCGCTACCAGGTAAAACCAAATCACGCCCAATTTCCCGATGGACCCGGAGACAGAGAGAAGCCTCTTCAAGCCGTCAACTCGGTTTTTTAATCTCGCATCTGGAGTCTGCTTGTCGCGTCCAAGGAGCTTTGCGATATCGCAATTTGAATAGTTTCTCTTGGAGGAGTACCCATGTCCCCGCTTGTTAAACCTCAAGATATCTCTGAGACCACAAATTGCCGACGGTGCTATGCAGTACAGCGCTCGATTGCATCCGTCAAGTCGGATCTCACAGTTGGGCTAACGGGATGCCGTCTTTGCCAAAGCAGTAGCAATTCACAGAATCAAGTACGGACTTGTGCGCTAGCGCATGGGCACATATCCGACTTGTATCCGACCAGATGTCGCTCTACGCGTTACCGACTGTTTTACCTCAGTAGCCGATTCACAAGCCCACTCCATTTGCGTATGGAACTGTAACCAGGTTTTTCGCTGTCCGGCGCATCTCGTCTCTGCATCAAACCCCCCTAGCTCGTTGAATGCTTGGACACCCCAATCCGCGAGGCGCGCCTATACTTCTGCGCCAGGCGGTCCACATGTTCGGCTGTCGTGCGCTGCATCTGGCCTGGTCCTGTTGGATTCCAAGTGTGAATGGAAAATTGTACGCTCGTGTGCCGTCTTATCTTCCGTGTGGGTCAGTCAGGCTGATACCTCCCGTGTGCACGCAGCGTCTTGCTGTGCATGCCCGTGACCCCCGTTTGTGTTGCGGCACACTCTCGCGCGCGGTTCTTTTCCAGCGAGTGCGCTCTGTGCCCTATGTCCCCCGGATAACCGCCCTCGCTTCCACATCGTGATCCCAGCGTTCTCCACTTATCGTATTTTTCGCTGTCCGGCACGTCGCCCATCCATATCAATACGCTTAGGCACCCAATTGAGGAGGCGCGATGCCTAAACTTCTGCGCCAGGCAGTCCATTTGTTTGGCTGTCGTGCGCTGCATCTGGCCCGGGTATGCTGGTTTCCAAGTGCACATGGAAATTCCTATGCTCGTGCGCTATCTCTTCTTCCATGTCGATTAGGCCGGCTGATACCTGGTGGTTACGCTTTGTGTCTCATCTCATATGAAGCTCTGTACGTGTGCGGAGTAGACGGCAGGGAACGGTGACGTGCGTGAGCTCCCGTTGCCCTGCTATGCGATATGGACTCCCCATTTTATCTTGTGGCTTTTCATGCGGATCCTCGTATCACTCGCTCGCTGTGCTTTCGATACTGAAGCCCTTTAACGTGTGTGTTTGTCCTGTCCTCTGCATCAGCCGCAGAGAGCCTGTGCAATGTGGGGTAACTCAGTCCATGTTGTCGCCTTACTGGGCACTCCAAGTACGCACTGTGCCCAACCCTCCGTGCCTATCTTCGCTACCCCATAACACGCACTTCCTCTGATACCCCGAAGTCGCCTTGGCTGAGACTTCTCGTACCCCAGCATGCTTTCCTTGTGTCATGCTCATCCAGAAATTCTCCAGCGACGGGCTGCAGGTTGCGCCGTTGTCTCGCATCGGCTGGTTGTGATGGAGACCGGGGTGTGTATTCGTGTATGTCCATCCCACGTCCGTCCTCTCACCCAGTAGCCCAGCCCAGTCGATTTGACGTGCTGTGCCGTGTCGTGTCATACAAGTGAGTGCGCTCAATTTTTCTGCATTCCTTCCCTGCGCAATGAAGATGAGTTGTCAGTGCGAATTCTGGCCGGGGGCGAATCCGGATGCGCCGACACTGCAGGCCTCAAGACTCCGGTCGCGCACAGCCTACACACGATTGCACCATCGGCGCCCTCCCGTTCCCCCTCCATTGCAGACCCTCCTGCATGAGTCATCTGCGTCGGGGACGATGACCCACTCTTCTACTAATCGCATTATCAACGCTCACACTGACGCGTACGCGCCCGGCGATCTGACGTGCTTACCTTCGGAATGACTCGTGTTCTTCGAGTCGTGTTCTATGCACGCTTGCCGTTTTTGAAGTCGAATTCGTGCCGCCCGAGGTGAGTCACCCGCCCTCGCTCGCCGGATCGTGGAGCGTGTTATGAATGGCCAGGCTTATCCGACAGGATAGCGTGCGATAGAGCATAGAGTAGAGTGCCGGATCCTGCGGGAGCGGCGCAGCTGGGGCGTACATGTCGTCCTATATTGTCCACACGTGCTACATTCCTGGCACTCCGCAGCATGCAGCATCCTCATATTAATGCTGTCGGTGGCGCGTGTACCCCCGCGATCTGACGTGCGCATCTGCGGAACGTCAGACTCGATCAGTCGTGACACGCGTTCTTGCACGCTTGCCATTTTTGCGTTCGCATTCGAATTCATGCCCCCCCCCGAGGCGCGAGGGGGTGAGTCATCGCCCGTCCCCATCTGCGTCGCCCTTCGGTTTTGCTCAATCGAGCTTCGGGAGCTCTCTCAGTCGTTTATGGCCAGCTGGTCTGAATCCTTATCTGATATGGCGGGGGTGTCTCTGGACCATGGGGCGTCGTGCTGCGTTTCTGGAATTCCGTGCTGTGCTGCCTTGGTTCAAATTAGTTAATAATTACACGATACTGCGCCGCGGCGTATGTATACAGTATACGCGCAGCGTCCACGGGACCGCGTCGCATACGCACCGACGAAATGACAAATTCGAGAACGTTCCTCGTGCGGATCCTGCAGCTGTGCGAGTCGCGTACTGTGCTGTGCTTTATCGTGCAGCGCGGTGCGTGTGCTGTGCGTATGTGGTGAATATTCCATTTCTATGTTTAGGCTGTTTACTACATATCTCCACATGTATACAGCGAATTCCAAGTCTTTGTTCTACGTTCTATTTTCTATTTCCATTGCGAATCCTACAGCTGCCGATACTTGTAAGCAATTCGACGGTGACAGTACTAGTGCTAGATCAGTGCGCGCAGGGGGCCAGTAGCAGTAGCGATATGGTACGAGGAGGACGCGGGGGCAAAAAGGATGCGTGTGCGTACGAGGGTGTGCGGTAGTGCGCATGTACCACCACCAGGGCGTCACCACGCCGACGCCACCATCCGACCATCGTCGGACATTATGCATGATGCATAAAATCCCGCCATCAATCTCCGTCGATCCTCCATCTTTGATCCACCCCGGCCGCGTGCTTACCTACATCGCCCCGCCCCGAGCTCCGCGCGAGTCGAATTCGGCCGGCGCGCATCGAATTCGCGATGGGCCACCCCACCCCGGCGAAATCAAGAGATCAAGATCAGGAGTCCGTGTAGGATGGGTGCGCGTGGGGCGGGATTTAGATGAGCGACGTGGCTCCACGTTAATCCAGAATGCTTCAGGTGCCCAAGGATTGCGTAGAGATGCGGGGGTGACATACAAGCAGCGTCGCACATCGTGCGCTGGTGCTGAGTACTGGAGGATCTTGCGGGCATGCAGCACCGGCGGGCGAGCAAATATCAGCAGCGCGGGCGAACACGCGAAGGTGTGGGTCGGGACGACGAGCATAACCGCGCTCATCCTTGTCCAGTACGCATGACATCGCGCCTTTATGCACAAGCATCCCCATCTGTGGATCTTCAAGTTCGGACGTTGCGCGCACAGCGATCTGCAGGGGGGCGCACAGCACCGGCTCGGGCATGGATCCCCGGCTCGGACTTGGTGCACGTCTGTTTCTGTCATCTCTGTTTGAAATTTCTAGTTCGAGCCCGAGGGACCGCGACATCTCGACATCCGTGCATGCATCCTACACGCAACCGGCGCCTTCAAAAGCTTCAGGTCTCGACAATCTGCACAACGTGTTCGCTGCGTGTCGTGGCCACCCGCATCCATCCGAGCCCGAGTCAACCTTGTGTGCCTCATCGCTCGGGCCGCCCGATCGTCCCAAAGTAAGCTGTCCGGTCTGCGCCAACCGACAATGTGCGCGTGAGGTATGAATATATGAACGTATATGAACTCGGGGCAGGTGCAACGTCGCGCACCGGGAGGCAGCAAGGACTATGCCAAGGGCGTCTTGAGTATGATATATGCTGCCCCGCGTGGAGGCCGGGGACCATATATGTATGCTGCAGGCAGTCGCCGCATGCGATATCGTCTGTGGCCCCCCTCCCCCAGTTCTGAGATCTGAGCACGGAGGAGGACGAATCTAGTCGTCCGATGGGGGAGTGCGGGCTGCGCGAAGCGTGCGCCTGCAAGGAAGGCGCCGTATCGCGGCGTCCCACATTGCGGTCATCATCGTCGTCGTCGTCATTCTGTGATCTTCACGTTCGGGCACACATTGCACGGCGGGGCACAGCACAGGCTCGGGCGCGGAACGCGGACTCCTGGCACACTTGTGTTTCTGATTGGGACCTCGCATCGCCACGCGCGTTCCCGAGGCTGCAGTGATGATGCGGAACACCGAGGGGTCCTCGACATCTCGACATCGGTGTACCCAAGTTCATAGCGTCCGCGCCAACGTTGTGTGCGCCCGAGCGTGTTCTGACTGGGACCTCGCATCGCCACACGGGTTCCCGAGGCTGCAGTGATGATGCCGAGCCCGGGGGACCTCGACATTTCAACATCAGCGTGCCCAAGTCCATCTCGATGGGGATACGGACACGAACAGGAGCGCACCGGCCGCGGGGCGGGGGCGGGGGAAAGCGAGGGACACTGGGGCGAGACGCCGTGGGCGATCGGGATGAGCAGGACTGTGCGCGCCTGATCACTCGCGGGCTCCAACGGTGCTGAAGCGGGCTCGCTCTTTGATACGCTATCCGGCTTCAGCTTCAGGCTTCAGGCTTCAAGCTTCAAGCTTCAGGCCGTATGCCACGACGCTGCGGGAATTGCCCTGGCGCTATCGCGTGTACGACCTCCTGCGGTGCGCGCACCCAGTCCTGAGTTCCGAGGGAGCTAGTAAGAGGTAGCTAGGGTGCGAGTGGCATGAAGGCCTCCGCCTCGGGAGGATCAGCGTGCACCAGAAAGGAAGGCGTCGAGTTCGGGCTGACGGTGGAACGCGTGCGCGCGCACTTTTTGCGCTTCGTACGGGTTGGCGACGGGCTTCATGGTTGGCTCCGAGGCGGTGATGATGTGAATAGACGGATAGTCACCTGGAGTCATAGCGCCGCGCGACGACCTATAGCTAGTAAGCAGCTGAGTGCATGCGACATTCCATTGTGGAGGGTGATTACGTACTGCGAGGGCGCCTACGGTAGCTCCGGGCACCGCCCATTGGTCCACGCACCCAGCGAGAACGCAGGGAAGGCGGGCACGACTGCGGCAAGAGCTCAGCGCTCAGCGTCGCGCCTCGGGATTCCATTGCTGGGCAGGTTCTCCGGGCGTCTCGGGGAGGTGGTGTGCTATGATAGGCTGGGAGGCACTTGGCTCGGGGAGGCATTCGCTGGCGCACAGCTGCGATCGATCGAGTCATCGGTGACGGGCGCATGTCAGAGGCTCGGCGATATGCACCCCGATGGGCTACGCGGGCGACATGGAAGGAGAGCTGGAAGAGAATGGGACAGAAGGGGGCGGACGTTGTGGCGGCGGTGGAATGGAGGATACGGGGTGGGATAGCTGGAAAGACGGAAAATGGCCGGGGACCAGAAATAGCAGGATGAGTCCTGGCGAGTCGGCCAGGTAGCGCACGCCCGATCCGACTGCTCTCGGACCTTACACACCCTCCGCAGATCCAGAGTCCGATATGTGCTCGTCCCGGTATATAGTCCTCGCCTCCATCCTCAGCCCGACCACCGTCGACCCCGCACTCACCGCCTCTCCCGCCATGGTCCGCACTCTGCTCCCCTACCGCTCACAGCCCCAGGACCTTCCCGCGTACTCTCCCATCCACACCAAGGTCCGCGACCCTCGTTGCCCGCAGCCAGCCGCCCTGACCACCGTCCCCGCGAGCTCACGCTACTCGTACCACGAGACCACCCCCTCCCCCACCGTGCGCGGCGCCCTTCTCTTCCTACTGCGTCCACCCACTAACGCGCCCCCGCAGACCCCCACTCCGCCCCGCTCGCCAGTGCCCTTCGCGCGGCCACAGACGCCCTCGGACGTGCTCGACGCCGTCTCGCGCCTCCTCGCACTCACCAAGCAGCTCCAGGAGGTCCTCCACCTCTGGGGGCTCCGCCAGGCCCGCGAGGCCCACGTCAGCGACGCCTTCGTCCTCCTCGGCGCCCAGTTCAACACCACCGTCATCCTCTTCTGGCAGCACAACGTCGACATCAGGTGAGCCCCCACCTCCCCGCGCCTTTACCCAGCCCCGCGCTGACCGGCCTCTTCTCCCCTGCGTGCTTCTCCCTGGCTTCTCTGCCCTGGTGCTTCTCGCTGCTTCTCCGGCCGTCCCCGCGCGCCCAGCGACCTCTTCCACCTCATCGTCCAGCTGCGCACCCTCCTCGAGCGCTGCCTCGGCGAAGAGCCCTCCCCCGCCGCCCTCGCCCGCTACACCCCCGCCGTCCGCCGCGTCGTCTACGACCTCCTCCAGGGCCTCCGCAGCAAGCAGCAGCCCTTCTGGGCAGCCTGCCGCCGCACCCGCTGACGCCCACCTTTAAGTACTTCGCCTTCGAGGAAGCCTCCCTTCTTCCGGGAGCCCCCCTTCTGCATTGTATGAGACTTCGAAGCTTCGCGGACGCCCCCCTTGGCCATCTTCCCGCCCGCGTGGCGTATGCTCCCCGCGTGGCGCCGGAATGGAACGCGCGCTCCTCCCCCGGCGCGCGCGCGCGCCTGCGCACCCACCCTATGCACATTGCCCATTGCACCTATCGACGCGCCGACGCCCCACTGCGATATGCTCCGGTCGCGCGCTGCTCGTACCATGTATCGCATATCGTATATCGCTGCTACATCGTAGCTCGCAGCGCCATAATCTAGCACCAGCCAACACGTCACGTTCTTCTTAATCGCACTGTAGTACTGCTCTCCCGCACTCGACTGCTTTACGCTATATAAATTTGTACTATTACCCATAGCCACCGCCTGGAATTCGCTCTCGAAATAGAAAATAGAAAAAATATGAATTAGACGTGGAATTCTGGAAGTAGAAAATATAGAAGATAGACTAACAGACGTGGAACGGGCACAGCACGCGTGCCGCGCCATTATGAACCTTGTAGTAGCAGAACACAATAAGCGACTTCGCGCACAGGACGTGCACGACCTTCTCCCCAAAGTCTCGGTGCGTATGACTAGTACTATGCGCGGACGCGGTCCCGTGGACGCTGCGCGTATGGTACGGTACATACGTACGCGGCGGCACAGAGCCCGAGTATCGTATATAACTCACTGACTCGAATCAACGCTGCGCGCGGAATTCCAGAAACGCACGGTCCTTGCCATTATGGATGTCAGATAACGACTCGCGGTCAGATCAGCTGGCAGGCCCATAGACGACCATACCAGTATGATACTTATTGGGGCGAGCATTATCGAAGGGCGGCGCGGACGGGCGACGTACCCATCGACACCCGGTAGCTCGCGGCACGAATTCAGATTCGGAGAATAAAACAGCAAGGGCGTACCGCGTAGCGTGCAGTCGCGACTCGTCGAGCGGACGTCCCGCAGATGCGCACGCGCCACCAACGGCATTAATACGAGCTGCGGAGTGCCAGAACCGCAGCACGCGCACGCTGCGCCGCTCCCGCGTTCTATCACACTCTATCGCACGCTAAGCTCAGCCCACACGATCCGGCGAGCGAGCGCGGGCGACTCACCTCCTCGGCACGAATTCGGCTTCAAAAACGGCGACAAGAACACGAACTCGAAGAACACGAGTGCCGCCCCGAAGATAAGCACGGCGCGCGTACGCGTCAGTGTGGGCGACGCAGATGACTCATGCGGGAGAGGTCGTGCGCAGGCTGCGCGCGGCCGGAGACTTGAGGCCTGAGGCCTGCGGTGTCGGCACAGCACCCGGATTCGCACCCGGCCAGCCAGAATTCGCACCGACGACTCATCTTCCATGCGCAGGGAGGGAACGCGATGCACTCACATGTGCATCACGACACGGCACGTCAACCCAACTGGGCTGGGCTACCGGGTGGGGGGGACGGACGTGGGACGGTCAGACACAATACACACCCTGGTACCCATCGCAACCTGTAACCCGTCGCTGGAGAATTTCTGGATGAGCGTGAGATGAGGAAAGCACGCAGAGGCACGAGAAGGCGACCTCGGGGTATTGGCAGAAGAAACGCACGTTACGGCGTGGCGAAGACGGGCACGGTGCGCAATCGGAGTGTGCAGTACGAACGCGACACGGACGATGAGCTGGCAAGCCCACATTGCACCCACTCTCTGCGGCTGATACAGACAAGAGAAAAGCACACCTGAAGCACTCCGACATCGAAGACACAACAAGCGAGTAGCACGAGTGTCCGCACGAAAAGCCACAAGACGAAATGGCGAGTCCATACCGCATAGCAAGGCAACGGGAGCTCACGCGCGTCACCGTTCCCTCCCATCTACTCCGCACACGTGCAGAGTCATTGCGACGTGGAATGAGACACAGAGCGTAAATACTAGTAAACCGCCTGGCACAGAAGGTTAGGCATCGCGCCTCCTCAATTCGGCGCCTAAGCTTATTGATACGGATGTCAAACGCGCTGGACAGCGAAAAACCAGGAGAGTGGAGAGCCCAGGACGCCGACCCGACGAGAGGAGCGACAGATAGTTGGTTACGGGTACGAGACCGCCTAGCCGCATCTTCTAGGGAGCTCCACTTGTTGATACATTCCGCACACAGATGGAGTGAGCCTACGACCTAGTCCGAGTCGGTAAAGGGACACCTGGTAGCACCTGGTCGCATAGAGGTCGGATATGCGCCCTTGCGCTAGCGCACAAGCCTGGCTTGGCAAAGGCGGCGTCCCATTAGCCTCGGCCCGCAAGATCCACCTGTCCGCACGCACCCAACCCGCACCTCAAACGAGAGCACCAGCGCACGACGTGCGACGCTATTTGCATGTGTTACCGATGCGTCTCTATGCTATCCTCGGGCGCCTGAAGCGTTCAAGAATAACGTGGAGCGACGTCGCTCACCTAAATCCCGCCCCGCCCGCACCCATCCTACACGGGCTTCTGATCTTGATTTCTTGATTTCGCCGGGTGGGATGCCCCACGGCGAATTCGATGCACACCGGCCGAATTTGACTGGCGCGGAGCTGACGAGTGGGCTCTCACTCTCCGCGCGGGGCGGAGAGGCGTAGGTAAGCATGCGGCCGGGGTGGATCAGATTCGGAGGCGAGATGGAGATGGAGATTGATGGCGGGTCTTTATGCATAATGTCCGATATGACGGTCGGATGGTGGCGTCGTCGCGGCGCTCCCACGCCAGTGGCGCGATGGAGAGTTGGGATGGGGCACTGACCTTCCCACTTCAAGTTGCTCGTCCTACGATTTGGGCGGTATCGGTCCAAGACTGGAGTGAATGGGCTGACGGGCGATGCATCACTGACACTGCGAAAATGCGAATATTTTGTTCAACGGGGAGACAAGAGGGATCGATATGATGTCGATTTCGTTCGACGGAGGCTCCGATCCCTCTTGACTGCATCCCGCAGACGGTTAGCGGGACTGCCCTTGTCTGTCGCAGAGGAGGGTAATCAGTTAAGCAGCTGACAGAGTGGTCAAGGGCCGACGTAGTTTATATACCAGCAACGGTTCTGCGTGCTGAGCGTGAGTCGGAGGCTAGGATGATAGCAGAGCGCGAACCTCTGCCACGTAGACGATCGCTGATGTTCGATTTGGCCGATGCGTCCAAGCTGATCTCTTCGTCGTATGGTGAGGTAGATACAAGAGAGTGAAGGGTGTACAGGTCTGCCTGCTAGGTGAGTCCCTGTCCCGCGATCTCAGCTTGTTCGTTGGTGGAAGTGAAAGAGTGACGAAGAGAAGGTGAGAGCATCTTTCACGTGGTTTGCACGTGGCTGCCCACCGACTCACAGCCTGAAATCACATACTTCGATGAGCGTAACCACAAGTCCTCCAGCGAACGTGTTATGCTTTTCCTGCAAGCATCCACCAATGTACTAGTTGTGATACAGCTATTTGCTGAATGAACTGCTTCAGGGGACTTGTCCACACATCATCCCAACGGAGGCATCTCAATTTGATCTGCGTCCGCCCCCTTTCCGCCCGGAAGCTTTCTTGCGGTGGGTCCTGAATGGATTGGCTACTCACTATACAGGCTACGTGGTAAAAGTCGTTGGCTCCTAACCCCCATTGTCGCCGAACAATATGAAGAAAAGCTGTCTCAAGCAGAAGCGATCGTCGTCCCCGAACCTAGACATCGCACTCTGCAGTAGTCCTACATATCCCTGCAAAGCCGAGGCTTCCAGTCCTGCGAGGGAAAACAAACGTGTCACATTCCGCGAGGAGGGCGCTGAGGAGGTGTACGATGCGGACGACGTGGGCCGCACGCCTATACGGGTGCCGAGACTCATGACGCCGTACGTCCCGGTCTTTCTTCCTATCCGATCCAGGCTGAGTGCATTCCCCGTGTCAGTGATATCATCGAGATGATGGACCTCGGTGTAGCATTGCAGCCGTATATTGTGGTGAAGTTGGTCTCGAATGAGCGCCGTTGTTCGAAGAGGAAGCCACGTCGTTGAGGGAAGTCGCGAGAGTCTTACGGTCGTAATCCCGAGCGATCTGTAGACCGATGAGTTTTTTTCATCTTGTTGGCATTATTCATGTTGCGTCTTTTTCGTCTGTGTATCTCCCAGGTTGTAAGCTATCTTTTTTGTCCACGCTTGCCGTCGTCTAGCCGGCGGATGAATGAGATCGCTATCCAATGAGGCATGGTAGATCTCGATTGATGTTGACCTTCCAGCTACGCTGACTCTTCTCCGTTGAGCCTCTCTGCAGCACGAGTCGTCTGGATGACTCAAACTGGGAAGCTACGTTGCCTTGAAATTATCTGAACGTTCTCAGTTTTTTTTTGCTTAACTCTCTATTAGGGCTCAAACCCGGTGACAGAGAGATATTCGGGGCTAGATTGCAGTAGAGTCGGGCGAAAATAACAACGGAAAAAGAAGATCGCAAAAAGTCGTCTCAAGGCCCTCCCTCACTCTTCAAATCAATAAATGTGCCAAACTTTCTCAACTCCAGGCCACTCATCTAGGAGTGCATAGTACACTTGCATATTTTCTGTGTCTGAGAGTGGAACGCAAATGGGATGTCGTAAAGTCCCGTCTAGCATGGGCCGAAATGCTTGCTTAAATGCGACGAAACTTACGCGATTATCCAGGCTCCTTCACCTCCTGCTCGCCAAGAACAACAGAGTGTCCACGATACAGTGCTCCTGTTCATCTCCTGCGTCGGAGGCACGGCTGTCGCCACGTAATAGGATCAAACGCGCAAATGCTCATATTATTATTAATTCTAGTTCGTGGACGAACACGATCACCTCATATATGAGTCCTGACACGGATTTTCTGCAGATGTTACCCGTAGATAAATACAAGCGTAACCGTTTGCTACACCGCGCCAATGGAGGAACTTGGGAAGAACGACGCCGGTCAAACGAACGGATAGGCGCAAGGACGGAATGTGACCTCCAGCGACGAGAGCCTGATGTCTTCCACGATCTCCCAAAAGCGATGGTGCAACATAACCCCGGCGAGGGATGAGCACCACTGAAAACTAGCCCGGCTGCAGAGAATATTAATGGTGGTCGCCCCGCCATCGGATTGAGTGGATTACAAGTTGGGACTTCGTCGCGACTCGTCGCTCAGCCAACGTGGATGCAGGTGCAGGTCTGAACAAGATGCTAACAGGTCACTGGGTGGACGATACGCACGCACGCATGCTATATGGCCTATGCAACAAAGTGAAAATATTCCTATGAATTTCATAAGATTTCCGTTCCGTGAGAGACGGAAGCCCGGCTCCGACTCGGAAGGTTCGCAACTTCGTCCGAGTCCACGATGGACTCCACATCCTCGTCGTCCAACGTCTCGCACAGCGGATCACTCTACGATGACTACGATCTCTTTTCTTTCACTTTCCTGAGTCTCCCGCTTGGTTGAGCGTACGAGCTTGCATGGATCGGCTGGCTGCGAATCGTTTCGTTCGTGCCGATATCTTCTAGCTAATAGAAAAGCATTGCTATGCGATCTTGGACATGAGAGGATTGAGACTTAGATGTGCGTCCATGCTATCTCTTCTCCCAGCAGAATGACTATTGCATCTCCCCGTACATGGATGAGGTATACACCCTAGGATGGATGAGTCTGATTGATGCTCTATGCATGTGAGGTGTGGTGTGTGAGTATATCATCTCTACTCAAAAACACTTCTGACAGTTACAATCAGTGTTATTATTGTGCTATTATTGTGCATCTACTGCTTTGCATAATCCAACTGTTTCCACACTAGTTTGTTATGGGTGTGTATACACCATCATGTTGTGTACATGCTCATAGCAAACTAGTGATGCTCTTCTTCTTGACAATTGCTTCTACAGTCTACTAGGAAGTAATGATCCATTTTGAGTCAGACAGATAATGTACAGCAGATGCTCTTTCAACCATGTGCCAGAATTTTGAAGTGGAGACTTGTGTTACAACTTGAGAACATGTTCTGAACTGAGCAGTACAGTATCATGTACTACTATACAGGCACAATTATACACAATAGAGAAACAAATAGAACACTTCACATCTTACCAGTCAGAAAGGAATTCTGATGTGTAGGATTGTGATATGGGTGTGTATACATGATCACCTCCACCAGAGCCCTCTGGCATGGTATTGACATCCTCGGTGGACTCAGAGAAACCCACCAGACAGATATCAATGGGCAAGAGCTCATTGGACCTGGAACCTACTGTGAAAATGTCTATGATCACATAGAAGAAGCCTAGAATTGATTGGTGCATACGGTACTGAATGTCTGATGACACGTCCGGTAAAGACACCAGTTCTGGGCGTGCTATGCGATGGACCGGCTATCAGTACAATACTAGGTAGCGATGGACGAGAGTTTCCTACCTGAGGTTGGCCACACAAAATCCTCATCGACGGCGGGGGCCGCCAGCGCCGTCTCGCCGCCCACGTCGATCGGAGTCAAGTCTGTAAAACCTAGTGAGCAAGCTGAACCATCACCGTTAACGACACAACACTCTGGTGACTTACCTCGAACGTCCCAGTCTCCAGGAGTCGACCGATCACCGACGCCAGCGAACACCGGGATCGAAGGGGCTTCGACCGCTGCAACGGCCCTGTCATCCACCACCATAGCTTCTATCGATGACATGAGCCGAGAAACCAGAGGTGAGACCTCCATGCCAAAGAGCAGATACACGGGACGTGTATATGTCCCAAATGCTGTATCTGAATGAGGTTGGGTGCATTAGTTGTCGGAATACTACTCAGCAAGTGATGAACAATTTACCTCCCCAAGAAGACATGTTTAATACAGAATCTAAAATGTGGAGAGGGGCAGGAAAGTGTAGAGGGAGGTAGTCGAAAGCAAGATGCAGTGCGCGAATTCCCATGTTCGAGCTTTATAATACCGGGTTCTTCGTTCTCACGAGCCAACTGCCAGAAGATCAGCTCGAAACGCGAATCATGGCACAGCGCAATTCAAACATACGACGCCCCGCGCCGAGGACACTACACAGTGAGCCTAACATGCATTGTCCGTACGAGTCTGGCGAACATGCCCGTAGAGTCAGTATTCGTGGACCAGCAGCGACACGCCGAACACGCCGACCATCCATCTGGACATCAGCGTCAACCAAACATGACTGGAGTACTTGAGTCCTTGTGCCATAGACGGAGTAAGTCCGATCGGCCGGTCGCAACCGCAGATATGGCATCCGCTAGAAGTCTCATGGCAAGGGCGCATGAAACGAAGAATAAGACCACACGCGGAACAGCCACACTCAGCAACAGAATATCCAAGGAGACTCACCGCGACAAAATTACATCCACCGTCGTGTGGACAGAGTTCAACAGTAAATGAACAAGTTTCCGATACTTTAGCAACACGTAGACAGAAACGGACAGGCACAGATAGAGAGGTCGCCCGACACGGCAGCAGTTACTAGACCGCCAAGACCAGATATATTATTCTGTATAGGAACCGCAGCCGTGACAGATAATTGCCCTGTAGATGGGGTATCACTTGAGCGAAATCCAACAACACAGTTGTCAGCATGAACTTCGGAGGATTCACTGGTTTTTCAAGAATTCCCCAGCTATTCGCGTAACAGGACGCAGTTGTCCGCATCGGTCAGTACCGTGTCCACTGTGTCGTAGTACTCACAAACATCCTCGACCGTGTCCGCATCCACCAGAGATATATCCGGACAACAGGTTCTATTGCGTCAGATGCCAAGTGTGAACAGAATCCAAGTCATAAGTAGGCTCTTCACGAAGGTTGTATCCGTCGTTAGCGCATGACATCAATTGACAGACCCATCAGAAGCGAGAGGCTCTAAGTCTGGCAGTCGATCTGGCAGAAGGTGGTAAGTTCTGCATGTCCAGGTAGCCAAGAGTAGAATCTTCACTGGTGACAGTCCAGTTTAAGGAACTGGTTTAAGCGATGGCCATTTAACTAAATGCATGTGACCAGACGTATTGTTGAGGCCGTCGGTGTTTCCACAACTGCTAATGCCAGAGAGTCTACCGTCTCTTCTGGAACGAGGGGACGGTAAAATATTTGGAGAAACAGCTTATGAAGTACGCAGCGGTTTCCGAATTGCCGTCTGGTGCTGACAGAGTCAGGCTGTGAATCAAAGAAAAAGGCAACGTCAGAGATTACAGGGGTCGTCTCATGGCATGAAACGCACTAAGACGGGTAAAGGGGAATGTGAGAAAGAACGTAGCCAGTCTTGGGACTTTTACCCAGAAACGCCGCTGTATCAAGAGGAGAATATGGTGGACACGTTACGCGCGCTGAACTGCGCGGACGTGTCAACCAAGTTGCCGCGGTCAACGCTAAGATTGCACTTCAGATGCACTTCCCGGAGTAGCTGAACACTGAGGGTGTAATCGGTCTCACTAAAACCGTCACTGGTAAACATCCATCACCTGCTCACCTCGACGAGGCCCTCGAACGTGTTGATCAGCACCTTGTTTGTAACTCTTACCGCGAACTGCGGAAGGCAGATGACGCACGTATCCAGCTTTGACAACGTCATGTAATGCTCGCACCTGAGGGGCAGATTATAGGTCCCTCACCATTGCAATGTTATACAACACTCACTGTCTCCTCGATGGGGGTTTCGTAGTCGAACCGATGACCTGTATCCCAATGTTCAGTAAAGATGTCCCATTAGCAGATAATGAAACACAATGCCAACATTGATAGAGGTCAATGTAGTCAAGCTGCAGACCTTTTCAAGCTAGCCTTAACCACATTGAAAATATGCTGCAGCAAAATCTCACTGTCAGAATACCGGTTATAACATCAATATGAATACCTTGCTGCTGAGTCCGTGTTGGTTGACTAGGCCGATTTCGTCCGCGCTCTGTTCAGAACTGAAGATGTTGGTGCCCCATTTACCGGGTGTCATGGGCGTGAAGAGCTATTCAGAATCGGCAGCTTGTACACAGCTCGACGTCAAAGCTATGAATATTTACACCGACCTTCGTCATCACAACAATCTCCTCGCGGGGAAGGTTAAGCTGCTTGAGACGGCCCACCGCAAATGACTGTCACCCGTCGGTAGTAGCGCTAGCGTAGGATTGGACAAGTTAGGACTTTATCGCCGCCTAGCCAACGTGGACGCAGGTGCAAATCTGAACAGCAAGGGACCACAGGATTGTTGGGATCACTGAGTAGATGATACATGCCAGTCGTGTAGTACGCGCTGGCAAAGATGAGACAGAGATCGATCAACGTCAGACTGGAAGCTTTGAAGATTGGCGTTGCATAGGCAGCGTGTCCGAGCGTTTATTCAGACAGTTGCCAGGTGAGACAAGGGTGTTCTCATTTGATATACACAACAGTTCAACCGTTTCCCTGCCATGTACTGCACTCTGTTTGCAATATTGTGGCTGTATAAGTTTCTGTTCCATAGTTTCATCTTTCGTTCCTGGGTTTCGACTGCTAATATGATAGTAATACATATCCATACATTATACCGGAAAACTCGCTGGTGTACCAAGGGACAAATTGTGTCCCAGTTCAGAAACTTCAAGCCTCAGCCTGAGTATCGCGTACACCTCGATGAGCTGATGAAGCGTGAGTTATTTGTATTTGCTCACCACATGCACTAAAGTCAGACCGGCCGACGCAATGCCAGCAGTGCTGGCCCAGCCATCCTTAAACCTCTTCAGCTGCAAGCTGTCGGAAACCTCCAATTCGTCGTCCAGTGAGCCCACATTGTGGCCTGTGCTGGTGATGGGCAGCGAGGCGAATGAGATAGGGTCCAGGCGTAGTCAATCCGTGGAGGATCGCTGGACACTAGTGTGCATCGCGTAGCCCAGGCCAACACGGATGTTGATGAGCATGAACGCAATGCCAGACACGGGCGCCCATGCGTCCTCGACCAGGAATGCAAGGTTATTTCTGGAGGTGTACGCCTCGTAAGAGATTATGAAGAGCACAGTCCAGAAACTAGATAGGACCGTCGATAACTGCGGGTCAGTTACACAAGCCCACAAAACGCTGAGAAGGGCATACACATAGAGGACCGCGCTCTCAATAAATACGGAGAGAAACCACTGCAGGCAAGCGTCAGCGACCATGAACGTACATGTCACATTCACAGCTCGCCTTCAGACCGCGCTTCTCAGACTGTTCAACAAGTGACATCACTTGTGAATGAACGCGCCATAGTCGCCATATGATCAACACTAAGTGGAACAACAGCATGTCAAAACTATCAGAGACTTCTAGATGTCTTACCACAGCAAGACAAATTCGTGCTGTGTATTATTAGTTCATATAAGTGCAAATTAATGCATTGTCAAGCGGAGAGCACAGAACAAGCGTAGACACATACCACATAGTTAGACTCCAGGTGCTGTCCAGCCATGGGTCAATATGTGCAGTGTCGAACGTTGTTTGGCCTACCTGGTGCGCTTCTGTGTATACAACAACCACGCAGCATACTGCGCGCCGGCATTAAAAAATCCGGCTATATGGGAATCCGAAAACCGACTTACCGATTGAGGCGATGAAGGTGCACAACGGAAAAATGATAACATACACGTTACGACTCCAGGTCATCCAAAGACGGTATAACTGCAGGAAGTTTCATTCTGAGCCCGAGCTTTGGCTCTGAAGAAAGTAAATGGAATAGACGCTTGCCAGCATAGTGTCCCCAACTGCTAGTGACGAAAGCCAAAAAGCGATCTTGATAACGTTGGGTACCACCATAAGACTGTAGTACTCCTTCGGAGCTGTACCGTCCTTATAATAAATAAAGGCTGAAAATGAACGATACACAATCAGGATCCAATTCTATCCAGCAGGGAGAATATGAGTCATGTTTCCTCCGCCTTCATCTCGAGAAAAATGCAAATACCGCGGTTATAGTAATGAAATATGCAATTCCGCCAATAAATAACGGTTTCTTCCAGATAGTCAAGGAGCGGGAAGAGCTGGCATGGGCCTGACGTTCGCGTTGCGCCATGAGGTATGTGGATGTGCAAAACAATACGAGGAAGACACCATAGAGGAAGGCTGAGATGGACACCGAAGCAAGACTGGCGGAGACGAGTGAGATTTGTCCCATGCTGCCAGGACCGGACACAATAGTACAGGGGGACAGATGCAGCCAAGTCTATACATAGGTAGGTGACTAGTTATACATCACGGACACTGTTGTGGTCCTGAATCTTGTTTGACTGGGAGTTCACAGGTGCTTTGACCGCAGTGAGGCAATGCAAGAGCGCTGATAGGCTGATGAGGCGTGAACAGTAGGATCATTGTCAATCGAGTGGAAAGAGCTGTCTGTTTAAAACAGGTCCATGTCCTGCCCAGAACAATGAAGCTATGTAAATCATACCAACTGCCAGCGTCACAGGTTGAGGTCAGCCTCATTGTGATGCGACGGTATGCGCACTCGTATGACCTAGCAAAGAACTTGAGAAAGGGACAATTGGGAATATTGAAGAGACTGGGCACCAGAGTTCTGTGTCAACCATATTTAAAGTTGCGAACCTCGCGTGGACGCCACTCTTCGACTCGGAGCGCTAGTCCCAACTTACACGCCGCTGACTTTCAATATAATACCACGCCAAACCGTTCTACATATGCATTGGATTGATTATTCTTGTCGCAGGTGGGTATTTTTGGCCTACAATATTCTGTACAACCTTCATTTTTGCGTTTCGTGCATTTGCATGACGTGAGTTTACGGATGGGTTGAGATATGTTTTCCGAGACGTATGTGAGCAACCAGGCAGTTCGACTGAAAGAACTCAGGAGATGCAGGCCGACAAAGTCACCTGGATTGGCAAGATAGATGATGAATGTTGAACACGGTGGACGCACGGATGCTTGGATGGACAGCTAACGCTTCTTCTGATTACATACAGTATACTACGATGATTGGATGGACAGATAGATGGCTAGATGGCCGGATGGATGGATGGCAGAGGGAGCTTCCCACTCTCTGGAATGACTCGGACAGTGAATATACAGTGATAAGATACAACAGTTCGAGCAGAAAGCGAGGACGCACTACGTAGTGAATTCAAGTAGTGAAAGGGCGCCGCGCAACGGGCCTGAGCATCTTACGACGCACAGTATCCGAAAACCAGCCAGAATCAGAATCTTCGTCCGAACCCGATCCCGGTCCTGGACAAAGCTCTGATAATCTCTCCATCAGGCAAGCCGAAACTTCTTGGAGGACCTCCGCATTGACTGCATTCTTCCCTTCTCTTACGCAGCCACTTGCCCACGAAAAACCCGGTGGCGCCCATGTTGCGTCTGGTCTGCCATTGGATCCGCTTGTCAACCAAGTCGTTCCAAATTCTTTGTTGTATGCATCCATCCACATAGCGCAGCATAGGCAGCTCCGTCTGCTGCTCCCATTAGCCTACTGCGACAAGCATTTGATGGTGTGATGAGATGCAGCTGTAGATGGCGATGACTGTGTACTGGCTCGGAAATGGAGGATAATCCGTAGTTCAGCATGGATACAAGTGTTGATGATGCGCAGATGTTCCTAATTGCTGTGCATGTCAGGGAACCATTCTGCGAGGGCGCGCACGGTAGCATCAGATAGAGTACTCTCCAACTGAAATCCATGCCGCAGCACCTCCAAATAGTCATTAGAGATACTGGATTTTCCCTCTCCGGAGCCTACGAAGCTGTCCTTGATCCAGCGACAAGGAGTCTTTCCATCCGGGAACATTCGATTGGCCTGCTGCATGAGCAGTGTGATGTCACCGACGTATTGGCAGACTTGGTCCAAACACCGCTTCAACCTATACGCCCTCATTCTGCGCTCCCAGTGCGAGAAGGTCATATCGTCACAAAGCTGCTTCAGGAATCGAGAGCGTAGGAACGGCTGTGCAATTTTGCACAGCCAGATATAGACCTGCGTGGAACTTTCGGTGTTTCCCTCCTCTAATTGGGAGGCCGATAATGCCTGGAGCTCGTCAACGATATTGTCGAACATGGCGCGGAACGAAGGTTCTCCATCCCCGTATCGATCTCTGTGAAATTCGGTCGTGTGGCTTTGTCACTGTACGAGTATGTTCTGTGTCAGTCTCTGTCAGTCTTCTGCGTTCTTGCGACGCGTCGCGCGCAGTGTGCACATGACCCAAATGATGGGCGCTAGTGGGCATTGCGCAGTGCCCATTCTCCAACCACCATCTCCTCGCTGTTCCATGCGAACATGTCTGATCCACCTACCGAGAACACATCTCCTTCGGAGTCCGAGCGCGTAAATGGTGATCTGCGTGCAAGCGAAACAGGCAAGCCCTCGACCGCGGACTCAGGCACGACTTCGCCGTTTCTGAATCCTACAGCCGCGACATCACACCCCGCAGCGGACACACACGCCAGCGATATCACACTCCCCGAGGACCATACGCCCGACCTTCCGCCCCGCGTGCCTGACATGCCGACCCCAGTCGAAGCCGTGCAAGAGGAGGAGCCACCCCAAATTGCAGCCCTGCGCTCCATGTTCCCCGACTTTGACAGCTTAGTCTTGTGCGTATTCGCGCGATGGCTCTCTATCCTCGCCCAGCTGACGAGTCTCTCTACACGTACGCAGTCAGTCCGTCCTGGAGTCAGTCAACTACGACCAGGATCGCGCGATCGACGTCCTCCTCGGCATGAGCGACCCCGAATACGTGTCGACATCACAGGCCACAGCACCGGTGCCCCCGTTGTTCCTCGTCATTCCTGACTCGTTCTTACTTTTCACGAACAGACCCAGCCAGACCTTACGCTAGATGAACAACTCGCCCGCCAGCTCGCGCTCGAAGACCAGCAGCAGCCCCGCCGCCCCGCCTCCGGGCATTCATGGCCCCGCCGCAACCAAGTCCCATACCAGCCTCGCCAGCAACACCCTCGTTCGCCTCCCCAGCAGCAGCAGCAGCAGCAGGAGGGGTACGTCACTGGGAACGAGCGCGGCGACTTCCAAGAGTTCCAGGATACATTCAGTCGGATTGCTGAGAGTACGTTTGCCACCGCCAGATTTCCCTCTGCAAACAATACTAACTGCATCAAAACTGACTTCGCAAATAATCCGATCCTCTGTTGATGCAGGCGGGAAACGCACTTTCAGCTCCATCGTTTCCAAGGCGAAGGCAAAGATCAACGAGTACCAGCAGGGCCGGTGAGTACTGCATTCTTCGTGCCTTTTGCCGCTCAATGTCTGGCCAAACGAAGACCGTCCCAGACTTCGCCACCGTTGACTCAACCCCAGTGGGGCTCCGCGCCGCCCAACCAACCAGATCGCCACACCGCCCAGCAAGCGTACACGCAAGAGTACTACGGCTACGACCACTCTGCGTATCCCGTCTCGCCACAGGAACAACCACATGTGCAGGGCTATGACGCGGGGCCGGTGCCGTACAGCAATATTCCCCCGAGGAGTGCCCCGATCGCCGCCCCGACGCCGGTGGTGCCGCCTCCCAACGTCAACCCTAACATCACTTCGCCGTCAAATCAGCCCTCGAGCTCGGTCTCACCGCGACCGTCAGGCGATACTCCTCGCCCACCCCCGACGATGAGCGGCAGCCCCATTAATGCAGGTGCGTGTCTTCACGAGGTGCCCGTATAATTTGGTGACACTCAATCTGATCGTTGCAGCGAAACTGGGTCTCCTCCCCAAACGCACTGTGAACCTCCTCAACTCTCAGCCTTCGACGACGCAGGCGCCCCAGGTGCAGCCGGCGGCGGCGAGACGACCTAGTGAAGACTTGGAGTACATGGAGAATCCGTTCGAGGAGGGGAGGGATTGATAATGGGCATATACATGGTTATTGAGGGTACTTGAAGTGCAGTAGTATAGTAGCGCCGGATGGACTTGGTATGTAGTTAGAACAGAACTCTGTGTTGTACCGGGAAATATGCAACCATACTGATGCGTGCGCGACTGGTTGGCTTGCGAGCATCTACCAAATACGGGGAAAAGACTGAAGAACTGTGGAGTCGACAGAACGAGGGCGTATAACAACAGCTGAGAGCTAGTGCCAAGGCAGTTGCACCAGCGGGCCCAGAGGGTGAGAAACACTCCCCGCACAGCATGAGATGGAGGGCAAATTCCCGTCGAAGGAAAAGAACCGCAACGTATCCGAATAATGAGTCACCATGGTGTTACTTATGCAATGCAGTCCAGGCGCGCCGTTGCCAAAGCGAATGTTCCTTATCCCGAGAACTACGAAAACGTCCGCGCTTCGACAGACACCCGTGTCTTCTCGCCCTCAGAACTGACCGATCGTCATCCAGGGAGGAAGCACGAGCTACTCAATAGCATATGGCTTATGCTTCTCCAGCGAGGACGGCACTAGACGAGAAGGAAGCGACGGAGAGAAGGGAAGATGGTTGAGGTATGATGCAAGATGAGAAGCGATGCCAATAGATGCAAGGTGAATGTTGAAGCTTTGAAGTTTTAAAGGGCCAAACCGAGACAAAAGAGGTGGTAGGAGTGGAGGGGATACGGGAACCAACGCGACCCGCACCGCCCTCGATTACACTTGCCTAATCCAGACACCGCCCTTCCATTTAGGGCCACATAGCGGTGACTGCCACCAACTTGCGACTCGGAGACTTCGATCGCAGCGCGACACAATTTCAATAGGATATATGGTGCTTACCTGGTATAACAGCCCGCATCGTATGGCCAACAATGTCCCCCCGTTTGTGAGCTTCCCCACTTCAAGACATCCTACGTCGCAGATAACTGGTATGATGCTCTGAAGGGGAAAAAGTGATCGCTTAGCGAACGAATATCCATGGAGAGATTATAGAACATGAATTGCTCTTGAGGATCTATTCCGTAGATGTGGCCTAAGAAGTCGAACATTGAAAAGTTTGCTCGAGCTTGTGAGACGCAATGGGGTGGGTGGTTGATGGTGACCATGGGTTTCCCGTGAAAGCCTCTAAGACCTAGGACTTGGACCGCGGAAGTTCGTCCGTGGTGCGACGCGTGCGATTATCTCGCCAGAGAAGCCAGCAAACTCGCACCGTACAGGCATATGCCGCGAGAACGGGCTAACAGAGCTGTGGGCTTGCTATCATCAGGTGAAGTTACGGACAATATGATAGCCACAGACGAGGGATAGATAGTCGCAGAATGTGGGAAGAAGCAATTGGAAGTGAGATCAAGCGCACCCGAAGGCCAAATGGATGGAGACACGCCAGCAATAGGCCACGGTATCGAAATTGACGACGACGACTTACGTATGTCACAAGCAGTGTGCCTGCTCAACGTTGCATAACATGCTGTTTTCATGTGCGGCTGTGGATAATGCAACCAATTTAGTGAAAACGCAATGGAACGAAAATATACTTTGTGGCGCACGACAAGAAATGCCGCGAACATGTTAAGCCAAATGCTGACCAAAGGAGCAGATTGGTAGACGGTCAGAGGCCGCGCTCTTGGGAGAAGGAATGCCGTCGAAACCTTCGGGGCTATTCCTTTGCTCTTCACCAGGCTCTGCCCCGTTTGCGGCACGTTTCAACCGTGAAGATGTCGCTTAAGCGGTGAGCACAAAGAACAATGATTATAGGCTCACTGAATCTAGACACCAAAATTTTCTATGAAATAAACGTTGGCGATGCAAAAATGCACGACGCCCCGTGTGCTCCAGTGCATTGTGTTCCATGGCTACAGATGCCGTAACAGATGGTTCGACGAGGTATATATGAGGGGAACGGTTACCTTGGGTGATGGCACTTTCAATACCCACCCAGCAAAGGTCCTCTGAATCCGATACAGGGATACCAGACTTCGAAGACTTCAAAATCAAAGCTTCTGGCCAAGCAAGAACTCTCAGTAAGACTCCGAACTACCTCTAGACATGTCGTACTCACCACACTTCGCTGTACAGTGTCTTCGTCACATAGAAAGCTGAAACTGTACGTCGCGCATTTCCACCGCGACCGAGCAGATCTTCCGTACCATTGGGCGATCTGTATCGAACGAGGAAAGAACGGTGGAAAATCTGTTGGGAACATGTACCACCTCAAAGGATCAACCGCCGGATACAATTTCGAAGTGCGAGAGAATGTGCCAATCACGTATACCAGCAAGTGGCGCGGGTCACTTTTCATCTGCAATATACCTGAAGAACACCTTGGCGGAATTCAACCGACGCTTAACGATAATGTCAAGGTGATCTGGAATGACGACAATTGGAACTGCCAGAACTGGGTGCTCTCAGCGTTGAGGTTGCTCCAGAGCAAGTATAAGTATGACATCTCCAAGCGCTATACTGAATCTCTCTCCTCCTTGAGCTTGGAAATGAAAAAAATGGAGGAGAAATGGGAAAAAGGAGACGACTCAGCATAAAACTCCACGTCGAGGCTTCTGAAGATGATCCACGCACGGCAGTGCTCAAGACGCAGGGATGTTTCAAGGCCATGTACAGGGTTTCCAGACGTTGCACGGATTATGTTCTCTATCGCTGTCGTATGTATCAGTTGTGTTTGCATGTAGAAGGCACCTACTCGTTGCCAGTAGAAGTTATGTACAGCTATCTATGTTATGCTCTTCCAGTTCGAGCGTTCATAGAGTGCCTGCTCGGAGATTGTGCGATGAGCATTCGTCTCGAAGACACTCTCTTCGCTACAAGCCAGAACCTCTGAGATAGCTACGCATTACCTAGCTAGACGCATCGCATGCAAGAACAGCGCAGACTTTGCAAACTTGAACGGGTCCTCGTCTAATGGCCATCAAGGCTATTAGCACCCATCGAGATAGTCTTCTGAGAGGGACCCGACAAGATCGCAGGGTGAACTCACTGATTCTCAATCCCAATGAGACAAGTCTCACGACATGCAGACGAGTACTCTTACACTGGTTATGAAAGTGGTTTACGAGCGCAGAGGTCATGCCAACGGTCCACGGATCTCTCATTAGAATACCTGCCCGATATGGCTCCGCATAGCGGGCCGCTAACTTTCAAGCAACTCCGAATCAAATTGCTCGCGGGGCTTTCGAGGTCACTAAGGTGTCTTCTATCCAAAGTCCTGGCGAGCCTGCCGCTCTGCGTACCTACCATCTCGACTGCAAGCTCTGTCCTCTAGTGGAACAACCAAGAAACGCATCCAGCTTCCGAAGTGATTTCTGCAAGTGCAAAGGCCTGATGCTGGACGGACAACCTTGCCGGCTCGACCGGATCTATACACCGACAATTTACCGCTCCCCTCAAGTGATCCTCGATGTAATCTGCCTCAATTTGCGAGCGGGTGCGGCGTATATAGCCACCTCGCTCCCAACTTACCGTCATACAATTCGTACCCAACATGGCTTCTCAGTCATACGTCTGGCTCATCACCGGGTGAGCGGTTTCTGTACCGTCAGTCTGACATTTACTTATGATGGCTGCATCCTCAGTACATCTCGTGGTATCGGCATGGAGATGACGCGCCAATTGCTACAATCCCCCATGAACACGGTCATCGCGACATGTCGGAACCCCGCAGGGGCAACAGGTCTCCAAGCACTGAAGACCGATCTGACTCTGAAAGGAACCCTACACGTCGTCCAGCTGGATGTCGCTGATGAAACTTCGATTCGGAACTCCGTGAAGCCCGTTAACGAGATCCTTAGCGACAGAGGTATCGACTACCTGTACAACAACGCTGCTACGGTACGTCGGCATGCGATGTGTGTGCATGTGTGGCTCATCTTAGCTCACAAGCATTTCAGACAGAGTGGTTCGATACGGCGTTCGAGCACTCATACTCGGGGATGATCCGTACATTTCAGGCGAACGTCGCGGGTCCGGCACTCATCGCACAGCTATATATACCCTACATCCTGAGGAGTTCGCGCAAGGTCATCGTCAACATGTCCACGGGACTCGCAAGTTTTGGCTTGAACTGCGGGCCGAAGTGTGTATCGTACAGTATCAGCAAGACGGCACTGAACATGCTTGTACGTTTCACACCGTATTCACCTGTATCGATTATTGACTGATCCGGATCTCCGGTCCTGGTGACAGACGTACAAACAAGCGACCGACAAACCCGAGATCATTGCAATCTCCCTGGATCCTGGATGGGTGAAGACAGGTTAGTCCAATGTCTCCGCTTGTTTGCGCTATGATTCCTATTATCTTGATGTGCGCAGAGATGGGTGGCGAGGGAGCGCTCCTCGAACCATCGGACAGTGTTGCTGGTATCATCAAGACCCTCCAGGGCCTGACCTCTGAAAACTCCGGCAAGTTCTACCGATACAATGGCGAGTCGATCATCTGGTAGGGGAGGAAGTGGAGCACAGATTTGGAATTTAAGGTCTTATTTGCAATGTTATAAACGGGATGAAGACGAGTCATTCAATTACCATTTAAAGAGAACCTTCGGTGCGAGCTTATCAGAGTTCCGTTTCTCATCCACGCGACCAGATCGCGCTCAACGGAATGGCTAACATCACCGCAGTTACCATACTCATAAGTGTACGCAGATGTTATGACTACATGCGGGATCGAGGGTTATCAGTTTGCCGTCAGCTAGATGAACACACTGCGAAAATGCTGAGGACGTGATCATAGTCTAAAGCACGCTGTGCAATGGATATAATAATGGAAGGTCTATCAGAACGAACGGAACAGCAGGATGGATATTCTAATTCTCAAAAAAAATAAACAGTGCGGAGCATTGGCAATCATAGACCGCGCTCTGCTCTTGTCTTCTTGATGAAGAGATCTCCACCCTTCAGCCAGCTAGTGAAGTAGTCTCCGAACATCAGACCCCAGAAGTATGGGAAGTATGAAGAACCATGACCCTGTAGGCTATATGAGAACACACACGTCGACAGCGCACAGAACAGGCATACCTTCCCGATTGGTACGACGATGGCCTCCGGGGTACCCTTGTATATCTTCTTCTGCGGCTCGCCTGCAAGGAAACTTGTAATATTTGGTGCGACTACCGCAACGTGAGCTGGCCCCTTCAGCGCCTGCTTCTGTTCCTTCCAGTCGGTGATGTCGCCCAGTGCGAACACACCGGGATGCGCAACGGTCTCGAAGGTCGGCTTGACCTTGACCTGCGAGCGCTCGTTGAGAACGTCCGAGCCGAGCGTCTTGATATAAGCCACGTTCAGGCGGGGGCCGAACGTGGGCACCTGATTACAGGACGGTGGTCAGGCCAAGTGTGCCAGAATGAAGCTGGAAACACGTACGACGAGGTCGGCATCAGGAATTGTCGTGCCACTGCGTGTCGTAATGCCGATAGTATCTAGTTCTGGCATGCTGTCCAGATATTCGCCCAACACCAGATTGATCTTCCGGGCGCGGACACGTTTCTCGAGGTCCTTGCGATACTTCGCCGGATATGTTGCGTTGAGCAACATCTTGTCGCTCTGGATAATCGTAATTTTCTTGTCCTACACACATAACACGATGTCAAGAGTGCGTGGAATTTCTCACACAATTTCAGACATACCGCGAATGTGTCCCGGAGCTCTCCAGCTGTCTCTATAGGGCTGTCAGTGTCTGCGTGGTCTGAAGTGCCTACGGATAACTCACCAATACCGACCGCGCCACCTCCAATGAGGACAATGTGCTTCGCATTACCATACTTCAGGCGCCATTCCTTGATGTGTTCGCGAATTTCAGAGTCGGTGGTAGGGAAGTCCAGAGGACCAGACCACGAGGAACCAGAAGCCAGGGCCAATGCCGCGTACGAGATCCGCTCCCCGCTTTGCAATACGACCACGCCGCCTTGTCCGGGCTCGGTCTCCTCGATGGCAGTGACCTTATCGACCTTAAGAGTACCGTTGCCATTGATGAAGAGCTTGTCGTATGGGATGAGCGCCCCGTCCTCGATGTGGCCTTCGTCGGTGACGGTCATGCGTGCCGCGGCAAGGAAGTGAATAGCGTACGGCCGTTCATTGATGAGGATGACGCGGTATTTCGATGAGTCGAGTGTGCGAGAGAGTGAACGCGCAAGCAGAGAGCCGGCATGGCCACCACCAACGATCACAACGTTCTTTTTCTCCTCGATAGTCTTAGACATCTTCAGAAATATAAAAGTAAGGACATACAGATGACGGGGCAGGGAACCAAATCAGACTCACCACTGCGGCGTCTCGTTTTTTATGTAAAAAAGAGACAACAGATCCCATGAGAACTCCTGTGGTATGAAAGTAATCTTCTGGGAACCATCTGCCTCGGCGGTCTTTAAGAGACTCCACGGCATTAATCTCCTCGAGATTATGAGTGAAAAAAAAGCATTTGATCTGTCAATTACGGAGAACCGCATGCTCGGAGACGAGATGAGTACGTGAGCTGCCAGGGCAATTCTCCGTGAGTTGGCCCGTGCTGACACGCTATGACGACGAACTTACCAAGCCATGAGACTGGTTACTGGCGTCGATCTGGATATCGGGAAGATTGCAGATGCTATGCCTGCGCTCCTCGTTGACGAGTTCCGAGTCCGTCGGATAGTTTCTTCCCTGCTAATTTTGAGGGTCATCAGTTGCTTCGCGCAAGTACGTCCTGCTACAGTGGGTAAAGTGCCCTGTTTGCCTGCTCAACGTAGACACCAACCGAGTGCGGATGCTCAGCTCTGGGAAGAACGGATCCCAGGGCCCTCAAGATTCTGGCGTGCGAAGGATGTCGATGAGTTGCTGACAGACGATTATCAGATAAAACGCTTGGAACGCGTTGACGCTGCTTCGATTCTCACCCGCACTTACTCAGTATGAGAGAGAAACACGGCCGTGCTGCTGCGTTGCTGATCTGATAGTCGTGCACGCCTCGACCGTGACAGCGGTAGTAGTATCTCGTGAAGAGGGCCGGAAGGCGCAGGTGTCGCCGTGGACTCGCACATGTAACATTTGTCAGGCTCCAAGTTAAGTAACTCATGGTACCCAGAGATCACTGCTGCGTATGGCAGCATGTACTACTTAGTACCGTAGGTGGGGGTACCCGTGCGAGTTAGCCACACTTACCCCTTCTCTGCCCTAATGCCTACGAGAGCATCATTCCGGTCATTCGCCGAATGATGAGGCTCTCACAAACATTCAGGGCTTTTTCCTCTATATGCAGCGACATCACAATCTCCCCGACTGGATGCCATTTTGGTCACAGTAAGTTGGTGAGTTTTCAGCTACTTCTACAGATGATCGCTGAGATATTCGATTTAGCAATTCGTCTTCGGGACATCACGCATGGTCGGGCGACAGGTCAACGTCACGCGTAGACTAAGATAATTTGAATCTTTGAGAAGATTACGACTTGTTCGTCAACTCAGATGCCTGCGTTTGAGGCTCCTTGCAGAGGATACACTGTGAATAGTGAGGACGGCCGAAGGTGTCCGTTGAGGAAGCAGTGTCATCTGCGTACACCACCACACATGCAGGAGATCGAGGCGTCCCTCTTTGTACTTCCCCAGTTCATTCCCCTCGTGGGCCATCCGATAAATATTCATGAGAACGGTGGCACGGCCACAGATTAATTGCAATGTCGTACCAAACCACTGCTGGCAGGTACGTGCATTCATGCTCAATTTACGGTCGTCTCCCGTCTGCCTGGCACTGACTTCTAGAATCAGTCACCTACTTCAAAACAGTTCTCGGAGACCCAGTGTATTATTTCGCGAGTCCTGCAATGAAATATATCAAAGGAAATAGCCATTATCACTAAAGCAATAGCTGTGTTTAGACCCTAGGATCCCCAAAATGTTGTCAAATTCACTCTGCATGGCGCGGTAATCCCGCCCGTTTCTTTTCCGACATCAGGACAACGCCATCCAAACGAGTCCGAATTTATTTGTCGATGCTGGACGTCGCCAGTCTTGAGATGCAAATCGAGCTGACTCCCCGTCTGGCAAACTGGATATCAATGTTCTGTTGTGGGTCTTTCTCAATGGGAATCTGACTGAAGCAGAATGATACGGTACAGATATACATCTGTATACGTTTGGAAACATATAGACGTCCCAACAGAGCTTTTGCAACAAATTTGTTAAATACATCTATCACTAGAATCCTGTCCAACCTACAAGTTCTCCACTCCCCCGTGCATCTTCCCATCCCGCTCAGGCCGACGCACCGACACCTTGTGGTTCGGGATGACCACCTTGCTGCCCATTCCCAGAGATATCCATCGCTGTAAGCTGGTTTGGCAGCCCGTAATACTGCGACTGCCATCCCTGCTGGTGGGCACCAGCCACATCACCTGCGGTAGGTGGAGACCCTTGCTGGCTACCGTTGGGAGGACCGGTAGCTCCGTACGGCGATGTCCCATAGCCTATTTGCTGCTGCTGAGGTGCACCATGGGATTGCAGAGCCGGAGTTGCGGTCAGCTGGGTGTCGGAACGTACTGGAGCAGTGGCGACAGCTTCCACCGCTTCGTGACTGAGTTGTTGCGCAGAATAACCTGCGACATCACCGGAGGACTGCTGAGGACCGGATGATGCGTGTACAGCGCCCTGAGGTAGCGCGAACGACTGTTGCGGGCTGGCATGGGATAACTCTTGTGAAGTTGCACGGGCAGCAGCGGCAGGGGCAGCTTCCTTGATCCCTGGAACGGAGAGGAAATAAACTGCACCAGTTATATCTGTCCCACCCTGCGCGTAGTACTGTGCCCACGCCTGGACGTTAGGATCTGCGTACGTGGCATTCGGATCGTATACATATGGAGGACCAGTCTGCTGGCTCGATTGCTGCTGCTGAGGCTGTGCTTGCGATTGCTGGGGCTGCGGTTGCATCTGCGGCTGAGGCTGAGACTGTACCTGCGGTTGCGACTGCAATTCAGGCTGAGATTGCGTCTGAGGCTGCGTTTGAGGTTGCAACTGAGGTTGGGGTTGAGACTGTGGTTGGGTATGGGTTTGTACCTGGGGCTGCTGCTGCTGAGGTACCGCAGCTTGTGACTGCGGCTGTGCAATGGACTGAGCTCCAGGGTACCCATACGACTCCGGCTGCACACCATACGGAACAGCACTCCCAGGCGACGCAACGTACGACTGCGACTGGGCATAGGCTGGTCGCTGAGCGTAGGGATTGGTTTCGTATGATTGCGGTGGCGGGGCGCCCGGGTATTGGCCTTCCGCGCTGACGGAGTAGGCCCCAGCGGGCGCCGGGTATGCATTGTATCCAGGCTGATCATAGACTGCTGGATTCCACCCATACGTCTGAGGTCCGCCACCCATCGGGTAGTCCTGACGGCTTCGAGAGTCAGACCCGTACGATTGTGATTGGGCTGCCGGATACCCCGATCGTCCTTCGTACACTACAAAGGCAATTAGAGATAAACAATATGAAGCAAAAGAACCGACTTGCTTGCTGAGTGCCTCGCTAAGCTCTCCTCCATCATTCGGTCGAAAATTGTCCTTGCTTTAACGAAACTTTCGTTCATTGAGACAAGGTCGGCTGAATCATTAGTCAGACCCAACAACACAGAGTACAACACGGAGTAGGCAAACCTCGCTTTTGGCTGTACTTGTCAATTAGCTTGACGATCTTCGGACGTAGAGTCATGCATGACCTGTACAGCTCCTGCAAAGATACTTAATATTTAGCTACACACTCTCTCTGCGGGGACGTGCCTGAATCTCCTCGTTGTCGGCAAGATTGTCCTTTACAGGGTCCATCTCGCGGAGCAGTGTGAGTAACCGATCGACATTGGCGGCCTGATTAAACACGGCAGCCTCTTGTTCCGCCTCTCTTGCAATTTCGGCTGCCGTAGGCTCAGGCAGTGGTTCCTACATACATATTTTTATCAGATACACAGTGATGATCAGGTAAGGAAAGCCCACGCACCACATAGTTGACAGGAAATATGCCTGTCCTACCCTTCAGTTGACCCCGCCACCAGTCCTTGTAACCACGATCAACGACCTTGATGATGTCACCCTTCTCGAACGGCAGTTCACCAGGCTCGGAGGGCTCAAATGTGTGCAGAGCACGGACCCGAGTGACAATGGGTATATTCTCCCGACCCGAGGACAACGAATCTGCTGAGCTCACCGCTGGTGTGGCAGCAGTAACGGTCGATGCAGCAACTGGCGCAACTGCAGAGACAGCAGGGCTGGGGGATGGCACATATCCACCATAACCTGGTTGCTGGGAAGACGTGTGCGGGGTAACCTTGACCGCAGCGGGAGCCTCTGATCCTGACCCACCGGCACCGCTCGAGGACGCTAGTGAGTATGAGTCCCATTGTCCCCTACCGCCCTTATCGTGGACGGACATCTCCAACACCCGTTGCAGCTCTTCCTCTTCCCGTCGCCGTACTTCGTCATCCACTTCGGGCGGAGGTGGCTCATCGGGAGTCTCGAATTTGTAACCTTTGCTCTTCAGCGTCTCGTAGCATTCCTCCATCATGCCCAGCGTGGTGTCCTTCTCGAAATCGGCAGTCCACATAGCCACCAAGCCCAGCGTCCTGCGCCTCACTTTTTCGTGTGTTGTCTGTCCATGCATTGCGATAAATGAGATGCTGGCAATAAGACACAGAAATGAAGCGCACTCTGTCTGTGACAAGCCGCTCCAGACTCTGAGTGAAAGCGCGCGATGCAATCTCTCTGTGCACCTCCACACCACAATTCTTGGACAAGGCTTCAGCCAATGTCAAGGTGTATAGCTGCACATTAGGACTTCGATGGGCGAGTCTCTTGAGGACAGCTGCGGTGACGTTCCGCGCGCTGTTTCAGATGCGTTAATCGTGTATCTAACAGATAGTGCATGCTACTCACCCTTGTTCCCCTTCATCTTGTACTTTGTCGCATAGATTCAGAATTAGTTCCCAGTTCTCACTCGTGAGGTTCTCGTCTGTAGTCTTGCCTAGTAGACATGAAGCGTGAGAGTCATATACCGACGGGGGTCGAAATTGGACACTCACCGACGATATCGTCGTACGGATTCGGCTGACCACCTCTGAACATAACGATCTTGTTGCCTTTAGAGAAAGAAAGAAGAGCGAATATATTCTGCTGGTGTACTGCGCGCCCCGCTGCGGTGTTACTATTAGAGACTGTGACTGTGAGCAGTGCGGTCACTGCGATGCCCGGCACGCCTTCCCGGATACGGATATGGCAGTACGCCACTTGACTCTTGCAGCTTCCTTGCAGGCACTGCTGCCTGCTTGCTTCCACTCACACCTTTATCCCGTTCGATGGCAAGGGGTAAATTTATTGTCCTCTTTGCAAGGCTTAAACTCATCTCTTTATACTAGTTCCAAGAAATTTCCGTCTCCTCGAGGAGCTTGAGAAGGGCGAGAAGGGCATCGGGGATGGGTCGTGCTCGTACGGTCTCGAAGATGGAGACGATATCATGATGAGCCACTGGAACGGCACGATCATTGGTCCTGGACATGTGAGTCTTTACTAAAATTTATCCTTGCCCCGATCGACGACATCGCGGTGGACATAGACGTGGTAACTAAACCACATCACAGACGGTGCACGAGAACAGGATTTATAGTCTCAAGATTACATGTGGAGAGAGTTACCCCGACCAACCACCCACCGTCCAATTTGTCTCTCGAGTCAACCTTCCATTTGTGAACCAAATCGACGGCAAAGTCGATCCGCACAAACTTCCCGTATTGGCGCATTGGAACAGGAACAGTAGTATCGAGACAGTTCTTGTAGAGATTCGCAGGTGCGTAGCTGAAACACAGCACAGTGATGTTGCAGTTGTACCCACCTGTGCTTCGCGTTATAGGGAGATGGCTTCATTCAACAATCGCAAGCTTCCTCAGCCTCCGGAAGGCAGCACTTTCTAGGGGACCTATATCCGTCTATATTGCATCTGGCACGAAGGGGGGAGAGTACGCATCTTGTCGATAACCTGTGTTTTTAGCATTCAATCGAGCATCAGAGTCACACTACTGATATACAGGCACGCGACGCAATGTCAACGCGAATTATCCTCGTTTTCTCGACGTAATGAGGCCGTCCTATAACTTCAACTCTCAATATCTGAACACCGAGGAAGCAAAAGAGAACTCAGCGACCAGTGAGCGTCTCAGTAGAAGTTCTCAGGTTTCTGAGTAGTTCTATTTGTATTGTTGGGCGAGTCTCCCTTTGACACCCGAAATTATCAGTATGCAGTCCTCAGGCATAACATGCTGAGGCCGAGAGACGCAAATCTCAGTCAGGTACACCCTCAGTGTGCTGTGCACTTTCATCTGGAAAGCTCGCATGGAAGTGGTGAGCATTGCAGTAGAGTATTAGTATTAGACATGAATGACGAGCGAAGAAAACATGTATACATCTGGGGTATCGAATGCGTAATTGTATAGGACCCACTGAGCAGGATCATTAATTAAACTAGCTATATAAGGGTGGTGTGAATGTACGTAGGTACAAAGCAACATTAATGGTATGCACAAACATGAGGCAGAGAAGGAAGAAGTTACAGCATAGAGTCTGTCAATCATGAGTCATGATCAGACTCCGAATATTCTGAGAGTGCAGTGTTCATCTCCTCCGACAGAAGGCCCGACTCGCCCAGACGCAGTGTGCCGCCCGCGCGGTCGCTGCGCTGGAGTAAATCCTCCCATTTCGAGGTCTTTTCCTGCTCAGTCCAAGCATGTCGGGGCGACTCCATCTCACGGAATGTCAGCGGAGAACGCGTGGCACTAGACGGAGAGGCGGAGGAGGCTGGCGAAGGGGGCACCTGTTTCGCAGTCGACGCGTAGCTAGAACGGTTCACTGACGACCGGTTAGAGAAGTTCAGGTCGACGGAAACCGAGGGGTGGGGACGTGGTGTCGCAGGAACATTCGCCGCTTGCATGGACCGGGACAGAGTCATGACGTCAATGCGAGCAGGTTTCCGTTGGTCGCTGCGCTTGGGGCGCGGTGGCGGATTAGACGGACCCAACGTGCCAAATTCTGAGAGGGAGGACAAAGGGAAGGAGGGAATAATGGGTGACGGTGACATCTCCTGTAATGTGGCAGATGGCGGTCGTCGGCGAGGAGGTAAAGGTAGAGAAGGCCGACTGTCATCCACGGAACTTGCGATTCTCACATCGTTGACAGGTGCAGAACGAGAGCGATTAGGCTGCCGTAGCTTGTGGGACACGTCTGCCTTGGCACGATCTTGCCCTGCGTTCAAGCGGTTAAGTTCGCTGGGAGGTACGATGTGTTGGCCGTACGGAGAATCATAAGGTTTCGGCATAGGCGGTAGCTCTTCGCCGTACGACGAGGTCGAGGATCTAGTAGAATGAGCTCGATGAAAGAACCCTGAAGAGGCTATATCGGAAGACCCAGGAGACGACGACCTCGTCGTCGTGCTTGGACGACCGGCTATAGCGCTGGAGCTTTTGTTTCCGGTGGATGGTCGAGACGGGGGTGAGGCCTTATGCCTGTGAGAGGGTGATGGTGTAGTTTGTACTCCAGACAATGATGCCCGTGACTGCATGAAGCGCGATAGCAGCACGCCATCGTCACCACCATCCTGACCTGGAGTAGATTTAAGTGGCAATTCAAAGGTCATGCGCGGTAATGCCAGTTTGTGAAAGTCCTGAGGGAGAGCTGGCACCGGCGGCGGAGACGAGTCGCGCTGACGGTACTTATCGCGCAGCCCACCTGTGCTGAGGCGTTTCACAAGTTTCCACCACTTGCCACCCGGCGACGAGTCCTCATTAAAGTCCCTGTCCTTTCCTTTCCCCGACTTCGCCGCCCACGAACCCACGCCTTCCGATCGTCTACCCTCTTCAGCTGCAGTCTCGGGAGCACCATTCTTCGCCGTCGGTATTGAACGTCGCGAATGTTTACTCTGTCCGGACACGTCAACGTAGTCATCCATGGACATCCTCACCGGTGTCCGCGGTGACTTCGGTATGCTGTCTGATCGTCTTTTCTGTGGTTGCCCATCGTATGGTCGCCAAGCGTCCGCGTCACGCCCACGGGCCTGGTCCTCGTGGATCACCCTAGAAGGAGATATATCCCGGTCTCGCTTCACGATGTCTGCAACCTTCTTGAGCCTGCCAGACACCTTTCTCGATAGACTCTTGCGCATGCCAGGTATAGGGTGGGTCTTGCTCCTGTGCTCCTCCATCGACATGTATGGGTTGAAAATCCACGTGTCGCCCTGAGAATCGGCGGTCGCTGGCCTATGCTCGGAGATGCCACCGAATACGGTATAGTAGGGGCCATTGCTCTCCTCCTTCAACTCGTCCAGGTCCTCTGGGGGTTGGTCTGTCCGACTGCTACTGCCGTGCACGGACACACCCTGCCGGCGTATAAGATCTTCATAGCTTGACGTCTCCGCAAGCTCTTCGCGACGCTGCTCCTGCTGCTTGTACGCATGAGCAACCCTCCCAGCAGGAGTCAGTCCTACAGGTATTGGAGGTTCCTTCTGGCGGGTACTGGCGCTGGTCGCAGAAGCCGCCTGCCTCGGTGCGCTAGCTGACCGGTAGGGCGCACCATGGGCACTATCAGCGGAGCGCAATCTCTGTTTCCCCGATGTGGAGTGGGGTAGAGTGCCAGCGCTGCGAGGCTGTCCATCGCGACTTGGCGGGGGCGCAACGGTCGGATTCGAGCGTGCGCTCGGTTTACGTCTCAGGACGTTACGGGAGGGTCTGGGGCTCAGAGCGCGCTCTCGTTCTGCATCTTGTGCTGCAGGGGACACATCTCTAGAGCCAGACCGGTGGCCTGATGATGACCTGGAGCCTGACGGTCCTACCTGCAGGTTCTGCTCCTCACGAGAGCTTGTGCCAGTAATATTGTACATTGCTAGTCGTGTGACTGTATCCGCTCCCAAATGCGAGTGTATATACGACGAACCTGACACCTCGGAGTCGGAAGGAAGGGAGACCGCAGACGAGCCCGACGCCTTATGGAGTGCGGGCCTGCTGAGCAGGCGCTTGAGATCCAAGTGACCACCATGATCACGATCAACGCTCCCATTAGATGAATTGCGCGAACCCGAGGACGATATTCCCAGCGACGCAGGGAGAGTGAGCGGTGAATAATACGACGCGCCGGAACTCAGACTGTAAGCAAAGCCTGCGGACAGGTCATCACTCTGCAGTTTGCGATGCGGTGACAAGTCACGCTGCCGTAGCCCAGGCCTAACCCCTGCACCGGTATTAGGATTAGACAAGCTCGTGCTGGATGACGGTGAGAACATGGACGACATAGTTGACGATGCGGCAGGGGGCATAGGGTCAGGCTTCCGCCTGTCTTGTAAAGATGTGTTAGAGTCGCGCACTGCAAAGTCAGAGTGCGAATGAGGGTGCGTGAGGTCCATTGCACGATTAGAAGTGTGCTGCTGTGAAGGGCTATATGGGTTTAATATCTGACCCCTCGTGACCGACGAGCCGGCGGGTTGAGGTGGATGAAAAGAATTAGTCGCGTTGAGCTTATCAGCTTGTGGTATATCAGGGAGCTTTCGATCTCGGTACTGGTTTAAGGAAGGGCCACCGGAATCGACCTGAGTTTCTCTGCCCGATACAGGTTGAACGAGGGTGTGCATTTGAGATGTGGATAATGCCTTAAGGGACTCGACCTCTTTAATCAAAACATTAATTTTGGAATGAGATGAAATCAGGCCAAACGAGCTCTTACTTGGTTTTTACGGTGTCAGAACGTTGAAAGCTTTGAACAGGCGTAAGCAAGTCCGGCAGAGCTAACAACCCCTAGAGCAACCAGAGAGAGAACATTGAGTGGTTAGTCACAGCGGAAAGCCAGTAAAACCTACATAATCTAGAATGAGCTTATGTATACGTCCAAGTCTTGGTGGGGAATGGTCCAGGGAGTCCAAAGCGCGTAGAATGTCGTAACGGCACGTGTAGGTAGGTATGGTGATAGCAGGGTTGGTGCGGAGATACTTAGCGAGCTGGAAAGAGCGTTGTGTGCGCAGACCCCTTGATAAGCACGTAGAACGACAGAAGGACGGTACCAGATGGGATACCCAAGGAAAGGAGCAGAGGCGCGGTAAGGAAGGACGAGCGGAGGAAGTCAAGACGGTGGCACGGGGAGACTGAGCAAAGCTCATCCGACTCGTCTCGGTCGCTCCGACAAAAATTCGATTCATTCCACGTGCCTTTTTCATTTTCCTCAGCCGTTTGGCACCTTTTCGGCCCTCTGTTCCCATGCCAACCGCCGGATGGTCAAGGCAAAGTCGGCCCCGGAAGGAAGACTCTTCATGTTTACGTCCCAATTTCATTTACCGCATAATTGGGTCCATTATACCTTCGGAGCTCGGAACGAAATGCAGGCACAGGCAATAATCGACGGGAACAACTTCAGGCAGTGAACAGGAAGTAACTTGGAATAATCCATAAGTATCGCTACATGTGAGTGCTGTACACTCGTCGGTATCTGGGCGGGAAGAAGGATGAAAATCATTATGACTCCTTGGTTTCTCTCGTTAGCTCGTCCAAGCCCTCGTCATACATCCAAAAAGCTTCCAGATCACCCTGCAAATCAGTATCGGTGGTCTCATTCCCCTCCACGCTCACCACGTCCGCGACGCCAAGGCTCTTGAGATAGTGCTCCTTCACGAGCGTCTCGACTCTCTCTCTCTCGCTCTGCTCTTCGCTGCCTCGCCACAGCACGCGCTCCAGCACATGACGGATGAGTACACGTACAATGATGTAACCGTGCGACGCGGCCAACGCGATGAGCAGCGCCGAGAGTAAAAGCTGACGCGAAGATGAAGTCGGTTGGCTGAGATGGTGGTTATTCCGTTCGAGGGATGTCTTTAGCGGCTTGCAGTGGTCGCTGGGTCGGAAAAGGTAGACCAGTGCTGAGTTGGTCAGCGTAGCGAGCCATGAGAGGAATGTCAGCGAGTCCAGCCACGGCCCGATGGTATCCGTGCGTGAAGGTAATGGCCGTCGCGTGTGTACAGCGATTTTGAATGCGTCAGAACGCATCTCGAACCAATTATTCAACAATGACATCACTGGCATAAAGCACGATGTCAGACATGCAAAGTCGCAGGAAATAGTGGAATAGCACAGCGGATGTAGTATTCACCTGGTGCCAGTGGCCAGATCGTCGACCACAACGCAACGTATCCGAACTGCGAGACCATCTCTCGATAGTCCTCGAAGACGTCATAATCCGGCAGTGCAACCTCCCTGCGCACCCTCTCCATGAACTCTCGCTCCTCCTTCCCATTCGCATCCTTCGCCAAGTCCTTCTCACCCGCTTGATCCTCGAACATCACACGCTTTTTCTTAACAACACTGCTTGCACCAGCACTGCCGGCCGCCAACGAGAGGCCCTTCCCACTGCGCAACGAATTAACGGCGCGCATCACATACGGAAGCCCTATCTCGAAGAACGTGTCAACCACCTGGTTGGTCACTGTGGACGCGAACATCTGGTCCTGCAGCCTCGTCGGGCTCAACTTGTTCCGCGCGTTCATAATGTCCATCTCCCACATGCCCTTCCCTTGGGTGCGGATACCGGGAGTCGTAGTGCTTCTTACAGATGCTTTGCTAGTCCCACGGCCAGACCTGTAGGTAGTAACGTTCGGGGAGAATAGAGAGACAACGGTCCCAACCGCATCGTAGAGACTCGTGTTTTTCTCCAGAATATTCTGGACAAATATCATCACGTCCTCGCCAAATGGCACGTACACGAACGCGGAGAGCGCAAGACCGAGGTATTCTGCTACGGCGGTAAGCGAAAACGTCTTCACAGTCAGCGACGCATCGTGCGTAGACTGGTGTGCGTGGTTCTCCCAGTTCGTCATCGCGACTGCGTACCCGTGGTAAATCTTGAGAAACCTGGGTACAAGCACAGAAACCAGGATGGTGGGTGCGAACGACTGAAGGCCCATCAGCATAGAGACTACACGAACGCATGTGCAAACGTACGATATAGCGGTGGCCCGGCCCAGTGTATAGCTGTGTCACAAATGCTTCGAAAACGAAAACGACCGTGAGTAGAACTCCGAGGACGGCCGCAAACAGAAAGATCACCGGCATGCTGGCAAGCATCTTGAAGTCTTTCTGCCACCACCGCTTTGGAACAGCTTGTGCTCTCCTCTTCTCCACACGGAACGAGCCGTTCGTACCCCACCTAACGGACAACACGCGTTGCTTGATACGCCAGGACTCCACGAACGTGATGGACCAGAGCAGGAGTATGGAGGAATACACGGGAGAATATGGCACACCCCAGAAGTAATAATACACTCCGGCAGCAGAGATGAAAAGCAAAAAATTCGTGTAGTGGTAGAGGAAATGGAAATATAGGGCAATAGCTTCGCCGAACTGACGACTGGATCAGCAAGACCATGGGGCAAGTGCGGATAACGTACCTGGTCTCTGATGGCATCGAACTTTGGGCTGAGCAACTGACCGCGAGTCGTCCATGACCGAATCCACGCATCATTGAACGCGTGATCGTGCAAAGCCATCACGGACTCGACGCGATCCCATTCTTTGGAACCAGGAACAACCCCAAGGCCGCCCTCAGCGATGGTGGACGTGACGTACGTGTGTATGAGACGTAGATGGTTAGCCGGGGTTAGTTGCTTCGTCTGCACATCAAATACGGCGGAAGGGTTCGCCATAGGAAGACCAGAGACAAAATCAGAATGTCTGTTACGACCGTCTGAGCACCAAGCAGGAGATGTAAAGTAGGAACTTACAGCTCTCGCTGAGATAGGCGCGCAACCGTCTCCAACGGACATGAAACCAACACCAAGAGTTGCCCCTCACGCTCTCCACACTTGCCTACCGCACGCAAACCGCCCTTCTTCAGCACATGCAGAAGCAGTGTATACTGCCGCTCTGCCTGACGAGCATTCTCCCGAGCATGAGGTCTCGACAGCACCTTTCCGGAGGACGAGCGGAAGACTAGTACGAGATCTACGGTCGGAACCATGACAAAGAAAGGGAAACGGCAAGTGTGCCGAATGGTTGAATTCTCGGAATATGTATGTGGCGATGACCTCAAGGACGGCCTCCTAGCTCCATGTCAATCGACACCCTTAGGAGTTCGATCAATACGCACCTCGCTCTACCCCACTTCGCATACGATTGGCGGGAGATAGGGCCACGACGACTTTGACAAGATAACAGGCGACGATTCGCTCATCCAACAGACTGCCGTTACGTAAGGACGTCTTGAACACCCGTCTCGAAAAGGCAGGGGAGTAAGTTCAACCTCGCCGGCCCAAGTGCCTGTCCCTTTGCGAGATAAGCAATGCGGCGAGTAATGAAAACATGGCATACATACCGAGCAGCAACCTGTCATGAGAACGCGACGCGTGTACTGAATGATGCAGGAGATTCAATTCTCATCATCGCTCGGCAATAGTATTTGTTGCTAGTGCAGAAATTCCTCCACGCAGCAGAAAGCCACAGTTGGAGAAAGATTGACATTCGTTTGATCTCAGGTAAGCTTGGCAATACTGTATCCCCTACAGCATTGGGGCCCCATCGAATGTGACAAGACTGTGGAGAAGCATACCCGTACTCGGCGTTCCGATAGTTGTCTGCTACCAGCAAGTAAAATAGGATATCTGCATGAAAAAGTATGAAGGTAATGTAACATTTCCTCATGGACGTATTCCGCGGGCGTCAAGCCGCGGGAACAGTGTATATTCCCTGCAATGACATGACCATCTACCGTCCTAGTCCATGAATATTGCACGCGAATATCAAAATAAACGAGAAATCAATAACTTACACACCATAGCACACACAACATATGCACATCGTAAGACTGCCTCTTTATCCAGCTACCTGATCCGTAAGCTGTGGCACTGGCCTTTCTTCTCTTCCCAGACCCGCAGCGCGCTCCGATTCCTCAATCGTGTAGGCAGGCTCCTTCAGAGCCTTACACCGTCGCTTGTGTACCTTGCTCCTCCAATGTGATCGCAATGCAGCATCGGTTTCATAGTATCTAGCGAGATGCACGTCAATCCACATATTTCTCGTCCAAACAGTTGAAGGGAGCTCCTCACTTGGCACATTCGACGCAGTAATGCTGCGCTAATCCAGGCCTCTCAAAGTCCAGAGGCTGAGTCTCCAGAGCGGCACGGTTCTACATCGGGACAGCGTTCAGACTCTTAAAACACAGTCGCAAAAAGCGAAGGGCGCACTTTGGGATCCAAATCAATCAGCTGAATCTGATCCAAGTCTCTCGTACGAGCCTGAGGAAAGAACTGAGCATTATGTACCAGTGAAGGCTAATCCAGGACGAACTCGGGTTCTCGAAGCCCTACGAACGTCTCGCTGAGCATGGTGAGTGCGAGAACGACGCAGACGGCCCATGTCGGACAGGGAGTAGGGAAGCCGTAAAAGTCGGAAAGACGGAATCGGAGTTTTCCGCAAAAAGGAGAGCAATCTGACGTAATTCACCGCCAAAACGCCGTGGATATTGGTTCCGAACCAACGCGGGCCCGATGTTAGGAACTTATGCTTTTAGTCTGCGGTTCAACGGAACGTGGCCATAAACACTGCTATAGAGTCATCGCAGTTAGCAGCACTTAATCATTGACTTACTTGATCTCTCTGCTTGAACGGCTCCAAAACAACTTGTCCGCACATGCGCATCTTGTCGTGGAATATTGTGAGCTTGTGGCTCAACGTTGGTCTGAATATACACTTATAGATGCGGAATTTGTAGAATGGAATCCGTACGCTACCGCAATACCATCCGTGAGTGCCACAACCCACCCGCATTGCCGCTGGTCAAACACCGATCACAGCTGGAATACGTTCAAGTCATGCGAAGGTATCCTTGACGAGCTACAAGCAGACATTATATGCTTCCAAGGTCTGCAGGAGCTACTGTTACAGTTCAAATTGTGGTTTACACGTCATGCAGAGATGAAAACATCTCGTATTGCCTTGCAACGCGATATGGCCATTCCTGGCCCATATCACTCTTTCTTCTCGTTTCCAGCCAGCAAAGGCGGCTACAGTGGAGTGGCTGTGTATACTGATTCTCGTAAAGTCGTCCCACTGAAGGCTGAAGAAGGTCTCTCGGGGAAGCTGCAGGCGAAGCCGCCATTATCCGTCGACGAACGCGTCTCCCCCGCGTACCCTATGGCGCACCAGATCGAGGCGTTTCCGGACGAGCAAGGCAATGTCCCTTCCAGCTTCGATGCACTGGACGCGGAGGGACGCGGTCTTGTTCTCGATTTCGGACTTTTCGTGTTGATCAACGTCTACTGTCCCAATGAGACGTCCGATGCACGTCTATCCTTCAAGATGAACTACCATCTCATGCTCCAGGAACGTGTCCGAAAGTTAATCGAAGAGGAGCATCGAGAAGTCATTGTCGTCGGGGACATGAATGTTTGCGCTACACCGTTAGACCACTGTGACGGCCACCTACCGAGCAATTTGAAGACGTTTTGGGATCACCCAGCTCGTACTTGGTTTCACAGCTGGCTGGATCCCAATGGACCGATGATTGATATTGTCCGGTCATTCTGGCCAGACAGGAAGGGGCTCTATACATGTGTGTTCCTAAGCAAACTCAGCTATTCGTGTTCCCACTCCTCTTGACAGGTTGGAATACTAAACTTTCTGCTCGAGAGACCAACTATGGGACGCGAGTCGACTATATCCTTGTGACACGTGGTCTACTTCCATGGATCGCACTCGGAGACATACAACCATCGCTGAAAGGGTCAGATCACTGTCCAATATATATTGACCTTCGAGATGAGCTAGTCCTCGCGTCGGGAGCCACTGTTACCCTGCGCGACGCGATGCGTCAGGACACTATCCGGCACAACCCTCCTCGGTTAGCAGCCATGTTTTGGGAGGAGTTCTCCAGCAGGCAGACTGTAATCTCCGCCTTCTTTGGGAAGCAAGGCAGAGATGAACCCCAGAAAGCCGAAGGAAAATCGCCGTCTTCGACACCCCCGAAACTCACCCTGCAGGAACTAGTTGTCGATGCCGTGGAGGCCGAGCACCCTCCCTCAGGTTCATCCCGTAGCTTGAAGTCGCTCAAGCCTGCTGAGTTGCTGTCTTCACAAGCAGCGATTTCTAAACGGAAGTCGTCTGAGAAGGCATCTTCCTCAGCACCAGCGAAGAAGCGGAAAAACGAGTCAGGACAAGCCAAACTTGGGAGTTTCTTCAAGAAGCCACCAGTGGCAAAGTCACACTCGAGGGAGGTGATTAACCTCGACGATGATGACCCATCTTCCACCACAGCTTCCATTGCAGCGTCGAACGGGGATGATACCCTTAGTCAGCTTGAAGCTGATTATCAACTAGCATGCGAGCTGTCCGCTTCTGAGGGAGTTCTTCTTTCCCAAAGCGAAGCGTCGTCCTCTCAGAGTCAGAGCAAGTCCGCATGGTCGTCCCTCTTCGCACCGGTGCAGCCACCAAACTGCAGCGTGCACGGTGAGCCAACAAAGCTCTATACTGTCAACAAGCAGGGGCCGAATAAAGGCAAGACTTTCTACTTGTGCTCTCGGTGCGTCAACCGTATCGTCCGCTGCGTCCGCTCTGCTCTTATCAGTAGCCTTTGCATAGCCCCGTCGGTCCTGGATATGACAGGGGCAAATTGGAGCGTCTGCGAGATGAAGTTGATCCTCGGTACCGGTGCAACTATTTCAAGTGGGCGAGCGAACACAAGAGAGACTGCTTGCGAGAAACTGCGGCGAAGGATCTTTTTAAGAACGCAACAGGGATGGACTCATAGCTGTCAAGACTATTTTTACCCCCAACTGGTTTGCTGTATTAGTATCAATATTTAACGGCGGCAAACTATAGGTTGTGACAATACTGCTCTACATCTTCGTACGGAAAATGACGAAGCCAACGAAATGGTGGAAGACGAACGACCAGATGGGCAGCGCACCGCTCATGAGTTCGCGGTTTTGCTTTGCTTCTTCGCTGTTCCTATAGTTGTATTGTTGACCTAATTCGCGCGTTTGTAATTGTAGTAAACCGATCTAGTAACGGTAGTCCTCACCTTCGTTGCAAAACGCAGAGAGCATAATGATTCATTCAGGTGGCTCGCCAAAGGGGACAGATTCAAGACCATCTACGAGAAGCTTAACATCGTTACTATTGCAAAGAGAAGAGGCTCACCAAAGTCTTCGAATTGCCACTCAGAGAATTTTGCAACAAATATGTCAGCTGTACAAGAAGTGATAAGCATCGTCCTGGAGGGCAAAGGATGTAAGAAAGTACCTTGGAGTTCCTGTATGGAATATGCTTGTCGCTCTTGCCATCCCCCTTCTCTCCAAGCGCGGCAATCACATCACCCAGGGCACTCAGGCTGCGGTTGATGTTCTGTGTTTCCTTTAGGCGATCCTTGTTCTCGGCCGCACCACTCTTCTCCAGTCGCTCACTACCAGCAAGGTCGACGAGGTTGAGGCTACCCTCACACACTTCGCTAGTGAGCGTGTTCTCGCCGTAGATGCGCAAAGTAAAAACAGAGTGAGACCGCGAAGAGCGCTCATTCATGAGCGTTGCCGCGACCGTGCGCCGTGACTGAGCACGCGCAAGCAACGCCCGCACTTGTACGGGTGAGCTGAGAGGAATGACGTTCACATCGGTGACGGTCGTACGGCCCGTTTTGGCGTCGTGCTTAATATCGTGTTTCTTCTTGTCGAATTCACCCTTCCCAAGTAAGTCGTTTATTGTCTCGTTGTACTATATTCACAAACGTTAGCTGTCATCCGATGGTATTGGGAAGTCTCACAATCTCAAGGAACTGGCCCTCCATCTTGTATTCCCAGCCTTTCGTCTTGAGCTCGTCTGTCACTTGAAAGACCTGTTCCACGGCACGGGGGATCATGCCTGTGTTGATTTCCGTCTGGCATGTTATCAGTAAATTGGATGCTCCGTAAAGGTACTAAACGCACCTGGCCGCCTTCCATAGTGAACGACTTTCCAGAGCCCGTCTGACCATAAGCGAACACGCAGACATTATATCCGTCTGTGCAACTTTGAGCCAACTGAGAGATATCTTCAAAGACCTCCGCCTGCGTCGCATGAGGTTCGAAAACCTGAAGACATGGGAGCTTGAGTAAAGTTCCATGTGAAACATAATTGCAACACACCCGATCGAAGCTGAAGCCCCACTCATCCTTGCGTTCCTGGCCAGTCGCGCTTTCGCTCGACGAACTGAGCATGATTTCCTTATGATCCATCTTGTCAGGATACTCGATACGTGCCATACATTCCTCTCTTCGTTTGGCCTCATCCTCTGGATCGGGGCTGGGGGTGCTAGAGGGGCTTCCTGCGGAGGACGAAACCGACCTGCAAAGATCTACTGGTGGGACATCCGATGGTAATAGAGGGCGCACACGGCAGAAGACGCGAATATTGCCCTTCAGCTCCTGCACCATATTGTGGAGCTTCCGCCGCATACTTTCGCCTTCGCGCCCCTCCCGTCTCAGGTTCTCCGCTTCCTTCTCCAGCGTCTCTATCTGCAAGGTGAGGTCAGATTTCACGCCCAACAGCCGCTGGAGTTCTGCCTGCAGCGCAGAGTTGTCAGCCTGAAGTGCCGAGATCTGTGCGGTGAGAGAAAGCTGAGCTGTGGACTGCAAGGAAACGGTGGACTTGAGATTTGACGTGACCTCGCGCTCACGGTCGAGATCTCCCTGACACAAACGCAGCTCCTCCCTGACGTCCCGCAACTCTCGCTGGTGTCGACGCGCGTCTTCTTCCAACTCAGATATCTCCCGCTCGTGTCGCCTACGAATCTGCTGGAGCTCATCGCTGGCGATATCAAGCTCCTTCCGCTGCGAGTCTTCGTGCGACTTGGCAGCGGCGAGCTGTCGATATAGGGCCTGATGGCTGGCCTCCAGCTCTTCGCGTTTGGTGCGCTCGCTCTCCATGGCGGCGGCAAGACGAGCAGCATCTGCCGCACGCGCAGCTTCGATAGACGATACCTGGTCCTGAAGAGACTGAAAGCGCTTGTCCTGCTGTGATGCTGAGGCCACCCGCGTCGGTCTGGTCACCGTCGGTCGCACCACGGCTGTCGTCGACTTGGGTGGTGCACTCGTCGCTCGCTCTATCCTCCTCGTCGAGGTACTCAAAACTGGAGCCCTTGGTTTTGTCGCAGGCGGTGGGCCCTTCCCGAGCTTGTTGACTGCTGTCTTCGAGGGTCGCAGTGGCTGATTGGCGTCCGTCTCTGCAATCGCAGCGAGCTTGCTTGGTTGCTCATTCTCCTGCTGTACCGCCTTCCGTTTCAGTGATGTGGAATTCATGCTTGGCGCTGGTGGATGAAGCCGGTCAGGAGAAGAGTATAGCCGTGGGAGGCGAGACATTCAACCTAGAATTGATTTGTTGAATTCCGCTCATTTAATCAGGTAAGACAAGTGTGAGAGCAACAAAGGGGACTCAACGACTCGTTGTTGAAACTTCCTCAGGTCCTGCAATTCAATGGAACGTATTCGCTGGGTGTTGTATCGAGTTGGACAGTTATCAGGATTCACAACGTTGTGACAGAAACGTGACAAACTGGAACCGCGACTCAAGGTCATGTGATCACGTGATCGCGATTGCGCGGTCACGGTCATCTGAGTAGTTGAGCTCGTTGCATCCGCACACTCTCAACGTGTCATATTTCCCGATTTATCGCCTAGATGGTCCTGGCGTTCATGAAGATTTAACCACCACGAAGCCCTAGCCTGAGGTTTTTCGCTTTGAGAACATAGTCTTGCTTTAATTTGACCCCTTAGCTCGTAGATCATGGCTACATCATCCTTGAACGGTGCGCTCAACACCTCTTTTACTCCGACTCTATTCACAGATTAACCTTTCCAAGCAGAGGTACAAATACTGGAGCATGCCATTGCGCGACCGGCCCCGGGTAGCTTTACCTCGGTGGCTGACGCTATGGGCTTTGGTCAGCGCTCTGCTGAGTTCAGCGAGTTCACTGTAAGTCTTCCTACATATCTAGCATTATTTTGCCGAGTCATTCCCTTGATTATGCAGTCTGGACTTCGGGGTTTATCATCAAAATATCTGAATGGGAAGTTGAATTACAGGGAGCAGAATCCAGATGCCTGGCAGCAATTCTTTGATGAGGTAAGTCTGATGGTTATTCTGACTTTTCCCAAATAACAAAGTTATGTTGGCAGGCCTGTAAACTGTTTCCATTCGTGACCCAATATGCCGATGCATGGCCCATTAATGCATACATGCAATCACGCCTGGAGCGCACGAAATATGAGTATCGCATCAGTGCGAAGGTGAAACACCGCAGTCGTCACCAAGCCAGGATGCAGCCCTACACCCACACTCGAAACACTTCTTCGTGCCTGGAGAGCATTCAAAGTGGAAGAGTGGACAAGAATAATCACTCTGGTGTTAGTGCTATTTGTCCAATGGTTATGTTGTTGGGTTATCTCATAGATTCTGACTCCTCTGATTAGTTGGCAGTGAGTCCTGTAACAACAAATGGCAATCAAATACAATCACCTGTCAGCGGCACTCAAACTCATCAATCTGTTTGTGAATTTTGCAAATGCCCATGCAGTGATTTTGATCTGTTCCACTCTTCAGGGCACCAACTCTAACTTAGTATCCAACTTTATAATGGACAATTCACAGAACACCGGCACCAAGCTTCTGGGTGCCACTCAAGATGTCACAGAATTCCTGAGAACTGTTCACCCAAACCTCGAAAATCTCACCCGGATGTTTCTTCAAGCCGGTGTTGTGGATGCAGAGTGTGTTCAAGCCCTTGCAGAGATGCCTGACAGCGAGAAAAATGCATTCTTGAGAGAAACTCTAGAACTTAACCCTTTCCAGGTTCATGCTGTCCGTGTTGCTCTTGCTAAGAGAATCAAGGTTAATATCTGATTGACGAAAGGTTTCACATTGTATTTGATGTCCTGCTCTCATAGCATCTCTATCACAACTACTGCTAACGTGTATACAATAGGACATTTTACCTGACTTCAGGCAGATCTTGTCACTTACCTATGCAATCAATGTAGGAATTGCAAACCATTCCCAGCGCAGAACATGAATCAGACGTAAATGATGTATCTCACTTGTATTTGTAGACAGTAAATATGCAGCATGTCGCAAGGAGGGAATACTCATAAATCGTATTGCATTATTTGCACAACACATCAACTATGGCTCTCCTCACCGAGAATTTGAAGCTAATATGACACTCTGTATCTTCTTTATTCTCCGAAGAGAAGCACACGTGCACCACACGATACGGTCTGTAACAGGTTGTCGACAGCAACGCTGTTCCACCTTCACATAGATTGTCAGGCACCGTATTCCGCGGTAGTGGATAGCGGCGACGTGCGTAGCGTTCTCGCCGGATTGGAACACAATATGCGCTGGGGAGCGTGGTCGGAGATACTGTACCAGTTCACCGAGCTCAAAGTCCTGTCTCTCGAGTTTGAACGTGACAGATCGGAGGACGAGGGACCCGCAATGGTGAGAGAACACTCTCAAAAACGCCGAGCAGTGAGCACACGGGGAGCACCTCTCAGGGAGTGCTCGACAGCTCCGGGGGTCTTTTTAGGGTGGGAGTTCTTGGACCAGACAGCTTTGTCGAAGTCCGGCCTACAATGTCGAGAGAAGCCAGGTGCCAGAGGTAGAGCACAAGAAAACCCGCGGGACAGCCGATCAGGATGTCGCCGTTTAAGACTTGGTGGCATGCAGTATTGTGGATCCGGTGACTGCCTCAGCATTCTGGGAATCGAAAGTGCACCAAATGATCTGGTTTCTAAACATAGCGGCAGTTTTTTCTCAGCCGAATGACACACGATATCTCAGACCACTGAGAGCAGCACGTACTTCGATGAACGACAGGCGCATAGACATGCGACCAAGTGAAATATGATCAGTAATAACTCACAGCATTTACATTCAGCTCACAGTACGCTAGGCAAGAACAACATGACACGAGACTTTGTGAATATATTCCCAAGAGGACGGCTTCCGCAGATACAGATGCATCAAGCCGGAAGACTATCAGAATGACAGATAATCCAGGGAAAAGGTGGTTCTCCCATCGCTCCGTTACTCGAATCCGTCGACAGAGACAGCAGTCGAGTGCAGCCCTAAGTACGACTGCATCGATGGTTGTAGAACCGAAGCACAGAAATTACCCAAAGGAAAGAGGGTGCGGACTTCCCACGGTCACCTGATGTCCAAATCAGGCAACTTCACACTAGGGTCAACACAAATTGTGGCGGTAAACTTCCAAGGCACTCGACACTGGACAGCTTTACGACAAAAATGGGCTCAACAAGGTGAGATACATGTTCATTGACGTTGTCACAGGTATTTTGGGTTGCCATTGGAGATAGGCTGGCGTTGGGACGTGGGGAATGGGATGGATTGACCTCTAGCGGTTTGGATGAAGTGATGTCGGCTCAGCTAGACCTTCTCTTTATCAACCCTCTCATCTTGGAACAGCTTCACTCATCCTCCCTTCTATGCTGTGCTAGACTCTACAGCAAGGGCCGTGTCCTCGGTCACAAGCGCGCAAAGCGCAACACTCGCCCCAACACCTCCCTCCTCCAGATCGAAGGTGTCGCGACCAAGGAGGATGCGCAGTTCTATCTCGGCAAGGTACGTGCTGACGGTTGACCCTCGTTTTTGCAGACTGCTAAGAGATGGGATGCGCCTGCAGCGTGTTGCATATGTCTACCGGGCAAAGCGAGAGATTCAGGGCTCGAAAGTGCGGGTAATCTGGGGGTACGTCTATGTGAAGTAGGCGTGGAATATCACTTAGTCTGACTATCTATCCACAGCCGCGTGACCCGTCCTCACGGCAACAACGGCGTTGTAAAGTCGAAGTTCAGGTCCAACCTGCCACCACATGCGTTCGGTGCCAGCGTCCGAGTGGTGCGTAACTAGCTGTCGTTTCTCGAAGCTGACTCAGTACTACCCTCCTTAGATGCTTTACCCCTCTACCATTTAATTGTATCATTCCTTCTGTATCTCTGGCATTCTGTTATGCTACGCACTGGCAAATATGATATGCCCCATGGCCCGCATTTGCATACACTCAATTGCGATGACCGCATTATTGCATACGTGACTGAGACCTGTGGTGTCTTTAGATCGTTGAAAAGCGACCGCTGTCTGAAGGAAAGCTCATGCCAGGCCTCCTTTTTGAAGTCTTACCTCTCAAGACGGACTGTTCGAACTTCAACTTCGAAGGATGGCTGTTGTGACGGAATGGTGACATGCACTAATATTTAGATTTCGACACGCGGGGTCTTGAGGTAGCAATATACGACTACAGGATATGAACATACCTGCATAGGGACTGGCATGGGATGTCTGTTGACGCTAGTCTGACTCTGAGTTCTCGGGACTCGGTCTCACGCCGGCGTGCAGTTGATTGATCGTGACCCACCCTTAGCTGGCGAACTTCAGACCTCAACCGAAATAGGTACCTTCACCACACAATTGCAATGTCGATGTTTCGCTACGTACGACATGAATATTCCTTGACATTAAATAAGACGCTGGAGTTCAAGCTGTCTGTCACTCGGGTCCCCATTCCTTTTGCCCCAGTCCTGCCACTTACGTAATCAACGACTTGTTGGGGAGGCAGCATCTTACCTTAAGTTTGCACTCCTTCTCTCTGACCACCATCTTCCCCGTCATTGCCCACGTTAGAACCCTGGGCTGTAGACAGCGATGTCTGCGTATGACCACGCGAAAGTTGCCCAATTCATCGGTAAGTCGACGACAATTCTCATCGCGCGCTCAGCCACATGACTCTACCAAATTAGGCGGAAATACCCTAGAGAGAGCACCCTCTGGCAATGTTTCTGACTTCGTGAAGAGTCACGGAGGCCATACCGTTATCACAAAAGTGAGTCTTATTTTTTGTGAAACGCGTTGAAGGTGCAGTTTACGCGATGGACGCGTTCTCGTGAACCGACTTCGATCTTGTTATCCTCACATTCGGTCTCGATCATCACCATTGTCCGGAATGGTTCTGCGATCGCGTCGCGCTGAAGGATGAACTACGCGTGTCAGGCTAAAGTGGACAGGCCTGCGAGTCGTCTGGTAGCGGACCTGAGTTTTCCTCCGCATTTATCACGCGTCTTAAGTGATGATGACTGGCCTGAGTCGGGGTATACTCGGGGCGCTAAATGGCGAAAGCGCCATCTTAGTCGTTCGCATTTGCAAGGCACGGAGCTGTGAATCGCTCATAGCTTGTTTCGCTCTCCCAAGTTTAGGCGTCAGTGCTGACTATATGCGCCTTTTCAGGTTCTGATTGCCAACAACGGTCCGTTCGTGAGCGTGAGCATCAGTTTCCTACTAACGAAGCACTTCTTTTAGGTATTGCTGCTGTCAAAGAAATTCGCTCTATTAGACAATGGAGTTACGAGACATTTGGGACGGAGCGCGCAGTCGAGTTCACCGTCTTGGCGACCCCCGAAGACTTGAAGGTGAACGCGGAATACATTCGTATGGCCGATCGGTACGTCGAGGTGCCAGGAGGGACGAACAACAACAACTACGCGAACGTTGACTTGATCGTCGATGTCGCAGAACGTGCGGGCGTGCACGCCGTCTGGGCAGGGTGGGGTCACGCGTCGGAGAATCCGCGTCTGCCGGAAAGCCTGGCGGCGAACAAGATCGTCTTCATTGGACCACCGGGGAGCGCCATGAGAAGTCTCGGCGACAAGATTTCCAGTACGATCGTCGCGCAGAGTGCTGACGTGCCCACCATGGCGTGGTCTGGGTCGGGAATTACGAAGACGACGCTGTCCGAGCAGGGCTTCGTTACCGTGCCAGACGACGCGTATCAGCAGGCGTGCGTGACGACGGTCGAGGATGGGAAGGCGAAGGCGGAGCAGATCGGGTATCCCGTGATGATCAAAGCTAGCGAGGGCGGTGGAGGCAAGGGTATACGTATGGTCGCGGCTCCGGAAGGATTCAAGAACGCGTTTACCGCGGTCGCTGGTGAGATCCCAGGTATGTTCGGCGGCGTTTGGCTTGCTTTCGTCATCGAACCCACTACTCGTAGGTTCTCCCATCTTCATTATGAAGCTTGCTGGGCAGGCTCGGCATCTGGAAGTGCAGCTTCTCGCCGATCAGTATGGCAACGCTATTTCTCTGTTCGGTCGTGACTGTTCGGTGCAGCGCCGTCACCAGAAGATCATTGAAGAAGCGCCGGTAACGATTGCGAAGCACGATACGTTTGAAGAAATGGAGCGTGCTGCTGTGCGCTTGGCCAAGCTCGTGGGCTACGTCAGTGCCGGAACCGTTGAGTGTGAATTGTTCTTTTTCTTGAAAGCAACAAGGCTTGGCACTGACGCGATGCACTGCGGTCAGACCTATACAGCCATGCAGAGGACGTCTTCCACTTCCTCGAGTTGAACCCTCGTCTGCAGGTCGAGCATCCGACGACGGAGATGGTCTCCGGAGTGAATTTACCTGCAGCACAGCTCCAGGTCGCGATGGGTATTCCGCTCCACCGTATTCGGCACATTCGGCAGCTCTATGGCGTAGCACCGAACGGGACGTCTGAGATCGACTTTGATATGAAGAACCCCGACTCGAGCCAGGTGCAGAGGAAGCCTCAGCCGAAAGGTCACGTTGTTGCCGTGCGTATCACAGCCGAAAATCCTGATGCTGGATTCAAGCCATCGTCTGGATCGCTGCAAGAGCTCAATTTCCGGTCAAGCACCAACGTCTGGGGCTACTTCTCTGTCGGTTCTACTGGCGGTCTGCACGAGTTTGCTGACTCTCAGTTTGGACACATTTTTGCCTACGGCGAGGATCGCGGGGAGAGTCGTAAGAACATGGTCGTTGCCCTGAAGGAGCTCAGCATTCGCGGTGATTTCCGTACCACTGTCGAATATCTCATCAAGCTTCTTGAGCTGCAGGCATTCGAGGAGAACACGATTACTACTGGCTGGTTGGACTCGCTCATCAGTGGCAAGCTGACGGCAGAACGCCCAGATACTAGTCTGGCTGTGATCTGTGGTGCCGTGACGAAGGCTCATATGGCGTCTGAGGCGTCATGGTCTGAGTACAAGCGTATCTTGGACAAAGGTCAGGTACCGTCTCGTGACATCTTGAAGACAGTCTTCGGCATCGACTTCATTTACGATAACGTGCGGTACTCTTTCACAGCAACACCTTCTTCCCTCACTACATGGACGTTGTATTTGAACGGTGGTCGCACGTTGGTGGGCGCTCGCCCTTTGGCAGATGGTGGCTTGCTGGTCTCCCTGGACGGGAAGAGTCACTCCATCTATTGGAGAGAAGATGTGGGCGCTCTGAGACTGATGGTCGACTCCAAGACCTGCCTGATTGAGCAAGAGAACGATCCCACTCAGCTTAGGAGCCCTAGTCCTGGGAAGCTTGTCCGTTTCTTGGTCGACAGTGGCGACCACATTGGTGCTGGAGAACCCTATGCCGAGATTGAGGTATTTATTATCATTCACGCGTCTTCCATTCTTCAACTGAACCGTCACTCTGCAGGTTATGAAGATGTACATGCCTTTGGTCGCTTCCGAGGATGGTATTGTGCAGTTCGTGAAGCAACCAGGAATTAGCCTTGAACCTGGCGACATTCTTGGTATCCTTACCCTCGACGACCCTGCCCGTGTCAGGCACGCGAAGCCTTTTGAGGGTCTGCTTCCAGCTCTAGGTACTCCAAGCGTCATCGGCAACAAGCCTCACCAGCGCCTCCGCTATTACCTTAACATCTTGAACGACATCTTGGACGGTTTCGATAACCAAGCTATCATGGCGGCGACATTCAAGGACTTTGTCGCAGTTCTAGAGAACCCCGAGCTTCCTTTCTCTGAGGTCTTGGCCATTCTGTCATCCCTGTCGGGACGTATGCCGACCAAGTTAGAAGAGGCTGTTCGTGCGGCAATCGAGACCGCACATGCGAAGGGAGACGCAGCTGAGTTCCCCGGCGTCCGGATTAAGAGACTTCTCGAACATTTCATGGAGGACAACATCCGCGCACAAGATCGGCCCATGTTCCGCACACAGCTGGGCCCGTTGTTCGATATTGTGGATCGTTATCAGGGTGGATTGAAGGCTCATGAAACCAGCATGGTTGCTGGGCTGCTGGCTCGTTACGAAGAGGCGGAGAAGCTGTTCGGAGGCAGCATCGAGGCACGCGTGCTTACACTCCGAGAACAACACAAGGATGATCTCGACAAAGTCGTGTCGCTGGTCCTTAGCCACATCATGGCGCATCGTAAGGGACGACTCATCATGATGATCTTGGATCATATCAAAGGTCATTCTTCGTCAGTGTCCAACCCAGAGAGTAAACTCCATCAAGTCTTGCAAGGGCTCGCTGCACTCGAGGCTAGGTACGTCCTGAAGGTGGTCCAAAGCTGAGATGGTGGCATAATAATATTACCGTAGATCGTCTGCGCAGGTTGCTCTGAAGGCTCGCGAGGTGCTCATTTCGTGCCAGATGCCATCATATGATGACCGCAAGGTACAAATGGAGGGCATCCTCAACGCTTCTGTTACGAACAGCTTCTATGGAGAGCAGGGAAGCGGAATCAAGTAAGACTCATGGCTCACCCCAAGGAAACTCTATCTAACCCATTCCGTCAGGACGCCATCTGCGGACGTACTGAGGGAGCTCATTGATTCCAGACATACCGTGTACGATGTCTTGCCGACATTCTTCAACTACGCTGACCCATGGGTCACACTTGGTATGTAATTCATACTTTCTAAACGTTACATAGCTGAACTATTAATGCAGCTGCATTTGAGGTCTACGTAAGGCGTGCGTACAAGGCTTACACGTTGCTTTCCGTCGACTACGAGGAAGGCGATGGTCTGGACGACGGTGATGGTCCAAACGTCGTGACTTGGCGATTCAACCTCCCTCAGTCCCACTCGCCTCCTACCACGCCTCATCTGTGAGCCCCCTTTCCACAGACTAGACGCTCAGATAGTGCTGATTCAACGCAACTGTAGTGAGCAGTCACGCAGACAAGCCTCAGTGAGTGACCTTACGTACATGATCGCTCGACACCAGAAGCAGCCCCTGCGACATGGTGCCATTGCATCCTTCCCCAACTTTGCAGCCCTTTCGCGGGGATTCGATAAGGTTGCCGGCGCGTTGCCCTTGTTCGATATCCACGAGTACCGCCAACGCTACGGCGACAACGACCAGTCGCCTAACGTGCTGAACATGGCGTTGCGCATCTTCAACCCTACTGATGACATGTCGGAGGATACATGGTATCAAAATATTCACGCATTGGTGAACGAGAGGAAGGACATTTTGGCCCGCCGCGGCATCCGCCGTGCTTCGGTCCTCTTGTGCAAACCAGGACTATACCCGCTCTACTTCACGTTCCGCGATGTGGGATCCTCTTGGGAGGAAGAGCAGGCAATTCGTCACATTGAACCTGCCCTCGCGTTCCAGTTGGAACTTACTCGGTTGTCGAATTACAACCTCACGCCATGCTTTACCGAGAGCAAGCAGATACATATTTACCACGCAGTCGCTCGCGAGAACCAGTTGGACAGCAGATTCTTCATTCGGGCTTTGGTGCGGCCAGGTCGTATCAAGGGCGACATTAATACAGCTCAATACCTGATCTCTGAGACAGATCGCCTTGTCACAAGTATTCTGGACGCGTTGGTGGTTGTGTCGGCTCAATACAAGAATGCCGATATGAATCACATCTTCATGAACTTCATCTACAATCTTCCAGTCACCTATGAGGACGTGCTCACAGCTATCTCCGGCTTCATCGAGCGACATGGCAAGAGGCTATGGCGTCTACATGTCACCGCGTCTGAGATTCGCATGGTTCTGGAGGACAGCGAGGGCAATGTAACCCCGATCCGCTGTATCATAGAGAACGTGTCAGGCTTCATTGTCAACTACCACGGGTATCAAGAGATCACGACTGACAAGGGTATCACAATCCTCAAGTCGATTGGCGAGAAAGGCCCTCTCCATCTGCAGCCCGTCCACCAACCATACCCCACTAAGGAGTCGTTGCAACCGAAGCGCTACCAGGCCCACCTCATTGGTACTACCTATGCTTACGACTTCCCCGATCTCTTCTCAAAAGCCTTGAGCAACGTGTGGGTTAAAGCTCGCGATCGCAACCCTTCCCTGTCGTTGCCCAAGAGGGTGCTGGAGCCCAAAGAACTCGTCTTAGATGAGAACGATCAATTGCAGGAAGTCGACCGAGCGCCGGGCAACAATACCTGTGGTATGGTAGGATGGGTCTTCACCATGCGGACGCCCGAGTATCAAAGTGGTCGTCGTGTCGTTGTGATCGCCAACGATATCACATACAAGATTGGTTCCTTCGGACCTCAGGAGGACCAGTTCTTCTATCTGGCCTCGCAATATGCACGCGAACATGGTCTGCCTCGCATTTACCTTTCTGCGAACTCAGGTGCTCGTATCGGCTTGGGTGAAGAAGCGATGAATATGTTCTCATGTGCTTGGAACGACCCAAATCATCCAGAGAAGGGCTTCGACTATCTCTACCTCACACACGAGAGTTTCCTCAAGTTGCAAGAAAAGGCTGCGGGTGCTGTGCGCACGGTCGAGATTGAGGTCGATGGCGAAGTTCGTCATAAGATCACCGACATTATCGGCCTTCAAGATGGTCTTGGTGTTGAATGCTTGAAAGGATCAGGTTTGATTGCTGGTGAAACCTCTCGTGCGTACGACGATATCTTCACAATCACACTCGTTACCGCCCGTTCCGTCGGTATCGGCGCCTATCTCGTTCGTCTTGGTGAACGCGCTGTCCAGGTGGAAGGTCAACCAATCATCCTCACTGGTGCCCCTGCTCTGAATAAGGTCCTTGGACGTGAGGTCTACACGTCCAATCTGCAGCTTGGTGGTACCCAGATCATGTACAAAAACGGTGTCTCCCATCTTACCGCGAGTAGTGACTTGGAAGGTGCTACGCACATCCTTGAGTGGTTGTCGTATGTGCCTGAGGTTAAAGGTGGACCCCTACCCATTCTCGATTCAGTTGACTCATGGGACCGCGATATCGCCTACACCCCACCCAAGGGCCCATACGATCCGAGGTGGTTCATTGGAGGCAAGACAGACGAGTCTACTTCAGAGTGGATGTCTGGCTTCTTCGACAAGGGTTCGTTCCAGGAGACGTTGAGTGGTTGGGCTCAGACAGTTGTCGTCGGACGTGCTCGTCTTGGAGGCATCCCCATGGGTGTCATTGCGGTTGAGACGCGCACCATCGAGCGTGTGACTCCTGCTGACCCTGCCAATCCTACTTCGTTCGAGCAGCGTATCATGGAGGCCGGCCAAGTTTGGTACCCGAACTCAGCTTACAAGACTGCTCAGGCCATCTTCGATTTCAACCGGGAAGGCTTACCGCTGATCGTTTTCGCCAACTGGCGTGGGTTCTCCGGTGGGCAGCAGGACATGTATGATGAAATTCTGAAGCAAGGCTCGAAAATCGTCGATGGTCTGTCGAGCTACAAGCAGCCAGTGTTCGTCTACATTGTTCCCAATGGCGAATTACGTGGTGGCGCCTGGGTAGTGCTCGACCCCTCCATCAACTCTGAGCAAATGGAGATGTACGCTGATGTCGACGCTCGCGCCGGTGTCCTTGAGCCGGAGGGTATTGTTGAGATCAAGATGCGTCGTGATAAGATCCTAAAGCTCATGGAACGGATGGATTCCACGTATGCTTCGCTCAAAAAAGATAGCGCAGATTCTACGAAGGAGGAGGAGGAGCGCACAGCCGCTCTTGACGCTATGTCTGACAGAGAGTCGCTCTTGCAACCCACTTACAAGCAGATCGCTCTTCTATACGCAGATCTTCATGAGTGAGTGTACTTGACTGTTTGGGAGTACCATTCTGACTTTCCGTAGCCGCACCGGGCGTATGGAAGCGAAAGGTTGTGCAACGCCGATGGTCTGGAAAGACGCACGAAGGCGATTCTATTGGGCAGTGCGCGCGAAGATCGCTCGTTCTGCTGCGATGGCGCAGCTAGCCGAAGCAAGCCCGGATTCATCCTCTGAATATCGATCTCGTCTGTTGGAGTCCCTGGCCGGCATCAGTGCTACGACAGACCGTCGTGTAGTCGCGGAGACCCTTGAGGCATTAGATTTAACGGCTACCATTGCACAGCTGAAGGCTGATCACCTGATGCGGAGGATGTTGGCACTCGCACACATAGATCGCAAAGCCACGTTGGACGCTTTGGTCCGGCTAGTTGATAATCTCGCTGATGACGAGAAGACGAGTCTCGTCAATGTGCTGCAGAGTTCCAGTCGCTCTCCAGGTTCGTTAGTACTTTCATCCAATTATCCTGATTTTGGAACTGACATTTATTTTGACGTGCAGGTCCACCATCCTACTCAAATGTCGCCGCTTGACGTTCTTCGTGATTTTCGCATCCACATGCTTTGTTGCTTTCAAGAATGGTTGTAGCAGTATAATTCTCCGTTGGGCACCTTCCCGAGGTTTGGTACCGTATGAATGTTAGACTCGTCAATTGCAATGCACTTGTTCCTACACGTAATGCTAAGGCTAATTAATTACTCACGGCGAGCGGCTAAGGTCGTGGCGAGTGAATACTGTAGCTACAAATCCTATCTATCCATCAGTAGGTGTTCAGCTATACGTCTCGGTTGACAGTCGCCACATCCGACGACGCGGCTGTCTTCTCCTCGTCAGTAATCTGCTTCTTGTTATCGTTTAGACCGAAATTGACGTCCGTGCTCTGTCTCATGGGGATCTCCTTGAGGATGAAGACTGACAGAAGCCCCAGGCCCGCGATGCCAATCATCGTCTTCCAGATAACACTCATACTTGTTGCGAAGGCAGCGCGCACCTCAGACCGGAGCGGTTCAGAAAGCGAGCCGATCTGCGGGATGGCGGCGTACGCGATTTCGGACCCCTGTGGAAATTGGGCAACGAAGGCGGCCGGTAACTTCTTTTTCAATTCGTTCTGCAGGATTGTGCCAGCGATGGCGATGCCCCAGGTCTGTGTTCGATGCATGAGCAGATTTGCATATATTATCTATCGAAATGATGCGCTTCACCTGAGCGAACGCGCGGCAGAACGCGAAGAACGCCAGTGCGCCTGCTGTCCGCTCGACGGGCAGAGGCGCCAACGTTGGGAAAACGGTGGATGAGAACTGTGCGATGTCCGTGAACGGATGGCCCATCAATTCATCCCATTCTACTCACCAGGATCCCAGTACCCGCGGCAGCGAGGATTTGATATCCGACCCAACGCGAGGTGCTGTTGGTCGCCCTGAGCAGTGACAATGTACCAAATCCGACGACGCTGAACACCCATCCTGCGAGGTTGATTGGACGGTAAGTGTTCGTTACTACGACCACCACGCCAGCGATGACGGCGAATGGCGCGATAACTAGTGCACTCGGGAACATGTCAATTCCAGAACGGATAGGATCTGCGCCGAGACACGCTTGGAAAAACACGGGCAGATAGTCTTTCAAGGGCAGATTTTTGTCAGGCACGCACAAACATACAAGACTTGAGCTGACTCACAGATGATAGTGATGCTAGTGATTCCGTGGAAGAATGTCATGAGAAATCTGAAGGGAGATGTCGGCATGACGCATCCGCAGAGTGCGAAAACATGGACATACCCGCCAAGGCTCGTTCGATTGTTGACAACGTCCCATGGAATGGTAGGTTTCGCAGGCACTTTGGCTTCATACACGAAGAAGACGCCAATGAGCGCGAGCCCAATAATCAACATCGCCAGGACTCGAGCAGAGTTCCATGGGTAGGCGATACCGCCCCAGGTGAGAGCAATGACGACGAGCGTAGAGCCGGCCATGATAATCACGTTGCCTCTGTAGTGCGTTAGTTGTTGTCGCGTGAACAAGAGGACGAGAATACTGACATCCAGTCAATACGCGACAGCTTCTGCTTGATAGATCCATGCGGAGTACGGACGCGTAAGAATATGACCACGAGGGTGAAAGAGACTCCTGTGAGTGGTAGATTGATGACTATTTCGGGAGAGCATTAGGAAAGTCTCGCTGGGATACTAGCAGCGGTTGGACGACTTACAAAAGATCCACCTCCATGACGCCTTCTGGGCAAGAGCTCCTCCCTGAAGCCGTCGATAAATTTCACGATTATCCTGCGAGCAGAAAACCATACTTACAATTGGAGGACCGATGGCGCTAGCAAAAGCCCAGGTTAAACCAATGAAGCCTTGGTACGTTCCGCGTTCGGCAAGAGGTACAAGGTCGGAGACGATGATCTCGGTCAAGTTGAGAATCCCGCCACCGCCGATACCCTGAACGGCTGGTTTTATTGCATACTGTGAGCATCAAATTTGTATCACTAGCGTGTTGCATACCTCGCGCGCCAATAAGCATTGCCATGCTCTGCGAAGCCCCCGACAACGCACTGCCCAAGGAAAAAACTGCGATGGAAATCAACATGACAGGTCTGCGACCGAAGATATCCGCCAGTCCACCGGACAAGGGGAGAAAGGCCGTGCTGGTGAGGGCATACGCGGAACCGACCCAAGAGAAGTCGTTTCCGCCGTGGAGGTCATTGGTTATAGTCGGGAGTGCAGTGGAGACGGCGGTGAGATCAAGCGCACTTAGGAAAGTAGAGGCGGTGATTGCGACGAAGGACAACCAGAAGGCAGAACCCTTCTTCGTCCTAGGTTCGACGACCTCAGAAGCGGACAAAGGTGGGGGTTCCTCGATGATAGTTGACTGCGGACTAGACATGTAGAGCAGAACGAATGATGGGTATTATCGTGCATCCTGGTAGTCAGGATTATATAAATACGTTACAGTGGACATACACTGTGGAGGCTCCGCTGCCGTCCGCAGCCTTGCCGCAGCGACTAGTGCCTGCAGCGAGGGCCCTTGATTCGTAAGACCGCGGAGGTATCAGCGTAAGGCGGTTTGCACGTCGTTCCGCTAGATGACGCAGGCGTCTTGCACCGCTTGTCTTGGCAATATCAGCCTTGGCCGAAGACCGATACCGCATTTCTCGGAAACAGCTTTCGTTGGTTGGCTCTTCCGCGGAAAGTGACGTCGATCCCCGTAGCCCCTAAAAGTAGCACGCCAACCAGAAGCAGAGAGGCCAGAGCTCCCGCTGCACCCGCCTGAACGGTAGCGGAAGCTGACGTGTCACTGTGGCGGGACCATCTGGCCCTCTCAGAAAAATTCGTAATCCGTCCAACTCCTCAGGCCTCAGGCCTCAGTATCGGGGTTTCTGAAAATTGAGAGGGTTCGCATCCGTTTTCTCTACTGATTGTTCAGTGGATCATGGAAATGGATGGAGTCCGTGTTCCTGTTCCCGGCGTCCTTTCGATCATACCGCACTTCGTTGTTATCTCTACCCACACCCATCAGCGCTCCGGGTCGCAGTATGCACTGCAGAGCCTTTCAAAACAATGAGACGGAAACTGGCTGTCAAAATAACACTTACTTATCAGTTGCCGAGCTTCCACTCAGGAGTTTCTTTAAGGATTTGAATGAACCAAGCATTGTGAAATAATGTGACAGTGTAAATCAGAGAACGATTCTGACTCTCGGCGGAGGCGACGCGCGTTCCTAAACTTGGATTGCCTTATCCGGCCTCCGTGATTTGAGGATTTGACCGGAAAGGGAATCACTTGTCTGCCAAATGTGCTTTCACCTTGCGACATCTTCGATGTTTAAAACAGAGTACATCTGCGGCGCACGTCTGCACAACTCTGGGATGAAGAGCGCAAGAAGAGCGTGTCGTATTGGCAGTCTCCTTATAGTGGTAGGGTCTGCCGGAAATTAAATAAATTAAATGAAATTAAGAGCGTGTCACTAGAAATTTGGCACGTGGGGGAGCTGAGAAAGCTGAGAAAGCGATCGATAGCTATTTCATTAACGAGCGCTCCGGCTTTCTCGGAAACACTATCCGCCTCCCGCGCGCAGCGGGTACACGCGTCCTCCATGGCCAGTCATCTTCGCGACCGTTGCGGCATGAGTGCCCATCCTGTAGGCATCAAGCACCATCGAGCAAGCGAGCTGTCCGGTTTACCCCATCCCTCAGGTATGCACATTCACTGAGACTCGTTGCAGCTCCCACACCGAGTCGACACCACTCTCGTAAACAATCAAGTACTCATTGGGTCACTTTCCTGCAGCCACCGTCCCGCATTGACTTCTTGCACCACCTGTTTGTATTTCTCCCGCCCATCAAGGACTACGAAAGTACTCTCCCAGAGCTGCTTGTCGTGATCCAGGTGGCGCTCGAGGGGAACATCTGCAAGCAAGCAATCATGGACGGCTTGAACCGCGGATTGACGAGGTACGGCGACAGTTTCTGGGCCAGGCATTGCGACTCCTCTGCGATTTCACGAGACTGGAGTCTCCGAGGCACCTGAAAGTGTTTCCTTATTGAAAGGTCTATCCTGTGTACGTACTATTCATCAGTTGATGACCGCAGGCTAATCTCCGTTCGTGGTTTAGATCGAAACACTTGGTGTCTCCAGCTCCCCAGTACTCGGTGGATTCTCGCCTCGTTGTGCGCTGCGAGCCTACAAATGCTCGACAGATTTAAAGAGTGAAAATGTGACCCACCGACGGTGTTCGTCTTCTAAAACTCTGTGTCAACATTGGTCGATTCCGCGCTTTTGAATCTTTGTGTGACGGGTGTTCTGCTCGTTGCTGCTGTGTTGATATCTTGCCCATTTGTACGTGTTCTGCTTGAACATCTGATTGCCCCTACGTCGTGACAGTCTCGTATCACCGCGGTCGACATCGCTGCTCACAGATAAGCCCACGATCCGCACAGCCACGGCGATGCCACCACTGCTGCAGCAGCTCACGGAGCGCAAGCCGGAGACGCTCGATTACCTCAGTGTTTCGTACGGACTGATGCCGCAGCTTCTGAGGTATGGCATCGCCGGTGTGTTCACAGCATGTCCTTCCGTGCTGATGCCATTGTAGGTTCCGGAAGGGGTTAGGTTAGTTAGGTTGCATGCCAGTGTGCGGGCGCGGGTACGTGCACAGGCGGGGGTGGGCGAGCGTGCATGGGCAGGGGTGCGCAGGGGCGCGGGCGCGGGGGCAGGCGTGGGAGCGGGCGTGGGAGCGGGCGTGGGAGCGGGCGTGGGAGCGGGCGTGGGAGCGGGCGCGGAGCAGGTCGAAGTAGATCGCGCGATGTCGCGGGAGCTCGCACGACGGCGAGGGTGCTCACACGACGTCGAGTGTAGTCACAGTGTATTAAATCACGACAATACAACTATTATACAGCGGCTTAAAATTCGATTAGATGCGAAATCCCTCGATTCTCCTGCTTGGCACCGTGCTAGCCTGCGACCACATTTGATTGGGCTCGCTCGAGATCGCATATAGTCCACATTCTCGCAGCTGGTCACAGCCACGACCTCGTGCGACTTGCTGCGACCTCGCAAGACGCGTTTTCCACTGGGTATCAAGTGTCAAGCAACAGCCAAGTTCGCCTTTCATCTGATGGTGTATTGCTCTGGCAGTGCCCCATTTTACCTACCATTTATGGATGATTTCGTGGATGAACGTGAACGGCAAAGTGCATGTTTTCACGCAAAAAATTCTCCGCTGAGCACAGCTGCTGGGCCTGTCGCAAGCGGCGATGGGGCGCTCTTTTGCTTCCCTCGATCAACACCCCTCCCCGACACATAAATTTCTCCAGCTATCACAAGAACAAAAATAACAAGAAGAACAAAAAAACGGCCGCAACATTTTATAACGCAAGAACAGAAGACAATACGTTCCGACGGCGATGTTATGGCCGTGGCGACTGGCATGGGCGACATCGACTGGTGGCGATAACCTCTAGACATTGGCGACCATCAACGCAATTAATGAGAATGTACAAGGCAACGCGCTCACTACCGGCGCACTGTCGAAACCATTTTAATTGCCATCTTCACTTTCGTCACTCTTTTGCTACGATCCCCTCGCTCCTTTATCGTTCGCGCTCGACAATCGCGCGAAACCAACCTTCCCCTTCCCCTTTTACTACTTCAACCTTTTTCTCGACGGTGGACAGAGCCTGCAGCAGGGGCATCCGTCCAGGTGCGGACCTTTTCGTGGTCCTCGGGATAAATATCACCTCGTCGTTTGTGGCGGATGAAACCCTCTCACGCCGAATTCCCCGTTCGCTGTCTCTTATACGGTTTTCTCCATGGCTTTCGTTCAACCGAAGCTCAGTTGGGACTCTGTATGCCCATCGAAAGTCTCGGGACAAACAAATTGAAATTTAATCATTTAGACGCGTTGTTTGGACGTGTTGACGCGTGCCTATTCATCACGTGCAAAACTCTTCGCGAGGGTCCCGTGACGCTCACCCTCAGTCCACTCATTGGAATTTTATGTCCCTGTCTCTCTCTCCGTTCTGAACCACAGGACATCGCAGAAACGTTCCTTGCTGCTACCAAGCAACAGATAATTTTTTATATTTATCTGCCAAATCCTGCCATCGCCAGCAGCATCGTGGTCACCAGTACCATATCCGCGGAACCGTAACTACTGCTCTCACTCAACGCTCGCCGTATATTCTCTTCACGTTATTTGACACCTAGCGAAATGGGCAACGCGCAAAGCCTTCTTTCTCCCCACGCTGCTCTCGCGGCGTTGGTCGTCGCAGGCGCCGCGTACGGCTATGCGCTGTACACCAAGCCCCTGCCGCCGCCCCCAGCAGACGCCGATTCCGCAACAGGAGTTAACAAAGCGAAGAAGAAGAAGAAAAAGGCGGGCGCGGCGCCCGAGGACGTAGCTGAGGCGAGCCCCACAGTCGTATCCTTCCCGACCGTCATCCCAGGCGACTTCGAGCCCCCCTCGACCGCTCCGGAGACCGAGCCGTCCTCGAAACCTGCGAAGGCGAAGAAGAAGAAGGGGAAGAAGGCGAGTACGCCCGTCGGCGGTGGGCGGACCGTACCCGTTGATACGCTGTCCGAGTCCTCCGCCACCGCGCCGGAGTCCAACGTCTCCGCGCCCGTGCGTCCGTTGGGTTCGAAGGCGAAGAAAACGGGGGCAAGGGCGCCTTCTATCCCTGTCGGCGCAGAGGAACAGTGGACGCGCGTGGAGACGCGCAGGCGGAACACACCGCAGCAGGCACCGAAGATAGAAGAGGGTGCAGAGGCCGGGACGGGTGTACAGCTGGAGGTATCGACCAGCGATGCGGGGATTACGACGAGTACCTCATCGCTTGTTGCGGATCGCACAGAGGACGAGGTCCCTGGGCGCGAGCGGCGACGGACGCTCGCCGAGAAGGTCCAGCCGAAGTCGCGAAGGACGGGCGTTGACGAGTGAGTTGTTTGCTCGTCGTCTTCGAGATCTGTTTCTGACGCTGGTGGGATTCTAACGGTAATTGCAGTATGCTCGAGACGCCCGACCATCCTACGATGGCGACAGTGGTGCGAATCCAGCCCGGGCCAGACGAGAAGCCTGCGGCAGGGTTCTCGTGGGCCGACTACGAGGACGTGGATGACTCGCGGGGGACTGCAGACGATGCAGACGGCGAGGACGACGGCGGTTGGGGCATCGTGAAGGGCCGTGGTCGGTCAAGTGAGTATCATGCACATCTAACTTTTCATTCTCGTATTCACAATTGACTGTAGAAACCAACAAGAGCCCCGGCACCTCTCAGCAGTTGCCCCCGCATACAGCGCTTGAAACAATGACGAAGAAGCAGCGACAAAATGCCGCGCGGCGCGAGGCGCAGAAGTCCGCCAAGGTAGATGCGGAGGAGGAGCGGCAGGCGCGCCTGGCGCTGCACAAGCGGGAGCTCGAGCGCGCCAAGATCGCGGAGCAGTACAGCAATTCGGGCAAAACCACGAGCGGAGGCATGACCGCCTTCGTCGACGAGAACGGGAAGTTGGTGTGGAAATGACCAACATCTGCTTAGGGCTTTGGCATGCGCACGCTGGCTCGTTGGCCTAGGGCGTCGGACATTTTGGAGTTTAGGTTACCAGCAGCTCTCGTTTCATTCCCCCCATCTGATTCACACGGACGGTATTTCCAGCATTCACAAGTCATACTGACACATCTCATACGTTACTTAGCTTCTGTAGTCGCCATTGATTCTGACATATTCCTGAATCAAGGGTCAGTATTTGTTGTGGAGGATGTGGGCAACGACACGCACGTAGCTGAGGTCACACGTCCAGTACTTTGCAGCTTCGAACCCGAGGCCCAGCTCTACCTTGATCTGGAGATCCTCTGCGCTGACGATCTCTTTTGCGCGAACTTCGTCCACGTTTTCTGGCTCACCGTTAACGAGTAGGGGTAGAGGTGCTGAGCCATCGGCTGGAACAAACGAGACAGTGACGCGGGCGGGGTCTAATGGGACAGAGAGCGGGACAGAGCCCGTGGCTGCCAAAATGCGACCCCAGCTACCCAGTCGTTTGAGCATCTTGTCAGACGAAACGGTAATGACGGTACCCACTTTGCATCCTCGCCGTATAGGGCGGTCTTGACTAGCGCTGACGTAGAGATCCGGGATGCGACGTTGTGCGCATCGGCATAGGTCGCAGCTCCCTGGGAAGGCGTCGTTGTGATCATTCAGTGCCACAGACATCTGCAACGTACCTCAACAGACACCGTAACAAACTTCGTCGCGCCCTCACCGTCGCGCACGACCAGCTGCGCGAGCTCCGCCGCGAACGCGGTAAGTTCGTCCCGGAAGGCCTCGTACTCGCCCCTGTTGTGCTCCTCGTCGATCTCGTGCGCGTCCGCGGCCGCGGCGCCATTTGCGAGGGCGATGATCGTGTCGTTCGTGGACATGTCGCCGTCGACGCTGATCGAGTTGAAGCTCCGGTCGACCGCGTACGTCAGCGCGGACTGCAGGCTGCGCGGCGAGACGGGGGCGTCGGTGAGGATACAGCCGAGGAGCGTAGCGTGGAGCTGCCCAGCGGGAGACGACGACGAGGGCGAGGACGGAGACGGAGACCCTGCTGGTGTCGACGCCACACGCGGCGGGCCCATGTCGGGATGGATCATGCCCGCGCCCTTGTCCATGCCCGCCATGTGGTACTCCCGCCCGCCGACGATAAAATTGCGCGCACGAAGCTTGGGGAACGTGTCCGTCGTCATGAACGCGCGGGCGGCGCGCTCCCAGGCCTCGAACGTCGAGCCGAGGTTGCGCGTCGGCGTGGACAGCGCTTGCGACTGGATGCCCGCGAGGACCTTGGCGATGGGCAGCGTCTGCCCTATCACGCCCGTGGACATGACCACCGTCGCGCCGTCCCCGGCGTGCTCCTCGTCGAGCGCGTCTGTCGCGCGCACCATTGCCCACGCGTCCTCCGTACCCTGCTTGCCCGTAACTGCATTCGCGCAGCCGCTGTTAATGACGATCGCGCGGACGCGCCCGTCGCCGCGGCGCAACACCGCCTCAGACACGACTACTGGCGCCGCCTTGAACGCATTGCGTGTGAAGCACGCCGCAGCGGCGGCGGGTTGGGGTGATATTGACTGGATGAGGGCGAGGTCGAGCTGCTCTGGGTTCTTCTTGATGCCGCAGTGCAGGCCGGTAACGACATAACCTGCTGGAAAGACGGAGTCTGGGATGGCGGCATGGTGGTGTGCTTTAGGAGGAGGGGTCCGGGAAATGATAGTGGACGTGAATCGCTTCCATATCGACGGTAGACGCACTGGGAACATGGCGGGCGAGCTGGGAGCTCGAGTGAATGTCGACTCGACGCGGACAGTTATATACTCTGCAAGAGGTATGGCTATATCCACTCAATACTGCGCCCGAAGAGTTCTCTCCAATGGTCAATTTGCCTCTGAATAGAACATGAGTACAGCATGAGTACAAACCCCCTGAGGTATACGAGCCATTGGACGAACGATCCGGCCTCAAACTTCCGTCCACGCACAGACCGCGAATACCAGAACCCTCTCGTGTGATACGCTACGTGCAAGTTTGAAATAGAGATAGCGTTATTTCGACGCAGAGACCACTGACAAAGTTTGAGGCGCGCTTGGAGAATGCTCCCGGCCCCGCTTGCATGATGTAAGTAGTACACCGACAAGTGGCGGGTTGACCTCATTTCTTCCAGGTTCCACACTTTGTGCAGAGAGACGCGTTGTATACCTTCGCACAATTGGCATGCGTGTGTTTCCTACAGTGTCTGGTTTGTCAACTCTTCCGTTTTGCAGCTCGCGTTGCATGTCTCCGGTTGGTTCCCTCTCCATTGTACGTCGCCGTCGGTGTGCAGTGGCGCAAGAAGCCTTTTTGCCATGTTCTTGACGGCATGGAACCTGTGGCAGAATTTCCTGATGCTGTCTTTCGAGAAGAAAGGGGAGTTGAATGTTATCCCTTTCGATGATTTTCCGGAATTTCCCCTCTTACGCACGCCGCAGCCATATCTTCCACAGCGGCGGGACCGCAGGTTTAATTTGTACCACCCGAAGCTACCTTGTGCTCCAGTCCGATATGCGGTGCCCCGGATTACCTTGCGGAACGGATTTGGTTTGTGCTATTCTGCGAGTTCCTTTGTGCCGCAATCTTCTCCTGCCGGCTATTCTTTGACATCATGGGACATCATTGTTCGAGCCTGGTACAGGAGCAGGGTATATAAGAGCTCGACGGTCGATACCTCCGCACACCATCTCACTTTTCCTCTCCTCATTCGAACCCGTCGTCTTTGCTATTTTTAGCCGTCCTATTCATAATATGGCGTTCACCGTCTTCCACACCGAAGAATACATTCACACGGCATGGCATACTTGTGTTACTCATCCAGCGTTGAGATCCATGCGACCGAGCGAGAGCAGTGAGTTGTCTGTGCTTCGTCATCATATCATATCTCATTGATGCCATGGCTGTAGTTGAGCATCGTTGGAGCCAGCAAGCCTCATTGAGTATGGGCCCGGAGTCCTGTTCCGAGCCCACAGTCTAATCTACACCGAGAAGTCTCAAGGTCACTTTCTTGCTACCTGTATGACCTACTCTTGACTGACACACCTATGCACCTTTAGCATCCAGGCTTTTTCCCCTCTCCGGTGGATATGTATGTCTCAACGAGGCTTGCTTTCAGGAAGACACTGCAGTTACAATGTCCAGGCAGTTTCAAGAAACATCCAATTCTTGTATCATAACCAGTACAGATTGCACACTCTCCATGGTGAGTTGCACAACTCATGAGTACTGGGCTGTGAATCCTGACAGCAACCACAGAAAGGTGTTATTCTGGAAGGAGATATGGGATATGTGGAAAGCAGGACAGTACTCCTCAAGCAACCGCTCCACCGGTCTTGCCTTCTACTGCAAAACATGTCAACTTGGTCCCAGTTGAAATTATACCATTCACTGGCATACCAGGTCTAGTATTAGGCAGTGTGTACCCCCAGTACCTATTACCTACATTGACTTGGTCTCATGGTCATGCAGGCTCTACCAACTCCTGGATATTCATGCACAGGCAGAAGCATTTCACCTATTGGGGATCATATCCAATGATGAGTCCAAGATATACATCAAGACTTTTATAGCATCCTTTGAAGAGTGGCAACACAGGCATCAGGGCACAAGATGGTTGAGGCCCAGAAGCAAGCTATGAATTTGGAAGACTACCACCACCTCTGGCACTGGTCAGATGGGAGGGCATCATGCAGCTTGTGTACATGTGAATTGTTATCAGACCTCCCTGCTGTTGAAGGGCTGATGGGACACCAGATGCAACAGTGGGTTGATAATGCTGCACATTTACATTATATCCCTTGCCAATTCCCTTCTTGAAGTACCATGAGAGAAAGTGTCTACAACATGGCAAGCATTTCATTAGGAGCATATGGCTGGGGACATAGCATAGCAGAAGATGCTACCCCAGGTACATTTCGGTGAACTATATGCCAGTCTAGTTTGTCACTCTTGTGCTGAGATGATGGGAACTATATGCATATGTGAGAATCTGTATATCAACCATGCAGCAGGGATGCAAGGCAGAACATGCAGGGTACACAATGCAATATTTGTGCAGCATCATCAGACCAAGCATTTCTGTAAACCTGTGATCAATCTCAGTCATATGCCTGTGTTCATTTCGAAGGTGTACAGGATATGTGTCTTGGGCACCTCTGAGAATGAACACATGTCATTGACTGCAGGCTTCAGTCTCTGGTGGAGGATATGAAGGATAGCCTGGCTCATGCTTGAGACCAGTATACGGTGAGAACATGGATCCTTCTCGAAAGGATAGTTAATTAGAGACACTTGATTATTGCCATTAGGACAACTCGAGCGGCCCAAGGTACAGTTAAAGAGAAGTTGAATATTGTCTCACAAATAGCTGACAGCAGGAGGTGAGCTGTACCTACTTTTTTGTTACAAACAGACCTTAATTCGTCATGCTTTCCACAAGAACATTGTAGGATTCAGCTTGCTGGTGACGAGCATATCGACATTTACCTATTACCCTCGAGGGGTCATCTGCTTCAACAAGCCCTGTACACCAGCCCCAACCAAACCAGCAACGCCATCAGCAACGCGTCGGGTACTATCCACTGTACGTGCGAAGCGCTCGACGCCGCCTACAGCAAGGCTCCATCCAGAAGTTCTTGCGGAGGGCCCAGCGCTTCCTGCGGACACCATCATTGCAGCTTTGATGGTATCAAGCTCGTTCAGCACCTCCACGCCAACGGAGCGCGCCCACACGATGGGCGCCGCAGTCTGCGCATAGAGCTTGTGCAGCTTATCCATGGCTGCCAGCATCTTGTGATTCTCGAAATACCGTTCTCGCACGTATGGTTGGAGCACGGTGTATGAGCCTGCGGGAATTGCAGACGATCAATTGTGTGTCTGAGTCGGATACGATACTTATGGACCCACCGATATCGCCACCGAGCGAGACTGCTTCTTGGATGTGCCGCGATAGTGTCTCGACGTCTGCAAGGCCCAAGTTGAGGCCCTGTCCCGCGAGCGGATGGACGGTGTGTGCAGCATCTCCAACAAGGACGGTGCGCGCACCAGCGCCTTCGCCGATGTAGGTGTCAGCGTGGCTAAATTTTAGCGGGAAAGACGCGATCGTCCCTGGCTGAATAGATGTGACCAACGGCGGTAGCACATCCGCATCGGCAGGCGGGACTCCCGTAGCAGCTGTGACGGATGGTGCTGACGAAGAATATGCCGAGCGTGGGTCGATGTTATGCGAGCGCTCGCGCCAGACAATTTCTTCCTGTACTTGTTGTGGTGACAACAAAGTACCATTCTCCTGAGATTCAAGGATCTGGGCATGCAAATATCGCAGCGACACCTCGGGGAGGCGGAAGGCCGCGTTTATTAAACTTGCCAGTACGATTGGGTCTGCGGCCTTCAGTGCGCGTGCGAGATGCGGCTTCGTAGACCAGACGAGGGAAGATGCGGTCGGAGATAGTGGCAGGAATGCAATGGGCCCAGTGGGGAGGAATCGCTGGTATGCGACAGTATTTGTGGGCTCAAACGCTGTGCGAGGGGCGTGGAAAAGTGTTGCCACAATGGCGTGTGTATCGTACGCCCATCCGTAAGATTGTATCCCTGCATACGCACGCACGGGAGAATTAAATCCATCAGCGCCGACCTACGTTCATGAGTGTCATTGTTCACGCGTTTGAGCATGATGCAGGCTCACCAGCAGTCTCGCGCGAAGGATGCGACCATCAGACAGGTGGACCAAGGGCCAATCGCCACCCTGTCTTTCCTCCCTCTGGATAGCTTGTACCTTGACCTTGTCAAGTAGCTGCACTGAAGGCACAGTCGAAAGACGGCGTAGGAGTGCACGTTGCAGGTTCAGATTCTCCGTAATGCGAGCCAGTCCGGAGAACGCAGAACGTTCCGGCGCGTCAAATGTGATTCGTGCATCCGACAGGCCGTCCCATACCTGTCCACCATCTAAATCAAGTCCGAGAGGTACAGGCCAGAGAGTGGACCCACCTGCATCTCCTCTACGGGGCATGTTCGCTCCGCTTCGACATGCGGCCACACACCAATATCTTCGCGCAACTTCTGTTGAGCGACGCGAATGCGGCTACTAAGTTGCGAACATACCTTGGAGAAAAGCTTGCGATGCGTTCGTGATTGAACTGACCCTATTGGAGAACGTGCCGGGTGGAGGGGACCATTCTCGGACCTTGGAGAGGTCACCAGCTTCAACAAGAGTGACTCGTAAGCCATGTTGGACGGCCTTGGAAGCACCTACACGGATGTCACAGCCATTGGACAAATGCTACGTGCAGAATACGCACCGAGCGCGCTCGCCAGTGCAAGCCCAGCTGGTCCCCCACCGACGATGACTATATCGCTCTCCTCATGTGCGACACTGTCAGAGAACCATTGCACTCGCTGAAGAGAGCGTCGAGCACTTCGTGCTGCCAGAATCCTCGGCGCGGTCGCGTGCAACGAGGAAAACATAGAGATTCTGGGTTCAGATTTCAGGTAGCGTTAGAGATGCATTCGGAGCAATCGTCGCCGCTTAATTAGAGCGGTAGGTTGCTCGAATCGTTATCCGGCTGGCAGTGGTTACAAGATGAAGTATACTCAGATCGTGCGAGCCCGACTGCGTGTAAAGTTGGTGCGCGATCGTCGCGCGATGCCCATAGAAAGCTCACCAGAAAATGAATTATCAAGTACCGTCAAATGGTGGGGTCTAGGTGTCCATGCAACTGCAAATACAGAACATACAGGCTGCGTAAGAATTTGTAATAATGCAAACCCTAATGTAAGGCAGAGTCGTGTAGCATCCGAAATGTCCTCATGTATACAGCGCCGGACGGCAGCGCGTGTCAGTGGGAAGCTACGGAAGGGCAGGCATGGTCCGATGGAGGTGCGGGGTAAAGGCGCAGGGGTAGTCGTAGTACAGCCCGAAACAATATAAATTGCAGGGATATCTAGATGAGTGAAGTGAAATAAAAGGAGAGCACACAGAGACATTATGATCAGAAACGAACCATGTTGGCTACTTTCGTCGTTGTTGTTGCTGCCACACAGCCAGCGGGACATCCTCGTCCTCGCTGCCGTGCCGGTGCTGCACCACTGCGTGAGCACTGGCACCTTTCTTCACTTTCCCATTTATCTGTGGCATCGGCGGCACAGGCGGGACTGCAGAGGCAGACAACGAACGGCCAGGTACTCTTTGACCGCTATATGGTTGCTTCTCCTGCGCGGGTGTGTACCTGTTCCCAGCTGGAGGCGATCGCGTACGCCGTGGACTCGATTGCGCAGATAAAGATGGTGGAGACGTGGCCCGTGGTGGAGGTGAGGATGAGGTATGATTTCGAGCGACCGACGGAGCGGAGCCAGTTGAAGACAGCCATGTCTGCTCAACGGCGGCAGGCGACATCGCACCAGGTGGGAGCTGCGGTGTACCTGTCACCATCGTGGGGTATTGGCGACTCTGCGACATATCATAGTACCGGTTATTTGGGGTCTGTGGCTGTGGCTGGACCAATTGTACAGAATACGGAGACGGCGCACTCGAGGATGTTCTACTGGAAGATGCTGCTGGGTATCCAAGCATTGAGCCATTGGCCCCTACCGGGGCAGACAACGGGCGAGCCATGGAGGGAGTAATGCCAGGTACGTTGCCTGGTGCCCCGTACCCATATTCCTGTTCCATAACTCGATGCTGCATCTCGTACTGTGGACCTCGTACGGGTATTTCTGCTCTTCGCGCTCCAGGAACAGGAGAACCACCGCCAGGCGATTTGGTGAGGCTGCCCCGACGTGATTCTTTCTTCTGCTCTGCCTGTTCCTTCTCTAGCCGTTCTTTCTCTCCGCGCTCTCGTTCTTCCCGCTCCTTCTGATCCCGCTCGCTCTGTTCATCCTCAGCCGCAGTGCCCGCCGTTTGTGCTGGAGTTCCGTTCGGTTGTGGCTGATTCTGCTGCTGTTGCTTGTTGATAATGCCCAGATACCAGAACATCAGATTGCTGATTAGAACCTGCTCATACAATGGTCGGCGCGGATTCGCGAGCTTGATATGGCTCAGTCGGTAGATCGCCCGCTCGACGTGAATGGGATACCGTGCATAAGCATTGGCGAGCTGCGGCGAGGGTGGAGGAACGTAGTTCTTGGACGATTTGGACGCACCGAGGAGTGCTGCTGCTGTCTCCCGTCCATTGGTACTGATGCCAAGAGACGGCGGAGACTCCTCCTGCTTCTTCTTGGCCCCGAACAGCGAACCAAAGAAGCCGCTCTCCTTTTCCTTGTCGCGATCTCGAATCTCCTTGTCTTTGTGGTGTTTCTTTCCACCTTTATCACCGCCCCATTTACCAAACAATCCTTTCTTGTCCTTCTCTCGCCGCTGCTCGGACGCACTCGGTGAAGGAACGTAAGATGGGCGAGATGATGAAGTACTTTCACGAGGTTGAGTAACACTCTCATTTGTACGCGCAGATGAAGGAGGTTCGGGTGACGGAGACCGTTGTGGCACGGTCGGTGCGGATACGGGAGGGACAACGCGCTGGGGCTGAGGATGGTGGAGGATGGGCGATAATGTGGATTCGGAGATAGCCTCGGGCACAGGCTCTAGGACATGCGAGGGGGAAGGAATGACGACAGGTGGAGGTAAAACGAATGTGGGCGCAGGCTCTGGAGTTGTAACCAAAGTGAAAGGTTCCACGTCCTCAGAATCATCCGTGGCGTATGCATCGTAGATCGAAGACTCCTCACTATATGATTCTGGTCGAGGTAATGGCGGGACCTCGGGAACTTCTGGTATCTCTGTCTTCCAACTGAGCTCGGGGAGACTGAGGTCGCCCTCGCCATGATCGCTCGACGACATGTCGCTCGACGTGCGTGATTCTTCAGGAGGTAGAGTCCCCGAACGGGTTACGGATTTGCGCCGGCTGCGCGTCGTTGTGAAACGATGCGCACCCTCCCCAGTCTGGCCGGGCTTCCTGATTTTGGTGCGCGCTGCACGACGTAGGATTTGACCGGGGCGGGGCACGATAATCGGAGAATCTGCATCATCGCCCATGTCCGGCATGTCATCCATCTGGTCGATGACTGCGCGCGCACGGTCAACACAACCGGGCTCGCAGAAGTAACAGAGGACGGAAAATACCTGACGGAGCGACGTTCAGACTGAGGCTCCTCCTTAGCACGCTCCTCAATCGTGACGAATCATCACTCTGCGACGCCTCCTCTGCCAGCTCCTCCAGCTTCTGTAGGTCATTGATTGTCAGCTGCGGTCCGGAATTTGCATATACGCTCGTTCGGTTCCGTCGGATGGGGATGACCTTCTCGTCTTCCACGCCATCGTTCGCCGAAGGTTTGTACTGCCTGCTCAGCATGGATTTCTTTCTGCTCAGGCTGTTTGATGAGCTGATCGTACTAGAGCGCCCGAGGACGCCCACTTCGTCCACAGGTGCGCGGGCATGCTCTTTGAGGAACGCGCGAAATTCAGCGGGTGCGATCTCGGGATGTAGGCGCGCTGGTACCCAGAAGAGATGGAATGGATCGTCCTGGGCGTTGACATGGCTGCTTTCGCTGCTGTCCTCATTAGAGCTGCTGCTGGAGTCATCTGTAGGCGTCCAATAGCCCACAGGGGAGGTAGGAGATGAAGCGTTGGGTAAATCAGGATCCAAGATGAGGGAGCCAGGTCCACCCGCAGTCGAACGCCGTCTGATATCACGGAGAGCTTCGACCTCCTGCTGGATCTCATACTCGGAGGGCTGCATGGCAGGCTAGTGATACACAGACTGTAAGGTAAATCCAGATAGACAAGAAGTAGGGTACTCGCCTGAAGATCCGCCAGTTTGGACGTGAAGTTGTCGTCGCCGAGGTGAGCGACCAGAGAACGAGCTCACCGTCTCGTCTCGTGCCGTCGCGGTCAAGCAACAGCTCAGATTTGCGTGTGGCGCGGCACGTATGCCGAAAATAACTCCGCTCCTCCGCCGGAATTTACCTCAGCTGCTTGCTCTCAGCATCGTTTTGCCAACGTTGGCATGTTGTCCATAACTTGTTCCGAATACCTGTGCTGACCGTCAAATTTTCAAAGATGACCGTCTGCCAATTTTGTTCTAAACCTTTGCAGAAACCGCGAGAAGAAGGGATGGTCATGCCGAATATTTTACCACATTAGTCACTAGCCTGCCGTCATCTCCGTGACCTTGCTTGTCGCAAGAGGGAATTCCGAAGGTGTTCCAACTTGGTTCCAACTGAATCCGAGTCACTTATACATTGTACGTGCGGACACCAACTTGCCATGGAGCGTGGGCCGCCTCTTCATCTTCTCCCTTGACCCCACTGATCTTTTCAGTATAACAGTGCTTCTGTCGAAGACATCATCAAGGCTATCTGGGCACCGTACTCGAGCTCTTTTGACAAAGGCAACATCGCCTTCGACGAGCTCCAGCTCGTCTACTTGGTAACCCCACTCTTCTTGTCAGTCATCCGGCTTGCCCAAACGTCCACTCAATACCCTTCTCGATCGCGTACGCGAATGTGAAAGCCAGCTCACAACACTCAAGAACACATAATCTATATCTCAGCTTGCTACGTGTGAGGAAGATGAGTTTCACTTTGTTCTTAGGATACCTAGTGAGTAGTTTCCTTGCGATTGTGTACTGCACTCGTTCAGACTACTATTAAGGGGAGTCACATGTGGCAGCCCACCTGGCCGCTGTCAAGAACGCACGCGATGCACTGTCCCCGTCCTAATGTCACGGCATTCAGGTACGAACAGGAGGAGCACCCCATCTACAATGGATGACCCGAAAATTGTCGCAGTTCGCCGATCGTCCTTTACGATAGCGCCTTCGCTAAGCTCAAAAATGTGTTGTACGATCTGCGAGAGGCACAGCCGGACTGTGACCGTGTGGCTGCGACGGCAAAGTTCTTTCTGCGACGAACATATACCACTCGGAGTCGGAACGCGAGAGCGCGATCTTCGACCATATCGAACATCTGTTCGACATCACTAGGGTCGGGGAACCGACAACTACCGACAATCCCTCTTCCGCGTCACGTTCAACCGCAAACTCGTGCGCGTTAAGTTCTGCGAGGCGTACATCGAGCGCGCTCACCGCACGCTTGCCGATATCGGCCTCGCACCGAAGCTATACTTCTGCGCCCAGGTCCGTGGGCGCGTCAATATGGTTATAATGGAATTTGTCGAGGGCCGCGACGCGCACCACCAGTTTAACGGTGAAGAGCTACCTCCGGGCGTCATGCGCGACGTGAAGCTCGCGGTGGAGGAGCTGCACCGCTTGGGCCTCGTCTTCGGCGATCTGCGCCGCTCGAACATCATGATCGTCACCAAGGACTTCCACGCGGTCAAAGCGGCGAGGACTGGGAAGCAGAAGGCCGCACTGGCAAGTGCAGGTTTGGGCGCGATGTTGATCGACTTGACTGGGCTGGGGATGACCGTCAGGCGCAGTACCCAGCACTTCTCAATGATCCGGGAGAGATCAGTTGGGCGGACGGTGTCGCGCCTGCAGCTGCGGCACGTATGAAGAAGCGGCATGACCTGGACATGATTGAGAAACTCCATCGACGTCGGTCGGTGAGTCAAGTGCAGTCCGCAAATAGTCAGCTAAATTCATGTTGACGTTGAGTCGTGTAACAATTAGTGTTTTGTACATTAGGCTCAATCAAGCATACACAAGGAGGTGAGGAGACCAGTCTCATACCAAGAACCGTCCGCGTCCGCGTGGACGTTATCAGAGGGGTTTGCTTCGAACCTAGTGAGGAGACCTTGACAAGCAAGGGGATGGCTGCCAGTGTTACATCAACTAGAATAGGACACAAATTCTGTTCTTTGTTCGGTTATAACGTTCGTGCACCGCAGAGCGGGCCAGAGCAATACCTATAATATTGGAAGTGCGAACATACCTGATTCAACTACTCCAGATTGTAATTACTGAGTACATAGTGGTAAAGCTACGGAGGGAGATGAGATCTGTGAGCACTACCGGCACCGACCACAATAACGCAGCATAGTTACTGCGCTCATGTTGTGCACCTATTCACTACTGACCTCCCATGTCGGCTCCCACCATATCTGCAGCACAAGCAGTCGGTGAATATCTGCAGCACCCAGATGACCTCGTCAAGATCGTCGCGTTCAGGAAGAAATTGGAGAAGGAGAAGGCATCCATCGACGCGCGGCTGAAAAGCGGCGTCAAGGAGCAGTTAGATGCTACACGGGAGGGCCTGCGGAAGCTCTTCAGCACCAGGAGCAATGTTCAAGCCATCAAAGACGAGATGGAAACAGTGGACAGGCTCTGCAACGATCCTCAGAATGTTGTGCCAACGTTTGACCAAATTAGCAGGGTATGTAATAAACAACTCCTGTGATTACTGTATAGCAACTGATGAATGGACGAAGGTTTCCATAGTTCACCGGAACTTCGGACAAACGGAGGAGATGGTGAACAACCTCGTCGAAATGAGCAATCACATCGACATGCTGGAGGAGCTACTTGCGGCAGACAGTAACGATATCTTGGGCCCGGCGCCCAACCTCCTGCGTATACACTACCAGATCAATAGGCTGGAAGCATTCCGCAATCAGACGATGCAGCAGGCGAAGAAGTCATCCATGGACACGAGGAGCACGCTGACCCGCTGGTTTGACCGGTTGAACAAACTCATTGTCGCTTTCGATGCGTACATCATCGAGCTTGCGCAGCATATCCTTCCACTCGTACGCGCGGGGAATGCGGAAGTTATCGTGAAGTTGATCAAGATCGCAGAAATTGAGGGAAGAGAGGACGAGAAGGTGCCTACCGGGTTATCTTCTGCCAAAAAGTTACCGCTCATGCTTTGAACCAGGCGATAGCAATCAAACTTGTCAAAAAAGTGGCTAAGATGGATGCTGCCTCTAAATTCCGATCCCTTCAAGCCAACGCGCGGGTCATTAAGCACTACCGCTCAAATATCATGAAATGCATCACTGAGTCTATTAAATCCAGTTTCGACGAAGCGTATGCCCGCGACGGGAACAATCCCGCAGGGTTTCTCGAAGATCTCGGCTGGGTATACCAGGACCTCCTCCGCATCGAGAGCGACGTTGTGCCATGTTTCCCTTCTTCCTACGACATCTACTCATTCTATATTCGCGAGTATCATAAAGCATTGAACGCAACGTTGCTGAAGGTGCTGCGGTCCGAACCCGAGGCAAGCGTGCTTCTCACAATGCACGCCTGGGTGAAGGAGTACAAAAAGAACATGACGGAGCTAGAAGTCAATCCGGACTTGCTCGAGCCGCCTCTGCTCGACGGGAAGGAGCAGAACCTCATCGAGGACTACCTCAAGCTCATCATCAAGAAGCTGGATGAGTGGACTACGAACCTCATGCGCACCGAGATCGCCGCCTTCACGGCGCGCGAGGAGCCCCCGGAGGTCGACAGCGACGGTCTCTATGGCATGCAGGGTGCCGTGATTCTGTTCCAGATGGTGAATCAGCAGGTCGACCTGGCGCTGGACAGTGGGCAAGGTATGATTCTCGCCCGCGTCGTCGAGGAGGTAAACGGCGTCATGCGCGGTATGCAGGAGCAGTGGACGAAGCTCGTCGATGCTGAGTACAAGAAGCATATCGAGAAGCCGGAGGAGGTCGCGGGCGGGCTGGTCGAGTACTGCATTGCGCTCGCCAACGACCAGCTCAAGTCCGCGGACTTCGTCGAGACGCTGTCCGCGCGCGTAGAGCCGCTCGTCTCGAAGAAGTACCAGGCGACTATCCACGATCAGCTGAATGATGCGATGGACGGGTGCCTCGACGTGGCGAAGAAGTGCACACAGACCCTCATTGACATCGTTTTCAACGACCTGAAGCCCGCAACGAAGCAGCTCTTCCAGTCGACATGGTACGACGGGATCACAGCGCAGATCATGGAGACCATGCGCGACTATATGACGGACTACCAAGCCTACCTCAACCAGGCGCTCTTCGAGCTCTTGGTCGAGGATATGGTTGACGTCTACCTCGTCACATACCTGACAGCCCTTGCGAACGCGTCGAAACTGAAGATACCCGCTGCGACGGACCGAATGAAGGAGGACATCAATGAGGCGTACAAGTTCTTCAGCACGTTCAAGCCGTTGAAGGATCTACAGCCCCAATTCGAGATTCTAGAGATGGTCCTCGCTCTCCTCGAGGCTTCACCGTCCCTTGTATTCCTCTCATACTGGTCGTTTGCCAAGGTGCACGGCCCCAACATCCCATTCGTCGAATCGTTGATGAAAGCTCGCGAGGATCTGGATCGGTCAGCTGTAAGTGAAGTCATGGAGAGTGTAAAGCGGAAGGTCAAGGAAGAGGGCCTCACTGACCGTTAGTGTTTTTTGTCGATCATTTTTTTTGCTGTCGCTGATGTCCCTCCCTTCGTTATATAGCTGAAGAGCCTACAATCATGAAGAAGATTGCGATCCAAGGTGCATTCTCGCGGTTCTTAGCTCGCAGCTAATGATCACACGTAGCAATGTACGTCCGCAGTCATTAAGTTACACTGTTGGCATCAGGATATTCACCCTCACAACAGACAACTGTGTCGACATTTTCTGCGTTATTCTAGCATATATGTATCTATCGGAACCGTACACGTCTGTATCTATACTTAAACTTCTAACTTCCTTTTACCTCACTCTGGCTTCGACTTGATTGTATCCGAATCACTGGAACGGTCAGGTAGCTTCGCTGCCAGTTCATCGATCTTCTTGAATTGCCACGGGAAGCGCGATGGATAAAGGAAGGGACGCAAGTCGAACCCTGTGAACATTGATGTCAGACCGTATGCACAATCCCCACGTGCACTGGCTCACTGTTGTCGTCCGGACTGTATTGCTCCTACGAGAAAATGAGCCTCTGGGACGAATGTGAGGAAGTGTCGACTTACAGCATGGTACGACGGTGTCAACGTTGTCATCTTATGTCGGTTCCTTGCATACTCGAAGAAGAAATGCTTGACTTTGTCCGCGATCTGATAACAAAATACTCAACAAGGGTACAGCTGCGAGCGACAAGCTGACTGACCTGCACGGGGGAGAGAATGGAGCCCCATTCATGCACCAGCTTCGTGAACATGCTGTACGGCCCACATTTCTCGACCTTCCGCAGCCGCCCGAAAACTGAGAGTTCATCGTAGGTCATGCCCATATCAGCCTGGAATGAACAGACAGAGTCAACAGTGACAACTGTATGCGTTACACTGTTCTGACCTCATCAGCTTGAACGTAGGTCTCCGTGATGGGTTCCAACTCAGCCGTCGGAACAGCCTCGAGGAAGCTGGCAAGCGAACATCGCGTCAGTACACCTTTGTCTCGAGTCGACAGGATGAGGGAAGCATACTTTGTCAAGATAGGAAGATCGAATGCATCCCGTGCATAGGCGATGAACCTCTTCAGGTCGGTCTTACTAATCGCACCGATGGGATTGATGTCCGCTGCAAGAACGTGTGAGAGAGAACATTGCAGTCATGACAAGATATCGCACCAGATGAGCAGTCATACTTCGTAAAGTAGCCTCGCAAACTGTCATGAAACGCCAGCAGTCAAAATTGGAGGCAAAATTCTCGGAGGGACGACCTCACCTCTCGTCTACGTTGGCACTGCCGAGGACCAGGAGACCACCAGTCCGTCCTCTAACCCAGGGAAGCAGTTGAGCAAACAAGTAGGCAAGCAACATACGTAGCCGCGCCTGCAATCAACTCATCGTACACATTTTATCAATATCGACGGGCACCTACTTACCTGAATGTTCTGCAACGCAAGATTCTCCGCTGCAGAACCTCCGTGGATGCGATACTGGGGCTTCATGCCTGTCACGAAAGAGAAAAGGCTGCGGACCGCGCTGACCAACGTGTCCATATTCAGATCGGTGTGATAACTACCAAGCCTCTGCGTAAGCGCAAGCTTCATTATGACCAATATCAGTACGCACCTGCCTACTGCTTGAGCCAAGTCCTTTGCCCTTTGCCTTGTCTCTACACTCGAATTCTCAGTGCCCATGTAGCATGTGTGGAAGATTCTATTTGTGAACTCCCGAGCATCGATTGGGACGTAGGTCGAGTCCTCGGGCTCCCCGGCGATGCGTCGAGCATCAGAAATAACTTGCTTGTCTGCGACTAGGTGAGCACGCAAACACGCGAGGAGACAGAGGGAGTGCAAACCTCCTTTGCTCGCCGCCTCAGCGACAAGTCTGCACATCGAATATACGATGACCGAAGTCGCGCAACTATCGATGCCACCACTGAGGGGAACAAAGTACCCCTGTGTCCGCGAGCGTCGCAGGTAATCCCAAAGCCAGCATGCCGGTCCGAGGCTGTGTCTTGTCAGTGCGTGTGGGATGAATGGGATAAGTAAGGCCACCCACGCAATCTCCTCTTCCGGCTTGTGATATCTGACCTCATACGCCGGGCTAATAACGAGATCATACGGATCTTTCTCCTTGAAGAACTCACCATCGGAAAGTGCAAAATCGACTTCAATACGCTGATAGCGCTCTGCACCTGCTGCCTGCATACTCCGGCTGCTGACAGCCCTGTGGGAACGGACATCCTCGAGGTCGATCGTGGCAGTGACGACCTCGACGTCCTGCAAGGAGAATTGGGAACCTTGAGCCACGACGCGCCCGTTGACTGCAATCATTGCGCAACCGTCGTAGTACAGCCGGTCACCGTCGCACCCCTGCTGGTTGGCATATAAATAGATACCTCCCAGCTAAACAACAAAATCAGAATGAACAGCAGCATAAATGCTTAGACTTTGGACTGTTTACCTTCATCGTCGCCTCCTTGATGAGTTCAACTCGCCTGTAGAGCTTGCGAAGTTCGTGATGACTGCCGCTAGAGTTAGTGAAAACCTCAACTCCATCCAGGCCCATCAGAACATGAGGACTTCATGTCGAAAGTCAACTTCCGTTGCTAGTACCGACATAGCACATACCTGCCGGGTGTGAACAGTTCTTCACATAGCTCGACACCAATGCATGTATCTACAGTGCTGACGACGGCATCACCGAAAGGCACCTTGGTCTGTTTGGGGTGTTTGGTTACTTTCCATTTAAGAATGGCATGACAACGGCACCGCATACCTGACCCGTGACAGCATGTATTATCCTCGGAAGATAGTGGTCCTCGACTTGCCTGTGTTTCATCCAGGGAGTGAAGAACCTCAGTTCACGATAGTTTCCATCGTTTGCCAACCACATCTTGGGGCGAATGAGGAGGATATTCTTGTTGTGAATTATGATACGGCAGTTATAGATCACATTCTTGTGCATGACAGGCCTGGAAACCTCGTCACGACACCAAACAGAGAGAGTTAACACAGAAGATTTACATTCCAATGTCGCACACGATATCTTCCGCCTCCTCCGATTCGAGGATCTTGGCGAGCACCTCCCACGAGTGTAGAGCCGTATCGCCTTGTTGCACAAATCAACGAGTGAATATTTATCGTAATGCAAGATACTCACCTTCGAGGAAGTGGTCCATACACCCATAACCCCTAGTCTACTTCAACCCGTATCCGCTGAGTCGTGCACGGAACACGCACGTTATCTCTAGCTCTGGTCCGACACGTAAAGTGGCCCCTCGCTCCTTTGCAATCCTGCAGCTGGCAAGGATACGCTCAAGGTTCCCCTGCAACATGCATGTCATGCTTGTGCGGCATATGCAATAACGTCATAACACACCTCGAAATCCAAGGCCCACTGGTTTAGGGAGCTGGAACGCGGGACTGTTGGTCAAAAGAGAATCCTAGATTACGCTAAGCGTACCATCTGACATTCTGGCAGATCAGATATATGAAAACATCTGCATTATGTTAATACTCACGTTGCGACAGTAATCGGATGACCCATGGGTGACTTGAACGCAAGACGAACGATGCACGGTCAAGAGAACTAGCTAGTGCCCGTCTGATAGATATGCCGGAATGACAGACTTTGCCTAGGAACACAGCTCGGAGAGTCCTCGCAAGTCATGACACCCAAATGACACCCGCGAACAATTTCCGAATCTCGGCATCTGAGATCGCCACGATCTTCACTTTATTCAGTCAGGCTTCACTGCAGATGTATTCCTTGATCGTGTTCGCTGGGTAATGAGTACCACTACGAACTAATTTCGGTTGATGGAGGGCTGTAATTTCACAATGGCATTCTTTTAGCGCCGGGACTGTATGCGTGACCGAAGCGTAAGTCCGATTGCACTAGTACTTCTGCTCTTGTGAAACAGAAAACATGGTACAAATTCGTCGATTAACTGATCCTACATGTACGTCTTTTCCTACAAGAATCATTTCAGGAAGAATCACAGTGCTGATCATTTTTTTGTTACTCTGATTTTTCCGCGATCACAGCTGCAGCGGCGTTCGACCGTGCAGCTGAGGTCCTGGTTACGGCATTCGAGCAGGGTAACTACATATTCTACGCCTAGAGTTTTATGGAAAAACTCATACGAACACCGTCATTACAGACCCGTTTACAATCGCATGCACAGGCGGGGAAAAGACCTTGATATTCACATTTCTGCGGGCTTTGATTGCGGCAGTTGCTCTCGCAGGAGAAGTCTGGGTTGCCAGTCAAGGGGACCAAGACTTTGTTGGCGTCGCTTCCTGGGTATATCCAGATCGACTGCTCAATGACTCGTTCGTAGCCCTTCCCGCCGTTGTGATCGCGTATAAAAGCCTTATCTTCGTCGGATAGGCCAGATCAAGGTGAAGCTGGTATGAACGCGCTGTTTGCGTCGTTTCCCGCCGAGCTTGTCGAGTGGTGGATGCTCACTGTTCGTCTGCATACTCCCGCAGTGAATGGCCCATTGTCTCATTTGTTCCTGTTGTCTTCTCAGTTAATTCCTACTATGGACGAACAGGAAGCAGAACAGCTCGGGCTCGGTATCAGGCAGGATTCTTACAACGTGTACGCAGTCGGTGTCCACCCGCAGTACCATAAAGAGAATATCGCTCGGGCATTGCTGAAAGTCGTAGAAGACAAGGTAGTTTGATCGTTCTGAACCGCCTGACGATGCTTAGGAATTAATTCGATTGTGCCTGCTAGGCCAATTCGCAGGGGAAGCTGATTACCTTGGGATGCACATCTGAAACCAATGTAAAGCACGTTCGACATTCTGCGATTCGAAAGTCCAACTTATTACCTCTGTCGTAGGTCGAAATTTACACTAAGCTAGGATACATTGCCAAAGGTCCTCCTGTACCTATTACCGGGCTGGGGACAACGGGTTCCTTTCCATCCTATTTAATGGCGAAGAGGCCGGCAGCTCAGTTCAAGTAACAAAGCTGTTGATGTGCTGCGCCTCTCGAGCACGGAAGCGGGCAGTCAGTGCGTATCGCTCCCAAGTAGACATCGTACGCCGGCTCAACGTTTGACAGCGCTTCGCACTTCTTTGCAGCTGTCTGCTTCTGGCCTGGAATATATGTAACATATCTATTGAGTTTTTTATGACAGACAAGATCTTCCGGACGTGATTAACTCCCACTCCATGCCGGCGAACGTGTATCCGACGTTGCTGTCGATCTAACTTAGGTTATAGAGAGGAACGACTCTTTCTTACTATCTACTAGAGGCTGGTTAACGAGCCTAGTGCTCGTCATATTTCTAGAGCTGAGGGGCATGTCGTACTGGGAGAGATAATTGGACACGATGGGTATTATAGCGATTATTGTATACATTCTATGATTGAGATCCTCTATGATTTATTACCCTATTACCGACATCAACACCGTGAAATCTTCATGATGTCAGGATGACTTTAGCCATGGATGATACCTTCTCGTCAACCCTGTGGTTCTCGTCTTGTAACGAGTGCCCCGTGTTCGTAGTGTGGTGCGCTTACATCTCCGTGACATGCGTCTCGTCTTGAGCAGCATCATTTTCGTCATCGGCTTCCTCCCTAGCAAATTGCACGTCAAGCCGCGACGTCGACGTCTCACCGGTATCCACGGTATCATCTGAGACAGCCTTCTCCGTGTCCTCAAGCGGCTCCTGCTCATGTAGACCATACGTGCCATCGGTGTACTTCAGCATCGGGATCTCCTTTAGGAGCAAGACTGACAGGAACCCAAGGCCGCAGATGCCAATCATCGTCTTCCACACTGTAGCCATGCTCGAGGCGAACGCGACGCGGACCTCCGTGCGCAGCGGCTCCGGGAGTGTGGGGATAATGGGGATCGCAGAGTACGCGATCTCTGAGCCCTGAGGGAACTGAGAGGCGAAGGCAGCTGGAATATTCCTCTTGAGCTCATTCTGCAGGATCGTGCTGGAGATCGTGATGCCCCACGTCTATCGAGAAATGGTGAGCACAACTGCGATGGGAACAGCATGCAAGGGCGTGTACCTGGCCAAAGGCCCGCAGGAATGCAAAAAATGCTAGAGCGGAAGCGGTTCGCTCCACAGGAAGTGGGGCCAATATCGCGAAAACGGTGGAGGCGTACTGCGCAAAAGCCATTTCAGGAACTTCCAACAATCGGAGCGCAGAAAACTTTGATCACAATAAGACCAGTCCCTGCAGCAGCAACGATCTGGAACCCGATCCATTGGCTTGCATCACTGTTGGCTTTGAGGAGGCATAATAGGCCGAGGCCAATGATCATGAGAATCCAACCCATAGCATTGACGGGTCGATATTTATTCATGATCTGAACAGTGACACCGCAGATCATCGCGAACGGTGCGATCACAAGAGCCGTAGGCAGACTTTGCACGCCAGACCGGATGGGCGAGGCATTGAGACAAGCCTGAAAGTAGACGGGAAGATAATCTGACATGTGCAATTGTCAAGATGGTTCGAAAGAACACTAGGAGGGAAACTCACAAATAACCGAGATGCTTGCTAGTCCGTGAACGAATGTTCCCACGAAGCTGGAAGCACACATCAGGCGTGAATAACAGTGAAGTTGAACTCAAGGGACATACCCGCCGAGACTCGTGCGGTTGGTCACCACCTCCCAAGGAATGGTAGGCTCGCGAGGCACCTTAGCCTCGAATACAAAAAATGCACCAATCAGAACCAGCCCAATGATCAGAGGGGCCAGGACGTTAGCCGAACTCCACGGATACTGAATACCACCCCACGTAAGGCCAATGATCACCAACGTCGATCCAGCCATGATAATTGCACTACCTCTGTCGGTGAAATGGTGTCAAGAGCAGTACAAGAAGTTGGAAGGAGAAATACTGACGACCAGTCAACACGTGCCAACTTCGTCAGAATTGACCCATTCGGAGACCGGACGCGAAGGAAGATAACAACAAGCGCAAATGCAACACCGGTGAGAGGAAGATTCATATCTGAACAATATTGTACCTTGAATGGGGAGGGCGCAGCGACAAAGAGGTATGCACTCACAGAAAAGCCATCTCCAAGCTCCATGTTGGGCGAAGGCACCGCCCTGAGTGTAGAGAATCAGCGCAACGATTCGTAAGTCGTGAAACAAAATACGCACTACTGGAGGTCCAATGCCAGAAGCCACAGCCCATACCAGGCCAATTAAACCTTGATAAACGCCACGCTCCGCCAGTGGTACAAGATCTGACACGATGATCTCAGTCAGGTTGATGATGCCTCCTCCACCAATCCCTTGCACAGCTGGTTTAAAGATGATGGTATTGAACTACGGCTGGAAACCAAATGAGACAAAGGAACTCACCCCGCGCAGCGATGAGCATGTGCATATTATGAGATGCACCAGCAATGGCACTACCCACAGCGAAGAAGGCGATGGAAACCAACATAATAGGCTTGCGCCCGAAAATATCCGCAAGCGATCCAGATAAGGGGAGAATAGCGGTACTGGTGAGAGCATAGGCAGAACCCACCCAAGAGAAGTCGTCGCCTCCATTAAGGGCCTTCGTGACTGTTGGAAGCGCAGTACCGACCGCCGTCAAGTCAATAGCACTTAGAAAGATGGAGACAGCTAGCGCGAGGAAGGACAGCCAGAAAGCAGATCCCTTCTTCGGCTTGCTATCCACTGGTGCGGCAGAGAGCGTAGCTGTTGGAATTGGTTTGCTCTGAGGCGACGACATGAGCGGGAGGAAGTTGCGATGCAGGACTACGGAAGATGGACGATGAGGACACACTTATATGAGTACATCCAGATCGTGCCCCCGCTGCGGGTAGTTTGAAACTTGTGAGATAACATGAGGAATTGGACTGGAATTCCATCGTTCCCTGCAGGAGGCCTTCTTTGGAATATAGGACTGCGCAGAATTCCCGGAATTCGACGAACACGGACGCTTTTCCTGTACCTTAATCAATGCGTCGGGGCGTGCACCGATGGCCGAGCGAAGTTCCAGTACTTTGACAGGCAGATTGGCGACGAGTGTAGACAGGTGTAGACCCCGGCGCTCACGTCACGTCACCATATTGCAGTACTTGACAACCCGGCGTTCCTAACTGGGACCCATGCCGGTAATATACTTACCTTCGGCGCAGATAATGTACATGGCAGACTAGACAAGTAGGAGGAGTTGGCCTGTTTGCAGTCAGTAAAGTGGTCAACAAAAGTCTCTAACGGCGCGTACTTATTTATATGCATTGACGCGACCATTGGACGCCAAATCGACCGCCCTCTCGATTGGCGACGGCTCAATACGGGATGAGCCCTGCTTGCTCCTGCTTGCCATCCATGTTCACAAGGTGATGTGGTTGAAACACCATCCCCAAGCGCTAAGCATTTAGAGGCGTCCAATCGTGCAACAACATTGCCAAAACAAACCCGAGTGTCCCGCGTTCAACACCACAGCTTGCCAGATAACATTACTCTGCCGTAAATAGTTGACCCAGTAGGGAGCCTGGATGGATGTATGAAACGTAGGTATGGCGGTTGTATAGCAGGCCGACATGTTTCCGTTCAACTGTTCATCATGATACAAGATAAACGCGTTGAGGGACGGGACAACGCTTGCATGGAGTGGACCTCATGCTGTGCAGCTGTGCCCAAAGAACAGAACAATCTTCGTCAAGCGGGAAAAACACGATGTCGAACGAACATCGGAGTGACGAATTTCCAGAGAAGTACAACTTGCATAGAGCGTTCGAGAGCACAGATCCAGCAACTGCAGAATATTGGCCCAGTAGAAGTCTGCTATTCCCTGAGAGCCAAGTTCGGGTGCCCTAGAGGCAACCTAGAGGTCACTTCAAGCGGAGGGAAGTGACGCGTGGGGTTTTCCAAGCCCCGAAGTCACTTCACTAGAAATCTGAGGTACAAGGACTCTCCCACCGGTCAGGATCCGGAGTATTCGGGAGGGACTAATAACAGACCGCTTTGGACCAATACAACTCGGCGACAAGAATGATGGCGAATGTCAAACGCACGCCTGGGATGAATACGCACGAACATCGCTCTGTGGGTGAAAGTCGTGCACCAGCGCTGGGGTACATGTCATGTAGATGTGGTATGTCGGCATCGATGCGCAGCGTAAAGACTATGCCGGGCTGCCGTGCTGAACTGCGAAAGGTACTGAACTTTAGTAATAGTAGCTTGCGCTGGATGCCTCTCTGCGGAACGCTCGCAGATGGCCGATGGCAATATGGATCGTAAGTGGGCGAGCATTGCGTACTTACAAACTGGGATCCTGTGCATCAATCGACATGATTTGACTCGGTTCGCTGCAACTGTGGAGTTGGCGAGCATATCAAGGAGCCTAGTTGTCTCATTGTTTTGGACACAGTACATGTACAAAGATCACTCGCTGAGTTAGAGATCAGACAACGTGCGCGTGAACGCCCAAGTCATATGACAGACGCGTCGCGTTCGCTGTGGCACGTGATCTATCGATGCTTCTAACGTTCATGTTCAGATCGCAACCTTTACATGCTCAGCGTAGCCAGAGAAAGGGAAGTAATCCTGAGGCACTCGGGTACGTCAGTCAATATTAGTGTTCTTTATCCGACTGTCTGGAGAGAAGTGGAATACCGCTGCAGTTTCTATATTCCTAGTGATGACGATCCAGATAATGCCTTCCGCGATGATTGGTACCATCTGTGCCAGCATTATGGTGGCAATATATTATGTCTATTGGTGGTATCACGAACGTAAGAAGCTTTATGAACTGCGCTGTATCCGACAAAAGGCGAGCGCTATTTGCTGTTGTCTCTTCCAGTCTCATTGACTCAAGTCTTGTTCAGCTACCTAGTGACCTCGATACGTGGAGAGTACCTGGAAGGACACGAGATGACGAAGAGAGAATCTGGGAAACTTTGGACCCAGTATTCCGAGACCGAGGGTTGACTCTCTGGCCCAATTCCTTTGGTTGCACTCTCAAGACTCCCGGCACAGCTTATCCCACCTCAAGTGGTTTCGCGTATGTCACACCGAATCGGAGCATCCTCAAGGGAATAGGTTCTGTGTACCACCTCATGTGCTTCGATTATACCGTACGTGCGCTCCTCCAAGACGTGTAATGTCATGACCTGACGAGTTGTGTAGAATCCTCTCACACGCATGGCGCGTACGCCGGATGGACATGATGTGGCCGTCCGCGTCATTGTCATCAAAAACGAAGGACACGAACATCTGAAGATCCTGAGGAAAATCGCCACAACTCCTCGGAGCCTGCTCAGTACTAATCACACTCTTCCTATGATCGCCGAGTTTGGATACGAGGACATCATCTTTGGAATCTTTCCTAGAGTTGGCAGCTCAATGAAGGAAGCATTCGGTTATTGGGCAAAAAATTCCATCGGGGACGTGATGGATATGCTTTTGCAAGCCTTAGAAGTGAGTGTCGTGTATCATATCTGACCCATCGGCCTAATGACAAGGTCTACGTGAAGGCTTTAGCGTTCATCCATGACATGAATATTGCGCACCGTGTGAGTCCATCAACACGGTTTGTTAACAACATCATTGATCCTATTTCCCAGGATGCGTTCCATGACAATTTTCTGGTTCAATGGCAGCCCGAGTCAATGCATTCCATGACCATTCCCACATCCCGCCCTCGTGTATACCTGATAGATTTCGAGGTGGCTGTGGAGTATCCAGAAGAATGCCCTCTGGCGGAACGTCTCACAACTGGATACCCTCTAGGTGGCTCTTTTCTTGAGCCTGCCATGTATTCTCGGCCTCTCGCACCTGAGATGACCACTAATAAGCCCTACTGCCCCTTCAAACTGGATGTCTGGCAGTTGGGCTACAGTTTTACTAGCGTTGAATTCAAGGTAGAATGGAGTTTGCTTGGTGTGTTGCATTATCAACTTGTTCTGACTGTGCATACTCTGCTTCAGACTACAATAACCGATATAGATACAATTCTGCATGATATGGTTCATGCTCAACCTACAGCTCGGAAGAGTGCAGGCGAGACATTAGCAATATTGAAAAATGTTATTCACAACATTCCACCAACTTCCTTGCTCATTTGTCCCAGCATTATAGAATAAATAACTACTTGCAAATCTTGTTCCCATGGTGCAGGCTGAGTCTCAGACAATGCATCTAAGTTTTTGAAAGCATGTTTTACAACAGACAACCTAACACTAGAAGATAATAATCTCACTTAGTATGATCACAAACATCCAAGAACTAAATGACTTCTGACCCTTCAGAGAACATGAGGCTTATCTTCATCTGTGAAGGTGTTAGTTGCATAAACAAAACTGTCAATTACTGAGTTATCAATGTTACTTGCTCCAAACCTGCTCTGAATCAATTCATTGCATTTAGCAATGAAGATCTCCCCATTTAGTGCTCTAAATTTGATTTTACATCTCTATTAAGAAGAAGACTAGCATTGAGCAGAGTGTATATTAGCATTCATAAACAACTAACTTTTGGCCAAATTATGGAGTTTGCTTGAAGACTGCAGCGATTTTTTCGATCTCAGACATATTGGATTTTTCCATTAGGAAAATTCCATTTTTACTTTAGCTCATTTTGTTCACTTTTTGGACTTATCCAAGGACAAGCCTGATAAGTACCAAGATCAGCTTGATTTGACTTGTACAAGCTCCAAAAGGGGCAATCAAGCTGTAATAAGTAGTAAAAAGTGACAAAGTCAAATTGGAATTTTCCTGATGTTGGCTATCTCTGTGCACCTGGAATTGAGACTAGGCTGATAGCAACTTGAACATGGATTGAACTTTGAGAAGGGAGGGCATCGATGAGGCCCACCAGCAAGTGATTCAAATACTTTCAGTGACTCCATTAGCGACTCAATTGCAACACTGTTCCACCTTGGGAGAGCAAAATGGATGTCAAAATCATGTATGATTGACATTGCAGGTAAGTTTATTATTCAGACTGAGGCCAAGTTGAAATGCATGCTCTTTCAAAGTTTTCACAAATTGTTTGCAAGATAAGACTCAATTGCTTCATGCAGGTGGCTGGCGCTCAAACTCAACTCAGACTTTAACTCTCACCAACACAACAATATTTATGTTCACCACAAAATAGCAACTGACCCTTGGAAACTATCACCCAAGACAGTACATTGCAATCTACAGAAGTGCTTCTAGATATCTATAGTTGAATGCAGTGAGCAGGTGTGTTTCACTTTGAATGTCATGTACAATCTATTCACCGATCCACCACCCCATTGAAAGGAGAGACACTATCCAGAATAAGGTTCCCATCTCATAAAGCAGATGCCCTTCTAAATGGAAATGTATCGTGGCTGCCTGTGACATCCTGAAATGTGACAAATCAGCAAGTCAAGTCAAGTTCTGATCGCCTGACCTTAGTTACTAGTCAGTGCATAGACAGGTCTTGTGTCCATGTGCATCACCAGGATGTGTTCTCACTGAGTGCATTGTAGAACAATCCTACTTTCGGTGTTGCATTGCTCTGAGATATGCATCAGATGCACAGTTTCTCTGTCATCTTCAGGTTATGAGAGTTTAGAATGATTTTCTTCTGACCACCCATAACCTGCTGATGGATATAAGGATAAATTACGCATCAGACCTACCTAGAAGGACAGTGTGGCACCAAAACACACAAATTTAAAGATTCTTCAATAATTGTTGGGTTGCAAAGGTTTAGACTGTGTTATAAAATGAAAACTGATGTTTGAATGTGTTTTACATATTGTGCCACAACAATGGCATTGACACGGTAACTAAGATCAGGTATCTAGGCTACATCAAGGTATGTTGTCAGTGTAAAGATCTTATGAGTGTTTAGAATGGTAAATGCATCTCTGCTAACAGCACTGAATGCAACTGGTGCAAAGACACCAGTGTGGAAAGAACCTTTATCCCCTGCAGGTGATGGGGGATGCAGAAGATGTAGGAAGTCAATCTCATCAGCATTGATATTTATAAGGCCGGAGGCTATCATGATGCACACCAGCTCTGACCAATATGCCATGTCATCGGCATGCTCCCTGACATAGGGAACAACATCTGGTGGAGTATTCGTGTGTTCTATGGCTGTGATTGAAGTGCATGAGTGACAAATAAGTGAACCAAAGCAGAAAGAGACTCACATGAATCAATATCTAATTGCCTATAAATTAGGATGTCAGATGAGTTACATGCTTCAATGAATGCTGATAAGACATCTGAATTAAGAGCTGCATTGGCAGTGTTAGCAATTGCCCAGTTCTGCTTGAGTATTTCAGTGGGCATGTAAGGATTAACACTGTGATAGACTTCTTGAGGTGCAGGCAGTCTGTTAGAAGGACAAGCTTTGGGTAGTGATTGGGCTACAGTATGTTCAGATACTAAAATTGGCTGCTGAACATTTTGCAATGTGCAAAGAAGAATTTAACATCTGTTATTGCTTCTATCACAATGTGAGAGTTTGGATGATGACAATACTGGGGTGTACATGAGCAGCTGAAGCTGGTGCATAGCAAGTTCATTGAAATGAGGTGAAGTAGGAAACTGCGATGTCAAGAGTTGAGGATAGAAGGTAGCCACATTATTCAGGGTGCCTGGAAAATTTGAACTCTGTACTGCAGTATCTTGCCATCCATCTTGTGCATGTTTTGCTGCCCATCTTCACAAATATTTAGAGATAGCAGGTAATGGGAAGGTGAAGTTGGAGACTCGAGACCCAACTCTTATTATGTAGCTGTCACATCTCGTCATGTTTACCAATTTTATGGTGGATCTAAAAGACTCACTAGTTATATTCTTGAGAAAGTCAGAGCACACAAAAAGACTACTCACGGTATGTCAGAAACTGCGTCTGACTTAAAAGAGGCATCGAAACATGCAGGGTGGAAGTGTCTGCACCTTGCACATGGTTTGCTGCTGCTGTGCATTGACAAGGATGGATGTAATGGTGGAGATGCTTCACCACTAGATTTTGAGCTCAAATCCCACTTAAGAATGGAGTAATCTGTTGTAGGAGACATTAGCGAGACGCTCCACACAGGCAGCTGAGCCTGAGAGATCACATGTATCAACTATGAGTCGAGTTGAGAAAAGAGATTTTTTACATCAGGAACGTTCTTGAGCATAATGGGTTTTCTATTTCTTGTATGGTATCTATGCTTGATCACAGATAATGAAATTGTAGAAGCCATGATTATTAGTAGGGACATCTGGGAGGAAAACTGGGGCAAAGACACAATACGGGCTATAAAGTCAACTGCAGTTAAAGTTGAGAAGAGGTCATGCAGTGAGAATCATGACAAATCACTCAAATATTTTCCAAGTATGTAAATGAACACTTTCCCAAATGTCGCGATTATTATTTGGGTCCGATCAGGGAACACCTGGTGCACAGACCATGCACTGATCCCTACGCCTTCCAGCATGAAGGAGGCCATAGAAAACAGACAAGAATAAAAGCTAACTAGTAAATATAACACTGCACAGCAATAAACAACTGAGCACAATGTTCTGGGAAATTCAGAAGAATGATGTGCGCATATGTAAAGTACAATCATGAATGTCATGGGTCCTGCATACACCATAGTACAGTCTAGGAGACAACATGCACCATGACTCCTCCAGAAATTCAGCAAACAATAGTAACTATAGGGCACCATGTCATGCATAGTCTTCACAAAGATGGCATAAAAATCTTCATTGAATACCATAGAGAACATATTGCAGTCTAGTGCAATCTAGTTAAGTGACATACAAGATTTCCATGTCTCTTATGCTACAAAAGACAGTTGGCAGCTGAAGAAGAGATTATAGATCTCAACATAGCCTCGTCCGTGACTATGCAGATTTAGTTGAATGGAGATCCTCAGCAAAACAAACAAAGGAACAAATGTGATTACTGAGACACAAATCAATTAGCCACAAAAGTTCTGACAACTGAAGACATGTCTGCAAGTTAGTTTTCTTGTAGTAACTTCTAGCCAACATGAGAACAAGGGTGAGTGTCAGACTGGGATAATAGATCTTGAAAGTAGATCACATCAGAAAAACCCAACTTTTACTTAAAGGTGTCCTTATGTGACTTAAATGCACTTATGAGCCTTAAATAAGGTAAAAAATGACAAAAAGTCCATAAGTCATATTTTCTTAGAGGCTTAAAAGTCGACTTTTGGAAACTTATGGGCCTTAAATAAGGCAAAAAAGGACAAAAAGTCGAAATAAGTCCCATAAGTAAAAGTTGGGTTTTCCTGATGCGGCATCTCTGATAAGATCATGACTCGACAGAAGTCACTGCCTTCTACTTATACAGCACATCTTAGTACCTATTTGAGGGTATGCAAACTTGTCATACACTCTGCATATCGCCGAGGGCCAATGTTAACTATTGCATTGCATTCAATCTCTTACATTGGTGAATGAGGCGCCACAAATGCCACTAGTCCAGTACTTGGAGCAGTAAAATTGTGCCACATGTAGCGCAAAGCTATGTTATGTCTTTATTCAAGGATGGTTATTGAAGCTTCAACATCTCACAGTCCATGATACTGATTTAAATTTGGTCTGATTGAAGCTCCAAGTTCCCTTGTACACTCTGGCCGCTCACTGCCATTCAGTGCCCATAATTTGTATGTCTTTTGCCAGCATGTGCTGTAGCTTCCTTGCACAAAGCATATTTAGGAGTAAAGGCTATAAAATACGATCCCGGCATGGCAAGCAACATCATTGAGTGCTGTTCAAGTTTCTGTTTGTCTGCTTTGTTCCACGGAATCCCATTCAATGCATGTTCATTCAAACCTTTGTTATACTGTCAGTTTATTCTTTGTGCATCAGACTGCCAGTTGTGCTCTACGATAACTGCTTATTATGTATTTTGGAAGGGTACTGTGCAATGATCAGATGATACAGACATCAGAGTGGGTTTTTCTTATTCAAAAAAATGCAGTTCTCACCCCATGTCCTGATTTATCACATCAATGTAGATAAATGTGCTGTCAGAATAATATTTGTGAATGCCTTTGTAAGCCCACTCTTGCTTCACGTGCTCTGCATGCTCCTTGTAGAACTCATCAGGAATGACTTAGAGACTACATGCATTTGCTCAGAATAGAGGACAATGATAAGCTGTGCGAGTATGTGCCTGCTGTTTCATCTGCATGTCTTCTTCACAAATTCTGAATGGATATGGAAACTGAGGTTCCTTTGACTAATCTTGATTTAAGACTGTAGCATATGTTCGGTAGCTATGCTGCACAATGGTATTAGTATGTGCCATGTGAGAATTCATTTTTTCAAGCGAGAACTGGCCATCTGTCCCCCATTGGTGTGCTTAGAGCTATCAGCTAGTTTTCTTATCTTGTGATTGAGGCAGTAAATAGGATCAGGGCATCCTTTCACTGATTTGTTTTGTGATTTTGCAAGAAGCTTACTTTCTCTACTAGATGCTCCAAGCCCTTGCATGTTCTCAGGAGGCTTTGAGGTGTGTTTGTTCTGTACAACTATGTTGGTTCACCATGTATTAATCATTCATTCTTCTGCAACAGCCTCAAGTCCATTATGTGTAGTCTTATGGTCCGTCAACATTTTTAGATTCAGAAGTCAGGGCAAGAACATTGCCATTGGTTCTAGATGCTGAATACATGCATCAAACACTCTAGAATTTGAATGCGTGAGAATGTAATATAAAATATCGAGGAGTAACAGGAGACCATGTAATGATCATTGATTGAACACCAATCAATGAGAAACACCCCGTCACCATGCTGCATGGCAATTGAGATACTTATGTCCATGGTTCCTTCAATTTGATTGGATAGGGCAAGGTGAAAGCAGAAGAATTATGGACAATAACATTCACCGGGTATTTCAACAAGAGGCGCATAAATGAAGATGTGGAAGGAAGAGCCGATACTGGACAACTTCATCCATTGAGACTAAAGAATCCTGACTCAGAAATTTTGGCAGTAATCGCAATGCCACCAGCTGAATCAAAACTCATTTGCATCACAGTGAATGTGGCATCTAAAGCCTCACAGAGCATGCAACTGGAAGGTGTTGTATCAGTGTGATAGGTAGATAACAGATGTCATCGAGGTCAGAGTTGAGCAGAAAACACTCTGGGATCTTGGAGTTTGACAACTCAGTAAGTCATGACTGACATAGTCCAGTCTTTAGGTACTAGCAAGAAACCCCTTCTACCCGGGCACTGTGGTGCGAAGCAGACATATGAGTTCAGAGATCGGGCCTGCAGGACATGGAATGTTCCCATGTTGCAGAGGAAGGACTAGCTTAGCATCTCGCATAATATGGACCACACTGTGCTCATCTCTGTGCATGCCTGACTGCATTTAACCTTTTCACACTAGCATGGGTGCCTTGAGAGGCAGAGGATAGGCTTGAGATGTAGCTGTGGGATCCAGCCTTCTCCGCAGTAGATCTCCAAGCATTAACTGCCCTGGGGTATTCCTGAGACATACAGCACCGGATGCCAGAAGCTAAGTTGAAGGTGATGTGATGATGTTGCAGTTCTTTGTGTGCATTGGTGACAGACCATCTCCGCTATGATCGGTCATGATGCCAAAGAGTCCCGAGGGAAGATGAATGTACCATGCCACCAGACAGCAAATTCTGATCGAGAACAGACTTTGGGCTATCTGGTAGCTGTGATATGCAAGAGAATATATTCCAGCTTGTGCCCCACTCGGAGAAGTATTCCTTCAGAATGATATTGTCAACAACTTGAAGATGGGGAAAAGGGTACATGCATTCGGGATCTCTCTGAGCACCCTATGCCTGCAACGAGGTTCTCACTTGTGAAATCAATTTAGTTGTTGTTCATGAATTGCTTCAGCGTGGTGAAGTCTGCATAAAATAAGCTCAGTGTAACAGAGGATATACCCTGATGTTTGTACACCTCAAGGCCTCGCAGCCAGTAGTTACATGAGAAGTTGCTGGTGCAGTTCAAGATGCTTGTATATAACACCTATAACAGGGAATTGGCGATGGCTGCTTGGTCGTCAGCATATAATGCGAGCATGTGTGCAAGTATATTTGCCTCTGGAACAACCATAGTAAAATTCCACTATACACTACTTGCTGAGGAAAAAATAACTGCAAAGGCAAAGGAGTAAATGGAGGAAGCTGCATGGTCAGGACTTCAAGCTTCAAGGAAGGGTGGGATAGTGACACCTGGTGAAGAGACCTGTCAGCCTCTTTATGTGCTTGTGAATCAGCAGCCTACTGCATTCCAGTAGCCACCATCTACTTCTTTGACAGAGATGACAGGAAGATGTCCGGACTGCCATCACCAGTGGAAACTTGCCTTGGTCTAATTGTATTGGTTTGAACTGTGCAGTTTGACAGTCAGTACCAAGTGCAATTGCGCGATTGTACCACATACTTGCAATCACAGACTGGCCATCAGCAATGCCGCATGCTTCGAGTGTCCATGTATCTGGAAGCGGCTCGTTCATGCTCATCTTACTGAAGTCACGCTGCCGAGACTCAACATTCCTGTGCACTCCTTCAGAGCAATACTGAGATAAAGCACTGAGCACTTACGTAGTGGGCGAGACACTTTGATTCAAATATGCATTGATTTTTTTCTCTAGCACCTCAGTGGTGATCTGCAATGATGGAGGATCGTACTAGATCATTCATATCAGTGGATAGATTCTTGGAGATGTACTGTACTGTCAACATCCAGCATAAAGTATGGACAGCTCATAGGGACATAGTTGATATAGAATACACCAATCTTGATAGTCATGCTGGAGATGTTCATTGAAAAGGGGGGTAGTGCAGCAAGAGGAATGGCTGAACCCTGATATGGTTGAAATAGAAGACATATGGTACCACGGGTATCGATGGACATTGCTGACTAAGCACAATGAGAGGCATTTCATGCAATTATGAAATGCACTGTTGGTGTCTATTTAAGCTGGATTCTGCTAAGGGGAAGGCAGGTGATGAGTGTGCATGTACTAGTGGCTCATAACATCAAGGAAACTGATATTTTCTATGCCAAAGAAGGAATGCGATGTCTCAAAATCATCGTGTGCAGGACTGGAAATAAACAGAGATAATGCAAGATTTACCACTTGAGCGAGAGAAGTACTGTGGATGAGGCAGGCTGCTAATGGAATGCATTGCACGCTTGAACATGATGGCTGCTAGGTAATAATCCATCTTCTCGGAGAGGTTCAGTGAGCTGAGAGCACATGTTCAGGTGGAGGAAATCAAAATGGTCCTGGATAAATTTGTACATACTTAGAGCAGCGATAGTCTCGATGAATTCGCCTCGGAGGGTGCCGAAAAAATGCCTGCATCCTCCATCTGCTATAGTCGAGGATCATTATCCGGGAGCTCACTAAGAAGTCCCCCGTGGGAGTTTTGAGCTACGTGCCAGACACTGAAAGGGACGGCTGCGTCATTGGCACTGAACTATAATTTCCAAAAGGCATCAGTGGCAGCAAGATGGCAGAGATGTTAATGTCATGTCTAATCACTTCGTTCGTGAACTTATGCATGTATGCTACACAGCTGCAATTCATGTTATTTTCTATGTCTATCATACCTGCAGCTGAACACTTTTCAGAATGGCCTTGATGCACTGATCACTCCGTGACAAGAATGCAGGCTAGGACATCTGGGAAAGACTGAAGGATATGTTGAGAATACATCTGTACATTGGAAAATACAGCGATGTTGCCATGGGCATCGTCTGCAGGTGGATCGATCATGCCATGAGAGCTCTTTGCTTCGCACCTGTGGCTGCATGCGACTTGAGCACTAAATATTTGTGCATCGAATTGCCATTGACATCATTTAAAGTCCAGTTTCCCATGGGGGACTTCTCAGCGGGTCATCAATAATGATCTCAGCCTCTATTACACACCTGGACCTCACATGTTACTAAGCTAATTAGCTTGCCATATGGGGTGGGTACGGCAAGCTAATTAGCTTGCTTCCTCTATTTTAGACATACTGCCAGTAACATACCAAATAGCTATGCTTTTCCCTGCCGGCACAAGTCCTCCAGCTATTGCGGATGACCCAAGGCTCCTGATGATGCAATCTATAGATAGCGGGAGGTCTGGGCGGTCCATCCTGCCCGGTGTTGAGTATACCATTGGCTATTCCCACTCCCGCCACCACGCGTGCAGCGCGCCATCCCCGCCCTCATCGGGCACAATGCTGACACCATTTTCCCCCTATTTCCTGTAGTTACTGTTACTTTTCCTTCATTTTTCCCACTGCCATGCACGCAGTGCACCATCCCCACCCTCGTCGGGCATGATGCCGACACTGTTTCCCCCCTACTTCTCGTAGTTTTCCTTTGTTTTTTTCGCAGTCTAATGTAACTAATGCAGGCTATTAGTTTATTGTAATGCAGCATTTATCTTTCGCATTAAGCCTGATGTTCAACAAGATCACGTGCATAGTTTGTATGCACCTTCCGCGCCTACAGCCTCACTCAGCACCTCATCTACGACACTCGGCGCCTCATCCACAATGTTTCTGTCATCATGATGGCGGGAGGCACGTGAGCCACCCGCTGCCAGGGCATGTCTCGATCAGTGCATGTAGCATCTCTTGTAATCTCTGGTGGATCGTCCTCTCGACATGCCAAGCACCACCGCGAAGCTGTTTATGGTGCGAAGGCTATTGCCCGGGAACAACAGCGAGCAGAGGAGCAGTATCGGTTGGCAGTCACAGGTAAGTAATATGGTGGATCTTGACCTGTGTCCAGCTCATATCATTCACAGGACTGGGTGCTCAGAGTCTTCAAGCACTCTCAGATATCAGAGAAGATGACATTCCCATGGGAGATGTGAGCACTCCCGATAATCCATTTGCTAACACCGGGGAAGCAGAAGGAGCAGGAGCACCAAACGCAGGACATGACACTTCATCTGCGAGACTGCAGGATGACATGGAGTGAGAAGACTTACCCGAGGTCCTTCAAGGTGATGTGTCTTTCGTGCATGCTGTGCGGGATCAGCTCTGAGTATGTATTATGAATGGTAGTTATTCATCCTCTAACATTCTGTATACAGGTGGAAGGCACGATGGTATAAAGATGTGTGCACTTGGCACCAGCGCATGTATAGGATGGATGAGAACTGGTGGCCCCTCATCCCTGACCTTATCAATGCTTATCTTACCTGGAAATACGCTCCTGAACAGCGTCCCAATGTGCCTGCAACTACGGATGACCCTTCCCCCTATGACTTCATGATCAATGTGATGGATTTCTACTCTCTCACTTCATCGGCCACCATCTCTCATGCAGAGGACTCTAGGTCCATGACGCACGCACTCGTTCTCAATGGCTACCTAGGGACATCGCCTGTTTTCCCATCCATGGCAATCTCACTCAAGACATTGGAGCTCCTCCGGAGCTTGAGGCTCATCAAGGCTTCATTCAGCATTGAAGCCTTCGGTAAGCTCCTGTGCCATTATTACAAGGCAAGTAATATTTGTGGATTTATCTTTATAATTCTTACCCCGCCGTGATAGGTTCCGTATTGCCGTCACTATCGCACCCTCCTTTCCGACGCTTTTGAAATCTATCTCGAAATTCTGCGTGCTGTTGACAAGCATGTCTTTTCGGCACTCGGCAGCCAGGACTCGCCCAACTGGCAGGTGCTCAACACTTGCCCTGCTTGTACATATGAGGTGAGTAGTCAGGCTGCAGTCTGAGCATCATAGTACTCACAGTCCCGCAGCTTGAAGGAGAGCCACCACGCCGGTGGAGCCGCATGTTCTGTATGGATGGGAACAATTCGCTGAAGCAGATCGCGCAGGTTGAGAACTGCATTCAAGGTGATACCCGAGTCTTTGTTGACAGCGACTACTATCTGTTGCAGGAATTTGTCGATAAGTATGCGGATGAAGTGCCACCACGCCAGACCTCGAGCACCCCAAGCAATGGTGATGACCTGGAAGAACATGGCCAGGAGGACAACATCAATTGCGGAGATCCAGAGGGAGGGGACCTGACTGACGGGGCATTCAGCGACATTATCGTTCCTTGCACGGAGAACTGGAAGGCGGCGGCGGCAGATGAAAAAAAATGCATGTGGGGTATTTTTGAAGAGACTGGGATCTTTGTGAGCGTGTGTCCTCATGGGTTCATCCTGTGGCTAATCGACATGGTTCGTAGCGGTGAGCTGTAAGTCAATTACATCAGATGCCATAAAAATTCACTAACCTGTAAATTAGGGCAAAATATCTGCTTGCTACCATTGCAAAGGTGCTGGAAGTGCTCAGTGACAAGACACTGGCAGGTTACGACATTGGCTGTGTCTTTGAGGGTACAATACAGCGTAGCTCGCTGGAACCTGAATGGCAACGGTGCTGGTGCCGTTGCTGCATGAATGCATTCCACGGCTACTCCCACAACTATCTTTGTCAACTCATGAATCGCCCGAACATTATTGAAGGTATGGGTCTTGAAGACCTTAAGACGATGAAAAGGATATTTAGCGCATCAAACAACCTTGCCACCATCACACGCTATGCGTCGGGATTTCGCCGGTGCCTCTTCATCGATGCTTTCTTCCACCAGTGGGATATGGAGAAGTATGCCAATCTCAGCACTATGTTATTCAACAACTATGTCCAGGCTCTCAAGATCATCGAGGAGGACGGAGCTGCACTCGAAGAAGCTATAGCGGCTCTTCAGATCATGCATGAAGATCTGGCCAAGTGGTCGTATGAAGAGCGCGAATACTTCAAGAGCCTTGGTGAGGAACCCGAGTGGGATATCCATGCCATGGCCTACGTCGAAAGTCTCCAGGAGTTGCACACCATCACGTAAGTTTGGATGCTCGTATTCTTGTGCACGATCATTCTGATTATATCTCATTGCAGAGCACAGCTCGAGAACACATCCACCCAGTTCCTCGCCACAACACCCAATGATTATATATTCATGGAGCCAACATCGGGGCATGTGGCATATAATGCGGATGTATCCCAGACTTGCAAGCTTGAGACGAAAAAATGTTACCTCTCCGAACGCCACGCCAAGATCCATCACGATGTCATTGCGATAGAAGTCAAGATGGGCATAGCGCATCATTGGCAGCCAACTGATAACGAATACATCGCCACTGTCAAGTACATTTCCACTCGCAAGTACCATCGTGCTCTCGACAACCTGCAGCGTCTCATTGTGTGCCATCTGTTTGAACTGCATAAGCTCAATCTCTCCCAGACCGGCAAGTAACAGACTTTATTCATGCATCGCTATGACTCATACACCCCCCCCAGCGTATTGGGTCCATACTCACATCGCCAAATCGCTCCAGGTCCACTGCAAGGCGATTTGCAATGCTGTCAAGGTGTACAATGCTGCCGCCAATGCCCTTGTCCCTCCACATCCCACCCTTGACTGGACAAAGGTCTCTCATTACAGCTTCATCGACGAGTTCCATATTCTCAAGGATACCCGCAATGACGTCCGTCAGAAGGAGTGGACAAGGCCTGCTGTTCGGGAAGCAATGAAGCAGGCGCGTCGGATTGCCCAAGCACATGTCGAGCTCAAGCGGTGCAACATTGAGGTGCACCGTCTTCATACATCCATCCGCGATGAGGAATTGCAATTTATGGCGGTCATCAACCAGCTGAAGGAGCAGCAAGCTTTGATCTGTGGAGCGGTAGAAGATTTTTGTGAACGCCACCACAATGTGAATGCTCGACACCTTATGCGACTTCAGCGGCTATATGCATTGAATGGGTTCACTGGTGCTCCATCCCCTGGGCAGCAGAAGGGGTCTGTGATTATGGCCCCTCCTCTGGCTTCTTCTTCACTGGCCCTGGATCTGGATGATGATGTGAAGCCTGAAGTGGAGGAGGAGGAGGACGAGCTCCAGGGGAATATTGGCAGCATAGTTGATTATATGTGCAACCTCGCAGTTTAGCATGTCATGTAGTTCTTAGCAATATTAGTTCTTATGGCAATGTGCTAGATGGATGAGCGACAGAACTGTTACAGATGTTGGAGTACAGTTTGACCAAATTCAAACTTCCGAGTCTCGCAAGCATTGGGGGTGTACAAAAAATGGTCTGCACCAGGGGTGAACTAATAGAAATATATTCTGATACTTAGTGGAGCTTAGAAAATTATGCCCTGTCCGCTACGAACTGATCTCACAGTTCGAGTGCACGATCGGACTGAACATCTTGCAACTCGCGACTCGCGACTTGCCTGTGCAGCCACAGTCCAGTTGTGTGCCACCACTTCAACCACTCTCTTGATCCTGCCCACATGCGAGGCCTCACTGCTACACTGCCATCAGATGGACCTTATTTTGTTGTCTATCGGCTTGGACTGATGACAGTATACAAGGATCAGTGAGTGTAATATTGCATTATCAATGTATTGTTGTCGCAACTCACGATCTCTGATGTTCAAGCCCTGAAGGGATTGCACTGGGTATCTATACAGAGCCCTTCCCAATTGTCTTGAAGCTACATAAGCTTGCTGAAGTCGAGGAAGCAGTCACCTTGCAGGCTGTCTTTGATGATGAGCACGCACACCTAGAGGGCCTCTTGGATACACTACAGAACTCGCATGAGGTTAGGAACACTATGAAGAAATTTGTAGACTTGCGCTACTACGCCGTGGGACGAGGTAAAAATACTGGTATCTATCTAAGATGGTGAGTTTCGCGGTCATGTCAATAGAATTAAACTCTGATCACCTCGCAATCACTTAGGGATGGCCGCAACGAAGCAAAGGAGCAGATCCTGGGCTTCTGTCAGCAGAAGCACAAATTGTTCTTGGTCCTTGCTGATGCTCTTGTGTACTATATGTGCAAAGGACCTCGTCCAGAGCCTGTGAAGCTAGCATTATCAAGTCAGAGATCGGGCATGCCAAGGACCGTACAGGCAAGTCAGACATCGAGTATGCAGAGCACAATGCAGGCTGGTGGAACATTGACTGGGCAGAGTATAGCGTGGGCACCAACACAAGGTAAGTCTGATCGCTTTGCATGCGACTTCATGAAGCTGACAGAACTTAGTTGTGACACCTCACTCTCCTGCCGCTGCTCAACCCTCGACAGGTCATTTGGGAGTCAACATACCTGTGTCCATAATGGCAAGTAAGCCAGTCGTATTTGATCGTGTCGAAGTACATAGTAAAACCACTAATATTTTGTGTGTCTACCAGGCTTAAGGCTCGGTGAGAATAGCCATGGCACGCCTGCTTTACCTTCGACCCCACCTCGCAGCCCATTGGTCACTGTCTCCTCCACACCTGTCAGTTCTTCTCCAGCATTCCGGAACGCTGCTATGTGCTCTCCGATCTCTATCGCTGTCTCGACATCCCATCATGGCACTTCAACTAGTTCTTCTCGTGCGTCTGTACCTGTGACCATCCGTTATAGGCATGAGTGATCGCTCACTGGAATAGTCAGAACTAATTATGACAGGCGTGCTGATGTACCCCTCAACACCAAGCTTGGTTATCTCGTGGATTGATACCTTCACACCCACGGATACACCGGCAACGTCGAGGCCATGCTGGCTATCAATCAGGCTTACCTGACCAGCCAATCGCTCGAGCAGTTTGTCAACTATCTGGCTGTGAGAGGCATGGTGGTTGATGAGGTAGAGTTCCTATGGGAGGCTGCAACGACTTATAATCCACACTCTCGCATACATTCCCCTATTTCATGATTCTGTATGATATGTCGTAGCTATTTTGCTGCAGATTTTGTACTTCATAATATTAACAGTGATTCTGACATGACCAATTATATCACGTGAGTTTGTTGAAGAAGACAATCCTGGGATTCAGAATACACGTTCTTGACAGGTGCCAACATCTTTATGTGTCAGATGTGTTCTTATCTTTCTCATGGCACAGACATCTCAAGATGGCGGCCTTCAGTGCCTCTCTAACAAAAAGCGTAAAATGGTCGCTTCAAAAAATATGACCAGAACGCAATCTCCGTGGAGGTCCAGGACGAAGTGCAAGGCCGTGGTGCAGACACCTGCCCAGAAGGCATACCTCAAAGGGAAGAGGTATGAACGTAAGGAGATGTATGCGGAGGCGCTTCGCGAAGCCCATGATGTGATATGGCAGTAAGCAGCGCGCCTGCAGGAGCGCTTCAGTTCTCACAATATTGAGTACTACCACCAGGAGGTCATGCAGCGCTCTCACCTTGTCTCATTGAAGAGGAAAGTGAGCCGCTGGAATGTCTTCCAGTGCATGGAGGTTCAGTGCATGAACCAAGGTGAGTCCCACTATGTTCGGGATAGTTGTGTCTGCATACTCACTTACTTATGTGTCCTTCAGCCCTACCAGCAGGTACACTGCACAAGAAAGCTTCTGCGTACATGGCGGAGATATCGGCAACATGGAATGTCATGAGCGAAGCTGACAAGGTAGCTGCGACAGAGGACCACATACAGGAAGTCGATGAGCTATGACAGTTGAAGGCGACAGCCAAGCATAACGCCCCCATCAACGTGTTCCATGATGCTCGTTCTACTCTCAACAACATATCTCGTGAGGTAAGTACTTATGCACCTTCGATTGTCCCAATTTTATATTGATTAAACTTCCACAGCTCGAAGGCTTAAGTCAACGTACCGGCACTGAGACGTTACTTTGCAGTTCGCTCAAGCACAGACCAGTATAACCAGCCCTTCGTCTATGCCAGTAATGATTGCCTTCCTGAGTACTTTTACCTGAAGACAAAGACCGACATCCTGACATTTGCCATCAAGATGGAATCCTACGGCATCTCCGGCATGGAAGGTGAGCATCGAGAGGATCGCATGTCGATTGAGGTCACAGCTGACTACTCGTTGCAGGAGTTGTGATGAATCATGTCGAGGAGATACTCGACCTCAAGTGGAGGATAAGTGCATTGATTATTCAGAAGCTCCATGAGTGTTATATAATATCTATGTTCTGTATGAGACTGATGAAGATTACAGAGGATATCTCTCCATTAAAAATCTCGAAAATGTATTACAAAGGTTTTGAGAAGAGGATAACGGCTCGCTATCGCATTACCGTCGTCAACTGGCCACTCAAAGAGTTCAAGAGCCCTGGGGATATCTCCCACAAGGGTGACCTGCAGCTCCTGTATCGTGCATGGGAGAGCAGCACGACACACTTCAAGCTTCTCAGCAATGAGGAACACAAGAAGTGGGAGGAGGAACAATTTCAAGAAAGAATGTGGGAGATGCATGGGCCGACAGCTGAGGATGAGGGCGAGGAGGATGAGCTGAACGGTGTGTTACCCACATCCCCTGTGCAGTCACCTGCACCCGAGTCCACCACATCCAACAGTGAGCCAATTGACGATAATGTCAGGGCTACGATGACCATCAATGAAGGGGCTGGGTCTGCAAATAACGATACCTCATCCCCTTCCTCTGCAGCATTGATCGTGGGTCAGGGTGCATCCAGTCAGATGTCCTCCAGCGCAAAATGTCATGCACCAGCCAATGGTGCAGGAGTGCACAAGAAGGCCAAGACCATCCAGCCTCTCAGCAGCTTCATCAACATTGTCACAGGTGCTGACGGCAACCCCCTCACAGTTCAGAAGAAGACTCGCAAGGAGTGTTCGGACAAAGGCATGAAGAAGGGGCCGAGGAAGAAGCAAGCCGCCGGCAATGAGAACACGAACCCATCTTCGACCGCCACCTCTGAACCTGCCCCACCCGTCTCTGTCCCTTTCACATTGGCTGCCTCTCCTCATCGTCCCTCCACTCATCGCCGTCATGTTCCCCCTGCCTTGGCCTCTGCCTGCAATACTACCTCTGCACCTGTCGTTGCCTCGCCTACTGCCACTGGCCCTACCATTCCCATCCCTGCAGCTGCTGCCACCACACCCGGTACTCCTTCCACCTTTGCACCCGGTGGTGCTCCTTCCCCCTTCGTGCCTGATGCTCCTTCCACATTCACGCCTGGTGATGCCCCTTCCACCTTCGTACTGAGCTCTCCTTCCACCTTCGTGCCGAGCTCTCCTTCCATCTTCGTGCCTGGTGCTCCTGCCACCTCCGCGCCCAGTGCTCCTGCCACCTCCGCCCTCAGTGCTCCTTCCATCTTTGTGCCTGGTGCTCCTTCCATCTTTGCACCCGGTGCTCCTACCACCTCCGTGCCCAGTGCTCCTGCCACCTCCGCGCCCGGTGCTCCTGCCACCTCCGTGCCCAGTGCTTCTGCCACCTCCGCGCCCGGTGCTCCTGCCACCTTCGCACCCGGCATCTCTACTCCTTTTGTGTTCGTGCCGGCTGGCCCTGCTCCCTCGCCCTTCGTAACTGATGCATCTCCATTGCTAAATATATAGCCCGTATCGCGTAGTGTGTTAGAAACGGCTGTTCTCAGTATTCAACCTCATAATACAGAAGACTATTGATTTATTGATGCTGACTGTCTCAGCTATCTATACTACACTTTATTTACATTAGACTGCGAAAAAAACGAAGGAAAAATAACAGTAACTACGGAAAGTAGGGGGAAAATGGCATCGGCGTCGTGCCTGACGAGGGCGGGGACAGCGCGCCACGCGCGTGGCAGCGGGAGCGGGAATAGCTGACAGTATACTCAACGCCGGGCGGAATGGACTGCCCAGACCTCCCGCTATCTATAGATTGCATCATCGGGAGCCTCGGGTCATTCGCAATAGCCGGAGGACTTGTGCCGGCAGGGGAAAGCATAGCTATTTGGTATGTTACTGGCAGTATGTCTAAAATAGGGGAAGCAAGCTAATTAGCTTGCCGTACCCACCCCATATGGCAAGCTAATTAGCTTAGTAACATGTGAGGTCCAGGTGCTATTACAAAGGAACGACTGTCTTCCTGCAGGTAACTAGAGGCTGTATCTACGAGCCTACATGTGCTACTAGACCATTTCTGTACTCTTCCTGCAGCTCCTGATCCGAGTGTACTGCCTTGCGGGCATTCCTACTAGGCAGATCATGTCTTCAGCTCCTTCTGCTATCCGGACCAGACTTTTTCCTGTCGAGTCTGCTTTGCATCCAATCAGTGGGCAGAGACGGTCAGTAGGTCGCATATGTGAGGTAATCCGATCCCCGCACATCAGTCCTGTGCGACATCCTCTCTCCACTGGAGGAAACACTGCTGCTCGCAGCTGCATTCCTTGCTCACATCCACGCATGGCCAGATGAGTTCCACTACTGTCTGACGCCGGACTGCCAAGTCGTGTACAGCACGAGACGCATGGGGGCAGTTCTCCAGTGTCCGATATGCGTTGTTGGACACTGCAGTAGGTCAGTATACTTATGTTGCCAATGTGACAGCAACAACTGAGACACACTTCTGGCAACTGGTGGACAAGCAAATCATTAACAATATCTGCTCTTGCACTCCCCCCAACCTCGATATGGCAAACAACGTAACGAAGACCACAAAAATAACACGAACAAGAGTAGACACAAATTTGGCGCACGTTGGTTTCCCCACCACGTGCTCGTCATGAGTGGCAGCGGGTACTTATCCCAAGGGCCACAAAAAGGCCTGCGCCAGGACCGATGGGCGAAAGTGCACATCGATCCGTACCTCGGGACGCACCTTGTACTCTCTATCTAACTCCTGCTTCTTCCTGTTGACATCGGTCGGTCATTTTCTTCTTCATCGTGTGCCTCTACTGCTCTTGTTTTATTCTTCAACCTCCTACGTCGTGTGGCTCTTCGCCGTCGATCAGCAGTTTTCTTCGTCGTGTGCCTCCACTGCTCTTGTTTTCTTCTTCGACCCCCTACGTCGAATACCTCTTCGCCCGTTGATCGGGTCGCCGGTGTCGACATCGTCAGGCTTGAGGATGTTCTTGTCGAAGTGTTCTTGCTACGCTGCTGAATGTTCTGGAATGCTATTGACGCACACAAGCCAAACAGCGTACCAGTTGCCTGTATATGTCGATGGTCAGCCACACGAACATTCGGACGATGACGCCACATTAATACCTCACCTGTCTTGACTCCAGTGTGGCGTGACCTACTAATCGAAGCTGCCATGTGGGTCGACCGTGAGGATGAATGGGAGAAGAGATGACAGTCAGCACATGTCGATAGCATGCACAGTGAAGACGTATCTTGGTGGCCAAACGTTCTGGGCGACAACAGCCAGAGACTGAAGGTAAGTGATCATGCATCACGCAGATGAGGGAAGGGATGAGGATAGGTGAGTGGCCATTGATTGAGATACGTGAAGGGAGTGGGAACATGCAAGTTGAAGGTCAAGATGCGTTTGGGGAGTCTGCGTCGCCCGTTGGCCTTTTGTACTCGGGCCAGTGGCTGACGCCACAGTTCCGCTTTGGGATCACGTGGACGTAACAACCTGTAACGCGTTCGTGACAGATCGCGATTTGCCCAATTTGATCGCGTTCTTTGCGATTCACAAAGGCATGGCATATACACGACTCGTTATGTAGCGCGTTGGCTTTGAACAGCTCTCCGGCTCATCAAGAACCACTTTTACCCCATAGGTAGAGTGCAATAGTCGAGGCATAGGTCTTCCTCGCTCACTACCAGTGTAGATGTGACCTTCACATGAAGATGGGAGTAAACCCAGCGCGCTTCGTATCAAAACCATACTGCTTAGGAAACATTTGTCTGCTGCAGAACTCCGACGTCGGAACGAGTTCAGCATCTTTTCTAACTTCCATTCCACCCCTTTCCCGATATTGCTTGATTGCTGATCATTTCAGGCCACGGGCCATACAAGACTATGTACTCAACGTCTGTACACAAGGAAAGTACACATCTGCTAGGTGCGTGGAGGGGGCAGGGCACATGGTGAGTCAGATTCATTTCTTTCGAATGTCCCCCAGAGTGTTGATGGAATACCTCGAGGCTAAGGATGTGTGCGGATGGTGCCCAGCAGCCCACTTGGGTCACCGCGAGCGTCGCGAGAGCACTGCCACGAAAGCAACGCGAACGCCCTGCATTCTAGTAGACATGGGTATTAACAAGTCAGGACACTCTAAAAGCCAAGAAAGACGTAGAGGTGCAAGTGCCGGTACTAGAGTCGAGAGCTACTAGGCTGTGACAGTTCGCGTGTAAGGGGAGTGTCGTCAAGATATCGGTGCCCGAAGGCTATGATATAATATTTGTCAGTGCCGCGTCTTGCTTGATTGTTCGAGAGCTCGGCCACTTTCTGCACCGCGACGATAAGTAATGGAGAAAGAGAGGAAAGACATGAACAACCTTCTGCTTCGGTGGATGCACGTGACTGAACGCGTCGCGACGCGTCGTAATTTAAGGCTCCGCAGTGAAATTTAATTAACCGCGGAATGCAGAATGGTGTCGGATGAGTTGTTCACGCTCATAATACAAACCTGACACAAATTCGCACTTATGTTGTCGCAGGATCTCAAGGCACAAAGTTTTTGAAGCAGGAAACGTCCATCAATTGTGGTTACACATACGGGTACAGTAATTGTTGTGAGGGTATCATAAAATGCAGCGAACGAATAATAATATGCAGTGATACGAAAACTTTTGATCGACTGACGACATCTCCAGTCCTTCTTGAGAGAAATCACGCCAGCATCGCCGTGGTAGCGGTAAAGCGTGGATAGTGATGTGCAGACTGGCATGGCTGAGAGGCGGGCATGGGGAACGCCATGAGCAGCTCGAGTGCTGCAGACATCGGGTGCGACTGTACGGTATCGACGTGCGCGTCGGCGATGCGGGGGAGCGACGGCTTGGCGGGTGTAGGCGCATATGGTGCATGCGGTGGGGTGCATGGCGAAGGAGAAGACGCAAATGAGTCGTCCGAATCCGAGTCGAGGTCGCTCGAGTCGCTAGAGTCGCTCGAGAATGCAGAGCACGCGCGACGAGTGGGGAATGGAGTGCGTGCGCGAGTGCGGATGCGTGTCAGGCGAGGGCGCTGGGAGAACGCCATGATGTTCGCGTGGTGTGCGAGGAGGTCCGCCTCGCTCACACCAAGCTCGAAATCGAGAACGTCTAGGAACTCCCGCTCGATCCGACCGATGTCGCGCTTCCCGAACACGCCCGAGCAGATCGCCCAGTGCACATTCTTCAGCGCCCGGTCGTTCAGGTACTTGTTCGCGGCAATCAGCGCGCCGAGGAAGACGCGCTCGCATGCCCACTTCTCGAGCGAGATCTGCAAGTGCGGCCTCGCACGCGAGATGTAGACGAGGGTGGTGAGGAGTACGGGGACCGTGACCTCCGCTTTGTGGATGACATTTGCAGCGAAGGCGGTGAATGCGGCGTGGTGGGGGTCTCGGGAGAGAGATCGGCCGCGTGTGGAAGTGGATGGGCGTCCCATCGCAAAGTCAACGGTCTCAACGACGTTGTCGACTACGTGCTCTGTAGATGAGGCGGGTCAGATATGAGATGAGATGGGATCTGGATGAGTAGGAAACTCACCAATGAGAGCACGCGTGACGGAGATGTCGAGCATCTGCATGAGAGCAGGCGAGTGGAGAGAAGCATCGATGAGGCTCGCGCGGTGGATGTTCAAAGAGCTGGCGAGCATGGTAGATGATGAGGGTGTTGGTGAGTTGTGGATGCCACGGTCGGACGAGGGGAGAACTGGGGAAATAGGAGGAGTGGCGTTCGCATTTTAAACAGTCGATACAGTCAATTAGCGAGAGGGAGAGGAGAATGGAACCGCTCTGGAATTGCCGACTCGGAGGAGTGAGCGCTGGACAAGGCGAGCCAAGTCTCCTCGCGCCACAGGCGCCGAGGCCCGTTCCTAGTATAATATTGTTCCCCAGCCAATCGCCTCTTCTCCGTCTCCGGGGCACTGCAGCGCTCATGTGTACCTCCTCTGTGCGCCGACATACGGAAATTCTGTGGACATATATACAGTTCACTTACTTCCTCGGTGATTCCACCTTCGCCCGATCGGCTTTCCACGCCAGCGCCGTCGAGCATATTCCCTTCCCCTCTCGGTTCCATTTCCGACGTTCTACGGAATTGTCTTCACATGCTTGTGAGTCACTCACATTCTTTGTCAAGCTACCCGCGATTGTGATTTCTAACTTCGCGTTGTTGGCCAGAATGTCGCATACGACCTCGTAGAGTCCAAATGGCCTCCAACGTGTATGCCGCGTCCTGCTTCGCGCTCGAGGCCTGGAACTCGCAGCAGATAACGCCTATCCAGCCCGAAGCCAGCCCATCGAGCATCGGCGCCTCGGCTGCAGGCCAATCGTCTCCAGCCATTGGTCCTGTCATCCAATCGCGAGCGTGCCATCCGAGCCGGGCCACAGCTTCCTTCCAAATCTGTCCCAAATCGCTGCCTGCGAGATGGCTGATCCCGCCATCCACACTCCAGACCTAGCCGGACTCTTGCTTGACCTCGCCAGGGCTCGCCGTTCAGTAGATAGAACCTTCCTGCCTGAGCTATGCAGTCTCGATTGACGAAACTACGACACTCACACGTACATCCATAGGCCCGAGATTCGCCAATCAACGGATTAGTCACTGGCATGCATGCCAAAATTGTGATGCGCACGCTACCGTGACAAGCTCAGTCTTCTCCATTTCCCGTCTGCATCGCTCTCTTCCCCTCGGCCCCGAGTCTTCTGCAATTCTCTACCGCTGTATACTGCCTATTTCGTGCAAGCTGATCGTATCTCTATTGCGCACCCGCCGACCTACTTCGGAGGGCGTCGGCACGCCATCTCTTCTTCTGTCTCGCGAGCAAGGTGATGACTTGATATCATATATACATACCATCTGCATCGGCACTCACGTCCTCGGCCACCTCTGAAAGACTCTTCTCGCGCCCGATGGAACCGCATGCTACTGTTCACCTTCCCTACATCCTGTCATGGCGTTCAAGAATCTCATAGATATAGCCTTCCTGGTGCAAATGCGGCTCCGACGTGCGATTCGAGTCATTCTTGTATATTGATCATCCCTGGAACAACAGCGTCGGGGAGAATGCATCAATGTCCTTGCCTTCTCTAATACTGTAGGTGACCCTGAGGCTCCGACGGCTGGCAGGGAAGTAGATCTCGTATTGATTCAAGAACCTGGAGAGGTATATTCATCGGTTAGTTAGTTCTATTTCCCCGTGTTTCCGCCTGACTGAATCAACAGAGAAACGGATTCCCGTGATTTTTGCCTGCACCGGTAAAGGGCATCCAACCTCTTGAGTTCCACGCCGCTCGGGCGAAGATCACTTTCTCTTCGGTGCATCCCGTGTTCATCGCAACTTGCCTTACCGGCGATCGTCACGCGCGAACACCGGCTGCGCGAAATTTCGGAATCGAAATGCGCGTCCGTGTCTGCGGAAAAGCCCAGAAGGCGTGGAGTCTTGTGGTTGAGAACGTTGTTCCAACCTTCCGTGCATATCGAGACAACTAGAAGTGCGGCGGTAGGTCGTTGAAACCTTTCGTTTATGCTACCTATCCCCGTCGCCCCTCAATAGCCGGTACCCACTAGTGAGCCCTACCCGTCTGATCTCTCTGCCGCTAAAAGGTTCAGATGCCATTCTCAAAGCTTCACCGATGATGGGTCATCAATGGGTCACACATTCCATAGTGTGCCATATCCAAGTGGTCTTCATTTTGACCGGTCCGACAGCTTGCAGGGAACTTCTGGGTGTGCCCATGTAAGTTCCACTACCTGGCTTCCCGGAAATTGCGATGCAGTACCCTTCTTTCGATTTTTTGATTCCTCGTTACTGAAGATGCCCTAGAGGATAAGGTCCTGTGGTATACAGCCGAACTATGAGTGGAGAATTCAAGGTGAAATGTAATATTCTGATTGTGCATGCGCAGGGCTTGTGAGGAGAAAGCGAAAGCGACTGCAAGTGGAAGCCTGTAAGTACATCGCGTACCCTCCGACTCAACGCTAGAAACTGGATTCTAACATTTAGATACGGGACTTATGTACCAGGCGCCGAAGCTGGAATAATGGAAGTCGGCCTTCCTGTTTTGGTAGGTAACCCGCCCATTTGAGAAACTATCGACGTTGAACGTTGAGGGCGCCCACCGTTCTTCGACGACTCACCAGACCGTTCTGTCTCTTAATCCGTCCCCATGTCAAGTATTTTCACCCTTTCAGCACATACGAGAATGCGTATTAAGCGTTGTCTGGTCAGTGACCTTTCCGTGAGTTCTAGAGCTGCGCTGATATCGTTAGTTATAGGTGTTCGCGGGTTGAATTTCCTGGCGTGTTCTGAGAATGGTTGGAGCCGGATCTCCTACTCCCTCGTTCTCCGAATCTGCCAGTCTAATGTCTTCTCGATGATGAGTATTATGCGGAGAGAAATCGACGGTGCGGTGATGGCGGAACCAGTCCACTCCGCACGTGACCTTATCCGCTCTTCCTCTTATACACGTTTCCTCTAGCGTCTGTAACTTGCGCCATCTTGCGCAAAACTGACCGAGCCAAACAACAGGAGTGATTTCGTACGGAACCCTGTCGGAAGGTCAGATTCCTCTGCGCTGCTGTAAATAGTAGCTGTGCGGTGCGAGTGTGAGCGGGGATGCCCGCAAAGAAGGGTGGTCTGCCTGCAGACGCCGTAATAGGGCCGCGGCGCACACACCGTAATTGCTAATACTTCCCCACGCCGCTATCTTTACATGATGTTAGATCATGGTTTGAGGTGAAGCTTAGAAAAGACTTTGAAGGCGGCGAGTGAGACCGCCATATCTACGTCTCTGAATCCAATGCAGGTACGTCGCTTACCATGTCTCTCAAGAATCACGAACAGTAATGGCAGCGACGGCATTCCATTCGCCATGTTCTGGTCATTTCGATGGTAGAGACGGTGTAGTCCGTGGTTCAATTATTAGCCACTATGCGCTGTGTCTAGATATCTGTGCGTAAGTCGCGACAATGTCCCCGTGATTCGAATCGCACCAATCTGGCTTGCTCAACCTAGTTCGTACCGTCCGTACAACATCAACAAGGAGACCACAAGAACTAGATCGCCAGGAAGCTCAGAGAGGTGTGTCCTCCGAGAGGCGGATATCTGGCCACCGATTTTCACTATGCACTCACGCGCTGTTCGAGCCATGGCCGAGTACAAGGCCCTGCGACAACAGACTAACGATGCCATCAACCACTTTCCAAGATCTGGCATTAACGTGGTGAAAGTCCTCGTGAGTGATAGCTCCACCATTACGTTCTGTTCTCTGTCTGATACTTTGCTGTTCCGGACTTGCGTGGTGAACGAGATTTACGTGTGGCGTATGGTGAATCCATCTAGCGTTAGATATCCAGATTCCCATATGGCTTGTTCATACGAAAGAGATAACAAACACATCATGCACTGTGCGGAATTCGACTGAACTTCAAATGTGCATGTGTTTTTTGAAGGCTTTCATCATCCAATTTGTTCGATTCCATGACCTCCAGATATCTTTGAGCCGTATGTCCTTTCGTGCAGGTGGTTCATTCTGTTTAGAACTTCACTGACCACAACTTTGCATCTAGACTTTGCCAGAGAGACGGTCTTTCCGTCCTATTACCTCCGGGATATCCACAACCCATCTAACCTTCCGCATTTCCTGACATCGTTCAGTGGTCCTAATGGCCTTAGAGATATCCTGGGACAGCCAGAATCACTGCTGGCCATGCAGCCAGGAAGACATATTTAAGCACTAGCAATGCCCAGAGAGAGAGCAATTGTTCATACTGTTCAGAACTTCTTCCCCCCCTTCCCGATCGACAGAAATGGAGTTCATCAGCGAAACTGTGGATATTGACTGTCGTACTAACCTGTCGACCGATCAGGATGGATTTTCTGAGGTGCGTCCCAACGGCCTAGCGATCATAGAAGCCAACCTGACTTTAAGCTACAGAATCATGGGCCGTCCCAGGCGAGGTGGGAAAACGGAGAACTGCGTCATCCGACGCCTCCTCCCACCTCAGGCTGTCCTTCCATTGCAGAAGCTCTTCGACGTCCTGCTGTCATTGAGGTATGCGATGTTGAGACCTAGGATGTCTGTACTAATAAAAGTTCAACAGAACCAGCCAGTACAAGGGGACCAGCTACTATTTGAACAGAATCAGCTTGCGGTTGAAGAGAATGTGTACCCGATTCCCCAAGAGCATTGCGCTCCCACGCGTGGATTTAATACCAACGAAGGACTGACATTCCAATTCCGCCACAACGAAAATATGTTCTTTTCAGCGAAAGATGCTCTGTCTAAGAACTTTGCTGGACTGCATCGGCGTGATGAGATCGTAATTAACAAGGACTACGGGCGAGAAAGCTCCAAGTTGACAATACGATTCTTGGTACGATTTTACTCGCCCCTCGGGGTCATATTGCTGATTTCTTTATTCACAGTGGCCAGTTTCTGCCAAAGGTCAGCTGTACCCGGAGTTCAAACCTCAGATCGAAGTTGGAGAACTTGTTACGGTGGCATCACTTGCCTACAAGATAGGACAGCAACTAGAAAAGTTCATTGAGGTAAGTGCAAGCGATGCGTCCCACGTCTATTCCTTCGTTAATGCAGATGATTATTTAGGAGAATAAGCATAGACCGTATGATGACGTACGCTGGAAAGTAGGAGGCGATGATGGCCTCGGAGTGGACGACATCGCTCTTCTCGGCTTTCGGCGAGTATCGAAAGGAAGCATACAGCCAGAACTGGGGCTATTACTACCTCGGACCTGATTCGCATGTTAGAAGAGTAGTTTGACCTTCCCAGACCTGCAGTATAACTCACCACCGTTCATTCGTACTTCCGTAAGTTACTGTCCACATACATCGAGCAGCTGGCATGCACTATAGTAGTTTACTTGAGACCTTGTTAATTGCATGGAATCATCGTTGAAATTACACATCAAGCTACCTTCCCATCGAGTGGATTTGTTCTGGAATGGTGATTTCGTGGTGGACCTTCTGACAACGGCTGTAGCCTATCGCTATCACTTACACGGTCGGATTTGCATCCTGTGGAGTTGGTTTGTTGCGGAGATCAAGAGGTCTCGTTCGGACAGCCGAACGTACCTCTGCGACAGATCAGAATTTCAGGCCATTGTCACGGTATTTCGTCGGGAATTTCCGACCTAAACCTCAAACGTCAGCAGCCCAGAGTTCGAATCCTCGGACCTCACCTGTGCACTGTAATATCTACGCAAGAGATACATGGCGTCGGTTGTGTACGAATCGTCATAGGAGTCTCAAGGACATGATGGCGGAGAAGTGACGAGCGTGACCGAGGCGTCCTGACTACCTCAAGCTCCAGATCTCAGATACCGTAGACAGCTGAAGATATACCTTCGCTCAATAGTTGCTTTGGTGAGTCCCGCTGCCCTTTGTCCCGCATGACTTGCTCATTGCGATGCATGCTCCTGTCGTAAGCAAGTACTGACGAGTACCTTTTCAGTAACTGTGGCGTCGAACGATAATCTTATTAACGAGCAGCTCAGTCTGTTTCCATCGGCGGTATGATCTGGTGAGCATCCAACATGCTATGACGAAACATTGACATTGACATACACATACCGGATTTTTTCTACTCAAACAGTCTTGAAATATACATGAAACATTGGCTCGCCGGTTCTGCCACTGTAACGAACGTGACCACCGGGATGTCAAATGCAGGCTGTATATTGTCTCCGTTGTGCCTGTGGCCTTGTTTCCCCTGATACCTTCATATAAGTGCAGGATACCCCCAATATCAGTATTCCGCCACGAACTGAACGGAGCGACTACTCACTATCCGATACGGTGCTACTCCCTGAGATGCTCTCTGCAAAGGGCCCGGGAAGGCAATTCTAGCACCGTCGTTGAGTCGGGAGTCCGAAGAACGTATGATTGCCAGTGAGTGGCTATAAGATGTTTTCCTAGAGTTAACGACCTTCTAGCGGGACACGGTCGAAGGTAAGATGTTCCTACTGCCAAATTTATCTGATTGGGAAAACTAAATTCGACCAGCTTTAGACGGAGTCAATTCACTGAGAGCTTAACTTTAAATTTATGCTTACAGAGTCTGCAACCGCTGCCCGCACCGAACATTAATGTTTACTTGCTTCATAAGATACGGCGCATCACCTCCAGAACCTCTCGTCCTTTGGAGCCGCACTGGTTGTCTCAGAACCAATGCTGTTCAAATTGACCAGCACTACGCCAACAACCCTGTCCAACTCTATCAGAGGCATTATCGTCGATGTCTAGAGCCAGGCCATCTCGAATGTTAAAGAACTCATCTGCCATATGCAATTCGGGAAATGCCACTGTCACTCGAGGCTGAAGCTCTGAAGTATCACATTGATCTGCCGATCAGGGAGATCAACTGGGAAATGTGACCAGTGAAAGACATGGGCGGGTCGATCTTGATTTCTATTGGTAACTGCAACGTTCGATCATCGTGTGGCAGCCTGCAGGTAGCACGCATCCGAAATATGCACTTATTCTCCCCATCCGAGCATAGTATACGGAGGGGAGGAACAATTATTGATGCCACGCAATTGGGAAGGCCAAAAGGCAAGTCTTGTGTATGTTCAATGTCACGTCACTGTCCGACGGGGGAAGAAAGAGTGGACTGTCTAGTGCGCAGATCATTATTTGAAGCTTGTGTGCGACACGCGCCATACTCTAACTGAGGACGGAGATCGCGTTTCGCCAGTACAGCTCCAAACACAGTGGCAAGACCATCGTGTACACTTTACGATATATGGCCTCTGCATGGAGGTCGAATGCGTCACTAATCGTGCTCAACCTGTGGAAGTTCGCAAGCCTCACAGCCGGAGGCCGAAACCCACATGTAGTCTTTCATGCAGTTAGTGACGATTCTCAATCTCTCGATCGAGGTGAGATACATCCTAATTTTCTAGCAGCCATGATCGTTGATGGGGAGGCTCTATGTGGTCTCCCACATGGGAGATCAGATCCAGGATACCCCAAGCCGTGGTTGTTGTATTGAGCGAGTATTCATTGCAGGTGTCAGTTTTTGGCCGCGGTTTCTGTTTTCCTCATTTTGATTTTGATTGTGCGAAGAACTCCTCTGAGCTATCGTTTGAGCTCCGTGGCGAAAAGATGACGTCGCTGCGAATCTTCCACATGCGAACATGAGCAGCGAGATGGCCGGACGTACATGGCGTATTCTGTATCATGTATAATCCGGCTATTTTTCACGACAAATAGTACTTCGGCCTGTCTGAAGAGCGCAGAAATTATGTAAATGTTCCTGATGTGTTTGTTAGTAGATGGCGATTTCGGCGGGAGAGTCCATAAGGCAGCAACAAGTTGGCTTTGGCATTTCCTCAGTGCTGTTCTGGTCTACGCAATGTGAATGAGCGTTACATGTCGGATACTCAGAAAGGTCAAGATGTTGACCTTCTTGTTTTGGCAGTTGGCCTACCTCTTCAGGAAGGAAGCGCTTAGATGCCTGCGGCTCTTACTCTGGACGCTGCCAATATTAATATCATGTTCTTTGCAGTTTTCCTCGAGCTCTGCCGCATGCGCATCGACTCTCTTTACACCTGCTTTATCTTGCACGTTGCACAGAAATTACCACTACAGTACCTTCTAACGGGTAGTTTCAACCATATGAGTCGTCACATCACTACGATTCGTCGCCCCAGCTGTTTTCGTCTCAGCCCATGCTCGAAGCCCGCCTCAGCGAGGCAATCGTCCTCAAGCGTGCTCTCTACGGTGCGCGCATTCTCGATTGCAGTGACTTTTCTTGATATCGTCCCGTCGTCACAGCCTTCAAAGAGCTTCGAGCAGACAACATCGCCTGCAGATATAGCGAAGATGCCATCGTGTGTAACCTTTGTATATTTTACATGTCTTGCTTAGGACTTCTCTCCCGCAGACGCTCCAGGCGTTCGACAAGCCCCGCGTCGTGCTCGTCATCGTCAGACTCGCCGCCTCCGCCTTTGAGCGCTATCTCTGCGACCGCCGGAGGACCCTCAGGGTGAAACTCGATTTACTGACCAAGGTGCTCCAATGTGCGAAATACGATGACGCTGTTACCATCAAGGCCGACGACCACATCGACTTCATCACTCTCACCTACCAAGCGCGGGGTGTGTCGCTTCTGTCGTGCCTTACCGTACGCACATACTGACGTCTACCGCAGACTCAGGTCGTGTGGAACATTACAATCTGGTTTTGAAAGATATTCCCTCGGATACGTTCTTCCCTGATACAAGGTTCCTCGCGCGGGCAACGATGCCCTCCGCAGAGTTTGCACGCGTCGCACGCAACCTCTCCCGCCTCAGCGACACCGTGTGCATCGAGATCTCTAAGAGAGGCGTCCGTTTCAGGACTGGCAGTAGCTCCTTCTCCTGCACCGTCTTCCTTCCCCAGGCGGATCCTGCCCTGTCACCACCCATGGAGGAGCCTGCGAATCCTCAGCAGGACGTTCAAGATGAACATCGGGACGAGGAAGAAGAATTTGGAGAGAAGGATGAGGATCCGGGCGACGTTATGATGAACGGACCCGACGAGAACTCCGACGCGGAGACTTTGCGGTCACGCAAGCATAAGAGAGCGTCGTCTAAGATCTGTCTGCAGGGGAAGCCCACAAAAGAAGCGGGGAAGGGCCCGTGCGATGCCAACGACGTGGCTCACAAGGGCGTCAGCGTTGAGGTGGACGAGACTATGGCGCTCACGGTCGGCTTGAAGTACCTTCTCAGCTTCGTCAAGAGTACCGAACGTTCGAACGCCCCCGTCGTCCAGCTCAGGATGGACGACAAGTCGCCTTTGATCGTGTGTCTGTTCTCCTGCTTTGCTTTGTTTATCCTTGCGTCCTTGCTTCACAGGGCTCTCCTCCCCAATTTCTGCCCGTGCCGTGTTCTCTTTTGGTCATTTGAGCTTTCTTCCTGCCTCCCGCTGCTAACGATCGCGCCTACTGCAGGTTTCGTATGATTTCGACCATGGCTTCATCCGATACTATCTTGCACCCTTAATCAAATAGTCGTGTGTCCTCGGGCCGTCCGATCTGGTTGTCCACGTCTCCTTCGGTTGTCTATGTATCTACCATGTCAAGTACTTCCAAGTACATCCACGAGGACGTCAAAGAATCTCTACAGGTCAGCATTGCTGTGGTTCGTTCCTCGTGCCCAAGGTATGCAACTACAGCCAAACCGTTGAGCACCTCAATAGCGAACTTTCAACCACGACTCAGGGCCATTGAACGCACGAAAGACATAAATGGGGCATAGACGCATACTGCATATTTATTCTCTATCCACAGCGACGACGGCTAACATTACAAGAATACACCACAAAGCAGCCACAGAACTAACACGAACAGGAGGAGGGGAAAGTTGAAAACGGGCGGGAGCGCGCACCGTGCGCCCGCGACATTAGCTAGCCCGCAGGCGGGAGGGTATACCGTACCGCACTAAGGAAACGAGGGTAGAGAGTTGGCCGCGAAACCAAGGAGCCAGTCTGCGAGACGCTTCAGATGGTAAGGTAGAGTAGAATAGATATGTGCATAATCTGGAGCTGTGAGAGCTGTGAAACAAACGAGACAACGGACATAAGGACGTGGACACGGGTAAAAGCAAGGAATGAGAGGGGTACGCTGGTATGAGATACAGGTCAGGTATCGTGGTATCACTCGCGCGCAACCCAGTCAGTACTACGAGCAACGAGCTCGATCGAATTGTCGATGGTCCAGAACAGCCGCTCGATGGCACTGCGGCCACTCCAGCTCTTCTGGTCGCGCAGAATCATTGCCTGCACACATCCATGTTAGCCCATCGCAGTACACAAATGCAACGAACCATCGATGACGTACCTGCTGCGCACCAAAGTTTCGTTGGTCATGTGCGAACACGTCGACGCTCTCGTCCAGCGCTTCGGACAATATTTGCATGTCCTGCATGACCGCCTGGATCGCGCGTACCGCCGAGAGCGTCAAGATCTCCTTGCGGTTCCTGGGGGCGCCGCCCTGCGGGTTCGGTGGAGGCAGCGACTGTGTAATGTTCTGGAGCACAGTGTGCAAGATGCGGCGCGTTTCGCTGAGGAGCTTCTGTGCTTGGGGAATATTCTTCCTTGACACGAGCACGAGCGCGCGGGTGATCATGTCGGACGCAAGTAGTTCCATGCGGCGACGCACGATCACAGGGTTCGATCCGTTCGGCGCCGGAGTGCGTGGACGACTGCCTGGGTGGGGCATCGGGAGAAGCGTCACTGTGAGTAACACGGGGTGCGCAAGCCGTGAGACGTGCTTCGCCGCGGCGGGGTCGAAGAACGAGCCGTCGACCTCGAACACGGGCACCTCGTCGATCATGCGGTCCATCATCCCATCTGCGAGATCTGGCGAGTCCCCGATGGACAGGGCATCGAGACCCATGCGCTGGTTAAACTGGTCTGTCGCGCTCAGCGCCCGGGGCATATGATGCGGACCCGATTGTGCCGTCGGCGTGACCGCGACGTCGCTATTGTCCAGCTCGAGCTCGATGAGCATCTCCTTCCGCTCACCGTAGCGCAATTCCCCGAGCTCAACATCGACGTCGCGCCCATCCGACGAGAGGATCGCCATCGGGCCGCCGGAGATCTTGCGGATGCGGAACCGCTGCCCGTCGACGATCTTCATGTGCATCTTCATGTGGAGGAGGCCAATAGACATCATGCCGCCAATGCACCCCGCAAGGCAGTCCCGTAAGTCGTACCAGTCCTTCACGAACGTGTACGTGCCGCTTGTGTGGTTGGACATGAGCCAGAGCGACGCGGGGTCGTGCGAGCGCCCGTAGCCGAACGAGTGGATAGGCACGTTAGCAGCCTCGGTACGGGCGAGCACGAGGTCCATCTGCGCGCGTCGCGTGGTATCCGCCGCATCGCTAACGAGGACCATACCGGTGACTGGATTACGAGACTTGCGTTGCAGTACGACGTCAAGACCTGTTCCAATTCATAAGTGACACGAAAGGACGCAAGACTTCCAGTGAACACGCACCATGGTTCACCGCAGTAACAACGTCCGTCTTGTCCTCCTGCGCGCTCCTGACGAGGAACTCGTCTTCAAACGGCGTGCCGTCATCCCGGCGGCCGATTTCATCCACGAACTTCTTCAGCCTCTGACGGCTCGGCAGCTTGCCGGGGCACAGGAACGGCGTCTTGCGCACCTTGCCGCCAATGCCGACCTCGAACGTAACCAAGCTAAGACGGTCCTTGGGCGCAAGAGACGCCAGGATAAAATCAAGCGACGCGCGGATAACGCGTACTTTAAGCGCAGCGGTGCTCGGCGTCGCATGAGGAGAGGGTATGGAGATGACCAAGATAAGATCGAGCGGCGGGTGCGGGAGCGGGCTGAGCGAGTTGGACGGGCCACTCGAGAGGTGGGGCGCGACGAGCGGGGTGGGGGAGTTGTATCGCGTGAGCTCGTCGTCCTCCTCCAGCGTGGACAGCTTTTGGTGGAGGCCCCGGGAGCCCGCGGCAGAGCCATAGGACGTCTGTGAGGAGATGGTCGATCGTGACGATCCGTTCAACAGGCTGTCCATGGTACTTGCCGTCGTGCCCGTCGTGCTCCCGCTGAGCATGCGCATCGCCTTCTGGCTGCCGCCGAACTCCTCGAGGTCCGGCGCGCGCTCGTAAACGGGCTGTGGGGCATGCAGGGAGGGCTGCTGCGCCGCCGCCGCCTGCTGCTGGTAGACGGCAACGAGCGACTGGATGTGTGCTTTCCACGTCTCAAGCGAGGACCGGTCCTTGAAGATCAGGATGAACGAGTCCAGCCGCTCATCCTCCATGTCAATCGTCAGGCTCAGTTCACCCTGGACGGACGTGTCCGTGACTTGCTTGATGTGCCTGATGTAAATTCGGCCCTTGAGGCGGAGCACGCCCTTTGAGACAGACGGACCAGCAGAGCCCATCCCCGTCCCATCGCTGAATGCAGCGGCCGCGCCCGACGCAGAGGACAGCAGACGCCCCAGCGTGCGCTTCTTCTCCTCGACCACGCAGATGATCGCCTCGCGGAAGAGGTACACGAAAAACTCGCGCACGAGCGCGTCGCGGCGCACAGACAGGAGGTCGTACATCTGCAGCGACCCGAGGCCCTCGAGCGGGTGGCCCTTCCAGTCGATGATGCGCGCGCGCAGGTCCTCCGTGATCGCCGTGAACGGCGAGCTCTCCTCCTCCTGCGGCTCCTCGCGCTCCTGCAGGCTCGCGAGCAGCGGTTCCTGGGAAGAGACGGGCGAGACTCGGTGCGTGTGCACCTGCGACGCGGGCGGTGCGGGCGGATCGTGTGGCGGGATCGCGTATTGCGGGCGCGGGCTGGAGCGCACGGACTGACTGCGCGAGTCTACCGGGTATGGAGTTGGGCTGCTGGACGAGTATGAGTCGTGCGCGGGCATGACCGCGCCGGGGACGTGCGTGCTCGACCGCTTCCCGGGTAATTCGACGACGACGATGCACGTCAGCGGCTGGCTCTGCTCGGCGGTGCGCGTGATCGTCGAGAACTCGGATCGCACTTGGATCGACGGTGCGACGATGTACGGCGAATAGTCGTGCGGATTCGGGGACTTTGGCGCGTGCTCGACCGGGTCGTCTTCGTTCGGGTCGTACGGTTTGGTGACGGTAACTGTGTTTCGCGCGTTTGTGTTGAAGGAACGCAGGGATGACGGGGTCTCTCTGCCTGGGTATAGGGAGGGGCCGTTTGGGTCGCCCATACCCGTGAGAGCAGCAAGTTCTGTAGACGATCAGCGCCAGCGCGTAACCAGAAGTAAACTACTCACTGTTGGATTTTCCACCATCGCCGTCGCCAACTTTCATGGGTCGTCTGCACACGCCGCACACGCCCAAGTTGGATTTTCGGATAACATTGCCGGCTTTGGAAGTGCTCGGCGTTGGTCCGTAAACTGCAATGAAGCATGCCTAAGTGACACCCAATGTTAGCAACCGTCTGTTCAGGAAGGGAATATATTGAAAATTAAAGAAAGCGAGCAACGACACTAAAGAGCCAAGCCGTCAGGCGTAGCAGATAAGAAAGCAACCACTCCCATATAGGACACCAAGAGACCGGAATTCAATGCACGATACCCTGAAAATTGGTGCCAGACAAGAAGACCACGTAACATGGGAGAAAAGGCGGTATCATGGGGAAGAAATGACCTAGATCAACTCAATGCCGGCAGCAGTCCCGAGTGAGCAGCCTTCGCAATAGAATGCACGCACACTAGAAGGCCTAGATAGAGCATACGAAGGAGCGCAAACTGTCACTCGCGTGACTTTCTGGCTCCATTTACGACACACCAGTCAGAAATTCTGCAACTCGAGTGGACAACAAATTGCCTTTGCAACCGTGAGCGTTGCCGAAGAGCCGCCATCCACTATCATGGAAAGACGTGGAAGATTACGGGCCAGTGACATTTGGAATATCTCCGCGCATGACCAAGTCCAGACCATTCGAGAACATAAATGCCTAGCTGGAAAGCACGGAAACAAAGCACTCCAAATGCGAAAATTTTCATGTACTGCACAGGCCCAGGACGCGCAGAACACGAAAATATGATACTCCAAGTAGACGAAGGCATCGGACCATAAGCGCAGAATAATCCCGAAAATGGAGCAACAACCCAGACAAGAAGTGAATGAGGCGGCATCACGGGGGAAGCGATTCGTAGACACGTGCCGACGCATAAGAACGTACGCGAGCCCAGAGACGCGTACGCAGAAGGCTTGCAGTGAGTACGGCCGCTCACAGCGAGCAACACAACGCGCAGAGATCGTTCCGCGCAGGCCGCAATTGTTGCGAGGACACACCGCAGTATTACCAGAACAAATGTCTTCCGAGCTGTGCAAGGAACAGCAGGCCTTCTGTAGACGAAGAAAGTTGTCCTCGCGACCACAGTTGGACATCCGTGGGTCTCGGGATTTTTAGCGGCTAAGCCTTAATAGGTCCCGACCGATGTCTTGGGAGCAGCAACTTCCGGGCGGGAACCGAAGCGCGCGACCGCAAAAAATGCTGGAACACAGAGGACAATAAAGACGTTCGTACGAGAGGGCGCAAGAATAACAACGTGCAGCCAAGCAGAGTGGTGCCAATTCCAGAAATGAGAAGGCAGTAGTTGGTTCGATCGCGGTGCAGCAGCCCAGGGTAGAATGACGATAAGTGAGACAAGATCGCGGACTATCGCCCTCGAGGGCGGACAAGGACCCCTCGCGTCGCGGCTCGCTCTCCAATTGAAAGTCGAACAATGAGGGAGGAAGCGACTCACCTCATGAAGAGCATGACCGCACTCTGGTACGATGTGGGGTTTCTCGCCAGGGAGCCTGAAGCTGAAGCTGAGGGGCTCTAGACAGACGGGGCACTCTTCCTCCTCGTCTGAGGCGTCGTGGCTGGATACTACGGGAAGGGGGGCCGCGACCATGGCGGCAAAAGGATGGTGGGATCTCGTGGAGGCGGTGTCGGAGTAGGCGGGGAGGCTGGGAGAGGAGACGGCGGAGTAGGAAGAATGGAGCGAGGCTACGGAGGGGGCGCGGGAAGGCTGGCGATGGAATACTGAGCGTAGGGTGAAGGAGGGCAGCAAGGAGCGAGAACGAGAAGAAGAAGATGCGCTGTGAGTATCGGAAGAGTACTGTGCGTGATGGGCGTGATGAGGAGAGCTCTGCAGACCGGAATTCCTGTGAGTCCAGTGGTCGGAAAACTCAGATTTCATGCAGGCCGAAAAGAAGAGGAGAGAAGGCGGGCGAATGGAAAGTCTGCTGCAGACGGCAGAAATTGTGATCGACTGGATTATTTCTAAACAGCCGACGCCACGCTACTCTAGTCCAGTCTAGCCGCTTGTTCTCTCTTGGGCCCTTTCCTTCTATTCCTTTCCTCGCCGTTGTACCCATTTATTTACCTGCGCTATTCCTACCAGGACAACATTCGTATTTTCCAAGGCCATTGTCCCGCTCTTTCCATTATTCTCCGTCGCGCATTATACGTGGTTCTCACGGCACTTGCCCGATACGGCACATCTCTGCATCACGTCCTCCGTCTGTCACTCTCGACCTGTGTTCAACAGTCAGCGCAGCGACTCGAGTAGTGTTCCTGCAATTCGTCCTGCTCGTCCTCGCCCGCCTGTCGAGCCCCGCCGCGACCGACCGCTCCCCTTTACCTCGGCCCCGCCCGCAAGCTCGTCAGTTTTTCCCAGGAAAGTTTTCGCTATGCCTGCTCTCCGCCCGAACCGGTCCTGCTCCGGGACGACGAACGCGAGTCCAATGGGGCACGGCTAGGGCGAGCTCATGCCTCCCATCAGTTCCCGTCAGAACTCTCACCGACGCCTGCTCATTTTTGACCCACTCCGCCTGATGTACCCACACCTGATCCCAAGTCTTCTCCCAGTGCTGAATCATACATCTGCTTGATATCATCAATTGCACACTTTGCATCTGTAACGTGCGTAGCACATATACATATGCAATAGCAGTGTGCCCAGGCACCCATCTCCCTCCTTATTCCTATGTTCTTCTCTCGATCTCTACAGCTGTGCATGTTCGTTGCTCTGAGAAGTACTTATTCCCCATCTCGATACACCGCGGCATCCCCCGTTCTGAGGATGATCAACTCCGATGCCGGTACGCTTCTATCTATTGACTGCGCTGTTCTTCCACGCAGCATGATATCAACCTCCCAGGCACGCAAAATTCTTTTTCACCGCGACGGACGCCTCTCGGACATGCTGTCCCACTGCTGGCGTTCGGCTTGTCACATTTATCCCATTGCACGTCCGCCGTGTCAGCGCCGCTGAACGACCTGTGTGTCCTGCCCGGGCGCGAGCCCATCGCTCCTACCATTCTAGCCGGCGAAATACTGATGCGATCCATCATCTTTCGATGAAGAATCGTGGCGGCGCAGTGCGACCACGTCTACATCTTCTCAATATATATTTAATTTGACTATCGTGGCTTCGACTTTGTAAGTTCTCCTTCTCCACGTCGTTCCCCTTTTGGTTAAATACCTGGGCCCGGGCGCGTTGTGGCGCTGACGATGGGATAGATCTGGGTGAGACCCTGGGTTTCGGCGCCACGACGGACCACATCGCAGGTGCCGGCGAGGGCGCGTGCGGCTTTGACTATGATAAAGCCTCGCACGGACGTCATGCTCCGGCACACAAACGTGTCACCACGGCAGTCTGCACCTGTCATTTCTGCTTGACTTGCCTCCGACCAGGTCGTCCCTCTCATCGCATTTGGTGCTGAACTGCATCGCCTTGCATCTTGAACGTTTGAACGAGAAATTCGGGGAGAGGTAGAACGCTCATAATATCCTCCTTCATCATCGTCGTCGACGACGACAGGTGTGCACCGGCGCTCGCCACTGCACAGATTTTCCCTGATGGTGTATTTGTTGCATTCGTCTACATCTTCTCAATACAGTGTAACCGCGCCGCTTTGTACACCCTCATCACTTTGCACACCTGCCAGGCGCGCTCTCAGTTTTTATCTGGGCAGCCTGCTGTTTTGTGTATATCTAGTAGCCCTATCGTATGAGATGCACATTCTTCTGAAGGAGGTCAGGAAGTCCAGAGACGAACAGAGACAACCACCTACCTGATTGTACTCCGTGCAGTGAGATTGTAGAACTGAAGAGCATAAAGGCGAAATATGACGGTGGAGTTGAGGAGGCGGGTCTCTGCATCTGATCTCGTACGACCATTTCACAAAACCATAGCAGCCTGCAGCGCCAGAGCCAGAACCCGTTCCTGCTCCGCCTGCGCCCCCTGCCTAGCGCACGGTACTTGCATAAGCGCGAGGAGCGTCGCAAGTCCAAGTTCAAGCCTAAGGCATTTCCTGCTCCCGAGCCTGTTCCTGCCACTGCGCCATGCCCGGCACGGGCTGCCTTGAACATGCCCATGTTGGCTCAATGGAGGCATCAGTCCATCCTCTGCTCATTATCGTCTTTGCTATACACTAACTCTATATCTGATCGTGGACAGCGAACGTCGGGATGTCGCCCAATCGTCGTGCAGCGCCAGCTGCAATACCGTCGCGTTGCCCTCGCGTCTTGGCTTGTTCGGTGCGTCGTTCTTGTTCTGGCAATGACGCGTGCTCACACTCAAAGGTCCTCCGTCCCCGCCGCCACATTAGTCCACCTAGACCTTGCTACAGAACTTCTGATTATTCTGTCATGCCATAGGAATAAATATCGTTGTATCTACCGCTTTGTATGATGACGTTTATCGACAAATGTCTGCTTGGCTAAATGGTTTGATTCCTGACGCCTAAGATTGGGTTCTCTCTCTCCAAACGACCGAACAGATCTTTCAAGGGTGTGCCACCACCAACGTAGAACTGAGCCTCCGCACTCTACCGGTTTGATTTGCTGCTTGCTCGCTTCCTTTTGTGCGCCGATCTTTGAGCCTGTGTCGTGGCGCCAACAGAGCGCAATGAGGGTGCAAGAGCTGCCAGCACGGCGTTCGATGTGCCAGCCAGCATGCTTGACTCGCTCGCATGCGGCGGAAAATTGGTTTCCTCAGCATCCGCCGAAGACGAGCCCACTACCTGTTCCATCCCACTGAAGGAATGTTGGCATCAGTAGGTGGAATGTCAACAACAAAAGTCAAAGTTACGCAGTCGGAAACAACTGCTCGGCACTCAGTCCCATAACATATTGTTCCACTCTTTCCTCCCATGTTTCGCGAGAGGGTGGCTCGTAGAGCTGGTACTTAAACCCTGGTTCGATATCTGTGGAAACTACGAAGACCAACTTCCACTTCTTCCTATACCGACTCTTGGTAGGAAGAATGTTCGCGACTCTTTGTAGTCCTTGCACTTTGATTGATTGATCCAGACTGGTTGTGAACTGAAATAGGATTGGTGTCCCATCAACGAACGTGAAAGAATTAATACTCGGGATATTTGAATTCAGCGGACGGTAGTACGTGCGTGGCGCCAGATTACCAGAGATCTGAGAGATCTTCTCGAAGACGACCGCTTGCGAAGTCATAGAAAGGTCCCACTGAGTCTGAGACGAAGAATTATGACCACTCGAAAGAGACCTAATGGCGTAGCTCTGTGTCCCAACAGCTGAAAGGACGTGATGCGCGGTATATTCAAAGATGCTTCCCGCCGTCCCTCTGGAGAGATGACCCGACAAGAGCCTATTGTAGATTTTGCGCATGGACGATCCTAACAAATGCTGCGCATGCTGATGAATCATGTCCCAAATGAATGGAGTGGCGACCTTCCCGTGCATGATGCCTCGATAAATCTTCCCGTCCAAAGTTGCCGGGCCTACAATCACTAGTACGTCGCTCACCGAATCATCCCAACCACCGTCTCCCAGTGGGAACAGAGTGTTGGGATCCTGACATTTGTTCAATGCGAACCAAATTTCTAACAGATACTGCGCACGGTGCACGCAGGACCGGTGCACGCAGGACCAGTACACGGTGCGCACAGACGCACCAAACTCACTGTAGGCGTCCCAAAGTTCCCGATCAGTGGGCTGACGATTAATCTCTTGTAGTGGCCTGAAACGAAATTTCGTCAAATCCTTGTAACAGCTGCAATACCTTCATACATACATCGCAGCGTATATCTCACACCAGGACCAGGGCTTCATGATATATTTGTTAGCCCCTTGTTGTTTCGCCCATTCGTTGTACCTGCTAGGTTTCGGGGAAGAGGAAAGGATAACCTTCCACGTATGGAAGAAGAAGCTATACCATTGTGGTATCGCTTGACTTTCATTCGAATCAAACAAGATCCATCCTTTATCCGTGCCATCGATATTCCCTCCGGGAACGTCCCCGCCATGTATTTTGGACAACTCCTGGCGTAGGAATACGAAGTCCATCTCAGTTCCACCGAATTGGTAGGCGCCTGACTCTCTGAATAAGAAGAACGCATCGGCGTGGGGCGCGTAAATGGTCGGCAATCCTTTGATCAGCCGGTCAACCAGAGCGTATATCAGGAATAGACTATTTCCTGTTCGCGCAGGTCAGGTTCAGTATCATTTTTAATACCGTATGCTACTCACCGACACCAGGCTGACCAGTCAAGACGACCGGCTTCTGGTTTTCCTCGAAACTCGCCATCGCATCCTTATACTCCTGTCGAACCAGCACCTGACGCCTTACCATGGGGCTAGGCAGCCACGACAAATCAAGCCGAGTGTAATCGAATGGAATCCGAGGGATGCCGGGGTCGACGCTAGCTAATGCGGCTGCTGCATCGTCGTCATCTTCCACGATACCTGCTGAAGAAGAATCGGCCTCAACAACGTTGGACTGCATCCTGTCCTTCAAGTTTTCGTAATCTGGGATGGAAATACGACTTTGAATGAAGACTTGGCGCCTGTCCTCGGGTTCGTCTGAATCGCTCCTTTTCCACAATTCGCGATATAGAATTCGATAGCTTAGGGATCCGAGATCAAAACTGCGAGTTTGAGCATTGGGATCAGAAAGATGGTAGACTCGCATGATAGATGATAGGTGAGGCTCCTAAAACCAGCCGACTTCTCGCTCCCTATGTATATGTTTTAGCAGATCATGTGACAAATGTTTTATGAGACTTACCTGATTGAGGGAAAATTACTGTAAAAGGATAATGTGCACCCCCCACCAGGGCTCTGAAGGACCCCCGCGAATCCACTGAGAGCTCCGATGCACCGATCCCCGAAAATTGGGCCGCCGGAGGCAAAATGTTTGATCTTCGACCCCCGAAAATGGCCAAAAAGTCGTCGAAAGTTGGGTGCGAAACACCCCCGAAATGTGACCTTCCAACCTGAGGTTAGGTCCAGAACCCCCGAAAACCGAGATTGGCTGGCGGATCTCTCAGGTTTCGGAGGATGTAGCCGTATGTGGTGGTTTGGGCGAAAAGTGTTGGTAATTTGGTTCACAAGAGCTTGGGTTTTGCGCAGGAAGCGAAATTTTTATTCCGCAGGCCGTCGAACGTAATTCTAGGTGGCCGAATGTTCGATCCCACATACCCCCGAAAATGGCCGACCCGCCGCCAGGTTGTGTGCAAACCCCCGAAAATGGGTGGTTGGCCACCCCCGAGAAATGTCGCCCCCGGGATCGGAGCTCTTAGTTGAAATGTGGAAACGTATGAAATTAGCTGACTACGCCAACTACGTGGCTCAGGTACAGAAAGGCACCTCGTCAGCTACAGCTAAAGTATGTATGGTAAAGTAAAGTAAAGTAATGCAATAGTAAAGTCCTTCTGCAGCTCTGCTGAAGCTCGCTATGCACCTGTTCTCCTTGAAGTACCTGTAAGCATTCCGAAGTCCCACAGCCATGAAGTCCATCATTCTTCCCAGTCATCCACGGCACAAATCGCATGAATACAAATGCAGCCCTCACAAACTCACTGGCTCCAACTTCAATCCTTCATGATCCATGATCCATGTCCTCCCAATGATGGCCAGTCATCAGATGGTCACCAATCAAGGTGCACAACAGATGATGTTGTACTGCAAGAGGGCTTGCGAAGGTGATTGCTTCCAATGCAACTGGGGTTGATGGAAAGTTGAATGACGAAAAATCGATAGGGGAGGAGAGAACGGCACTGAGAGGCATCGCACGAGAATGGTGTGTATCAGTCGGAGCCCCTATTGAGACAGAGTCTCCTGGATGCAGAGGACATGGCACCGAGTTGACAGTGCACTGAGGAAGAGAAAAGAATAAAGCAAAAGCATCAGATGGTGAACATCAAAATGTCGAATAATAGGGGCTGATGTGGTTTTAATATTTTCTGGCACCGGCAGTCCCTGCGTCGAACCCCACCGTGAGCGGGACAAGTCACGGCAGGATTGCCACTGTGAACAGACTGTAGTGTCGGCGCGGTAACGGTAACAGTAACGGTGGTGGTGGTGGTGGTGGTGGTGGTTGATTCGCGGGGGTCCTGGCTCTGATCACGGGCCCTCTCCCGTGGCTAGTCCGTGGCTAGTGTGTTACTGCGTACTGAACTGATGTGCTAGTTTCGCTGATAATTTGAGGATCGGTGGCCCACGCAGTTGTACAGCACTGTGACACAAAACCAGCAATTTACTTGTTGCCGTGGCCATACCCGATACCACTCTGTTCTCAACAGTGGCAAATATGAACTCTCTTTCCTGCTCCGCCACTCCCTCCTCTAGCTGCTCGAGTCCTGGACGCCGGCCGAAATTACCGACATCTATCATGGATTTTCACACGCCGAATGTGCAGGAGCAACGGGAGGCAGTCAGCCTCCCTGTGGCAAAGCATCCGACCGAGACTTGGGGTTTGTGGAATAACGAGACTCTGTTGAGAATCAATGAATTCGTGGGTGACGTCGACACATTCCTCAAAGTCTTCGTGCCATGCAATGAGCCATGCCCCGTACCCAGCAGGAAGGAGGCCATCTCCGGGGCCTTTCTTCCGCTTGTTGGTATCGGGAACGAGCTCGAAATGTATGATCCACTAGTGAGCACATGTGCTCGTTCTCTCAACTACTTGCTCATTAGCCGGTTGCTAGATCCAAGGTTTGGAGTTGATTACATCTGAATTTCCCAACAAGAAGCCCCTCGAATTCTGCAATACATCACGAACTGATTTCCACTTTCCATTTGCGAGGTGGGGTACAGATCACCATATAACACGACCGGATGTGGTGGCATTGGTTGCCAATGTTTCAGCTGGTTCCGCGGAGCTCGACAAATGGAGGGATTCGAATGTTTCACTCGTATTTGAGGCCAAGGCTAAAGAAAGTGAAGACCCGGTGCTCAGCTCTAGCGAAGAACACATCAAAACGAGGATTCAGCTTTCAAGAAATGCCAGGAACTTGATGTTGGCCCATAGCAATTTATACTGCTTTGTGATCGGCATTTACGAACGGATCGCTCCCATCTTTCGATTTGACCGAGAGTCCGCCATTGTGTCACCCCCGATATCTTACCAAACTGACCCGACAAAGCTGCGGGAGTTTCTGTGGCGCTTTGTCCATCCAGCATACAGTGACGGTGTCAATGGCATGGACGAGCTGTCTGTGCGAGCGACAGGGGACTGTGTCCGCTGGGCTCAAGATTTATTCACATCTCATGGTCAACCATTGACGGCTGAAGACCTAGAGCATAATCATCTGGTGACCATTCCTCCGACGACAGTGGACGGGGAGTCACAGATATACTTCACTCTCAGATTACGAGCAGTCAAACCAAACCTCTTTGGACGCTGCACAGTTGTACAGGAAGTGGTCAGGAAGAGCGACGAAGGTGCAGATGCAACCAGGTATATCTTGAAAGAATCGTGGCGGCAGGATATACGGCCCTCTGAACTGGAATTCTACGAACGCATCGAGGAGCACATCAAGTTTTCGGAGAAGCGTGCCGCACAGGAAGGCGAGAAGTTCGAGTTAGTTGGGCTTGCTCGAATGGTGCGTGGCGTAGATCTCGGCGCCCTGGAGTTGTCAAAGCTGGAGCGCAGGATGGGGAGGACGCCATCGGCGTTATTTCATTCTCATTGCATGGAAGACACGAACCCGCAAAGTTCGTCGTTGAGTAAGGCTATCGCTACGTTACCGCCTCGTCCTCCGCAGATGCCTCCACCAAAGAAACGACAGGCGGATCCACGAAAGGTGCCGCTTGTTGGAGCTACCTCTCAAGACAGCATCTCCCTTCCAGATGCTGTTGTCACGTTGAGCCGGTTACCTGCCCCCCCTTGACGGTAAGGCTACCACGTTGTCATCGCCCCAGGCCAACACTCTACCGGTGGTAGTCCCTGATTCTACCTATCACCGCACGATGTCAGGACTTATCCGAGACCCGGATCAAGAAATGATTACTGAACGGAACCAAATGCGTCTGATCTTGGATACGATTGGTCGCCCGATCTCTGATTTCCGCCAGACCAAAGAGATGGTGCTTGCAATTCGTGACGCAATGATAGGTGAGCTCTCGCTACTTTCACCGCACCAGCTGCTGATGTTTAAATTCACAGAGGTCATCAATTTGCTTATGAGTCTGGCATCTTACACCGGGACGTCAGCCATGGTAACGTCATGATTGCGGAAGGTAAACCTTTCAAGGGATTTATCCTCGACTTTGATTACAGTAGTTTCTGGATGGACGTACAAGCAAAGAAGAACCTCGTACCCGCGATCGTCGGCGCTGTCCTGGAGGCTCGCAAACGGTACGGCGACCGTCTCTTCGAAGAAGGAGACTCTGCGAGAATGAAAATGCTCAGTGTCGGCGATAATGTGATGCGCGAATTGAAAGAGAGAGCGGTGAGTTACTGCCGAATCTCACTGAGATATGTTTCCTGACTCAGACATGTAGGGAACACCAGCTTTCATGGCCATAGAATTTCTCGGTAGACATACGCCAATCGTGCATGAAGTTCATCACGATCTGGAATCTTTTTACTGGCTTTTGATCTGGCTCGTGCTCAGGCATACCAATGATGACCATCACCATGGCTCCTCGGCTGTTTTCCGAGGTGACGAAAATTTGTGCAGAACTCACAAGATTGTGTTTCTTCTTTTTGAAACACTGACAGTTCGAGGGAATGCTCCTCTGACGCATCTTCTCAAATCCTTGGCGGCTCTAGTCATGAAGTCCATCTGTTGGGCTAATCTGAAGACCGATATTGTACGCCTCACACACGCAGCATTCTTGCAGGCACTGAATGAATGATGCGCTGGTGATGGATGGGTGGCCGGAGGACGATCGCGCACTTCCATTCATCCATAGAGGATTGGAGCTCAATACCAGCAAAGCGAACTCGGGCGGTGTATGAAAACTCAGTACTTGATGCTCTGACACATTCTCGTCTCGAAGAAACTAAAGGTGTCGTGTGGTTCAGCTTGAGGTCATCGGATTTTTGTCGTGAATTTTGTTAGCTCAATTGCATTATTAATATGACTTTCGCCTAATCTTCCCTTGCGTTAGATGCATATGGCTCGGTATGATCATATTTATATAAGTGTAATCTCTCTTTTGGACATCACTTCTACGTGTATCATGTTTGATTTCATTGTGCGTTTATAAATCTGCTGATTCCTGGATTACAGAATGACTCGTGAACATATTACAGACGATTCGATGCGCAGTATTGTTCACCTCACGATTTCCTCGCTCGCAGAGGTCCGAAGCCTCCACGAGACCCCTGCTTAGCATTCCGGCTGAGCCACTAGTGACAGCCTGCCGTTTGCAAATCCTCCATCTCGTCTCCGTGCGGAGGGGTCTGAGGCGTTCCTGCGAGTGGCATCGCCCGTTCAGGAGTAAGATGTTATACTGGAGGAAGGGGTGCTCGTCAAAGTCTTCATAATTGGGATAGATCTTGTGTGTGCCCCTTGACTTTCACAACACGACGGACCGCATCGTGTGCCGGTGAGGGCGCGTGCCGCTTTGAATACCACAAAGCCTGGCACGGACGCTATGCCGGGCCCGGCGCGTGCATGGGAGTCTGCGCCTGTCGTTTCTGCTTGACTTGCCTCTGACCAGACCGTTCCGCTCATTGCATTTGGGCCTTGCCTTGCATCTTGCACAAGAAATTTGTTGAGGTGTAGAGCGTTCATATTGACCCCCTTCTCGACGTCGACGCCGCTGGGTAGCGCTGACGTGTGTGGCTGCGCGAATTCCACCTGCCGGCGTAAGTTACTGGTTGCATTCAAATTGCGAGACGATGAACGTTCTGAACTTGCGCACAGCATTTCGAAGTTCTTCGTAACAGAGGAATAAAATCGTCTCGAATCGGGAATGACGCCCTGACTGCCATACTGTGGACCTACATATCGTGAAAGTGTTAGCATCCTATTTTTCTATCCACAGATCCCGCGCGCGAGCTCAAAACATGTCTCATGCAATTGAATGACCCCAGCCAAGATTGATGATGAGAGCAAGTTTGCCACTTAGGAAATACATGGTACGAATGCGTACGCAAGTGGCATCGAACAAATGGACGTGTTGTAGAACGTACGTATGCCACGGGTTACATATACGTTCATCAAGAATTTCTGGTGAATGTTGGACATGGAAGTCCACCCGCGCGTTCCTTAATTTCGGCGGTGCAGTAGCAGACTGAACAACTGCCAGTCAGGATCTAGTATGAGATGTAGACATTAAACTCAACCTCGATATGGGAGATAATTCAGAATCCCAGGGTGCTGGCACTTCAGAGGAACAGATCCAAAGGCGCTAGAAATTCGCATGATGGACTGATGGCTCGCGTCGACATGGGTATTATAAGACTGGGAAGTTTGAGATGAGGGCCGTAGTATAAGGATAGAAATGGTGAAGGTAGACGAACCAGGGTATAGCTTGCCGCGGCAGCATGGTAGATTATTCGTAACCCAGCCGTCGCCTCTCCTCTCTGTCGCGCTCCAGCTTCGCAACATGGTCCTCCGCTTCTCTGACTGCGTCGTCCCACGCGACAAACAGTTCCGACAGAGTGTCCACCTAAGAGGATCAGTAAGTACAAAACCTGCCTTGCAAGCCAAGGAGCACGCGCACCGAAGTAGCATACCGGTCCATCAACGCGGCGATGCGTTTTTCCAAATCTGCCGCCTTCTCAAGGTCTTCTGTATGCGCCTGCACCAGAGCCTCGAGACGCGGTTGCAATATTTTGTAGTCGGCGAGCTTGCCCGCGCCCGTGACACCCTTGCTCTCAAGGAGGCTGATCTCGCGCAGGTCGCGGTCTGCAGCACGGATGTCCGGTTCCATCTCAACGAGGAACGCCTCGAGCTCGCTCAGGGACATGTTCTCGTACGTCGGCGCTGCGGTGGGGAGGGTTCCCGAGAGCGCGAAAGCCGGCGTGAGCAGGTGCGCGTGCTGGTCGTCTGCGGTCGCTTCGCGTCAACAAATCGCGCAAGACGTCCCGGCAAGGCGAGACCTACAATGCTCCATGAATTTTTTCAGCCCGTCATTACTCTGCACGATGCCGTCCACCTTCCGCTGCAGCTCCTCGGCGCGGCGCATCAGCGTTTCCCCCTTCTTCAGCTCGTGCGCTTTTGCACCGCCGCGCTCGCGCCCATCCTGCTGTGCGCCGTATAGCAGTGCCTCGAGCCATCGGATGCGCAGGTCGAGTGACAGGACCGGCGGTACGCTCGGTGGGGGGCCGCTCGTCTTTGGCGCCTCCTCGGGAATGTCGAGGTCGAGGTCGTACAGGCTGCTCATCGTGGAAGGGGATATGTGCGGCGGCGGCGAGGACGGCGGCGTGGAGGAGGAAGAGGAGAGGAGCCGGTGGCGCTGGACGTCGCCCAGGAAAACGCTACCGATCACCGAGGAAGCCATCCGCTCGAGGTGTAATAATTCTAAGAGGTTGCTAGCGCGAGGTCGATCTTTATTTCACTAGGGATGCTTGGAATTTAACACGATTACACCAGACGAGATATATGAAGCCTTGTGGGTCCGTATGGCTGCAAGCACGGACAGAGATCTGTGGAAGACGAGGAGGCAGGAGCCTAGGCAGAGATGAGTTCAGCGACTTCAGTCAGCTGGATGACGGAGATTTGGAAGGTGGGAAAAACATACCTTTTCGGGCCAATCCTCGAAATGCATAACGCCATCGGACTCGGACATGTACTGCTTCTTGAAACCGTCGTCCCATTCGTTTCACCGCGCCGAATCTTACAAATAACCAGCGCGGGCGCACTCTCCTTCACTTCTGCACTCAGTCTCCTCCCTGCTCTGCGTTGGTTCTATTCTCGCGCCATCTTCGACTTATCTGATAATTTAAACGACGGGGCGCATCGGGGCACACCACGCAATGTCCCTCTTCAGTAACCTGCTTGGATCCACCTCATTCGCTGCCCCCGCAGGCAAGGTCGAATTGCCGTTGTCAGAAGATGAACCTCTTGTCGCAGATGAACAGGCTGTGGAGAAGTGTGAGCTGAAAATCGAAGGTATGACTTGCGGGTCGTGTGTAGAGGTGTGTGGTCGTGAGGCAATTTCGCGACGACGCCTAATGGCACATTCAGTCAATAGAGCGGATGCTCAGGACACAACCTGGCATTCACTCGGTAAGGGTCGCCCTTTTGGCAGAGCACGGTGTGGTTGAGTACGATCCCAATGTTTGGCATGTAGACAAGATAATAAACGTGCGTATAAGGCCCATTGAACTCCCTGTGGGTGATGACATTGTGTGCAGGAAATATCTGATATCGGTTTTGATGCGACACATATACCCCCATCGCGCTCCGACATTGTTACCCTACGCGTCTATGGCATGACATGTTCGTCGTGCACTTCTACTGTCGAGTCTCAGCTCTCTGCGATGCCAGGAATCACCAGCGTATCCGTATCACTCGCGACGGAGACATGCAAGGTCGAGTTCGACCGTGCGCTCGTCGGTCCCCGGGAGATGGTGGAGAGAATAGAGGAGATGGGCTTCGACGCGATGCTCTCGGACCAAGAGGATGTTACGCAACTGCGCTCGCTCACACGGACGAAGGAAATTCAGGAGTGGCGTTCGCGTTTCCAATGGAGTCTCGTATTTGCTCTCCCCGTTTTTTTTATCAGCATGATATCCAAACATATACCCCCGTTGGCGCGATTCTTCAATCACTGCATCCTCCACAACCTGTTCGTTGGTGATTTTATCGTCCTGCTGCTCACGACTCCGGCACAGTTCTGGCTTGGGTTTCGGTTCTACCGGAACGCCTACAAGTCTCTGAAACACGGCATGGCGACTATGGACGTGCTCGTCGTCCTCGGTACCTCTGCCGCGTACTTCTACTCGGTCATCTCTATGATCTGTGCGATGTTCAGCTCACAGCACGACATGCGACCTTTCGTATTCTTTGACACGAGCACAATGCTGATCATGTTCGTGTCCCTCGGCCGATACCTCGAGAACCAAGCCAAGGGCCGGACTAGCGCCGCGCTGACAGATCTTATTGCGCTCTCCCCCTCCATGGCCACTATTTACACGGATGCACCGGCATGCACGATGGAAAAGAAGATCCCGACCGAACTTGTGCAAGTCGGAGACACGGTGAAGATCGTGCCGGGCGACAAGGTCCCCGCCGACGGTACCGTGTTAAAGGGATCGTCGACCGTAGACGAGAGCGCTGTCACTGGCGAGCCTGTACCCGCGGTCAAGCAAATCGGGGATAGTGTCATCGGCGGCACCGTCAACGGACTCGGCACCTTTGACATGCTGGTCACCCGCGCTGGCAAAGATACCGCACTCGCACAGATTGTCAAGCTCGTGGAAGAGGCGCAGACGTCCAAGGCACCCATTCAGACGTTCGCCGATAAGGTCGCGGGGTACTTTGTACCCACCGTCATCACACTTGCGGTGATCACGTTCACGGGCTGGATGGTCATCTCCCATGTCCTCAGTGAGACGTCGCTTCCTGCAATGTTCCGTTCTCACGGTGCGAACAAGCTCGCGGTATGTCTGCAGCTGTGTATCTCCGTTGTCGTTGTTGCCTGTCCGTGCGCGCTCGGTCTAAGTACCCCTACAGCAATTATGGTCGGCACTGGGGTGGGCGCACAGAATGGTATCTTGATTAAAGGCGGAAGGGCGCTCGAAGCCAGTAAGTCCATCAAGCGAATCGTGCTCGACAAGACCGGTACAGTCACCGAGGGCAAGCTGACGGTGGTCGCATCGACTTGGGCGTCGGAAGACTACAGCGAACTGTACGCTCACGCTAACGGAGTCGTTCAGTCTTTAAACGCGCTGCCCCTTACTGCACGGTCTCCCGTCGGGCCCAGCTGCGCCGAGATAGTCGGGATTGTTGCTGCAACAGAAGCTCGCTCTGAGCATCCTCTGGCGAAGGCAGTCGCTGTGTACTGCAAGGATCTTCTCGCAAAGTCTTCCTTGGCCTTTCCACAGGTCACGCTCCATTCGTTCGAGAGCGTTACCGGTGAGGGTGTGCGGGCGACCGTCTCGGTATCGGATTGGAAGAGCCAGTACACCGTGTTTGTCGGCAACTCGCGATTTGTCAGGCAGTCCGAAACTACATTGCTTCCTAATGCGCTATTCAATTTTGACGCTGCGCAGGAGACTCAAGGGCGGACGACGATATTTGTATCCATTTCGAGCGCCGAGCATCCTATTCCTCACCCAGTACTCGCGATCGCTCTCTCAGATGCGCCCAGACGGTCGTCTGCGCACGCTATCAAGGCGCTTCATGCCATGGGCATTGAAGTCAACATGATGACTGGCGACAGCAAGGTTACCGCCGTAGCCATCGCGAAACAGGTCGGAATCCGAGCGGAGGGTGTATGGGCGGACATGAGTCCTAAGGGCAAGGCAGCGATGGTGACAGACCTCATGGAGAAGAACAACGGTGGCATCGCTATGGTGAGTGCTCTGAAGCTGACCCGTGCTACCCCCTCGCCGATAATAAATGTTGTTAGGTCGGCGATGGCATCAACGACTCGCCCTCCTTAGTCGCCGCATCCGTTGGCATTGCTCTGTCCTCTGGAACGTCAGTCGCGATCGAGGCTGCAGATATCGTGCTCATGCGCTCCGACCTCCTCGACGTCGTAGCCGCACTGCACCTCTCGCGTGCGATCTTCGCAACCATCCGCCGCAACCTGGTCTGGGCATGCATCTACAACGTGCTGGGTATTCCTCTCGCGATGGGGCTGCTCCTCCCCGTGGGTATCCATCTTCACCCAATGATGGCGGGCGCGGCGATGGCGTTCTCGTCGGTCAGCGTGGTGACGAGCTCGCTGACGCTCAAGTGGTGGACGCGTCCGCCATCAAGCGTCATGCCTGGCGAGACGGTGCACCAGGAGACGATGATGGACAGCCTGCGGGGTGCCATCGGCGATGCTTGGGAAAGCGTGGGTCGGTCCGTGCATCGCAGACGGGAGACGCTTGGGTACAGTCCACTTCCGGTCGAGATGGGCGAGTCTGTATGATACGTTCAAGTTCTGGTGCGAGATTATGGTCCGGTCTTGGTTCGGTCAGTGTATTTCTGGACGTACTTAACCTTCTGTGCGCTCCTTTGCACCCGTTGCTCTGCACATTGCTAAAGCCATTGTATCATTGCTAATACAGTAACATTAATTACATATTTCTCCAGCCTTGCGTTACCTTGTAAAATCAAGTCCGAATTCTTGCTCGGAGAGCAAGCTCTCCAGCTCTCCCGACCCCAAAGTGAAAGCGTCCTTTTTACGCTTAGTTTGTGGTGCGCTATTTGTTTTTTTATTAATTTTGTTCGCTCTAAGTCATGCCGAGTAAGCTGGCTGATTACGTCATCGTTCCAAGTATCAGTGGTGGCGCCCAAGTGGCGCCCTAGGCTCATAGATACCGTGCCTCTAGCTACCTGCAGGAAAACAGTCGTTCTTTTTGGAATAGAAGTGGCGCCCAATATTACAGCGTTCGCGTGTTCGTTCGGAAAGTAAGTACTCAATTCTCCATCAGATCCACACTGGCACGGTACTTCTGCTGCTAGTAAGTATGACATATCTTCCGTACTATGGAAGCAACATATGAACTACGGATTGTAGTCAGACGTGCTTAGGTTCCCCGAGGATCTTGAACTTGAAACATCTGACCACTCATCGACTCCTCGCCCCTCTGCCTGCAGTTAACGACCCAGAAGATGTTAATTCTCGAAGAAGGACCGTATGTGTCTGTCTTTGATTCTTTCTGAACAGGTCCTGCATAGCTCACCTGTTTCCTCCGCGCGCAGTGAAGACGAGACTGGGATGCCCACGATACATATGCGTCCGGGGAGTAACTTGTTCTGGGCCGCAACTGGCCCTATAGAGCTCATCGAGCATCTCGTGTTGGAGCTGGGCGTTCCTGTCACAGTGACCGATCCCATGATGGGATACTCTCCTCTGCACTTTGCCGCCGAAATGGGAAAAGAGGAGAACGTACGATGGTTCCTTGACCATGGAGCGCCGTGGAACATGGCAAATCATTATTCAGTCACTCCTGGTGAGCTGGCTCTCGAGGACGGATTTCCTCGATGTTATGAAATCATTTTCGAAGGTGGCGTTCGCTCGGGTGAGTTCCCGTCCAAACGAACATGGTTATCCCGTGTTTTCATGACCAACCGGCAGAGTACGAGTTTTGGAGGCTGAGAGACAAGTCGTCGGCAAGAGGGGAATTTGGGCAACATCTCAAGGGAAATATGAGAGGACAAGCCTACTACGTCAACAACTACGAATACCTGAGCACCCCAGTAAGCTTCCTCAATCCGCGTCCTGAGATTCCAGATGATTTTGCCATGGTCGTGGACGGTATGACGGGTGTAATGATGGAATGGGAGCGCCCGCTGAGTGAATGCCTTCCTCTGGTGGCGAAGCAGGTCTATTGAGCCTGCCCTTTCAGTGAAAGAAACGGCCCGTCTTCTCTGTGAAGATATGGGGAAGGGAAAGAATATCTTGAACGTGGGATTCGGACTCGGGATTGTAAGCTCTTTATATCCAGTCGGTCTCTGCATGGTCTGAATTTTATGTGCGTTCAGATAGACTCCTACTTCCAATCTTATGAGCCGGGAAACCACACCATCATTGAGGCTCATCCTCGATGTCTCAAGTACATGCGCGAGAATGGCTGGTACGACAAGCCGAACGTCCGCATCCTCGCCGGGTCCTGGGATAAGTTCATCGGCCCCGACGCCTCGTTCGAAGGCTTGGGTACCTTCGATGTCATCTACTTCGACACCTTCCAGGAAGGCTACCCAGGACATCTCAGATTTTTGCGATGCGTGCCAGAGCTACTGTCGGGTCCTTCCGCTCTCTTCTCGTTCTTTCACGGTCACTGTCGCAGGTGGAAGATGGGGTACGAGGTCGGTGTCTTCCCTTTTTCGTACCGTGCAAATACTGATCCCTTTCCAGGTGTATGCAGAAGTCGCTCGATGGCATGCGAATGATTACGGGATCAGTACAACATGGACAGGTATGGTGCACCTAATTAATGTCCGAGAATTAGGCCTGAGGCTTCAATGCACTATGCTGTAGACTTTCAGATCGACCCTGCAACTATCTGGGAATCTTTCTCGAAGAAACCGCGGGGTGTGAACATCGTCTATTGCCATATTCTCCTGCACAGGCTTGATTCTTCCTTATAGGATATTTCCCATCCGTTCAAGATCCCGATATGCAGGCTGGCTCCAACGACACCGAGACACACCGCTAACGCATGGTTTGGCAAGAACTTGGAAAATGAAGAGAGCACTACTGAAAAATGATTGCGAAAACCAGAATGCAGACACTTTGTTTTCTGTTCCTCTATCGAGCGAGACTCGCGATTTTCTTTGTGTTCCAGTCGAAATACGGTGTATCTGAGTAGACATGAATATGACAAGCGCGTGTGTTACAATCCAACCTTTAGAACGTCCTGGGACACGGGGACCTAAACGGTGACCCAAACGATCGGACATGGCTACAAAGCGCGTATTACGTCATGGCGCGGCACCGTCACGGTGTCTGTCACGGTGATGCCGTGCTACGCGTCTGTCACCGGCAGCAAGAGTTTGACTCTCATGCATAGCATGCCAGTGTGCTTATACTGCGCTGATTCGATTCAGATCACGGTGCCTTTGCTATTTCGTATGATGCGTGCTTATCCTGGCAGTCGGAAGTTGATACATGTCCTGGCCTGGGGTGTCGTCGACTACTCACTGAGGCTCAATCTCAACGAGGCCTCACTGCCTCGTCGATTCACGATGTAGTTGAATCATCGCGTTTGTATTGCGGCCCTGTGAAGAATTAGCGGTCCATCGATACCTTGATCGGGAACGGCTCCGATATCTGTCAATGAATGTAGCAGGAACTTCGAGAAGCCGACCGCAGCCTCTTAATGCACGCGTCAGTTCCGGCCAACGCGTACGAGTCCCAGCGGCATTGTGTAGGATAAGGGCTATATAGCCGATTAATGCTTACTCCTGGGGCTGTAGTCCCTCTATTCTACTATGCCCCCTCCTTCAGAAATACCCACCCTCATAGTACGTTAGGCTGCATGTTTAACATAACATCGGCTAACAATAGGTTTTTTAAGGTCGGTGCAGGACCTGCGGGTCTTGCACTTGCGCTCACTCTCATCAAGAATGGAGTTAAGGTGCGGATCATCGACAAGGCCTTGGACTATCACATCGGAACCCGTGGTTCTGGCCTCCAGGTAATCCCCAGTTTCCAATATTACTATATGTGTACCTACGACCTAAACCGATAGGCTCGCACCCTTGAGGTCCTCCACTTCCTAGGAGTCCTTCCGGATATTCAGGCCAAAGCCATCCCCATGAAGCCCCGCCGGCTCTACAAGCTTCCGCGCGGTGTGGAACCAATAGACACAAGATATATGCTCCCTCCGATGGACCCTACACCATCTGTGCCATTTGTGTGTGAATCGGTTCCTTAGTGAACTGTACCGATAACTAATCTGACACTTCCTAGGTGAACGCGTTGATGCTCGGTCAAGAAAGCTCCGAATCGATCTTGCGCACTCACATAGAGAAGCTTGGGAGTCATATAGAGCTGAGCACTGAGCTACGCAGCTTGGAGCAAACTGCCGATCATGTCGTAGCCCATCTCGTGAAGATATGCGGAGACGAAGAAATTTCAGAGACCGTCACTTGTCTCTGGCTTGTTGGCGTTGATGGGGCAAAAGGTTATCTTATTCAATACTTTCAGATGTTACTGAGCGCTGAGTGTATGTGTTATCCTGTAGGAGTCGTGCGGAAGCAGCTCGGCCTGAGTTTCCTTGGTGAAACTCGAGTGGAAGAAAGTATCATCGTGGGGGACATAGAACTCCGGGGTTTGGATACTGATGTACGTCTTTTATATCCTCTCATGTCACGCTTCTGACTCGACTTGTTGTGCAGTATTGGCATACCTGGGGAGATCGTTTTACGACATTGTAAGCCAGTCATCGTCGTCAAAGTTGTCCTTGTGTTGTTTGCTGACCCTACTCTAGCGTGATGTTGCGTCCCACAGAAACCGATGGGTTGTTCAACTTCGTCCTTTCGGGCCAAATGGATTATTCGCTGGTCATATCTGACCATGCTGAGCTGATCCGAGCCCTCCGTGCCGGTACGGACAGAAATGATCTGGTCTTCGGTAGAGTCAGATGGATCTCCAATTACACGTTCGCCCCTCCGGCTTTCGATTCATATGCTTATATTGACCGTTCATGTAGGCCGAACATTCGTATGGTCGAGAAGTTTGCAGACGGTCGCGTCTTCTTGGCTGGCGGTGAGTTGACATTATCACTTGGTAATCAACGAAACCTCATGGACTAATTTAACAGACGCCGCGCATGTACATAGCCCTAGCGGCGGACAAGTAAGTTTCGCAAATTATTCAGATCGGTCTCATGCTGATAGTCGCCTGTAGGGATTAAACTCCAGCGTGCAAGATGTTGTAAGTATGCCCTGCGAAGTTCACTGTAATTACCTCTTTTAACGTGCGTTCCACAGTTCAATCTCGGCTGGAAACTTGCGCTCGCAATTAAAGGCGTTGCAGCGCCTTCTCTGATGTCCACGTACAGCGAAGAGCGCGTACCCGTCATCCGCGAGATGCTCACGCAGACGACCAAGATCCTCGACAAAGTGAATGCTGCACGAGCGGACGACCGCAGCAGCCAGCAGGTGGCATGGACGCGCGGGAGGCAGATCATGATGCTTGGCGTGAACTACCGCTGGAGCTCCGTCGTCGTCGACGAGCGTGTGCAAGATACCCCCGAGGAGCAGGCGCTCAGTGCGTATGGCGGAGAAGGTGGCAAGGAGGTGCGCGCTGGAGATAGAGCACCGGATGCCCCGGAATTAGTTGTACTGGGCGGCAGCGAGGCTGCAGCAAAGTCCACTCCGACTTCGCTCTTCGAGATCTTCAGCCCGGCCTACCACACGGTGCTGTTGTTCTCCGACGACGCCAGTTCCGAACAGCTGTGTTTTGTGACGCAGGAACTTGCGCTACTCCCCAAGGATCTCGTGCGCCTGGTCACCGTGTACCCCCAGGGCGCGCGCCGTCCAGAGGATGTTGGCGCTGCAAGCGCCCACTTCAACTTAGTGGATGGAAGTGGACATGCTTATGGAAGCTATTCCATCCCTGAGAAGGGCCTATTTGTTGTGATCGTGCGGCCTGACGGTGTTGTCGGCGCGATGGTTTCCAATGCCGAGGGCGTCAGGCAGTATTTGCAGGGCGTGTTCTCTCTGAGCGCGTAATGGGGCTCGAAGAATTGTACGGGAGAGAAAATTGTGATTGTAAATAGGTAAGTAGATGCTAGATGGAATAATCGCATACTAGGTAAGTAGATACGCGAAGTTATCGAATATAGTGGTTTAAGTGACATCGTGAGTTTAGCGACGCGTCGCGTCAGGTCACATCACGTGCTTCGTAACGTCTTTGAAATTTCAGAATACATGTCTTTCACTATTTCGTTCATGTTTCCCGTCGAAGCACGACGTTGAAACAAGCTTTCCCTCAAGTAGAGTATGTTACTCTCTGGCGAATATTTACAGGCATTCGGTCTGCATGCATTAAATAATTACACTGGTGTGTCCTATACGTGAAGCTTTGTCCGGATTCCGAAACCTAATTATGAAGCTCAGCGATCACAGATTTCGTCGTGATTGTGATAGTCGTTGAGATTACCGTAGCCTCGGACAATCTCATCTCCATGAAGGTGGCTCACGACTTCCCGGTAGAAGAACAACTATGCAATCTGCAAGCTCAACCGTCCAGGGGCAACGACCTGGAATAAACCAGGCGCGCTGTGCCACACATAGAACTAGAGGTATACAAGGCAATTCGCCGCATCTGGCTCGTCATGGCATTCCAGATGGACTGACGTTATGCCGCCCAGATTTACATGTCTCGGCTTCTTGACCAAAGTCTATCTGCTGAAATGCCGATCCGCATGCAATCGGAGAGATCCTTAAGTTGAGAGCAACGTAGCAAGTTCATAATGGTCTCAGAGTGTTCCCGTTCTTGCCAACACCTCTGACCTTTCATCCTGCTAGTAGAGAGCATCGACGTCTCATGGATCGAGCGTGTCAAACATCTGGCATCCTTCCGATACGGAGGTTGAATTTCGTCCCATCTCAGGAGGACAACCATTACCGATAGCCTCACGTAGTGTCCGGTTCCACCTGGATTCACTAAATACCATTGAATCGCGGTCGATTCTGGAATTCGAGATCTGAATCTGCCATCTACCATCTAATCTGTATACCCGCACTGGACCTAGCGCTCTCGTCCGGCCGTTCTGGACTCACACCTGTGAAGGCCTCCACCCGCAACGATGCGATGAGGTCGATGAAAGGCCTCGACAACCGAGATGTGAGTGTGCGGGCTATCTATGACCAATCTCTGCATGAGATACGGGCTGGTTCATCGCAGGATGGAGTCGGCAGAGATACACGTTATTCTGCTGCGCTACTTTTGCCAACACGTCCGCACAGCTGGCAACGCGTTAGTCTTCCAGCTCCACATGCTACTGTAATGACGATATCAGCCGAACGTGCATGCATGGCCATACAGACCCCGAACGGTGAAACACATAGCTATACGGATACATATTTGCACGTACGGTATGTGAAAGACGACTCTTCTGGCGTTGCGGGCCAGTGAGCGCTCTCGCTCTTAGGTGACAAGTCAGACTTACGCGATGACGATTGCGCCGATTGGCTGTGGCACAATTGGCACGAACGGTCTCGGCGGCTGTGGCCCTGGGCCCAAGTACTCTCGACCACTCCGCTTTACCACTGGTGCGGCGATTCCAGAGCTGTTCCATTATCGTCACCTCCGCTCGAGCGCGTTGGCCATGGACGGTTTAAAATGTCATCACTACTCCTCCTACTCCTCCAGTTCACCCCTCATCCGACCTTGGCATCCACAACTCTCCAACATCCACATCATTCACCATGGTCGCCTGCTCTACTATCCACCGCGCGAGCCTCATCAACTCATCTATCCACTCGCCTGCTCTCATGCAGATGCTTGACATCTCCGTCACGCGTGCTCTCATTGGTGAGTTTCCTACTCATCCAGATTCCATCTCGTATCATATCTGACCGACCTCATCTACAGAGCACGTAGTTGACAACGTCGTTGAGACCGTTGACTTTGCGATGGGACGCGCATCCACATCCACGCGCGGTCGCTCCCTCTCCCGAGACTCGTACCACGCCGCATTCACCGTCTTTGCGGCAGACGTCATCCAAAAAGCGGAGGTCACGGTCCCCGTACTCCTCACCACCCTCGTCTACATCGCGCGCGCGAGCCCGCATCTGCAAATCTCGCTCGAGAAGTGGGCATGCGAGCGCGTCTTACTCGGCGCGCTGATCGCCGCGAACAAGTACCTGAATGACCGGGCACTGAAGAACGTGCACTGGGCGATCTGCTCGGGCGTGTTCGGGAAGCGGGACATCGGTCGGATCGAGCGGGAGTTCCTGGACGTGCTCGACTTCGAGCTCGGTGTGAGCGAGGCGGACCTCCTCGCACACCACGAGAACATCATGATGTTCTCCCAGCGCACTCGCCCGACGCGCACGCGCACGCGCGCACGCACACCACTTCCCGTCCGCCGCGCGTGCTCTGCATTCTCTAGCGACTCTAGCGACTCGAGTGACTCGAGCGACCTCGATTCAGATTCGGACGACTCATTCGCGTCTTCTCCTTCCCCATGCACCCCACCTCATCCACCATATTCGCCCACACCTGCCAAGCCGTCGCTCCCCCACATTGCCGATGCACACGTCGATGCCGTGCAGTCACACCAGATGTCCGCAGCGCTCGAGCTGCTGATGACATTTCCCATGCCTGTCTCTCACCCACGCAAGTCCACACATCACCACCCCCGCTTCACAGCCGCCACTGCGGTGCTGGCTTGATTTATCTATAGGTGGAACGGAGATCTCGGTCAATCAAAAGTTTTCGCACTGCTGCATATCATTATTCGTTTGCTGCATTCTCCGCACTGTACTACATGACATATGATACCCACATCTACTTACTATACTAGAATGTACGACCACAATTTACAGTCCCTGAGACAAAGTAATATCGCGTGATTTGAGATCTTTCGACAACTAAAACCAAGTGCGAAGTTGGAAGGCGATTATACCAGCTCCACGATATCGTAATTCGTCTCAAATCCGATACCCACAAGTACTTATACAATTTTTGGTCGAAGTATGGATAGAAGTCAGACTTCGGTGTTTGGGACGGAAGGATGACACACCACGCGTCGCGACGCGTCAGTCACGTGCCGGTGACGAGTTGCCACCAAGTTGTCACCAGTTGTCGTTCATCGTGATGAGTCGTCACTCCTTTGTGTCGGATCGGCTATGCCATGTTGTCCGGTGCTCAGGGCAAATTATCCGAAACGTTGGACGACTACTACTTGTTGTTGTACCGCCTCTTACTGGTTGCGCCTGTTGGCATGCTGCTTAAGTTGGTGTTGATGTCTCGCGATGCTGAACCTAATTCTTTTCAGAGCAAGGCATGATGCGGACAACTACTTATTATGCGTTACGTTCTTCGGACAACCAGTCATTCAAAACCTTGGTATTCTTAACGACGCTCCCCCAAATTCCGGTAACATAAGAGTGATGTGCGCCCACAGCAGATCACTGGTTACCGAGACTCTCATCTCTGCCAGCAACTTGCTGTTCTGCGTTCTTGGTTTGGAAAGGTGCTGTTCTGTGATTGTCATATCTACTAGACTGAAGGTCAAGGGCATCGCTTTTGTGGCGGTGCCACTCTCGTATGGACGACCCCGTATGACGCTCCTCTTGTGGGCTGTTACGGAACCCCCGTACGCATCCTTGGCCTCGAGGCATTCAGCATTACTTCCCTTGGAATGTTCTGACGTCAGCCGTCACCTCAGTATGTCAATTTACACATGCCGGTATTCGTCACCCTCAGTGCCTCTACGGCACATCGCGAAGCTGCCCTTTTTCGCTCAGCGCCCAGACTGAAAAGACGGAGGTGAACCGGTACATTTTACTGTGATCCCTATACAACCACATTGTGGCCACGTTCTGTCTTGCACACAACCTTGTTGCGAGCCTGTCCTACTCAGACTTCATAATGCCGAAGCAATCCAAGAATGACAACGATACTGCGCTCAGACAGAGTGTCCCCAAGCGAAAGCGCTGCAGGCACAGGGCTCTCAGAGGGATTCCGAACGCACGTAACCTTTTTTTCCTCTTCGATATGTTGATAAAGTGTCATTCTGCAGGACTGTTTCCCCGGGTGGGGCACCCGTTGGACTACGCCCTCCTGCATATCACAGTTGTCTGACAGCCCGACCTCCTTCCTCGACTGGGATCTGCCATCAAGTGACGCAAAATCCTTTCCTACCCCCTCGACGCCTGGCCAACACGACCAATCGTACAGGAGACGGACCGTCACCAACGACGACCAAGAAACGCCACATCATTATACCCCCTTCAACTCAGACCATTGTATTTCTGGCATCCGATATTCCGCGTCTCCGGAATACCCTGGGGTTGTTACTGCCCGGAGATCTACTACGGAGATAGACAACCGCATCGTTTCATATGATGGGACTCGACCCCAAGGTGACGTCTCGAGCCTTTCCTCTGTCTCTCGAGACACCTGCGCTGGCATGAAAACGTTAAATGCAGTCGGACGTACGCGGAGACGAGCACAGCATGGTCCGTACTATGTCAGGCTCCGAGCATCGAGTCCTCCCTCAGGGACGCAGGATCATTCCACGTTCTGCATATCCGGTCCCTCGTCTCGTGTGTATGCTGTGCACAGTCGCAGCACGGAGGCTGCGTCACAAGCGCCTGAAGACTGGACTGGGTCCCAAACGCCTGAAGACTGGTATACATCGATTACGAGAGCGGACCATGCTCAACTGACAGCCAGAACAACTGCAGAAGAGCCATCTTCGCTGCACGACTTCCAAGCTGCGTTATCGGACCCCAAAGTCCTGGAGTATTATCCTTTCAACTCCGATCTAGGTAACGTACGCTATATACCTGTCTCGTTCGACACTGATACAACATTCACCAGTCGAGTGCTCTGAAAATGCTCCGCTAAATACTCTGCCAAAGGTAATGTCGTCTGCCGAAGAGATCCTACTCCTCACAGAAGTATGGCGGAGCTTCCAGGCTTTGGACGCCACATTCACGGCTGCGCAAGCGGTGTTTGATTCAGCTTGTGACATTGCGACAACTCCCGAAATTGCATCGAGATCTATTGGTCTCAATGGATGAAGCTGTCCCGATATCAGTTCTCCTTTCCACCTCTCCGCCTGTGTGCCCCTTGTCGAAATCCCCCGTGGGTGTTATTGTCCATGGTTTGTATAGGGTTCATCCGCTTCCGCCTTACCCTATCCAGTCGAATTGAAGGAACCACGGACATCGACATCTCGATTGCCATGCAGCATGGCGACGGGGTGTTTTCATTGATCGGTGTTTGATCGACGATCATCGCTTGCTCTCCTGTACTCCTTGATATTTCGTACCGCATCCCTACGCATTCAAATTTTAGAGTATTTAACGTATGTATTCAGCATCTAGAACCAACGGCAATGTTCTTGCACTGTCTTGAATCTAAAGACTATTGATGGACCGTAAAACAACATATTACAGGCTCTATAACTGAGCAATGGAGGCATGATGCTGCCCACATTCAATGTGTAACTCCACGCAATGGATTGGTGACAGAACAATACTTCCTGAGTTTAAGAAAGTCGGACAAAAAAGGAACACACGAGCGACCTGGCTGCCTGGACCGGCCAGAACCCATGCGTCGTCTTCGCGCGCACCGTCACGACACGCCCACGGAGGGCGACGAGCAACAGATATTGAGATGCGGGTGTGAGAGATACTACGGAATCTGTGTCAGAGACCTGCCCTACCACATTACGACTTCTCACATGCAGAGTCAACGTACATCACAGGCCTCCCAGTGGCAGGAAATCTGACCGCACTTGAACTCGGGACCTGCAAGGACCCACTGGAGGGCGTGGCGCCGACATACTCCGAGATTCTGTAAAGCTTTCCCACGTTCAACTTTAGGCTAAGTTGTTTCTTTCTCCACGAATGCTGGCAACACTTGCAATGAGCGGTCAGGACTGCGGACGACGTGCGGCGGAGGACATTGCAAAAGTAGCGAAGGCAGCTTTTGAGACGTCGCAGCTCATTCCATCTTCGGAGAGAGTAAAAGTACTCTATGAGCTCCGGCAAGAGCTCGAGGCGGCGAAGGACAAGATACTCGCTGCCAACAAGACTGATCTGGAGGTGCGTACACATTCATATATCGCGCGGCATCCAGTTCTTATTCGTCATGTTTCCTTGCGCTCTTTGCGCACTGTCGAAATGCAACCGAAGGCAGCTCAAGCGGAGGTCGATGCAGGACGAATGTCTGACTCTCTACTCAAACGTCTGGATCTTGGGAAGGGAGACAAGTGGGACTCCATGCTGCAGGGCGTAGTTGATGTCGCAGAATTACCGGACCCAACAGGCATCGTGTCGTATGCATCGGAGCTCGATGATAACCTCGAACTCTACCGCGTCTCGTGCCCGATTGGTGTATTGCTAGTCATCTTTGAGGCACGGCCAGAAGTCGTGGTGAATATTGCTGCGTTAGCAATAAAATCAGGTGGGCATCTATTAGTCTGCGTTGGACGTGACGCTCAGGCCTGAAATCGTAGGCAACGCGGCCATACTAAAAGGTGGCAAGGAGTCGAATGAAACAACACAACTACTATCCGAAGCTATTCAAACCGCTCTATCGAGAACTGCTATCCCAAGCACATACATTCAGGCTATCCAAACACGAGCTGAGGTCTCTGCATTACTCAAGTTGGACCAATACATCGACCTTGTAATCCCTCGCGGCAGCAACAGCCTCGTTCGAAATATTCAGAACAGTACAAGAATACCAGTCATGGGCCACGCCGATGGGTTATGTTCTGTTTATTTGGACCAGTCCGCTGATCTTGAAAAAGCCGTACGGGTCGTCCTGGATTCAAAGGCATCCATTTCGTCCACTGCCTGCAGACATAGAAATCGGTGCTGAACTTGTGCTAAACAGACTGACTACCCCGCAGCATGCAACGCTGCTGAGACTTTGATCGTCCATGAAAGTGTTCTCTCCACCGTTTGGCCTGCTGTCGCCAACGCCCTCCTTGCCGCCGACGTCCAGCTGCTCTGCGACCCCCCGAGTCTTTCGGTACTGAACTCTCCGACTCCAGCTCCACCGAATTTTGCATCAAATATTCATCCTTCCACGCCATCCTCATACACTACCGAGCACCTGAATCTGACACTCTCCGTCGTCACCTTACCGTCGCTCGTAGCTGCCATCAGCTTCATCAACGCGCACTCATCACACCATACGGACTGTATCGTGACAGAAGACGAGGTTTCCGCGTCGACATTCTGCCGCGGCGTCGATTCGGCGGGCACGTTCGTGAATGCGAGCACCCGCTTTGCTGACGGATTCCGCTATGGCTTTGGCACGGAGGTCGGGATCAGCACAGGGCGCATCCACGCGCGCGGGCCTGTTGGGCTCGAAGGGCTCGTTACCTACAAGTACGTGCTCAAGAGCAAAGGAGAGAAGGGACACGTAGTAGGTGAATTCGGCTCGGGCGAGGGAAAGAAAAAATATAAGCATAGGAAGATTGACGCTACTTCGGCGCCATTCTAGCGGATATGTAATTAGTTGTGTAGCACTGATGTATCGATTAGACTGCAGCAGCAGGAAAACACGCGGAAGGCGAAGGGATGGTACAGTATAATGATACAGATCGTAACGGCTACTCAGGTGTAATGACGTCTTTCAAGAGATATCTCACGAATTTGCACCATCTACTTTCGCTTTCTTCTCGGTAGATGACCCTGCCTCTTCTTCGGCCTTACGCTTGACGGCCTCATTGGCCTCTGACGCCTTTTTCTTTTTCTTGACTATCCCTGTTAAATCGTTTACCACTGTCGGTGAGAATGTCGTTGCCTCGACAGACGCTCCAGGGTTCAGCTCGCGGTCCAGTGCCTTCGCAGCCATAGCGGGTGCAGACTCGACGGGCTCCTGGGGCATCTTGAGCTCTTCCACCTATCATAATGCAACATTTGTTAAGACGTCAGCAACACCTCGGGGGTAATAGACACACCTTGAGCGCCAGATCCTCTTTCAGGCCATTGAGTTCCTTCACCTCGCTCTCCATCTGGCTCCTACCCATGATCTGGATCGCATCATCCGCCAAGACACTAGGGCCGGTCGCCTTGCTCTTGCCCTTTACATCCGGCTTTTCTTCTGTTGCGGTGACGAGGCCCTGCCCACTGAGGATATCCCTCAGCTCTGCCAGGCGCGCCTCCACGCTGCCGAGAGCTTTCTCCGCGTGCTCGATCGCGTCATTCAACTGGCCAGAGGTAAGGTCGAGGACAATACTGAGTTTGTAGTGTGCTTCCGCGATCTGTCGCGAGGAGAAGGGAAGTAGCGTGTTCTTCAGCTCCAGACCCTGGCGGTAATCCGTTATGGCCTGGTCGAATTTCTCTGTATGCTCAAGTCAACGAAGTGTTGCAGATGAGACAGATGTGAACGTGCCTGTCTCAAGAGAAACATCACCGAGTGCGATATACGTATCGGCGAGTCTGAGCTTGATACGATCGTCTTCATCCTGCTGCTCCTCGTAGATCGCGCGCGCAAGGTCCAGCACCTCCCAAGCAGCATTGAAGTCATCCTCCGGCTCTCCCTCATCGTCATCGTCGTCTTCTTCCTCCTCCTTGTCCATCTCATCCACAGCCTTCTCCGCTTCAGCAAACAGGTCCACCGCCATATCCTCCGTGTCATCTGCATCGCCCGAGAACGAGAGGAACGCGCCGGTTCCACTTGTCCCAGAAGCTTAACACGGCAAAGCGTTGAGATGAGCTTGCGAGAGTATAAAAACACGTCCCACATACTTTTCGCGTCGCCCACGGCGGCTTGCACGGTGTCTTCCGTCTGTTCCTTCCCCAACACAGAGCTCTGCGCAATAGCATTCTCTAACAGTGCCTTTCCATAAGAGAAGTAGAGGTCAGCAGTTTCCGGGGCCTTCTCGCCATGCTTGGCAGTCCTGCGAAATGCAGTGAGCCACCTGACGCGTCGCGTGCGTATGGCGTCCAAGACGTGTCACTCACATGAGCTCGAGAGCAGTGGCATAATGGTCGACGGCCTGCTCATACTTTTGGAGAGCGAACGCGCGTTTGGCGTGTTCAAGAGCCTCCTCGATGGTCGGTTTCGGAGCAGTGGCTGATATCTCGGGTTGCCTACAGGAGAGACATGGCATGGTGCAACAGGCAAATACGACCGTAGAGAGGTAAGTATTCGTAAATGTCATAAATCTTGGAGAACGTACAGAGACATGATGGGCGTTGAGGAGAGGGAAGTGAAGGTCCGCAAGACTTCAGTCCGACCGACAGTCGCGTCCGCAGCCACGTGCAGTTCGGGCGTTTACGTCCACTAGGCGCGGCTTCGCCGTTGGCGCTGGCACCTCGGTCTTTCCACCACACCTAATCCTATATTACAGCTGCTGCGAGTTGATATTTCTAAATTTTAGTTGCTTGGCTTTACACTTTGAAATCTGCGCTCGAAAATCCATCTCGCGTAGTCGAAATTGATCAGCCCAGGCGAATTTCTATAGCACTGGGGAGATAGAGGACCGGTTCAACAGGAAGCAAAGTTGGTGCATGTATGCGTTCATACCTTGCATTCATTTTGATGTTGAACGGTGGGAAATACTACAGATGATGGCTCAATGCTTGATTTCGATGCTGCTCATTTTTGCGGTCGAAAATAAGTGTTGCCGTTAGACGTCCGAATCTCAGACACGGATATCCTGAGGCACGAAGGTTGAAGCAGAGTGTCTACTCTGCCTGGGGAGACTACCTAACGTGTCAGAATTGGTGGTGCATCACTGCTGTACTTTGATCACCAATCTGCGGTAGTCAAAAGTACCCATATTAAGCCGTCATCTGGTACGTTTGTGGCCGTATGTCTGATACAAGTGCCGGTCAGTGTAATGAACTGCTTTGATATGGGTAGGCAAACACGGTATATCTTGTTTGTCTGCTCATAGCAAACTAGCTGCATTTCTGAAATAGTCTGCCTTGAATTATGCCTTGAGTTCTTCCGGTCCTTCCGTCTTCACACTTACTTCTCTAAAAGATGAAGCAGGAACATGATACTAGCATGATTGGCAATGTCGGTGGTATACTGGTGGGCTGCAACCACACCGGCATGATGAATGGCTCGCAATGTACTTCTGAACCGTCAAGACAAGTGCGATGCACGTGATATTGGAGTCGGCGATTACATGGACGATCCGTCGATGATATCGACGACACCGTCACGGTTCCTCCAAGTTGTCGCGGCCCACCATCATCTCACATCGTAGCTGTCGTCTCGCGTTCACTATGCTGATGTCTTTTTCCGTTCCTTTCCTAGATACTTCCCTTACCTATACTCACTGCGTGTCGACGGATGCCACCTTCATATCGCTTTAGGATCGCAAATTTGCCGTAGTTAAGAACGATGGGGACTCTCAGGTCTGCGCCCTGATATCTCTTACGATTGCGACGCTAATTTACAAGCTGCCTTCTAGAACAGATTAGCATAAAAGTGATACCTCATCGCCACGATGGCGCATGGTATGTGCTATACACGCAATAGTAACGTGCATTGAATCCTCCTTTATTGAAGCTGACTGGGGCATTATTGTTTGACCATAAGAAGCCAGTCAGTGCCGTGAGGTGGTACGCTATGGGTGGATAAACAATGTCCACAATGTTTGTCTGCTCATAGCAAACCAGCTGATATGCCTTGCAATTTGACCAAATATTGACCTCATCCAAATGTTCTTTCCATTTTCAGGAAAGTTGTTATGCTAAATGGCCAAGCAGGGACATGATTTCAGTGCTATCGGTAATGTTAAAAGACCCCTCCTTCATCGGTAAGCACCGTAGACGTTACACGACAGTTACGAAGATCTCTTAGACAACTGCAGCGACCAAAACACGGAGAAACTCAAGTTCGTCTGGGAGTCCAGCAGCACATGTTTTGGTGTCCGATAGTTGACTTCAAGATACTTACACCCTTGGAAACCTACCATGCCTACTACAGGCACTCCCCACAAACCTCAGGTCGTCTGAAGCCAGGGCTGTCAATATGACCATGTCAACTCAAGGTAGGCTCCCTTGCTCACCTTGTTTCATGGAAGAGCTTGACAATGACACCCACACGTTATCTCAGCTTGCTTCTCGTCGCCGCTCAAAGGCAGGGGAGTGTCTGATCACAGTCATCACCGACCTCAGCCTTTTCCCATGAATGTATGCTACCTTTCTGGTGCATCCTGTTGTTTTCATGTGTGAGAAACAGTACATACCGTAGTGGCACATCCACCACCTCCGGGTTCTCTGACAGTACCCAACCACCGTGTATCTAGACCATGACAGTAGTTCAGGCTCATACCGCGCAATGCACCAGATCCGCCGTCTGTTCCGTGTGCGTCCAGCGAACCTTTAAACACAACCCGTCACTTGCGGACGGGGCGAGCGCACGTCCGATCAAAGGCGTGGAGATTTGTCTTAGCCTTGAGGTGTCTTCGGTACCTGCGTTGACTTCACATGCTCTCTCGCATTAATCAAACTACTGCACAATTCGTTGTGTGGACAGCAGACTAGAGCTACTACTTGCACAACCTCCTGGGGTTGGGATAGGCCTGCACAACCACAATTACAAACTCGGTACAAAAGTGAAGGAGACATAGATGGACGAGTACTCGCATAATTGTGATGGAAGTGCAAGTTGACACGGGAGTAGACCTTGTCCGGCAGGATGTCCTTGATGTCATTGCAGAATATGTGTGTGTGATGGTCAGGACGGTGAAAAGCAGCGAGTAGAAGTTGAGATGAATATGTCAAAACTAGTCCAAGATATACAGAATGGTCATGAAGTACCAATGCGTTGAGCACATTGTATTTTAGGGAGAAAAGAATGGGTACAGCAAGATAGGTTCAGTGACAAAGCGAAATGACCAGACCTTATCAGTCGGAATGCAACTCCGGCAGGTGGGACTTCACTATGGGTGGATAAAGAATGTCGGAGTAGTCAGAAGAAGCTGAATTAGCATCATTGTGGCTGGTAGGCTCAAGGAGAGCCACTAGGCACATGTCGAGGGGTGCAAGCTTCGGATACTCTAGAGATTAAACAACATCAGTCGGATTATACAAGCACGACATGTTGTTGAGACCGTACCATACTGAATGTCGCAGGATACGTCGGGCAGCTCTATCGGCTTTAAGCGTGCTGAATGTGACGAAGAAGCTATCAGGACAAATCTAACAATCAATGAAGATTTCCTACGTAGGCTAGGACAGCCTCTAGGAATAGTCGACGTGTCCGTCTCTTCCTCAGCAAGGAAAACTAGGGTCTCTGTGCAACCCACAGAAATATATTAGTACAAACTGCTCACGGTGGAACGTTGAAATAACTAACCTTCATCGTCAAGACCTGCATTGTCTGAGACCTCATCAGATGTGTCGACATCCGTGTACTGAGGCATTGCACCCATCACGTTGGCCTCATGAGAAGTCGGGTGTGTAACGAAGAGCGGACTGAATCGAGAAAACATAGGCGACGGATCAACGGGCCACGAATTCATGCGCTCTGAGGTTGAAACTGGAGACAATTGAGCACATCAGTGGTCCGAAGGTCCAAAAAAGGTTAAAAAAACTGACTGGGGAGGGACATGTTGAATAAGCCAAGTGAGATATTGCGAGAGAGACGTCAAAGCGCAAAGGTTGGTGGTTGAGAGCAAGGCGCAGTGTGACTATTCTTCGTTTTTAAACATCTGGTTCAAACTCCGGATACGCCGTTCACACGAGCACACAGTCAGAAGATCAACCGTGCGCGAATCAACTTGAAGTTGCATGGCACTGCATCAAACATGCGTTCGCCCCGCGGAGGACACTGCCCTGCGAGCGTAAGATGCCCCGTGTATAGGTCTCTATTTAATGTGCTCAAAACCTACGGGACACCTCTCAGCAATTTTGAACAGGCAGCGACGAGTGAGCCCACCTCAATTCCCCTGCATCGGCTTCAACCGAGAATGGCTCCGTCCTTGTGCCAAACATGGACTAAGTGTGATGGGCTATTCGCAGTCGTGGAAAGAAGAAAAAGAAACCAGAGGAATGGAATCAGCTAGAAGACCTCGTAATGCAAAATGCAGCGTGCATAAAATGGAGAATAAATCACATGCAAAACAGACAGCCTTCGAAAATCCGAGAGGGCCCACCTCGACATCATCAGGCACATCGGTGCTATACTAGCAATAGAGTAAAGGAGCGAACGACCAGATTGCCGAAAGTCCTAGTAATGTCGAGGGGAAGAAGGCAGGTTCGAACAGACTGAGTGCTCTCACAAGGCAGCATTCAAGACTTGTTCAAGACCGCCGTGACACATAGAAGACCAGATACACAACACTGCATTTGTGTAAAAAATAGCCTGCCCTTCAATCGGAGCGTCGTCAGGTAGTCCAAGGGAGTACACTGTCTGCAGATTGAAAGGACGGTCCGCTCGGGGTGGAGCCTAAGTACGGTCCTTCGATCATGTTGATCGATCTCTGTCTTTGCCAGTACTATTCATTGAAACTCAGGCTCTGCATCAATGTCGAAGGCAGTACTACCGTGACGACCCGGCCCGGTAGCGTACACGACTGGCATGTGTCGTCAGTGATCCCAACCACCCTGTGGTTCAGACTTGCACCTGCGTCCAAGTCCAATCCTACGCTCTTACCGACTGGCGACAGTCATTTGCGGTGGGTCGTCCTTGCCTTTCAATTGATCCTCGCTGGGCATGATCATCTCTGACATAGAAGCACTGAGCTTACGTGGTCGACCTCGACAGGCACAGAAGAAGAGATACTCTAGCAGGTGTAGTCGAACTGTTATGCTTTGTTCGCCGTCGCCATCGCCGTCTCAGGGTGTCCACGTCCGAAATGCCTTGATGGGTCCATTAGACCCTCACCTTTGCCTACCACTGAAAGAAGGATGGCAGTTGTTAAAATATATAGTGTCAGCCCGTATTTTCCGATCGTAGAGGTGAAGAGCTTATACATCCGCTCGGATCCTCATCGTCGTCCATTGTATCCGGCAGCCAGACTCTGTAGGGAATGCGTCCCGGTGAGCAATGCACTTGCGTGTCTCGTTTTCCAGGTGCCTGAAGAGCTAGAGATACAGCACAGACTCAGTTCTTGGTTTTCATCCTGTCAGTGCATTGGCATTGGGAGTACAGCACCCTCGGCCCAGACAATCCTTCACACCGTTTCTCTGCCTTCCGCAGTTCGCAGTAAGAGTCACTGCCGATCGACATGCTCGTGGGCGATCGTAATGGCGAGCGGGCGATGTCTACCAGTTACAGCTTCAATGAGCCTGATATACTCCACGACTTGGCCAAGTGCATCGCCTTGACAATCGCTGTCTCTCGTTGTACTGACTTAGCGTTGACCACAACAACTTGGTTAACCCTTACGCGCAGGTCAGTACGCGTAGCGTGTTCACTATATTCTCCTCTTGAGATGGTGGCATTTGTGGGGGCCAGTCTCAAGACTGTACTACATTCGTTCCCATGTTCCTCTCTCCTTGTCTCAGTACGTTTCCTGCCATAAGACGGTCGCTTTAATCTGACGTTGTTTTATTCCCATCGGCGTGACTCTCTCAGCACCACAGGCGGCAACCGGAAAACTGCTGCATACTTCTCAAGCTGTTTTTACAACTAGTTTACCATTCCTGCGTACCTGAAGGGGTGGTAGATTCTGACATCGCCAGCCATGGAAACACATACGACGGCCTCAACAATACGTCTGGGCGTAGGCAGTTGGTGAATGGTCATCATCACCGGCGCCCCCTGGCCCCTGTAGAAACGTCTCATTCGTAATCTCTTCACATTCATGGGCAACTTAAACCAGTTCCTTAAACTGGATTGTCGCCAGTGAAGAATTTATTCTTGGCTACCTGGACATGCTCTGTCTTCTGCCAGATCGACTACCAGATTTAGAGCTTCTTGCTTCTGATTGGTCTGTCAATTGACGACGTACACTTACGATGGATACAACCTCCGTGAAGAGTCTACTTATGCCTTGGATTTTGTTCACACTGGGCGTCTGACGCAAAATAGAACCTGTTATCCGGTCTCTGGTAGACTTGGACGCGGTCGAGGACGTTTGAATACTGCGACACAGTGGGCACGGTGCTGACCGATGCGGACGACTACGTCCTCTTAGGCGAATAGCTGGGAAGTCGTAAAAAGCCAGTGAATCCTCTGGAGTTCGTGCTGACAACTGTGTTGTTGGACTCTGCTCGAGTGATACCCCATCTGTAGGACAATTCTCTTCTGTGGTTCCTATGAATAATAATACATCTGGTCTTGATAGTCTAGTAACTGCTGCCGTGTCGGGCGACCTCTCTGTCTGAGCCTGTCCTTTTCTACCTGCATATTTCCGAAGGACCGGAAACTTGTCCATTTACTGTTGAACTCTGTCACTGCATACCACAGTGCATGTAATTTTGTCCGGGTGAGTCTCCTTGGATATTCCGTGATTGAATGTCGCTATTCCGTGGATGGTTTTATTCCTCATTTCGTGCGCCTTTGCCATGAGACTTATAGCGCATGTCATATCTGCCGTTCCAACCAGCCGATCATATTTAGTCCATGTATGGCACAAGGACTCGAGCCGTGTTCGGTTGACGCCGAATGTCCAGATGAGTGGTCGGCGTGTTCGGCGTGTCGCTGGCACTGCTGGCCCACGAATACTGACTGTACGGGCATGTTGGACAGACTCGTGCGAAGAGAACATGTTATGCTCGCTGCGTATTGTTCTCGGCGCGGGGCATTGCATATTTGAATTGTGCTGTGGCTTGATTCGCCTTTCAAGCCTTCTGGCAGTTGGCTCGTGAGAACGGCGTGTTCGGAGCCTGATTCGGAGAAGAATCTGGTATAATAAAGTTCGAACATGGGGATTCTCGCACTGCATCTTGCTCTCAACCACCTTCCTGTACACTTTCCTGCCCGTCTCTACGTTTCAGATTCCTTATTCAACATGTCTTCGTGGGGTGGTGAATTGTTCATCACTTGCTGAGTAGTATTCCGACCACTAATCCACCCAATCTCGTCCAGATACAGCATTTGGGACATATACCCGTCCCGTCTCGTTACTGCTTGGCATTGAAGTCTCTCCTCTGGTTTCTCGGCTTACATCATCGATGGAAGCCCTGGCGGTCAACGAAATAGCCGTGGCAATGGTCGAAGCCCCTTCGATCGCGATGTCCGATGGCTTCGGTGATGGGTCGACTTCTGGAGACTTGCATGATCGAGGTAAGTGACCCGAATGTTGTGTCGTCAACGGTGATGGTCCAGCTTGCTCACTAGATTTACAGACTTCACTCCGATCGACGCGGGCGGCGAGACGGTGCTGGCGGCCCCCGACGTCGACGATGATTTTGTGTGGCCAACCTCACGTAGGAAATGCTCGTCCATCGTTAGTATTGTTCTGATAGTCATTCCATCATATAGCACGCCCAGAGCTGGTGTCGTTACCGGACGTATCGTCCGATGTTCAGCAGGGTATGCACTAATCACTTCTAGGTTTCTTCTATTCAATTGTTGATATTTCATCCATAGGTGTCGGGTGCAACGAGCTCCCACCCATTGATATCCGTCTGGTAGGTTTTGCCGAGCCTACCAAGGATCTCAATGCTGTTCCGGAGGCATCTGGTAGCTTGCAAGATACATGCACACCCATAGCAGAATGCTTCTCATCTATATTCCTTTCTGATTGGTGACATGTTAGGTGTTTCATTTTTCTGGTGCATATCTTCGTGATGTCTGGCATATTGCTCTGTAAAATACATTCAAATTGTACCATTTAGAGTATACACTTTGCTCAAAATTGTCAAGAGGTACAAAGAGTATTTGGGATCTAACTGCACAGCAATCAAACTCATCTAGTTTGCTATGAGCATGTAGGTATTTGCAAAATACATACACACCCATAACAAACTAGCTTACGGAAATGGATGGACAATGCAAAGCAGTAGATGTACAACGATAGCACTGATTGTAACAGTTGGAAGAGTAGAGATGGTACACACTGCACGTCCGCACCTCGCATGTGGATCGTCGATCATCCATCCCGGAGTGCGCGTCATCTACCTGGGGGAGACACAGTAGTAGTCGTTCTGCTGGGTAAGAGATAGCATGTACATACATCTCAGCCGCAATTCTCTCATGTCCACATCCACGGTCGCAGAGCGATGCATTTCCATCGGCTGGAAGATATCGCCATGCACGAAACGATTCGCAGCCAGCCGATCCACGCAGGCTAGTACGGTCAACCAATCCAGAGACTCAGAAGGGTGAAAGAAAGGAGATCGTAGTCATCATCGTGAAGTGATCTCCTGTGCGAGACGTTGGTCGACGAGGATGAAGAGTGCATCGTGGAGGAAGTTGCGAGCCTTCGGAGCCGGGCTTCCGTCTCGGACGCGACAGAAACCTTATGAAATTCAGATTGATATTTTCACTGCGTTGCATACGCTATATGCATGCACGCATGCGTATCGTCTACTCAGTGGTCCCAATCTTCTTGTTAGCACCTTGTTGTTCAAGCCTGCATTTGCGTCCACGTTGGTTGAGCGGCGGCAAAGTCCCAACTTGTGATCCAGTCAATCTGAGGGCGTAGCGAGAACCCTGCAGCCCTGGCTAGTTTTCTGAAAGTGGTGTTCATCTCTCGCCGGGGTTACGTCGCACAACTGCATTTGGGAGATCGTGGAAGACATCAGACTCTCGTCGCTGGAGGTCACATTCCCTCCTTGAGCCTATCCATTCGTTTGACTGGCGTCGCTCCTCCCAGGCAGCCCCACCGGCGGGGTGTAGCAAACTTTCACGCTCATTGCTGATCCATGGGTAACATCTGCAGAAAATCTGTGTCAGGATTCACACATGAGGCGATCGTGTTCGCGGACGGACTAGAATTAATGAGCGTTTGCGCGTTTCATCCTATTGGCGACAGCCGTGCCTCAGACGATGGTCAGGACCACCGGATCGTGAATACTCTGTTGTTCTTGGTGACCTTGACACACCTGAATTGGTTTATACTGCTACAAATAGTATGTTCTGGGTCATGTCCGACTAATGTTACATACCGTACATCGGATTTTAGGAGTACATGTTATAGCCAACGTCTGTGTCAGATGAAGAGACTCTTCCTGTTCCTCTACACAAGTAAATCAACGTTCGATCAGAAGAACCGTCGTTATAAACACTTACGAACTTATCGCGACTCCTTTTCGGTTGTGCTCACCAGAACCAACCCTTCGACTTGGGCTCAGGCGTCTCGGAAGCCTCGCCATCCCTTTTCTTCCTCAACTCCTCCAGAATGCTCTTCACGCCGTCGACGTCGCCCACGGCCGCGCGCCCCGCATCCCAGTCGACAACAATAGGCCACTTGAGTGCATTCACGTTTTGTGCGGCAAGGCGAGCAACGCCTTCCGCGCTTGTCGGCTGTGTCTGCACGGTGGGATGGGCTGAAAGCAAGTTTGCGGGGGAGATACTTTCTGCTGAGCCCGTCGCGGTCGAATGGAGGTACGAGAGGATGGTGCGGAGCTGGTCGGCAGTAGGGGCGTTCTCAACTACCTCGAGGTTGAATGTAAGTGGGCGAGCGGAGGGCGCCGAGGGAGGATATAGCCCTGAAGCTGCTGCGCGCAGAAAGTTCAAAGCCGCCGTTGAAGGCGGCGAGGATGGGTTAAGTGACTTGGAGTCAAATACAATCAGTATAGGTTTACGAAGGTACCGGCGTTCGAAAAGTTCTCACAAAATAGAAATTTGAGGCTAGAGAGGCGCTTAGACTGAATATTGACTGTCCATCGAGTTTTTTTTAATAAGACAAGTGCGATGCTGATATTGGAGTTGGCGATTTGATAAGATTAGATGGACCGATCCGTCGATGATATCGATAACACCGTTCGGCCTGCTCCTTCAAGTAGTCGCGGCCCACCGTGACATCGTCACGGTCTCACATCGTAGCTGTCGTCTCGCGTTCACGATGCTGACGTCTTTTTCCGTTCCTTTCCTAGATACCTCCCTTACCTATACTTCCTGAAAGGTCACTGCGTGTCGACGGATGCCACCTTCATGGTCGCAAATTTGCCGTAGTTGAGAACGATGGGGGCTCTCAGGTCTGCACCCTGATATCTCTTACGATTGCGACACTAATTTACAGGCTGCCTTCTACAACAGATTAGCATAAAAGTGATGCCTCATCGCAACGATGGCGCATTGTATGTGCTATACACGCAATAGTAACGTGCATTGAGTCCTTCTTTATTGAAGCCGACTGGGGCATTATTGCTTGACCATAAGAAACCAGTCAGCGCCATGAGGTGGTACGCTATGGGTTGGTAAACAATGTCCACAATGTTTGTCTGCTCATAGCAAACCAGCTGATGTGCCTTGCAATTCAACCAAATCTTGACCTTATCCAAATGTTCTTTCCATTTTCAGCAAAGTTGTTATGCTAAATGGCCAAGCAGGGACATGATTTCAGCGCTATCGGTAATGCCTAAAAACCCCTCCTTCATCGGTAAGCACTGTAGACATTACACGACAGTTACAAAGATCTCTTAGACAATTGCAGTGACCAAAACACGGAGAAATTCAAGTTCGTCTGGGAGTCCAGCAGCACATGTTTTGGTGTCCGATAGTTGACTTCAAGATACTTACACCCTTGGAAACCTACCATGCCTACTACAGGCACTCCCCACAAACCTCAGGTCGTCTGAAGCCAGGGCTGTCAATATGACCACGTCAACTCAAGGTAGGCTCCCTTGCATACCTTGTTTCATGGAAGAGCTTGACAATGACACCCACACCCTATCTCATCACCGCTCAAAGGCAGGGGAGTGTCTGATCACAGTCATCACCGACCTCAGCCTTTTCCCATGAATGTATGCTACCTTTCTGGTGCATCCTGTTGTTTCCATGCGTGAGAAACAGTACATACCGTAGCGGCACATCCACCACCTCCGGGTTCTCTGACAGTACCCAACCACCGTGTATCTAGACCATGACAGTAGTTCAGGCTCATACCGCGCAATGCACCGGATCCGCTGTCTGTTCCATGTGCATCCAGCGAACCTTTAAACACAACCCGTCGCTTGCGGACGGGGTGAGCGCACATCCGATCATAGGCATGGAGATTTGTCTTGACAGCCTTGAGGTGTCTTGGGTGCCTGCACTGACTTCACATGCTCCCTCGCATTGACCAAACTACTGCACAATTCGTCGTGTGGATGGCAGACTAGAGCTACTACTTGCACAACCTCCTGGGGTTGGGATAGGCCTGCACAGCCACAATTACAAACGCAGAACAAAAGTGAAGGAGACATAGATGGATGAGCACTTGCACAAGTGTGATGAAAGTGCAAGTTGACGTGGCAGTAGACCTTGTCCGGCAGGATGTCATTGATGTTGTTGCATAATGTGTGGTCAGGACGGTGAAAGGCAGTGAGTAGAAGTTGAGATGGATATGTCAAAGCTAGTCCAAGATACACAGAACGGTCATGAAGTACCAATGCTCTGAGCACATTATATTTTAGGGAGAAAAGAATGGGAAGAGCAAGATAGGTTCAGTGGCAAAGCATGTACGAAATGACCAGACCTAATCAGTCGGAATGCAACTCCGGCAGGTGGGACTTCACTATGGGCTGGGAAACAATGTCGGAGTAGTCAGAAGAAGTTGATATAGCATCATTGTGGCTGGTAGGCTCAAGGAGAGCCACTAGGCACATGTCGAGGGGTGCAAGCTTCGGATACTCTAGAGATTAAACAACATCAGTCGGATCATACAAGCACGGCATGTTGTTGAGACCGTACCATACTGAATTTTGCAGGACACGTCGGGCAGCTCTATGTGACGAAGAAGCTATCAGGACAAATCTAACAATCAATGAAGATTTCCTACGTAGGCTAGGACAGCGGCTAGGAATAGTCGACGCGTCCGTCTCTTCCTCAGCAAGGAAAACTAGGGTCTCTGTGCAACCCACAGAAATATGGTCGGTTTCGGAGCAGTGGCTGATATCTCGGGTTGCCTACGGGAGAGACATGTCATGCCAAAGATACAACAGGCAAATACGAATGTAGAGAGGTAAATATTCGTAAATGTCATAAATCTTGGAGAACGTACGGAGACATGATGGGCGTTGAGGAGAAGGAAGTGAAGGTCCGCAAGATTTCAGTCCGACCGACAGTCGCGTCCGCAGCCACGTGCAGTTCGGGCGTCTACTTCCCCGCTGCCAGCACTGGCGCTGGCACCTCAGTCTTTCCACCACACCTAATCCTATCTTACAGCTACTGCGGCGTTGATATTTCTTAGTTGCTTGGCTTTGCACTTTGAAGGTTGCGCTCAAAAATCTATCTCGCGTAGTCATAACTTTATTCCTGATAACATCCACCATCGACCGAGTTCAGCCCGATCTCTTCCATCTCTGCAAGGTTCTGCGACAAGATAAGTAAACGATGAAACTATGGAGAGAATAACTCCGAGTCTTTCTTCATATCTGCTACGATTAGAAGCTGGTTAATGAGCATGCGACGACCGCGGTCGATTTTCGCTTGTTCCGTGCCGTAGCCTCACTAACTACGGTAGTCTTCTGCAGTCATACAAGCTCTTAGCCGTCCGCCTACTGCACGATGATGCCCTCCAGCTGACTCGACTCCAGACAACCTTACAGACTCCTGAGAGTTGGGAGCGACGCAGACTCCAAGGTATGCATTCGCATCCTCAGCCTCAGTCAGCCCCTGGCTGAAGCTTCGTACGAGAAACAGCTTCGTGATAGACCATTCATGTGAGACTCCGCGATAGCATCGCGGCCTCTTTCTATTGACTATCCAGCACACTACAAGTGACCATGACTGTGTGCTGACTACTATTCATAGTCCTAATCAATTATGTGTGCTGATTCGTTATGGGTGGAAAGGCGGCGAAGACACCGGCTGTCCACTCATCCGATTAATCGCAGGTTGTATCACAGCCCCAGTCATGGTGATGGTGTACCACTGTCGTCATTGAATACAGCGTAGAGCACGGGGTGCTCATCGTCGCTGCCATTGTCTATACGTTCACGATGCTGGTTGCCTTCCTAGTACGTACGCTATCTGTCTTGCCTTACTTAGACTTACCGGAATTTCACTGCTTGTAGGTGAACGCCATCCTTTATAGAGCTTTAACATAACAGATTTGCCGTAGTTCTGAGTGAAGATGACTCACAAGTACGCAAGTGATATCTCTTATGATTTGTGACACTAACGCAGGAGCCATTTTCTACTGCAGATTAATATGTATGGGTGATGCGTCGTCACAGTGACGGCGTATTGTATGTGCCGTACACGTTATGGTAACGTATCTTAAGCTGTGGTGGCTTTCCTCTTATATCAAAGCTAACCCGTGTGGTGACCACGAGGTGCTAATCAGTGCCGTGAGCTGGTTTGTTATGGGCTGATAAATGCTAGTCATAACATTTGTCCGCTCATAGCGAACTAGTTGATATCCCTTGCCATTCGATAAGACATTGAGCTCATCTAAATATCCCTTCTATGTCCATCATGTCTATACTAAAAGGTGAAGCAGGAGTGACTTCAACACCGTCGGAAATGCGTGAAAGGGTCTTCTTCGTTGGTACCAATTGTGAACATTACAAATTGGGTACGCAAGACTTCTTTTCTTAGACGACTGGGGCTACCGGACATTTGAGGACCATTGGGAGTCCGATGTCCAGTAGTACATGCTTTGCCATCAGGTCATGGACCTTGATATAGGTACGCCCTGGGAAACTCGTAGGCACCTCGGGTCATTTGAGAACAGGACTATCAATATGACCATGTCAACTCGACATAGGGCTCCATGCTCACCGTGCCCCATGCACTAGTGCCTACGTACCTTCGTATCATGCATCGAGAACATGACGTGCATTTTGGTTCAAGCTCACCCCTTCCATCGCGCCCAGTCTGCCGTCATCAATGTCCCTTCACGCACACTTAGTACACTGTTCGAAATGACCAGTCACTTGCGGATCGCGTGCGCGCACGTCCATCCAAAAGTGCGGAGATTTAGTCTTAAAGCTTAAAGTCTGGAGTGCCTGCAGTGACTTCAACGCCCCTCCCATATTGAATATGCCATCAAACTACAGCACAATTCATCTCAGGAGCGGCAGACGAGAGCCACTGCGCGCACAACCTCCCGAGCTTGAGATAGGCCTGCATGGCCACAATTACGAAGACAGGGAGAAGGAGAAGGAGGAGACGTAGATGGATGAGCACTCGCGCAAGTTGGAGGCGTCATTCAGTGGGATATCCTCAGTGTAATCAGACACATTGCAGAATGAGCAATGATCAGGGCAGTGAAGGGCAAAAGGTAGAACCAGGGATAGATATATCAAATCTAGTCAAAGATACACAAAACAGACATGGAGTACCAATGCTTTAGACACATTGTATTTTAGGGAGAATAGAATGGACACAACAAAATAGATTCGGTGGCAAGGCATGTACGACGAATACAGAAGGACCAGACTTGTTAACATCTCACCAGTCGGAGTGCAGCAGCTCCGGCAGGCAGAACTTCACTATGGGCTGATAAATGCGGTCGGAGCAGTCAGAGGGGGCTGATATAACATCATTGCAGCTGGTGGACTCAGGGAGAGCCACTAAGCAGATATTGAGGGGTGCGAGCTCCGGACACTCTGGAGATTAAACAACATCAGTCGGATCATACAAACACAGTGCATCGTCAAGATCATACCATACTGAGAATCATAGGATATTTCGGGAAGCTCTATCGGCCCTAAGCATGCTGTATGTGACGAAGAAGCTATCAGGACAAATCTACCAATCAATGAAGATTTCCTACGTAGGCTCGGACAGCGCCTAGGAATAGTCGACGCGTCCGTCTCTTCCTCAGCAAGGAAACCTAGGGTCTCTGTGCAACCCACAGAAATATATTAGTACAAACTGCTCACGGTGGAACGTTGAAATAACTAACCTTCATCGCCAAGACCTACATTGTCAGAGACCTCATCGGATGTGTCGACGTCCGTGTACTGAGGCACTACACCCATCGCGTTGGCCTCATGAGAAGTCGGGTGTGTAATGAACAGCAGACTGAATCGAGAGAACATGGGCGACGGATCAACGGGCCACGAATTCATGTGTTCTGAGGTTGAAACTGGAAGAAATTGAGCACATCAGTGGTCCGAAGGTTCAAAAAAGGTTAAAAAAACTGACTGGGGAGGGACATGTTGAATAAGCCAAGTGAGATATTGCGAGAGAGACGTCAAAGCGCAAAGGTTGGTGGTTGAGAATAAGGCGCAGTGTGACTATTCTTCGTCTTTAAACATCTGGTTCAAACTCCGAATAAGCCGTTCACACGAGCACACAGTCAGAAGATCAACCCTGCAAAACGCGAATCAACTTGAAGTTGCATGGCACTGTATCAAACATGCGTTTGCCCCGCGGAGGACACTGCCCTGCGAGCGTAAGATGCCCCGTGTATAGGTCTCTATTTAATGTGCTCGAAACCTACGGGACACCTCTCAGCAATTTTGAACAGGCAGCGACGAGTGAGCCCACCTCAATTTCCGTGCGTCGGCTTCATCCGAGAACGGCTCCGTCCTTGTTGCCGAACATGGACTAAGTGTGATGGGCCGGTCGCACTCGCAGAAAGAAGAACAAGGAACCAGAGGAATGGAATCAGCTAGAAGACCTCGTATCGCGAAATGCGGCAGTGCATAAAATGGAGAATAAATCACATGCAAAACAGACAGCCTTCGAAAATCCAAGAGGGCTCACCTCGACATTAATATCAGGCACATCGGTAGTATAGCAATAGAGTAAAGGAGCGAACGACCAGATTGCCGGAAGTCCTAGTAATGTCGAGGGGAAGGCAGGTTCGAACAGACTGGGTGCTCTCACAAGACAGCGTTCAAGACTTGTTCAAGACCGCCGTGACACATAGAAGACCAGATACACGACACTGCATTCGTGTAAAAAATAGCCTGCCCTTCAATCCGAGCATCGTCAGGTAGTCCAAAGGAGTACACTCTGCAGATTGAAAGGACGGCCTGCTCGGGGTGGAAGTCCTTGCAAGCCTTCAATGGTGACCATCAAGTTTTCGATAGTTTCCCAGACACGTTCAGAAGATATCTGGAAAACAATTTCCACCGCTGTTGAGTCAAAAATCAGACCGAGCAAAGTCCTAGTCCAAATTGTCGATCCTTCCTGAATTCTCTGTCGATGACCGTCAGGTGACAAACGCGTCGCGTCGCAGGAGATCCTGAGCAGATCCGAGTCGAGGCGATGCCTGTACGAGTAGATATGATTATTGGGTCTACTCAACCTGCTCATATGCAAGATCTCGCGTGCATCTCATCAGGAGGGAAAAATACAATTAACCTGGGTTGGGTATTTCTGTGTAAGCTGAACGAATGTGTATCCGACGTGAGGAGCGCCAGAGGCGGCAATGGGATCCGGCAGGCATAAAGCATGCGATACGCAAAGACATTCGCAGTCCATGCGTGTCACCAAATGGAGAAAAAAGGTAGAAGTACAATCAGACGGCAGAAGGGAGAGACAGTCAATCAAATCAGTGAAACACCATTCTGCTGAGGTTTCGACGCATCCTGCCCTGCGCCGATGCCCATCCCGAACTGGCTGGCACCAAACGGCGCTGGCGCACCCGTCGTATGGCTGCCCAGCCCGAAGGGGGAGCCGCCCAACGCAGATGTTGACGAAGAACTCAGGAATGAGGACGCGCCCGCGCTCCCTGAACCGAACGGCGCCCCAGTCATGGCCGGCGACATCGCAAACATGGAGGCCCTAAACGGGTTCGCAGCTCCCGCACCCGTCGTTTGGGGACGCAGGCCGACACCGAGCGATGACGTTCCTAACCCAGTTAGCGCACCGGTGGGCTGCGTGTTCAACCCCCCGAATCCCAATCCTGTAGGCTGCGAACCGAGGCCCGGAAACCCATTGTTCGCCGTAGGACTCGTCGTGCCGCCATTCGCCGTTGGATTGGGCGATTCGCTCGGTGTGGTAGGCGCGGACTGTGGTATAGGCGGCAATGATTCGAACAATGCCGCACCGAAGGAGGATGATGGCTTGAAAGGTTTTATACCTGCGAAGCCTGTCGTCTGCGGCTGCAGTGGCGAAGACGCAGACGAGATTGAGATTGACGGTGCCGACGATGCGGTAGCGCCTGTAGTATGGTTGGGCAGAGAAGAGAAAACAGAGTCAGAGAAGGTAGTGGATGTCGGCTGGGTGCTCAGTGGAGACGTTGGTGACTGGCCTCCCTTCGAATTGTTTGACATAAAGGCTGAAGCGACACTTGACATGGTCGAGCTGCTTGGCTGCCCGCTTGACGGTGGCCCGAACGCATCCGCACCGAAACCTGGCGAGCCTATCGACTGCTGCTGGCCGTTCTGCGTCCCGTTCGGCTGGCTGTTGCTTCTCACACCCATCGCCAACTCCATCAATGTGGGCGGCTTTGGTAGTGGTGGTGCTGCAACGACAGGTGTACCAAATGGATTCCTCGAGCCTGTTTGGTGGGTCTTTACGGCCTGCGCGACTGGTGGTCCCGACGAACTTGTCGAAGCAGGAAGCGCCGAGAGCGGGGCGGATGCAGGCCGCGCTGGGCCCGAAGGGACCGCACCAATTGAAGGCAGGTGTGCAGCTGGAGCTGCGAACGGTGAAGACGACGAGGTTGCCACAGATCCGAGGTTGAAAGACGGTGCACTCATCGAGCCCTGCTGGCCCATGCCATGTACTGATTGACCCTGATTTTGCGGGAACGGATTGGTCGACGACTGCTGGGGCGCACCCATCCCTATGCCAAACGGAGACATCCCTGTCGCCTGTGGGAACATCATGCTCTGCCGGAACGGATTAGCCCCGGTCATCTGGGGCTGTAGGAATGCAGTCTGCTGTGGTTGGAGGAACGACTGTTGCTGGGGACCTTGGAATCCGAATGGATTTGTTGATACCGGCTGCTGCTGGAATGCGGTCTGCTGGGGTATCATGAAACCGGTTGGTTGCATCTGCATCTGTGGTTGCACGAAAGGCGCTCCGGTCATTTGCATCTGTTGGTGTGCGAAAGGATTGTGGAGAGCGTGCTGCTGGAAGTGCACCGTCGATGGGCTGTAATAACTCAAGAGATCAGATAAACTCAGAAATTACATCACTCGGACGAAACCTGACCTATTCGTTTGTGGGTTGAACATCGATTGCTGCTCTCCCTCGATGGCAGTGAAGAAGTCCACCATAGCTTGGTTGTTAGGCGACTTAGCGGGAACAGGTTGCGATGATGTTGCCGCGTCAGAAGGCGGAGGAGGTTTCGGCGAAGGTTCTGAGAGCAGCGTGAATCAACATGATAACAGATATAGAAGTGTGTATTCACGTTTGTCTGGTGACTTCGTACTCGCCTTCACACCTGACCTCGCGTTCCTGTCCGCTGCCTCCTTGCTAGTCTTGTACTCGATCCTGTTCTGCTCGAAGTTCGGATCGTTCAAATACTCCTCCAACGCTCCCGCGAGAGACACCGGCGCCTACAACACGTCGATCAGCTCAGCGCTACTCGAAGGACACGGGAGTTACCCACGTGGCGAAGGTTCGGAATCGGCACGTTGAGCAGATTCTGCAGCTTCTTTGCTACTGCGAGATACTCCACTACGCGCTCCGTCTCCTTGCAGAAATGCCGATAGATCGCAAGCGCTTCCTCCGCGTCGATGTGCGACATCTCGAAATAGTGCTCTGCGCATGATGTTAATCCCCATCAGACGGTGCGAAGACAAGCGAGCGTACCCAACACGTTAATGACACCCTCATTACACGCCTGGAAGAGAATTAACAGGTCCTTCACCAGCATTCTGAGCGCAGTGATATTCAGCTCGTCCTCGAGGTCGTCCAGATAAAACTATAGTTCCCCGGTTAGAACTCAGAACTCAGCCATCAAATTCGACCGTAGCTCGTACCCGACATTCAACCAGTGCGTCGATCGTCTTCTGCACGATCTTGGTCTCGCGCAGTAGCCCCTTCTCCACTGTCATCACCCGCAGTTTCCTGCCCGCGATCGTCTTGCTCCTCTGCACCGAACTCGACGGAGCAGCAGAAGATCCCCCACTCTTCCACCGCCTGCGAGACGACGCGGCGGCGGCTTCTATCCTGTCTTCCTCGATCGCATTCGAGTTTCGCATGTCTCGGTTCGTCTCGGACTGCACACGGATCGCGTCGTGCTTCAGGTCACGGTAGGCCCGGATGCGCGCGTCCAGGTAGGACGCATAGTGTTGTAGGTTCTGCGGCGCATCGTAGCCTAAGTAGCCAGAGGGTCAGCCAACTTTTGGTTCAAGCGATCGAGAGCGCACCGCACCTTCCCAGTTCCCGGCCGACACATTCCGCAGGCGCAGCACGTCCGACGACGACAGGCACTTGAGTACGTTGTCCGTGGAGCCGTTGCGTATCATGGTGTGCAGCACAATCAGGGCTTTGAACACGACCTGCCGTGACGATGTGTGATGCGCCCTTCATATTCCGAGCACGGTCGGACTCACTATGACGTTGGGTTCCCGTAGCCGAGGCGATAATGCCTTGCAAACGTCGTGCACCGCTCCATCCTCCGACCACGTCGCCGCGATGATTGGGTCCAAGTACTGATGCGAGTGAGCTAACTCCACAGAGGCAACGGGAGCGTACGGACCTTGGCCTTCGGAGGGGCCGCCTTCGGCTTACACGCACCCTTGACGACCTTCTCAAAACTGGTCATCGTTCGACGTTTAAAGACCCTGAAGTCCTTAATCCTGAACGATTGGAGGTGAGAGCTGAGCGCTGACAGATGACGAGCTTTCCAAGAGGAATTTGGTCTCATTTAGGTAATTCAAGTACTCACGATGAGGAAATTGACAGAAACGTTCCAAGTTAACTATACGTTTACGTAATATATTCCTCTGTTCCGAACTTCTTCCTGCTTGCTCGACAGGTTTATTCTCCAAACACGACTTCCGAGATAGAAACCTGTGCAATTGCTCCGTTGACACCCAGTTTGCGACCCATGATATTAGCAGGGCCATAGCTTTCTCATTCGGCGTGTACTACCCAAGTCTCATTCAGGTCTCTGCGCACGGATTCGTTCCTTCTGCTCGCCTGCTTACCAGCTAGGATGCTCTCTCCTGCAACGACAAACTTTCGAATTCGTTCGAATTCTGGAGCTGTCTGGAGTGCTATGCTAGCACGGCGTTTATCTTCCAGACACATAGCTGCAGCAGCAGCAGTTGTCCTGGTGATCTTGATGCTTTACTATAATGTCCTACCAGACAAGGATGCCACTGTTTCTCGACTATATCCTCCGGTTATTGACTCAGAGGGCCAAACCTCACCAGACGTCTGGCAGCGGCGAGCAGAGCAAGTTAAGCTTGCATTCCTCCATGCATATCGTGGTTATGAACAACATGCTTCTCCTCACGACGAGTTGCTCCCATTATCCAATGGGACAAAAGACAAGTGAGCAATATTACTTGTCTCCGTTGTCCTATTTTTATACTGACCGAATGCCATAACGTCCCCCAGTTTCAACGGTTGGGGTGTCACAGCATTCGATTCGCTCGACACCATGATTTTGATGGGACTCGACAACGAGTTCACCCGTGCACTCCTCCTTGTTGAGAAGGCTAGCTTCACTATCAAACCGGTAAGCTAGATTACCGATTGTTCGGAGCCTTGCTCATGGTTTTGTCTTTTACCTCGTGACAATCTCTCGTGCATTATATATTCATTTGATGACCCGCAGCGCGTGCTCTCCGAAGGCCGTGAACAGGAAACCTATGCTCCTTTCTTTGAGACTGTCATTCGTTATCTTGGCGGACTATTATCGGCTTACGCCCTTTCACGCGAGCCAATGCTTCTGAAGCGAGCTGACGATCTTGCAAATCTACTCTCTCCTGTATTCAATACGACTAGTGGACTTCCATTCTTTGGCGTCAATACCGTTAAGTGTGTATTTATCCCCTTCTGTGTATGAATCCTCTCCGCCATCAGCGTGCTGCGCGCCGTGCTCCCAGTTTCGATTTTCTGTGTCGGCAGGACTCGCCTACTTTGTTGCCACTATTTGCGGTAGCGCTGAATAATTTTGCGTTCAAAACGCAGTGGTCACATTAGAGGTTCTCAGTTCGGCATTCTTGCAGAGATAGCAAGCTGCCAGCTGGAATATACCTATCTTGCTCGAGCTACCGCAAAGAAGGAGCACTATGATAGAGTGAGTAGAGTGGTTTCTCGTCCGCGATTTTAAGATGGTTGATTCGTTGATAACAAAAGGCAAACAAGATCATGAAGAGCTTAGCAAGCGCTGATGTCAGGAGAACAGGAGATATGTTTCCTAAACGATGGAATCTTACCTCCGGGCAACCGGCAGACGGTATGTCTAGCCGTCTATAATACTGACGTGACTTCTCTCATTGACGTGTCATTACGCCGAAGAATCGTTATCTGTTGGAGCAGCTGCGGACAGTGCCCACGAATATCTGCTTAAGCAGTATCTCCTCACAGCGCGGAGCGATCCGTCAAGTCTGCAGATGTGTGAGTAGTTTGCAGCGGCTGCGCGTGTGCTCCTTCATTTCGACATCTAGTCGTCTAACCATGCTATTCAATCTTTCCTCGCTGCCCTTCCCGCAGATTTACGAACAATCAACCATATACTGACCCATCTCCTCTACATCTCGGACACGCGAGGATTAGTGTACGTCACCGATACAAACACGGCTAGCTATGTGCCCACCCATAGATTCGAGCATCTTTCCTGCTTCTTCCCGGGTCTTCTGGCCCTCGGTGCGCACACACTTAACTTCTCACTCGCTGATCTCGATCCAAGTACGCTCGGACCGGATGGGCTCCGCTCATACGAGCTACTGAAGAAATACGACTTACGTTCGCTACATATGTGGGCCGCGGAAGGTATCGCGACGTCCTGTTGGCTGATGTACGCCGATCAGTCGTCGGGCCTGGGGCCTGAAGAGGTTACCATGCGTCCTAGAACAGATGATTCTCACCAGTTGTCGACTAAGTTCACCGGTGGACCGAAAGGCGGACCCGTCGTGCAGGGAGGATTGCTGTGGATCGATGAAATGGAGCGGTGGCGGAAGAGTGGTGCACGAGGGGTACCTCCTGGACTGGGGGACAAACCATCGATGAAATGGGTGCACGATGTAAAGAGGCAGAAATCCAGAGATTACACTGTGCGGAAGACAGACTATTTCTTGAGACCTGAGGCGAGTGTCGTTTTCTGTGTTTGAAGTATCAATTCTGACGTTCGAGTAGGCTATAGAATCATTCTACATTCTATGGAGGACGACCGGAGATCCGGTATGGAGAGAGCGTGGATGGGCTGTGTTTGAGGCTATCGAGAGGGAATCGAAGACCATGTCAGGATACGCCTCCATCAGTAATGTGGAACGTAGTCCTGCTCCTCTGAGGGATGATATGCCAAGGTAAGTTCCTCAAACGTGTTACACGATTTATGCTATTAAGCCTATCATTTCAGTTATTTCCTTGCTGAAACGTGAGTGATCGTACCGGATGCGTTTCACCTGACGTCATGCTTAAAGGCTCGCCGCCCAGATTGAAGTATCTGTATCTTTTATTTCACGAGGAAGACATGTTACCTCTTGATCGCTGGGTGTTCAACACGGAGGCTCATCCGCTTCCTGTGTTTACATGGGAGGCCTGGGAGAGAAAGAAGTTCGGTATACCCAGCCCACCTTTGTAACTTACCCACATCAGGTGTTCGAAGGTCGGGACCATTGACTTATCCAGGTGGTTTCTTGCGTTGACGAACCTCAGCAGATATGATCACTTTTCCCTGGCCTCAGCTGTCGGAGCTCGTGACGGGTTAGTGCCTGGACGGACACATCAGCTGTATCAATACATATCATCCTGACAGAGGAGTCATTACTCATACGTCATCGATAGGAGCACTTAGGGTTGAAACCGTTGTTCGAAAGAACAACTTCCGTTGCTACTGCTATCGTATCTCACTGCAATGTCGATGTTTTTACGCTTAGGAGAACAAGTTGAGTATTGCTCAGACATATTCTATTGTGAGATTGACTCTCGAGCCTCCCTGTGAGCGTCTAAGTCACCTTCAGGTGAATTTTGAGCCGGCCGATCATAATGATGGAATAGCGATACCTTGCCACTTTTTAAAGTGCCTAGTACAGTGCAGGCGCTCGTCTGGAACCAGCTGACCGTCCGGACCGAACCCCCACGGGGATCTGGCTAAGCTTTTTGAGATCTCGTTACTTTGGGCGTCCGCCTTATGCCTTCAAATATTCGTGACGTTGAGATTTCTGGACGTTCATACTCCGTATCGCACCCCACCTATCATCATGGTCACTTTGAAGCAAGGCGAGTTCGTCGGGTCTCTCGACTGTGGTACAACGTACGTTTCTCTCGATTTCACTTAGAAGACGTCTCACCTGTTCTGTACGACCAGTTCTACGCGATTCTTGATATTCGACAAATATGCGAACATCGTAGCAGAGTATCAAATTGAGTATCCTCAGTATTATCCCGAACCCGGGTGAGCACACGACCATCTCGATAAACTCAAGCTTAATGGAGCTCAGTCGGGTTCCAGCTGGCACGAGCAGGATGCAGACGAAATCATAGAGAGCTGCGATACGTGTATCACGGAGGCCTGCAAGGCGCTGGAGTCAGCTGGCTGGTCGAAAGACAGCGTAAAAGTGATAGGTACGTGATCATACGCTAATCACGTGATAAAGCGCGACGCGACGCGGAAATTGCACAGGCATCACGAATCAACGCGAGACCGCGGTAGCGTGGAGTCGTAAGACGGGGAAACCTTTGACTCGTGCCATCGTTTGGGATGACTCCAGGACAAAGAACTCGGTTGTTCATTTCGAGCACAAGCTCGCAACCGTCGGTCTTGAAGTCAAACCTGGCGTCTTCAAAAAGGGAGAAGAAGGGGTACAAGCTCTGAAGGAGATGTGAGTCAAGCGGTGTCCAGTAGTAACAGCGAGCTGATGTTACGTGTCAGAACTGGTCTTCCAATCTCTACCTATTTCTCTGCGATCAAGCTCCATTGGATGTTCGACCACCGCGAAGATGTCAAGAAGGCTCACGATGAAGACGATTTGTTATTTGGCACAGTCGAGTCTTGGATAGTATATGTGAGTCTATCCACCGTTCTTCGAAGAGTTTTTGATCGTTAAAATCTCTCCTAGCGTCTGACAGGCGGTGTCAAGAGCGGCCTACACATCACGGAAGTGACCAATGCATCTCGTACACTCCTCTTGAATCTTCATACGCTTAAATGGGACTCTGTCCTCCTGAACTTCTTTGAAATTAAGCCTTCTGTTCTTCCTACGATTGTTTCATCATCAGAAGTGTATGGCGAACTTGCGTACGGCATGTTGAAGGGCGTGAAGATTGGCGGTCTCATTGGTGACCAACAAGGTGCCCTTGTCGGTAACAAGTGTCTCAAGCAAGGCGAAGCGAAGTGTACGTACGGAACGGGGGCTTTCCTGCTCTTCTGCACAGGTGAAGAAATCGTGAAGAGTTCACACGGCTTGTTGAGCACGGTAAGCAAAACTCGTTGCTGATGCTTTGAAAAAGATCTTATCTGATGTAAATCATGCAGGTAGCATATCAGGCTGGCCCTAATGCCAAGCCGTCGTATGCCCTCGAGGGTAGTAGTGAGTACTATCAATAACTCTGTTGTTGGCAACATTCACGTAGTTTCACAGTTGCTGTTGCCGGTAGTGCCATCAAGTGGTTAGTGTGCCCATTATCCGGTCCAGAATCATGTTTCTGATGCTGTATCCATTCTTGTAGGCTGCGGGACACCATGAACATATTATCGTCCGCTGCTGAAGTCAACTCTCTTGCTGCTAAAGTCCCTGATACCGGAGGTGTATACTTCGTGACTGCATTCTCCGGCCTTCTGGCGCCTTACTGGGATCCTGGCGCTGCTGGACTTTTGATCGGTAAGCCTCTACCTTCCGAGTCGCGCCCTTTAATCAAACATCGGGTGCAGGTCTTTCATCGTATACTACACCCGCCCACATTGCCCGTGCGACACTGGAAGCGAATGCCTTTCAGACCCGCGAGATTCTCGAGAGTATGAAACTCGACTCAAAGTCTGACTTGAAGCACCTCAAGGTTGACGGCGGCATGACCAACGGCGACATGGTAATGGAAATCCTGGCGGACATTGGAGGATTTACCGTGATACGCCCTGAGATGAGAGAGTATGCACGGATCTCCTCCTTCGTAGCATCACGTACTGATATATACTGTACCCAGGTCGACTGCGCTCGGCTCCGCACTTCTCGCTGGTTCTGCCATTCGGATTTTCGGTTGGGACGTCAACAATCCGGAGACGCTCGCAGAGGTGAACACTCAAGGCAGCCGTGAATTCAAGCCAGGAATGGATGAGGCCCTCAGAGAGACAAATTGGCAAGGATGGAAACGTGCGGTAGGGAGGTCGCTGGGATGGGATGAAGGTGTTGATGAGTAAGACCAGTCGCGCTTCAGATGTTACTAAGGCAAGAAGAATATACCCAACTAGGGTCCTGTAGATTATATTATCGTGTCTTTCCTCCCGTCTTTCCAGGGAGCATGGCGTATATCGAAGTCAATGGCATTTAAATATGGTAGATGATTCAAATCCTCACAAACTAAGCTTGTGCTGGGCGATGACTGCATAAAACATTACACAATGCAAAAGTACAGGCATCGTAGAATAAATTATATGAGGCATTCACCATAGTATAGAGCCAAGGAGACCTGCAGACGCATTCGTTTTCCTAGGGAGCTCGTCAGTGCTCCCCGGGAGGAACTCATGCGTGACCATGCATGACGGACATCTGAGTACGGGCCTCCGACGGGGTTGAGCAGGGCTTTGCGGATGTCGATGGTGGTCAAGTTATATTCGCCCTTCCGCGTGCTGTCGTCGAGCTGCTCCACCGTCATATGCGGATTCTGAATGCCAGTGCACGCACAGAGATGGAAGAGCAGCTCCAGGAAGACGATCACGGTGGCGACGATTTTCACAGGTGAAGAAGCGGAAGACGCAGTTGATGTTCGTATTAACTCTCCCAAATCGATGGAGGTGCAGTCGCGGACGAGCGCCTTGCTGGCGTAGACGATGTAAAGGAAGAAAGCCGCGGAGATGACTGATATGACGCAGACGAGCCACAACGTAAGCTTTTACAAAGCTGCGGTTTCTTGTGACGGAGCCGATGAAGCTGCACGCGCATCGGACCAGAAGGCATTCACCTTGGAGAGACAGGAGCCTGGGACGCACCCAGGATGTGAATACGCTTCCGACCACGATTTCGACGACCTCGCCGGCTTCGGTCAAGTTCATGTACGTTCCAGAGTCACAATGTACGTCTGCGTCGCATGTCGTAGTCAGACTTCAAAGCTGCAAGTCAAGGGATAGAGAACACACTGTATGTTTGCACTGCCGCCGGCGAGACGTGACACCCCACGTTTGGTCTCGTTCAACAACTGGATGTGCTGAGATGTGTCCACTCTGCCATTCGAAGATCAGTACTGAAGGTACATTCGCCGCATGTTCGGAGGTGAACGAAAGATCCCGAACCACCGTCACATTCGGAATTGAAAGATTACGGTGAGCTTTGAGTTCATCTTGACTGTTTGCTAAATACCGTATCTTCGCCTTTAATCGGTGTCATATTCTGTGGCTGGCGGTCTAGTTCTCGGCATATATTGCCGTTGCACCAGCTATCAATGTTTGACTGTAATAGCATCAGATGGAAACCTGATGGGCAAAAGACACTCTGGCCCAAATCATCTGCAGAGGATATGTGAATCAGCCACACCACCAAACTGCCGGTGCGACGGTCGATACTTGAGCACTTAGTGCCAGGAAACATTGATACCTCGACAATGGTTGCACTTTACCTGAAGAGTTTGGTATTCCAAAATGAAGTTCGTCCAAGTTCTACTTGCGGTGGTCAAGAGACCCGCATACGACTATCTCACTAACCTGCTATGAGGTAACGAAATCACTCTTGATTTCGTTGCCTCAGAGCGTGCCAGCAAGGGACATATGTCGAGCATGGCATACGGCATATGCATGATTTCTGCTTGAGAATCTGAACGAATCTGAATAGACCTGCCTGAATGATGTCTCACTTTTGACAGTGGTATCATGACATCCTGCTCTTTTCCTCTCACCGGATGAGATTGGGATGAAGGATGAAGTCATGATAACATGGCGGCTCTGGTGTGCCAGGCTGAATGGAGTCGGCCAGTGTATAACTCGCGCAAGAAAAGGTACTTCTATACAATTATTCTATTAGCAAGGGTTGTTGTCTCCAAATGGAAGCGCACTGAATGATTGTCCATGATCATAGAATCAGATTGTCGCACGTAGAGTATGTGTGATCGTGCATGCGGGGTGGAACTAGAAAAAAATGCGGTAGTGGAGGTCGCACATCCCAGTGACCTCATGATAACATCCAGTTATCTCTACATACCCTTGCAATTTGCTGCTTCCGTTGCATGCGCACTTGGCTTCATAGTCTTCCCTCGCATTTTCCATGATGGGGGGAAGATGTTGACAGTAGAACGTTGAACGTCGAGGATTAAAAGAGAGACGTCAACGATAACATCGATTGATTATCGATAGATAGAGTGGGCCTTACCACAGAGACGGATACTGTCATGTAAGCGGAAGTATCGGGCCGCTGAAGAGCGTGAGCTTCACTATAGAGAAAGGTCGTTCAATGTAAACAACGATGTCCAATTTCAACGATTATTCCATCTCATTGTACGACTTGAAATTGTCCGTCCAACGGGTTTCCTGAGCTGCCTTCGAGCAATAGTAACTCACAGAAATGAAGGCATTCCAAAATGGTGTTGGTTTGCCATGAGTAGACAACCAATTCTTCCATTAGTTATTTACCCATAACAAACAAGTTCTCGGCGCAGATCGGCGTAGACCGGCACTGCCGTACACAGTTTCAACACTGGGTGGTCAATAGACGCAGATTCACTACCACTGTGACAGTCTACCGTCAGGCATCAGACCTACTCAGAGACAGGTATGCGCACCTTGAAGTCTGCACTACTGTAGGTTTTCGACCAATCCGGACAGGTTTTGCCTTTTTTGGTTCGAAAAATCTCATAAAATCTCATAAATCGAGAAAACATTATTGGCGGGGTCGTTGAAAATCCGTGTGACCTGTGACCGTCCGGATTGGTCCAAAACCTACAGTATACCGTTCACAATTCTCAAGAATCCGGGAATTAAAAGTTGTCTGGAATACAGTGAGCTGGATAGTCGTCGTGCAGTGGACGCGGAGTCCCAACCAGCAAGTCTACGTGTTGGAAAGTAGCACCCAAATTTCTGGAGCTCCAGAAATTGGGGAGCGCCCAAGGGCAGACAAGCCGAGGGCATGATTACAAAGAAAGACAAAGAAGGAAATTTGCTTATATAAAGTGGAGCGTCTAGAACTGTATATATACAGAAATCTATTTTAGGACGCGTAATCACGCGCCCCGACGCATCTTGACCCGCCATCACTACCTTCCTATTTGGGAACTAAGGCGCGATTTCTAACAGGTTATGAGCCCCGGCTCTAGCCAATAAATACTTGGATAACAACAGCCCCTATTGTGGCTACAAAAATTGTTACCCCCTTACTAGTACGAGAACAAATAATGTCGACCAGCGCTGATAATACGAGCAATAGCAATGCTTACCGGATCCCGCTCCTGAAGGAAGACAATTGGCTCCCGTGGAAGCGCCGCGTCGAGGCCATCCTTAATGATAAGGGTCTCCAGGAGTATGTGACCGGAAAGACACCGAAGCCGCAGCCGAGTAATGACCCGGCCAATAGGGCAGCGAGAGAGGCGGAGATTAGCGCCTGGGGAGAGAAGGACCTCAAGGCCCAGAACGTAATTGTGCTATCGCTGGGAGATTCCCAGATGGTGCACATCGCTGGAGCCGAGATGGCACGGGCCATGTGGGAGCAGCTTCGCACAGTCAAGGAACAGCGTGGACAGCATGGAATTCTCGCGCTGTGCCGGCATTTTAACCGGATGCAAGCCAAGGAAGAAGATAATATCTCCAGTCACATTACACAGCTACGACAGATCCAGGAACAACTCCACCTAATGGGGAAGGTTGTTTCTGACGAAGATTTCTGGCTCATTCTGGCTACCTCATTACCGGAGAGCTGGGACTCTTTCCTCAGCTCTTACTTTGGCGCCGTGGGCGGCAATGTTGGCGCCGAAGGTGCTGACAACGTGCGCCCTCAGCTTACATCACAAGAATTGATTGCCATCATTCTTGATGAAAATAGGCGAAGGCACGAGCGTGGCGAGCGCGGTCAATCCTCGGACCAAGCCATGGTTGCCAAAGGAAAGAAGCGCCCCTTTGGGGAATACAAAAAATGTTCGATCTGCGGAAAGCCGGGACATCTTGGTAACAAGTGTCGGCACCGCGACAAGGTCAAATGTATGAATTGCGGAAAATTCGGGCATAAGGCCACGGATTGTTGGGCTAAAGGCGGCGGCAAAGCCGGACAGGGCCCGCCGATGAAACGGCAAAAGACGGAACGTGCTTACGAAGCGCGCGAGGTCGAATCGAAAGAGGATGAGGCAAAAATAGCCTACGATAATGATAGCGACACTGTATCTCTCGGATCTGATGGCGAAATTGCTTCTTTCTATGAGTGGTTTGCCGACTCCGGGACAACTTCGCACATTACAAATCGTCGTGAAGTCTTCGCGACCTATCAGGCGCTCGAAGATCACGCGATCACGGGCATCGGACCGCAACCAACGCAGGCATTGGGCCGCGGTACGGTCGATGTCGAAAGTAAAGTAGGAGACCGGAAAGTGAAATTCCGTCTCCACAGTGTACTGTATGCGCCGACAGCACCCAATAGCCTCCTCTCCATCACGCGTTTGGACGATGCGGGAGGAAGAGTACTTATGGGTAATAGTCGTGCAATACTAATAGATAAAAATAAACACACTCTTGCTATAGGCAAGAAAAATGGACGACTATATTCATTGAAATTGCGTCCAATAGTTCCACAACCTGCGCGAACCTATACTGCTAAGGAATACGGCCCGCATACCTGGGAAGAGTGGCACAAGATCTATGGCCATATCGGGAAACCAGCGCTTACGCGATTATATCGCGAAGGGCTTGTTGATGGCCTAGAAATCTCGCCAAGCCCAGATGAAATTAATTGCGAGGCGTGCATCCAAGCAAAGGCAACGCGGAAGCCATTTCCCAAAGAGACGGACGAATGCAGCAAGGTACCTGGAGAATTAACACACACGGATGTGTGGGGACCTGCGCAGACAGCCGCTCTACAAGGGTGGAAATATTTTATTACATTTACCGATGATTACAGTCGTCGAAGTACAGTACTATTTATGAGGCATAAAGATGAAGTAACTGAAAAGGTAAAGAATTATATTACCTATATCGAGCGCAAGTTTGGAAATAAACCCTTGCGACTCAGGCTCGACAACGGTCGAGAATATATGAACACCGAATTAATTAACTGGTGTCAAATGAAAGGGATCGAGATGGGTCCGACTGCGCCGTACTCACCATCCCAGAACGGAGTCTCTGAGAGATTGAATCGCACACTGCTTGGACTAGCGCGCGCGATGATCTATGCGAGAGATCTACCTCGTTATCTTTGGGCTGAAGCGATTGCTCACGCAGTCTATATTAAAAATAGATCGCCTACCCAGGCGTTAAATGGGGCAACTCCCGAAGAAAAATGGAATGGGACGAAACCAAATATCTCGTACCTACAAGAATTCAGTTCCCCCGTATGGGTCCTCACGGAGGACGCAACACTATCAAAGCTAGCGCCCCGTGCCAACAAGTATATTTTTGTTGGATACATGGACGGACCCAAAGCCATCAAATATTATGATGCACATACGCGCCAGATTAAAATCTCGCGTAATTTCCAATTTTCTTCGAATTTCCCGGACCATTTGCCTGGCAACGCGCCTCACGTGCCACAAGAGCAAATAGGATCCGACGTACCTATCCTCACAGCACAGCGTGAGGGGGAGCAAAATATATTTCCGGGCACTTTACCTAGCAATGCGTCAGACGTGCCGCATGCGGAAAGAAGACCCGAAGTCCCAAACCTCACAACGACCGCAGACGTGCGGCGCGAGGGGGAGTTAGGAACTTCCGCGCCACAGTCACCTGCCAAAAATCCGCGAAAGCGCAGACAGGATGATGATCCTGATCAACGCGAGGAAAGCGGGACGGACGCACCAAGCCAGCCCAGACGAACCAGAAGAAAGACAGTTCGGCATGATTACCGTCTAATGCACGACCCAGAGGCAGACGAAGATCTGGATAATGATCCAGATAAATCAAATGCCGAATTAGTCTATATTGCGATGAGCGCCCACGGAAATGCGGATGCGGATGAGCCAAAGACGCTCAGTGATGCCAAGAGATCACTCGAGTGGCCCAAATGGGAACAGGCAGTCCAGACGGAACTCAATCAACTACAGGGTATGGAGACTTGGGAGTTAGTGGAACCTCCCGAAGATCGAAAACCCGTAGGAAATAAATTGGTTCTAGTTAAGAAAACAAACAAAGAGGGTGAAATAATCAAATACAAAGCCCGCCTGGTTGCGAAGGGATATTCTCAAATCCCAGGCATGGACTATACCGAGACGTTCGCGCCCGTAGTCCGCCTCGAAACCATTCGAGCTATCCTCGGGCTAGCCGCAATCTTAGATTGGGAGATCGGACAGATGGACGTGAAAGGCGCCTATCTCAATGGAACTCTCAAAGAAGAAGTGTATATGCGGCAACCCAAAGGATACAGCGATGGAACATACCGCGTATGTAAATTAAAGAAAACCCTCTACGGGCTAAAGCAGTCTGGCCGAGAATGGAATATCGTGCTGAACCGCAAGTTACTAGACGCGGGATTCAAGCGCCTATTCTCGGATCCATGTGCATACATTCGGATCAAAGGTGATAAGATAGAAATCGTCACCGTTTGGGTAGACGACCTATTAATATTCACCAATGATTGCGCACTGATGGACCAATTGAAGAGGGAACTCCGAAATATGTTCGAAGTTACCGACCTTGGCGAACCCCGAAAAATTGTGGGGATAGAAATTGAGAGAGACCGTTCAAAGCGGACAATCAAAATCTCTCAGACAAAATATATTGAGTCTATCCTACACAACAATGGGCTTACGAACACCAACACGGTCGGGATGCCTCTTGATCCAAATACAGTGCTTGAAAAAGAAGAACCCGAAACTGATGATGAATGCGACCGAGACAACGGATATGCATCGCTCGTCGGATCACTGATGTACGCGGCAATTGCCACGAGACCAGACATTGCTCACGCCGTGCAACGGCTTAGCTCATTTACTGCCAATCCCGGAATGGCTCATTGGACTGCTGCTAAACGCGTCCTCCGCTATCTATCCGGAACGCGAGAACTTGGAATAATCTACGGGCCAATTGCAGATGTCAAGCCCGAAGATCAATCCATATTTGTGGGCTACTCAGATGCAGACTATGCGAACGATATCCGAGATCGCAAATCAATCTCGGGATATTTATTTAAATTAGGAAATGGCACGATCACGTGGAGCTCAAAGAAGCAAACCACGGTCGCGTCATCCACCACGGAAGCCGAATACATGGCATCCGCCGAAGCGGCAAAAGAAGCCGTGTGGCTCCGAACACTATTCAAAGAAATAGGTTTCGAGCAACAAGATCCTACAATTTTATTCGAGGATAATACAGCGGCGATCTCAATCGCACGTGATCCCCAATTCCACGCGAAATCAAAACATTTTGATGTAAAGCATCATTATGTGCGCAAAAAATTGAGGGATAAATATATTGATATCCACTACTGTCCCACGGAGGACATGATAGCGGATATCCTAACAAAATCACTCCCTAAGCCGAGGCACGAGAAGCTCACAAAGAAGCTCGGAATGCCCATCGGCTTGAGGGGGAGTGTTGGAAAGTAGCGCCCAAATTTCTGGAGCTCCAGAAATTGGGGAGCGCCCAAGGGCAGACAAGCCGAGGGCATGATTACAAAGAAAGACAAAGAAGGAAATTTGCTTATATAAAGTGGAGCGTCTAGAACTGTATATATACAGAAATCTATTTTAGGACGCGTAATCACGCGCCCCGACGCATCTTGACCCGCCATCACTACCTTCCTATTTGGGAACTAAGGCGCGATTTCTAACACTACGGAAGACTATGATAGCCAGCCAAACAAGAGAACGAGAGAAATGGGAAGTGGAAATCGAACCTGGTGGCGCGAGAGACCACCACGTGGCTAACACTGAGCGCCGAATGTGGAAATTGTGGAAGTTGCCTGGAATGACGGAATCATGTCACACACCTTCGTGTTCTATTGAAGGCGAAAGCTCACCCTATGTATCTTGCATTCTGTACTCCACTGCGCGTGCAGCGGAAACGATTCTATCGTACACGACTTCTTGGCGGGAAAGTCGTAGATGGTGGGATGGAAGTGGGGATCTCTTGCAGGGAAAGGATATGTGCATATAAGAGGTCAGAAAGAAAGACACGCGCATATTCGAATGAACAAAGAAATCTCGGACCCCCACTGCTCTCTACGAAACTATCTCGCCGCCGGCGGTCCGGAGACAAGCAATGCAAGGACTACACACAGCGTTTCTGCTGTGATCCTACCGAATGACGGCTACCGTGAGATATGCATTGCTTGAGTGCTCTTGAAGATAGTCGATGAAGTCGCAATTGACAGCATCGCTGATCCGCTGCAGGAAGACAAAACAGTACGCTTGCCTTTGCTCACCCCTAGTATGGGTATTACGGCCAACATGCTGTGCTACGATTGTTTGGGTTCCAGACGTGATAGTCGCTGCACGACTGGTCAGCTACGGAGCAACGGAATCAAGAGACCTGAAGCTATACACCTATTACACACCAAGAACGAAGGATGGACGACCAGAACTTTGAAGATCAGCATCTGACGTTGAAAAGTTACTGGACACCAAAATCGTGTCAGTCAGTATGCGGGCAGTGATAAAATGTTCTAAGCTCTGAAGATCAACGTATTGCTAGAAAAAATTACTACTCTATTCTTGGTGACAAGTAATTCATTTGACGTACAGTAACGATTTATTCCTGCAGGACCCACTCGACTCCCGAAACAATCTGTCACAAGAAGATACAATCTGCGAGAGAGGAACGATAAGAATTTGGACGCCATCCCATGATGTTCCTGTTAAAAAATCCAGTTTCAGCAGTGATTCCGTCCATTGAGATTGAATTTACGTACGGATAACAGAGTCTCACATTTCTGGCGGCTGCACCCTGATCTGCTATGAACGAAGCGAGACGAAATCTGTTCATCCCATGCGAACAACGTGCCGATACGGCGTACAGCATTCGCCAAACAATAAACCAGATATTAGTACCTAGATCGTCGAACTGAGAGTGCGATGTGCGATGGAGTACCGCGAGTATAGCAAATCCATCGCATAATATGCCAAGGATCAACCCACCGTCACGTAAGCCCAGGATAAAATAAGAGATGCACTGAGTGAGCTCAGCAATGGATCTGCGCCATACAAGGCTGCCGTTTGAATTGCTGACCCTCCTGGGTGCAGTGCAATCTTACGAGGTTGGGCCGGCAAGTGAAACGGCGATCCAAGATGTCGTGTTATCAGCGCCCGAGCTTTGCATCCAATAGCTGAAGTGGAGGAAGATGAGGACGTTGAACGGAATTAACAGTGGGGCTCGACCACCACGGCCGTGCACATACGCGGAGTCAGTACGAATATTGTCTTGGCATCTATGGGCGTACAGGTCATGACTTGGTACTCACGATAACACGCACGTTTCTCGGAGGCCGTCCGACAGACAATAAAATGGGAAAATCCTGTCATCGAGACTCTTACAGAGAGTTCCGATGGAAGCGAGCAGGATGAGCGAGGACGATTGTGAGTGTGTACCACGCTGCTCTCAGTACACCAAGTACCACGACCACATGCATGTGGACAGGACCACGAAGGGGACGTACATAGGAAGTACACCAGGCGGATCAGGCATGTCAAGATAGCCTTTACAATGCGAAAACAATGGTTCTACAGTGTGCATACATGCTACATCCTGACAAGGGACGGATCACATACGCGAGTATGACCACAGGTAGACAAGCAAAACACGCGTTGATTTTAAGGGAGAGTACGACATACCAGCGGTACGGTGATGGATGGGCTGGGGAGCCGTGAGATCCAAGTGAGGCGCGGAAGACACGGTGCGATAAAGTGAAGTGATCCCGGCTGAGGCTATCTGGAAAGATCTGCGGGGATGATGAGCTGCGCGCTGGCCTAGGACGACTGTGGGAGAAGATGAAACAGTGTTTAATGCTGGTCAGGAGATTGGGGCAGGAAAGGCAAACGCACGGACGGGAGATGAACAGACTTCTCTCGTCCCACCTCCACATGCTAGGAAGCATCCTCGGCCATGCGTTCTTGCTTTAGGACATTCAGCATGCAATTGGGTTAATCAGCACGCAGGTTTGTTGTACAGATATCCGCAGTGCATTTCTGACGTACACTGGGAGCGTGGAACCCAATCCTCTTCCACATGGATGAAGACGACATCAAACGCCGTTGGAAAGACCGGGAACGTTGCAGAAGAGAAGGAGATTACTCCGAGACGATAATGTCGAGGTTAAACATAGGAGACGGACACATGTCGACGGAAATGTGACGATGGGAGAGGAAGAGGTTCGAACGCGCACGCGAGCATATGGTGCCCCGGTCGCGTCTGCGCCCTGACCAGCTTGACTCACCACACGTGTTGCTTCTCCTCTTTACCCCCCTCCTTCACCCCGTCTCCTCCCGTTTCCCCTCTTAACCTCGACCACGCAAGTCCATTTATTTTTTTACCGTGCACACGAACCTTACCCCATTTTCAGCCTTTTTTCTTCGCACACCATGGCCGAGAAACTCGACACCCTCACATCTTCGACCGACACCGGCTCGGGCCCCAAGGAGGCGGGCACCTCTGGTCCTCGCGCGATCGTCAAAAACGTCGACATGAGCGAGGATATGCAGCAGGAGAGCGTAGACATTGCCTCCGCCGCCCTTGAAAAATACAACATCGAGAAGGATATTGCCGCACAGATCAAGAAAGAGTTCGACAGACGTCACGGGCCCACCTGGCACGTCGTCGTGGGCAAGAACTTCGGGAGTTATGTAACACACGGTATGTTTTTCATCGAGCTGCTGTTCTCCCAGTTCATGTTGAAGCGTCGCGTCTGTGCGCGCTTGCGCGTCGTGCCGTGCCGCGGGTGTCCTCCTGTACTCGTCGTATTGACCATTCTACGTATCCAGAAACCAAGCACTTCATTTACTTCTACATCGGCTCGCTGGCCATCCTCATCTGGAAGTCATAGGCCTTCGCGCCTCGCATCGACACTCGGGAGTGACAGGGAGCGTGGGGCTGGTCGTGGTGGATTACGGGTTGACGCGGCATATTTAAACCTTCGAGTGTGTTCAACAACGATTTCGTCTTGAAGCAATATTTATCAAGCGTCTCCTTCCTGCGGCGACTGATGACTCGCTCCTCGTCGTCGCGAATTGAGCGCCTCGCATGAAGAGTGTACCGGAATTGTCAACATTGGACGAAATACACCGTTGACGCGAGGTCTGTCCTTGTCAAATCCGTGCGCCTAGTCGAGTTTCTGTGGAGAGTACAATTGTTGTGGGCCCCTTTCCATGTCCGTCGTTCCTTCTCAGTCAGAGCAAACGTCAATTTGAATCGCTGCAGACGTACGAGCGGTCGCTCGGTCGCTCACTTGCCGTCGCACCAGTTGGCAGGCTGTCGTCCTAACAATACGTGAACGGGGAGTCCGCCGAAATTCGCATCACTATGTTTGCAACTCGCTAACGCGGTCGTCCCGCCTGAGATATTGTCCGACTACTGCGGGCGAGCCTCAGGCTCAACAGAGTTCGACATATGGCCATGGCTTCTCCTCAAGCTCTTTAAGTTTGGTTTACAACCGAAGTGGTCGGACTCCAAGCAATGATCTCTGGACTGAGCTGCACGAGCCCTGCTCGTATATACGCCTGAGTGTCGCGTCCATCAGTGTTATCTGCAGGGTTCTTAGATGGCACGCCACTGAGGCGCCGTCTGAGGAACGCAGCGCTAGCGAGCGATCAGCTACGGATCCATATCCTGAGGCACGAAGGTTGAAAGCAGAGTATCTACAACTGCCTTTGGGAGACTACAACGAGGCATCCTCACGAATTTCTGTATGCCAGCGGCCGGCCTCAACGTCACTCATCTCCTCACCGTTCCGTCCAGCACACGACGAAACAGAATCCAAAAGATCTCAAAATGCAAGCAGCGGTCTACTCGTATACTCGTGCTAAGTGGTTAGTGAACAGGACATCTATGTCCAATACGGCGGCAAACGTACACACGCCTCGGTGAGTACATGTCGTGGGATGCATTGCGTGATAATGATAGGGCCGTAACCAATGCGTGATGCGCGTGCGTGTGTGCGGGCAAGGTCGAATAAATTGGGTAGATCAGTGGATGTGCGTGGTGATATTGTGGGCAGTGAGAGGTGAGGGGAGGGGGATAGATGAATCGAATGACGATGGAGAGGTATCAGTGGTACGGGGGAATACTGTTGTCGATGCTCGGGGAACCGGGAATGCAAGCAACCTATCCTACAGACGTTCATCCTCTGACTGGACTGTACACAGTTCTTCTGTACGTTCAACACCGCCTCGCCAAGCTGGCGCTGGGGGCGGGGAGCGGGCAGGGGGAGGAGGGTGGGTGGTGGGTTACGCCCATCGGCCAAGGAGCGCCATAAGGCTCGCGCCGAGCATCATGCACCCGAGCGCCCAACAGAGCTTCGCGTTCGAGCTCTCGATCATCTCGCGGTTGAACACGAACTCGTGCGCCATGAGCTCGACGAGCCCGGTGTAGATGAGGATTCCGCTGCTGAACGCGTCGAGCACCCCGCTCACAATGCTCGCCGTCGGCCCGTTCGGGTTGTATGTCGTGCGCACCCCTAGCCCCGCCGCGATCCCGACTGGTGTCGTCAGCGCGTACAGGCACGCGCCCACCAATGGAATGTAGCTATATTGGGGCGACAGCCGCATGAATGCGAGCCGCGAGCCGACTCCGAGGCCCTCGAACATTTCTGCTGCCATCATCAGCTTGAGCGCAGAACCGGAGACCAGAGGAGACGCACGGTGGAAAACAAGCACCACGAACAGCACCTTGAAGTTCGGATCGACCGCGAGCGTTAGGCCAATCAGGATACTGCGACCGACAACGTCAAACAAACGCACTCCAGGAACAAAGGCACACTCACCTGTGCAAGAGTACACCAAACTCAAGGATCCCGATCCCGATGATCTGGGCGAGCGGCGAGTCCGACACCGACTCAAGGTGCGAACTGCCTGATTCGATATCCTCTGCACGGCTAATCTGGCCATCCTTTTCCGAGCCACCGTCCGCAAACATCGTCACTGAACCAGTGACGGAACTCGTGCTTGGGACACCCATCTCAGGCCCGTGTGCCGCGTGTGAGGCGTGCTGGCCGATATCGTGGCCATGCGCATCTGCAAAGACGTCAGCAGGGTAGGAGGACACAGTTGGTCGACGTACCATGCGACAGGCCTATTTTCGCCAACTTCGCCGTTCCCCAACGGAATGCGACCAATTCTACGATGAAAATCGAGAAAATGCTGATTAAACATATACCAAGCGCATATGGCTGCGCTCTAGTCAGTGCTGGTTCGAACGGGTGGACATTGAACTCACATAATCCTGCCAAGCGGCAGACAGGCATGGTGAACCTAACTCGGCCATAGCAGGACTGAGCAGGTGAATAAATGCAGTTGCAATCTGGACACACTCAGTCAATAAGTCTACAGAAAGAACACCAATGGATCACATACAATCACACCGCTACCAAAGTACTTTGCAGTCTGGAAAAGCGCGTCTGGTAGGTGTGCGTCGAGCCATCGCGTTCGTTTTGAAAGTACGGGAAAGAGTGCGCCGAAGCCAGACGTGGCCATGATGATGAAGATGGATGCGACGCGAAGGTGAAAGTAGGAGTTGGCACCGCCGCCGGTGCCGCAATAGACCCCGTTGACGGTGGAGTCGCTCGAGCTCATCGTGAGGTTCGTTCGAGGTCGTTTCTGGTTGTTCAGAGGGATTTCAGAGGTGAAAGGTTGCGGAAGAGTTGGAGAGAGGGTGCGGTGGGGGAAGGGGGAATGGAGTGGTGGTTGAGAAGGGGAGCAGCGGTGGTCGAGGCGTAGGTGGAAAGGCATGTGCAGAATGGCTCTTGACTGTCCGGGTCCTCACTCCCCTCTCAGCCAATCAGGACGCGTCTTTCTCAACTCGACGTATGTTCCCACGCGTCGCGCTATCGCGAGTACCCTCACAGTCTCTCCTTCGCCGGATATCTCGTCCGAACATCCGGCCGCACGGAAAAAAATACCAAAGAAAAAACATATGCATGAGGCCGTACTTTGTGGTCCTTGAGAATGCTCTGCAGAACCGGCGAGATAATCCAGTTTCCAACATCTGGATGAAAAGGTATTCAAAACCCATAGTACACATACAGCCCGAAGGAGACACTAGAATACAGCAACGTGTAAGTAATACCACAGAGATACCAATGATGAACAGCTAGTACGTATATGTTCAGATTCCGGGGAAACATATTATCGGCTTGACATTGAAGCTGGAAGAGGAATGGAAACTGGACCGGCCAGCTTTGGGCAGGGGGTATAGACAGGGCGCAACGGAGGATTTTGTTCGCCCAGAGCGACGATCGAGTGGAGAATTTTGAAGCACGTATGAGTAGGATCATCTCCGGGACAAGCTCTCCACGTCCTCTTTTCCAAAGTAAACCCAAGATGTCGCACGGCGTTCTACCTGCCGGAGTCTCACGGCAGTTCCTCAATCACCGGGTTGCCCGTCGGAAACGTCTCACGCATGGCCTCGCGATCCCTACTGGCAGCCGCCACACCGGTGCTGGGGCCCTCCCAATCGACGTCCGCACCCTCCCGTGCGACGGCCTGAGCGCGCACCGCGACCTCGTCCGCAAGCACGCGCAGCATCGCCGTCGGTGCACCAAGCACATGAGCCGCATAAAACGTCAATTTGTGTGGGATGTGCTTGGAGCCGCGCACGCGCTCCGGCGATGGGGGATGAGGCGCGGCACCCGAAGTCAGCGGTGGGGGCACACTCAAGGGAATACTCGTCGGCATGCCAGAGGGCAGCGGCGGTACGCTCGAAGGCAGTGGTTCCGGTGGTTCCGGTGGCGCCGGTATTTGCGTCGCGCGCGGAGCAGCCTGGAAGAGCGCGAAGAGGTCGGACAGCGCAAGTATGGCGAGGGCATTGGGGTGACTCGCCAAATCTGCGCGCCCGTCCTGCGCCTGCGTGGACTCACGCAATGCGCCGGAGACACCCCTGTCACTGCCGCTACTGGTCGCGCGGCGGAGAACGGTAACGGGTGCAGGCCGGAGGAGGATCGCAGTGTCACGAAGTAGAACCGAGAGGAACGGAGACGTCATTTTCCCCTGTGAGGTTGACGCAAAACGCATGAGTACGCAGAGAAGAGGTAAGACGGTGTGGGGCTCACGGGCTCGAAGCGTGACCAGAAGTCTGTAACTACGCTGGAGAGCGTCGGATGGATTGTCGCAGACTTGCGGTCCGCGAGGAACGGCGCGAGGTGTGCGATGGTACGGCACGCCTCGGCGTGTTCCGGGTCGCCCAGCGAGAGCGCGCTGAGCGGAGACATTGCGAGGTGCCGCGTCGTGTATGCATACGCCATGCTGCCATGCACACCGGAAGTCAGACATCAGGCAATTCAAACAGTCGAAGCGCATGCAACTTACTCACCAGAGTGCGCACATGTTGTACAATAGTATGGGCGCGCTTCCGACCGACGCGGTAGCGGCGTGCACCATCGCCAGAGGGACATCCATCATCTCAGGGCGCGCGCCAAACCGCTTCCTCGTCGCGTTCTCCGGGAGCGCCCTTCCCTCAACAACTGCATCTGCATCCTCTGCAACCGACGGCTGCGCCTCCCACCAGGGCTCCACTCGCGCCTTCTCCAGCTCCTCGCTTGCCAAGAGTTGCTGAGCGAGCTCGCTGGAGGGGTCGCCGAGTGCCCTGAGGAATTTATCACGCTCAGCCGGGGTGAGCTTGGCCCACAGCTCTTCGGACGACACGGATTCTGCATTTCTTAAGTCTTCGGTCCGCGTTGCAGGAAAGAATTACTACGCACCTAGGTCTACTTTTCCTAACCGCCGCACGAGGTCCACGTCCTCGCCCTCGTTGTCGGAATCTGTCTCGCCGAGGAGGTCCGCGTCCGCTGCGCCCTCTTCGAACTGCCTCAGAAGCTCCATCATCTTCAGCCGCTCCTCGGTGGTGCGCGAGGGCGAGCTGTGCACGTCCGCCTCGAGCTCCTGGCGATAGAATGTCTCCGAGCATCCATTGTGACTCTGAAATAGTCCCAATATCAGCTCTATCGAGGAGAATGCGTGGAAAGAGCAGTCTGGGCCTAGCCAACTCGTTGGACGAGTAGCCAACCTAAACTGCGAAAGCAAAACGGCGCACCTCGGAGCGGAAACATGTCAGGGAGCAGTATGGAATATTGCACCGCGGGCAGGTGTACCGCGCGAACTGTCTCCGGCAACTATGAGCGGGTCAGCGGGTCAGAAATTGCGCAGGGGAGCCGGACGTAGTAAGGGACTCACATCGCACACGCGACGGTGCTCACGGCCTCAGCAGCGGCTGGGGACTGCGTGGAGATCTGCTGAGGTGCGTCCGTCGACATGGTTGGGTTTCTGAAGGCGTGCGTTGGAGGCTCTTTGGTCATGAAGCGGAGAGAAATGCTGGAAAGTGGGGCACCGCAGGACCCCTTCGCCGCACTTTAATGGCGCGCGGTCGTTGAGAGACGGTTGCAATGCCCTTGTTGTGATGCGGTTCGTGTGTAGGGCCGATCTCGGCCTGCATTTCAGGCAGAATCGATCAAGTCACCGGAGAGCAGCAAGACTAGGGCACTCACTTTGAATTTGACTTCGACAAATCGGAGGACTTCGCTAGTATTCTAGTCCGTGGGCAGGGAAAGAACTCTAACTCTGTAGAGAAGTAAAGAGAGCAAATTATTTTATATCGCAGAGAGGGAGAAAACTACTTGATAATGTGGAGGTACATGATTGAGCAGGACAGACGCCCGAGTCTCAGAGCGTGACTTGTGGTTGCGCGTGCTGTCACGTCCGTCACCTAGACCAATCACACGCGAACGCCTGACTCGGAATTTTGTGCGAAACATCATATCGTTCTCTCGTCGTATTTATCCCCACTAACGGTATTTCTATCCACAGAACGCCCGCGGAATACGTTCAAAATATCTGCCGCATCCGGAGACGATAGCATCACGTTCTATTGTCCAAATCCACGCGAGGACACACGACTGCCGCCTGTGGTGTGAAAAGGAACGCTGCTTACTTGTTCTACGCGTCGGCACCCGCTGCGGGAAATCATAAAGATTCTCACAGTCCACCACTAACGACGACGTGCGAGGCTGTAGTTGAGCAGCTGCTAGCACTTCCAAGAGTCTACCACATTTGTGCGGAAGAGTGGATTAATGCTGTCTCTGCTCTCGCGCACTCTGAAACCGCGCATGGCACGCGCGTCTGCTCGTCTTGCTTGCACCGACTATCGCCGCTGGCTGTCATCCGGACATTCCTCATTGCACCTGCGCGGCCGATGGCAGACCGCCAGCCACCCACCAGCGCCCTCGCGCACATTCGCAACGTACGTGCATCTGCAGTGTTCCTCGTTAACATCTCACGAGCTCACTTGGTGAAGACAGACGGTCCACTCGTCCGGGCCCTCCGAGTTCTATCTTACTGGTTAACAAGCACCGAACACATGCCGTTGCGGAGGCTATTGATGCGCTACTTTTGTAAGGGCACAGGCTGCTTTGTAGGCTCTACGAGCAACTCACATTGATATGCGCAGGCACATACGCGAAAAGTACCCTGACGTACGGTTATACCACGAGGACCGCCCAGATATACCTGACGGAGTAGAGGTCTGGCGACCAGGTGCGTGTCCGCTGCATGGTACGGGCCTTGCTGAGATGTTCATACTGTTTGTCGTCGCACAGGTCCCGATGCAGCACCGATCGACCTTGTCGTCACGCTTGGTGGGGATGGCACAATACTGCATGCCTCTTCGTTATTCAAAGTAGGCGCTGTCCCACCTGTGCTAAGTTTTTCTATGGGCACCCTCGGGTTTTTGCTCCCATTTCGTCAGTCTCGAACTACCCACGCGTGAATCTCGCTGAATGGCAGATACTTTCAGACATCGATGACTATGCAAAGGCACTGGACAGCGCGTTCAGGGGCCACGCGCTGGTGCTGAATCGCATGCGGCTTCAGTGCACATTCCAAGACGCAGATGGCGAGCATAGCAATCTGCATTGCAAAGGTTCGTAAGTATCTGTGTGTCTCATCGTCGTTCTGTGAAATTGAGGAGCATGCAGACTGGCAGGTCATGAATGAAGTCGCACTTCACCGTGGTTCGAGCCCACATTTAAATACAATCGATATATATGTGGACGGGCAACATCTTACGGAGTCAGTCGTGCGTACCGCACGATGTGCATCGCTGTGCTGCAGGCTGACGTGTATGCTCAGTCAGACGGGTTGATTGTATCCACGCCGACGGGCTCGACAGCGTACTCACTCTCGGCAGGCGGCCCCATCGTCCATCCATCCCTTAGTGCGCTCGTCCTCACCCCCATATGCCCGCGGAGTCTCTCCTTCCGCCCTCTGATTTTTCCCTCTTCCTCCTCCATCACACTTCAAGTGAGTTTTGCCGTCAACCGACGGCCCTCATGAATTAATGTTTATTTTTCCGGCAGATCAGCGAACGGAGTCGTGCCTCGGCCGGTCTCTCGATGGACGGTCAGGTCACCCACGTCCTCAACCCCGGCGAGTCCGTGACAGTGCAAGCCTCTCTGTACCCGATCCCGTGCATCAACCGTTCGTCGATCGCAGAGCCCGACGATAGCCGCACGGGCGAGGGCGTGGGCCCGGGAACGGAGGACGACTGGGTGCGTGACATCAACAGCCTGCTGCAGTACAACGCGACGTTCAGGAGCAAGGCACTGCTGCGGCTCGGGCGGGAAGGGGAGCGGAGGTAAGGTGTACGGAGATGCGAGGTGTGTGAGGGCATGTTAGCCTAGTATCTAAGATATTTTTGTCTAACAGAGAAGCAATTCAATCGTGCTGAGTCGATTTCTGGACCGGGTCATACAAGGAACTGAAGTTTGGCCGGTAAGACAGAACTGCGTCTGGAGTTGTGGTTGTCATGCCGTCTAGGAGGATTCGTTGGAAGATTCGTCTTCACAGGCACGCAGGAACATATCGTAACCATTCTCAATCGATCGAGCACCCAAGGCAAGCACGATCGAATTTCTCGCCAGATCTCTCGTTTTTTCCCTGAATATTCGACACCGCAGCATGTTGGAAGTCAACGGTGACGGCAACGAAGTCCGCATGCCCTGAGCGCTGGCGTTCAACGTTCATGAGCACCATTGGTATCCGTTGACACATCCTCCAGGTTCCGTGGTCATACCCTGGTTTCGTGATACGCCATTAACTGCACTTTTTTCTGTGTGTGCGTGGAATGGCAGAGGTATGATTGGCCAGCTACGACTGGTGGAGGTGTGATATACTAGGAATGGACACGCTGAGGACCCGCACAGTCAACTACCCTGGACAGGCTGGCAGCGGTTCCTTCAGAACATATCCACTCAATGATGGTTGTCCTACGTGGCTCGCCTCGACATCTGCCTCCCATCTAGTGCATGTGCGCTGCCATCGTTCCTAGGCGCACCTCCACAGTCATGGTGCCCTATCATCCATATTGGGACCTCGCATAAAACCATCCTCGTCCCTTCACTTTTCTCCGTGGAGAACACAGTCTGACAAGCCACGACGATGAGCTCAAGTAACGTCACCGTGAATGGTGTCTACTGTGGCGATGGCGGCGGCGCCGACACCTACTTCGGCCTCCGTGTCGCCTCCGTCTTCATCATCATGGCTACTTCCGCCGTCGGTGCGCTCTTCCCCGTACTCACTCGGAGGACGCAATGGCTGAACGCCATTGTGCCGACGTCCGTCTTTCAAACTGCCAAGTACTTTGGCAGTGGTGTTATCGTATGTGCCCTCAATTTATTTTTCGCACTTCGCTGAATGGGCTTTCGTCTCAAGATTGCAACGGCATTTATTCATCTCCTTTCTCCTGCCATGGCCGAGCTGGGATCGCCGTGCCTGGCCCCTGCGTGGCAGAACTACGTGAGCTAGATTATTAGTCTCTAGTAGCTCTACTGACCATACCACAGCCATATGCGCTTGGAATTTCCCTTGTCAGCATTTTCGCGATCTTCATCGTAGAACTGGTCGCCTTCCGCTGGGGCACTGCGAAGCTCGCTAAGCTCGGCCTAAGACACGGTATGTTCAATGGCAATCGATGTTAATTCACGCTTATTTCATCCAGATCCACACGGCCATAATATTGGCGCACAGGGCGCCCACGCTGCCCATGGACCTGAGGGCATAGTTGGCGGTGAGGCCATAAGCTCAGGCGGAGCAGAGAAATTCGTCGACGACGAGTCGGAGAAGGATACTCGCACGAAAAGTTCCCGTGATGTCGAGGCGCAGCCGTCGAGTACACTCTCTGTCTCCGACTCCGCTCTTGCTCAGATAATTGGGGTCGCTATTCTTGAGTTCGGCGTGTTGCTGCACAGGTGTGTACGCCACCAAGGTTGGCGTTCTTGTGAGATGCTACTTTTGCCCGCAGTATCTTTATCGGCATGACTCTGGCGGTCGATCCCAGCTTCAAGATTTTGTTCGTTGTAATCGTCTTCCATCGTACGTCCCTCGCGTTTATCTTCTGCGGTGGTGCTAATTTTCCTGCTCCTCCAGAAATGTTCGAAGGTCTTGGTATCGGTTCCCGACTGGCCTTCATGCAACTACCGTCGCACTATACTTACGTCCCAATTCTCGGGGCATGCCTGTACGCTATCACTACTCCCATCGGTGCGTGGCACAGCCGCACTCCGTCGTATAATTTCGCGAAAAACTCACGCAATTGCACAGGCATCGCAACCGGGCTGGGTATACGTACGACGTACAACCCGAACTCGGCCACAGCGAGCATCGTGAGCGGGGTGCTCGACGCGTTCAGCAGCGGAATCCTCATCTACACCGGGCTCGTCGAGCTCATGGCGCACGAATTCGTGTTTAACCGCGAGATGATCGAAGGCTCGAACCGGAAGCTCGCTTGGGCGCTCGGGTGCATGGTGCTCGGCGCGGGCCTCATGGCGCTCCTTGGCCGGTGGGCGTGAGCACTGGAAAGTGCAATGTCGGTAGATGTTATACGAGGTTATTGTCCGGACGATCCCATGTAGGATAGAAGCCGTCTACTATTGTGATGTGCCTTTCAATCATCGCTCCACGAGCAACCCTAACATGCAAGCATTTTTTTTTGGAGTAAGCGTAACGGCACAAGCTCGCAACTGTATTCGGACAGCCCGTGAACCGCGTGAACACGCAAGCATGTTGGCTATTATCAAGTGGGTATGACATCACGTCCTCGAGTACAAGTAGTATTTGCAGTTCCTGGTAGCAATGGACTGCGTCTTGGCGAAGGACGCCGAAGGGCCTTATCCGATATACGCTACTACTCAACTCACTGAATGTTACATAATAAATAATTCCTCTGTGGAGGACTAAAATACATTGTACGGCAGAGTCAGACGGCCATACTGCCGTTGACATACGGATCGGCATCTCTCACCGTATACTGCAGTATCTGTGAGTCAGCAACGCGCTGTATCCTCGGGACTTACCCATAAACGTACCTCTGAAGAGCCTGCCTTACTGATTGTCTGTAAGGTCTGTTCGATTTCAATAGGGCGCTGAGACAGTAGTAATGACGGTCAGGTGCTGTGGATTACGATCGTGCATGAAGTAGTCTCACCATCTGCTTCAGATGCTGCATTTGATACCCGGCAGAGTTCTGGGAGATATCCACAGGGGGTGTGTGGGTAGAGTGGAAGTTATCGAACGTAGCCAACGTGGAGTTTGCAGCGCCAGCGATTGACCTGCGACTGTTAAAACTGCAGTAGCATACAGTTAGACGACATTCTTTGGCTGGAGCTGAAACTGCGCTCACGTTGCTAGCAAAGATATAGCATAGACTGCAGAAAGCCAACATTAGTGGGAATGCTTCGTTGAAACGTTCCAAACATACGCTTGCTCTGCACTTGCACGAACGCGACGAACGCGAGGGCGGTTATAGTGGTGAACTGAAGACATGCGTAAGTGATGAAACTGGTGCGTAAAGAAATACGACGCACGCTTATGATCACCAGGATCGCGAACACGCTGCATACTCAACCGTCAGCCAAAGACATAGCTATGACTTATTGGATCACGCACGATGTAATCGCACCAGTGTTGACAGTGTACATTAGGAGCCGGTTGATAATAGTATCAGTCCTATGACGGCATGAGCGACGGAAATGACCTTAAGGAACGAAAGGACGTGCCTTTGCATCCCCGTACGGTGCGTATGCAGATAGTAGCAGATTGTTGCCGCTATAGAACAGTCCACGACAACAGACAGCGTCCATCCGACAATCATCGTAGACTGTTCGGCACAATTACACGTGCAATGTATGGCCAGGAGAATAAATACTCACATAAACGTGCGCCCTGAAGACGTGCCATTGCATGTACTTGAAACTACATCGCAATCAGCGACGGGTCTGGAGAAAAGGGACGCCCGACATCATACCTCAAAGAGCAATTCGCTAAACCAATTGCTAAACCATAAGGTATAAGTCACGTAACTGTCTGCTCTCGGATGGAACCGACGAACCGACGCGGGCCGTAGAGAGGATTCCCTAATTGTGGCTTGTTAATAATGTAGCGACTCTCTCTTGCCACTCGGGCTTACCAGGACTACAGTAATCCAGATCTTCTCGCTCACTGAGCACAGGGTCGGCGAATTTTAGGCCAACGAGCTAATCGGATTTACTTACACAGGTAGATACGCCAGACGAAACACCTGTGCGGAGCAGATCAATAGCTATCCTCCAAGATGTTAGTTGACTTACATATTGACGAAGTAGGCGATGATGAACTGCGTAAACTCATTCAATGGGATAAGTAAAGATAAGAGACAGAAGATAACGCACGCCTAAGATCAGGGTCAACTGCCCGCATAAGATGGATTGATGGAAGTTCGCTCAGGTGACAAACTTGGAACTTACCTCGAAGCTCCTGCACGGCACCGATGTCAGAACACGTAAAGGAGAAAGTAAGTAATTCCATACCATACAGTGGAACTAAGTGCGATGGGATTATTGTAGTTCCTGATAAGATAATATTCTATCGCTTCGATCGACATCGCAGTATGCAGGGTCTCGAGAATCCTAAAACGGACAAATTTCGTGCGTAAGGACGTATGAGAGTATGTTGCGCGATCGGGACAAACCAAATGGTGGCGACCTGCGTTCCATTTTCCCGTTTAGTGGAAGTCATTGACAACCGCAACCACAGCGGTGTCGACCTACCGCGAGCTTTATGACAATCCGATCACGCGGATAGTTGCGTATGTAAAAAAATATCTGCATAGAAACCACTCCGTAAAATCTGTGCCACTCGTCAGCGGGAGATCGACTTCGAATTGTGCCAAACTCACAGCATCGTAAAGAGGGTGCCCAGCAGAGGCCCTTGAGCGATCGCCACGACTTCGGGCACTGCCATTATGAGGAAGGAGGGCAAAGTCCTGAACCACAAATCTCCCGCCCCAAGGCCCTTTATCCGTAGATCAATAGAGCGCCGTTCAACCTCGGAAGGTTGCGAAAGGATCTGTTTCCAACTTCTCCAGAACAACCCTGGCGTCTTTGACCTGAGACCTTGATGTGCATCATCGCACTAGCTTGACAGCTAAGCGAGCCAGGCACGGAGCTACGTTGAGCCCGAACGTCTACAATGCGGCACTGCAGGATGGGCTCAGTTGTGAAGAGCGCTTAGTAGCATTGATTGCACAATCATGTTGATAAACTCGGAGTCGCCAGAGCTCTCCACTGCACACATTCACCATAAGCGACCCGATGTTCTCGATGAGCAAGACGTACTCACCGGGGTCGAAGATGTGGTGGATCATGGGAACGTTTCCGGCAGGCACACAACATGATGCCAGCATCTGCCAGGCTCTGTCCACTTGCAGATGTGTCGGTTCCGAATACTTGATGGTGATGGACTTGCTCCAGCTGCTCGCGCCCGTATCTTACCCCCGCCAGAAGCACACGAACCGGCAAAACAAATTGCACGCAGCCATCCCATTCGTCCGTCGGCGGTATGTTCTCTTAGAATGGAGGAGGCTGGGCAGAACGTGCCAAGGATCTATCGATAAGTTGAATCTAAGAATCACCTTGAACTCCTTGAATTCAATGTAAAGTTTACTCGTCACTTCTTGGTCAGATGAGCACAACTCGACACGGGGTCTCAGATCAGGAGCTGGCGGACTTCCGAGGATGCTTCTGAAGACTAGCATGCGCTATCGTGGTGGGTTCATCATCAACGTGCTCCAGGATGGCTCGTGGCGCTCGAAACATACCCGAAGCTTACATAACGTGGTACGTCTGTTCTTTCTCCATATAGCAGATTATGTAGCAGATTATAGCTCACGTTTATCGTTCTTCATCTGCTGCCTTCGCCCTCTCCAGTCGGCACCTATATTCCTCAGACACCCGTACCACACACAGAGAGATGACCCCTCCTGCTCTGTTACTCTCCCTCTCCGAGCCTGGCCCCGACGTCCCGGAGGCCGAGTTCCACGACTGGTACAACAGCGACCACATCCCCGCACGCATCGCATCACCCGTCTTTCAGAGCTGGACGCGTTATACTGCCATTGACGGGCTGAAACCCTCGTACATGAACATCTACGACCTCGAATCGCTCGAGGCTACGAAGACCCCCGCGTACACCAATCTGCCGCAGAACCGGAGCGAGGCCGAGAAGGATCTCATAAAGCGGGTCTCGTGGTTGGAGCCGCGGGTGTATGAGGAGCATCATGACGATCCCTTCGTCGCACCCTCTTCACTATTCAATCCGATAAAGCCGGCGGAGTACGCGCTCATCTTGACCGCGGAGCTTCCTCCCGAGCTAGAGGGGGAATTTATGGCGTGGTACACAGAGGAACTTCTTCCGAAGGTTTCGAAGGCTCCAGGATGGGTTAGGAGTCGGCAGTTCAAATTGAAGGATTGGAAGCGGCTGGGTGTGGAGGGGTCGAAGGATAAGACGATTCCTCCGACATACTTGGCCATTCACGAGTTCGCGACGGCGGAATTCACGGAGCTGAAGGAGACGGTGCAGTCTGACAAGACGCCGCGGTACGAGAAGCTTGTGCAGGGCCGTACGTCGTTCCAGCGAAGGGTGGTGAAGTTCTTGAAGAAGTTTGAGAGGGTGTGAAGCTTGGTACCAATGTATGTACAACTGTACGCCGTCTCACATTACAAAGTGGAAGTCTTCGAGGAAATGTAGCGGTACAAGTTGACTCGTAAGCACTTTCATTTGTACAGTAATTGTATGCCGATGACCATGCGAGTCGAATACTGTTATGGGCGTCCTTCCCCATAATTGCTTGACAACTCAATAATTTGAACCTACTGAGTTGCCATAACTGGAGCTATGGGTTCCTTTTCGGGAGTGTTCGACCGATCACTACGGCTAACAACGTCGCCGCTCCAACGCTTACCTCCTACTGAGCACTGAATATCCTGGCATCCGTCCTCTGCGAATCGGGCATATACGTACGCGCGTCAAGTACACCGAATTCTGGCCAAACATTCCACGTGAACCTCACCAATTCTATCAACAGGATAATCTTACTTGGTCAAATATGTTTTCGGCCTTCAAACGATCAATCGTGAGCCTCCCGCTCTGCGTGCTCTGAAGACTTATTCAGTCTAAGCGCCTCTCTAGCCTCAAATTTCTATTTTGTGCGAACTTTTCAATGCCGGTACCTTCGTAAGCCTATACTGATTGTATTTGACTCCAAGTCACAACCCATCCTCGCCGCCTTCAACGGCGGCTTTGAACCTTCTGCGCGCAGCAGTCTCAGGGCCATATCCTCCCTCGGCGCCCTCCGCTCGCCCACTTACATTCAACCTCGAGGTAGTTGAGAACGCCCCTACCGCTGACCAGCTCCGCACCATCCTCTCGTACGTCCATTCGACCGCGACGGGCTCAGCAGAAGGCATCTCCCCCGCGAACTTGCTTTCAGCCCATCCCACCGTGCAGACACAGCCGACGAGCGCGGAAGGCGTTGCCCTCCTGGCCGCACAAAATGTGAATGCACTCAAGTGGCCCATTGTTGTCGACTGGGATGCGGGGCGCGCGGCCGTGGGCGACGTCGACGGCGTGAAGAGCATTCTGGAGGAGTTGAGGAAGAAGAGGGATGGCGAGGCTTCCGAGACGCCTGAGCCCAAGTCGAAGGGTTGGTTCTGGTGAGCACAACCGAAAAGGAGCCGTGATAAGTTCGTAAGTGTTTATAACGACGGTTCTTCCGATCGACCGTTGATATGCTTGTGTAGAGGAACAGGAAGAGTCTTTTCATCTGACGCAGACGTTGACCATAACATGTACTCCTAAAATCCGATGTACGGTATGTAACATTAGTCGGACATGATCCAGAACATAATATTTGTAGCAGTATAAACCAATTTAGGTGTGTCTAGCTTGCCAAGAACAACAGAGTATTCACGATACGGTGCTGCTGTCCATCTTCTGCGTCTGAGGCACGGCTGTCGCCAATAGGATGAAACGCACAAACGCTCGTTAATTCTAGTCCGTGGACGACCATGATCGCGTCATATATGAGTCCTGAAACAAATTTTCTGCAGATGTTACCCGTGGATCAGTACAAGCGTTTGCTAACTGCGCCAGTGGAGGTGCTTGGGAGGAATGACGCCAGTCAAACGAACGGATAGGCGCAAACAGGGAATGTGACCTCCGGCGACGAGAGCCTGATGTCTTCCACGATATTCCAAAAGAATGGTGCAACGTAACCCCGACAAGAGATGAGCACCACCGGAAACTAGCCCAGGCTGTAGGCAAGAGAATGGTTGTCGCTATGCCCTCGGATTGACTGGATCACAAGTTAGGACTTTGTCGACATAGCCTGACTCGCCGCTCAACCGACGTGGAAGCAAATGCAGGTTTGAACAACAAAATGCTAACAGGAAGGTTGGGATCACTGAGTAGACGATATGCATGCATGCATGCATATAGCGTATGCAACGCAGTGAAAACATTAATCTGAATTTCATAAGGTTTCCATCACGTCCGAGACGGAAGCCCGGCTCCGAAGGCTCGCAACTTCCTCCACGATGCACTCTTCATCCTCGTCGACCAACGTCTCGCACAGTAGATCACTTCACGATGACTACGATCTCCTTTCTTTCACCCTTCTGAGTCTCTGGATTGGTTGACTGTACTAGCTTGCATGGATCGGCTGGCTGTGAATCATTTCGTGCATGCCGATATCTTCTAGCGGACAGAAATGCATCGCTCTGCGATCGTGGACTTGGACATGAGAGGATTGAGACTTAGATGTATGTACATCCTACCCCTTATCCCAGCAGAACGACCACTGTATCTCTCCGCAGGTGGATGAGGCGCGCACTCCGGGATGGATGATAGTTTGATCGATGCTCCACGCATGCAAGGTGCAGTGTGTAACTGTATCATCTCTTCTGACTGTTACAATTGTTATTAAGTATTGTTGTACATCTACTGCTTTGCATAGTCCAGCCATTTCCGTGCACTAGTGTGTTATGGGTGTGTATATGTGATCATGGCATCTACATGCTCATAGCAAACTAGTGATCCTCTTTGTGTGCCTGCAGTAAGCTCTCAAAAACTCCTAACAATTGCTTCTACAGTCTACTATGAAGTGAGCATTCATTTTGAATGAGACAAATACTGTACAACAGATGCTCATACAACAGTACTGAATTCTGGAGTAGACTTGTGTTACAACTTGGGAACATATTCAGAAAAGAGCAGTATGTCATGTCCACAGGTACAATTATACACAATAGAGAAACAAGTAAAACACCTTGCATTTTACCAGTCAGAAAGAAATTCTGGTGCACACAATTGCACTATGGGTGTGTATATGGAATCATTACCTCCACTGGAGGCCTCTGGTGCGGTATTAACATCCTCGGTGGGCTCGGAGAAACCCACCAGAGATATGTCAATGGGTGGGAGCTCATTGCATGCGAAACCTAGATGTGAAATGTCAACAATCAAGTACAAGAAATCTAGAAGTGATTGGTGCATACCCTGCTGAACATCGGACAATATGTCCGGTAAAGACACCGGCTGTGGGCGTGCTATACGATGGAAGGACTATCAGAACAATACTAGCGATGGACGAGCATTTCCTACGTGAGGTTGGCCACACAAAGTCGTCGTCGTCGTCGTCGTCGGGGGCCGCCAGCACCATCTGGCCGCCCGCGTCGATCGGAGTCAAGTCTGTAAATCTAGTGAGTAAGCCGGATCATCATCATTGACGACACAACATTCGGCTGACTTACCTTGATTGTCCAGGTCTCCAGATGTCGACCCATCGCCGAAGCCATCGAACACCGTGATCGAAGGAGCTTCAACCATTGCCACGGCCATTTCGTTGAGCGCCAGGGCTTCCATCGATGATGTAAGCCGAGAAACCAGAGGTGAGACCTCAATGCCAAGCAGTAACGAGACGGGACGGGTATACGTCCCAAACGCTGTATCTGAACGAGATTGGGTGGATTAGTTGTTGGAAGACTACTCAGCAAGTGATGAACAATTCACCACCCCACGAAGACATGTTGAATAAGGAATCTGAAATATAGAGAGGGGCAGGAAAGCGTAGGTAGTTGAGAGCAAGATGCAGCGCAAGAATTCCCCATGTTCGAACTTTATTATACCGGATTCTTCTCCGAATCAGGCTCCGAACACGCCGTTCTCACGAGCCAACCGCCAGAAGATCAGCTTGAAATGCGAATCAAGCAAGTCACAGTGCAATGCCCCGCGCTGAGAACAGCAGTGGGCCACTACGCAGCAAGCGTGACATGGTCTCTCCGCACGAGTTTGTTCAACATGGCCGTACAGTCAGTATTCGTGGACCAGCAGCGACACGCCGAACACGTCGACCACCCATCTGGACATCGGCGTCAACCGAACACGACTTCGCGAGTCCTTGTGCCATACATGGACTAAGTATGATCGGCCGGTCGCAACCGCAGTTTAGGCATCCGCTAGAAGTCTCATGGCAAAGGCGCACGAAACGAGGAATAAAACCATACGCGGAACAGCCACACCCAGCCACGGAATATCCAAGAAGACTCACCCGGACAAAATTACATGCACCGTGGTGTATGCAGCGATAGAGTTCGAAATGGACAAGTTTCCGGTCCTTCAGAAATACGCAGATAGAAAAGGACAGGCTCAGACAGAGAGGTCGCCCGACACGGCAGCATTTACTAGACCATCAAGACCAGATATATTATTATTCATAGGAACCACAGTGGTGCAAAGAATTGTCCTACAGATGGGGTATCACTCGAGCAGAGTCCAACAACACAGTTGTCAGCATGAACTCGAGAGGATTCACTGGTTTTTCTACAAGTTCCCAGCTATTCGCCCAAGAGGACGTAGTCGTCCGCATCGGTCAGCACCGTGCCCACTGTGTCGCAGTACTCAAACGTCCTCGACTGCGTCCAAGTCCACCAGAGACATATCCGGGCAACAGGTTCTACTGCGTCGGACACCAGGTGTGAACACAATCCAAGTCATAAGTAGACGCTTCACGAAGGTTGTGTCCAGTGTATGTCGTCACAGAAGCAAGAAGCTCTAAGTCTGGCTGTCAATCTGGCAAAAGACGGTAAGTTCTGCATGCCCATGTAGCCAAGAGTAGATTCTTCACAGGTAAAAATCTACTTTAAAGAACTGGTTTAAGTTGGTTATGAACATGAAGAGATTACGAATGAGACCCACCGGGCCGCGCCGCCGATGACAACCACTCACCAACTTCTTCTTCTTCCGCTGGGTTTGCAGTCGGGATGAGGGCATTTACAGTCGCAGACGCAGGGGGAATTACAGTCGGAATTCATGACATGGGGAGGAAGTCCCAATATAGAATGTGTGATCATGTGATGAAACGTGCCGGTTTCCGTGCCGGCGTTGAGTAGCGCTTTGGGAAAATCCCGTAGGACTGTAAACCCGGCAATTATAAACACATCGAACGCTAGAGCCTCACGACGTAATCTCGCAAGCACAAGGTGCATTCCACCTTTTTTCCTGGGGAAAAACCTGGGGAAAACGACGAAGTAAGTCTCGGGGAAATATCCGGGAAAAACTGTGAGAAAACAATAGTGTAAATCCTGGGGAAAAACCGTGACCCAGAAAAAGCAACAGATTTCTCGGAGAAAAACTTTTGTTTCCAAATCGGGATTTCTGCAAGAGATTCGCAAGATAATTCCCGGGGATATGTTTTTCCCGCCACGTTCGGGTGCTGGGCCAAGAAAATCTCTAAGAAATTTCCCCGGGAATTATCTTGCGAATCTCTTGCAGAAATCCCGATTTGGAAACAGAGGTTTTTTCTCCGAGAAATCTGTTGCTTTTTCTGGGTCACGGTTTTTCCCCAGGATTTACACTATTGTTTTCTCACAGTTTTTCCCGGATATTTCCCCGAGACTTACTTTGTCATTTTCCTCAGGTTTTTCCCCAGGAAAAAAGGTGGAATGCACCTTGTGAGGTGTTCCCACCAAAATTGACCCCATTTCAGCCAGCTGCGTGCCGCTGAATTTACAGTTACAAGGCCAATTTACAGTCGCTTTCCCTTCCGTCCGTTCCGCTCGGCCTGTGCTCGGCAAGTTGTGGCTCCCCCTCGGAATAGTGTTCCTGCCCCTTCCCCGCCATCTATGGCTTTCGGACAATATGTATTCATGTCAGTAAATATACCTTGTCTAGGTAAAGATATATTTTTCACTCCCTCAGTGCCCGCCCTTTCAGCCAAACTGCCTTCCGCACTGCGGAGCTTGCCAGACATCCTTATGTAAGCTTCCGTGCGACTGTAATCTTTATGACGTGAAGCCTTTCAACTTGCTCAACTCGCTAATGGACTTCCTCAGTCAAATTCTCTCATCTCGTAATGTCTGACAACCCATCAAGCGAGTTCTTTTTACGTTTTATTGGTTTTCTTCTATACTGACCCGCTCATATACCCTTCTAGTCGATAGTTGGGATGAGCATGTTCATTCCCCGGCCTTCGACAAAGAGTGCAATGTGCAGTTCAGGCGTCTTTCATTCAGCTCCAGGTCCAGCGACTCCTTCGAGCATATCAGGCTCTGGGAGGACAACGATTCCTCCAGCACGACTTCTGTTGAGTCCTCAAACAACATCCCCAAACTCCGAGAAGCACCTGTATTACTTCGGTCTCTGCGGCAACAGACACCTTGGCCCCAAGCTCGTCTTCAGGACGTCTACGGATGTCTTCACGCCGCCTACTGGGCCAGAGCACGACCCTCGCCTTATGCAGCTTCTTGGCGTCTACAACCACGACAAACTGGGCCAGGACAACCTTTGGGCAACTATTCGTGAGGAGGTTCGTGACCTTCTCGAAGCGTAGCATTCTGCAGACTGACATTTGTTCCAAGGTTGTTCAACTCCTCGACAATCGAGAGATCCAGCAGACCTCCGTCGACCTTGTCCGCTTCAGGTGGGATGAGCAGAACTCGGATGGCGGCAGAGAGACAGTTACCAGTTGCGTCACGATCTGGGTCGGAGTGCTGCCAGATAGTACCACCGGCGACACCGCGTTCAAGTCCTCTAAGGACATCCTCCAACTCCTCAAGCAACACAGCATTCACGACATCGACGTGGCGTATCGTGAATCGGTGGCCCAGCCTTTCACTGGTCCCGAACTGTTGGCATCCGTCAATGATCTCCATCCCCTCAAGGATGTAATAGATTGAGTCACCACTGCACTTAGCCTGCCCATCGCCGGCTTGGAGACGCTGCACATGCAAGGGACGTTAGGCTTCTATTTCCGAGTCGGCGATGATCTCTACGGCGTTATGGCATGCCACATGCTGTTCCCCGCGGATCAAGGCAATAGTTCTTACACCTACATCGGTACGTTCATTTCCTCGAGAAGATGAGCGCAATTCTGCTTACAGCTACCTAGCCGGGCCCAAGAAGCAGGTCATCCTCATGGGCAACAGAGCTTTCGACCACTTTCTAGCATCCATTCAGGCCAAAATTGGCAACCAGAACACCACCGTCACCTTCTTGGAGAAGCATGCTGCGGCGTACAAGAAGAAGGCTGATGCCAGTAACGAGCAAGGGGCAACAGAGCTGGTGGCCACCAAAGATGACATGAAGAACAGAAAAAAGGCGATCGAGGCCCTCAAGGCATTCTTCATCACGATGAAGAAGAACTGGTCTGAGGTGAACGACCGCATCATTGGACAGGTTGTCTGGGCACCTCCGATCACTGGTCTTAATGCCCCTCACGGCTACACCAAGGATGTTTGCATCATCAAGCTCGACAAGAAGAAATTCTGGCCAAACTTCATGGGGAACGTCATTGATTTAGGTGCGTGCTGACCCCGTCTAACTAAAGGTGCCTAATCTAACTGTTCGTATTCCAGGCACTGAAATCGACCCCAGCACGTTTATGAGCTTAATGTAACCTCGGCACGACGCACAATCCGAGTTCGACTACCCCGAGGATCATCTTTTCAAGCTCAGAGGCATTCTCACTGCTGCTCAGATACGTCAACCCAACAATCAGGACTTGAAGGGTGACCCCGTGCGATTCGTGATCAAATGCGGTCACACCACATTCACCACGATTGGTCATCTTGCTGGGTTCGAGTCTCATCAGCGCCGCTACAGCCTCGTCGGCACCTTCAATTCCATCGAAGCTGCAATTTACCCCTACGATAACGACTCCAGTCCATTCTCCAGAGGTGGGGACTCTGGGGTCCTTATTGCCAGTCCCAAAGGCGAGTTCGCTGCCCTCCTCAGCGGTGGCACTGGTCTGACCGACTCGTCTGACATCACCTACGGCACCCCGATGTACTGGCTCTGAGAAGATGTCATTAAGCCCCAGTTCCCAGATGCCAACCTCTACTTCAACCTCCCCCAGAACTAGGTTCATCTCTTCCTTCTGCCTCATGCCCTCATATTTATGACTGACAACGTTAATGTCAAGGCCTTCGCGAGGCGTTCTCGCATTGTTTTTTTCCCTACAACTGCTTCCAGCTCTCCCCCTCCAATTCAAAAGCATCGACAATAAGCAGAGCGAATCTAGTCATGCCTTGCTGCGAAGCTACGATGCGCTTGAGGGCTTTCAACTAATCATGCAGCTGAATGCACCGGTAGGCTATGCTTTTGGTGTATCCCAAGGCTGTGTGTTTGCTACGGTACAAAAGGACATTGTCGACGAGATGTTATACCGCCATGAGTACGGTCGCTTTTTGCAATTGTTCCAGGATCTGATCGCACAGGTCTATTTGACTGAAGAGCAACGCAACGCCTATCTTGCGACACGATTGGTTTCACCTCAGGACTCGAGCCCTTCGACAGCCATCTTGGTTCACGACTCGCAGACTCCACCTCTAGAAGGTACTCTACCGTCGATCGGAGTTCGAAGAGCAAACAGCTTGCCCGAAACGCCAAACCAAACCCCACCATCAAGCCCGAGGGTGCCCGCGACCCCAATGGCATCTCATTTTAGGATCTCTGGCTGGGGTATGTGATCAAGGACATGCAAATCTTAGTTTCAGCTTGCACGCTGATCTTCATTTCGATATTATCATCTACTAAACTCATCGTGCTGACCGCCGTCAATTAGAGCCTAGTGGAGACCCTGATCCGACACCGCCCTCCTCCGGTCGATACGCGGCGTGTTACCATCGCATCCTTTCTAATCACACCGAATCTCCTACAGTTCAAGGACCAGAGGACAATGAGCCCTCACCGGAGATCTCACCACTCGCGACAACCCTCTCGTCATAAGCGTCGGAAAATGGTGCACTCACCGAAGGATGTAGCTGTTACAGCTGCCACAGTGGTGTTTGTTTCCAGCATATATTGCATCAATGGTTTTGTCTGGACTCTTTATCGGCAAGTGATGAAGTGGTGGAGGAACAGACCTTGCTGGTTCATGGTGGTGGGATGGATGCACTGGGTGCTTTGATCTTTGGTTTAGGTCGTCTTAGACAGTGGAGTCCAATGCATTCCGGATGCGAGATCGAGCCTGCCTTTCAAATTGTCTCTGTCGTGATAATAATATCAGTGTTGTGCTGGTCCTGAACTGGACACTCTAGACTAAACGTCGACTTGTAGACTAGTCTACTGCAGTTGATAGTCGACGATTTCAGGTAAACTTGGTAGACTTTCCCAGAACCATTGGCTTGAAACCCTATTGGCTGAACACGCTGAACACGTGAACCTTTGAATCGCGTCCGGCACACGTCTCGTACATCTACTACTAGGTCTATACTTTCTTGGTCACTGATGGCAGATACTTAACCTGTTTCCCCCACTTCGGCAACCCATGCTTTAATGGCATGTCTGCCTCATGTCCTGTACTAGATAACTTTTCAAGTTGAATGCCAAACCTTTCACGGATCTTTCGTGTTTGTCTGCATTCTCATGCTAACTGCAGAATGACAGCCTCAGCCAAACGCAGCACGAGCATGGTATCGTGAGTATTATTGGGATCACCCCGAGCTTAAGGACCACGTCCCGGAAGCATACGAACATGGCAACAGATCCGATAAGACAAAGCTCTGGTGCAAATTGTGTTTCGAGCGAAGGGTCGGGAGTGTTATGGCAGATGAGCAACACCAAGTCATGCAAGGAAGGTTAGCAGTGGTACGAGATCGTGTAGAGGTAGAAGATGCACGTAAGTTGTCCTTGTTGAAATGCATGTAAAATCTGATCATTCTTGTTAGTTTGGGCACAACTGAAAATGGTGGCAGCAGATGACCGTTGGATGGCCAGTCGCAAGAATGGACTGTTGGTTCATTTGCGCAATTGCCCTCAGCAGCCAGAGGAAGTACGCAGAAGAGCGAGCGAGAGACATGAGGCTGAAGACCTGTCTTCTCGCCGTTCGTGCGTAGCTAGCCGCCACTTTCCGCCAGAGAATCCTCCCCTATTTCCGACCCTCTCGCAACTTCCTTCTGCCCCACAACTGCATGAAGCGGCATTTCATCCGATGCCCATCCTACCGCAAACACTCTCTGCAGGACCATCAAGTCTGTTCGCACCGAATCCGAGTCCAGGTTACGGCCATCACCTGAAACAGCAGGGTTCATACTTTTCTGCCAGTGCTACGCAGTCGCCATCGACGTCGTTACCCCCACCCAGTGCGATTCCTAGTCTGGCCTCCTTTCATGCCAATTCAGCATCATGTTCACCTAGTCTATTTCATTTTGACGGCTCATCGGGACCATCTAAGCGCCTACGTACCAGTCGCTCTGGTCATTCCATCTCACATCAAGCAAGTATAACACTACCTCAGACGTGGACAAATGACCGTCAATGCCTATTTGAATCTTTCCTCGTGCAGTTGACAGTGTCAAATAATTGGTCATTTGGGTGGCTGGAAGATCCTGTGTGGCTCGGATTTTGTGACGAATTCCTCCCAGATGCCCATGTTCCTTCTTGAAAGGTTTTGTCTCACATCTGATACCAGCCGAAGTCAAAAAGTTCCAAATGATCGCCCAACAGAATTGTCGCAGAAGGCTCAGCACTGTTCAGTGCGACGGTTGGACTGGACTCAATGCACATCATCTTGTTGCTTTCATGGTCACTGTTCAAGGAACGGTATGCCCAGTTCACCAGAAACCTTCAACCTCTGACTGACGAGTTTTGCGGCCTTGCCTCCAGGCATATACAGTTCGTGTCTTCGACACTACAAATGAAGTCAAGTCAGCAAACAACCTTGTCAGAATGCTGAAGACAGTGATCAAGGTCGTTGAGGATGAGTGGGGTGTCATCGTCATTGCTGTTATGTCAGACTGCAGTGGCGAATCACGGTCTGCTCGAAGCATCCTCGTCAGGGAGAGGCCAGACCTTGTTGCTCCAGACTGCTACTCCCATCAGGTATGTCACATACTGTATTGTGATCTTGTATTTGATGAACGTGTTCTTGACAGATCAACCTTGTTGTCGGCAACTATCTTAACAGTCATGTTTGGTTCTTCATATACGCCGAGAAAGCAGACAAGGTGATCACGTGGCTTCATAGTCGTACATTTCTGTTGGGCATCTTGTGAGATATTCAGCAGTGCAACCACTATCCACAGTTGACTGTAATCCGTGCTGTGCTTACTCATTGGACCACCCACTATCTTGCGTACTGACGACTTCTTGATATCAGACTTTCTCTTCAGCTTCTCATTGCAGATTCAAATCTGTATGCATCTGGGACATCAAGTAGCCATGTGAAGACCCGTGAGATGGTGCCTATTGTCCAGGATGCCCTTTTCTGGCATTCACTTGCAAGGTTGGCTTCCATCAAACCTTACTTCAAACCCTTTGAGTCTCACAGCACTTCAACAGGATCAAGAATCATCTTGAACCGCTCGCAATCGCCGCAAATGTGACTCAGGGTGCACGCTGTCGACTCGATCAAGTTCTGTTGACATTCGGGTTTTTATTCCTCCATTTCTCTCTTCTTGACGATGGAGATGACAGCGATGCATGTCAGAAAGTGATTGACAGCTTGGAAATGCGATGGGGAAAGGCGGACCAAGAGGTCTTCATCGCAGCAGTGATTCTGAATCCATATCACAAGATCAATCCTTTCCATCCCCTCCCAATCTTCACGCACGCCAATATCTATGCACTTCTCTGCCGGCTTTGGGGCCACTTCTACGGGACAAGCTTCACAGTGCCATTATCTCTGCACACTGAACTCAGGAAATACTTCGCGGGCACTGGTTTCTATGCAAGCCTTCAAACCTACATGAAGAGTTTGGACGACCTTGCCATAGCAAAGGTGAGACCCTTTGACTTATGTGCTGTTCATTTGAGTTACCGTGAGTGTAGGGCAATGTTCCTGACCCACTGGAGGTGTGGAATGGATTCACATTCTCTGGCATGGAGCCGCCGCCATTAATTCGCCTCGCAATTCGCATTCTCTCCATCTGTGCTAATTCGGCATCCTGTGAACGACTATTCAGTACCCTTGGATTGATACTCACAAAACTCCGCACCCGCATGGGTACGAGCCTCCTTATAGATTTTGTGGAGCTCAAGATGCATCTTCGAGATGCACAGAAACACAAGCAGATAAAGGAACGCCTCAGGCGCCACTTCGGGAAGTTGAAGGAGAAGTCTCAATCATCTCGAGACACAGCGCCAGTGCCTACTCAAACTGTTCCAGCTCCAACTACAACTGCTGCGGGTCCATCCACACAGGGTCAAGATGATAATCATTCTGGTGCAAACTCAATGCGCAACATATCCACAACACTGTCGAGGATGGTAGACACCGATTTGGACAACCCAGACTCAAGGTCCTTCTCATCTAAAATCACTGTCACACTCCATTCCCTCTTTAACATGACATCCACATACTGGCTGGACAGTCATGCACGAAGCTCAGTCCAAAGCCTCGCTGATGAGTTGGAGGTGTATGAATTGCTGGATTTAGATGGAGAGGGAGAACTCGCGGAGGGGCCTGAAATTGACTCAGATGATGTTGCAGCTGCACTTCTTGATGAGTGAGTTTCCAGTAGCCCAGTGGTAGATAGGCCTTATATTATCTCCTATTGTACTACAGCAATTTCTCATTTTCTCTGCCACTACTCTCGATGAGCCAGTCTCTGTATGTCGTGCAGTCCGCTGCCACAGGATGATTATGTAAACAGTTCACCGGTTTACCATAGACTGCGTAGACTAGTCTACAAGTTTTGAACCAAGTCAACTGTTGTCGACTAGTCCAGGACTGGCACAACACTGCGTGATATAGCAGTGGCATGCGAGTGCTTGCTCTCGGGCAGTAGAGAGAGGGGGCCGACATTGCAGCGAGCCCGAAGCCCGGTCTAATGCTCTGCCGGCTCCGGTCCGGGAAGCCCGTGAGTCTTTTTAAGCGTAGGCTACATGGTGCCAGGATGTCGATCCTTCTGTGAGCCTTAAGTTAGTCTCATACCAAGCACCATCTGCGTTCTGCATGGATGGTCTTGTATCAAGGTCCGGTTGTTACTAGGGGTCTGCAGGGTGGGCAATTCGTTACAAATCTGTTATCGTGAGTTACAACCAGGTTTCTTATCAATCAGTATCGCATTGTAACTCCGGCTTCAAACCGGTAACAACTAGCCATGCCACCCTGCAGACCTCTTCAATAACCGGTACCTTGTTACAAACCCCTCTGACATTATCAGAGGGGTTTGTGTTGAACCTAAGCCTTAAGTCCGCTCTGAGTCATGCCCGAGGTCCAAGGTCGCACCCACCAGGCAGCGTGCCATTGAGAGGGCGACAGGGTGAGAAGGCAAAAAGGCAACCGGGCAGCCCCCGGAGAACAGGGTAGTGCAGAGCAGGGGTATACCCCTGGGTACTTTGAGGCATACCCCTACCCTTACCCTCCAAGGGTACATACCCTTGACCAGGGGTAAGGGTATGGGTAAGGGTATCAAACCTTGAGGGTATACCCCTCAATCTTTGCGCTTATTTGAGAAAATGACATTATATATATTAAGTCTGAGGTTTTTACCCCTCTTCTTTTATCTTTAAAGCTTCTGTAAACATGATTCAAGTTGTACTCAGACTGTACATACTCTATATTCACCCTGTAGTTACTATCTACATCATATATACTATAGGTAGTGATACCCTCCAAGGGTACAAGGGTTTGAAAATCCATATCCCTACCCTTACCCTCCGATACCCTTACCCTTGACCCTTGAGGGTTATCCATACCCTTGCTCTGCACTAGAACAGGGTGGCCTCCAGATACCAAGGCTTCTCATGCATGGTCAACTAAGCATCCTGTGTGCAGTGTGCACTCTTACAGTGAACACTGAGCACCATGCAGTGGCTTTGGGAGGACCACCAACTGCTCTGGCAGTGCCACGATATTCCCGACATCGCAGGTTTTCTGGCAGCATCTATGGAGCATGGTGGGTTGATTGGACATCCTCATGCTTCAGAAACTAGGAGCTCCAGTGAGCTTTCCCAGCCACACTGCCGATGCCAAAGTTTATGGCTGATTGCGTCACACTGATCTATGTTGGGTTGAGTGTGGCTGCAAGATCTGATATCATTTGAGAAATGTCTGTCAATCGGGACTATAGCACTCTTGCACAGCCATTACCAAAAACAAGCTGACCAGCTGGCTGGCTGGGAGTTTTTCTCTATAATATTGGCCCTCGAAGTGATGGACCGTGGACTCCTCACCACTACTGAAGATGAGCCGGCCGGCTGCCTGGTTTTAGATCAAATTAGGTGAGTGTGAAAGACCAAAGAGTGATACCCAATTGAATAGCAATGTGCATTAACTCTAGGACGCAATCACGAATAAACCATCTTTAACCAGTAAATTTAGAACTCTTTTGCAGCTTTTCCATATGAGCCCAGCAAAGCACCGTGCTAGTGCTCCACTGCTTATCCTTCACCCTCACTTGACTAGTTTTCATCATCATGTACCTTTCTATACCACTTCCACAGTAGTATTTGGGCCCTCATCATCATCCCGATTATTTTCTTGCTGCAGATGCGGATTGCACAATGTGTTTCTTGTTTCTGCGATGCCTAGATTGGAATTTGTAGATGATGTCTTCGAGTTCCCCCCAGGTGAGGCAGACAAGGATGATAAGAACAATGAGCGCCACTAGAGAGAGAAACCTGATTTGCATGCTAGCAAAGGCCTGGCACTTTTAAGCAAGGTCTGCATGTCCGTTGAAATCAAAAAGGCATCTCCATTCCTAGGTGTTAACAGCCTCGATAATGTCGAATATGAATACGATGACAATGATGGCGAAAACGATGATGGGACCAAATTCACACCCCTTGGTGAACCTTCTAAAAGGGACATAGGCCAGCTCAGCTAGGATGATTCTAAAGAATATAGCCAAAATGCAGAGGAAAATAAAGATCCCGTAGGCCCAGTTCTTGTCGTTGTGCATGTTATGAGTCTCGAAGAAAGATTGTAGTTCGTGTAACATAATGGTGAAGTAGATAGATTTGGTAAGGCCACCTGCACTGAACGCGGTAGCAGTGACCTATAGTAGGACTTGAGGGATCATTTTTGAGATTGGCGTTTGGAAAAGTTCATGATTGGGTTTTGATAAATGTGAGCTTTGAAGCAATAGAGCTAAGGTGTAAGATGCTTCGACTGTGATATGTGAATGTAGAGGAAGAAATTGAAGTTCATGAAAGGAAGTTGTGCTTTATACATTGCTAGAGCCATGACCGTGAATCACATGCCTTGATATTGGCATGCTTTGCCAATCCAGTGGGCATGACTATGAGGCCCTGTATTCTAGCTACAAGGTGCAGTGCGTGCAGCAATCTACTACATGAGTGGCTGTGTTTCATTGCATATGGGGTCCTATCATTCAAGAGGTGCTAAGAATAGCAGTAAACGATCAGCAGGGCAGCTTTTGTCAAGAAAATGATGGCCTAGGCTGATGCTGATGTTAGAATGATCCTTTTGATTAGACTGTTAGCTACATGGATTTCTACTGGCATGCGTGGTCATCCTATGCATAACAATTCTTGGTGTACTATCAGACAAGGTATGCGACTGATAACAGGGGTGCCGATGAGGCCAGATGGCTGCCTTGAGACCCCTGTCTAATTTATAATAATAGTTTACATGGCTGAACTGAAGAAGTCACCTTTCTTATGCCAATTCTGTATTACATAGTGCTGTGTTCTGATCTAGGATCTCTAATTGGCCTACTTCCTTCCTGATGGAGGTGGTGGCTGATAAACTGTAGTGTTGGCTGCACCATCTATCATGGCTGTGCTCAAGTGCTGAGCAGACTCTACATTTATATTTTCTAATAGAATATACTATAGTTAGAAATATGCTGCGGCACTAGTAGCATAATTCTGCCTATCCTGCGACATGCTTTCTCTCACTTCACAGAAACACCTGACAGTCATAATCTAAGAACTAAAGAAGCATACTCTAAGCGCTAATGTCACTGTGATTAACTCTTTCATAGCTGAAGTTTCTTAAGCTACATACCACACAACAAATGATATTGTTGGCAGAATGGTCAGTGTCATCATTACAACTTGATGGGTGCAGCCTAGTAATCAGACATTATTATAGCTGATTAAATCTTAGGAGGGAGCAATGGGGGCCTTACAAGCTGATTGAATGTTATTTAGACCCTGATGCCTTCTAAACACACTACCAGTCACTGCTGCGGTGGTTGATGGGTACTCGCTGCCAAATATGGCCACCCAGCAGAGAACCTCGGTCTGAGGGATTTTTTAGGGTGTAAGTGACTCATTGAGTCCTCAGTGCTCAACATGCCCGCTCGACTAACTGCAGAAACTAAGTCTGTAGAACAGATTTGATGCTAAAGAAGTTGCCAGGTTTGTATTGGTTGCCAAAAACTTGACTAGGCATCTCACCAGTCAACAGTTTGACACTCCCAGAGCAATGCTATAAGATGTGCATAATGTAGCTAGCTGATGAATGCTATTGTGTTCACATAGTTGCATAGCTTGTTTCAAGATGGACTAATAATCTATTACACCAAAGTGGACATGTAAAATTTTAGGATAGGTAGGTCTAAATCTGAGAAGCCCGAGTCACTGTAAAGATACGTGAAGCGCAATAGAGATATTATTCGCCCATATGGTAGATTTAGAAGCTTTCACTCTAGATTTCTGAGGGTGTAAGGTACCTTGTCTGTGAAGGCATAGTACGAACACTTAGATTGATGATGTAAATGGACATGGTAAAGACTGTATCATCTGCTCGTGGATCATAGAAAGACCAATATATCTCTTCAAGTGCCTTAGATCTTAAAGACAACGAGCATGCAGCAGGATCGGGTGTCTGCAAGTTTCAACCTTCAACTAGCCCTATCCACAGTACCACTATACCTGTGCATCTTCAGTACCATTGTTGGTTTGGTTCTCGGTAAACAGTCTGTAGATACACTCATGCAATGTTTTGATTTGCACTGTGCACCTGATTTATTCTTGCTAGCTGCTCGCATATTCTGCCATGTTTCATACATTTCCCCCACTTGCATCTTTTCCAATTTACCCTAGGACATTTTCAGTTTCTTCCTTTTTTTTCAGCTCAGAAATCTTCTCTAGCAGACTCTTGGAATTATTTGCCAGGCTCACTTCAGAGGCAATGGCCTCTGAGGTTTTTGAAAGCTGGCTCCATCAAGGCATCAAGATTGTCTGCGCAGCAGGTTAAAATGAGTTGCTGGATAGACATCTCATTGTTGGACACAAGTGGCAGTGGACAGAACAATATTGTCTGTTCAAACTTGGAAAAGTATTCCTGCTGCACTTTATTTTTTAAGTTGACTTCGGCCATGCTTGGTGTAATAGTGGCCTCCCGACACTTTGGTGAGAAGATTGTGGTAGGACTCAAGTTCTGGATGGCCCATTTGACCTCCTTGAATGCAACATGGAGAGAGGGCTGACATTATTAGCATTCAAAGAATTTGAATATCAATTATCCCATGTTGCATGCCACTCATTTAAGATTTAAAGGCATTTTGTACAAGGTGATTGTCATGAGGTAGTAA